CCTCTTCCCTCTTCCCTCTTCCCTCTTCCCTCTTCCCTCTTCCCTCTTCCCTCTTCCCTCTCCCCTCTTCCCTCTTCCCTCTTCCCTCTTGCGGCGCCTCCTCTCCTTTCCTTTCTTTTCTTTCTCTCTGCTTGTTTGAAAAGATGACTTGTTGTCCCGGGAAATCCAAATTGAACCCTGTCTCACCTACCTGCCTACCTAACAGACCACCTTTACTCCGTGTCGATCTGGAGTTCACTCGAACTGTACATCAGTATTGTGTGCGCCTGCATGCCTGCGACCCGTCTGTTCCTCCAGAAATGCTGGCCGTCGCGGTTCGGCACGTCGAAGGAACACGCACGCTCGTATCTGCGCCAGTCGAGCGCGTCCCACGACGGTGGACGCAGTCATCATCAGCAAGCTTCACCTCCTCCTCCGACTCGGCCGCCGTTCCAGCCAATACTCAGTGTCCACCCCACCGACCGCATGTACATGTCGAAACCCGACGTCAACGTCAACCAATTCGAACCTGGACGACACGGCGACATGGAGCTCACGGATTCCGACGGCTGGATGGCGGCTTCGAGGGGCGGCAGAGCATACATGTCGACCAACCACGCTGGGAGGTACTGAGTTAACTAGTTGACTACAGCTAATTAATTACCTAGGTACCGCCCTACCCAGGTACCTCAGGGAGACCTTTAGAGTCGTGCGCTCAAAGTCCGCTGTCTGTCTTATCCAGGGGGTACTCATGTACATACCCCAGTATCATTCGCCGGGCAGAGAGTGAATGATACAATAATATTACTGACAAAATGATGTGTGCCAAATTTTTTCGCAATCCTTCTTTCTCTAACAAAATCGATGGGAACTCTTCTATCCATAGCGTCGTACCCCATCTGTCCTCCCTCATTGCCTGACTGCATCTACTCTTTGCTCCCCTCTTGAATCAACTGCCCCTAAGGGGGTATGCAGTTTGGGCACACACACCTCTAATCTCTAATCCCACTAACTAGTACTAGTGATTATCGGCACCCAACTCATGGGCACGTTCTGAATTGGCCTCTTGCACCACCTTCACATCCGCATCCACGTCCACGTACACGTCCACCGCCTCAATCTTGCCCTTTCTGGAAAGGTCAGCGAAAGGACGATACGCCTCCTCATCGATGTCCGCCAAGTTCGAATGCGCGAGTTTGCCCTGCTTCAGGCCGTACAACTCGCAAAACATCATGATCATGGGCTTCCACCTGTCCGCGTCCACGCGGTTACAGAGTCCCTCGCCCTGCATCCTCAGGTTCTCGTGGACGGTGACGCGCAGGATCCTGACTTCGAACGCGAGGATGAGCGCCTCCTCGGCCGCCGCGGCGGAACCGTCGCCGAACATGGTGTGTGTGGCGACGAGCTCGGCTTCCATGGTGACGGGGCATTCTTTGATTCCCGGACACGCGACGTGGCGCGACGGCTGCGGCGTCAGGCGGGCGACGGCAAACTTGTCCTTGACGAAGCGGTAGCCCCGGGTTCGCTTGCCGGCGGGGACCGGGTCGGTGCCGGTGGTTCTCGCGAGCGCGTTGACGGCGGCCGCCATGTCGTCGGACGCCAGGTTGAGGACGCACTGTCTCGTGCGCGCGATGTTCTGCGTCGTCCGCGACGACGCGTCCAGGCCGATCATGGCGCCGTGCCCGAGCCAGAAGGCCGACGACATGGGCGCGATGTTGGCGCTGCCGTCGTCGTTGGCGCTCGAGATGAGGACCACAGGGGTGCCCCAGTACAGAATAGCCGGGGAGATCTCTTGATGTTCCATGGGTTCGGTTTCAAAGAACCCCTCTTTATAAAAACGCTCTGTTTTCCGGTGTCTTGTGCTTCTGTTGCTTTCTTTTGCTTTGCGGCGCTCTATAAGATTGTGGCCTGTTCGCCGGTGGTGGCAGTCCTGACGATGGCTGATGAATGCCAGACTCTCAAAGTCGCCGTCCGAGCACGAGCTATTTGTACTTTCACGAGTCTCGAGCTCGATACGGCAGCGAACGGGGGACAGAGGTCCTCGTGCACAGTATACTCGATCGCGTGTGTCCACTTTGAAGAAAAGCATCTCCATGGACATTGGGACTCTTGCCTGATCTCTGTGACTGGGCGAAGCGACGATTCACGCTTGCTCCATGACCCATACTATACCTCCCTGGCTTGTCTCATTGGCCAATTCGAGAGCACAATATAGCCCAGAGGTAGGCCTTCAAGCTCGTTGTTATCTCCGATTCCTGCCTCATGGAGCGCCTATGGCCGCCTGGTTCTTGCGACGCCTTGCCATTGATTCGTAAGTGTTGGTTGTTGTTGATGAGGAATTGACCAATTGAAGAGCCACGCTTGTTGGCTGGCGAGGCTGATAATTATGGGGCCTGCAGAGTCCGGCGTCTCCTTGGTAAGGGGGTGTCTCTTGACGAACGTACCACTGGTAGAGCGCAACACTGCAACAGTACTGGCATCGTCTCGACGCTCTCTGTCTTCCGGACCAGTCTTCGACTGGTTTCAAGGCCCCCAAACAACCATAGCATTCGCAAAAGTGAGCAATGTGGCTTGCCAGTTTATTGCAGTCGCATATTCCGCAAAAGGGAAATCGAAGATACCGTCTGTATGTATACACTACAACTCTAAATGGCTCTTCATGCCTGGTCCGACTCTCCAGTCATATAGCCAGGCTTCTCAAGCTCCGAGGATCCTGCTTCACCCACCACTTGCACATGATGAAGTTCTTCGTCGATGGCCTTCTTACGTTCCTCCCACTCGGGCACCTTGGCCAACTTCTCTCGCAGCTCCTTGATCTCTTTGTCCATGCTAGACTTTTCAGCTTCGGTGCCAATCTTGACCAGTTCCCAGTCATACCATTCGTCGCCCAAGCCAAGGATGATGTTGGACGTATGATATTTTCTCAGACTGGCACGCGTCGAGAGTGTGATTACCGTGATACCTCGATCCTTGCACCGCTCATAAAGTAGTCCCTCAACATCCGAAGAGACTGCGCTCGTCCCTTCATCCAGGAACGCATATCTTGGTTCGTGATACAAAAGTCGAGCAAATGCCATGCGCTGCTTCTCTCCACCTGAAAGTACATCTTTCCATTCTTTCCGGGTATCCCAACCTCCTTCACGTGCAAGCAGGTGGCCGAGTTTGACGTCCTCAAGGATCTTCTCTAGTTGGCTGTCACGACGTTCATTCTCACGCATATCGATCTCGGTATGAGGATAGATCACTTGATCACGTAGTGTGCCCACACTGAGGTATGGTCGTTGAGGGAGGAACATAATTCCGTCTTGGCCACTATTACGCGGTCGCGAGACAAGCCCCCTGAAGACTGGCCAGAGACCAGCAACGATGCGCGCGATGGCGGACTTACCAACGCCATTGCTGCCAGAGATCAGAAGATGCTCGCCACTGTGCACCACGAATGAAAGAGACTCAATGAGCTCTTCTCCGCCATAGGGATAAAGCGATGGAGCAACTACAGGCACGTCTTCAAGACGGACGCCATCGAAGCCAGCATGAAGTGTCCCCTGAACATCAGCGAGAGAGAATAGCTCGGCTCTGCTGGAATAACGCCGGTGGCCTTGACCATAGGCGTTCGCATGGACTCGATGAAGGGTGGAAATGAGCTGATACACTCGCGATGTATAGCCAGCAAGCTCCGAAAGATCTTTGATGCTGTACATCATTCTTCCGCCAGCATCGGCAAGGGAAAGCATGAGTCTCTTATTTGTGATGAAGTCCTTCATGTGAGACCTCTCTCGTGAGGATTCCGATACTTCACTGCCAGAGGGGTCGGACGTGTCAAGTAAAGAAGTCAGTCCGGCCCAGGCGGGCAAGTAAACGGGGATGGAGGTGACGACATATCCAAAGGCTGACCAAGAGTACTTCAGGACGAAGTCCTCAAGCATGTTATACCGGACTTTGACATTGTAGATACCTTCCATCCAACTGCGCAACTCTCTGAAGGATTTATTCAGATAGATCTTCTCCACGTCTGCACCACCATAAAATGCGATTTCTTCGGCGTTGGCTATCAGGCGAGCATGGAGACCGCGGAAGTCGCCCTCTTTCTTTCCTTCGACGGCTTTTAATTTCCCGAATGGAGGGGACAGTCTTCGCAAGAGCGTAGCGGTCGCGAAATAATTGGCCAAAAGTCCAGTTAGAGCCAAGGGACCCAGCGATCGATAGAGTTGATAGTTAAAAACAAAGATGTCAACCAAGGGTTTTCCCAGAGACGAGTATAACGATGCTGCTGATGTACAAAACAAGGTCAAGTCTTGCGTTATGAACTGGTCGGCCCCTTGTCCGACACCTCCATCCAGGTTGGTCAGCTTATAGTAGGTGAGGTTGGAGTTCAGGTACAAGTCGTGGATGTATCGTGTAAGTCGGGTTCGGAAAGCAATCGATATCTTCGACTGGAGGAATTTGATCATCGAATTCGTATATGAGGCGAGAGTCCCAACCGACAACCACCGCAGAATTCCCAGCATGAAGGATTTGCCTTGTCCTGCGACCAAATCTCGGACAATGGCTCCGTCTAGTCTGGCAACGACCAAAGACAGATATGTTCGTAAGATCAAGAAAACCCCATGGCTCAACAGCAGCGCCGTCTCTTTACTGCGAAACCGCGGAATCATAATGTTCAACAAACTCAAGAACTGGTGGAGAAAGGCCAGGTTGAGGCCTGGCTTGGTCTGTGGTGGCGGGCCATGACCGTATGCTGGAGTGGACGCACCGCTCGCAAGCCTTGTGATCCGAGGAGGCGTTAGGAACAAACGTCTATGCGCGTCGAAGGTTGTGGGACGAGTCGGGTGGATGATGACTTTCGAGGTAGTATTGCCTTTGGGGACGTATATGATGCGCTCGCCGCCCTTTCCTCTCAGTCCACTGTTTTTTCTAACCAGCCTTTGTCCTCGAGCCCTCTCTCTGGTCCTCTCCTGCCACCATCTGTAGCCACCATAACTGCTCGAGAGAATGGAAATGAGAAGCGCTGCTGTTGCGGCTAGTCTAGCGGATTTGGGTGTTCGTTTGATCTGAGTTCGGAAGAGAGAGAGGTAGTGGTTGTAGAGGACCATCAAAGGGTCTTCTTTCGAGTGAACTGGCATGCTGCAGGGGTGATTGTGATTGCAATTGTGTTGATCAGACCTGCGCTTTGCTGTCACCTGGTGCAGGAACACATCGTCGTCGCAGGGCCACGAGCGGGAGACGCGCTGGGTTGTCTGGCAGTATGATCAGAGGTGGGTTGAGTCGTGTTGAGTCGTCGGGTGCGAGAATGTTTTTGAAACCAGCAATTCTACATACCCCAGAGGTAGTAAGACAGTTGCCTCGTGCACGCAGCATTGACGCAATGACATGACGGTGTCGAACGAGGCCGGAGAAACAAGAGACTTGAGCATGTGGCTAAAGAAAGACGCGCGCCGAGGTAAAATCGCATGGCACGTGATGATATTGGTTCGAGGCCTCACTCGGCCCCGGAAGAGCCTGTACTATGGCCCCCTTCGAACCCACACAAGTACAGTGCTCGTGCTATACAAGAACAGCATCTTTCTCACTGGCATCCAAACCCATTCCGCCCTTGCTGGTTCTCAAATCCACTGCCGCCGCCACCACCTCCGACTCGATGACCGCATCCTCGGCTTCAGACCCGACCTCACGGAACATCTGCCCCATATTCGAGCAGATTGGTGGATTCAACTTATTTAGGGCCCAGTAGGTTCCAAAACTCAGCGCCAATCCCATGGGATATGCAAAGTAGTACATTCTCGTCGCCGGCAGTGTGACAGAGACACCAAAGACGCCCAAGAAACCGTAGAAGTTAGGGACCTGTGAACTTCGTCAGAAAAGGCCATTACCAGCGTAGATAGACAAGGGCATAAAGGTTAAATATCCGTTGTCGAAATGAGACGGAAAAGAATACAGGTGAGAGGGTCGCAAACTTACAATTCCCACGAGGTAAGCCACGTACGCTCTATAGTTCCACCCTCGGCTGTAGTAGTAGAGACCACTGTGCGCCGGAGTGAACATGTCGGAGATCTTCAGGTATCCGCGCGAGACGATAAAGTAATGGCAAAGCATGACGCCAGTGATGGATGACAAGAAGATCCTGCGACGTTGTGTTAGTGAGCTCCCCAGGAAGACGTTCCTGGCAGTACTTACTGGTACGAGGCCAACCATGCAACAAAGCTCGACGCTGAGCCGAGGATGTACCAGGGGCACATCGCATATGATATGATGGCTGCGATGTAGAAGCCTCGTCGGATGGTGATGAACCGCGGCCACAGGGCGGCAAGGTCGTTACCGGCTGGGATCGAGTTCTCGAAGATAGACGAGATGATTGAGGCGTAGAGAAAACCGAGGGCAAGGAAGAAAATACCTGCTCGGGTCGCGGAGTTGTAGTGCTTCTCTAACAGAGCGTCCATGAAATCGATGGGGTTCCAAATCAACTGGGAAGATCAATTAGCGGGCATATATGACGGTGTACGACAAAGCGTTACCTCGCCGAAAGTGATGACCGAGCTGGACACGATCAAGTTCCCAATGATACCGACCAGAAAGGTAGACAGAGGGAACCCAATTAATTGGGGCCAGAACGCATCCTTGGGCTTCTTAGCATATCTAGGTAGTTACCACTTAGCAAACTGGTTTGGACCGTGGAAGATTTGACGCTCCCGGAAACAATGGGTTGCGCTCACCTCAAGAAGTCGGATGCATTCGTTGCATATGTTGCCCCATTGGCACAATAGATGAAGACGTATCGAGCAACGGTCCATGACTTGGTGGACCCGTGGATGGTCGAGCCCTGTCGAGCTACAGGGCCAATACCTCCTGCCTCGGCAAGCGCCCACCCGAGAAGACAAATTGAGCAGATGAAGAATATGCCAAGCTTGGTGTACATGTATGGTCTCAAGTTTGGAATCTTGATATGAAGAAGGCTAGTCGTCAAGATCCTGCGGGCTGTGTGAGAAATCGTCCTAGTCACAAGCCTATGAACTTACCAGAAGAGGAAAAAGCCTATCATGCCACCTGAATTCAAGGCCGAAGCGCCATCGGGGAAAACATCCGGAATCCTGGCAATGGACGGGAACAGGGAATGTAGCATCACGTAGGCGCATTGACCCCCTTGAACAGCGTTTACACCAGTCCAAACGAGCGTCATAACCACCCGATTCACGACCGGCCAGTAGGCGCCCCAGACGCCAAACGACGCTCTTGCGATGGTTGGATAAGGGATATGGTATGCAGCACCAGCTCTTCCGTTGAATACAAAGACGGTTGCAATCATGACTATAGCCGTTGGTCAGCAATAGGCCATTCGATGAAGCATGGCTACCTTACTCTGTCCACCCAGCTGACATGCGAGTGCTTCCCAGACGCTCAATCCAGCTGCCAGTGCCGCAGAGACACCATAGAATGAGGCTGGAGTGGCATTCGCCGAGAGCCAAAACCAAAAGTACGATTTCCAGCCAAATGTTCGGTCGGCAATGGGGACGGGTCGCAGATCATTGTTGTCAAGCCATTGATGGCGATTCTCTGCTTCGGCATTGCGGTACTCCTTCGTTTCGATTCGCTTCACGAGGCGACTGAAAAATGACACCGAGCCCATGGTGTAGGTGTGGTTCTGGAAGCAGCGCGATCGATATACTTCCTGGTTCTGAGAAGCATCATGAGACACAGGTGGTGATACACTGCCTTATACGGAGTACAGTCTTGAACTATTCTGTCCATAATCACTGTGGCCGACGATGACAATTTTTCGACTGGCCGAGACAAACGTTTATCTTCGTGGTGGAGCTGTGATCATGTCGGTTCTCCGTCGGTTGTCCGTCCATTTGCCCCAATCGGGGCTCTGAGTGGAGACATTTTCTCGACACCATATCTCGAAATCATCCCCGGATGATAACAGTATCAACGGACACGCGGCGTCGTCGAATAGCACCGTCGGGCCTCCGCCCGACGGTGTCCTGGTAAAAGCCAATTTGCGAATTCTGCAGGTCGTGCCAAGTGATCGAGACAGGACAATTTCATATGCTCTTGACTTTCCGGATTATATTAGTCTTGCAAAATTTGAAGGGAGGTATTTCAACACCAACTGAACTCCGAGAACTATCAGAGATGTCATCTACTGTGGTGCAAGAGACCAAGCAGGCTGGGATTGAGGGATGGACGACCCTGCAGCTCACCAGCGCATATGGTCCAGTCTTTCGTTCCGTCAGAACAACACCGCCTCGCGATGCTACGCGAGAAGAGATCCCCGTGATCGATGTCAGTGGGATATTCAGCAAGGACGTTGAAGATCGGAAAGCCGTGGCAGCACAAATACGACAGGCTGCCACCAGCATCGGGTTCTTCTACATGAAGAACCATGGAATCCCACAAAACACCATCGCATCGGCCCTGAAGGCTTCTAAGACCTTCTTTCATCAACCACAAGAGATCAAGGAACGCGTGAGCGTGTCGGGCTCTAAATGGCACAATGGCTGGAATGGTCCGAAATCTCACCGAGCCAATGCTGTCGAAAGTGTCGACTATCGAGAAAGTTTCGGCATGCGGTATGACCCTAATTACGATCCTGCTGTCGAGGACATTGAATCTATCCCACAAAACATCAAGGACGGTTTCCGCGCAGAGGAGTATTGTTGGAATGAGACCTCGAATGTCCCCGGCTTCAAGGAAGATGTGATTGAATACTGGCGAGCCTGCCTTTCGACGGCTCGGCGACTGGTGAGGACGTTTGCCCTTGCCCTGGACTTGCCCGAAAACCATTTTGACACCATGACCTCGCACCCTGATGCTGCGATTGCACTCAACTATTACCCTCCGATTCCAGAAAGTGCTCTGGGGGACAAGGAGGAGGCTGTCAGCATCGGTTCACATACGGATCTTCAGCTCTTCACCATGCTCTGGCAGGACCAGAATGGTGGCCTTCAAGTTTTGAATCGAGACGGACAGTGGTTGAATGCAACTCCGATAGAAGACACCTTTGTTGTCAACATTGGAGATTACCTGATGCGCATCACGAATGACCGCTTTGTGTCCACCGTCCATCGGGCAAAGAATTTCAACACTAACGAACGCTTTTCGATGCCATTTTTCTTTGGTATGTCCAGATCAGCCGGGGCGAAGCCGATGCTAATTGTATATCCTAGGTTTTAACTTCAATGAGACGTGCGGAGTGCTTCCAAGTTGTGTTGATGAAGACCATCCAGCGAAATATGAGCCTATATCCTGCCAGGAATGGGTTCACTTGCGGTTCAAGGCAACCAATATATAGTGGCACCAGCTGCAGTAGGGAGAAGCCATGGGCTATCAATGTTCGAGGCTGCAGTGCATCCTTCCGGTGTGGCATAGCACTAGGCGCGGGTGTCGGAATGGAAAAAGATCAATGCTTGTCAGTTGAAATTTTGGACCAGAGTCATGGCTCATGCACCAGTGAGTCCTCTGTAGGAAAAGCCATATCATCAAGAGAGAAATCCAGATTGCCCAAGTTCCCAGTCGTGAGCATCTGCCATGTGTATCCGTCCTCGGTGGCAGGAAGTTGCGCTGCCATGAATGCTTTCTTTGCCTCAATATCGTCCGAAAGAGATACTCCTGCTTCAGCTGCTGCCCTTCGCAATTCGCCGATTATGGCACCAAATCTGTAGGCAATGTGTTCGTCATTGGGCGCTATGTCCGTGAGGTATTGTTGGGTGGCAGCGATCAAATGGTGGCCGACGGCAAACTTGCACAAGTTGAGAGCCGCATATATGACAATGAAGAAGAAAAAGTCGGGCATTTCTAAAGCAACCGAAAAGTCCAAATTGAGGAACCGTTCGAGAATCTTGCTGGCCATCTGAATGATAGCTTCTTGAACAGCTGTTGAGTCGGAGTTGGCTTTTAAAGCCGCTCGATATAGCAGGAGGTAGCAGAAGTCGTAACTGAAATCTGGCATGGAGTTTGTGAGAGGGACTGCTATCATTAGTGAATGCTTGATGCTGGAAATGAGAAACTCACAACTTCCGAGGACATGTTTCCAGGATGCATGCCAATCCTCGAGCTCTCTGTAGACAGGGACCACGAGGGTTTCAGTGACCATGGGAAGGTCGTTAAGCATCTTCTCAGTCCTGCTGTAGAGCAATACTTCAGCAAATAAGGCTGCATCGGCCATAGTTGATGTCTGAAAATCCAATATCTGCGAGCAATAGTCTACGAAACGCTGAGAGACCACGCTCGGTCGAGCATTACCTACAGAGAACCTATATCCGTCAGTGCGTACATCTTTTATATTCCAGGCAGACTTACTGGACATTTGTCAGACACAAAGCATTCCAGATGCGAAGGTTTCGCAACCGTGCATCGTCATCGTCTTCTGAAGCCGGGTTTACCAGGTTAAAGGATAAGACGGCGTGATTGACGCTCGTCCCGCTCAACATCCAGCTATCCATAGGCATGGCGGTTTGGATTGTCGGGCTGAACATACTGAGCAGCAGTAACGCCTGGATCGACTCCCGGCTCAGAACAGGAGTTTTCAGAATCGTGCTTGCGGTCAAGCGCCTGACTAACATGTCTGTTCTTTGAATCGTATCTTTGCTCACGTTGGGCACATGTGGTGATGCCAACAGGCACGCCGCGCTGAAAAGAAGGGGGTGACTCTCTTCCAGGTCATCCGGAAGGTCGTTCTCGGAATAGACAGCTATCCACTTCCCAAGGCGTTGGACAAAACTACGACGGTCAGCAAATTCTGCATGACACCGCGGAAATTGCTTACACTGTGATCAGATAGTGGGCGAGGGAGGCACCGAGAATTCCTGTTGATACCACGTTTCCTATTGCGAGGACTTCATCTCCGAATTCGCGTTTGGGTCCGAAGAGACGTTGTTGGAGATTCTTTAGCAAAGGTACAGGTCTTGTCACTCCGGTTTGGTGCGATGAACTGGGGCGGACAGGAGTCGCTGTCCAGCGTACACCAGAGTTTTCGGAATGAGCCGAAGCTCTTCGTCTCTCATCAATCTTCGGCGGTGCACTCAGAGTTGTCAATAGCTTTGTGAGGGTTTCAAGGCCCTCCTCGATACGCACGAGGCGGGCTTCAACGCCAAAAGGCAGGGCCGACTCTGATGACTCTGCTTCCTGCTCCAGCGCTGGTAAATCGCATCTGAGACTACCTCACGAGTTAGAAGAAGAGGTTTGAGAGGATAGGAAGTGCCGAACCGTAGTGCGGCGCATCTTCTGCAGGTATCCCTGGAAGCGATCTCGCACCTGGTCTTCAGTTTTCGACATGTAGTGCAGGCGCTAAATGGGCGATTCAGACGCCTTCTCTTGGGCTGTCCTTGCTTGTGGCGGTCGTCATGAGGCGGCGGCTCTTTCGGGGACGGCTCTTGACTCTGCTCCATGACCTCCATAAATGAACGGACAGACGTACAAAAGCATGAAAGCGTGAAGGGTGAAGGTAGTCCAACTAGATTTGATTGCTATGGGTTGACTACGACAGTGACTGATGCCGCCATTAGGGAGCCGGAATCAAGCGTTTAACGGGGAGCTCCGGGTATCAATAGACCCCGCCAGTTACTGTTTTAGGCGCAAACATCACTCGGCGGGCAGTTTGTAGGCTGCGGTTTCGAAGCGGTGTTAGGCTGGCCTCCCCTAAAGTGAGCGAACCAGTAGCCCGTGCTTGCCCTTGGTCTCAGCCGCCGGATCTCCGGACTACGGGGAAGGGAGATATCGATGTTGCTCTTGGCTATACCCATATACTGTACCTGGGTAGGTACCTAATTGTCTCTTCATGTGCAAAATTCTACGTATAGCTCTTAACTACCTAGGTACCTAGGCAGAGTTCACGTATTTAGGTGCACCCTTCAGTACAACAGTCAAGGTCCATTGGCATATTAAGGTGTGCCGATGCTCTGATGCCCTGCGCTTTCTAGAGTCTAGGTACGTGTACAGAGTGCTATGGTCTGTCATTGACACTCCCATGCATAATCCCTTCTATAGACCAACAATCATCCACAAACGAGTCCGTGAAGCAACCCACCTCTCATGCAAGGCCAGCTTGTCATAAGTGGCCATTCAGCTTGTCTTTTTGTTCAGGGATGGGTGTTAATAACGTTCCTGTCTCGACGGCGCTCTCCAGATTGCGCAACACCAGCAATTCCATCTCCTTTTGTGTTTCCCAAGTCATCGTGCCAATGTGAGGGACGATGAACGCTCGGTCATTCGTCAAGAGCCCTTGCTCGATCTTGGGCTCGTCTTCAAACACATCGAGGCCGACTGATGAGACCTTCCCACTGTCCAGTGCCGCAACCAGATCCTTCTCGTTGATCAGCGCGCCTCGTGCGGTGTTGACAATCACAACACCGTCTTTCATCTTTGCGAATTCTTTGGCCGATATGATGTGGCGTGTGTTCGCATTGAGAGAGAGGTTCAAACTAAGAACATCCGACCGGGCGAGCAGTTCGTCGAAGCTGAGGTACGTTGCGTCGCCTTCGAGTTCCGCGGGCAGTCTAGATCGATTGTGGTAGGCGATTGTCATGCCAAACGCTCGTGCTCGGTCTGCCATCGCCTGCGATCCAAGTCAGCCAGCGTTAGATTCAAGGACAAGGGTACCGCTTACTCTGCCAATGCCGCCCATTCCTAGGATGCCCAACAGCTTGCCCCTGGGATCATGACCGAGCTGTGCATTACCTTTCCACCTTCCTTCCTTGATGGCCTTTAATGGCGTCCAGACCTGTCTCAGCGCCCCCAGGAGCAGGAAAATACCAACATCGGCCGTCGCATTGTCTACAGCCAGGGGTGTGCTTGATACCTTGATCCCTCTTTTGGTACAGGCGTCCACCTCGATATTGTCATAACCAGCACCATTGTGGCATATAAACTTCAGGGAGGAGGGTAAGAGTGAAACCAGCTCTTCGTTGAATGGGCCGGTTTCCGAGGTCGACGTGTTTGAGCGGTACAGAGCAACGACGTCGTTATACTCCCCAGCCTTGCATTTTGAAAGGAACTGTTCTCGTGTGCCTTTCCGGAACTCCTTCAAGTTGTATTTAGAACCGTAGGCTTTCCATTCCGTGTTCGCGTGCGTCAGGTCTCCGATCAGTAAGACGGTAGGTTTCGACATATTGGGAGAGACTGGTGGAAGATGAGCCACCTTTTCGACCACACTATACAACCAGAGGAAGACTAGATGCTTAATGCGAATTTGAGGGTCTATGGACTACAAATATCAATTCCACTGCAGACCATTCGCAACATACAACGACATTTGATGTTCGTCCAGTCCTCGCTATCGGCATTTGAACCGATGTTTGTTCCCCCGCACCGCCCTGCAATGCCGCCCGATGGCGATGAGAAACCCCCACCAAGCGGGCCATGGCAGTGTGGCCAGTGCCTCATCGCACTGATTTCACCCCGCGGGCAAACAAAGGCCTTGTGGTCCTTTGGGCGTCTTCGATTCACCGGTCGCCGAATCCTTTTCATTAGCCGACGAGCCTCTGCTTGCGACGGCGAGCACCCCGGAATTTGCATCATGGTTTTATGCTCTAATCAATGGGGTAACCGGTAGTCAAGCTCGATATATGCCAATTGCCGTCTGGGCCGGTGCTCTGTCACCCAAGCTAACTGCAGCCTCTGTTTGACGTTGTTGGACGAAGTCTGTGAGACGAGTATCTATGTTAGGCAGGCTTCGAAAACAACAGGCAGCGCACCAGAAAAACGAACCATGTCTGGAGAGGCTACAATACAAGCCCTGGTACTACATGGCGCAAAAGATCTGAGGTTGGTAAGTATGCATCGTGTCTGATACCAAAAAAAAGAGAGAGATGGTTGCCAGGGCGGGAAGCTCACTTCTTTCCAGGAATCTAGACCTCTAACTTCTCCTCGAACGGGAGAAGTACAAATCGCCGTGAAGGCCACGGGTCTTTGCGGCTCAGACCTGCACTACTACAATCATGGCCGCAATGGTAACTTTGTCATTCAGGCGCCTCTAGTGCTGGGCCACGAGGCTTCAGGCGTGGTCACTGCAGTGTCCGAGGCTGCCAATGCAATCGCAGGCTCTACCATTCTGAAAGTGGGCGACAGGGTGGCAATGGAAGTTGGATTCCCATGCCGCGCATGTTCGCTGTGTACGACAGGGCGTTACAACTTATGTCCGAAGCTTTCGTTCAGATCATCAGCCAAAACATTTCCTCACGCCGACGGGACGCTTCAGACTATTATATCCCAGCCCGCTGACATGTGCCACAAGCTACCGGACAACGTCACTTTCGAGCAGGGTGCACTGGTGGAGCCATTGGCTGTCTCCTTACACGCTCTCAATCGAAGTCAAGTCGCAGGTTCTGGCTCTGGTGTCCCGTTGACTGGCTCAAGCGCTCTCGTTCTCGGCGCGGGCGCCGTGGGCATGCTCACTGCGGCGGTCCTTGCAGCTGCAGGTGTTACAGATATTGTTATTGCCGACATCGATGCTCCGAGGCTGAAAATTGCTGCGGCGCTTGGGGGCGGCAGATTTCATCTCAAGACGTTCCTCCTACCCAAGAAACCAGCTGCGCCGACGATTGAGGAGACACTAGCAGGTGCTCAAGAGCTCGCTGCCGAAGTGTCAAAATCTGTTGGCTTAGAGACGGGGTTCGATCGGGTTTTCGAGTGCACAGGTGTACCATCATGTGTACAGTTGGGAATATATGCTGCCACTGCTGGCGGAAAGCTGATTCTTGTTGGTATGGGGAATCCAACTCAGACACTGCCTTTGGGAGCGGCAGCCTTGAGGGAAGTCGACATAATTGGCGTTTTTAGATACGCCAATTGCTACCCAGCTGCCATTGCTTTGTTCGCGAGTGGAAAGTTGGATGGTGTGGCAGAGGATCTGGTCACCCACCGAGTGAGTCTGGCAGACGGAGAAAAGGCATTCAGGCTGGCAGCAAATCAGGCCAGAGAAGGGGAGGACGAAGGTAGAGTCCCCGTTAAGGTGGTCATTACTTCATAGTATCGGAGCAGTTGTGAATCTTATGAGCCCCTTGACAGACGTCCCTTGAGTCAGCGAACCAGATCCGGCCATCGTCTCAGGCGCCCATTAGTAGCTTCAATTCTGTTGTGCAGGTGTTTTCTCGTCATCCATCCTCCGCAGAAATGTGTAGTCACGATGGCGTCGCAATAAACGCAGGCGGAGTCGACAGTCTTGCTGGAGAGGTGCGAGGGATGTTCCATTCTTGCTGGAGGCGGTAGCCAATCCTGACGTCAATCTTCTCGCTTGCCTGCGCCAGATGCGCCAGCAGCGCGTGTAATGAATAATGGCGTCGACATTCCTACAAAACATCTTTGCAGCGATTCTCCTCCACGGCGAACTGTCCTCATTATGACCGCGCGTACCATACTGATCACAGGTGCTACAGGAAAGCAAGGCGGCTCGGCCGTCAAAGCTCTCCTGGTCAATCCTCCGCCTTTCGAATTCCGCATCCTTGCCCTGACGCGCAAAAGCACCTCTAAAGCCGCAAAGGATCTCGCGGAAGACTCCAGGGTTGAATTAATCGAAGGCGATCTACATGATCCACAAGCCATTTTTACAAAGGCGGGAGGCGTGGGAGCAGTATGGGGTGTGTTCTGTGTGACAATTCCATCAATGAAAAAGGGGACTGAGCAGCTTGAGATGGAGCAAGGAAAGAGGCTAATCGATGCCGCCATAACGCACGATGTGAAGCATTTTGTCCTTACATCCGTAGATCGCGGAGGTCCTGAAAAATCCGATGTCAACGCCACGGATGTGCCTCACTTTGTCACAAAGGTGGGCTTCTCTATGCGCATGGCTGCACGACGACACAACTAACCGAAGATAGTACTGGACCGAGAAACATCTGATCGAGAGTACCAGAGGCAAAAACACGAGTTATACTATTCTGCGACCGGTCGCGTTCATGGAAAACCTCACGCCAACCTTTCCGGGCAGAGTCTTTGCGGCGATGTGGGCAAACATGGGGGACAAGGCCTTGCAGATTGTGGCCACAAAAGATATCGGCGTATTTGCCGCAAAGGCGTTTGCGGGCTCGGACACGGAGGAATACAAGAACACCTCGATCAGTCTGGCAGGAGACACTCTCACCCAATCGCAAGCCAATGAGATCTTCTGGAGAGCCCTTGGCCGCCCGATGCCAGTCTCATATGGCTTCGTGGCCAGCCTACTACAGTGGATGGTGCCCGAGTTAGGGACCATGTTTCACTGGTTCGTCGAACATGGGTATGGTGCTGACGAGGTTCAGTGTCGCAGGCTGAACAAGGATATGCTGAACTTCGAAAGTTGGCTGATCCAGGAAAGCGGATTCAAGAGGTAATGCGAAGAGTTGTGTAATGCACTGGGTAACCGCATGGTGGACATGTCGAAAGACAGCACTCCGCTTCCACCCTACCTCTTCTTACTCGGTTTGCCCGGAGCGGACGAGCAACCGTCGGGCTAAATTTGTACACTATCAAACAGGTGTGACTACAGCGTCTGGTGTTGGGCGTCATGTTGTGCATAACAACCACGCTGTACTCTGCTCATGCGGTGCAGCGGAAGCGGCTGGCTATATAGATTTGGATACTCGAATCTTACATACGTTGCGGCGTGATCGGCCGAGATCTACGGAACGTCATTGTAGAAGCCCAATCGCCATTTCAAACTTAGCTTATCCCTGCACGAAGGCTTATTAATTCCAAACTTAGCTTATTCCTGCACAGAGGAACGATGTGACCTGGGGAATCCCATGAACCAAGCGTCCTGCAAGTAATATAACTGTCACACCAAAGTCAATGGCCAGACTTGTCAGACTAAGCGCGCTCGCGAACAGCCTGGGCGTGCCGTGTACCCCAGCCATATGTTCCGGACTGAGAACCGACCGTCCTGCACGAGGCGAACAGCTCTGCCATCAGAACATTGAAACAGTGTGTTTCCATGTGCAGGGACTGGTAGGACAACCAGAGAGAAAGAAGAAGCGGCCTTTACAGAGTCTCCTCGGCCAGGCCAGATGCAAGAAAGCAAGGCCTCCAGGCAGTGATTGGCTATTATCAACGCGCTAGAGATTTAACATGGCGCTAGTACAGATACGAAACACGCGCTAATGTTTGAAGTGACTTCGATGTCGCCGGCCCCTTGTTCTCCCTCCCTGTTCTTCTCTGCCGTCCAGCCCGAGCTGTTCGTTGTCACACGACACTCGAGATGAAATGAAAGGGGCGCTGAGGGTCGTCGGTGCTTTCTTGTCGAGCTGTCAATTGCGCCATTACTAGCACGAAAGAAGGGGCAACGCAAGTCATTCAGTTGCCAGTGAATGTCTTCTGCCTCAATCTGGCATTACATCGTCAGCTGAGTACAATGCACAAAGACAATATTGACTTGATCCAGGCAGCGGAACAATATCAAAGACAGAGGAAGCGCGTCTCGGCAACCTCATATCTTCTTATCGATATATCTCCAGGCTAGTGTTCCGCACCAACCAAGATTGAGTTGACCACCCTGGTCCGCCACGAGCCATGAGATCACCAGGCACTTGAAACACCTGCACCTCCGGGTCCAGGCCATGGGCAAGAATACCCTGTTGCGGCTTGCCCACTCAAGTATTGGTCTGAATTTGCCATACTTTCCGGAAAGCTTGTCCATCCACTGTATCTTCGCACGGCAGCACGCCGTGTCTATCTCATAGAAAGGGGTCTATCAAGCAAGGATCATGCTGCGAGCTCTCAAACGATTCCATCAACTCCTCGCGCTTAGATGCCGATCGAAAAATCCCGTAACCATGCTCCACTTTCCACTCTGATGGCTGAGAGTTCTTTTCTTTGTCAAAGCTGCCTTGACCCCCGACGTCTCGCTTATCGCCTGCCATTCTTTGTACTTTTCGCATTCGACCAACGCAGAACAATGCTTGCGTGAGGCATTGTCTGTATTCCTTTGTTTCTTCCATCGCAATGCTTGCATTGTCACTCTTTTGACCTCGTCACTCCTTTGTTTGGACCGAATCGCTCTTTGTCGGTTGCTCGACTCCCTTGACGCCCATTACGCCTGTTCTAACTTCGACAGCTTGAACTGACTATCTTTCAAACAACCCACAACCATACTCTGAGAGTACACCCAACTTGCATACAGACCGCACGAAGCGCATCGCGAACGAAGCCAACGATCTCACAAAAACTCATTTCTTCGCTGGACGAATCTCCCTTCCTTTCACGACTTATTTCAAACGTCAACACCATGTCTCTATCGAAACCCTCTCTGCGCAGCATCCTTTTCGGCATGCTTGCCGCAGCTCCGGTCGCCTCCGCACATAGTTGGATTGAGCAGATGTTGATCATTGCTCCGAATGGTACCCTTGCTGGTGTCCCAGGTTTCGCTCGGGGGAATGTTCTACGCCAAAACAATGTCTCTCCCGACGAGGCGATGGTCAACCTCATTCCACCAAACGGTCGTCAAAATTCAGTCCTTCCGACAGATTTGATGTGCAGAGCTAGCCAGACATCTCAGACCCAGACCGATGGAAGTCCCAGACTGCAAGCCGTTCCTGGATCCGCAGTTGCTTTGCGATATCAGGAGAATGGCCATGTTACCATGCCAGGGACCCAACCAGGCAAACCCGACAATCGAGGAACAATCTATGTCTATGGTACTACCGATCCCAGCCCTGATGACGCTCTCCTGGCCATCCACCGTGTCTGGACTCCTGATGGAAAAGGCGGTGATGGTCGCGGGGTCCTGCTGTCGACGCAGAACTTCGACGATGGCCAGTGTTACCAGATCAATGGGTCGCCCCTTTCCGCACAGCGCCAGGTCACGTACGCTCACGCAGCAGAACAATTGATGGGTCGCGACTTGTGGTGCCAAACTGATATCCAGATCCCCTTGGATGCGCCGACTGGCAAACCTTACACCCTGTATTGGGTCTGGGATTGGCCAACTTTGCCTGGAGGTGACCCTAGTCTTCCTAATGGTAAACAAGAAATCTACACCACCTGCATGGATGTCGACATTGTTGCCGATATCGGCATCGATCCTTATTCCAAGGGCCAGGCCAGTTATGTTCCCGGTCAAAGTTATGACATGGCTGCTGTTTCTGCCCAATTCGCGGAGCTCACCAATCCAACTGCTGTGACGGGTAAGACATTGCCCTTCATAAATGCTCCTACTCGATCCGCTCTCCGACCACCACTAACTCGTACTCGCACAGGTTCCACAATTGCGTTTGGTGCAACCGCAACAGGTCCTGTACCTGGAGGTGCCAGCGAAGCTAGTGTCTCCGCTGCTACCGTCATCAGTACAGGTATCCCCGACTTCTTGACTGTGCACACCGGCTCAACTGCCGGTCCTGGATTGGAAACACAGACTTTTAGTGTCGTACCAATGGCTGCCACCGATGTTCCAGGTGCAGCGCCAACACCACCCGGTAATTCTGGTCCAGGCCGCGGCTCCGGTGGAGGTCGTGGTGGCAATGGCAATGGAAACGCCCAGTTCCAGGTTGCCACTGAGACGGAATGGGAGTCGGTCACTGAGACGGTTCTTCAGACTGTCTACCTGACCAAGTACACGAAGCGTGATCAAGGTGAGTCCTATGCATCCCCTACTGCTCAATCAGCCCCTACACCCTATTTGGGACGTGGACATGGAGAAATGCCCTTCGCACCTCAACTTTTCAACACGACTGGTCATGAATTGGGATCTGGAGTACCTCCCTTTCAACCGTTCAATGGCGATGGCCCAGTGACTGGACGTGCAGGGGTTGGTGGCCAACAACCCAGTTTTGCCCCTGGCGAATCTCATTCAGTCTTCCGCTGGGATCATCCTTGCCGCAACTTCAACCACACCAACAACCCTGGGCAGTTCAACCAAACAACGTGCAATGGCACATCTGGCTACCAGAATCACCACAATGGAAGTCACTCTGGATTGCCGATGCGGCCGAATCTCAGTCTGTCAGCTTCTACAACCTCTCCAATCCCATCACCGACAATTGGACCACTCCTGACACTACCAGATGGAGTGGTTCTCACTATGCCGACTCCAGGCGGTTCTATCATGACAATGCCAGGTGGGAGCATCATGACAATGCCTATCCCTGGGAGGGTCGACAGCACTTCACCGAGTACCTTTGGCCCCGCAGCCACAGCTGTAGTCTCGGACTCGACAGATTCGGATTCAGATTCGGACAGGGCGACGACCACGAAGGTGATTGTGGCGACCGTCACAACAATCGTGACTGCAATTTCTCTGACTACCATCGACGCGTCTCCCTTGAATGACCCTGGCACCGCTACCGGTTCGACATCCACATCCACATCCGCGTCTACGTCCAGCACGGAAATCGACACAGGTGTTGTTTCCGTCGTTCCATTTCCACCCATGGCATCATCAATGTCAACAACAATGTCCTCGTCGTCGAACACTTTGAGTTCTAGTACTTTCGGACCAGACGCGCTAACAGTATTCCCAGTCTCAGAACCCACCGTTGCGCCGACATCGACTGCCCACGCTGCATTCAAGCTCCGCGCAAGAAACCCCTTTGTATGGATCTGGGGCAGCAGCATCGATGCCGCCGGACCAACCCCAACTTCATCTTCCTAAAACTAATCGGACGTTTCGACTCTGTTTGCCTTTCCCTCGCTGGTGGGTGGACCAAAGCTCAAGCAAAGTGCAAGCTCGATGATTTTTCTTGTTATCTTGCTTAATGGTAGTTGGACTGGACAGGAGTGGGAGCTGGGTTGGGCGGGATGAGGCGAGACGAGGCAAGGGCTGAACTGGATTGGGTCGGGCGAGGCAAGGGCTGAACTGGATTGGGTCGGGCGAGGCAGGGTTGATTGGATTCATCGTCAACCCCAGTGTATGAAGATGTGTTGGGTGAGAACCGAAACTCGATTTTCTTTTGGACGCGGCCAGAGCCGTGGCCGCTCATCTTTCTCTTTCTCTGTGTGTGTCTCTCTCTCTCACTCTCGTTTTTATTAATCAATACATTGTCATTCACGAACCGCAAAGTGGACGACACGAGAAAAGGAATTGATCGAATATTGGACTTTCCTTTTTGGGAACTAGAGAGCAGAGAGAGAGAGACACACACACACAGACACACAGAGAGAAAGAAGGGAGATGTGTATGTATTTATAAATATACAAGGTATGCACCTGATGTACTGTGTGTAAAGTCCGCGAATTGCCTACCAGACCGGGGGAATGAAGCGAGATGTGATTGTCACTGCTGTATTGTATTTTTCCTTTTGCATTTCGCTTTTCGCATTCGTTCAAACACCTGGCTAGGTACAGAAGTACATCAGGCGAATTTACATACATAAATACATACATACACACATACACGATACCTAAGTTAGGTTGTTAACATCCAACAATATCTGCCGTACAGAGATCATGTGCGTCCTTCGCCCAACCAAGGTAGATATTTACCTGCCCATCACCAGTCAACGTAGGTTGAGGAGTGTTCCATCTCGTTCAAAAGAGCTTTCAAAAAAATACAAGACACTTCTCTCGTCTGTCATCTTGTCATTCTCAATCTCCATACACTGACATGGTTGAGTGACGTACCTAAGCTGGTACTGTATGTGCTCGTTTACTCGTGTCCTCCATAGTGTCCCCGTATAGCAGGGTCGTTGTGAATCATTATTTCATTAGGATTATTTACGTACCTAGGTACTCCGCAGGTAAGTATTTTAGGTCAATGAGTTTGTAGCAAGTCTATACAGTCCCCCCGTACCCTCCCAGGAAAAATAACCCCTCCCAAAGCGAGAATACCTAAACTCCCTGTCATACACACCGTCTCTTCATGCTCTGCAACTTGTTGAATTATTGTACACAAACTCTCCAATTATAAGGCGAAAGGAGCGAGGGAGTGCCGCGATGTACTGGGCTGATGGTCGGGCACACGAACCCAGTCTTTGAACATGGCAGGTCCAGGTTTATCCCATGTTGAAACAGTTTTTCGGAAGGGGATACTGCATCTTAGGAGGATTTGATGGGTTTGGAGTATTCGAGTTGTGTGCCCCATACATAGTCCCAAAACTTGGAAGTCACGCCAAACCTGAAATCATCGATTAGCTCAACTTGATAATATCCGCAAAACAAGTGGTCTTCCTTACCCGAGTTCAAAGTTCTGGTAGTGGTGGGCGAGATGGTACTTCTTCAAATCGCGCACATAAGCGGGCAATTGGTGGTGATGGAGCCAGTAATGCGTGCAGTCGTAGCATACATAGCCGAAGATGCCGCCGGAGAAGACGGTGATGGCAACGTACCAATTATACCAGAAGACGGCGTGCGCGAGTTTGTAGAATGGCGTCGCTAGAATGAGGAAAAGCGTAGGAGGCATAACGAGTCTGTATTTGTCCATGGGTAGGTAGTGATGGATGCCATGCAGGAGGAAGTGGAGCGTCAGGAAGACAGGGTGATTAGGCAGGTAGTAGTCGATATGGAAGAGGAAGCGGTGCAGGAGATATTCGACCAAGGTCCAGAGGAAGAGTCCGAGGGCCCAGTAGGCAGGGCCCTGGGAGAGAGGTAGATGTGTAAGACCGAGATACGAGCCGTAAAACACCGGCGGGAGCCAGAGCGTTGGCACAACATACCACGCCGTCTTGCTGAGTGGCTCAAGAAAGTTGCCAAACAACGGAGCAGAATCACCTCCACGGTAGTGTCGAGGTCGGTGGATCTGTTCTAGGTAGAACTCCTTGGAGAATTTGCTGAACAGCATCTGGGGGAACAGCGGCCTGTTCAGGTCCAAGAATTTGTGCTGCTTCCAGTCCTTATCAAGGTCTGTGTCTTTCGAGAGGTCTTCCGCGCAGGACATTCCGGTGGTCTCAAACACTTCTCTTGTTGGCAGGCCTTCCGTTTGTACTCCTTGCTTCTTCAATTCAGCATTTCCGTTGGCTGTCGCGGGTAAGGGAACCACCTCATCGGGATGAGGAGAGGCCGTTGCGGCCTTGAGAACAGGCTCGGTCGGCAGGAATCCGATAAGGCTCTCCTCGAGTATCTCGTATGCAGTGTCGGTGTGGAAGTGGGAGACTTCATCCTCCATGATTTGCTTCACGTCTTTGCCGGCATATTCGAGGATCAACTCACCACCGCCGGGATGGTCTTCAACAAAGTCGGTTACATCGAATATCCGCTCCCCAATAGTGACCCAGCACGAGTCCTTCGTGTTGTGTGCCTCAACTTCCGCCTGCGGCATCGTGGGAAGTGTTCGGCTAGGCATCATCGAAGGCTTTGACAGAAGGTCGGTCGACTGAATGAGACGGAGCAAAGGAGTGTGTGGAAGGAGAAAGGCGAATTGAAAGAGCGTGAGGAGTCACGATTAAAGAAAAAGGATGGGGAGTTTCTCTATATTGGATTTGCCTCCCTGGACAGTGGAAGCTCTGAGCGATATCCGTTAAAATGTCATGCAACGCGGCGTCTCTGGCTGCAAGGGGCTCGTGGCGTGTTCTTCTTTCGAGTGAAGATCTAATTTCCCGACAATTCCGCAGCGTGAGAGGTCAGCCCACTCACTATACGAGAAAGATCTACTAGTTTCACCGTATAGACAAGATTAGATTAGATTAGATTAGATTAGATTTTCAACCGCATATACGTTGAAGCGAGGGACTCAGTAACGCCGAGTCTCGTCGACACAGTCAACCAGGCATCATCTCGTTGTCGCTGTTCACTCTTCTTGTTCTCATATTTCCATCATGAAACGAACACATGGCATGACGGAGCTGACCGACTCAGCTGCTGATCCGAAGAGGCCAGAGACTTCCCCTTCAGCGGGAGACACACTGACCGATGCAGTTGCTGGCGATGATCTCTGTCCCATATGCCTTCAGCTACTCTACCGGCCTGTGCGAACAGCCTGTAATCACACCACATGCGAGGACTGTATGGCGAACTGGGCGGATGTTTGTGTCTCCTCCCAAATGGCCAGGGATGGAATCGTTGACCAGGACCTCGTCTTTCTTCCCGAGGAGGTCAACACCAGCTGTCCTATGTGCCGAACAACCACAACAACCATATTTGATAATGACCGTCAGCTCACCTTACAGAGACTGTACCCCAAGATCTATGTGGCGCGTGAGGCCGATGATATAGCAGCAGAAAGAATGCGGGCAGCTTCAAATATTGAAACCCTCCTTATACATATCGGTAACGAGCACAGACTCGTCCGTGCTTATGATGAATCGAAGAACACCCACGATTGGAAATTCTTCCTGAGACCTTCAAGGACAGACATCATCCAGGAAGTGCAGATAATTCTGGTTAGTCCGACATGTTATTTTTGCGCAAGGGGGTTTGACAATTTTTTACTTCCAGCATCCCACATTTCACAGGCCACGAGTCGTCTTATCGTGTCCGCCGTATGAAATTCGCCGGCTAGGTTGGGGTCAATTTGCTATCGTCGCCAACGTTGTCCTCAAGGAAGGCTATAGTTGGGTCGGGGCACGCAGGATAGATAGGCTCGATGAAGGTTGGGAAAGGAAATTGATCTTAGCATGGAACCTCGATTTTAGTGAGCGTGGTGCTCACGGAAGGATTAGAGTAAAGGTGAGAAAGGAGAGAACTGGTGACGAGGCCGAAGGCGACGCGCCGATGGAAGATGAAGGGCACCATCAAGAACTTTGAGAAGTCAGGGTGAGCAGATTTCGAGATCGACAATACCGTCCTTCATCCGCGAGTCGAGGTACTTCGCCTCAGCCGAGTTGAACGTCTGTCCTGGCTACGACACCGGTCTAGGACTTGAACAGGGGCTCGTATCGCTTTTCGAATACGAAGTCTACACAGCAGCGATGTTTATACTTCCTTGCTGTCGGAAAATACGACAAATGAATCCTAGGGCGCAGAAGCGCACGGTCGCATCAATCCTATTCTTGTCCCTGGGAGATTTTCATCGCTGGAAATGCTTCTGCCTGGCTCAGACACTTCCACTTACGCAACCTCAACCCCGGAAAACCGCCCAAAATTACGCGGCCTCTTTTGCTACAACTCCAGAATGCCATATTCTTTACGGCATAAGAGGATTCAAGCGCGTTATTATTGCCCACGGACACAGAGTGCACGCACGAATCATTCCCTTTTAGGAGTCTTGTACCAGCCGAGCTGAAGTCCGGCCCCAGCCCCACCCACTGGGTGCACGGCTCACACAGCCCCATCCGCGTATTCGAGGTTATCCCAGACAGAAAATATACGATACAACATAGACGAAAACAGGAGTGGACATTAGTCATGGCATTCTTGACCATATATGCCCTCGTCGACATGCACTTCTTCTCCCGCTGTCGTCCTCAAGACCAGCAACCTGCGCTTTTTCGCCATTTCAAACTTTGGGTGAATCAGCCCTCTGGTAGCCCAATATCAAACCAATCATACCGTCATGCAGCCTACAGATCATCCCAGGAGCCCAAATGCGGCAGACGACTCTCTACGAGTGTCTCTCGATAGCAACCAATCAACTCTGGTAGCCACAGCGCCGGTAAAGGAGCCGCGTCGAGGCTCGACAAAAGCACCAAGGAAACGACCAAAAAGCAGAATGCAGCCATGTGACACCCCTCCATCACCTGCGGGACACTCGCCTCGGGGAAAGAAGACGTTGCTCTCGGAGTCTTTGGGCACCCAAATGACGGCGTCTCTGATCTCAGGTGGAAAAGACATGGAGGTTCTGGATATTGCCCAGCGACTCAAGCATCTCCAGGCACAGAGTCAGTCGTCACCGGTGTATGTAACAACACAGGAGATGACGAATGATATCCTGGACCGCACTGGGCCGGAAACCATGATTGCTGCCACAATAAAAGCCAACATTAGTCAGAGTTCACAGGCAGCCGACGGTACAGCCTCCAATTCCACCACCAAGAGGCCAAAGGATATCAATACTTTCACGCTCTATGATTTCGCCGCCATTTCGGCACTGGGGTCTTTGGTAGAGAAGTATGGTCGAGTCTCCCATATGGGGGTGCTGGACCCATCGTACAGCTTCTTCTTGAGTAAAGACCTCCAGTCGGCACTGTACTACAAAGTATTGAACAACATTGCAGTCATTGGTGGTGACCCTCTATGTTCGGAGAGCCAGTATGATAACCTCCTTCTGGAATTCCGCCGATTACGAAAACGCCGCGGTTGGGGCGTTACATTCCTGGGCACCACGGACAATTTCTTACCATACGCTGCACAGAAGAAGTGGGTGACGATGCGGTTTGGGACCGAGAGAGTTCTCAATCCACTGGACAACCCCATACTACAAGAGAAGGAAGGGAAGAGGGTGATCAGCCAGAACAGACAGCTTCTCGACCCCTCAAGAGGTGGAGTTTCAGTCCATGTCTACATTCCCAGTCAACAAGGTCGAGATGAAACCCTCGAGCAAAAGCTTCGGCACGTCTACGATTCATGGAGGGATAGTCGCAACCACTCGTCCCGGCCACAAGCATACATGACTGTTTTCGACCCTTTTGCCATCCCGCCCTTGATGACCTACATCTACACAACGGGTCGTGACGGTCAGTGCAATGGGTTCGCAGCGTTAAGAAAGATCGGGGCCAACAAAGGCTACCACATCGATCCGTATTGTGCGCTACCAACGGCACCCAAGGGCATCACCGACCTCCTCGTTTTCTCGGCAATGTCACTCCTCCAGCAAGCTGGGATTGGGTATCTGAGCTTTGGTTTCGAACCAGCCAGAGAACTTGGCGAGATCACCGCGTTGTCCAGACCCACGACCGCCGTCACCAGGTCATGCTATCGACGGGCGTTCCGTCACCTGCCCATCGGTGGAAAGCAGGCGTATCATGACAAGTTCCGCCCCGACGCAAATTTGGATTCAGGCTTGTACATTATCTATCCTGAGGGAGCACCCAGTATACAACATGCATTGGCCACGTTGCACATTGCCAACATAAAGGTCAGAGGAATTTTGCGTGCAGAGTTGTTCGGAGCTTTGCCAAAAGTACCCAAGGTGAAACAGAGTACGAAGACGAATGAAGGAGCAGAGAATCAAAAAGAACATTCGGCATGAAATTTGACGTGAAAGAGAGACTCGGTCCAGAGTCTGTTGAGTCTGTTGAAGTTATTGTCTGGCGGCTCAGAACCTTCAGGCGAAGGCACTTGCTACTCAAAACAGTCTCATTTCTTCTGTTGTCGCTGCGACGGCTGTCTCGGTGGCGCGCATGACCTCCTTGATTTATGGTACTTTTCTTGAGACTTCAGACTGAAGGGTTTCCCACTGGTGAGACTCGTCTTGAAGGAAGATGAGGGCGCCGAGCTGGAAAGTCATCAGAAAGTGGTTTTCGATTTAGTGTGAAATATACTTTACAATAGCAGGCCTCCACAGTGAGATTGATTCATGAGAGGGCCTTGATTTCTCCATACTGTCGATCCATTCATTGCCTCGTCAAGGCTCCATAGTCAAAGGGGCCTGTATACATTGAGAGGCACCTGGAGCGTCGGGCTGAGTGGGAGATTTGGCCTTCGAGTAGGTTCACATTGCCAGTCCAAGACACGGAAACATCCGGCCACACATACAGATACACTTACACTCGACTTTGGAATGGGGAGAGTGAGTCGAATCTCTTTACAGATCCCAGCGGAGGCCACTAACATAGGCTCTGAGACGAGCCCTGATGACCGAGCGAAAACCCTCGCTGATTCACCTTCTCTACCCCGGTAAGAACCACTTCTGCCATCTGCGTCCCGTTGGTCTAAGCTCGTATCTTTGATCTTTGCGAGGCTGGTTTGAGGCCTCCCGCGAAGCGCTACCAATCGCCCCGCTGCAATGCAGGAGTAGTTAGAGTGCTTACCTCTCCAACTAGTTAACTAGTCGTGACTGCGAACCAGTCCACTTCTTCATCAATCAACACTTCACAGACCAGCATCCCCTCGCTCTCCGTGGGCTTTGGTGTCAAGCCTCGATTTACAAAAGAACACAGATCCATGCACCGTTCCAACCCTGTTTTGGAGCTCGGCACTTGGCCATGCTGTCCGCCTCTTTGGATTACGCGTCCTGGATGAGCATTGACTCTTGTTCACTGCCATTTATTTACCTGATCACGAAGCAATCTCAGGCATATTTTTCTTCGATGCTGAGTCTGAACCTGATCATACATCCTCTTTACGACACCAGCGCTTGATTTGCGTATCGACCTCAGCCAGGATTTTCAAGGGGGACAAGTGTCTCTCCTCACGTGTACGGACCATGTCTTATTCCGAGTGTTGTCAAAAGGGATCTCTCTGGGACGGGACACCCCAAGGAGAAGAGAAGACGCTCGGACCCAACAAGGCCTACATGACCGGTACCAATCCCGACGCGGCCGTCATGCTGATCCACGATGCGTTTGGATGGAAGTTTCCCAACACCAGGTTGTTGGCGGACAGCTATGCAAAGGAGGCAGACGTTACCGTGTATCTGCCTGACTTGTAAGTAATCTTCCCAATTGACCGAGGCCTCGACACTCGGTCTCCCGCCCGCGCTCCTGGTGCGATCTCTTCGGCCGGTGTGGACCGGACTTGCGCAACAACAGCGACAACACCGCACCGACACTTGTGTCCTTCTCCGTAACATCCACGGGCAGGACACCCAGGGCTGACGTCAAGGTGTGATGCGTTCGCGCGTGTGTTGTCGATACAGCTTCGGCGGCGAAAGTCTAGGCCCCTTCGAGACCATCGCCGACCCGACGCAGTGGCACAAGCTCGACCTCGCGGGCTTCATGAGCCGAAACACCAAAGACATCCGCACGCCCGAGATCTTCGAGTGCGCACGCGCCCTCCGTACGCAGCACGAGTACAAGCGCGTGGGGGCGATCGGGTTCTGTTTCGGCGGATGGGCCGTGTTCAGACTCGGTGCGAAGTCACACAACGACAACGACAACGACAACGGCGAGCCCCTCGTCGACTGCATATCGACCGGCCACCCGTCACTCCTGGAAAAGACCGAGATCGACGCCGTGGGGGTCCCGGTGCAGATCCTCGCGCCGGAGCACGACGTCATGTTCCTGCCCGAGTTGAAGGAGTACGCCAACAAGGTCATCCCGACGCTGGGCGTGGCGTACGACTACCAGTACTTTCCGGGCGTCGAGCACGGCTTTTGCACGAGGGGAGACGTCAAGATCGCAAACGGACAAGAGTACAAGGCCATGAACCGCGCCAGGGAGGCGGCCATCAGTTGGTTCAAGGTGTGGTTGCACCCAAATTGACCTTGATCTGGTTCTAGTTCTATTTCTGTTTCCATCTGGCCCTACCACACAAATATCAAGACGTGCAGTGATGCAAACGGGAGAAGGGTGAATACAATACAGTCAAGACTCGTGAAACCTGGGACTCGAGAGGCCAGCTACAGACAGCAAATATGTGACGCTGGTGAAGTTATATGGTACCAAGTGATGGGATGAAACAGATTGGATGAAACCGACGCACGCACGGCACGGCACTGCGCCTGACGGAGATTTCAATATTACTTTGAACTTGCTTTGCTCTGCTTACCATGTCAACAACCCTTGAAAATACCTGAGTTGACGCACTGCGCCCAGATTATTGTTTCTGCTACTTCTAACCTGACGTGTACGATGTGTCTGTCGTTACGTAACTCACCAGTGGCTCCAGAAAGGGAGAAAGAAAAAGAAAAAGAAAAAAAACGCAAACCTGCTGTTTGCTTCGTCCTTTGGTTGGCTTTTCTTACCTGCGTGTACACGTACGAGTACTCGATCCCGAGGTCTCTGGAGCTGACAGCTCAGGTATTTTCATCTTCAAGACGACAGGAACGGGGCCACCGTAACCCTACGCCTTGTCTTCGTTCGTCGTAACTTGTAACACTGTGGGTGACGTACGGACGCTTTTCTTCATGGCTCTCAATTTCTCAATCCTTACTTACTCTTGCTTTTCGACTCTTCTGCAACTTCCGCGGTGTAGATCGTCGGGTGGTGCCAACTCTCCCTTGTCTCACGGATTGTTCGTCGTCATCTTCGTCGGCGGAACTCGTTCGATTCGCGCTCATGATCCACTGCGACGAAGAAGCGTCAGAGTAATATCGAGACGCCTCCCGACTTGTCGAAGCAACCGTAGAAGAAACATCCAAGCGCGACGTGGACTGAAGAAGAGGCCTCCTCCTCCTCCTCCTACCTGTGACTCCCTCCCCTTGCCCTTGCACGTCGACAGGTCGAATGCCGCGACTCCTCAGTGCGTTATTGTCGTACGACGAGTCCGACGCGGCGTCAGGGGTCTGTCGATGTCGCTGTCGCTGTCTATCTTTCTTGGGAACCGTAGACTTCGTGGGCGACGGCAAAAGTCCGACCCCTTGTACGAAAGCCTTGAGCATCGACGAGATCTTCTTCAACGCCGTACGGACCTTTGACATCTTGGGCACGCCAGGTGTGGACGCCCGTGTGCGAGCATGCATGTGAGTACGATTACCGTATGTATGCTCACCGCCCTGTAAGTTTGGCGGTTGGGTGGTGCATGTGCTCCGTGGCTCAACACCAGGGTATTGATATTGAGCAGACTCCTCAGAGAGAGCAGTGGTCGCGGTAGTGGTAGTGGGGGGAGTAGTACTTACCGGCTGATAGTGGGTAGTCACCGACGATCGACCAGGCGGAGTCTTGCTCCCCTGGACCCCGGTCGATCTGCTCCGTGTTGTGGGCTCGACGATCCGCAGTGAAGCGTACTGTTGCCCTTCAAAGGATACCGGACGCGTCATTGTCTCTGAGGTTGGCGGTGGAGCCGGCAAACGCTCAACTGATCGCGAAGAACGAGACGTACCTTCTCGACTACTAAGCCCGTCGACGTGGTGTGCTGCAGCAGACGCCTTCAGCTTTGGTCTCGTGCTGCTCGACTTCCCAGTGCCGCCGCCATTGGCGTTTTGTCCACTCGATAATACGTGACCATCATCATTGTAGTACTGTGGAAAACTCTCCTTCAGCATCGACAAAGACAGGGCGACTTCCTCTCTGGTCACCCCAGGCGGTCGACGAGGCTCTCTGGTCCTGGATTCCCCTCTACTCGTACCGCCTGTCGCATCTGTTCTTGGATCGTCTGACGCCTGTTGCCGACGGAGGAAGCCAATGCCGGATTCTTGTTCGTACTTCATTGCCGTCTCGATGCCCTGTCTCGCTCTCATCCTCAGGTTATGCCGCAGGAACTCCTTTGGCTCGGCATCCTTGTGCAGCGACGGGGACTTGGTCGTCGAAATCTTTTTGTTGTTGTCGTTAAAGGCGTCAGCCGTGTCAAGGAACCGGACCTGGAATACTTTTCCCGCGTTGCCCAGTCGGCGCTGCTCCCGTAATGCTTCGCTAGTAGCCATGATAGATAACAAGTCAGCCTTGCTGCGCGTCAAGTCTTCGTCAGCCTTGATGTGGCCTGTGTGCGGGTCCATGCGAGAGACCAGCGAGTCCAAGTGCTGTCTGAGGTTGCCCGGATGGGACTGAGAGTAAGTCACTGACCGACGACGTAGAGAGTCGAGCAGCTGCGTGCGGGCATTGATTAGATCGTTGGCTGGGTCGACCAAGGCTGGAAATGGTTCATTGGCCTCGATGTTGTGGGGGTGCCAGTTGCTTGCCAGGATCGCTTGAGCAGACCGCGGCGGCGAAGGAGGATTGGGAGGCATACACGGGCCCGACGGCGTCCAGGTTTCCGTGTACAAGTTCAAAGGTTGCGATGAAAGGACTGAAGGGCAGGGAGAAGGCTGTTCAGTCACAGCTCTGACTTGAGGTTGACGATAGATGGTGAATGAGCGCAATGATGAAGCCTGTGGTGGTATCACGGCTTCTAGAGCAGTGGCACCCTTGAGGGTGTTGGGATTCTCTGCTTCAGACATGATGATAGGTCAAGTTGGGGAATATCCTGCCTATCGTTGACGAGAATCAAAGCAAGTGAAGGCCTAAAAGGAAGAAGGCTATAAGGGGCAAGTGTGAATCAGACTGGGGGATAGAGAGAGACAGAGAGAGAGCAATAAGGGTCATCTACAGATCGAATACTTCTGGTGTTCTCATAGCACTCATTGGAAGCGTCGAGATAAAGGCGATTATTTCTCGACAAAGGAGTTGGTTCTTGTCAATGTACCCGGCCATTGTTCAATGATTTGACCAAGATTCAACAAAAGCACCACTCTTTTGTTTCGATTCAATGACTTGCCGGAACCCCATAATGTCATAATTGTGAAAGAATGCTGACATGTGCATCTGCACTGACATATTCATTTGATCGCCTAGAGCCGAAACTTTGTCCCTCGTGTGGCGCATATCAGCAGATCTTTTGTCGGTTGTCATAATCTCGTAATAGTACCGTAGAAACGATCGTGCTGCTGGAAAACAATAGTAGGTCGTGATCGAGAAAGGCTGTCACTGAAGAGAGTTGTGATGGCAAAGCACCACAGTGCATGGACCTTCGCAGTTGGTCATGACCAGCTCTCGAATCCATCGTCTTGGGGAATCGAGTTGGTAAAAGAAAGCCAATATCGTAGAGCGGAAGCAGGTTGAACGTCTCCAGCCACGCTTGCAGACCAGTAAATGCCCTCCACAATCAGAGTTGATTGAGGCCGAACAGATAACCCAGTTCTCTCACTCCAAGTCTCGCAACTTCCTTCCCTGCCGACTCGTCGAGAGCCGTCTCCACCAACTGGCGCTTCTTCTCCTGCAAGGCCAAGATGCGATCTTCGACCGTAAATCCTCCAGGGGTGGGTTCTGCCTCAGAATCCTCGCCTTCTCCAATCAAGACTCGGTGAACGGTCACCTCCCGCTTCTGTCCAATTCTATAACAACGGTCTGCTGCTTGGAATTCTACAAAGGGGTTCCAGAAGGGATCAAGCATGATGACATGATTCGCGGCTGTGAGATTCAATCCTGAATTACCAGCCTGTAACTATGTTAGCTTTTAAATGCATCGGTCGAATAGCAATTTGTACTGACCTTCAGACTGACGAGGATGATGTTACAATGAGGATTGTCCGTAAACTCTAATACTGCGTTGTTGCGATCGGTTGGAGACATGCTACCATCGTAGCGCACGTAATGGCGAAAATCTTGGTGATCATGAAGGGGAACTTCAAGGAGATCCAGGAACGAAGTAAAGTTCGAGAAGATGATTGTCTTTTCGTTCTCGCCACGGTCTCTGATCTCTTCAAGTAATTGCACAGTTCGATCAATCTTTGCCGAAGTCACAAAGGTCTTCCGGAGGCGTTTGAGGTACTTCCGCTTAGCATGTTTGCTTTTGAGTCCCTCTTTGCGCAATTGTGCAAGCGATTTGAAAGCATCATGAGGCTTCGACTTATTCTTGGTCTTTGAAGACTTCTTGTCCTTGTTTGTTTTTGATCGCTTTGGTACCTTGCCTCCTGGCTTGTCATCATCGTCATACACAATGAAGCCACGAAGATCGTCACCCTCGTCTTGGTCGCTCTCGTCACTAGACTCTGAAGCGGAATCTGAGTCCGAGTCTACTTCTGGAAGAGGCTCTACGCCCTCTCGCTCGGGACAATGTACACGGTAGAAACTCATGACATCGGTGACTTTGTGGGCGTCAATGTGAGAACGACAATGCGGGCATTTCGGGCGGCCTTCAGCATCGTTGGTAGCTTGATCCACCAATTTGCTGAGACAATCGTTGCAGAGGCTGTGACCGCAGGGAAATAGAGCCGGGTTCTCATCCACGTCCATACAGATGGGACACTCAAAGGAGTCGGCATCTATCAATCGTTTCACAACGTCGGCCTTGAGTTCAATAGCGTTCGTGATGAGATCATTGGAATCGAGGTTGGCGGCCGCTTGGGTGAAATCCTTGCTTTGGGTGACAAGATGGGGATGACAAGCCGCTTGCCTCAGACGCAATAGCAGGACAAGCGCATGAGAATAGTTTCTGCCAATCGTGTTCTTCTGGATGTACTTGTTGATTTGGATCTGTGCCTTGGCCTCAAGTGCTTTGTAGAAGGTCAACTCGTCCTCATTGAAGACGACTCGTTCTTCCACGGTATGCTTGTCCGGTAGCTGTAGTATTGGCTGGCCATTGATCTTCGAGTGCTTGGTTCGCCGCAATAGGATTGCCCGGAGCAATGCTTGTAAGGTTTTCATACCCTTTTCCTTTCGACTTGCCCAGGTCATCTTGAGAGGCTGGGAAATGTCTTGTCTGAAACGTTCCCATTCATTGTAGGGACGAATACGGCAAAACTTGACTAAGCTGAACATTTCCTCCACGTTATTCTGCATAGGAGTTCCGGTGAGTGCCCACCGATGGTCTGCATTGACACGGCATGACGCTATGGCGGACTTTGTACGCGCGTTTTTGATATTTTGTGCCTCATCTAGGATGATGCGGTGGAAGTGTGAACGCTCGCCTAACACAGGACAGTCCTCGCGCGCATCAGGTATGCGCTTTACCTTTTCTTCCCAATCGAGTTTGCGTTTCAATTCTGACGACAGTAGACCATATGTGGTGAGCACAACGTCGTATGCGCGCAGCGCAGACCAGGTGGTATTTCTAGTCTGTCCATGAAGAATGAAAACGTTGAGACGATGCCGCGCCATGACCATGTTTTCTAGTTCGCGCTTCCATTGCTGCATAAGGGCTACCGGGGCCACGACGAGAGTTGGTAAATGCTTGTTGGATGGTGGTGGCCGGCTCAAGACCAAGGCGATGCTCTGTATAGTCTTGCCTAGCCCCATATCATCAGCAAGAATCCCACCCTTGTTACTACCATCTTCCATCTTTTGCATCCACGTCAGTCCGTACAGTTGGTGCGGCATCATAGTTGCGCCGAGCTCCTTTGGTTGTTGTGTTACTTGATCCGGGGTAAACTCTTCATCCGGTCTGATATGTTTCATTAGTGTCTCGATCTCCTCTTGCGTCTTCGTTGGATCGCTGTACTGATCTCGAAGATAGGAGTGTGGCATAGACGACGGAGCGCCAAAAGGTAAAGATGGCGGGTTGAAGGAATTGCTGCGGAGAGTAAAGGATTGCGAGCTGTTCAAGGACGAGGAAGCACCATTGTACGAAGTCAAGTTGTAGACCGAAGAGCCTCCAGTGCTGATAGGATGCTGCGATCCCGGGAAAGCCCCTGGCATCGCCCCAGATAGCAGAGTTGATGATGACTGGGCCCAAGCGGGATAAGGCTGTGACCGCCCGGATTCTTCTTCACTCGTTCTCTGAGGTGCCGAGAACAAAGTTCGAGTCGTCAGGGGGTCTTGCTTGTTTGGTCCTCGATATCCTGAAGGCTCGGAAGCAGTGAATACGAAGGAGTGATTTGGGCGAGTGTCTGTAGATTGCAAACCTGGAGTCGAAGCACTTCCAGACGAGTTCGACCGTCTTCCTTCGTTGGCAGCATACGCGGTGGCCGGGCGTCGATTGAGAGTACCGTCACTCGAGAGGAATTGTTGGGTGTAGTCAGCCTGCTGAGCAGTAGGAAGCGGCTCTTGGGTCGCATCTTCCTGACTCCATTGTTGAGACAGAACTCTTGCAAGCTCTGCATCCGCCTCCTCTTGTTTCTTGCGTTCTTCGAGTCGCCTCCAAAGCTGGTTGTTGCGTTCGATATCTTCCTCGGGACCAAACAGTGCACTCAACTCAGGAAGACTCTCCACACTACCAAAGGATTCTGCGGGCGAGAGGGCTGTTGTGAAGCATGAACTTGGAGTAGTCCGACGCGACTTTGAGGGATGGAGAAAGTGATCATCATCGCCAGAGACGTAGTTTCTGTGGCGCTTCCGATCGAGATGGCTGGCATTTGCTTGGGACAGTCTTGCACCACTGGCACTGTGAGCTTCTTGTGAGGACGGTCCCTGACGATTGACGGGATTCCCAACGCTATTCTTGTTCATGGTTCGCTGTAATGCACGGATTCGATTTTGCTGAGATCTGATTTCGGTACGGTGTTCTTGAACGTCTCCGTCATTCTCATCTGTCCCCATCTCTTGAAGACTGGCAATAAGGCCTTCTCTAAAGGCAATGTCGTCTTGGAGATCTTCAATTTCGGAGGTTATGGCAAGATTATTGTTGTTAGCCATGGTGGAGGCGAGGGGGGAGTCTATGGATTTAAAGGAGCGACGTTCGCAGCAATGAGGCTGACAAAGGGCGGAAGAGGCGCCCGCATGAATGAGCGGTGTTGAAAGCGTCAGGCAGAATTAAAAGGCATGGGCAAATGAGGAAGAACTAAGACAAGGCAGCGCCTTGAGGCGCAAGGTCAATGAATGAATGAGTGAAGCAGCGCAGTGAAGGAAAGTGGCGAAGTGACTGTACAAAGTCCGGGGTGGAATAAAAGAAATTTTGGTGGTCACACGTCCTGCCTGCTATCACAAAGAAGCCATTGCGAAACACTGTGCCTTGAATGGCATTGGAACATCTGCCTCTGTTGGATTCTGTTGTTCGATGCAGGTGCCTTCTCCTCCCTCAGGCATTTCACTCTCGAAGAGCCACGACTTTGACTGTTTTGAACATGACGCGTAGTGACAACGCGCTATGCACGTCTGCATGCACTGCGCTTATCCTTGCATTGGCAGGGCAATAGGCGTCAGTTAGGTGTCCCTGTGGGGTTTGGTGCGGGATGTTAGCTAAGCCTAGGCCCGCTTAGGTGCCCTTGGAAGAGCCCTGTGGGTGCTGTGGAGGGTTGGGCCACGCCTATTTCCATTACTTAGGTAAGAATGTCTACCCGCAGGGTTACTCCGTCCCCCGCCATTGGAAACATGACCTGGTGCTCATGGATGAAGCTTGATGATCGCAAGTAAACTCCTCCGTCTCGCTCCTCGCCTCGCTGATGGACGACCAAAGCCCTTCTGCGCCTACCTTGAAGCGCGTGTCAAGAGCCTGCATCTACTGTCGGGCTCGTAAAAGTCGTTGTGACCTGTGAGCTGCCACCACCAGTTTTGGTTTCACCCCTTCCCCGAGCTGGGCTGCCTGTCTGCGAATGTTTGTGACATTCTCCGGTGGACCCTGAAATGATCCTCCGCTGGCCTTGCATTTTCACTTCGCCAGCCCGGCTATTGCTTGCTTGACAATAGCCGTCAGCCGGCAACCTCAAAAATAGGGTGCTTGGGGTCCTATCGTTGACTATGATTACAGGGAAGCCTCAGGTGGACAGCCTCCGTGTGGCCGGTGTAAAAAGGAGAAGCGTGAATGTATCCTGGGCACCTCCAACCGCGGTGGCAGTCGGGTCAGGAAGAAGACCATCTCAACCACACCCTCCACAGGCCTAACCCATCCTGCTCTCACTCCTCTTCTCGACATCTCTGCAAAACCTCCGTCTCAGATCATTCCGCGGACAACCACTGGCAAGGAACATCAAGATGGCACACTAGCAGGAAACACGGCGGAAGACGACGACTCTGCGTCAACCGTCGACAGTACTTTGGGACATACCATACCAAGAAATCCATCCGATGCATGGCAGCTACTGAAGGATGTGGCCAACCGTGAGGCAGAGCATCTCCAAACATCAGCGGACCCATACAAAAACAGTGTGACGCCGAGTCAGAATGTGAGTGATGAGTCCCGGGTCGAGCCTCGCGGCTCGATCGATGGCATTCATGCAGGCATCGCGACTTATCGTCTGGTCCGAGAGGGTTACCTTGAACCAGGCATGGTACAGATGCTTGTTAGTCGCTATGCTGAGTATTACCATGCCTATCTCCCTCTGGTGCCACGGAAGTATTTTGATCCCGCGCAGTTGGATATATTTGCGGCTAACGACAAACACCTCCTGACCGCCGTTCTAACAATCTCATCAAAAGACTTGGTTGAACAACCACATATACACCTCTGCTGCTCTCGATATATGCATGATCTGATATCAGGGATCGCTGCAGGGCACGACTGTGATGTCGAAGCTGTCGAAGCGCTGCTCCTCCTCGCCGAATGGGAACCACAGGGCCTGCGAAACCGCATAGAGGCAGTTGGACGAGGCGAGGAAGACCGCAGTGCGTGGATGCATGTCGGTATTGCGCTGCGGACGGGTTACTTTCTTGGGTTGGACAGAACTGCATTTCGTCAAGAGTCTGCCGAAGAAGCCAGGATCGACGGCCGTAAACGCCTGGCTTGGGCCAACTGTTACGTCTCAGATCGTCTCATCTCTGTGCGGATTGGCAAAGCCTTCTGGTCGCGGGGCCCTGGACCTATGACTGGGTTGTCTCCTCAAGACTTTCCCTCTCTTCAGCCATTCAGTCCAGGAGATGAGGACTACGCAAAGATCATGCAAGCCACCCTTGATCTCACCCAGCTCTATTCGAACGTGCACGATGTTCTCTACTCGGGCATGAGAACAAGTGGGCAGATGATGCTCATGGGTGATTATGTCAAGTATGTGGACGACTTCCGCACGGCTCTCGCCCGTTGGAACACAACCTGGGGTAAACTGGAATGCTCGCCACAGATCAAAGTGACCCTTCAACTGTCCTATGAATACTTGTGTCTATACACCAACGCGTTTGTGTTCCAAGCGGCAATATCTCAGGCCATTGCCAACAAGCCAAAGACCGATGCCCATTCCTTGAGAGATCATCTCCGTAATGCATTTAGCAACATCGGAGCAATGCCTGATGCACGGTTTATCTGGGCCAGCGTTGCCTCGGCAAAGGCATACCTAACTCTCCTCAGTACGCAGATCGACCCCGGTAGGTATCTGCGATACATGCCGCTGCGGTATTATCTGTACTGCATATATTCAGCAGTGTTTCTGTACAAAGCGAGATCGTTCGGTGTAATGTCGGAAACAGAAGAACGACAAGTTTGGTCGCTGGTCGGTCAGGTAACGGATGTCCTCAAACGAGCCTCTGTCTCTGCGCAGGATCCGGGTTCGCGCTATGCCAGGCTACTGGAGCTGCTGTGGGTGAAGCCTCCTAAAAGTGGCGTCCGCGTACAACAGCCAGTGCAGTCCCCGGCAGCGTCTGATACTCAGCTGTCGTCAAGTGGCAGTGTCAGGGTCGATGCCCGCGGACTGCTCCAGTACAGTCCGGCCAACGACTTCTCATGGCTCGATCTCGAGGCGGTGGGTGACTACGTTTCGGGAGATCAGTTATCGGGCAATGGGTCACATCTTCTAGCCCCCATGGCCGGCTTCGACCCTCCCTCGTTTGTTGCTCAAAATCCAGGGATGCAATGGCAGCAGCTGGGCAACAACGCAAACTGGGACTGGAGTGGCAATTTATTCTTTTAGGACAGACAAGCATGGCAAGCTGTTTCCAAACCACATCACAGGAATGCCGGGCCTGTTGACTGAGGAACTGTAACAAGTGCCTCACCAGCCTGGCCAGCTCGGAGTCAAAATGCCTCCGCGGGATCAGTCTCGGCGACCATCAATAGCCGACCGATTGCCGCACTCCACTCAAGAACCCAGAAGCGATTCCCCGCATCGCCTCCGACGCGGCGCAGAGTCCGAAGCCGTGAGCACGAAGTTGGTGATTCTCTTATTAGGCCCGGAGGGCCTCAGGTAAGGCGTCGCATGTAGCGCAGCGATTGTCCTAACCGCAGTCTCATCCCACTCCACGAAGGAGTCATAACCTGCGCTCCTCGACGACGTCTGCAATGTCCGTCGACAATGAGCTCAAGGGGCGAGTAGCGTTGATCACTGGTGCCTCTGGAGGGTAAGTCGGCCTCAGCATGCAGAGGGAAACATGGCTAAATCACATACAGCATCGGTTCAGCGTGTGCCCGAGACCTCTATCGACAAGGCTGCCATCTGGCCTTGACATACTCCAAGAACAAGGCGAGCGTTGACACTCTACTTGCGGAGCTCCAAGCGTCCTCATCAGATCCAAGAATCTCCACGCATCAGGTGGACATGGCGTCTGCAGAGCAGATGGAGAATCTTTATGCAGAGATCGAGACAGAGCACGGTCATGGCCCTGATATTTTGGTGGCCAATGCCGGATATGGGAAAAGAATACCACAAATTGGGGATATCACATATGAAGAGTTTGACTACACCATCCAAATCAACCTGCGAGCACCATTTATCCTTGCTAAGCTGGCTGTGCCGCATATGGCGGCGCAGAAATGGGGACGCATCATTATGATCTCGTCCATCAGCGGGTACGGCGGTGGCATCAATGGGTGCCACTACGCCAGTTCCAAAGCAGGCCTGATGGGCATGGTAAAGAATCTAGCACTTAAGCTTGGTCAGGATGGCATTACTGTCAACGACGTGGCACCTGCAATGATCGGCGAGACTGGCATGATTCCCAATGCTGAATTCCTCCAAGGAACTCCTGGAGATGTTCGGAACATCCCCGTGGGCAGGTTGGGCACTCCGCAAGAATGCGCCAACGTGGTGACAATGTTGTGCAAAACTGGATACTTGACTGGACAGAGTATCATTCTGTCGGGAGGACTGAAATAGAAATGCTATCGTCATCTCTTAAAGTTGGCTGATATGCGTCGTACTGCCCTTGACAGAATTGCGAGGAGCTGCGATACCGGGTTGTGCGAAATGACCTGCTCGCGAGACTCACCCTCCTGGTCACTTTCTTCTCACTCTTCGACTCACGCTCTCACTTGGGTAAGACAATTACTTGAGAATATGATATGTGGCTAGGCTACCACATGAGGAACCTGACTCGAGTCTGCCACATGTGCATAGTACATAAATATACAGTAATATCACAGACAGTGCCGCCCATCAACACTGCCTGCTCCCGACTTTTTTTTGATAAGCTTCCCTCTCTCGACTGTCGCATTTCCACGCTCAGTCATGGCCGAACTGTGTGAACCAAAGGCCTTTGCTTTGTCCGCTTTGAGACGAGGCAGAGGGTCCAACTCAGCCTACGACTATACATTTCCAGCAAGACCTCTCTTGTGTCGACGAATATGGCCCTGTTGAATAAATAACCCCCGCTGAAGCGAGGCTGCACGAGGCTGAGGGTTGACTTGGCTTTGCTGTATGATGTCAGGTACATATCTTCCACCTACACAAGACTCATTTCTCCTCACTTCATCACCGCCGACAGTGTTCCTTATCACCGCTCCCTCCGCATACCGCGCGTTAGGGTTCTCCAGACGGTCAACTGTTCACTCTAATGTTAATGCCTAATTAAGCTTCAGTGGTCTTCGCAACCCCAACCGTGCCTCACCGCCCGGCGTCCCATTAGCGCTCGAGTCCTACGCATCATTCACGAAGAAGACTACCACTCGAGATGGACTCTTCCGCAGGTCCCATCTCTGAGCGCTTCATGGAGCTTACACAGAATCCTCACCATCGGAGCGTTGATGTCCATCAACCAATGACTACGTCGAAACTCCTCCATGGCGAGGCGAAGACATCTGCGATCCCGAACGACGACATGGTCTCCCGGCACCGAACTCCGTCAATGTTCGATACCGAGAGTCAGTCCCCCATCCACGTCTCTGCCTCCGACCCCCTCGATCTCTCTCGCCGACTGAAGTCCAGGTCCGAGCTTGACCACATCACGGCCAACACAGCGCGAAAACGCAACACCTGCAACCCTTTGGTCATCACAGGCCGCATCCCACAGTCGAAGATTGCAGAATTTTATGAGTCCCAGAACGAACAGATACAACGGCTGCTAAAACCGGTTGACGAGCACGTCCGGGAAGCAAGAGATGTGCAGAGCGCAACGAACCTGCGATACCAAATCGCGGTGTACGGGAGCTTCGTGGCCAATATAATCTTGGCCGTGCTACAGCTTTATGGCGCCATATCTTCCGGATCTTTGTCTCTCTTCACCACCATGGCCGACGCCGTGTTTGACCCCCTGTCCAATATCACCTTGATACTCTCGAACAAAGCGGTGAAGAAGGTCGATGCCCGAAAGTTCCCTGCGGGGAGGTCGCGCATCGAAACGGCCGGCAACATTGTCTTCTGCTTCCTGATGACCTCTGTCAGTTTCATCCTGATTGCCTTTTCCGTCCAAGAACTCGTCCGTGGCCACCAGAGCGAAACTAAGAATTTCCACCTGCCTTCGGTCATTGCGGTCACGGTGGCGTTTTGCACGAAACTGGCCTTGTTCTTGTACTGCTGGGCGCTCCGCAACCAGTACTCCCAGATTCGCATTCTGTGGGAAGATCACCGAAACGATCTGTTCATCAACGGCTTTGGTGTCCTCACCTCTGTGGGTGGCAGCAAGTTGCGCTGGTGGCTAGATCCGGCCGGTGCCATTGTACTCTCAGTCCTCATCTCGGTCCTATGGCTGCACACTGCTTATTCCGAGTTTCAGTTGTTGATCGGCATCACGGCCGATACAGAGACACAGCAGTTGATCACGTATGTGAGCATGACTCACAGCGACCGCATCAGACAGATTGACACGGTGAGGGCATGGCACTCGGGCCCACGGCTCGTCGTCGAGGTCGATGTGGTCATGGACCCTGAAGAGACCCTCCGTGTCTGCCATGACATCGCCGAGGAGTTGCAGATGAAGCTTGAAAGGCTGCCTGACGTGGAGCGAGCATACGTCCACATTGATTTTGAAACGGACCATCGTCCGGAACATTTTCTGAAGAAGGAACTTTGAGTTACATTCACAAATCCTGGTCGGTCGGTCGGTCGGTCAGTCAGTCAGCCAACCCTCGTACTGTCACGGAAACAGTATGGCCTGTGAAGAGATCGGTCAAGAGAGGTGGGTGTTATCGACCAGATATAAATGTCCATACTGAGTGGGCAGCCTTGCGTTCTCATGCGTAACCACTCACATCATGGTTGCGCAGACATAACTTCGAAGTTATTGCGAAGCAAGTCGACTCTCCCCTTGCGTGTCGTCCCAGCTTCACCATACAATAATATGCCTATTTACACAGCCACAGCAGCAGTTACCGCCGGTTGCACACGGCATCCAACAACAGGGTATTACGGACGGGCGTATTGCACCGGTGTACTGGGTTATGCGCTGGTCTGTATCACGCCCTGTCATGATGACCGAGGTAGCATCCGTGCTCCAAGAGTGGCACTACATTGTACTTCCGTACCCAAAGATTGTTTATCAAAGATGTTGCAATGGGTGGACATGGACACGCACCACAATTTTCCCGAGCTAGAAAATGAGTAACGACTTGACCATGGGTTTCTCTTATTATAGGTGGCCCTGGTGGATCACCGATCGTTGTCTCGCTGTACAATGACCAGCTCCAGCTCCAGCACCAGCCATCGTCAGGCTCCCTCCTCTGACTCGACGACCCGAAAGTCTCATATATACAATACGCACATACAGACTCGAAACAATTTGTATCAGTGGTCCTACGTACCTCATCAGCATGACGTTCGGTATGATGAGAAGCGAGAGCCTTCCAGGTGTCCCTCTTTCGTGTGTTCAGTGAGAAGAGAGAATCCATGGCCAGCCTTCTTAGACTGCCTTGTTTTATGGGTCGAAGCATACATAGGTCGAGAGACATTACGCCGTCAGTTTTAAGAGTATGTATTGGTTGAGAACAGCGGTGCTATATCCAGCCTTCGTAAGCGTGTGTTGTATATGCAGAAACTATCAAACATCGTTTTCAACGGGCATTCTGACCAGACAGGACAGAAGCCCACCTGGTTCAGAGGAGACGAGCAATATCATCATCATTCATACTCGACTCTCTTTGGCCGCCCTTCCCATTCTGATGACGACTCGCCTTGCCCCCGAACATTACTGAGCATTACTTCTCTCTCTCTCTCTCCGCTCTCGAACGTGACACGTTCGAATTGTTCAATGTTGTTCCGTATACGTGTTCTGTCTCTGCAACCATCCGCAAGTCAGCGTAGAAAAGAACTTCTGGTGTTCTGAACAGTTCTATTACCATTGATCTCATTCCTCATTACCTTCACTTCGTCAGATGTCTCATGATTTAGAATGAACGACGAGGACGGGGCTTTTCGCCAACCGGCTATGTATTCCAGCAACGGCGGTACTGGTAACCCTACCAACATGGTAGTACAGGTAACGTACGAAGCACCCTTTGCTTGATCGAGGTCGGAAACATAACAAAAAGCTTTTGCTTCCATACTCAACGCTTGCCGCTCGACCCTCGCAAGCAACACAGTCAGGCTACTCGTCAGTCGGTCGGACATGGACATGGACATATAGTACATGGTCCTTGACCTGGAAATGGTGTCGCAGCACATTGCATAGGGGTACCAACTAGGTAGAGTCTAGCCCCTCATACGGTGCCTTGTCGGCTGCGCAAATGCCACGAATGAGGTGGTCGAGGCAGTGACATGGTGGGTTGGGAATCGGAACGGAGGTGTCGCGGCGATGACGACGACGGCGACGCAAGGCTGAAGCCTTCTTCAGCATCACTGACAACGACCGAAGGCCGCCGGTTACCTCTGCCCCGAACGAGCACCTCGGGCTCGGTGGGCGACACGGGAGGCAAGCTGTCTCTGGTTCTGGCGTGGTGTATCGATGGTGGCACTTGCAGGCTGTCTGTTGTGCCACGCCGGAGAGGTGCGCCTGACGACGTCGTCGACGACCTTTGTCCGCCGCCGCCGCTGTGATTGGTGCTATTGTTTGTAATCGTTGTGCCAGTCTCGAGCCGGGACAGCTGTGCGTCACGTCTCGACTGTACGCTGGCACTTCTTGACCGCGGTTGATCATTCGCGCTGCTGGAGAGGTCCCTTGAGCGTCGGTATTGATCTACCGTCTCGCGCAAGGCAGGGTTCTTGTACTTCTCCCCGGGATACTGGATCCACTTCTCTTTCGCCTGTCGGAACTTTTTGTTCTCAAACGTGTCTTCGGCGGCGGTGCCGATGAAGTCGACCAGCTTGATCATGGCTCGCGTCCCTCGTCTTCGCCAGTCCGAGAGAACTCGCATGGCTTTCCGACCTCGAGATCGCCCTCTAGTCCAATTGGTATCGCGTGCCACGACTCGACCGCAATTGGGGCAACGGTCATTGTCGCCAGCGGATGTGGGATTCGCCGGCGCCGACGCCGGCGCAGGTGTAGTCGGCTCGTCATTACCACCATCGACATGCTGCACAGACGGGTTCGTCTTTTCTTGGTCCCTCCTGTCCTCTGCTTCCTTCTTCTCCTGCTTTCGTTTCTCTTGTTCTCTCTTTTCAAAAACGATGTCCTTCGCGAGAAGCACATATACTGAGCCAACCAACGCCAGGCCCGTTCCGACAATGGGTGCCCATTGGCCTATAAGACAGAAAGCCATCAGTAAATCTCCAGAGCTCCGTGAGAGTGCTACTACACTTACCTATACTCGCTATGGGCTCAGTCTGGTACGCAACCTGCTCACTGAAGAAATTCCACTCCCCAATGATAAGGATTGAGAGGATCGCCGCTCCAAATATGGGAGTGGCCACGAAATTGCGAGTCCGTCGATTCCCGGCACTTTCAGGCTCATGATTGCCGCAGGTGCAGAACAAGTCTGTGCCCTCAGGCTCGTGATCCTCCCGAGTCTGTTGTTGTTCATTCGTGTCTCCGTGAGACAAGCGAACCTGTTCCTGCTGATCGTGGTTATCGTCAGGTTCAAGTGACTCTTGATCCTCAACACCGACGTCCGTCCTGTCTTTGAGGCGTTTTGACTCCAAGGCGTTGGCCTCACGAATCTTGTTCCAGTTAGAGATGATGAGGAGGAGGGCGGGTACACAGCAGGCGGCAGCAAGGAGAGTGGCAGCGTTGAAGGTTAGCTTGTCTGGAGCCGGGATCACATAGATGTTGTTTGCAGAGCCGCGTCGCATGGGAGAGAAAGGACCCTGGTCGACTGAGCATATGAGTCCACAGGTATCATTGCCATATTGAAAATCTCGAGCATTGATCGGGGTCAGGATGCCCGTGTCGTTGCGGGTGCAACGTGTTGATTTCGTTCGGAAGAACTCCACGGTCAGGCTTAGTAGTCCTGGTCTAGACGTCAGCAAATGCCAGCCAGGTGTTCAGCAGCATGACAAGCAGATCCGCATACTCACCGGCGAGGATCAGTGCTGTCCACAGGATAATTATACTACTCCCTGCCTGTTCAAAATAGCTTCGAGATAGCATGACCGTGACCGGAGCGAGGAGAATGCCGATGGAGCAAACCTGGAAAGCTCCATATACATCCATATCGACAGCGCCTGGTTATCGTTCAGTGTCTTGTTTGAGCCTCTAGTAGAAGACGTACCGTTGACATGGACAGCGGCAATGACAATGCCATGAAGAGCAGCAACGGCGGGGAACAGCAAAGCAGCCGCCAAACAAGCTGCTCTCAACCACTCGACTTCCCTACCGAAGAAACAGGCACTGATAAGGGCGTAGAAACTGATGATCGCATGAGCAGGAATGGCTGGGTGGCAGACAGGACTGAACGTACAGGAACCTTGTGCCAGGGCCATACTGGCCTGACACTGGCCACGCACACACAACTTTCACGGCATGGCTACTGAGATTCGTTGCCGTCACGCTTCGATCCAGTAGGATGTCTGTGGGAAAAGCTGACGGCAGAACGGGCATGGTCTTTCACGAGGCTTCGAAGACCATCGCTGGAGTGATGGAAACAACGACCTCTGGGGGAGAGTGCAGAGTGTATGGTATAATATGACCTTCCAGAAAGTGAGCAGGCCCTCTTTCGGGACAGCGTTTCCGTACCTCGACCTTGTCCATCACACACCAATCGTCTGGAGAGCACAAAGGGACCTTTCGTCCCAGTCGCTGATGGCCTGACTCGTCACTTGCGGAAAGTGGTCGTGTGCCCCCTGCTGGACCCTCCCCGTTATCACGAACGAACCTTGCCTCGAGCGATCAAACAAGGCTATCGCTCGTTGACGGCTTCAGGCTGAGGCTCCCGTGCACGTTCTCGTGATATGGACGGGAACTTTGGCTCGAGCGTCCTATTCCACCTGCTCAAGACGGCCATGTGGCACGCTACGGACGACGGCACGGTGCATTCCTAGCCTTGCCTTCCGCTACACCCACGAGGTCGTTCTGTGATGCTCAACAATTCTTCTACGAGGCGTTGGCCGCCAATTTGATCGCTCCGACATCTACAAAGGTGTGATTCTAATTCTTCACGATCCCGGCAATCGAAATCGAAGAGAGAACGCAACGCACTCCGCTCCCTAGCCACGGCATCAAATGGAGGGCAGCCTTCTGGTCCAGACATACGGACAAAGTACTTGTATGGCATCATCGGTCGCCTGGTCTCGATAATATTTACTCACCCGGGTTCCAGAGGCTTAAAAATGGGGGCAGCAGAACACAGTGCCAGCCTGAGTTTGTCAAGTGGGATCTAGCCTACAGTTTGGGCCAGAAATGAGGCGGCTCATCTGGAGTACGGACTCTAGCTAACCAGGGGGTGCCCTGCACTCTACCTTATCTGGAGCGTTGCTGTGATTGCTTTTTGTGATGGTGTTACTACAGACCCGTCGATCTATGGAATCACGCAGCATCTCAGCCGCAGAGTGACGAACCACCCGACGTTCGGGCCACTGTGGGACCAAATATGAACGCGAACAAGTCCTGGTACCCCCCGGGGAGCTGCTCTCCTCACCCAACTCTCAGTGGGGACGAGGCGTCCAATTCTTTTCCTAGAATGCTACGGCTGAGCATCCCTACACCGGTCAATGCCTCCAGCCACTTTGCAAACGCTTGGTCACACCAACATCAGCTGCAAATGCGGGAATTGGGTGCTAATGCAGCCTTTTCACGCCTTGCATGTCCGCGGGACGATTACTCGTCAGAGACGATCACCTGGGTCCAGCATTAACCCCCGGATAATTACGAGGGCAGTGCCAGCGTGATATTGAGGGGCAGTCTGCTCTGCATTACCGTCATTGCAGGAAGAACTCGGCGAGATGGCTGATCTCAAAGAGGATTGGTAGCAGTGGCAGTGCATGGTGACAATCATTCAGTCTGTTACTGAAGTACTGCTCTCATACGGCCTACCTCAGGCATCCGAATGAAATCCTCTCACACTTGAAGCAATACTGCTGATTCTGCCGCATTGATGTCTGCTTGAGAAGACAGGTAGAAGTGACAGTCGAGGTCACCTCTGGGGAGCATGCAATGGCAGAAGGTCTAGATACTGGGCAGATCAAAGACTGGCGGTCAATAGTGACCCTGATCATTTTTTTCCTGACAAGTAGGTTATTTGGCCCTCTAGATCCGGGAACCTTCTCTCGAGATTGACTGTTCTTCATGGCATAGATCTCACGGTGCTGTTCCCATTCAGAGTGTCGCTGTTCTTTCCCACGCGGGTTTGGCATGGTATCCTGCATCTGTTGAGAACCTTGCGCATAGTCTCGCCTCGACGCCGGCACCTTGAGTATGGCAACATCAATGACAGTACCGGCAAAGTCAAACCTTTTATGCGCTTTCAGTTCCCCATGAACTATGTGACGGCACCTCTGCTGGCTGACCTCTTTTTACTTGCTATCTCCGCCATTGGTCGTCAAGAGGTTCACGATGGAACGGTTGGGGCCGATAATATCTCCCCCATCGACATAATGGCCTTCTTCTTGACCCTGGCTTACATTGCCGTCTCTATCGACGCCTCCGGTTTGATCAGGTGGTTGGCATTGAAAGCGCTTGAAAAGGGCGGAGAGAATGGACACGCACTGTACTTCTACCTTTATGCCTTCTTCTTTTGCCTGGGGAGTTTTATCGGCAATGACCCGATCATCTTGTCCGGCACAGCATTTTTGGCATATATGACCCGAGTGTCGGACAACATTCATACCGCGAGAGCATGGATCCACGCTCAGTTCACCGTCGCAAATGTTGTCTCGGCCATACTGGTCTCTTCCAACCCGACCAATCTTGTCCTCGCCGGAGCCTTCGACATCAAGTTCATCCACTACACTGCCAACATGATTGTCCCTGTCACAGTCACTGGCATCGTCTTGTTTCCCTTTTTGCTATACGTTGTCTTTTCTGGAAAGGACGACGTAGAGAAGAGAGACTTCATCCCGTCCTCGATCAAACCCAAGTCTTTGCCGGATGCCATCATGAAGCTCAAGCCTGGAAATCCAAACATTACTCACGTCAAGGGTGGCGGAGAAGAGGAAAAGGACAAAAAGGCCAACAACGAAAAGGGTAAAATGCGCATGGCTGAAGAAATTATGAATCCATACATTGACGAGAAGAGCGCGGCGTTCGGAGCCATCTTGATGTCTGTGACGCTTGTTACCATCCTGGTACTCAACGCCGTCAGCCAAACCACAGGCACGCATCCGGTATATTGGGTCACTGTCCCGGCAGCATTCGTCATGTGCTGCTGGGACGCCTTTTATGGTCTATCTCAATTGCCCAAGTGGCGGCGGGATTTTGAGGAATATCAGGAGAAGCGTGATAGGATTGAACAAGCAGAATTACAAAGACTGGCAGAGGAGCAGACACCATCAAGCCAGATTGCCGAGTCGAAGGCAAAGCACGACCACGGCGGCAATGGATCTCGCAGCTCCGCGTTGTCCGAGGAGGATGAGCTCGTGGGAGGTACAAGGCACGCTGCCATGATTGACAAAGATCGGGTATCGCATGTCGAGAGCCCTTCGTCGTCGCCAAACTTGAGATCTGCAACTTTTCCTATCGCCATGGCCCGGGTCAATGGGTCCCTCTCGAGAACCACGAATGAAAAAATTTACGACGAACACTTTGCACATGGCGCTCTCTCTTCACCGACCACCAACGGAAAACCGGTCATGGGGACAAGTTCGACGGCGAACGAGAAAGAGGAAAGGTCGAGCGACGACATGTCTGAAGAGTTCACCACTCGCCCGATTTCCGGTCCGACGACGTTCGAAAGTCTTTTCAAACAAACTCTTGGATGGTTGCAGTCGAAATTTCCAACTGTGACAGTGGTAGCCGCTCACCTGCCGTTTGCACTTGTACCGTTCGCACTATCTATGTTCGTCCTCGTGCAAGGGCTCGTTACGAGGGGCTGGGTCCCGGTATTCGCATACGGCTGGGACCATTGGGTGAACAAGACTGGGACCGTGGGTGCCGTTGGCGGCATGGGATTTCTGTCCGTCGTATTATGCAATGTAAGTAAACCCTCTCCCTCTTTCTCTCTCCAGAAACCACCAAACCCCAGGACGATGGGAAAAGAACATCCCTGACATCCGTCATGTTCCTCTAGTTCGCAGGGACGAATATTGGCAGTGCCATCCTTCTTTCTCGTGTGGTTCAAGCGTGGCAGGAAATCCATCGCCAGAATGGGATTCCGATCTCAGACCGAACATTTTGGGCCACGGTTTACAGCATGGCGATCGGAGTCAATTACGGTGCGTTCAGCGCCGTCTTCAGTGCCTCCCTTGCTGGGTTGCTGTGGAGGGATATCCTGGAACGCAAGTACATCGAGGTCAAGCGCCTGGAATTTGCAAAAGTCAATCTACCCATCATCTCGGTGGCGATGGCCATAGGCTGTGCCATTCTCGTTGCGGAAGTTTACATCGTTAGAGATGACTCTCCATACGACAGATGAGCGCGGAATCCACAGCACGGACTGGACGTGCTCTCACGGCGCAACCCTGTCGAACCTCAAGGTCTCTGTACGATGCCGATATACAAGAGGTTGTTGATTAGGTTTCATGAGTGTGTAGAGTTTCTGGTGGGTCGGGGCCCTTGCCATAACGACCTTTATAGCGAGGAAAAGTAAACGGGCAAGGACGCTGATGCCGACGTGTCGTAAAGGAGAACGCGCTGGTCATCCCAGTAGCATCGCAACGAGCGAGGACGGCACTGTTTCCCGGTAAAGATCAGTCCTGACGATAGAATGGATGGGCTCAATTCGACACCGTCGTAAAGTACCGCATGGATTAGAGTTGGTGGCCTGTCTCCACAAAGGGAGTGTCAAGGATAGCGATCGATATAGCTGCTCCCGAGCACTGGGCGAGCCGCAGAGGGCTTATCTCATGTCCGTTCTCAAAAGCGACCTCGGGCTGGGGTGGTCCATCCACCTATGACTCAAAACGTACGTCCGGAGGAGCCGTCAAGAGGTGATTGTCATCGCTGAAGTCGGATTTCTACCGCTTGCTGACTGCTGAGCAACCGTGCATCCTTCATGACCTGGCTTTTGTGCGTTTCTGGCAGCGAGGTCATATCTAGTTGGACATGGTATAGAAATGATGGCGGACACTGAACAGCAGTTGTCCTTTCGCTACCAAGAGGACGACGGCTCTGAAAAAAAACAAAGGGGGGGGGGGGCGGAATGGAGTGGACGGTACCAACCCAATGGAAATTGATTGACCGACCTGGTTACAGCGTGCGCATGCCGCTACGTGCAGACTATTGTGCTTAAGGGAGAGTCAATGAAAATGGATAGGATGTCTGGTATGCGACATGTTGGCTGATCTTACGAGGATCGTCATAGGAAGGGGCATTGGATTCCCCAGCACCGAATTTAGAACGAAACGTCCCGCGCATCGATGGCCCAACTACCATGTGCTGCTTGGAGTAGATGCAGACAACTGGTTTCGGTGTCGACGACCGACTCCTCCAAGCCAACCAGGCTGCGACACTCTTTGCATGTGCCGGTGGAAAGGCTGATGGGCTGAGACGTGATCGCAGCGGTGGCGTTCGTAGCTCCTCGCATTGGACGTGATCGAGAGACACCTGCTTTGCGCCCTGCTTATCCTTTCAGCCTGACGGTGGTTTCGACGATGGCGGCTACAAGAGGCATGAAATTCGTTCCAGTTTCACCCCGGAGCCCACAATCCAGAGAACGACCTTCTTGTGCTTGGTGACGAGAAGCTCCCGCAAGATGTTTGGAGAAACACACTTCATCCGTTCCATCACAGTCCTAAAGCTCGCCTATCCGCTGTATAATCATCTGGCGACTCCTTTAGAGCTCTACTACAATGTAGGCGAACAAAGCATCTTCACCCATCCCCAGGAAAAGCCATATCCAGCAGCCGTGGACATCGATACTGAATTCCGCATTGAACTATCCCTTCCTGCTGACATCCCTCCGGGCAGCTCGTGGAAGTTGATGGCGAACTGGAGGAACGGCGCAACCGTGTTCGAAACCCTCTGTACAGTTCCCACCGCTCAGCCCGGGGAAGACATCGACGACGGGCCTCGTCCTCTCTCAGTTAAGATTGTTCTGAAACAGCTCATACTCGACGGAAAGGCAAAACCTCTACCTTGGGCATTGACCGAGGTGCTTTATTGGAAACTTGAACCTCTGACTCCTTCACCACCTCGAGCAATCTCATTCTCCACGTGGTCAACGCGCGATGAGACATCTATCCCGACCAGGCTCTATACATCTATCCCGATCGAGCTCTATGTCTTTCCGTCCAACTTACCGGAGTTCTTCCATAAAGGGGGGATTCCTCTCAAATTGCTCCGACTGCCTGCTTACTTGCCAAAATGGATGAGAGTATCGTCGTGGGAACAATATAAGCCATATGGACCACCACAAGCTCCGAGGCATGATGTTTCTCGCAATGTGGACTTGAACTGGGCAAGTTTTGTCGTCAACGCGATGTTCTCTGAATCCCGTCTCTGCTACGAGAATTGGAATGGAACATATCGCTACCTCTCATTTGGAGCTTCGTCGATCCGAGACCTCTTTTCCAAGAACCGCGGGTTCGATTGCTGGTTAGATCTGTGGCTGTATGAAATAAGCGGCTACTTCACAACTCAAGATATTTCAGTCAACTGCTACGATCTTGCCGCTCTGTGCCAGATCATTGTTGCGCTAGGTGTTGACACTCAACAACAAGACCTTCGGATGAAATACATGCAACCGTTCGGCTACATTCGGCCAACCTTTTTGATCGGCAGATTCGAAGCCCAGCCAAATCCAGACAACCCTGGCAGTCTTTGCAACAATCCGTTCTACGGAGACCCGAACCGGGCCCCAGCGATGTTATGCGACCACAATCTTCTCAACCGGTCACGCTTTGGTAATCACATGTTTTTGAGCCTTGGTCAAGTGATGGCCATACCCAACGTTCTGGACGCATGCTGTGGGCCTCAACTCGGTGCTGTTTCTCTGCTCGACTACCCACAGGCTGTCGTAGACACGACAACACCATTGTGTGCCTTGAACGGATCTTCACCGGGCACGATTGCCGACATCACGGACGGGCCGGGCGTCGGAGCACTGGTCATTGCTCGCCCCTTTCACTGGCAAGACCAGACAGCACCACAGGCAGACACGGTGTTTGGCGACGTTGCCGCTGCGTTGAACGACAAAGGCAACTGGAGAGAGCCGCTCATGATGGTTCCGGCCGATGCTCGGAGCGTGACGGCAAAAATGTACTGTCAGAAACTCGTTGAGGTGAATAGCGAAGGGAAAATCACCATGGACACTATCACGGTTGAGGTGTCTCGGTACACCAATCCCTATGCCTTGATACAAGACTACAACCTCCGCGTAGTCCATTTTCCAGCATGGACACAGAGTGCGGTCGGAGGCCACGAGGCTCCAGGTACGGGACTCAGCGTCAGTGGAAGCCTCCGGATGTTTGCAGACGACAAGAATTTATACCTCGCCACCATTGAGTCGATCAGCAACAAGAGTCCAGATACGGCTGCATTGAAATTGCAACTCGAAAAGACTCTTGGCAACGCCTTCGCCAAGTTCGACTCCAAGAGGCAGAGAATCATGTCGGTCAGTACCCAGCCGGCAGACATGCCGCAAGCTGTGGGAACCAAGCTCACGGTCAGCTTGCAAGTATGCCAAGATTTCCCCTTCCATCTCCATTGTTCCAGACTGACGATGAGGCAGGTATCAAGTACCGGAGATCGATATTGGAAAGGCTACGGCGTGAGACTCGCCCGCAGCGTGAGTAAAAGCCCGACAGACACGAATGCCCACGATTGACTTTGGCGACAGAACGTGCTTTTTGTCCGAGCGACCTCAAGAGCTGGTGTGATAGACTTTGAGTTTCTAGCTCGCACGCCTGGGTACGACACAGCTGTGATTACCATCTATGGCGGCTATTTCGAGACGGATGGCAAGACGGTCAATTTCTGGATCCGTTGAGAGGGATGAATGAATGAATGAATGAACGACAAAACCTGAGAGGGTTGGATCGACGTGTGAGCGAGATCTCGGCGTGAAAAGATCAGAACTCAGAACCCTCCATCTGATCGTAACGCCGAAGCTTAGGATATCCGTAGCCGCGCTTCTTTGGTCTGTCCGGGAGGCAACCAAGGAGAAGCCTGCGCGCGAGGCTGGAAGGTCAGTTAAAATAACAATCCACGATTTTTGCTACGGCTCGTTAGTTCATACCATGCCGACAGTGAGCCTTGGGTATTTCGTCCATCCGCTGAAGAAGAATGGGTATAGAGGAGGCGCATTCGAACTACACCGTTACGTGTTTCTGAGAAAGAATATCAAGTTGAGCTGAAATGGGTCTGGCGTGGTCCAGATTTACCACACAGTACTCCCATCCGACCGTCGGAGCCGTAAATACATACCGTGAAATTGAACGCGACAGTGCCAGAGAGAGAGAGAGAAGGACCCACGTCGAGAATGCCTGTTGTTGAGACTTTGCCTGCAAGAGATATTGTACCTGTGAAAGGGACGCGCCTCAGCTCACACCATCCGATCGGTTGACCATGTCCATAAAAGGTACCGCCGTCGCTCACCTGGTGCTTTCCCACCGACTCCGGTTATACTTGTGGTATGTACATACGATATAGTAATCAAAATAATCCAGCTAGCGGCGGCTCTGGCATCGTCGTCAACACACGTCACGATCAACTGTACGCGAAGATACGAAAACTCCTGCTCCTTGAGTTCAGGTAGAGGGGTCTCATTACTGAACTAACCAACTACTGTTGTAGCTACCTACAACTAACCGGTAGGCTCGAGGGCTCTGTAATTGGGAGGCGGGATGCAGTAACTTAGCTCTCCAAGCTCGGCCCCTGCGCGAAGGTTTCAAGCTTCTTTCGGCTGGCCGTGTGAGGGCGGCTTGGTTGTACTATCTGTATAACGAAAGCGACGGTGAGAAGTGTAATGTGTAAGCGAATACGATGCGCTGGACCAATGACCACCGACAAGAGGTCCTTTTTGCTGCGGCCATTCCGGACGAGGAGCTTGACGCCTGTCATACGTCCGGACGGACTTGAAACCAAAACGACAGGGCCATGGAGCCGCGTCGTGAATTGATGGAATTCTATATTACGGAGGACTAACAACACTAGTTAGTTAGTTACAAGTGGTAGTACGAGTAGGGTGTTAGGAGGCGGCACGATGTTGAGGGGTTGCTGTGGGCGCGGCCTCCGGGGTACTAAGTTACCGTACTTATTCACGGGGAAAACGCCCCCCCCCCCCCCCCGAATAGGTACCGTAGGGGGCTAGAGTGCGATAATTCTGTGCCAACGGTTCAAAGATATTAGGAGCTAATGGTAGATAGAAGACTCACACCCGAGATGCACTTACAAACTAGTCAGTCAGTCAATCTTAACAAGAAGAGCAGAAAGAAGAGACAGTGAGAGACAGACGACTTGGCGATGAACGTGTTGAACTCTGACACAAGGGCGCTCCCCCTGTAGTGAAGGCTTATCCGGGGGGTAGGAGAGGGCCTAAAGTGCTCAGGGGTAAGTGGCCATAAGGGGTGGGGTTATACTGTGGTTACAGGCGGTGCTAGGGAGGCTCATACGGTTATAGGCACCCATGTGGCGCCTAAACACGTCGATAGGCAGGAGAAAGGCGACTCTTATGTATAAAGGTGGGACGACGGTTGTTGGTCAGGAAGGTAACCCGAAGGCTGTTGCGTTGGGCACGTGTCGGCGTTCGGACTAATTGTCTGGGCGCCGCCGCACTAGCACGAGAAGGGACTCTTGTGCCGAAATCCTCCTCAGAGTCACGTGTCGGATCCGAAATCCGCCAGCAGAAGTTTCTTTCGAGGTCCCAAACTAGCCACAGCCCAGGCTCGCACCCTCTTCCTCCCGAGCACACGATGCATCAGTCACGGCTCTACCGCTCATAGCTACGAATCTACGACGGGGTGGTTTGGCACTGATCCCAGGTCTGCGGGCGGACGAGCACTGTCCATCCCTGCTATGGAGCTGAAGCGCGATGACATGTGTCTGAAAATCAGTTGACAGCCTGAGATCCCTTGTAAGATTGTCACGCCGCTAGCCAGGGGCGGAGGAAGAATCGCGCTATTTTGCTCTCACCCTCTCGCCCTTGGTGCTTTGCTGTGGTCTGCGGGTACGATTACGGAGTACTGTTATCTGCTCGATCCAACTCGCGTACCTGATCACTCTTGAGGTGCAGAATAAGGGCCGGGCCCGGTATCACTCTCCAGCACAAATGTGGATGGCGATGGTGCGCCGTTCAGGGTCGACAGGACCGACAGGGACAGACAGCGGCCTCGGTGACTTGACTCTTCATACAAGTCGAGGATCAATGCTGATCCTCCCTGCAAAATCTCACCACCAGGGTTTTGTATGGCAGGGCGACTTGTCAAAACTTTCCTGACGATCAAAACGAAGGGCACTCTGGTCTGTGAGCGTTTTGACATGGACAGCGAAAAGCCCCCTTTTCAAACCGGTGTGGTTGCAATTATTGGTGAGTCTCCTTCAAATTGTACCTTTGCAGCAATCGTTCACTGTCCCTTTTTCCCATGCCGGGTGCCTCTGGTTCTCTCTCGGTCCCAGGTCAGAACATCGTCGCCCATCTCTCCGGGTCCCGACACTGCTAGTTTCGAGCCACCCAGCACTACCTCTGTTCTGGAACTGTGTCTGACTGCGTTCCGAACGTCGCGGCTGCGCCCTCGTTCTCGTCCTTGGTACTGAACTTCTAAGAATTCATCACTCAAAGGGTGATATCATCCCATCCCACGATGGCTGTTCTGGGATTCAAGGATGAACTACCAGGGGATGACGAGCGACACCTGTCCCAGCAGTACCCTTTATTGAACGGCGATCTTGACGATGATGAGTTTGGCCAGCAGGTTCCAAACAGCCGAAGGCGGAATGTTGTTCTTGCCAAAGTGTCTGCGGTCCTTGCCTTCGTCCAATCGTACCTACCACTACCACGATCAATTCCAGAAAGCCCGTCACCCACAGCAGAAAGCAAGGCCATCTCGATACTATGGGCCGCCTGGGTAGCCGTCCGTCCCACCATCCTCTCGCGCACAACGACTCGGAGTCGCAAAGTCCACCCAACAGCCTGGCTCGATGGCCTCCGTGGCATCGCATGTTTCACTGTCGTCTTCTACCACAACTCCCTCCTACTGTACCCAGGCCACTGTGCAGCATGGGTCAGTTCGGATTCACACATCTTCCGCCTTCCCATCCTCCGCCTGCCCTGCACAGGTCCGGCGATGGTGGACATTTTCTTCGTGATATCTGGTTACGCACTGAGCTGTCGGCCATTGTCACTCATACGGACATCCGACTTCACTCGATTTTCCGAGTCTCTCTCCTCGGCGGTGTTCCGACGCGCCATACGACTCTACGCCCCGGTCGTTTTCTTGACTTTCCTCAATGCCATGCTGAGCTACTACAAGCTCTTCGACCCTGCGGGCGCAGACCACGTCCCGTACGACAGCACCATGACTAGGACCTTGTGGCACTGGCTAGACGACCTGTTGACGGGTTTGAACCCCCTCAACCTCGACAGATACCACTCCTGGAATATCAAGGGCCTACGATACGCCATCGGCATGTGGACCATCCCCTTTGAGTATCGCGGGTCTATCATCGTGTTCGTGGTGCTACTGGCGCTCGGCAGAACCCGCCCAGCACTACGATTCTGCATCCTGACGTCCCTCGTACTCTTCTGTCTCGCCCAAGGACAGTGGGACGCGTTTTTGTTTCTCTCAGGCCCTATCTGCTGCGAACTCCACCACTATCTTGAACAGCGACCGCCGCCACAGACGGCCACATCTGCCAGCGGCGGGGACGGCGGTAACATTCTGCTGAGCGAAAAGGCATCCGCGCGCAACAACACGCTGGGAGTGATGATCAAACGCGTCGCCCTGGTTCTGGGCCTGCTCGCCATCATGGCCGTCGTCACCATGCCCGAGTACCCTCACATGGGCGACGTGCAGCTCTACAGCACCATCAAGTCCTTCGACCCCAGCAGCTGGAACAACCTCCCCAGCGTCGGCCGCCTCCCGGTCTGCGTCGCGTCGGTGGTCCTCGTCTTCTACGCGGGCCGGTCCCAGATGTTCCGGAACATCCTGTCGGCGCCCTTCCCTCAGTACCTCGGCGAGAACTCGTTCGGCATCTACCTCATGCACGTCACCCTGATCAACAGCATAGGCCGACCGTTGATGCGGGCGCTTTCCAAGGTCCCCGTGCACCTCGGTCTCGGGAAAGTTGGATGGTCAGGCCAGGTCGGCTCGTGGCTGGTTTTTTTCCTGTACGCTGCCATCGCCATCCCGACCCTGTTCTGGATCAGCGAACTGGTCACGCGCCACGTCGACAAGAAGAGCGTGCAGTTGGCGAGGTGGCTCGAGCAAAAGTGTCTAAAGAAGAACGTGTGATGTGATGTGGTGTGATCTGGTCTGATGTGTTTTTCCGAATCTTATTCATCATTGGTCTGTATGGAACAAATGAATACGCAGCTGCTGGCTTATTTTACCTATCCATCTCTATACCTCCCCATATACACACAATCTGGTTAAGAGCGCCATTCGTTGGCTTTTGGTACTCCGCAGAAGAATATTGATTGATTCCACCACCGCCGTATTGGACTTTTGTCACGTACAATGAAGACTGGTTGGAATATTTCTGGTAACAATTTACTGTACAGTGATTATGTTGTGTGTACAAGTACATTTCTTTCTCTCTCTCTCTCTCTCTCTGTGTGTGTGTGTGTGTGTGTGTGTGTGTGTGTGTGGACATGTGAGCAGACAGAACTCCCAACTGGGGATTCCTTTTTTTCCCCCTTGCCCTACCTACCTACAGAAAGATTTAAGCTCCCGGCCCCTTGTTCAACGATGTATACAGTCCCTGACCAACTTGACCACCTTGTAGTCAAGTAACTACCTCTGGTACATGCAGACGTACATAGAATACGAGATTACTCAACATACGTTGATCTTTTCCATGCTTGTCTGTGATAGCGGTAAGAGACGTCGACGCAAGCAGAGGCACAGGCCTCCAAAAGAGGAACTGGTACAGGTAGCGCCACAGCCAGAGCCAGAGCCAGAGCCAGCAGAGACCGATGCTGTACTCGTACTCGTACCGTGCCGTGGTGTATCAATTTCTTCTTTTGTCCGAGTTCCAACGGAAATAACACAAATAGATAGAACTACACACACTCTCTCTCTCTTTCATTTTGTTTTCGTTTTCTTTCTTGCCAAACGTGTGAGGCATAGTCCCCCCTTTTAGAGAAACACACACACACACACTCACTCACTCACTCACTCACTCAACTCAAACAGAGAGACAGAGGGACCGAGGGACACACAGAGATGGTCAAGCGGCAAACTTTGCTTTTGCACAATCTCACCCACGTCTGTGCAACACTCACTACGACAACAAACTCAATTCCAGTTGCACCCAATAATCCCGTGCTTGTCTTTCTTTGTACATGCATCAATCGTGTCACTTCCTGACCGAGACCAAGACCAAGACCAAGAACGATGTGCGATGCTTTTGCCCACCCTCCCCGTCCCCCAGAAATGCAGATGCAGATGTAGATGCAACGCCAAAGTCAATTCAAAAAAAAAAGAAAAACACTGCCAACTGAAACCTAACACGGTGACTAAATTTGTCTCTGTCGTTACTTCGTTGCATCGCATATGTCCAACCCCCAGGCCAAATGCCCAGAGAAAATAGGCCAAGGTTTCTGCGCTCGACGGCGTGCGTGTGCGAGATGGTAGGATCGTGGTCAGGTGCAGCAGCGATGCTCGGATTTCGATTTCGACTCCGTTACGACCCACTAATTTGTCGACCTCGCTTGCCAAAACGGGTGCTCGATTCATTCAGGCCTTGTCATGTCGACCAGAGGCAAGAAGCCACCACCGTCCACAAGACCCAACGTAGCCATAACCACCCCCAAACCGTGCCATCATACCCCATAATGTCATGTCGTAAGGTTTTGCTGCATCGACACTCCGCCCCTCCCAACGCACAAAAAGGAGACATCATCAACCCAACTGAAAAGTGTCAAATCTCAATCTCCATCACTCCAGCAAGACAAAGCCGCGGATCAAATAGACTAGTCACCCTTGCGGAGAAATCTAGAGACAAGATGTCAAGATCGGACACTAGCCTCGCTGATGCTGAAATTGCATGCCTTGCTGCTGCTGCTGTTGCTGCTGCTGATGTTGCTGTTGCGCCATCATTTGTTGAGCGTGCTGCATTTGCATCTGTTGCATCTGCTGAGCTTGATGCTGCTGCAAGGCTGCAGCCATGTTGGGGTTCACATTCATTCCCATACCCCCGCCATTCATGTTCATTCCCCCACCACCTTGTTGAGCTTGTTGCCTCATTTGAGCCTGCTGCATCTGAACCTGGCTCATCTCAGCCTGACGTTTGCGCACGGCAGTCAGAGCCGCCTGTTTGGCTTGAGCTTGCACCTGTTGCAATTCCGCAGGTTGAAGCATATTCGTATTGCCGCCATATTTGGAAGCGGCTTGGCCGAGGAAGCGTTGCGTATATGCATTGAGGGTTGTCTGATAGAATTGTTGGAGCTGTGGATTGATCTGTGGTCGCTGTTGTGGAGGGCCGTTGCCACCCATCATTTGGTTCTGCGCTTGGGCCTGGGCAGCCATCATTCGTTGCTGTTGTTGAGCCTGCGCCATTTGTGCAGCTTGTTGTTGAGGGGTCATCTGATTTTGAGCTGGTGAGCTTTGGGAATGTGGTTGCTGAAGGCTCTGCATCTGCGCCTTGACATGCTCGACAACGGACTGGTTGTACGCTTTCTGGCTCTGCGCAGACACTGGTGACATGTGCTGGCTTTGTGGAGTGCCCTGCTGCATAGCTTGCTGCTGTGCTTGTTGACGCTGCATGGCAGCCTGGCGGTCCATTTGTGCGTGATGTTGAGCTTGCATATGCGCCATCTGCGCTTGAGCCATCTGGGGAGTCCCATTGATCATTTGTTGGTGCATGGCGGCCTGTTGTGCTGCAGCCTGCTGTTGCATTGCATGGCGTCGTTGCATTTCTGCGAGCTGTTGAGGATTAGGTTGTCTCTGGACACCATTCATCATTTGGCCTTGCATGCCTTGGATCATTCCATTTGGCAACATTTGAGGTGTAGGCGCCGCCATGCTGCTGTGGGGGCTTGCCTGGCTGATGTGCTGACCTGGGGTACCTTGGCGTATGATTGGCGTGGCAATTCCACCAGCAGGCGTGCCATGTGCCAATTGTGGTGTGCCGTTGCGACTAGGAGCTTGGCCACTGCCAACTCTCGCCATTGGAGCGGTGGGATGAGCATGTTGAACCGCAGAACCGGGTCGAGCTGGTGAACCATGACCTTGCTGAGAGCCAGACATTGCCATTGGAAGCCCACCTTGTGCAGGAGCACTCGTGACTACCGGTGAGGAAGCAGCATGTGGAGTACCTTGTCTGAGTATTGGCGAGCCACGTGGTTGTTGCGCAGCCATTATCTGGTTTTGCATATTCGGAGGTATGCCATTCATTTGCTGCGAAGGGGGTCTTTGGTTCGTTTGAGCTGTTGTCTGCTGTTGCGCTGCCAACGCTGCTTGCATTTCTTGCTGCCGAGCACGGATGACTCTAGCCTCCTGTGCTCGCTGCATCATTATGCGTTTCTTCTCCTCCTCTTGCAGACGTTCTTGCTGGCCTCTCCTGTTCTCATCTTCCTGCAATTGTCGATCTTTCTCACGTTGCTTACGCTCTGCAATTTCTCTCTTGATGTTGTCTAGCGCGTTGAACTTCTCGAAGCGTGGTTGGAACAGGGCCGCGGCAGCTTGACCATCAACAGCACCCGTATTCGGTGCACCAGATGCACCGGATGTGCGCTCATCCATAACCAGCATGAATCTCTCCTGTTCCTTGGCATGTGCGTCTTCGGCCGCGAGTTCTGCGACTGTTCGCTTCCGGCTTTTTGGTGAAGGAGGACGCGCATCATGGTAAGGATCTTTGAGCATTTCCATCAGCGTCTCTGCCTCTTCCAGGCTTTCAACGGCTTCCAAGTACAGGGGCGGGGCAGTGGCGTTGACCACCCGAGCTTCATAATCCACAAGATCTTTAGGGTCGATCTTTAATTTCAGCCTCTTGTGCGGCGGACCCTTTTCGGTGGTTGGCGTCGCAGGGACTCCGGAGATCGGGGTCTGTGGAACTGCTGATCCCGGCGCTCGATTGCTCGAGTTCACTTGTGACTGTTTTCGATTGACAGATTTTGGATCAGGGGTCATAGCATCAATAACCAGATCCATATGCTTTGAGAGGATGGTTGGCCGCAAAGCAACGTGATATATCTTGGGCTTTGGCTTCGTTGTCTTCGGGGCGACATCAATAGTATCGTCGGAGTTTAGAGTTTCTTTGAGGTCGCCTGATATGGAGTCCTGGTGTTCTGGCTTTGTTGGGGGTGATCGGGCCACCGACTGCTCTTTCGTTGGATATGGCACGTAGGGGGATGGAGTGATGAAATGGTTATAATTGTGGATGCTGAAAGGCTTCTCGTCTCCGACAGAGGCATCGTTGGCGGCTGCGTCTTTTGCGACAGATTTGTAGTCGAGCACCCGTACTATAAGCCAACCGTCATAGTATTTGACCTCCGACTTCCGAAACTCTTCCACCATATCATGCGGTATTGTACCTTTGGCCAGGTGCTCGATGAAGACGCGCATCTCGGAGTGGTAACTGAAGCTTCCTTCTTGTTGATCGAAGCGGAAGTGGGTTGGGTGCAGATGGACAATGAGGGACGGTGGACAACCTTTGAACTTCCGTAGAATATGAGATTCCTTGGGAACTACAGCAAGGGCACGTGTCAGTCTAAATGGCACATAGTATCTTACGGGCAGGAAGCATACCATATGGCTCAGGGAATTTCTTGGTGCCTCGTTTGTCTGAACCGGTAGCGTCTGTCGTGCTATTTCTCGTGTTGAGTCGTTGTAGTCTACGATTTGGCCTCGCGGTACCATTCACTCCGGCACCAGTGCTGGATGCAGAAGTAGGAGTTTGGCCTTGACCGGGGAGCGTCTTCCGGGCGCCGCTCGGGGAGGATGAGGGCGCAGCGGGCTTTGTCCCGTTCGTGTTCGTCTGGAGGGTCGGTGCAGGCGGCTTCTTCATCTTGGTGGCGGTGCCCGTGGCCTTCGTCGCGACGGCGGCCATTGTGAGCGTGATTATTGATCGATATGGATTCCAGGCTCTTGGATGTGTCACAACAGCGCTTCAAAAGCTGTATAAGCCTGTAAAGGTTTCCGGCCAGTTTGCGACGGTACTGGCAACACGCGCATCATGAGGGGCACGTCGAGGCGTCGCAGGCAATGTTGAGGGCATGGACTGTTGATTTTGCTATTCTGCCAAGTGTTTAAAGACGTGAATTGTTGCCAGACCGAGGGCCATGTAGGAGTCGATGCTTGTCGGATGGATATCGTTGTCTGATGGTCGGTCGTACGTCGTCGCTCATGCGCGAGATCGGGGTATGATTAAGGATGCGCGGCCTTGGCACCGATCTCGACATCACGTGATTATATCTCTGCCTCACTCCTACACCGGACATCTTCGATTCACGCAGACCCTTGGACGGCTTCCAACATGCCCTCAGAGTTGCTGGCTCAATTTTAGATCTGTTATTACGTACAGATCTCCTCAAATGAGTGTTATACCCGTAGGCCAAGCACAGTGAGGAACAATTTCGATACTCCGTAAATTCACCATCAACGAATCTGAAGCACTATTTATGTCAAGCCCATTATCCCCATGGTATTCTGGCCCTACGACTGTTCATGGGCGAAGCTGAGTTCTATCGACACTTTGGCCCTTGTTGTGTGTTGAGGTACACCTCTCTCTCTCTCGCGAGGCTGAGATCCACAGGGGAATGCTTCTGGGCCAATCAACACGGCCGGATCCCGACCCTACGTCCGGGGGAAGCATGGTACGATGGAAGCCCAGGTTACATTGTCGGAGACTGACAAAGGGAGCCAGGCTAAAGACCTGCGACGATTATCATGGTCCCTTGGAAACTTTTGCAATGATATATCCTACTGATTGTCCTAGTGATTGCATATATGACTCAACTGGCGCCATAGCGATGCCTGGTACGCGGTTCATGAGCAGGTGTGCTGCTATCGCGTAGGTTTATCCGTACGGAGTATAGAAGTATCGTAACCGACGGTGAGGCGCAAGCCTTGGGTATCATGTCAACTGAATCTTCATACGCTAAGCAGTAGGTAAACTATCCACGTTGCACCTTTGGGCCTCCGTGAACAATACGCAATTCCTCGACATTACATTCGTCAATCACTTCAGTCTCGATCATTGATTCGCCTTTGCCAGTCCTCCCCTATCTTCAGACTCTCAACAACCCCAACACGCTTCCCAAGTCCAGTCCTCTCCTCCTTTTGCCACCACGTCTCAGGCCTATGCGTGACCGACTCATCGTCAGTGTCCACTAACCCCCCTTGGCCTCCCTCATCACCAATGACGACAACAGTTTGGCGCACCCAACCTGAAAGCTCCGACACAATTTCGCCATCAGCTCCGCAGAGAGATTCTTGGATGTATACAAGTTCTGGCGCGAGGCTTCGTAAGATGTGTTTGTGTCCTCTCGATGAAGTGAATGGGAGGATCATTGTCTCCCTGTCCACTATTGTGAGAGCTTGGTCGCGAAGAATCTTATACGCGGATGTTCCATCTTCAACTGGCTTGGGATCAACATGTGCTAGAATACCGTCATCTGGCGTTCCTGAAGGAAAGTCTCCAGGCGTGTGGGCTGGGGTATGCGCTTCGGCCTGGCTAATGTTTGAGAAGGACGATGTCATTGATTGTGATGGTATTCTGTTGCCAAGTGGATGCGCCTTCAGTTCAGGAGCATATATCAGAACGAAAACCCTGGTTGTGTCGGGATCGACATATTCAGGCAGATATGACAGAATGGACTTGCTCCCGTTAGTTTGTGTAGGAAAGAGATTCGTCGTTGGGAGAGACTTACAGCGTGATCCACATCACCATCAGATCCCAGACCGGCCGCAGATACAACAACAGCAACAGCTTTTCTCTTTTGACGAGCAATGGACGACTCTCTTGGGATGTCGACCTTGCCGGAGAAGAACTCGTCGGCTGTTCCCCGGCGTTTAATTCCCTGCTTAACATCCTGTGCGCTTTCGCGTTGTTCGACTTCTTCACTCCATCGCTCGTGATCTTCGTAACCTTCACCACCGTCACCTCTGATTGAGCTAATGGCAGCACCGACCATAGCGCCAGCAGCTGCGACTCCAGAAGCGAATGGCTTGTTGGTCCAGTCATAAGGCTGTTGAACCGGATCCCCTCGTGTCAATGACTGCGACGGGGTTGTCGACCGACCAAAGCCAAGTGCGCTTGACATCCTGGCCACGAATCCAGTCTCTTCTTGTTGCTCTTCCACTGTTGGCCTGGAAGCGTAATATTCCCCGCGAGCTTCACGATAGCCTTCAGGTCCTGGACCTTGGACTCCAGGAGGCGGTGGAGGGCCTTGGAAGCCGCCGGGTTGGTTTGGACCTGGCATCATCGGCGGACCCTGAAAGCCTTCTGGTCCGGGACCTGGGGGCCCTTGATAGCCACCTGGTGGTGGTGGTCCAGCAGGTAGTGCGCCACTCATGCTTGCATATCCTGGAGGTGGCACTCCTCCCGGGTAGTGTTCCTCCTCGCTCGACTCTTCTTCATCATCGCGCCGCTCACTCCATACCCAAGCGGCAACTCCTATGGCGGCAGCTGTTACAGTGACGACCAAGGGCACCCAGTAGCCAAATGTTGACCTGTGTCCAGAGTGGCCGTAACCGCTGTTCGTTGTTCTGCGCCTGCGTTCGGTGACAGTATATTGGTAGGACATGTTGCGTTCACTATCGCATAAGCGCGGGACTATAGATGCATGGAGGCAGGCTGGTCAACGTTCTGGAGTCGATGGTATGTAGACCTGCGTATGATCGACGGTCCTTTGTTTACTTCGTCAAGCCGAGGCTTACCTGCCGGTGTCTCGTTGTGCTGGAAGAAGCGCAGCTTTCTTCGAGTAAATGGGAAAACCTGAGCTCTGTACAGAGGGCAGTCAATGCGCAATCGATAAGAAGTGAAGAGAACGAGAGAGGGACGAGCGCTGTGAGAAGGGTGGTTGTGTGTCGAATCGAATCCGTGTGGCTGGTTCCTTGACCTTCCCAGCCTGCGGTCGCAGCAACGTAATTCCCCACATCTCACCAGACAAATTGTTGTCAACACCAACATCCAACACCTTGATGACCACACACTTGAAGGGGTGTTTTCTGCTTAGCCCTGAAGACTCGTGGAGATGGCAGACTCTTCCGTACGTCGGCGTCTACCCAACAGCCAAACTTCGCCGGGGCGGGCCAGCTCTCCCGAGGACAATGACCTCGAAGATCAAACGTCTCGAGTGATCTCCATTCTCGATGTCCTTCGAGTTCTAATAACTCTTATTGGCGTTTCCTGCGCGTTGTCATACTACCTAACTTCTGGCACTTCCTTTACTTGGAACTACCAACCCTGGTTCACGAACCATGCACAGCTCAGACAATGGTGGAGAGGACCACTTCAACTGACGCCTGATGAGCTGGCGTTGTACAACGGCTCAGATCCTAAGAAGCCGATCTATCTCGCCATTAATGGCACAATCTTCGATGTGACAGAGGGCAGACGGACCTATGGTCCTGGCGGAAGCTATGAAGTATTCGCCGGGAGAGACGCAACGAGAGCATTCGTCACCGGATGTTTCCTCGAAGATCGAACGGGTGATCTGAGAGGAGCAGAAGAAATCTACATCCCCATAGAAGACCCCGACGAAGACATCTCGAGCGGAGCGCGAAAAACAAGAGCGGAGAAGGAGAGAAGGAATGCAAAGAAACGAGTTCTGCAAGAAGTGAGCAAGTGGGAGGCCTTCTACAAGAACCACAAGAAATACTTCGAAGTGGGAAAGCTGGTTGGTGTGCCAGAATACACAGGCGAACCCCCAAAGTTGTGCGAGCCGGCTGAAAAAGGACGACCCAAGAGGAAGAAGGGGAGCCAAGCAGATAATGCACCAGGAAAACCAGTACAGTAGTCAAGCGCGAGACGAAACGAGGTGGCGTTGATTTTTACTGGGAACAAAACGTGATAGACAACATTGACATCAATTCCTCCGGGCACGAAGACAACCGCGGCAAATGATCTAGAATTGGGTTCGCGGGCCCCTCGGGACAATCGCAACCAGGGTCTGAAAATTGCTGACCAGTCCTCCGTGAATGTAGGAGATTTGCATTATGCCTGTCTCAGTTCTCATCCGTGGCCATCCTCGACCACAATTGGACCTTCCCAGATGCATGTTCGTGACCATCATACAGGCGCCATCGAGATCTGAGATCTATTCGGCATTGATGCCTTGCAAAGACTGAATCGTTTTTTTTTTCCTTTGTCGCCTTGCTTCGTCCATCCTAGTGTTATTTAGTCGCTGCCGGCAGCCGCTCTCGTGTAGATGCCACCGGTGTGGTGTGCCACAACCTTGCGAATAACACCTCGTTCCTCGAGATCGGCGAGCGCCTTTCGTGCTAGCGAGCCATTGATCTTCAGTCTGTCAACGAGAACAGCGACGGTGATGAGTCGGTATGATTGAACGTCCTTGTTGAGCTTGTCGGAGGTGGCTTTGTCCAAGACAACGGCGTGGTTGGCCTTGTCCTTGACTGCAGACGAGTAGAACGATCAGTTCATGATTCAGGAGAACGCGGATTCTTCATATCCAGACAGTTGCGAGGGTAAACATAGATGCGCAGTTTCGAAACATACCCTTTCCCTTGGACCACTTCTTCTTTTGCTTCTTGCCGCCTGATGATGCTGCGGGCGCCTGATACCGTCAGCTACGAGTTCTCTATGAGACGACCAGCGGGCTCGGAGATAATCATACCATTTTTGCGATGTTGTCTTGACGGATGATAGGGGATGGAAAGACTCGACGTTCAATGTTGAAGAGGTGCAGGTCAGGTAGACATTGTGTGCGGGTCGGCTTGGCACGGTGTGAAAACTGCGGTGGGGACTTTTGTGGTGCGCCAAAGTCAGTGCGAAGGAAAGCGAGGATACGCAGGCACCGGAAGAAGTCAATGAGCACAAAAGTCTATAAGTTATGATTTTTTGTTTTCTGGCAGAAGACGGATTTATTGAATTGACAGGCTCTGCCTCAGCATCTATTTGGCTGCTTATCCAAGCTTTGTGACAAGCTGGAAAATTCGAGTGAACTTTTGAATCTCATTCAGTTGGATATCATTCCCACGCTCATGCCATCATGAAGAAAACATCAGGAGACGCAATGCCTAGTAAAAGAAGCCAATAACCTTTCCTGCGACGTGCTTTCTTCTGGCCTCTTCGTGGTCCATGATACCGGCGCTGGTGGTCAGGACGATGTATCCGAATTGACGAGATGGCAATAGCTTGACAACCCACTTCTCGAGATCTCGGAGCTGAACGTTGTAGCGAGGGGAGATGACACCAGTCTTGTTCAGGCGGCCGTTAAGCTGGATGACAATCTTCCCGCTGCGGTGGTCGTCAACCTCCTCGAATTCACCGATGTAGCCTGTGCGAAGCTTGTCAGTAGGAGTTGAGAAATAGTATGTTGCGATCGAATAAACATGTAACCAACACAGAGAGAAAGAAAGCAAATGTGTAAGATCGACCGCCGAGATCTCAATCTCTCGGGTACTTAAAGGGCAAAGGTTGTTGAGCAAACTTAAACCACCGCCTAGTTATCAACCCGAATGCCACCAATGCAGTCCTCCTCTTTCTTGTCTAATCGCAACGGGGAGCGAGGGCAAACGTACCATGCTTCTGCATGACAGACAAGAACTTGATGATGACCTTAGAGCTGGGTCGGATCAGAACTTGACGCTTGCCGGCCTTTTCGGCATTGTTGATGCTCTTGAGAGCGTCGTTGAGAACGGAGGTCTTGACCATTTTGGCGGCGCGAACTGAGATTCTCAAGTCAGGAGGAACGAGGACTTGAGGTGTCTGCCAACCACTGTGTTAGTCTTCAGAAGCCTCGAGCGGGAAGAGTGCCCATTCAAGGGTTCTTCAGCTCGTGTCGCAAAAGATGAGCGTATCCTGACTGCCCATCCGGAAATGCTACAATCCAGACGGGCAGTCCGATTGCTCATCTAAGGCCAGCTGAAGAGCGCATGAAGGTCAGACATACCTCTAGGAGATGTGGTGGGTTGGACGATGTGAACTGTCGTTGTCGATGTGAAAGTCGGATTTTCGAGATTTGAGACTGCGGTTGAACCGTCTAGTTTGGGGGCTTTCGTGTGGCCAAGAGTTTTCTCACGCCAATCCTACTTAGGCATAGCGCATCTACCACTTTCATGTCCAATGGGCGTTCAGAAGACTTTCAGCCTTGTCTGGCCTTGAGCTTCCCAGGACGAGCATGCTGATTGTCACTAACACTGGGATGCATTTTGTAGAATGACCGTTGAAAGCGAACTGATACAGTCAATTACCACACTAACAATAACTGGAGATATTTACATCGGCTAAGCTCGTAAATGTAGAAGCCTACGTGATGATAGCGATCTCTGCTTTACGAGCACAGAGAGACTGATCAGCAGTACACAACATACCGTCGTGTTTGAAGGCCAACCTAATCTGTAGCGATGATGCTTCTGTTGAAACCTCGGAGTACGGCCTCCATTCACTGCTGCTTCACCATGGAATCGGGAGGCGGTGAACTTGTTCCATCTGCGGCAACTGTTGAAGTAAATTATGATGCAACGTCTTCGAATGGCGGGCGATTCCACAACACCACGAGCTCTTCTCTCCAACGCGATCGAATAAATGCGCATGGGACTGGCAGATATGTCGCTATTACCTCCACCTGGTGTTTACAGAAGAGGCCGGTATTCTGACTCGGTCTATCTGTGCGGTGGCTCATCAGCAAAAAGCTTTTCTGGGCGTCTCCTCGAGGAACATCGTATAAGTGAGGCTCACATCAGAAACTTCGTCTGGTGGTCAAATTCATCTTTGTTTCACAAACTGAACAAGCTGCCGCTCGCGAGCTCGCACTTGCCAGGAGGTTATGAGACAGAATCGCAATTGGCCTTGCCTGAAGAAAAGGAGGAATACGGTACATTGGACTACAATCCCCTGTCTTCATCGGCCGAGGAAGCCATGTCTCGAGATCGCGTCGTACACGAGGTCGAACCGACGGTAGAAATGAAGAAGGACCCTTCGCGCCCAGACTTCAATCTGCCCTCAAAATTGGATACGCCAGGTAAGATCCCAGATCCAGATTGTTAGATTGCAGGTATTAAAACCGAACAGATGGACGAAGTACAGATGGACGAAGTGCAGATATCCTGCACAAGCAGAACGATTCGGACAGAGTCTGTCATCGATGCAGCACGGCTTGTGCGGATCTGACGTACATCATTCAACATGAGAACAACCTTGCGAGCATGACCGACGACGTTGGAAATGACATGCAAAAAGTCCCGCCGAATACAGGCTGCCTCTGCCTCGATTGCATCCAGCTCATGATGGAAAGAAAGCCCGCGTGTGAAAATAAGCAAGAGATATCCCCTTACAACATGGATGGAGCTTGTGAGAGGGAAAAGATCCTAGAAGCGGCTGAAAAGCTTCACCCTCCCTTAACGGAGAAGGAAATCTTCTTCAACTACTTGCCAGAGGCCCCAACACTTGAGCCAGGTGAAGGGTCGAACTCTGTAAAAGGCGTCCGGCTCCGGCGTCAGAAACAGTACGAGATTGTCCGGATTCAACAGCAACTCGAAGAAATGGACCATGCCCATATCGTGCAATCATTGTACCGTGAGGACAGTGAAGCAGATGACAGCCAATCAGAGGATGGCAAACCCGACCTCCGCCTTGTGCCTCCAGTGCCCTATGAGCCTTACAGGCACAGGTACAGGAAGCAAGGGTTGGAGTGGAAAAACCGCCTGGACCATTTAAGAGAGCAGGAGACTGAGCCGCAGACTGAGGAAGAGACTGGCCAGAGTTCCGAATGTGATGGCGAAAGTGATCCTGAGTCTGGTGCGAACAAGCTGATCCCCAGCGAGGAGATAAGACCTACCTGCTGGTGCCTTCAGACCCTCTACCACGAGAAAATGATTCGCTGCAGTTCGGTCGCGTGCCCTTATGGATTTATACACCTTCGTTGCTCGGATCTTGAGGAGTTACCCAAACCTATTGAAGAGTATGTTTGTCCGCGTTGCACGAAATGCGCTTTTGAGGGGGCGGGATCAACTCTCGAGGAAGGATCCATAAGTCGAAGCTCTACTGTTGGCTCTATTGTTGGCACTCCTAGGGGTTATGAAGCGAGCATTAGTACCAACGAACAGTCATCTGATGATGAAGGGCTTGATCAAGACGATGCTGAGAACGACGACCATGTGCCGCAAGTCTCTGGTTGGGTTGCTGTCAATATGTGAAAGATGGACTGCCCTGTTGTAAGCATAGTCGGACGAAACCCAGGCTCATGGATGGTGACGGATGTTGCAATGACAGAACTTGGGAATTTGGATCATATCAGGATTAATGTACTATAACAAACGGTGCTTGAATCAGCTTTGGATCTGAATCAGACCGTGAATACGATCAGTCGCCGCCTTATGCAATTGCGATCCCAGGGCTGAAGCCTACCAATCGCCGCTTATGTGATTGCGATTGCGCCAAGCCGAAACAGGCGCCAAATTCAAACTGCGTTCGTCTTGTCCGCCTCATGCTACATTTTCTAATCGTACTAGATCGTGATAAAACTTATTGGTGCCGGACAAACCGACCATATCCTCTTTGTCTCGTGCTCAAAGTCTTTGACCATAGACAACAGAGCCACTGCATCTCAGGCTGAAGGAACGCTTTCGTGAGAAGCAGCACAGTCCGACAATTTCATTGCAAGGGTTTGCATACGCACCCTTTGCTTCATTACCCGACTCTGACAGCTCAAGTGACTCTTTCTTTCAGCACAATAACATTTTCGAGCAAGCCGCCGACTATTGTTCAATATGTCAGGAATCGATGTCGAAGCTCTTCTCGAGTCCACAGCTACTCCCGACGTAAAAGACTCTCCTCGAGACAATGAAGACCGCCACCGAACCGAACGCAACGAGCGCCGTGACAAGGACAAGTCCCGTGATGGCTCACGAGACCGTGATAGGGACCGCGACCGAAAAAGACGGGATCGAAGCCGAGAACACCGTAGAGATCGAGATCGAGATAGAGACAGAGATGATGACATAAAAAGCCCCAGAAGCGAACACGGCTCTGCTAATGGCAGTCATAGGAGCAGGAGGAGGAGCCGAAGTCGCGAAGATGACAGAAGACGCTCCAGACGCGACGATGGTCATCATCGTCGGCGATCGAGATCTCCAGAATATGATCGCTACTACCGGCCAGAAGGACGATCACGCCGTGATGACGATGAGCGCCGAGATCGTGACAAGGGTGACAGAGACCGTCGTCGCTCTCAAAGTCCCAAGAAGAGTCTGAAGAGCAAGACACCAGAACCACAACTTACTGAGGATGAGCGTGACAGGAGAACTGTTTTCGTACAACAACTTGCCGCTCGACTTCGAACCAAAGAGTTGATTCAATTTTTTGAAAAGGTTGGCCCGGTCAAAGAAGCGCAGATTGTTAAGGATCGCGTCAGCGGACGTTCCAAAGGGTAGGTTTGACGTCGCATTCCACTCAGCTTTTTCGTCGTACTAACAAATTTTAAGTGTTGGCTATGTTGAGTTCAAAGATGAAGATTCGGTACCCCTCGCCATTCAGATGACTGGACAGAAACTACTCGGGATTCCCATTATTGCTCAACTCACTGAAGCAGAAAAGAATCGCCAAGCTCGCAACCCCGAGGCCAGCAGTAGCAACCATAATTCCGTCCCATTCCACCGCCTTTATGTTGGAAATATTCACTTCAGCATAACTGAGCAGGATTTACAGAACGTCTTCGAACCTTTCGGTGAGCTCGAGTTCGTGCAACTCCAAAAAGATGATACGGGTCGCAGTCGTGGATATGGCTTCGTACAGTAAGTTCGTCGATCATTGCTACGCACAGGTGCTGACACTCACAGATTTCGTGATCCCAACCAAGCTCGTGAGGCTCTCGAGAAGATGAATGGCTTTGATCTTGCAGGTCGCCCGATCCGTGTGGGTCTAGGCAACGACAAGTTCACCCCCGAATCGACGGCCAATCTGCTTCAGCGCTTCCAGGGACAAAACCAGACTGGCTATCAAGGCTCTGCTTTCTCTGGATCTGGTGGACGAGGTGCTCACGCTGGCGGCTCTGGCGGAACCTTCGATCGCGCGGGTGGCCGCGACAATGACAAAGGTACTGGCGGCGCGAGCGCTTTGGACGATACAGACGTTGCCGGTGTGAACTTCAACAACTATAGCAGAGATGCATTGATGCGTAAACTCGCCAGGACAGACGATTCAAACGCCGAATCCGAGAAGAAACCCATTGTTCCTAAGAAGGAGAGCAAGCCTCTGCCTGTCAATGTCAGCCAAGCGAGTCGTTGTGTCTTGCTCCGTAATATGTTTGACCCTGCTGAGTAAGTGATTCACTGTGTCCTGGTGGGATCTTTTCTAACAATTTTTGTACAGGGAAGAAGGCGACAGCTGGGTAAAGGAGCTCGAGGACGACGTGCGAGCCGAGTGTGAGGAGAAATATGGCCACGTCGTGCATATTTCGCTTGACCCGAACACTCAGGGCGACATCTACCTGAAGTTCGAACGCGTGTCGGGTGGTGAGAACGCAATCAAAGGCCTTAACGGTCGCTACTTCGGTGGTAGGCAAATCAGCGCGCAGCCCGTCGTTGACGCCGTCTACAGCAGCTTGTTCTCTAGGACCAAGGCATTGTGACTAAGCCCGAAACGAAGACTTCGACCCGACACTCGCTCGTCGAGGGTCTCGGTGGGGAGAGAGGCGGTATTCTTCATCAACGCTGCCTGAATAAGGCCAGGCGTGCTGGGTTGGCGTAGGAGAAACTTGGGTGGGCCAGACCTGGAACTTTGACTGGTGTGTCAAGATTTGGGGATGATGTTGTTGACAGTCTTTAGTGCCTTTCTCGAGGTTCTTCCAATATCCAAGGTATCCCGAGCACTAGTACTGCATCACGCCCGTCCAGGTGCTCTGGTAGGTGGGCGTTGCAGTTCGCTGTTCGATATGACCTCCACATGATTCTCTTTGATGAAAAGAACATTGACCTCTAGACAGGACATACTCTAAATGCAACGCCGTCTTTTTTCTGACTCTATTTGTTTCATAGGATCTCCAGCCATGTCGAATGTTCCTCTTGTAGCATCCTATATCTCTACCTGATGTCAGAAACAGGAAGTTACTGATGGGTGCATATCGTCACGACTTACAGTGAACCATGCACCATTGTCTACGTGCGATAGGTCGAGACAATGATGTGCACTCTGCACTCTTCGCAGCTACCATTATGCATTAGGTCATCATAGCTTGTTTGCAGCGTCGCCGCCGCCGATCGACTGTGGCCTGAGTTGTTCTTGTTTACCCAAAAAGAACATGCTACTAACCTGGCGAATGTGCACAGAGGGGGGCGTTGATTCCATGCATCCTGTCCCACGACCCGATCGATCTAATTCTCGAATCAACCTGCTGAGCCTCCCAGGGTGGCGCCAGTCTGACAACGTAGGTGTTTATTGATTGCAGGTCTCGACCAGCCGCAAAGCTGGAAAGAAGTTAGCACGATGAAGGAGCGATCCCGATTTCAGTTTGTGGTCTGCTGTTCGCCGCTTGAGAGGAATCGATGAGTAGTCGGCTGTAGATTTAAACACTGTCAAAATGATACTCCGCTTCTGGCCACACCAGGCGTAGACTCTCCTGTGCCTGGTGATCAAATACACTCCTCGATCTCTCACGTAAACTGACCCCCCTCCTTCTTTTCCTCCGCGATATCCTGGCCTCAGATGAGCTACATCCGCTGCTGACGAGATCGAGTTGATGTTGAAATGCGCCTGTCTCAGTGAACTGGACCCTGCGCCGAATCTCCTGGATACACCACCAACGTCGCGGTCGGGGATCATATCAGCATCGAAACCACAGGCGCTTTCTCTCCTGTTGTTCTGACTCTAGGCAAAAGAAAAGCATTGATTCCCCAGCTGCAATACACAGGCCGCTCCCACGGATCATATCTTGGTATCTCCTTTTTATCAAACCACAGTCCTCGGCGCTCTGGTCACCCCGACAAAAGCACATTTCTTATTTTAGCCACAACAAGGTTGTGTACGCAAAAGGGATGTGTTTTCAATGTGGTCAACGTCTTCGGCTTGTCTTTCCCGATCTCTTGAGAGTTGTCCTTGTCCCGGTTTTCCGCAATTGAAGATTCGGCTCGGAGCATGTAGGGAAATAGCTCTTCGAGGCTTGATGATCATTGGAGTTTGGTGTGTCTTCTTCTTTGCCCGAGATCTTTGTTGTTGAAGTCTTCGGAAGGCTCTTACGCCTGGACGCCTGGCTGCAATATTCCCACCTCCCCCTTCCGACTTGTGTTATAGCCGAACTATAAATCCAGGTCGATACCACGGGACCGGTGGCCTTGGTTATGCCGGGCTATCATGCAAGTGTCAGTAAGATGAACAAGTCATATTCCATGAAATGCTCGACTGCCCTGGCCGCCGGTTCTGACTTTCGACACAAGATGCCAGGTTCTGGAGGCAGCATCGCATGTCCTTGAAGAGGAGGAGGAGGGATTGACCCAGGGCACGCTTAAATTCGTAGACTATCAAGGTGCATTAGCCACAAAAATGGTCAACAGGTTCCCAACTGTTGAACGAGCGAAGACAGGACGGAAGCTTGCCAGTTTCCGGGCCTTTCTTTGAAGGGGACGATGTCGAAAATGACAGGAAACCCGAGTATGGTGCTTTCGGAATGATAGCCAGACCCCTCCAGTTGTCCAAGTTGATCTTGCAAAGGTCTTCAGAAGCTAGAAACAGGATGTGTGAGCAGAAGAGTCCGACATTGTTTGATCTGTTTGTGTATGTGCTGATGCTGTCGAAGAGCAACTGGTCGTAGCAATGACATAGTAGAAGATAACATGCTGGGATGGCCAGGAAGAGAATCAACAAAGCCACCCTAGTATAGTTACAGTCCACCAGTCTCCAAATGCCTCTTACATGGCCCATTCTTAAAGGTGACCGTTGGGAGCGTGTAAAGCGAAAAACCACGTCGCCCCTCATTCTACCAGCATCAGCCGCACTTCATGAGCCGCGAAAGCTCTTGTCTTTCTGTCTAAACCATGAATTGAAGAGGTGAATGGTTGTTCGGTCTTGCGTGCCAACCCCCAGAGGAAGCTATAAATCCTTGTCCTCCTCCCCTTCCTGACTTCTTCTCTTTCTCTTCTTCCCCATCGCGGACAGCAACAGATCCATCACAGTCATCATCAAGACTTCTTTAAGCAAGGCTTCTTGAATCATTTTATCTTTCTGTTGCAACCTCTTTGACTTCCTTTGCTCTTGGACACGGGGGCGATTCTTTCTTGTAAAGAATCACCCCCGTGTCAGGAGACCTTCCGGTGCTTTTCAAAGACTTTTCAAGTGAGTGCCATCTGTGACGTCCATCTCAAAGTGGCTTCAGCTAACCAGTCGTCAACAGAACCTAAATATATATGATCGAGAGTCTGCTCAGCCCTGCCTCCATCGTAGCCGGTGTCTCTTGTGTCTCTGGTATGTTCGCTCTCCCTGGCTTGTGTTGTTTGCAGCAAGCCGCACTGGATGATATCAAGAGGAGGAGTGACAACACAACAACATGACCAACTCCGGACTTGAGGATAACACCACCCATGTTCTGGACTTTGTGGAGACTCAATTGCAGGAAGGTCAAGGGAGGCTTTGCCGTCCTGATGCCTCCCAACGATCCAGCACTTTTTTGGAAGTGACCTTGGACAAGTCTTACACTGGGGCAGTGATGATATTCTCAGACTTGACTTGATGTCACACTTGCTGCCATTGTGGATGGATAATACCAAAACTCCCACTCGGCCTCCTTTACCTCATTCAGGGGTCACCGCCTTGTCAACCTCTCACGTGACCTGGCCACTCAGTCAATCGGCATTGTCACTTGCACTCCGGCAAACACAACAAGTACATGGCTATTTGCGGCCAGACATGGTGAAGAGAGAGTGAGACAGTGAATGGCACTCAACAACCACAAGTTTCCGCACAGCCTTCGGCCTCCAGGGTATAAATTGGGCAGACTCTCTGTCCAACGTTCATTGTTCTGCCTCACCTCAACCACCGTACCATCTGAACATTGCTGGGCTTCTATCCTCGGTGGACACTTGCGGAGTCTCTTGAGAAGCTTCTTGGTGACAACGAGCGTGGACAGTTTCAAGGATTCCTGCCATCAATCTGATTCTCCTGCGGCAAAATGAACACCATCAATCTCACCATCTGACCGCTTCCCTAACTCAACCACATCAGAGCACGAAAGAGGAGTGCAGAAACATCATTGCCACCGTCAACATTGTTCTCAATAGTTGGAAGTATTGCGGCCCTGAAACAAGACCGACAAACAGCTTCGTCTTTTTCAAAGTAAAGGGTTGACACCATCCAGAGCGGCTTTGCGTCCAGTTTCCGATAGAGAGGGAATCTGAACTGACCTGACCATTCATAGTTTCCTTTTGTTGTCTTTTAATCACACCTTCTTACTCTTCCTTGTTCCTGGTCACAGACCCTTCGATCAAACTTTCAAGAACATCACAGTATCGGCAATATCGATTCGACCTTTTCTTGAATGCATCCGACTTTCCTCCACAACTTCAACCAACCCCTCGTCACACAATTTCCTCTGTTCAAGTCGAAGACCCTCGAACTGAAGAAGTTTGAACCTTCAACAAAAATAATTTTGTGCAAGTGATTGAATACTTGTCACACAACACAAGAGAAAGGGAAGAAATCGAAGCACAAACAATCTCACGATTTGAACCCATCGACGTCCAAACTTTTTCACCTGGACTGCACTTTTTTCTTATTCAAAACCCACCATACATACCTTTCCCGACAACAGGCAAACTTCACACCAACGGAAAGATGTCTCACTACTTCGGCAACACAGCCATGCTCTCTGGATCCTCGCCTGTGCTGGATCAAGCACAGAGTCAATTGAATTCCGCCAGAATGAGCCATGCAGAAATCCAACAGGAGCTGCAGAGTCTCATGCAATACAGGGCAATGACGCCAATGTCGGTAGTGGAGGGTCAACAAAGAGATGGGGAAATGTTACAACTTCGAGTGCGCCTCCGGCAAATGGAGGACGAAATGAACGGATTAAGAGACACGATTGCCCGTCAACAAGCCACAATCCGGAACCAGAGCGTGGCGATCTCTAATCCGAGACAATACTATCCTGCACCAAAGGACAACACTCCGCAGGATAGAATGCAGGGACACATGGCCAACAGGCAGGGGCCGCCAACGGTGCGCTCGACGACGCACCAGACAATGTACCACCCCCACGGCCCATCCAGTGCCAACCTGTTCGGCTCTCCGGCCGCAAGACCATCCAACAACACTGGAAAGACACCACAAGGCGTGCAACGGACGCCATTCAACCCACCGTCGGCTCGCGGAGGCGGCCAAGGGACACCAGGGAGTGCCACGCAACACCCAGACAATCACATGGCACTGGTGCCGGTTTCGGCAGTGACGAGCACTGCCACCACGGTCAAGGGGCAGATTGCGCGCGTCTTCGATATGGTCGAGATGTTCAGCTGGGCCCACGTCAATTTTCCCAGCTCTCACGGGGACAACCAGCTGAACAAGTCCCTCAAAGAACGGTTTCTCCAAGCAGCAGCACCGACGCAGGCATTCCCCCTCATGACTTCTCCAGCGACCCGCTACCTGTTGGTGGCGAAGGTCATCAATGCCTGGATCCTCGACAAGGTGCTGAGGGCCGACAGCTTTCGAGGCTTCAACGCCAACATCGACTCGATGATCGACGCGGCCAAGAACCAGGTCTACCAGTCGACGCCCGCTCAAGTCAAGTTCCAGCTGTTCAACAAGATCGCAGCGCAGATGCGAGAGCTGAGGCAGAATGTCCAGTTCAAGAGGTTCGTCGACAAGCTGACCCAGGACCGTGGCAACGAGCTCTGGGAACTGATGGCGCCCCTGATGCACACCAAGACGAGTCGCGACTGGGACGACATGGCCACGTTGATGGAGGAGGCACACAGACTGGCCATAATGATGTTCTCCGGCACCGACCAGTACCGCTTCGAGGTCAAAGAGGGAGGTTCCTTCTTCAAGAAAGCCGCCATGGCGGTGGTCTCGAGACAAACTCTGCCAGACGGCACGACGACGCCGGACCAGTTGGAGGCGAGGGGCGCAAGAGTAAAGCTGGGCGTTTCACCCCAGGTCGTCGTCAAAAACAGCACGCCAATGGGCCTGATCAATGAAAGGACCGTGGTGCCAGCCAAGGTGCTGGTCGATTTGACGTTTAGATGAGAGAAGAAGCCACGGAGTACTTGAAGTAGCCAAGTTAGTACCCACATTTGTAGCTGCCGACTCTGGAAACGAGGAGGGGACGAGGCTCGGGCCGTTCAGCTAAACAGGAGAAAAGAGAAATAGCGAACGATTCGTTCTTCCTCATGGTTTGTCCATCTCTGCATGTGTTTTGGGTTTCCTTTGCTTTCTCGTAGAGACGAAGTCTCGTAGTGCATGGACAAGTGAGATTTTCGACCTTGCCAAGTCTCACATTTTTAGTCCCGAATACGAAAGTTCGAAATGCTTTCCGTACCCGGTGCAAGTGGCCGCCGACACACCAGTACCAACCACGTTGTGAGTAGATCCAACTTAATTTCAAGTGAACAGGCACCGTAGTTCTGTTGCATTCGTTTCCCTAGTTTGACATTACATAGATATGTGGCTGACGGTGGTCTTTGAAGGGCACATTTTCTCCATTGATTGAAAGGAGGCCATCCTCGGTGCACCGTGGAACCCGATGATGATGATGATCATCATCATCATCATCTGCACCGATTATGCTATGCCACATATTCCCATGAGGTCCGATCGACAATCAATTTGATCATTATAACTACTAGTTTTATCCGCAGCCATACATATGCGCCACTTAATGACCGGCTCATTCATGATGGTGATGATGATGATTATTCTCCCGCGGCGTGAACCTCGTTGGAAATGCAACATTGCTCACTCCGACGTTTGTGGGTGTTATGATTTCGATCCGACCAAAGACCACGCGCGAGACTCAGGCAGAGGGGTAACCCGGTACCCGGTACCCAGTTACGGAACACCGTCCGTCAGTCCAGTTACAGGGTGTATCTGTAGAATGGACTCAAGTCACCCAGTTCCAACAGTTCCTGGTCGGTGAATCTGGCCTTGATGGCGGCCTCGCCCTCCCTGGCGACGTAGTCGTCACGCCTCTTGTTCTCGCGGCGGTACGCAATGCGCAGGATGATGGCGCAGATGATGGCGAGGAAGCAGACGGCAAGACACACGCCGAAGCCCGTGTAGTATCTCGGCGCCTGGGCGGCGAAGTAGATGTTGGATCCACAGATACCACCCATCTAGAGAGAGAAAGAGAGAAAGGTCAGCACTTGCACAGTACGAATATCCGAGTCAGTAGAGAAACGAAAGATTGATCCACTCACGTTTCCAACACTGATCAACAGCGCCATTCCGACGGCACGCTTGCTCGACGGGGCAAGGTTGTTGCCGACCAAGGTGACGACGCACGTAAAGGGACAGTACAGCCCGATGGCGATGAGGAACAGGAAAAAGTACGTCACGCCAGGCATGCGAGGGTGAGGAATGGCCAGTTCGGCGACGAATCCGACACAGGCGACCGAGAACCCGCCCATCAGGAACGGCGTGCGTTGCTGGATGCGGTCGGACCAGAAGGCGACTCCGACCGTGGCGAACGTGGCAGCGACGTAGATGGGAATGGTCATCAGCTGGGCGTTGGCATTGCTGTACCCGAGGTCCTTGACCACCGTCGGCACCGTCGCGGTGAAGCCGTAGGTGCCGATGCTGCAGCCCCAGAAGGGGATGATGGCCAGCCAGACCCGCCAGTCCCTGAACCCGGATTTGAACGACGTCCAGGTGATCTTGTCGGCGTTCGTGACACGGCCGGCCCCCGACCCGGTGAACAGGGCGATACGGTTGACGACGAACTCACGCTCGCGGATCGTGAGGAACCGGGCCGTTTCAGGCTTGTCCGGGAGAAGGAAGAAGAGGGTGAAGGAGACGGCTACGGGCGCCAGACCCTCGAGGATGAAGATCCATTTCCAGCCGGCGAGACCTGAAATCCCATCCATCTTCTCTATGGCGAACGCCAGGAGGCCAGAAAAGGCCCCCGATAGAGAGGCTGCAGCGTAGAAGATGGCCATGCGCCTCTGCACCTCGTATCGTCGATACCAGATGGTGAGCAGCTTAAGAAAAACCACATGTTAGCTCGACCAGAATCGTGAGTGCCTCAAAGCTCGGATACAACTTACGAACGTAGCAGCAGGGAAAAATCCAGCTTCGGCAAGACCCAGGAAGATACGGGCAACAATTAACCCGTGGTACGAATTGACCAGACCCATCAAGGTCATGACGAGGCCCCATGAAAAGCAGATGATCGAGAGCCATACGGATGGTCTGAGGATTTTGAGAACCTGGCAGAAAGGGTCAGCTCTGCGGACGTGGAGAGCGAGCCCGGTCTATCTCATGATCGCCGTTTTGGGGACGAACGACTAGGCCATAATGGCCTGTACCAAAGCGCTTCGAGTAACGACGTACCACATTGCTAGGAACTTCAAACAGCGTATAGGTGACGAAAAAGACTGTCAGGACCGTGTTGTATTTCAATCCGTAAAGCTCCAGGTCGTCGTACATGCCGGCAATCTTTGCGTTACCCAGATTGCTTCGGTCGATGTATGCGAGGCTGTGCGGAAAGAAAGAAGTCAGCTGTCTGCGTACGAACCAGGCCACCGCAACACGGCATATGAGTGAGTTACTCACAGGTACAACAGCGTGAGTAGAGGAATCAGACGGAAGTCGATCTTGCGAATGGTGCGAGCCTCTTCAGCCGGGCTCATCTCGCCGATGACCTGGTCAGGGGGCAGACCGGCGTCAACGGTACGGAGGCCACCATCAGTCGGACCGACGGTGGGAGAATGTTCAGAGGAGTCGCCGCCGCCTCCCAGGCCCTTCTCCTCGCTCCCGTATTCCAGTCGTTTCTCATCTTGAACCTTGTCTGCCATGATTTGAGGTGTAAAGGGACTCAAGAAATCGGAAAGTGCAGCTCTGGGGATGGTTTCGAGGAGGACCTGGAGAGGATCCGGGGTTTTAATAACAGGGTCACCGTCAACCGTGTACCATTACCATGCTAGCGGGGCACCCGTCAATGGCCTGGGCAACGTGGAGTCGCCCAGGTCTGGAGTTGCATCTTCGACAGCTTTGGTCGTTCCGGGGTCCTAAGCTCGATGCAGCAAGATAACCAGACACACCTTGTCCAGTTCAAACTCGAAGTAGTAAGGCTGCCTCGGTCTGCATATGAAAAAATAGCCTAAACGAGCTAGGTGGTGAGATGGACGGCGATGTACTGAGCATCCACCGGGTCGCATGGCAAGTCGAAAAGCTTACCGCTTCGGTCGTCATGATTTCCATATGATGAAGAACGCGCGTAATGAAGAAGTTCTGGGCACAAAAGGATCGTCAAACGAAGTCCGTAACGACCGGGGGAGAAACTGGTTGAGGACAACGCGGAGAGGTTGATGCTTAGTCGGCCATAATAACCGGTTATGTGGGTCTCACGTGTCTATTCTATACTCAACACGGCAGGTACACCGGGGCTTATCAGATCTCATACGGGCTTGGTACGGCGTACTCTTGCTGAGTAGGTACTTTCTCGACTCCGATGCTCTGATCGAGTTCAACTTGTCGCCTGCATCTTGTTCCGTATTGTCGGATACAGAAGGGAAAGTGCTCAGCCCCTGAGTTTCCCGCCCATGCCCACTCTGACACTACTCTCTCCAGGCCCATCATGGTAATTTGAGATGCGGCCACCAAATCCGGGGCCCCGACAAACAGAAAAGCCGCCACCGGAAGCTCCGGTGGAAGCATCTCTCATGACCTACCGGGTCGCCGTCACGAGATGTGAGATACCGCATCAAGCGCGGCGATCCGGACCTCAAAGCAACGACTAGCGACGAGGAACGGATATCTCGTGTAGTATTCTGTCCAGGTGGACAGCCACCCCTTTGGCGAGGTTGGCTTCGCTCACTTCTTCTTCCCCACGGGCTATGGAGCGATTGGGTGGGATTCCTTGGGCCATGATGGTCAGAACTCCTGTCTGAGGTCTCCACGTTTTGCGGGTTGAAGTGTCCGCGTTTGACCCTGACCGTTGTGCGACCCTTGAACTGCCGTGAGGCTTTCTTAGTCCACGTGCGAGAATGCATCGGCAGTTCTCAGTCTAGACTCCACGAGGACCACCTCGGTTCGGAGCAAAGGTTCGTCTCGTAATCATGACAATTTTACTCATCCGGATGATTCTTCACGGCTGGCTCTATCCTGAGGAATATCGGCGGGGCCCTCCCTCTCGGCAGTCTCCTTTGTCCCCTTTGGTCTCCCAGGCTTATATCCATCGATAATGAAATGATCAAGCACGCGTGGATCCTGCTGCGGATTGAAGCCTCTCTCCCTCGCCTTCTTTATGATATTGACTACGCTCCTGCGCGGAATTCCTGTAGATCTCACAATCGCCTCATATTGGTAACCAAGTGAGGACATGGTGAGAGCCTGCGCTCGTTGCGCCAGCGAATACCGAGCCCCGTGGTCCTTTGCCGCGGCGGCTTGAGGCAAAGGTCGAGTTGCAGGCGTGTTCTTTCGTTTGGGCTGCGAAGATTCTCTCTCTTTAGCGGTCTCTGCAGCGACATTAGAAAGCGGTGCAGGGGTTTTTGAAGACAAGACTGACCTCCGACAGCTCCACTGTCGACGGAAATGATGGATTTATCACTCATCTACGGCCCTGTTGGCAAGTCAGATTATCGAACGACAAGGCCTTTCCATAGCCGCGATGGAGAGCCAGCTACTTAGAGAAGAACTATCAATTAATGGCAGCATCCCTTGGGATGATTCAAAAAAAGTCCCCATACATCTCACACAGTACTGGGGAAGCCTTACTCTCCCCCCCTGGAAGGCCATAAGGCACCCCCTTGGCGCATCTGACTAGCGTCTGAGCTAGATTCTAAGTTAGCGTAGCGAAACTAACTGTACCTGTACGTTTGCTGCTCGCCTCGGTGCGATAAGGGACTCTGCTAATGGAAATGTCCCATTCTCTGTGAGAAGAGCTGTAGATGGCAACTCGTAGTTGTCTTCGCTGGACGCTCTCGTCGACCTCACAAATTGATCTGGTGCACCTCACGGATAACGGGAGTCCGGACATGAGGCTGGAATTGCGGGCCGGGGCTGCAACCGGCGATAAATAAACTTGGCTGGGAGAAGCATAGCGAGAAAAGCATATCACGACGTTGAACGAACGCACCAACCACCTTCGATTCCTGCTAACTACGGCTCTCACAGACAAACCATCGGTGGCCCAAATACGACTTCAGCGTCATGGAGTCTGCTCTCGACATTCTCGGCGCCGTCGCCGTGGGCCAATAATGCCCCGACTAAGATTATATCAAAGCTTTCGTATCTTGTAGGGTTTTACCTCAAGTCCGGTCTGAGCATCTTGCACGGCAGACCTCTTCCTCTTGGACGAGCATCTTGTCTCGCCAACGTTGGCCCGTCCCATCGGCCCTGCCCTCTCGATGTCGCCGCGTGTACACTTGGCATAGTGGTAGGGTTTTGCCTCGCTGGCTATCTTTTCCTGGCGAGGTCCATTTGTGCCCTGACTATCCTCCAAATCTTCCTGCCTGTCGTCGGACAACTGCTGCCATATGCTCCCCCCTGCTTCAGGAGCTGATCCCATGTCTCTGGGTGATGTCTTGGTGCCGCGGAACGGTCTTTCTTCGACATCATCTTCCCCGATTCTCCCGATGCTGTCAGAGGAGAGGCCCGCTAGTTGGTTCGACTCTGTTGCAGCATCGGTTCCAACGCTCTGATCGTATGGATGTGTATTTCTCTCCTCAAAGTCATGACTGCCAGTGCTCTTGTCAGCCGCCACGTTTGCATTTCGAGATCCAACATCATCAATCGACACTACCTTGGAGGAGACTCCATCCGCCAGATCACACGGTTTCTGCTCTGCAATATCCGTTGCAGCCTTGTTGTCGATATATGTCTCTCCTCCTGTAGGATCAAGGCCTCTCAGCCTATATCTCCTGCGCAAGACCCTCATCCTCGGCATGGCCTGCTTTCTCTCCAAGTCTTGTCTGTGAGTCGTGGGAATGGCATTCCACATGTTCTTCAGTTGCGTTTTTGTCAGCTGATGTATGGCCTTGGATTGCTTCTGGGCTCCCCCAGAAGTTTTTGATCTTTGCGATCTTGCTTCTTCCGTTGTCAATGCTCTTCGAGGTTGACCTGGTGGTTGCGGCCTGACAAGCTCTCCTCTTGTCTCAGGCACAAGGCGTCCATGGAAACTGTTCTTCGACGGCAGGGACTGGGCGAGTCGATGTCTCTGCTCATTGAAAAACTGCTGCATCGAGCTGTATTTTTCGTGGGCAGGCTTTCTTTTCGTGCCGTGGCGCTGACCGGCCCAGATGTCCAGTGGCAGAGAGGGTCGACGAGGAACGGTTGTTTCCGTCATCGTGTTGGGCTCGGGGGAATTGCTGATCAAGATGCAAGAGAGGGCGATGGCTGAACGGTATCAAGCCCGACAGTGGAGAAACTAGCTCCGGGTTTCTGATGTCTTCACGTTTGAGGACATGGTGAATGCCACCCACGACCGCGTTGCGAGATGGCGTGTCGTGTAGATCGCGGTCTGCCTATTTGAAAAAAATTAACTGTCAAAGCAGATGCTTTCTCCCCATTGTCTGGGTCAAGATACCGATTCAGACAAACACTGACTGATGATGTCTTTATGTATATATACATACCTCTTTGAACACCGCGCCACAAAGGAGGTTCTCAGGATTGTGACGAAGATGTTGTCAGGATATGTACCCACGTCTTCATTTTTTCGGCGGCAGCACAAGGTCCAGCGACGAGCTCATACTGGCCATCACCACGATGTCATCGTCGCTTATGTCGTCGCCGAGTGTCGCCGAGAGTGCCATCGGCACACGCATCTGTCAGCATTTTGATAAACCTCCTCGCTGCTCAAAATTTGCCATCACCAGCGTCCCAATTTGTCTTGTTTGGTGTCATCGACAGTCGTCCTTCTTTGTGTCCTTGTCAATCGAGAAGTCCAACACCATCAAACCGGCCGCCTACCGTCGACTTCCCTTTGTACCCGAACAAGCCTCACAAAGATAGCAGACATGGAGGCCGCAACAGGACGACATGACGAAGTCGAGGTCGAGTGGGCCAGGCTTTTGGCCAACCTGGAGTCCTACAACAGACAAACCGCCTCCCAGACCGTCTCGAAGTCCCTTGAACCCCCCGAGCGCACCCAGAGCATCCAATCTGCAAGAGAGGACCCCCAGACACACCAGCAATGTGCACGGATTGACCTCATTGACAACGCGAAGGCGCAAGAGCCAGCGACAGACAGCCACAAAGCCAAGTATGTCGAGAGGCATACGAGGCCAGATGGAAGTCTCCTTCCATCTGCGTTTGCCAACGACTTCACGCCGCGGCCGACTCGTCAAAGACGGGCCAGAAAGACTGGACACACGGGGGTCTCGCCTTGGGCGCGCCAGGCGATGGAGACGAGGTGGTTGCTGTCTCTGCACCAGTCTCGTGAGAAGGACAACGGCCCTCCGACACCCATCCACCAGCCAAGACCATACCCTGGTGGTGTGACGAACGCTGTTGTCAGAGAGCGTTTGGGCGTGGTCGGCGCTCACTGGACATCTCCTGCCCAGGACCTGTCTGACGCGGTGGCTCCGATGAGGGCGTCGCGTCAGTCAGGTCTGGCGGGAGATGCGAGCCCGGCCACGGGGATGAGCCATGGTGGGACGTCTGATCTCGCAGGGTCTAGGCCATCAGACAGCCGAGATGGCACGATGGCAAACGCCGGTGCTGAGCAAGAAGAGGTCTACTTTGCAGTAGACAGACCGTTTACCCTCTACACCATCGCCGGGGAGAAAAGAACCGTCAACGAGCTCGTTTGGCGCCTTTTCGACATCCCAATCTTCGGCTGGACGCCAAGATACCCTTTCATGTCCGCCGCCCCTCAACCAGGCCAATTCCAGCAGGACCCAGGAGAAGTGTACGTGTCTCGGGATGTCAGTTACTACGGCAGCGACCGTGAGACAGCAAACGAGACCGACTTGAATGCATCCCGGGTTGTCGCAAATTCACCCGATAATGAGGCGCATATGAGCCGGTTGCGTCTGACGAGATCCGAGCCACTGCACGATTGGCCACGGCGGAGTGCCATCGATGATTACTATGAAGAAGACTCTGACGACGACGAGCCGACGAGACCCGGCCATCATCGCCGAAGACATCGATAAGTTCTTTCCGGAGACGACGGGTTTCGCAAAATACTCTACACTGCCTGGTCAAGATCGGTTGACGCTGAACACAGAAACGGAACTTGGGCAACAAATACCAAGCAACTCGTCTAAAGAACGATAGAATTGATTTCCTGTCGGATGCAGAAGCAGATCTGAAACGCAGCACCCCGTGGAAACATTGCAAAATGGGATGAGCAAATTTTGAGCCTTTGACAGAACCTGGAATGGTGAGATGAGGCCGGGGGAAGACTGGCGAGGGAGCGATTACCAAAAGTTTCGATGCAGAGGAAGAGGAACAGGAACGGGGCATCCAAGACAAGTGTCAACACCAACCCTGGAGGATTGTGTTGCTTGCAAGGCCCGTTTCTCTTTTGTACGAGTTCAAGACACTTACGAGAGGCTCGATGCTATGGGAAATGGAGCCAGAGAGAGAGAGAGTACTAATAAAAAGGCGCAGCACCATGCGCGGGCAATCAAACACACCGATTTTTGAGAACTGATTGTTTCTTTTTCGTATTGCTGGGAATACCATGCTACAAAGATGCACTTGCTCCCATAGTAAAATCCGATGACCTCCCATGCCACAGCGTCAATGTGGTCGAAGAGCCAACTGTCAGCTCCGACCACGTTACCCTGCAGCCGAGGCCATACCGTGTCTAGCTTGCGACACCCTCTCCCCGCATCCATCAAACGTGCTTCACCAAAAGCCTCCGAGGGTCATCTCTCTACGCCGGGGAAGAGACTTTCGCGCCGTTTTTTGTTTGTTTTGGTTCTCATGTTCGATGCGTCAGAATCCTCAAGTGATAAGCCGATCTAGCGGAGACATCGAACCCTTCTATGAGGAAGCGATGGCCTTCCGTCTCTGAGCACCTCGCTGTCTGGAGTTCAGTCTCTGGGAGACACCCAACTCCTCGGCCTTGGTGACGGCCTCCTCGCCTTCCGTCAGGATCAGCTCGATGTGGCACGGGTTGGACATGTATGGGTTGATACGGCCGTGGGCACGGTACGTTCGGCGACGCTGCTTGGGGGCCTGGTTGACTTGGATGTGCTTGACGATCAGGTTCGAGGTGTCGAGTCCCTTGGTGTCGGCGTTGGCTTCGGCGTTCTTGAGCAGACCGAGGAGGAATTCAGCCGACTTGACTGGGTGACGGGCCTTGGAAACACCAAACTGCTTGCCTGCGTAGGGAGAAAAAAAGATTGTTAGCCCACATGTACATTTTGTTTGAAGTGGATGTGCGCGTTGGAATTTTAAAAAAGAACGCCCCAAATCTGGTCTTTCGACCGTCCATTATCTTTGCAGACGAGAACAGTCAAGGTGAAACCATTGACGATATTCAGATTCATGACCGTTTGTGTGTTTTCCAGGTTCTGTTTTCAATCGGTGGCTTCATACCTTGTGCGCTTCGGCCGGTGCTGCCGGCATATCTTCTCATCGGGACAGCCTCCTTCAATTCCTGCACATTCTCGAGGTACTTGACGGCGCGCTCGAGCTTCCAGCCGTTGATGGCCTGGGCGGTCTCGCGGGTGTTCTTGAAGCTGACTCGGAGGTAGCTGCCACGGCTCTTTGCCGATTTGGCGCTGGGAATGCGGTCGGCGGGGGCGTAGCGGACCTGCAAAAATATTTGTGAGTGCTTGCATCTTCTCAGACAAGACATCCGGATCGTCTTACCATCTTGTCGGTTGTGTGGTGGAAAGGAGATGGTCCTGTTTATCGGCTTTGTCGATTGATCCTCGTCGAAATCGACTTTGCCAGAATTTGGGATGTGCGAAAAGCCAAGACTGCGATTTCACACAGTTGAAAGGGAAAGTGTACCGAATAATTTTGTCACGTGAATGTCTTGGCGTTCCTGCATTTTCAGCCTCGTGAGGCTTTGCCAAGTCGGGGGAAGTTGTGGCGTTCTAGACAGTCATCAACCATCCGCACGCCGTACAACGCGAGCTGGTCTTGAAGCTGTCTTGAGAACTTGAATCCATTGTTACGAGATTGAGCATCGTGAGCATCATGATACAAGACGGTTACGTCGGTAGTTGTCCAGTTGAGGCCCATTTCAAACTGGACCGCCACACTTCCAAACATTGAAAGCCTTTCCTCCATACTCAGCATTCTGCTCCCAGTACCAGAAACTCCTGTCCATGTCCTCGCCTAAGTAAACGCTTTGTCAACCTCAGCTCGATCATGGTCCGATGCGGACCACTGTAATCCCGTGTTCTATTCAGAACCAGGCCGGTAATCGCCGCCTTCAGATTCCTCTGTTCCTCCCCGTATTAGGGGTTTGCTGCGCAACCACTCGTCGTCGTCGTCTTCTTCTTCTTCGTCATCAATCTCCTCTGGATTCTGCATGATCTGTGCCTTTGATTGAATATGCGTTTTCTGTTTCCGAGGAAGGGGACTTCCACGACTCGTAGCAGCCACCAGTGAAGAACGTTCAACCGATGGCAGTACTTCCTCGGCATCTTCGAAATGGTCAATGTCGTCTTCGTCGCTTTCGTCGCCTTCATCATCAGTGGAGACCAAAGCCGCTCCGGCAAGTTGACTACTCTTGTGTTTTGGCGTCGTATTGGGCTCTGGGAGTGATTTACCGGCGATCTCATCGTATCCTGGGTCGCCTGGCATGACCACCCGGCCATTGACAATTTTCGAGCCAGGCTTCCGCCCCCGTCGACCTCCCGTTCCTGATAGCTCTGACAGCAATGCATAATCTGAAGTGTACTTGAAGAGGTCTGGCGTTTCGGTATGTCCGTTGATAAGCCTCATATACATCCTCCATTGCTCGAGCGTCGCTGGCGTCCGGGCGGCGTGGTACTTCCCAACCTCAATACCATTGATTGTTTGTATGTCTAGGGCTTCCACTCTGGTGTCGGCCCAAAACCATCCCAGTTGACCTGGTTTTGGTTCTTCGATGCGCTCGTCGGTCTCGCTTGCATATCTTCGGCCTTCGTCGATAGCTTCCAAATCAAAGTCCAGGCTCGGTCTAACCACCGTATGTTCACGACCACTACGCTTGAATTGAGCCTGGCCGATCCATAGTTTCACTGCTGCGGCTTCGTATAACCTACCCAGAACCCGGTCATAAGAGATCTCATATCTCTTAGTTGGGTCATGTAAGTAGTACCAGGTACCATAATCACCCGTACCAACAGGTCGAAATACAGTCTTGACCTCCTCTTGTGGCACTGGCGCAGGTAGCACCGTCTCGGCGGCATTCGGATCATGATTTTGCATCGTGTAATGACGTCGTATGTCCAGAGTATATGCCCTGCCCACAAGAGTGATTGAGGACGCAGCAGAAAGTAAGGGTGTATCTGGTAAGACGTCTTCTGGTCGGATGTTTAGCAGATTCAGTCTGATTGAATCCACGATCATGACATCAGTACATTTCTTCATCTTTGCCGTGGATTTGGCGTGGGGAGTTATTCTGACTGTATCCCCTGTCATGATGAATTCTGGACCTATGTAGATTCCTTTGCACAAGATGCTTGCACTAGGCCATGTTCCCTTGAACCACCACTTCTCGTACAACGATATACTCGTCATACATGTCAAGGCCGACATAATAGAGTGATGCCATTCTGAACGGGGGTTCCCATGGAGGAGCATCTGCCATTGACTCAGAGGGCGAATATTCCGGAGCGGGACATATCGATACTGCTTGGATGCTGTTTTATCAATCTCATTGTTTGGGTCCGGGAAGGTCTCGACACGGAAGCCAGAAGTGTTTAGAGAAGTACTCTTATCTGGAAGTGTTTGAATGTCCGGGAAGTCAACAGGACCATCTGTTGCAGTCGTCGTTGGTACCTGGGTGACAAGTCCAGCCCGCCACCGTGGAAAACCGTGGAATTGCTTCTGGTCGAATGAAAAGAACTTGAACTCGCGCTTCTCGGGATCTAGCATCAGATAGTGGGCGTCGAGAAAATGCGGCGTCCAGAGGACGAGCTCACCCAGTCTGGGCACGAAGGAATGTTGTTGCGAGATCAAGGTGAGATGTTGCTTGATCAGCTCAACTCCATACTTCTCCTCCTTTGCGAACTCCTCGTGCTCTGCTCTCCAGTCTAAAGAATTAATTTCGCGAATGTCGTCTTCGATTCCTTTCTTGGCACCCTTGCTATTTTCAAGTTTTCTGAGATACCCTTTGTAAACATCTTCGTTTCCCTCCTCATCCACGGCGTAGGGAGCTCCGGCCGGTTTTAAGTGACGCCGCGGCCTTCTGGAAGGTCGGCCCGTCATACTGCCTCCGGCAGAAGTTGATCCTGATGTATTATCAGATTGATATCCGTTGTGTTCGCTTCTGCGCAGGGGAACAAGTCGTTCAAACTCGGTAGGGCGTGGCCTTCGCGACTCGACGGGTCGTGGGAGAGGCTTTCCACAGTTGACACATCTACAGTCACCCTGTTTGCCGGACATCAGCCATAAGAAGTGAATTTCAAACTTCACAATGGAATCATAGTAGTTCCCACTAGGGTGGCCAAACAATCGTTTCCACACTTGGCTGCCGCTGAGTTGGTCCAGCTCAAATAAGGCGTAGCCCTCGGGAAGTTTGTCTAGGTAGTAGTCAACACCGGGGACCAGGTCATGCTGTTGCTTCTTCCAAGTTCTGGCCAACTGAATCAAGTAGCGTTCTTCTGAACTTGGGCGGTATCTGCCTTTCCAAGCGGTGTTACAGGGCCAAGTTTGGGGTTGCCCGTCAGTGAATGGCAATATTGGGACTTTCACCCATGGCCCGCCTTTCTTTCCAATCGTGTGCCACTTGCGTTGCTCTGGTGCAGTTGAACTCATCGTTGAAAGCAATGCACTGACACGGCGACTTGCGCGCTGTTGTTGTTATCGATTGGCCGTTGATATACCACGATGCGCCAGCCTGTGTGAATTATTGGCAGTAGTTTGCTTTACGCGACATCCCAAGCATGACAATGGTCTGTTGTAACCATGCGAAGAGTGGTAGGCGCATGGAGAACGAAGGCGTGTCGACGGGCATGATCTAAGATCTGAGAGGCGATCCAAGGACAATGAATGGAAGTTAATGTTCAAGTGCAATGAGAGTCAATGACAGTCGCGATGTGGTTTACATAATTTAATATCCAAGGCTATGGTGGTCATGATTCGACAGACATTTCAAGTCAGGTCACATATATGTATATGTCATTACAACCAGAAATAAAACACCCTACTAGACCGCAATCATGCTCCGGGCACACTGGCACCAGGAATCAATGTCCTCATCAAGCCCACATGTATCTTTTGCCGCCCGATTGGCACAAACCTGCTCAGTCCATCGTTATCCATATCACAATATATCTGCCATTTGTGGGTTCTTGGATCTTCCACGGCTGTGAAATCTTCTGTCTCATCAAACGTGATGCCTTGTTCATCCTCAGTCCAATCCCAAGGCCCGACATGATGGTCAATGCTTGCGCTTTTGTTTCCATACTTTAGTTCCATAGTGTCCTTGTCCACGTATAACCAGTTCAACAAAGGAGGATCATCGCGAACCTGGCTCACAAGGCCAATCGGTATCGGCACTCTCTTGACTGATGTTAGTTGCCAACGAGGATGGGTGATTGCAGGGACAGGGACGGATCGCTTACTTCGTTGTCCGGATACTCAATGTAGAAACACTCGGCCACATAGCCTTCTGGGCATGGATTCAACGCTTCAGTCGGCCCAATCCATACCCGATCATCTCTCAAGACCAGCCTCTTGTCACGTATCTCTCTTGTGCGAGAGCTTTCGACCTCGCAGTGTACATCGATGTGGAATTTCTTCATTCGTCTTTCATCTTTCTGGCGCTCATCGCGGGTCTTTTGTGCGGAGATGGCTTGGGCGACGCCAGTCACAGTAGGAATCGAGGTCAATATGAGCAATCCGATGACCATCTTGAGGCGAGCTTTCAGGATTTGTAGGTTATCTTATGGAGGCCTGGGTGTGACAAGGCGAATCTCTGGGGATGCTGTCGCCATGTTATGAGCATTAGATGCTCTTGCGCGGGATATGGTTGCCGTCGACACAAGTTGGCACCGGCTGTAGAAAGCTGGAAAGCCTGCGATGGTGCCAGTGACGTTACATACTTGGGGTTATTTAATCAAACAAATGACGAAAATAACCGTGTCTGACGGGGAAGTAGATCTCTGGAATGCAGTTCCTTGGCCAGTCTACGAGTAGGAGGCTGGTGAGGCATGATGACAGTAGGCTGATTCTGGCACGAAGCTGGTCAGAAGCCTGTATCAAGTCAAACGCAAAATCATGGTAAACATCCATCATATCTCTTATGTATTCTCGGATGTACTCTGTAGGCGCGACCCAAACAAATGGAGAGGCGCTTTTGAAGCCTGGATCAAAGTTTATCCGGAACTCTTGGCATCAAATCCAAATATTCTTTACCCTTGAATCCGGACAAAGGACTTCTTGACATTCTTAAGGCAAGCTTGCAATCCGCGCAGAATATGTATACACCGGATCATGATTACGTCGTAGTATGAACGCTTTGCAGCTACTTTCTCGGTCTACAGGCCTCAAATCAAGGACCACGAAGCCTTCACAGCCAAACCAAGCGCCAACCTCTGGACAGTCGATAAATACAAACCCTATTAGTCCATCTTCAGGTCAGAAACGAAAAAGAGAAGATGATGTGACCGCAACAACTTCGGTGTCACAGGATGCCCCAACAACGCTCTCCGAAGATGAGATTCGGCAGTATCAAAAGAAGCACAAGATTAAAATTGTGGATTTGAATCGTTTTCGTTCCGCTGGCAAAATCGAAGAATCACGAAAGGTGCAAAAAGAACAATCGCGCATTTTCCCCCAGCCTCTTGTCTCATTCAGTCAACTCTCTCGGTACAACGCCAATAAATCCCTTGTTCGCAATGTGTCGGAGCAGGCATATTTCCAGCCTACAGAAGTACAAACGGCAACCATTCCTTTACTCCTAAAGTGCCTGTCAAATGATGACAAGAACCCGGATCTGTTAACAATCGCACCTACCGGGAGCGGAAAGACCCTCGCTTTTCTCATCCCACTGATAGACAAGGTGTCCAGAAGCCACCGAGAGCAGTCCGACAGCACCGAGAAACATGTTAGTGCCATCATCCTGGCTCCAACAAAAGAGCTTGTATCGCAAATTGTTGAAGAAGGGCGAAAACTGTGCGCAAAGACAGGTGTACGAATAACAGCCACGAGGAAGGGGATGAGACTATTCGGGATGCAAGAGTCAGCCGTGGAGGATGATGAGTCGGATGATGAGTCGGATGATGAGGATCGTGATGATGATGAAAGAGACGATGAAGAGAGCCAAGGCGATCATCCCAGAGAATCTGCCACACTGACCAAGGCCGACATCATCGTTTCGACACCTCTGAGTCTTGTTCATACGCTTTGCCCCTCATGGGAAGAGGACGAGACAATACCGCCCAACCCTCTCCCAACCGTGGAAACACTCATATTCGACGAGGCAGATGTACTTCTGGACCCTCTCTTTCGTGCGCAAACACTCGCAGTCTGGTCGGCATGTACATCTCCCACTCTACGAATCAGCATGTGGTCGGCAACAATTGGCTCAAACGTCGAAGAACTCGCCGTGCAAACCATTCACGATCGGCAGACAAGACTGAAGATCCGCAGGAGCAATCGGCCACCTTTACTGCGGACGATTATCGGGCTCAAGGACATCAGTTTGCCGACAATATCACATCGTCTAACGTACACTGCCACCGAATCTGGAAAGTTGCTGGGTATGCGCCAATTGCTCCATCCATCTCGCTCGGGGACGACGTCGTCCGGGAAAGACGGCAACCAGGTCGCAGCTGCGGCACCGCTTCGACCACCGTTCCTCGTCTTCACCCAGACGATAGACCGAGCACAGTCGTTGTACGATGAGCTCAAGTACGACATCCCAGCTCCCGCAGGAGGGTCCTCGCGAATCGCCGTGCTGCACTCGTCTCTGCCCGCACACACACGCTCGAGCATCATGCAGAATTTCAGGCTGGGCAAAATCTGGATTCTGATCACGACCGATCTTCTGTCGCGCGGCGTCGACTTTCGTGGTGTGAACGTGGTGGTCAATTACGACATCCCGAACACGGTGGCCGGATACGTTCACCGTGCCGGCCGGACGGGAAGAGCCGGCCGCGAGGGCGGTGTCTGTGTCAGCTTCTACACCAAGGAGGACATCCAATACGTCAAGGGCATTGCCAACGTGATCGCGGCAAGTGAAAAAGCCCAGACTCGTCACGAGTCTGGCGGCGGAAGCAGGAAGGCATCGACATCGACTTCCGACGGGCAGGTGACTGGCGGAGAGGGCTTGCAGCCGTGGCTTCTACACGCGTTGCCGACCGTGTCGAAGTCTACCAGAAAGGATCTCAAGCTCCACGGCGTCCAGTCCCGACGTGCCATCCACGCCGACGACGACGAAAAGACCAAACGTATGAAGCGGAAAGCCAGGATCGGCACGCAAAGCGGCTACGAGCGGCGAGAGGTCAATCGGAAACGGGCCGCGATAGTCCATAGCATGCAGGAGAAGAGCAAGAAGCAGAAAAACACAGACCACCGGACAGCTGAGCAGGAGAACGGGGATTGGGAAGGGTTCAATTGACCGCCATACTCGTACTCGTACTCGTACTTGGGGTGACGTTGAACGTGGCCAAGTTTTTGTTTTTGTGTAGTGCGTTTCGATGAGCGCTTCCGCAACACCGCTTCCGCGGTCCCTACAGGTAGGGAGGTATGTAGGTACCTACGGTACCGCTGCCGCAGGGTCCGCATGAGAGTTGCTCTGTCTGATACAATAAATGAGGGCACGTAATCCACCAGTCCGTAGTCACCACATACCATCATGTGTTCACTGTACCATACCTGCTTTTTTTCGACGTTGGTGTCCTCGACCAACCCGGTGTTCGGATGCATGAATGGAGCCTTGAATGTACGGATGGAATCATCCGGGTAAGACAAGAACGTGTGATGTCGGTAGGGGGGTTTTGTACAGTGGACGTCCAGTAATAATAAGTGTCAGGTGAAGTGAAAGGCGTGGTAAGGCTCGACGCTCGAGTGGACAGTGGACGAGTTGTTGTTTCTTTTTTGACCCTGACATTCGACCTCCCCTGTCTTTTGCAAGGGCCTCGTGAGCGGTCCCGACCAGAAAAGAGATTGGACGTTCCGGTTGAGAATGCCGACAGACGCACAAGTTTGTGTCTTTCGGATTCTTCATTCAATTGTCCGGAAATTGCTCGCGTCCGCCTTTGAGCGAAAGTAAAAGTTTCCCCCCCCCTCACCTTACTTCACCTCACCTCACCTGATGCTTTGTACCACACAACCGGGTTACTGTACTGAGCCGTACACGTCCACAGAAACTTTAGGTAAGTAGGTAGGTAGGTACCGTGGGTAGGCAGGTGAAGTGGCGGTTGTTTCTTTTCGGAGCCGCAGCGGGAAATGCCGTCCTTTCTGTAAAAGACAAGGAAAAATCGAATGCGCGCGTTCAAGCACAGTACGGCCATGATTACTATACTACATTTTTCCAAGTGCTGTGCTTCCGCTCGAACGAGCGGAAACGATCTCTTTGCGGTCCCGGCGGTGCGACTACTGACTGACTTGATGCTGCGGTACCGTACGGTGGCGAGTTCACTGCCAAACATACAGCAAGTCGCTGGCGGAGGCAAAACGGCGGCCAACGCTGTTCCGCCGGAACAGAACACTGCTGCACCTATACTCCCGCTCCATAGTCCATACTCTACACTCCTCTCGCGAACACTCGTACACAGAATGAGGAAGGAAAGAAGAGGAAGGGAAGAAAAATACCCTCTCCGAATAATACCCGAGTACATGCAATACATACTACCGAGTAACGGATCATCAAAAGTACCTAGGTACCCTGTACCTGGTATTGCAGGTTACAACAATATCATGCCACGGCCCTTGTACTTCCCGTCGGATGTTCTCCCGTTGATCAAATACTTGGTATCAATGTTCTTGGGCACCAGTACTGGCCATGGACGGTTGACCACCTGCAAACCGTCCGATGCCCAAACACCTCCAGTGCTCCAGATTAACACGACTGGCGAGAGTCACCGAATTTCCGGTCAGCTGTTCTTCACTCCTCAAACCCGACAGGACCACACAAGTCATGGGCCATTGTGTGTGCAGAGTTGAAAAATTACAATACACCTACTAGACGATTCTCACGCCGGTCCGTCCCTGGACAGCATTGTACCCGACGCCTCTCAGATTCCAATTCCCCTCTGGCACCTTCTCATCCATCGTGTTACCCGCACGATCGGTCGCTTTGCTCCAGATACTCACGTTTTCAGCCGGTTGGACCTCAACGTCCTCCACTTCCCACAGCACCCAACTAAACTTTCCCCTGCTGTCGCCCTTACCCTTGTTGGCCGGATGCGTGGTTTTCTCGTCCCCGTCATCCAAGATCCTCGCGTCCATCCATGTGTTTCCCTTGTCGATGCTGACCTGCACGCGCTCCACCGGGCCTCCTTTGCCATGCGGGATCGCGTACCCAGCTATGCGTACGCGCCCGTGCCTGTCCCGCTTCACCTCATCCCCGTCATGAGCGGGAACAGTGACGACGGAGTTGACAGGGTTGTCTTGCATGGCGGGCGTGCTGTCCCAGACACCCAGCTCCTCTGCCTTCTCAGGAGACGTGGCCTCGGCGGGTAGGATCTTGTAGTCGTGCTGCTGATAGTGGTTTTGCGATTCTCGGGAAGAGACGATTATTGTGTCAAGCCACTTGACGCTGCGGGCTCCGATGATACCCGGGATTATTGCTCGAACCGGTCCACCGTGTCGGGCCGGGAGAGGTGTGCCGTTCATCTAGCCAAAAAAACAAAAAAACCGAGTCATTTTCGATATCTTCTTCTCCTGTCTCAACCAAGGGTTGTAGGGATCAAACGATACGTCCATGATATCAACACCAGGGAAGAGGTGTGGCGGTGGACGGAATCGTAGGAGTTGGACAGTCCACTTACGTGCAGAGCGAGAAGTGCTTCTCTCTCGGGATCCACGACCACCTCCAACGGCACGCTGGATCCGTACCACTCGTCCTCTTGCACCTTTGTCGCATTACATTCCAATTGGACATGTAATCCGTCATACTCCTTCAAGTATCTCTTCGCACTAAGCCCACAGTCGACGAGGACGTCACGTAAAAGGGGCCCTGTCCAAGCGGCGTTCATCCTGCATTTCGCATGTTCGTCAGTACAGGGTACTTTGAACTCGAAAGGGGAAAGCCGAAGCCGGGTTCGCGGACTGCTGCTGCTGTTGTTGTATGCCAAAAAAAAAACAAAGCAATATGTGAAAATAACCAAGACGAGAAGAAGAGGGGGTTGGAACTTTTCGTTCTCTCTCCTTACACTGCACCATCTCCCCAATCTACTCCAGTGACCTCCTTCACCCTGCTCCGGAGCTCGTTGCGACGGTTCCCTGCGCACTGCAAGGCACATATGACTGTGTGTTGCCTGAACTTGTGCCCGAGGTCGTCCATGCTCAGTGTAACGTCGATAGGGGTGGGGAGAACGTCACTAGACCCCAAGGCCGGCTCGGACCTGATCGCCAGCTTGTGCGTCGAGGCATTGATGTATTGTATGGGCCCGTGGTTGCGGTCGTATGCTTCAGGGTCAGGCGTGCCGGGGCGTTTCGACGCCGTGAGGGAGCTTCACAAACCGCCATTCTCAGCGTTCAAGTCCCTTGAACCCACGTCTGTAATGGGGTGCCATCCATGATCCGCTTACCTTTGTACTAGTTCCTCCGCGGGAGGTTCTCTGTTCACGGGCTCCTCCACGGTGCCATCTCCTGGTGAACCCATTGATCATAAATATCATACCTCGAACCAGTAGGCAATTGATCTTTCCCAGTCTAACAACAACACTGGTGTCAGTAGCTCAAGAGATAGGATATAAGTTGGAACTGTAGGCTTGACGTCGAGAAGCGCTTCGGTCTCCGCTTTCAGGATTGACGTCATCCGTGCTAAAGCCTCAATATGGTACTCGAAGGAGGAATCTCAATGGTGCTTTAGTAACAGTAAGTGATTTTGTTCTCTGACAAGAGGCAGGCTATGACCGTCGCTACTAAAGCAGTAAGATTCCTGAATGTTTTCCATCAAGCTATCCTGGATGCTGTCCTAACCCCTGAGGCGCCTTGCTCTCGGTCTTGATCCAAACGTCCCTTGAAAAACACACCAATGCAATACCACCACTGGAAACGCCACTTATGCCAACTCGACCTCGCTGTGCCTAAGAAAATAAAGATTCATTACTTGAGAGGGGAAACTCTACTTCTTCCCCTTCTTGCCTTTGGTCTTTTGTGGGCTCTCATTCGTTCCCAAGATAGTGTCAAACGTCATGTTTGGATCCGCCTCAAATTGGATTGCTTGGTGGCTCAATGTCGAAGTTGGCCGTGAGGCTGACCGGGATGCTGACGCATGAGCGGGCTCTAGTCCCAAGCTGACTGAGCTCCTGTCATGACTGACACTTCGCACATCAGAGTACGTTGGCGAGGATGGCCTCAGGAGTGGTGAGGCGTACGGACTCAAATAAGGTGACTCCGGTGGGTTGAGATATTGTGGAGGGGCGATGGGAGGATCCAATGGCAGGATTCGTGGACTGGATGTACGGCCCAGGTGCACTTGCTGACCTTCGTCTTCTTTCGCGTGTACCCATGCTGTGGCTGCTGTCCAGCAGTGACTTCGTGCGTAGATTGTTTCGACACTCTGATCGATCTGTTCGGCTGTCCAATCAACGGCAACACCACTTTTGTCGACAAAGGACAATGACCTAAATCCTGACGAGTCTTCCTTCATCCACGGTCTGCCTCGAGGAGCAATGCACAAGAAGTATTCAACTCCATCGGTGTATTTTAGATTCCGCGCATCCACAACTACCAAAGGGAGTGCCTGTAGAACGGCATACAAAAAGAGCCATTGTCCACACCGGGCATCGACAATTTGATCGAGTACCTTTCCGTGGCCTAAACGGCGCTCATAGCCAAAAAACTCTTGAATAAAGGGACTTGCGTTGATTGAGGTCCGGTTGTATGATCCCAACAAGACTTCGTTGACCTCATTTTCTCGCAATTTTTTGCTTTGCAATGCCGTCTTGTCCGAAATTACCACATGTGTACGATTGAAGCTGTGGGAGAACTGTGGCAGGAGAGGCGTATCGAAGGGCATGGGAGGCAGAACTGGAGGCGTTGCCCGGTCATATTCGCTCTCAACGCGCCTGATCGCATGCTGAATTGTCTCGTTGAGGTCACTAGTCTCAGCATCATCAGCCATCGGAGGCATGTTGGCAGTCCTTGTGGTTGGGCTTGTTCGGTCGACGAGAATGTCATACAAATCAGTAAAATCTTTGTAGAGTTCTTTCAGAAGGACTCTGTTCAGGCCGTTCTCTTCGAAGTTGTTCTTCTTAGAGGACGCCTTCGGTGGCCAAGATCCATATCGACGGCGGTAGTAAGACAGCGTGAACTTTCGAAGATCGAGGAAGGCCGCTTTCCATTCTTTGAAACGAATCATCTTGGCCTCGGTAGAGGACTGAGAATTTGCGATACCCGCGAACATCGACGGGAAGTCGAAATCGTTCAACTTTCCGGTGAGGTTGACTAGCTTCTGCTCTAATTCCAATTGTGCACGTTCCAGACGCGCGACGGTAGTGGAGGTTATCTTTTCGAATTTTGGGCTTTTGATTGCCTTGATGTCAGCCAACTTACCCACAGCATGTGTGAAGCCTTCGTTGTATAAAAGCCACGACCTAAGTTGCTCTCCCAACACGATGGCCTCGATTGTTTTTTCTCTGCTCGAACGTACGTCCCCCAATCTCAACTCTTCACAATATCGTGCGAAGCTCGAAGTCGGCACTTCCCCAAATGTTGAACCGTCGGAATTCGTGAACGAAAACCGTTTTAGGATGGTGCTGATGCCCATCATGATCGAAAACACAGTTACTTGTCTCGGGGTAGCCACCAAAGCACCGCCGGCAAGAAATGCGAAAAAGTTACGGTAAAGAACAACCAATTCAAGGTCGTTGCCTTGTGGTTCTGTTCCAGGGAGGGATAGATCCGTGTCAAAGCCCAGAGGGAGGTAGACGTGCTTTTGGTCGTTGACGAAGGTGTTAGCACTAGGCACGGAAAAGTTCAAGGAAGGTCTAGAGGCCGTCGAGCTTGCTTGTGAAGACGGTCGAATGCCCTGCGAGGTAGTGGTCAGTTCTGCGAGAGCGAGCTGAAGTTGCTGCAGATCATCGTCATTCTCGACCGGAGATGTCGGACATGCAAATCGCAGATTGACAAGCGTTTTTGAATCCATCAAGAGTGACGAATGGACTTTGAAACATGGACCTTTCTTCGACGAAGGTGGGTAGAGATAGATCAGGGTATCACCCTGGTCGCTCCACGCCTCCGGTACCTGAAGAGCTGTCAGTGACCACTCTAAATGACTAGAAACTAGCTGACTACCTTCTCTCCTTTCATTAAGGGGGTTAGATCATAGGGTATCAATTCTCGCAATCCAGCAATCCAAGCTTGCGCATATCCTTCACCATTATTCCGTCCTCCTGGTTTTGTGAGTGCCCAGCTCTTTTTCTTGATCCTCCCGGATGGTACCGCCGATGGTGGACCGGCGCTGTGGATTGCAGACGTGCCTGGCGAAGCTGGAAAGACAGGAGTCTGAGGCCGACTCCGGCTCTCCTCGCGACTCTGTACAAGGGTCAGACTGGCAGGACTACTCGCCCGGCTGCCGAGTCTGCTGTCTGGTCCACTTCTTTGGCTACTCGGAGGTCTGAAGACACCCTCGTCAGAGACAAACGGAGGGGGCATAAGAGGCGGAAGGTCATTTTCGATACTGAAGTCGGAGGACGCAGCAGGACTATGTTTGTGCAGCTTATGGGGGCCTCCCTCGCCAGGGTTTGCCGATGGTTCAGACTGGAGGTAATGGGAAGCATGAGCATGTGGTTGTTCATATGCTTTGTCGTCTCGTGTGAGTGAAAGGGAGAAAATGGAGGAAATTCGTTTCGCCATTGTGCCCTACTGTCCAAACCTGCAGTGTCTGGGGAAAGTCAGGTCCTGCGCTGTTAGTATGGAGGACGTTGTGAACTGTCCACTTTGTGTCGACGATGGTCAGGCGGTATCAGTCATGTCCTGCCCGCGAACTGCACTCATGCAGTGTCACAGACATCAAGAGGGTCGCACAGCGAGTAAGGAATGCAAGGGAAAATTGCTCAACCAGGATCGGGCATGAATTGAAAACTCGCCTCAGTTTGGACTGGGACGCAAGATGACGATGCGCATTCGCGTCTGGAAGGCCTTGCGATTCGCAGCGCTTCTGATGGGCCGCGTGAGGACTCTCTGCGGAGCATGGTAAGCGAATTCAGGCATTGTCGAGCCTCCATCAAAAGCTACAATGCCGATTCGACCATGCATTCTAGTTAGGGTGAGGCGCAGGGGGAGATGTCGGGAACCAGGCATTCCAAAACCACGACTTCGGTGCGTGCCAGGGGTTTGGCACTCCCGCGCCTTGATATGGTGAGCATCAGCCCCTCCCATGCGGAACGAGCAATATATATCATATTCTGACCAACAAGCCACCCACACAGATGTCAGGATGGCTAACGAGGGTGGCTTGCGGTCCAGGGTGTCCTTGTTGGGTGGTGAGTCTGGAGTCTCATTAAAAGGGAGGCTACTAGGCTTGTCTCAACCTCTTTCCCGCTGCTTAAAGTGCCGCTAACAGAACTGCCGCCCCAGGCGATACTTTTATCCGTCGCAGAGGAATCACGCTGGTGAACACGGAGTACGTATGTCTCTAACAGCTATGGCGTAATTGTCTGAACACGCAATAGGGGGATGAAAATGCGTAAGCAATCAAGGCGAGGGGATCAGATACACATCCTCGCAAGTTTACAACAGGGGCCTTTGTGCGGCCTTGTACGAGCTTTGCGATTGTCTGGCAAAGCACAACCTCGGACTTACTGAGTCAGCTGCACGATCGACGAAAGACGACAACCCCAGATCGGGCCACCTCATGTCGACTCCGGAGTCGCTGGGTATTTTACCCTGCGCCCATTCTGCTTCATCATTGGGATAATGTGATGGCTTCGACTCAGGTAAAAGTCGAGTCGCCGCTCCACACAGGTCGACTTGTTCAAAGGCTGGAGAAATCCAGCGCGCAGCTGCTATCTTGATATTCGGCAGTGCTACGCACTTCAAACGAACTCACGACATCGATGCAGTCTCGCAGTGTCGTTGCACAGGTGATGCTGGAACGTGAATTTTGCGTGATTATCCAACCTTCATTTGGCCCGTACAGGATTATCTGGCCACGGCTTCTAATAGAACCATACCCGAACCACGAATACATCCTGTAGGTTGTTATCAGCGTGCTGACTGCTCACACTGCCTCCTCGACGCGCCCCCTTCCCGACCAACGACAGCGCCCTGGGATGGTTGTCTTTTCGCGTGCAGATTGCGCTGTTGGGAAATGGAAGCAAACGCGATTGTCTAGGATCGCTGCCTCTTTCCTGCCTGCGATGCATTGCTGATGAGCTATTAGGCAAGTTCCACCCTTGATTAGGGGCATCTTATATTTATTTGTTATACTCGCAGAACCACGGCGACAGTATATGCCTTGTGCCCTTCTAGTAGGCACAGAACAAAAATCAGTATAACCAGTGGGAGACTGGCTGTTTCTTGTTTCATCATTCAAGAACATCACCTCTCCAGATTACTGGTTCGACTTTGGAATGACGTGCCCCTTTAGGCAAATGCATCGAATAATCATTGCTAGAGGAGGCTGCTCTGGGGAGACGCATTCAGGATAAAAGTACATTTCTATCTTCAGTCCTGCTCACTGAGTTCCGCGTCGAAGTGCAGTCTCAAGCTTTGACGCAGCACTGATACCAGGTACAGCCCTGTAGCAGACCCCCGCGGGTTGTCTGCTCCTCGTCTCTTGTCCGTCTCAAGAATAGGTATTTTCCATTTCGAGTGGCGGTCATCCCAGATCGAACTACGGAGCACTCGATACACCGCATTCTTTCCTCATTTCTCCACTCACATGATTTCGCAGCAGACATGCTCATTCACTCTGTCTCCTAAACGACACAGACGAAAAAAAGAGAAAAAGCCAAAAAGAAATGTGCATCAACCCGGAGTCGAACCGGGGTCTAGTCGAGATCGCTTTTGAGGCTGGCAACGACCAATTCTACCGCTGAACCATTGATGCTGATAGAGGCCCGATTCCAAGCTGAAGTGGATCGGATTGATTTGTGTGTTGATTGTTGAAAGAAAATCTGCATATTAAAATTATATCCCAAAAATAATGCTGTGGGGTGGGGGTATTTAGTACCTTACTAAGGTAAAGCTCCACCTAACGAGCTGTACTTGTACTAACAACAGATCGAAAATAAAAATCTTAATCTGAACTCGTTAGACCATGCATGAATGAATTGCGTACTTTCTACCGGTCTGGACGAAGCACAATGCAGTTGCCATGGTGATATCATCATGTATTTAACTTATTAGTCAGGCAACCCTCAGATATTAAGGTGTCTGGATACCTCTGCGAAGGATGTAGGAGGTAGGTCTAGTTATTCTGCCGAAACCGTACCTCGAATTCGACGCCGCCAAATACCCCGAGCGCAGGATACAAATCACCATCGCCCATTAATCCATCAATCCCCTCGTCACGCTCGTCTCGTTCTTCGTCGATTTCCCATTCCCAATCCTTGTTCGTGCGTCCGTCGCGCGTAACGAACGCGGTAGTCTTCACTTTCCCCGGTCCAGATCCAGCAGGTGCCGGTATCGGTGTCGTCGAGAAGCGCATACCTACCTCGATGGTCTCGCCGGGTCGAAAGGCCTCGACGAAATCACGTCCGCCCCACGGATCGTTGACAAAGCGCCGTCCGTCGTCGCCGTGCACGCCGATGCTTGCGCGATGCCAGCCCGGCAGCCGCCACGGAGGGTACGGCTTGGCTGCGTAGCCAATGGCGATACCCGAGTTGGCATTGGTGATCTTGTACACGTGGATCTCGAACGAGATTGTCTTGGACCGACCGGTGATGGAAGGGTGGTCGACGGCCGCAAAGTACAGTGGGATACTCGACATGATGATCGTATCTTGCTGAGAGGTTGACGTGCGGATGGACCATGTCGTTGGCGTCTGTTGGCGGAGAGAAAAGTTTCGACTGTTGGGTCCTACAAGTTGCGCCGGCGGCCGTTCGAGCGTCAAGTGGCCTGCCGCTGCAAGGCTGTGGATCTCGCGCGATGGAACGGAGGGCGTGTAGACAGGGTGCTGGGCGCACCATTCGTGGGCGCGCGCGGCCGAGTCGTAGCTTGCATTGTTAGTCGGAGAGTAGTCTTGTGGCAAGGGCGGAGGCGGGGGGAGCAGTGCTGTGTCTGGGATCACCGTCCAGTCGTGGTAGGGTGGTGGGTTTCCAGGAGGCGGTCCAGATGGAGGAGCGTACGTGTCTTCGTCGCCGTCATTCTCTTGTACGCGCTTGGTGAAGTGGGGAGGAGGTCCAGGAGGAGGAGCAAAGTCGGATTGTATATGGGTTTGGTGAGACGGAGGTGGTCCCGGAGGTGGGCTGTATTCGTCGTTTGTGGTACTTGATGAGGAGTGTCCGAAGACACGGCGCTTTTCTTCCGCGGTCGAGTACTCGTCGTACTCTGAGTTTGTCTGCGGGTTATCGGTGCCGACATCGACTTTGCCCTTGAGAGATCTGAAAAAGCCCATATTGTGCGGTGAATGCTGATCTGGTGTGAGGGTTGTTGGTTGGTGATATTGCGGTCATCAGTCAGCTGTGTCAAACTCTCAACTTTCAGAGCGATGCCGCACAACGTCAAGTCCCAAAAATCAAGACTTTTGGCTTTATACCTCACCCAACGAACATTATACTTGTTCAAGAGAGGCTTGGACAATGAAGAACACAGAAATATGGACGGAGTGTGGGTGTTAAAGGACACGCAGATACTGTGAGTAGCGGGGTATGAGTGATACTGGTCTAAGCCACAATGACCTCTTTCCGGAGTCTTGGAATCTCGTGAACTCTTCTTTCACTCCCTTCTTATCACCTGTATGATGCTGCTTGATAACTTCTATTATGTAGAAACGTAGCAGCCTCAGTGTGCTCAACTGAGCTTGTATGACACTTACAGAAACCAATACGCTCTCATTGACGCTTACAAGATCCTGACTCGTAGTTCGATAAATGGACTTGGAGCCTGACTCGTTTAAGTCCGACTAACCCCGCAAAATTTTTGTACGCCAGACAAAAAAGTTGTATTTGCAGAAGTGCATGTTCTTCACCAGCACATAGTATCAACGAGACTGGTGCACTGCAATTTTTGTATGTGCAGTCACATCTGATGTCTCGCTAATCCACATATTGCGGCAGACATGCCTCCGACCACCTCAGCTTTCGCAGCGCAACTGCGCACGATTGCTGCGAAGTCCACCAACGAGTTAGACCTCCGCGCACGTCGAGACGCTCACGCCGAATCGCTCATCTTCGATCGCCCGGTTGCTGCAAAACAAGACTGGGATACGATATATCAGATATGTGTTGAGGGGTTTCATGAGCTATGCGTGCTCGATTCGAGACTGCGAGAGTTCGACCAAAATCTCTTCAGCCCCCAAGCCAAGGAGCAAGACAGAGAGCAATTGAACAAAACACAAAATGAAGCACTAGGAGTGGTAATTGAACGCTGTCTGGCTATTCTCGGATCCAAAATCCTTCTAAGACCGGGTGTAAGGGCTGTGGAATGGCTTGTTCGAAGATTCCGAGTCCATGTCTACAACACAAGTGTCCTGCTTGCCACCTTCCTCTCTTACCACGAAACACCCGTCTTCCGAAATCTCTTGAGCATCATCCCAGCAAACAAGATTGTGAATGAATGGAAGTTTCTGGGACCATACCACAATACCGCAGCCAATTTACCGCGCCACACCATAGTTTATAGCGCCACGCACAATGACGCCTTTTTCTCATATTTCAACAACTATGTTCTGCGGACATGTCAAGAGGGAGCTGGACATCCACAACTGCTTCGCTTTTGGGGTACACTCGTGGTGGAAGCGGTGACAGGAAGACTCAACCAAGTTCGAAGTGGGCGAAAAGAGGTGGAAAAGCAAAGGTTAGAGGACGCTTTGATAAAGATTGTCCCTGTGCTCGAGGAAGGATTCGAGATCAAGGATAGCCCTGAGGTCACCGTCACTTGCTTCACCATATCGCTCCTTCTAGCAAGCAATTCCAACCTGCAAGACGCGGTTATCGATTCACTGATGAGATCAGTCGCTTCGCATATTCAACCCGACAATCCAGACTCAAAAGCCGCGTTGGCTTGTCTAATTGTACTCGTCACCAGGAAACACGAACCAAAAGTGCCAAAAAAAGTGCTAGAACTTCTCATCAAGCAGCGTGACTTGAAATTAAGACTGTTGGAGCTCAAAGAACAAGTCCCCATTCCTTCCTGCTTGGAGGTTTTGGTCAATTCTTCTCTCACTGGTCTCAAGCAGTCGAACTTCGACTCTCGCCTTGCATTTGTGGAGCGATTGTTTGAAGTGACCTTGGGGTTAGTGGACATACAGACGATCAGCCGCTGTCTTGCAGTAATCCTACGAAAGCTCGAAGGAGCAGCTGGAACTCCGAGCCGGGAATACTTGACCAGCCTCCTACGAAGGCTTAACGATAACCCAAATTTCTCACCAGCCTTCCCTGAGGCCATCCAACTAGCTGGAAAGTCATTGGGAGACATCGAGGAGGTTCTCGAAACCGCAATTGAGTCGATGGACGATGTTCAGATGATTGAGTCCAACCAGATGGAACTCACTGATCCAGCACCGGAGAACTCCTTTGAATCTGAGAAGCTTGATTCAATGTTGGCACGTTTGCCGGCAGAGTCGGTGGATCTGTCGTTTCTAGCTATGAAAACTTCTCCTTTGTTTGACCAGCTTCTTCAAGCCTTTGCACTCTGCCACAAATCCGAAGACGCTCTTGCGCGATTCGAGGCTCTGCCGCTTTGGGGCAACAGTGTTGACCAGCCGTCAGACCTAAAGACGAGCTTCTACTTGAGAGTGGCCCTCAAAGCCTCCGTGGCACCCCACCAGGTTGTGGCACTCAGAAGCCTGTCCCATGGTCTCGAACGTGCTTCTCATGCCCCCTCGCAATTGCTCTTCCCTTATTTGACGATACTTCTGGCTGACCCAGGGCAGCCTGTGAGACGAGGAGCTGCAGCATGTTTGTTGGGTCTACGGAAGAGCCTGGCTAAGGATACCACCGAGGCCACCTCAGAGACTACAGAAGTTTATGATGGCTTATCTATGAAAAACATGAAGCGTTTACCGACAGGTCAAGCACTCAAGCTTCTTGACCAAGTAGTCATTCCAAACTTGGAAGAGTGCATACTCGAAGCGTTGCATATTCATCGGGTGCTCGAGACCGCATTTAACAGTCTTTCTCGGTCATCCTCATCAGGGACAAAGACTGCAAATGTTGAACTGAAGAAGAGTTTGAAGCACGACCTGTTCGACCAATTGATTTTGTGTGCGACAACAACTCCTCTTACCAAGGTCAAGCTTCGTGTCATCGAGTTACTCGGTGGCGTCCAGAAAGTGGGCAGTACGAGCACGAGCAGGGCCCTAGCACCCGTGCTAAAGACCTGGGCAACATTGAAAGACGACGAAGCTGAAGCTGTCGCTACCGCGGAGGATCTGTCTCTTGCGCATATCGACGCTGTTATGGTGCAGATTATCAATGGTCGCAGTAAAGAAGCAGTAGAACAAGCTCTTGAGATGCTCAAAGAGGCGAGCTCGCACATGAGAGTCGCTTTAGTGACTGCCTTCTTTGATCGATTGACGCTCATCTGGAAGGATGTGCGTCGCGAGTCACAGATCTCATCTGCTGGACTTCTGTTTGACATGTCTTTCTCTGACAATCATGCCTTGGCCAGTGGCAGTCGAAATGTTCTTCAGTCAGTAACTCTCTCAACGGAAATTCTCGCTTCATTCTTCGAACTGGCGTCGTCAGGCATGTCAGACCTGCAGACCCTGGCTCCACCGAAAAAGAAAAGGAGAACTAGTCATGGCCGCGAAAGCCTGCCTCGAGAACTGGCACAGACCCTTACTCTCGTGGATTCCCGTTTGACCTTTGCGCTAGAAATTGTCGAAAACTCCAAGCCAGAAAACCATCCTCAATTACTTGGCGATTTGTTTGAAGTCCTAATTTCTCTGCGACGAACCGAGGATAGAGGAGTTCCGGCATCTCCCTACCTGACCACCCTGTGCCTGAGTAGCATTCTGTCAATTGTCAACGAGATACGACAAGCTCGGAAACCAGATCTGGATGTGTCGAAAATCCGTCCCGATCTGGTCATCGACTGCGCTCGCTCATCGGAGAACCCCCAGGTCCAGAGCACTGCCCTTTTGCTTGCTGCTTCTTTAGCCTCTCTGGCCCCCGATCGCATATTACACACTATAATGCCGATATTCACCTTCATGGGCCATGGCATCTTGGCCAAAGAAGACGAGAGATCTATCTACGTAACGAACCAAGCCATTGACCAGATCATCCCTCCCCTGGTCGCAACGCTAAAGAAGCAGGATGCTACCAATTTGGTTCTGTCAACATCAAGCCTTCTTTCGAGCTTCGTTACAGCATTTGATCATATCCCGCAACACAGACGCAATGCCTTCTACCAGAGACTGCTCAATAGGCTCGGTGCAGAGGATTTCGCGTTCGCACTTATTGCACTGCTTGTGTCTAGGCGACGGCAGCAAGATATGTCGATATTCCTCTCGAACTTGGTAGGCGATTTGCCGCCGTCCACGCAGCTTTCTACCCAGAAAAAGATTCTCGATCTAGTGGACGATGTCTTTTCGGATAACCCGCATAATGCAGATCCGCTTCTCAACATCACCAAAACCACCAAGAACGACCAGCGAGAAGAAATCGCCGAGGTCTTACTTACTACTGCCTCCAAGCTGCTTGGGTCTAGTGGCCTCATGTTTTCGGTTAAGCGTTTGCACAAGCTAGGCGAGTCTGAGGCTGAATCATTTTGGAAAGTGTACAGAGGCGCTCTCACTCAGATCTTGTCCATACTCAAGGACCAGAAAGTCAACCATCCAAGCTTGACTAGCACAACGAGGGATTGCTTAAGTGCACTTCTTGGGCTCCCGTCCCTGGCCGAATTACTACACATCATGCCTGAGATCTTGAGCGAGATGGAACATGCCGGTGACAAAGAACTGCAACCTTTGGCTTTGCGTGTCCTCGCTACACAACTTCAGCATCATGCTCCGAAGGATAGCCATACCCAGTCTGAGGCCATGGCATTGCTTCCTACCATTCAAACGATCATTGGGTCTTCGGAAGAAGAAGCTCTCCGTCACGCAGCGATTACACTATTGGATCGGATCGTTGAAATTTATGGCCGCAAGAGCCCCGACGCCATCATTGCTGCCTCTAATGTTCTCATTGAGGGCGCACACGGGTTGAACTCGCAAGACCCCAGGACTCAAGTCATGTCTCTTCTCTGCTTAGCTTCTGCAGTGGAAGCTCTCAAAGAAGCCGCTGTTCCAATCGTGCTTACTTCGATGTCAAAAGTTCTCGGCCTGTTGGAGGCCAGCCTGGCAGGCGATGTTGGCAATACGGAACTGCACAACGCAGCCTTCACACTTCTTTCATCATTCATATCACACGTCTCATTCATGGTCTCGGACGAGAATGCGGTCGAGATTTTGAGTCTGTGCCACAAGTCATCGGCAGCAGCACCCGAACTGGACCCATCCTGTAAGGAATCTAGAGTCGAAGCACTCGAGCTACTTGCCAAGAAGATCGATTTGAGCACCGTGATAGACAGTCTCAACAAGGTATGGAGTGGCGTCGTGGCAGACATAACGCTCGAAACCGTCACAGAGTATTTCGACCTGCTCTCTCGCGCTATTGATCGCAACTCTAAGCCTGCCGTGGTCCGCAATGCCGAGCCGATAACAACGTTCCTTCTTCAAGTGTTGGATCTTCGGCGCCTTGTGGCTTCTTCTTCCAGCGAAGTTGCCCTGTCTCTAGAGGACATCAAGCTCGTCGAGTCTCGACTACAGGATCTGTCCATCCCCTTCATCTACAAACTCAACGACACTGCCTTCCGACCACTCTTCGAGACCTGGGTTGACTGGGCGATCAAGCCGAATGATGTACCTGCCAACGCCAACGTGAAAACAGCAAGACAAACAAGCCTCTTTGGTTTCGTCAACCACTTTTTCGCCACCCTCAAGAGCATCGTCACCAGCTATGCAAGTTACGTTCTCGAGCCGGCCAATGCCGTTCTGAGCGCTGCCACCAGCGGCTCCACGAGCATGTCCAGCGACGACATGTCACTCTACAGATCGACATTAACCCTGTTGACCACGCTGATGGAGCACGACGCCGATGGGTTTTTCGCATCCCCAGGACACTTCTCACCTCTCTCGGACTTGCTCGTGTCTCAACTCACGCTCGCGTCCGCCAAGTCGAAACCACTGCGCGCCGCTGTGGGAGAGCTGGTCATCCCGGCCATTGTCAAGCTGGCCACCGCGACAATGGACACGCCGGCCCACCATCACGCCGTCAACCACGGCCTGTGTCAGCTTCGACACAAGAGCAGTGCCGCCGTTAGGCTCAGCGCCATCAGGACGCACTTGGCACTCACGCAGGATGAGAACGTGGGTGAAGAGTGGGTCAACAACGTCGTTGTCGGCGCAAGTACAGAGGGCGTCGGCGGAAGCGGGGAGACAATGGTCTACGTCAACGAGAGTCTCGAGGATGACGACGAGGAAGTCGAGCGCGAAGTGCGCAGGTGGGTGAACATGGTCAGGGAGATGGTTGGTGAGGATGTCTTTGAGGTTTGAGAAGCAGTAAGGGCGGTAGTAGGAGCAGCAGCAGTAGTAGCGTCTTCTGTCTGGTCATCTTGTTTCAAGTACCTACATAGGTGCTCACCCCCACTTCTCAGGTTGAACTTGGGTCAAGGGATGGGAGGTATATAAAACGTACAAAGTGTAGGGTGTGTGTCCGTCTGTTGTCCGAGGAAGTCGAAAGATGGTATGACCTGAATGAAATCTAAAAGTCTGAATGCGTTGGTACTGTAGACACCACAAGGCGAGACGAAAACTAAGATAAAAGCAAAAGGTAGTCAAGCCTATCTATCCCATGTCCAATCTTGGGCGTGGCTCCTTGTTCCCTTTCAACTCGTGTCCAGCAATCCTCGCCAAAAAGAAACCATTCTAGTCTAATCGTCAGGTCGTCTAGAATAGGGCGACGTTTCTCCCCTTTTCTCGTACCACCGCGTTCCACGATACGTGGTGGACCCCGGACATCTCAACCAGTGCAACACCACTCTTAATTTTCTTGAGAATACTTTCCGCACCCCCTCCTGCCCCTTCCGTCCCTTGCTTGTCTTTTAATGGCACATTTCCATTTCAAATGTAAAACATCCTCTCTCTCATGCTCTCATGGATGCTGAGGTCGAACCGGTGGTCTTGGTGCGCAGCGGGATCCCACTTCTCGTCCTTGGCGGCATTGTAGAATCTCCGAACGTAGAATCTGGCACGGTCCGCCGCGAGATCTGCGTAGTAGGCCGCGGGACACACGGAGACGGAGCCAGTTGATCGACCGAACAGGAAGCAAAGGTGGTGAGTCTATGATACCACAAGGGAATTTAATTTTGTCAGCGGAGAAAGTCCAAGGCATGAGAAGAAGAACCCCCCAAAAAGGGAAACATCACCGCCGAGGCATCGACAATACAAGGGGGAAAAGGGTGAAACAACAACAACGACGACGACAGTAACAACAAAATGACGCTTACCGCTAGCGCAATGTCATCCCTGGTATGGATCGTCGAATTTTTCAAAATCACATAGTGCGTAGGCCGAGCCGTTCCAATCTGGGCCTTCTGGCTGATGAGGAAGAAATCCTGGCCTTTGCCGTACGTGACCTTCTCCGTGACCATGGTGCCGGGCATGGGGTTGAAGTTGTACCTGCTGCTCTTTTTCCCAGGGGCTCCGTAGCCGATGAGGGTAGGGGTATCTTGCTGAACGTCGCTTGTCGGGAAGAATCGAGTGTGGTGTCTCTTGACTGCGCAGATGAGGGCGACGGGGATGGATTGGCCCTGTGACAATGCTCTACCTTTCTCCGTGAACACGGCTTCAATTGCGGCCGTTATTTGCGGGAGTTCTTGCTCCTCGCATATTTTGAATTGGCCCTCGGACAGACCGTCGCGGTAGACGAGAATGCGTTGAGGCAGTTGTTGTTTATTAGCATCGTAATACCCACGTAGTCGCTCCATGACCATGTCTTTAAGATCCGTCACTTGCTCGTTCGACTTCTTCTTCCCGTCCTGATCCTGCACTAGGGGGTTCTCTCTTAGGCTTGCGGGCCACTGGGAAAACTCTGCATCGACGCTGCCCACTACCGCTGCGATGCTGGGCGCTCCAGACATAGCTAGAGCGCCGGCGTGGGTCACGTCGATGCCGAGGATCATGGTACCGGCGCCGAGAATGGCAGGCTTGACGGCGAGCGATTGATTGACTGATCGGCTGTTCATCTTGAGATTGATCTTCATGCTCAGATTGCCGTAGAAATCAGGAGAGGTGTTTGGTCCATAATGTTTCTTCCACCGATCATACTTGAGGACATGGCAGACAGTTGCGACACCAGTGCGTTGATCACCGACCCTCTTGACGGCGCTGTAAAGCTCCATGTCCTTCGTTGGCAGTAAGAAGACAATGAGGTTGACCCCGTGCTTGTCTCGAAGATTCCTGATCATTTCATCGATGAAGTTGAACTGGGCTACCAGTCCTGCCACATGATGCTGCGTTGGTAGGGTTTCATGGGGAAGCTCACGCTTGTGGCCTTCAGGGAAAGGCAGTGCTTGAAGATAAGCTCCAACCATACCAACCCGGTGCAACGCCGATTGGAGTCCCTGACTGAACCTTGAAAGATCCTCCGCCCGGCAAACAGAGCCACTGTTCTTTAGGGTGAGTTCAATATAAGTCCACACAAATCGTTGAGCAGCAGGTCTGAAGTAAGAGGAGTCTTTGAGATTCCAAGATCCGTACTTGACCAGGTCTCCCCAGACATGGTTCTCTGGAGGCGGCCCTGAATTTTGGGCGTTTCCTATTCTGCGGTACCTCACAACTGGTGCCGCAAGGGGTACTACTGGAACAGATATCATGACGTCTCCCAAGCTGAGATCGAATTGCCTCGCCCCAGTGTTGGAGGGGTTGCTTCCATAGAAGAGGGAACGACCCTTGTCGAGAATGCGTTTCTTGTTTTCGTCAGGGGGTTGAACAGCAGCTAGGGGTAGTTCCCTCGTCTTCCGCATCACCTGGCCGGGAATGATATCGAGAAGATCTGCTGGGAATGCCTTGGCACAGTCACCTCCACCGATGACAACTGCGAAAACGTTGGATTTTGGACCATAATGTGTGTTGTGGACTCTGTCAAAGTAAGCTCCCAATGACTCCATGTGCTGGTGACCAGGGTTGTCTGCTCGGACCGCTGCTACGGTTGGCTGCATACCATCTTGGCTGACCCGTGCAAGGTTTGTTATCGTTGCCAAGAAATTGTCAGGCTCTTGATGGTCAGTAAGGTGAAGAGTTCTGACACTGAGTCCTTTGAGGAACTTTGCAAGGTCTGCGTAGTGGTATTGGTGCCATTGACGCGGGGCATTTTGGGTTTTCCAAGCATCAATCAGTTCCTGAACATTGCCTTTGGCGTAGAAGAGCGACGTCTTGGTGTTGATGTTGAGATTAATTGGAACATCCGCTGAAAACCCAGTGCGAACACTTCTGCTGAAACCCGGAATACTGTTAAGTGGGCCTTGTTGTTTGATTTGCCCTGTATCAGTTGGACCATTTCGCCCTCTTACATAAACGCCGTAGAACACTCTTGCGCCAACAGTGGTGAGGAACCGCTCCGAAAATCTTGGAGGATTCTCATGAGTGAAAGTTGGGAAGCATCTCACGTACGGATGATAGCTGAAAATAATATTGAGGGCGCTGACGGCGTCTTCTTTGTCAGGAAACTCAACAAAGCTCTGAGTTCTTGAACTCTCCTGAAGATGTTGAGAAAGATCTCTCAGAGAAAAGGACTTTTCAAAAACGAGTTTTACGTCAAATACCTCTGGATTGTCAGGAGGCCCTGAGCGGTATTCATCGTAATAGTCGATGGTAAAGATCTTGGAGATCTTCTCGAGAATGGGACTGGCCGTGATGATGTGTGTGCTGTAGTTCGTTGCAAGTGGGATTCTGGCAAGCTTCTTGTCTGCCTTCAGCTCGAGTATGAGGAGGGCGATGATTCGTCTGGTTTTGGAGCGATTGATTCGGCTGTCGAAGGTCTCGCTTGCGTGTGTAGGCTCGTCGCCGTTGTCATCGTCGTCCGGAGGATTGGCCGATTTGGACTTCCCATCCTTGTCGAATGACTTTGGTTCAGATGCCGACTCCTTGACGGGATCTCCCTGGCTCTTGACTCCCACTTTCGTGTTCCCTTCAGACTCCGTGCTCGCTTTGGACTTTGTAATCCGTTCGAGGTCTTTACCACCACAGTCCCCTGTATCTCCCTGCGGCCGTTTTCGGAAAGACAGGGCGTATCGGTACAATTCTGCGTATTTGCCAATGGTGACTTCGAAATGATTCGCCAACAAATCGGTATCTGAGTGAACTGAGAGTTGGCTCATGGACTGTTCAAGGGCAGCCTGGGAACCGTGGTGGCCGAAGCCAGTTGACGGAGCTCTGTCTGAGGATTGATAGAAGCCACCACGACTGTTGTATCCACCACGACTTCCAGATCTACCACGATTTGCAGAGGTGTCACGATAGCCAGAACTCCCACGACGGCCAAAGTTGCCTTGGTTGCCTTGAGTGTCATAGTTGCCACGATTGCCCCGGCTTCGGCCGCGTCCTCGGCCGCGGGCATCCATCCTGGAAAACTAGGTCGATCTGGGTGGTGACACTATTGCAACGCTTTGCTTAGTACACAAATCTTGTCTGACGTTGCAAAGAGTGAACCTTACGTATTCCCAAGCGCAGTTCAGCGACGTGCTATTGAAGCGTTGTCTTTCTGTGAAGCAAGGCAGTGAAGGAAATTGAAGTGAAGGGCATCCTGTTCCAGAGAATGATTGCAGAGGGTGTCCAAGACACATGAGCAGTGTATTTGCAGATTTTATAACTTACCGTTTGAGTCAACAAACCATTTCAAACGTACAGTTGCAATCCCTGCAATTGTTTGATCACAGTGTACATCAACAAACACCCATGGCCAAGCTAAATGAGACTATGCCTCCTGACATTATGGTTTGAAGGTGTTGTTGCTTCTTTGCGCGATGAGGCTGTTGGTTGGCAGGAAGACGCCGCACCCCAGCCATGTTGATGACTTTCTATGAGCAGCGTATAGAATTGTGAAGAAGGCAGGCCGCCAACATAGATGATACTCAATCTAAGAGAGTTGACGTAACCATCCAACTGCCTCTAGCCTCTCAAAACGTGTCGTCCAAATCTCTCTTAGACACAGGGCCAGGGAGACGCCGTTGAGTATTGCAACAAGCTAAAAGGAGCTGCACTGAAGGGCCTGATATCGCCGCCATTGGTAGCCGGATGCAGGGACGAAAATTCCCGAGGCTTAGAGACGGACTTCATCCCCAACGCAAAGGACACTCAAAAAATGGAATGATTGTGAGGATTGAGATGCATGTAGTCCGCACTTCGTATTTAACGATCGGGATCTTGGTACTAATACGAATACGAGCATGGTCCACGTGACCAGCATCAACCACCCTCGAGACCCCTGTAAACATCTCCTCCAGACTCCAGTTACAACAGCCTCATAGCCACTGATACGCAGCATCAATGTCGTGACTGCTGCACTGATGTCTCACGAGAACATTCATTCATTCAGAATAATTGTATCCATCAGGGGAAAGTGCTTGTTGCTCAACGAAACACAATTAGACGTCTGACTGAACAGCGCTCAGGATTGAACTACATTAAGCCGTCTCTTTTGTCATGCTGGTATCATACATAAATCTACAGCTACATCCAGCATAAAGTTCATGGCAGAAGAACAGGTGCAACCTTGTCAGACATCATCCTCTCGAGCTGCGGGTAGATCTTGTCGACCGTGTTGGCTGTTCAGTCTTCTTTCCGTTGAGAGCTGGGGCCGGTGTTGGCTTGCTCTTCTTCCCACTGCCGCGTCCCTTCCTCGCAGATCCCGAATTGCTTTTTTGTTGCAGTAAAGGTGAAGAATCAACTCTAGCTTCTGCCATGCCGAGATCTTCATCCTCGTGTACCTGCACATCCGTTTCATCTGGATGTATCTCTTCCGCATTTGAATCCTCTTCTTCCATGCTCTGCGCTTGAAATCCTCCGCCGTCGACAGGTTCGGATTCCTTTTTTTGTGAAGTCTTCTTCTTTCGACTTGATGCCGGACTGCTTACGGGGCTTTCTACATCTTCCATCTGAGCATCGTCAGTATCGCTGTCTGCCTCAGCATACGAAACGGCGTTTGAGCGTCGGGAGCTCTTCCGCGAAGGCTGCTCAGGACTCGCGGTTTCGGCCGTTCTTCTCTTTGGCTTGGGCGTTTTCCGAATCGCCAGCGCGGACTTCTTCGGCTTCTTGGGCACCTTGTGGCCTTCGTCACCATCTTCATCAACCTCCACGCCAAGGGCTTCGCTCTTCCGCTTCTTGTTCGCCCCAGGCTTTTTGGCTTCCTTCCCAGTGCCTTTCAAGGAACGGATGTATGATCTTACAAGCTTCTCCAAACCTCCAGCCACGTCTTCGGGAAGATAGTTCTTCTCTGCTATCTCCTGCGCAGCTTCGTGACTTGGGAGAGCTTTGAATAGTGAGCGAGGCAACGTAACATTACCAGGCCACGTCTGCAGCAGATTTACACCTTTTGCGTGAGCAGGCATAAGGTCGGCGTAGTTCCGGATGACAGCTTGTGAAAGATCTGAAAGAATATACAGGCGCTCCGATGCCTCGTCAGTGCCCGTTACACCGTCCCTGGCGCCTTTGACACGCTGAGCAATGTGGAAGATCAATGACAAATTGTCCTCGGTGGCAACAGTGCATAGGTAGAAGACGATGTACTTGGAGAAATCCAGTAATTCGCCATCAAAATCCGCACTGTCTGCAGTTGGATAGTCAGGGTGGTGAGCCAGGAGGCTCAGCAGACGAGCAAAGATTGATTCCATGACATTGTGAGGTACTTTCCTGTCGCTCGATTTCTGGACCTGTTGCTTGGCGAAGGATTGGACTCGCGCCTTCATCCAGGTCATTGTCGAAGTTCGAAGTTCAACATCAGGCTCGAAAGCAAGAAGAAAAAAGGCAGTGAACCATCGGTGAGCCAGCCGATTTTGACCAAGATACTTTTTCAGATAAGTAACAAACCCTACGCGGACAGGGTTGGGCGGATTGATCATGATCATAAGGACATTGATAAACATAACCGGCTTGACGAGGTCTTCGCACTTACGTTGATGACTGCAGAGCTTCAGGAGAAAATGGACAGCGGTAAGTCGTAGGCGGTTCTTTTGAGCAGGATGTGTGTCCTTCGATGGCGTGATCTCGCCTTCATTCTGGATGATGGACATAAGTAAATTAATAGCTATTTCGGCGGCATCTTCGAACTCGGCAGACTTCTCTTCATGCGACCGGCATTGGTTGACAAGAATTTTCAGAGCCAATTCTTTCGCTCTGGTTTCGTCGTCAGGGCTGTTGGTCCAGGCATTTGGATTGTCGTCGGAGCTGGGCGAGTGATTCTTGCGTAAGATGTCTGTGACCGCTAGCTGCTGCAGAGTGCTCGTGTGCTCACTTGAGGCCGCTGGAACTAGAAGACAGACTTGAGAAATTGTGGCCAAATGAGCGAGGAAGTGAGGCGAGCCAAGTGTGCAATCTCTGAGAGCTTTTGAGAGTAGATCTTTGGCATACATTTCCTTTTTGTCGGCAACCATTATAATAATTGATACGGCATGCTTTGCTGCTCGTGGTGATAGGGAAAAGAGTGCAAAATGTGTGAGTGCTGTCAAAAATTTGCGGTCTTTCGGCACTTCTGCAGGATATTTTCGAGCAAACGCCGCACAAGCTTTCAGCGTGTCTGCGGCTCCCGTTTCCTCGCTCCTGGCAGATGTCGGGGCATCTTCCTCAAGCTCCTTACAAAGGGCTTGGATGTGGAATTTGAGCACTTCTGGGTGCCGAGCGGAGATTTCTTTCAGGACCTCTTGCGCAACCTCTCCAAGCCCGCCTTCATCGGTTCTCGATATTTGCATGATCGTTGGGACGTGACTCCGGTTATAGACGATCAAGGCGCACCGGTAGAGGATGGATTGAATTGTATCGATTAAGGATTGAGCATTCGGGGGCCCTTCCCGAATTCGTTTGGTGAGCTCTTTGATCGCTTTGGTGACTGTACGATAGTCATTCTCGGCCCCGATAGCGAATCGAATCAGTTGGTACGCTCGGCGATCATGTTGCTTTGCAAACTTCCACAAGTTTGTAGAAACATCGCTAGAGTTAGGGAAGGACTTGGAGATCACATCGATATATTTACCAAGGCGCTCTTTGATCCGTGCCTCGGAGCCATCATCTTCGATAATCCCGCCGTTATAGTCCTCGCAGGCCTGGATAAATATAACCATTCCCTTGCTTAGCTGCACCTGGCGATTCTGAAGACTGAAGAACACTGCGCGGGACTTTGGTTCCAATGACTGTACTAATGTCAGAATCCGACGTGCTCGAATTTCATCTGGGTCGACAGAAGCCGCAGCTTGTGAACCAGACTCTTTCTGACCGGCACGGTGTCTCTGACTGTCTGATTTATGAGATTTTATGGGAGGAAATGATAAGGGCAGAAGGCTATCGTAGAGGGCTTTGTCGATGAAAGCATGAACGTGGGCGTCATTTGTGTAAAATGCTCGCAATAATCGATTGGCAATGTCGCCGACCGCTTCTTTCACCACCGGGACACCCTCCTCAACGTCTCGTGACGCAACACCCCATATTCGTGCAAGAAGTTCGATGGCTTGTTCTCTCACCGTGTGCTTCCGGTCGGTCACTCTCTCGGCCAGAATGGTAAAGACGGTGCCCTGTTTGGCAAGGCCGCCATCAGCGCCCAGAGTATTGATCAGGTTATGATAACTGAACGTACTGATTGCGCGGATGGCGGCAAGCCGAACATGTTCTTCTTGGTCATGCAAAAGTTGTGCGAATGCGAACAGTAGTGTCTGGAGTTCATCATCGCTTAGGCCAATACCGCCAGCGGAGGTCATAAGAATACGGGCAGCTGCAACAGCCCATGCCTGACGAACTTTGGGTGATTTGTCAATACGGCGTCCGTAGAAAGCTTGGTACGCGGATGCGTGTACGGTAGCAAAAGGCTTGGGTGATGCTGGTGTCAGGATCGGATTGGCAACTTGAGGCGCTGCTTCTGGTTGTTCGATCGATGGTAGCGGGAATGTGGCCGGGTCGAGCGTCGCTGATGGGGCTAGACCAGCGATCCCTATCCCGGCTGTCATATCACCAATTGTTTCGGTGGCGAGTTCGCGAAGGACCGCAGAGTCTGAATTGAACTCTGCTTCGATCTGGGGAATTACATTCAGGAGGACATCAGGGCAGGCTCTCCACAATTCCCTCAAGAGGCGATGGGCCTTGCGCAAGTCTGCAAAGCCTTCGTTGTCATCTTCTGAATCATCGATCTCTGATAAGCGTCGATGTTTCGACTTGGAGAGGCCATTCGTGTTTGCGGCGGTAGATGCATCGACAATCACTGTCCCAAAATACTGCGTGATTTGAGTTGTCATCTTCTCGGGACAGCTAGTACAAAGTGCTTTGGCCATGTTATATGCGGGAGGATAGTCCTTCACCAACAGAGTAGCCTGCCTGGTGTCATGTGCGCCTCGCTTCTTGCCTTTTTGGCCAACATCCTGACTGTCGCCAGTGTCGACACGCAAGAATTGCGAGATAATGACATCGGTAACCTCCTGGGGTAGTGTCACTTCATCCACAACAGCAACTAGTAGATTCTTCAGGTGATATTCCACGCTTTTTGATATTTCAGCGCCTGAACCGTTCTTGCTAGATCCTGACACAATATCGAAAGCCGTAGTAAAGAGGGAAACAATGAGGTTATCGGGATTTGGAATGTCTGTAACCAGCAAGATACTCTGGGATTCAGAGAGCGAACTGAGAATATAGACGTGCTGAGCGTTGTAAGCATTAGTTGGGTCGGCAAGTGCGGGTATTATTGAATTGATCACAACGGTGAATATGTCCTGTTGAGCCGTTAGCTGAGCGCGACCGCCTGTGGGAGGGAGATTGCTCACTTTAAGCTGGCCTTCGATGAACGGCGCATCCGGCGCACATATCTTCAAAACATCCACAATACACGAAACGGTCCATGCTCTCACACCTTTATCCTTATGGCCGAGGAGGTTGGCGTTAGCGAGGTCTTGCGCGAGGGTAGTGAAAGTGCGCGAGTCGACCTGATCAAGATCATACTTGCGTAGCTCCGAAGCCAGCTTCTGTAGTCGTGCCAATAAGTCTGCGACAGGTATTGGTTTGCCGGCGCGCCATGTCAACGTGTCGTCGAATTGAAGGCCTGGGATATCATAACGATGCTCCTGCTGCGCATTTCGCGCCGCGGCGGTATCTCGAGGCCGAGCGGGCATAGTTGGAAGTATGGCTACGCCTCAAAAGTCATCTTCGGGCGGATTGGACTGCGCTGAAGTCTGCATATGCTGAAGGCCCTCTAGTCGAAAACAGGGTTCCTCGCAGTTCACCAGCAAGTAGCATCGAAATGCGCTGTGCGGTCAGATGGTGTACTGGTGGTGGGAGAAAGCGAAGTCGACGAGCGTGAAATTTAGTGCGGAGGATCAGATCCGGCGGAGACGCGTTGTTGGACGCGTTCAGTGCCCATACTGTCAGTGACCGAAATTCAAGAGCCGTGGAACATCACTACGAGATCTATTGGTACCTGTATGCTTCACTCCGACTATAGCCTCCATCAGCCTCAGGCAGTCTTGATAGATAGATCCTCAAAGTGAACAACTAGATCATCCTGCTCACCATGAGGCGCAGGTTTGGCGGCAAAAGGGCCAACCCAGCATTCGGTCTTGCCATCGAGCTCTCCCCACCATGTCACTTCTCGCAGAGGGTGTCTTTGCCCATCTCCCACGAGCCATACCCATAGACTACCGTCACTGGCATTTTCCAGCTCAATGGTGGCGCTGTTGCTTGCCGCGGACGCCAGAGGCCGGAGACTCCAGTCGGACCATCTATCCTTGGCCACCACGCTGACATTTGGTTTCTCGTGCACAAATTCAATACCCGCCTTGACCCAGCGTATGTTTTCGCCAGATCTTATGATCAGACAGAGACCACCTTGGTCATACTTGTCCTTCCAGCCGGCGGACACGGTTACCTTTGCCGACTGAAGGGCAGCTTTGGTCGTTGTCTTGTAAACCACTGGGGCATTGTTGGAATGTGTTGCAGGAGGCTTGTCCCAGAGATCTGTACCAGGAGGGCAAGTGATGTCGAATGCCCCCGTGAGGTCTGGAATGGCATGCTTCAAGTGTATTGCGCTGAATTCCGAACTCATCTTGTCAGGGCCTCAGGTGTTCTGGTGGTCTGCTGTGGGGGTTATGCGGATGATCCTTGCGTGTGTTTCTCAGTCTCGTCAATTCCGTGCTCAACCCTGCGTCTGTCTCGCCTCAAGCAGCAGGCCAGGGATGAGATATATGTCTATCGCCAGTGGACTGCTACGTGGTTAGTCTCTGTTGCTCAGTCGGGTATTCACCTGCGGAACATCTGGATGAGGCATTGTTGCCGCAGCTGTCGCCCGAAACGGGAGCGGTGCCTGCGGCAGTCCGCCGACTTGGATCCAGCGTCGGCTCTCTGCTGCCCATTATTGCCAGTCTGAGGAGGTGGGCTTGGATGGACTTGACCGTGCTACCATTCGTCCAAGTCCAGGTGCAAGGTTCTGCATGGCCCAGCGGTGATCGATGGGCCGTCGCTGGCTGTAGCCTGTAAGCAACTTTTGGCACCTTTGGACACTGGCCTGTGCGGTCACCAGACGCCGCCACACGTCAAGTTTAAGAAGCGGTAGAAGCACGCCATGTCCAAGTCTTGAAGATGCTAAGAACTTAGGGATGCCACCTTGAACCCGTAGGACGGAGAAATAGAGCAAGCTCTGGGTGTGGCCCGTGGGTGTACGACACGAATTACGACTCGCGGGGCGAGAATTGCAAGCACGTTGCGTGTTCTTCCAGGCGCAGTGGTTTCTGCACACGTCAACATGGCCCACGATTATTGCGAGAGGAATCCGGCAGCCTTCTTTCTGCAGCTTAAAATATCCTGTGGCTGACCGTGCCCGTCTGAGCTCGAGTGTGATAGGGTCTCCTACAGGCTGTACGGAGTACGGAGCATACAGTACAGCACGAGAATCCTCCTTTCACTCCCTCCACACCCCCTGTTTACCTAGGTAGGTAGCAAGCTGCGAAGGCGCAAAGGAGCTGGGCCATGGGGCTGCAGGCTAGTGAGGCCGCCGCGCCGAATCTCGATGGCGCCCCTGTGTGAACTTGTTATTGAGAGTGCAAGGTTGAATAAACAGGGGTCGGCCGCCGATCTCTCGTCCACCACCCTCGTGGGCTGGGGATCAAAAATCCCATAGGGGGCAGAGCGAGCAATCCTCGTAACAGCGACTGGACAGGCCCTCGGGCGAGAAGACTCAATCCAATCCAAGCCCCAGGAACTGAGTTTTTCCGACGAGACTTCGCCGTCGATGGTCACTGGCTCCCGGTGAGTGGTCGCCGACTCGGAGGCTGTGTACAAGAAAAGGTCTCCATGCTGGGTCTAGTGAAATTCCCTACCATCCCGACAATCTCGCCATGCTCCCCTCGTTTGAGATCGGCTGGCCTTAATAGTTGGGGCCGCAGTACAAGGTTTAAAGGGTGCCTGCAAGACGCTTGTAGAAATTCTCCTGGTCTTCACCCGGTCCCCGTTTCTGTTCAGCCATGCAACCACAGTCCTCGTACATGTTGTAGTCTCTCCTTCAAATCTACCTTTCTTCGCGGCCTCGCTCTCTTCTTTGATTCTCTCAGTCCCAACATATGGCGGCAACGTTCTCCAGACTCGGAGGCCTGCGAAACCCACGCACTCCCCTCACTCCCCGCAAACCATGAGTGTCCGCAGCCTGCAGCCCGACCATGATTGCTATGAGCTGTCAGGGACCAGCACCAACGACACAGACGAGCAGGATCTCGACCTTCCTTTTTACATAAAGTCCTACGCCTCCAATGACGACCTCCAAGCCCATTTACTCACCGGAAACGCCCTGCTGGCCAGTGCTAAACCTGACCACTATCGACTACCTTCGTTAGCTCCAACATGGCTGCGCAAGCAATATCTCCTCAGACGAATGCGCACGAAGCGCTTTACTCGCCGGTGTTCATGCTCTCCGAGATCCTTTGCTCGGAAGTTTGCCTTGTTTTGTTATACTTTCATCACGACTATTGTCGTCATTGTACTGGTGGGAGGCGTTTTCTTCCCAGGCTACACGCACTTGCCAGCCCATTATAAAGTCTTGAAGCAACAGGTGCTGGCCTCTGACGATCCGGGACGTGCAAACCTGCAGGGCCAGAAGGTCTTTATTGCAGCCAGCCTATCTGACAAGGAAGGGAAGCTGTTCTCGGGCGATTGGGCTAGGAATGTCCTGGAATTGATTCAACTTCTGGGTCCTGACAATGCCTTCTTGTCGATATACGTCAATGACTCTGGCCCAGAATCGAAGCGGACCTTGGAAGAATTCGAGCGTCATGTTCCTTGCGAGCACGATTTGGTCTTTGAGGATCATCTGGATTGGAGTCAACTCGAGCATGTAACGCTTCCGGGCGGTTCCCAGCGTGTGAAGCGCATTGAATACCTGTCCGAAGTTCGCAACCGAGCCTTGCTCCCCCTTGACAAGTCTACCACCGTATTCGATAAGCTCCTCTACCTGAACGACGTCTACTTTCGCCCACTAGACGCTGCACAACTTCTCTTCTCGACCCATACAATTGCCGAAGGCCGAGCGGATTATCGGGCAGCATGTGCGGTGGATTTCATCAATCCTTTCAAGTTTTACGACACCTATGCCACCAGGGATATGGAAGGTTATGGTATGGGTCTGCCGTTCTTCCCTTGGTTTTCCGCCAATGGTGATGAGCAGAGTCATCAGGATGTCTTGGACGGCACAGATGCTGTCCGAGTCAAAAGCTGCTGGGGTGGCATGGTAGCATTCGATGCTGCATTCTTCCAGAGCCAGCCCGGCTCGGAGCACATCATGACTGCTGGGAACCAGAGCCCGAGTAATGTTAGTGCGCCGTACCGATTTCGGGCCGAGAAGGACACTTTTTGGGATGCATCGGAATGTTGTCTAATCCAGGCAGATATCCAAAATCCCGAGCACGGGAAGTCGGGTATCTACATGAACCCATTTGTTCGGGTCGCATATGACACCAAGACGCTGTCCTGGTTGGCATTTACGCGGCGGTTTGAACGACTATATACTCCAATCCACTGGCTTTTAGATTTCATCACCAACACACCACGCCATAACCCACGACAACATGAGGAGCCCTGGCAGCCAGTTGTGGAAACAGTCTGGCTTCCAGATAGCAGTCTAGAGCAAGGTGGTTCTTTCCAAGAAATACCCAGGCTTGCCACGCATGCGGGATTCTGTGGCCGGCGAGGGCTTGCAGTGATGAAAGAAAACGTTGATATTGTTGAAGGTGAACATAACTGGGAGAAGATCTCAGTACCTTCTTGATTTTTCCATAGCGATGGCGTTCCGGTGACCTGCATCACTTGCGGTCAACAGTTATGGGTAACAGCTGAAATAGAGCCTTGAGGATGGGAGGGCGCTCTTGTCGATTTGAGGGCATTGTGGTTGCTCTGTCGAGCTCCAAACATAACGCGATGACAATGAACCAAAAACAGAGAGTTAATACTGGCTCCTTTTCTTACAATGATGTTGTTGTGCCTTCCGCCTCTCACCTCCTTCCCAGAACAAACCTCCGCACTCTACAGCTTCACGCTTCACATCATGCCCACTCCAACGCGCTTATCCCAACGCCCTATCCATCGCGGTCCTTGCTGTCCTGGCATTGTGCCAGTACTGTATTGTTTGTGTCGGGCGGTGTGGCTCTCTGCCTGTGCCTTCACCTTTCTCTCATTTGATCCTCCACCAATGCCGCCAAAACTCCACTTACCTCATTACTCACGAAGACGAGAAAACAATCTCAATCGCGCTCCGTGGAGCTCTAAATTGTTCAGAGAGATTTCGACCAAGATGGCTCGTCACGTCGACGATCCTACCACGATCAATGCGTTCCTACGCCTGATCCATGGTACTCCTCTGTCCGCGAGCCCAAATGCCCGAGCAGAACCTCAGGTACGTCAATGCTAAAACCACGTGTAGACACGCATGCAAAGATGTCGCTGCTGACTCGGAGCAGACTGTGCCTCTCGCTACTCTCAATCCCACTTCCCATGAATCCGGAGATGGCATCGCATCACCTGAGTCCTGGGTTTCACCAGACGGCGCTTCTGTTTCTGCAGAAACAAGCCCAGCACGCGGCTCTCGTGCACCGCCTCCGACACCGGAAACTCAACCCGTCTCCAATGGAATCAGCACACCTCTTGAACCTATCTTTGAAGACGCCAGCGACTGGTCCAGTGGAACAAAGCAGACCCCAGTGAACATGAACAATCCAGAATGTTGTGAAGGAGACAGCTCACCGCCAAACCATGGCTCTCTAGTCAAAGATGATCTTATTCCAATGACTGAGGATCTGACTTCAACTCAGAATGCTCTCTTGGTGAAGAGACAACCTCATACTGCTGGAGAAGACCAAGACGAAATCAGAAGAAAGCTTCGTGAACGAGCAGCATGCTATATGGAGGAGACGGTGGAGAAGTTTCGCCAGTCAAAAGCAGCTATGTTCGTAGAAGGTGAACGGCAGGCTGTTCAGGAGACATCCCGCGTTGCCGAAGGTTAGTGCAAAGCTGCGAGTGATCTTGAATGATCTTGAGTGATCTTCGGATTGACTTACTGACCATGCTTAGTCAACACCACTCGCATCCAAGATACCAGAATGACTGGCACCGTCCAAACCTCAAAGCTTGCAAAGACTCCCGAGATGCCTGTTTCTATGACTGGTCTGCATTCGTTGGCTGACGACAGTCCTATTCACCGCATGCAGAACCCTGCAACCAAGAATGAAGCCATGCCCACTGCTCAGGAGAACGAGATTGTCAAAGAGCGAATCCATAACAGCGATGAATCCCCTTTCAGTGCTTCGACCAACGGTGGCATCGCGTGCAAAGATACCCCCTCAACAACCACATTGGTCGCTGTTGATGCTAATACTAAAGAAAATATTCGCCAGGACAACCAGGAGGAAGATGGAAGTGAGAGTAGTGACGAAGGTACTGAGCAAGATCGGGAACATCTCACCCACTTCAAAACCTGGGGAAAGCCCACAGGTCGGGATCAGCCAAGTAAGTAGTACTATCTAGCTCATTGTTGACTCTTGCTGATAGTGCCAGGTGCTCGCGTTCGGAAGGTCACCCTCAGCGGCCTCCCTCTCAATGCAGACCTTACCCTCGTTCAGTCTCTGATTCACGGTGGCGCAGTGGAATACATGGCTCTAGCCCCTGCCTCTCCTGAATCCCGCGCTCTGACTGCCCATGTCATTTTTGTTTCGGCGGATGCGTGCGACAAGTTCTATGACAAGTACCCAAATGGTATAGAACTTCGTCATCAGAGCAAGCATTACGCTGTCATGGTTGAGAAGGGAAAGAATGTCGATGTCATCAGTGGGATGATGCAAGGCTATCTCGAGTGTGGTGCTACACGTGTCTTGAAAGTGTCTCCGGTTGATGACGACTGGGGCATTGTGGCATTGCACAGACTTGCAGAGGGCAAGCAGAAGATTCGTCATGTGGAAGCCATTGTCGATGTGTACCGCAACGATGTAAGAAGATCCTGAAGCCTTTCTAGCAGACTTACTAATTGCTCTAGAATCGGACGGTTATGTTTCGCTTTGGAAACATCACCCACGCAGTCCAGTTCAAAGGTGTTCTGATTCGCAGCCACGACTTCGATGGTTGTTCAGTCACTTTTGCAGAGGATCCTTGCGAAGCCGCTGCCAGCTTCCACTACGACTGAGAAGGGACCCGAGCAGTTCCGGACATTTCGCGGACATTTTCAGAATGTTGGAAGTTGAGAGGATCATCTGAAAGAATGGCAATGGCATATGCATGGTGTTGTGGGTTGCCCAGACAGGCAAAGCATGATAGACAAGAGAAGCTTGGGCGTCACGTTGGGTGTGAAATTAAGGCTTGAAAGCAAACCAGTATTCGACAGCAGGTGTTGAATTCTCGGCAGGAGGATACGTTCTGCTGAACCAGTCAAATCCGAGACGGTGTTTTCCTACCAGAGAATAGGAAGCAAGCGACCGCGCATATGCGAGATCATGGAGCAAATGCAAATCACACCATCCCAAATAACACCCTGTGGGAAGCACAATTTTCGCGGGTTTGGCCGTGTGCTCGGGCTTTTCTTTTTTTCTGCAATACCCCTCTCCCTCTATTACCTCACTCACCTGATGGTCCTTTCTTTCACTCATCCCATAAAGCTCGAGAACAGCAAGCGACCGGGCTTCATCTCTGTGTGCAGTCTGTCTACCTTAACTATTCTCGCCTCCGTTTGAAACCTGCAAGGAGCATCAGCTATGGGTCTACCGTCGGAATCGGCGTCCAACGCCATCATCTATACTACTTATGCGGCTTTTCTGTGGGCAATACCTTTTGTACAGCGCACTGAAACCCGACTGACTTGAAACGCTAGAGTCTTTGGCCTCTTCGTCGCGTGGACCTTGCGCCATCAGACGAAAGGCGAATACCTCGCTTCTTTGCGAACACAGAAGGGTTAGAGCTCAAGCGATGCGACGTCCTCCACATTTAGCAGCGGCATCCACTCTTCTGTTACAAGTGACATACTGACGCATAGTCAGGCATACCTTTGGCCCTAAACTTCATCGCCTCGGGTGAGTGCGCTCGAGGGGCGTCATATACCTGAAGCGGCAGCGGAATGAGCTTCACACGCCGTGAAGCATGACACGAGACGAAAGCGCACTTAACATGACGACCGACTATCGAGTTTTGAAACGAATCCAGACCATCACAAGATACAATGTTGACACCCATATATCTGAGGTTCGTAAGCTTGCAAAACAGGCATTGTGGTTCCCTTCGGGCGTCTGGGTCCATGTGCAGGGCACACTACTCTCACATGATCTCAATGGGCACGGTTGATATGCGTATCCCCTGAACAAGGATGCCAGGCGCAAGAAGGGAAGCGCAATGTGCAGCACTACGGGCGCTTGTGCCAGCTTTGGATTTTTTTCCCACCCGAGTCTCTCATCCACCTCCGCCTCCCGGAAAAGCCATTTTTCAGACTCAGTGGAGAGATGAGAGACGGGTGGGGAAAAGGAAGAAGCGAGAAAAGAAAGCACAATGCTGAGATTGTACCGTTAAAACTCGATCAAGTTAATGCTTGCGTGGGAAACGTGCTGCCGCTTCTATCAACCCCCTTTCTCCTCCCCCTTTCCTAACACCAACAAAGGTCGGACGTACTGACAGCGCCTGGGATGGGGCCTATAGCTTTAGGATCGGGTATTCTCTTCACCTACCCCCAGATCGCGACCATCGCGGGCGTTCAGGGTCTGCTGGTTTATGCCCTCGCGTCGGCACTCCCGCTACTGGTTTTCGCATGGCTGGGTCCCATCATACGACGTAAATGTCCCGAAGGGTTCGTCCTGACCGAATGGACGCGCCAGCGCTACGGCGTTGTAGCGAGTCTGTATCTGTCTGCGTTGACGTATGTTCCTTCCAACCAACAAGACCCTTTCTCTGTCTGCTACAGAAAACTTGAATTCGGTCGCTAATCATGCAAATCATTGCTTTACAGCCTCATCACGCTCTTCCTCTACATGGTCGCCGAGCTCTCTGCTCTCCAACAGATTATCAACGCTTTGACGGGTCTGAATGGTCTGCCTGCCGTCATTGTCGAATGTGCCGTTACGACCATCTACACCTCTCTAGGTGGGTTCAAGGTCAGCTTCATCACGGACAACATCCAGGGCGCGATGGTCCTAGGGCTCATCATCATCGGCATCATCACCGTCGGCGTCGAGACGAAGATCTCGCACGACCTTGTCGAACGCTCTCATTACCTCGACTCGTCCCTCTTGGGGTGGCAACTTCTCTACATTCTCCCCGTGGCCATCTTGACCAACGACTTCTTCCTTTCTGGGTTCTGGATGCGCACCTTTGCCGCCAAAACCGACAAGGACCTCTACGTGGGCGTCGGCATCGCCACGGTCGCCGTGGCCATCATCCTCACCGTCGTGGGCGTCAGCGGCCTTCTCGCGGGCTGGTCAGGAGCCCTAGGCGACCCGCCCGAGCAGAGCAGCATCGCCTTCTTTCTGCTCCTCGAGCAACTCCCAGCCTGGGTCGTGGGCATTGTCGTGGTCATGACCATCGCGCTCAGCACGGCCGCCTTTGACAGCTTCCAGAGCTCCATGGTGAGCACGGGCTCCAACGATATTTTCCGCAACCGCCTGAACTTCTGGTACATTCGACTCGCGGTCGTGCTCATCATCTTCCCCGTCGTTGTTGTCGCGTTGAAGAGCCCCAGCGTCCTTCAGATCTACCTGATCAGCGATCTCGTCAGCGCGAGCAGCATACCTGTGTTGGTGATCGGGCTGAGTGAGCGCGCGTACGCGTGGCGCGGGTTCGAGGTGGTCGTGGGCGGCCTCGGCGGCCTGTTCACCGTCTTCCTATTCGGCCTCGTGTACTACGACGGCGACGCAACGCAGGCTGGCAACCTCTTGCTACTGGAACAGGGCCTGTACGGGAACGATTGGTCTGCGTTTGGAGCGTTTGTGGCGGCGCCCGTCGGCGGTCTCCTCTGGGCTCTGGGCGCGTTCGGACTACGGCTCGGCGTCCAGTGGACCCTGGCCAAACGAGCTGGCCGACGCTTCGATGCCCTCGACAAGCCTGCCGCGCCCACTGCGAGTTTCTATACCGGCCGTAACGACAGCGCGGAGAGGGAAGTCTACGCTGATGCTTCCGGTGTCGAGAGAAGTGAAGTCGCAGTCAAGGGCAAATTCTTCTAATCTGGCAGTAGATCCCTCGGTGCGTTCAATCTGGAGCAAAAAGGTCTCGACTGTTGTTCTTGCCTCCTGGTCTTTCTATGGATGGAGGTGATGTTCAGACGGTTTTGGTCTCCGAACGAAGATGACATATAGACGATGTTGGAGAAAGAAACGCAGATTGATGTGCTTGTTTCAGGTATCTACCTGGACACACGGGAGGAGGGGGAAGGGGGAGAGTGAGTGTGAGGGAGAGATTGGTGGATTGCACGGGCACGGGTACTCGTACGGACATGGACTTAACAGTACAACGTTCCTGGATGGGATGGCTTACCACGCACTCGAAGGGAGACCGCGAGGTTGTGTGGTCGGTATAATTTGGGAGGCTGCGTCGACGAGATGGATGTCACAAGGCACTCAGGAGATCGAGACTTGTTGGGCTCAACGGACATTTGTCGAGAGGAAAGGAAAGGGGAAAAAAAGAAAGAAAGGAGGAGAAGGAGGAGGAGGAGGAGGAGGAGGAGGAGGAGGAGGAGGAGAAGGAACGGAGGAAGAGGCTGAAGAGGCAACAAAAGCAACGGGCCATCAAGATACAATACCCATAGGTATGTGCAGTATGGGCCCCGTTGATAGTGACACTCCTTTAAATGAATTTTTAAACCATCATGTTTGAATTTCGATCTCATCCAAAGCGGTGCACGGCGTACAATGTGCACTGCTGGGGAATCATAAGTACCCCGTTTCCTAACGGTTGAGTTTGCCGCAGAAGGATAGTGAGTGGCCCGTATCGCGTTATTCATTGACTAGGTACAGTACCTGGTTCTTCTTCATAGACGCCCTCCTTTGAGGTACGTCGGCTTGGATACCTACGCAATCAATGCAGATATTTATCGTCTTCTACTCGTACAGTGTCCGCGGCCCCGTCCGTCCACCAGGACACGAAACCCCAGAGCTCTTGCCGCCGATCGTGGACACGTACAATGTGGTATACAAGAAGCACCACTATGCCGTAAGTCCAGAAGCCAAAAGAATAAGAAGACCTCAAGCCCGGTCTTCATCCTCCCCCCCCCCCCCCCCCAAAAAAACACCCCGTCTGCCCAGTCTGGGTCAGGCCCGGGTCAACAGATTGCGTGTGGCGGGCGGCAAAAAATAAACAACATTAATCGTCACCCCCTCCCTTTCGTCTTCCTCTCCAGCCTCCTTTCCACAAATTACAAACGCCATTCTCCTCACACCAGGTCCGGACTTCGAGCGGATTGATTTCTCGATCTTCGCCAATGGACCGGAAACCCTCCGTATTCAACCACCGTGTCAGGTCTTCAAGAACAATGGGGTCGAACATGAGCATCTTCTCCCGCCAGGTCGGATGCTTCGCATGGTTCCTCGCACCGGCACCGGCACCGAGCGAAGAATAGAGCCTACTCTCAAAAGTGATCGCGACTCCGATTTGGTCCTTGATATCAGGCAACGGCGGCGTATGCAGAGGTTGGATTGCATCGACGTCGAGCTTAGTATCATCACCAGTGAGGCCCTGAGAAGCTTCTTTGTCAATGGCGGTAGTCGTTCCAACTGGTATTGAGGAGTGGCTTTCTGGCAATGGAGGTGAGGAGTGTCTCGTCGTCGCCGGGAGTGGTGAAAGAGCTGCTTCTTGGATCTTTGCCGCCTCATTTCCTTTGGAGGTCCTTTTCTTTAGAGCTGTTTTCGTTTTAGAAACAGATTCAGAGACCGAGACCGAGGCCTTGGAGGCTACGTTGGTTTCAATATTGGAATCGTCAATGTCGTCAACATCTACGACAAACTCTTTTGAAAGAGCTAGTTTAGCGGCCGGCTTTCGTACCAATTTTGGCTTCTTGGGCTTCTCTTCAGCGTCTTTCTGTTTTGGCTCGGCTTTCTTCCTCCGCTTTGGCTCTTTAGGTGTCTTGAGCTCCGTCCCCTCAGATTTTCGCTTGCGGGGTTTCTTCGCCTTGGGCACAGGTCGAGCGGTGATATCGTGGACTTTACTGAGAAAGTCGCCGTGGGTCAAGGTTTCCACGGAATCTTGGTCGATAGAGTCGTTTGGCGCGGGGCCGTGCTTGTCTTCCCAACACCTGTCCAGCAGCTCAATCATCTTGTCACGGCTCTTGACAGCCTTGAATCCGAACGCCGATATCTGCTTCTGTAGATCACCAGTTGAAAAGCCAGCGTAGGACGGTTTAACGGGGGCTTGCTTGGCTTTCGCAGGGCTGGGCTTTTTCGAAGTTGCCGCCTTCTCGTTGTTCTCCCCAACAGATTGTGTGCTCTTGCGAGGTTGCTGGGAAGGAGGCGAAGTGTGAATGGTCCTTTTCTGAGGTGGAAGAATGGCCATCCCACCAACTGGCAAGCTGGGTGTTACGATATCATCGATATCCAACAGAAGGGTGCTTTTGTGGTTGAGTGGAGTCTGCTGCGCCTGAAAAGAGATGTTTTGCTTCTTCGCGCTACGATTGTTGGCAAGAAACTGTACACCGGGTTGTACGAGAACATCTTTTCCGGCTAGAGCCTCACGCACTGCAGGAGAATCGATCAAGTCGATCGTATCCACTTGCAACAAGGCGTTATCTTCGTCACGTCCTGCGATGCCCCAGAGATTTCTTCTTTTCACGTATCTGCTTGTTCCTGGCAGATTTCGAGGTGAGGTGGCTTCTATGGAGATTGGCTGGGTTCTCTGTGGAGAAAATGGATCGGATGAGAGCATGGATTCCGATTGTCTGATAGCTTCTAGAGTCTCCCGGAGCAAAGTTGGCGATTCCTCCCGCACAAGTTGGCTAGCAGAACCAAAGACGACTTCCTGAGACTCAACAGCCTTCAGCGCCGATGTTGGGGACTGTAATCGACTTTTTGGGGGCGCCTTCTTGGTCGTCCGTGACTTTTTGCCCGGTGCTTTTGACCTACTTTTCGCTGATGGGCCAGTGAGAGGTTCGGATTCGTCGTTTGCATTGACCTGTGTCGCGCTCACATAATCCTGCATAGTGGTAAGTTTTCGACCCTGTGGTTTCTCACCATAGTTTGAGGTAGCCAATGCAGTTATTGTGAGCGGCTTTTTGGCTGGAGATTTGTTCCTCTTCCTTGTGGGAGGTTTTCGCAAGTCCCTTCCGACGCCAGGCTTGATCGAAACCTCGACCAGCGTGCCACCAATTGTGACAGGATCGACACAACCACTCTTCGACTGCTGGCCACTGATAGCTACCTGTGCCTCTTGTTTCCGTGCCGGGTTATCTCCAACTGGATCGACGAACGAGCACGTCTGAATGGCGTGACCTAGCGACATTGCTTGAAGAGGAGAATTTGGCGACCCCGTTGAGGGACCAGGGCTCCCTGACCTTGCTGGTGTCCAATCCGTTCGCCGCGGTGTTGCCTTTGTCCGTTTGAGTGAACTGATGCAGATGTTTTCATCTCCCTTTAATGAACCCCCAAACCAGCGCCGATCGCACTCTCCTTCTGGCAGACCGACCGCATCTCCGTGCACCTTTTCAGGTACCTCAGAAACGGTTTGCGAAGACCTAAATGACACACTTCGAGGTTGGTAATTCTTCTCTTTTGTCTGCGAGCCAGGGGTATCAGATAGAAATTTCAAACGAGGGCTGCTGGCGACATCGACATTCGAAGGTTGAGGTGATATGGACTTGAATTTGTCTTTCCCTGGCGAGGATCGTAACGGTAGATTTTCCCCTCCCACTCTTGTCGTCAATAGCGATCGGGCACTTGTGAAACCAAATGCGATGCCATCTCTTTGTTTTTGGGCTGGTTTGAATAAACTGGAACTCCGGCCCCGAAACAAAGAGCTGGGAGAGGGCAGGGGAGACGAGACTTCAACAGGCGTGGGACTTCGGGCAAAGACAGGCGGCGGGGAGGATGAGATGAGGATGGCGGCCGACATTCTGCGGAGACCACGGAAGGGCCATTTGATCAGAGCAGCGTTGGATGCCAATATGGCGAGTTTAGACCGTGAAAATCATAAGTCAGGGGGGCAATGCGCTCGGTGGCGACAGTCTGGGTTATGGACTGGGACCGCATTTGCAAAGACCAACAACACCGCTTCTCTTCACGACATGATGCAAAGCAAAACAACAAAACGCCCTCGGCTCAGCCTTGCCTTGGCAGACGCGAGGTCACGTGCAAGGCTGGCCTTCTTTGATGGTCGAGCCCGAGTTCGACCACGGAGTACTCAACCACCTCCCAAGACTGGAGAGTTGTCATGCTGACGGTGCTCTTGAAAAATACTGATACACTTCCACTCCGAATCCAGGTTCCCATAAAACTCGACGAGGCCTGCTGACCGATGCCATGCGAACACTTTTAGAGCGCCCCAAAACTCCCCGATATTCCATACTTTAAACACTTTAGCATAAGAAGTTCACCATGGAAGCAGAAACCGCGTCAGTCCGGGATAATCTCAGGATAGTGAGGATTTCGCGTTCCCATGCCTCCGCCTACACCTTGCAAAGCGCTCCTGTCTTCAGAATCAAATGGTGGAGGCGAGGTCGGCGGTGAAAATGGAGGTGTGCTGCGACCTGTTCGATTTGATAACATGCTTGAATTGGATGGCCAGGAAGCAGGAGACGATGGAGGATGATTCTCGACATCAGGAAACTGCGTCATCCAAAGATGTCGTAGACCTGGTGATGTGTCAGTCCAAGAAAGCCAGCCTTGGGTCTTTCAGCTGTGGCTCACGATTTAGGTAGTAAGTTGCAAAGCGTACGCAACAGTTTAAACCATTCAACATGGAACGAATCAGCGACAATACAGGTCCAGAGGCATAGTTCCAAGCCCGTGTGAAGCTAAGTACCATAACTCCGCAGTAGTGATTGATAATGTTGGACAACCTCTTGTTGCTTAGGAGGCTTGGAGAGACGACCACTCATATTGATGTGGCGAGAGCATAAATACTTATATGACAAGCCGGCACCATCTTCGAGAAGAGAATCGCCAAAATCACCGCAACGTTTTGGAGAGAGTCACGCAACTCTCGGACACCATTGGGAGACACCAGGCAGGTGTAGACGATGAGGATTGTGGCCGCATATGGACGACGAAGCAAGCATACAATGTCAACTTGATGCCCTGATGTCACAGGCGGAGGGGTGGCTTGAACCTAGGGTCTTTAATCCTGGTAGTCTTCCAGAACAGAACGGCACCAGACCCCGGGGAGAGATGGCGTCAAACCTCGATGCATTTGAATGGTGAGATGCATTGGGTACCTTGGAGAGGGATTTGGTTGAGGAATTTGGTAGTTTGTGACGGAAACGGGTATTGCTTTACTGACATTATGCTTCGCCGTGGCGCCCGCCACCTTCTCAAGCATACGGTAGAGCATTGGAGCTGTAAACGGCAGGAATTCTCAGCCCCCTGACTGTCTCACCCACCTTCACTAACCAACCATCTACGTGGATGGCTCGTCAGCTGAAAAGCCCAGTCTTCTGCTTGTGACCAGGGTCGCGCCGCAAATCAAGCTCGGCGGCAGGCCTGGGCCGGTTGTAGCGCCAGGACTCGACTCTAGTATCTCAGCCGCATCTTCTCCCTCTCACCCTCTGGCGTAACTAACGAGATTGGGGGCCGTATGGCAACTACTGGCCAAACCAAAGCCGCCAGGGTCCTGTCCCTTGTTAGCGCTTCGTTTCTGTCCGACATTGATGATAACATATATTGTTTGGTTTCTCAAGCCTCCCCTGGGCTTCATGTTTGACTTCTGTCGACATTCGGAAGACATCTGAGCTTCTCATAAGTCTCGAGCGCGACAGCCGCTTGACTAACATCTAACACCTCGACGGATCCGATCAGGCTGAGCGCCATCGACCGTAGACAAATCATTTTCAACTCGTCTTGCCTCAATACAAACATGGCTTCCGAGGATGAGTCGCAAACCCCTGATCATCATCATGATGAAAAAGACTGGGAGGCCCACAAAGAAATCTTTCGACAATACTACATCGATCAAAACATGACCAGGAAAGAAGCCGCGCAACATCTCAAAGAGCAATATGGCTTTGATGCCACTCCCCGCCAGTGGGAGCGCAAAATCAAGCAATGGAACTTTTCGAAGTACTCGAGTCGCGAAGAGAGACTGATGCAAATTGCGAAGACTGGCAAAACGATATTCGAAGTCGGTCGCCCGGGTCGAAGACCTCGAGGTCACACAGACGAGTCCGGCAGGCTTCACCCCAACGAAGATCGAAATCTGCGACGATTTGCGCGCCGTGAAGCTAGCCGCTCAAGGTCTCGGTCCCGATCAACTTCCTTCACCGAAAGAACACGTCCTCAATTGCAACAGGACTTTCCAGAAACATCGTCTCACGCCATCACTGACCAAACATTCAATCTTCATCTTGGCAATCCCGTATCCTTCCATCCACCAAGCGAAGGATTTACTGTTCGCGCAGTTCCTGCAGCCGGGCAGCCGGAGCAACCAGTGCAGCTACATTTGCTGCAAGATCAGCAGCCGTCTACATTTGGCAACCTTGACGATGCCAACCTTTTTTTAACCATTGAAGACAGTCAGTATGCCTCATCTGGTGGACAAGAGGCGTTCCCAGCCTTTCCTGATGACTTGATGCAACTGGCAAATCCAGTAGGGGTCAATGGGCAAGACCCAAACATTCAATTTCCACTGGAACAGAACGACACTGTCAACTACCCCTTGGATCCGACAATGGAGGTCCCTGTGAACTTTGATCATTTTGGCATGACAGATAATAACCTACCGATGGACCCATCTATTTTGCCGAATAGTAACAACATGATGAGTGAACCACAGCTGTACCCCAGTACTAACCAAATGCCTCCGGGGGCTAACGAAATGGGACGGTCGATACTCGATACTATACCTGTTCTCACCTTTGACATCGTAGACCCCGATGTTCCAAGTACGTTGTCGACGGCCACTCAGAGCAACTTTCAGAACATGGGAGATCTCACCGACGATGGCACTCATAGCGCTTCTGACAGCGGCGGTCCATTGCAGACCGATGTAATGCCCCTTGTTGATGAGTATACCGGGGCAGTGCAAGCTGCTGCAATGTGGTTCTTGAGCAACCAGCTCTACGGCGATACTTCGACAGACAAGCTGACCGATAGTATCGATCAACCGGGTATGACGCTTGTTCTCCCTTTTGGTCACTCTCGACTAATTTTCACCTAGGACGGATATTTAAGGCGAGGATGGAAGTCATGCTAGACAACTACGCCAAGTCGCAGCAACGAGCTCTGCAAGCCATGCGAGACAAATGCAACAAATTGAAGAAAAAGAACGAGAAGCTGGAAGAGATCATTAATAGAAGTGATTCTGAACACTACCTCCCTCCTCTTGGCTGTTGCTGACGGAGAATAGATAACCTGCTGGCTACCGAAACGATGATGAATTCTCTTCCTGGCACCTCGTTGCAAGAACCGCCATCGCAAAACTACATCATGCCATATTCAACTGGTTTCTGATCGAGGTTGGTGAGGTCAAAGGAGAGACCGAACACAGACCCTGGACGCTGCGACACCCAGCAAGATCACGTGTCACATCCGACTTCGGCAGAAACTATTCCGAATCTTGCCTGATAGTGAGGAAATCAATCCATATCAGCCGCACTTCGTATTTCGTGGTCATGGACCATCACTTTTATCAGAACTCTTACGGATGCCTGGCTCCAGAAGTTACCAATGCTCGATAGTACCTGGTCGCCAAACACGTTCTTGAACCTCAATTGAAGCTTCATGAGCTAAATCGAATCCTGCCATGCTTGGTGAACCCGTCGATCCTTCACGATGCTTGCGATTCTCTACGACCCTGACTGTCTCCTCCACAAGACCGTAGAAATTCTAGGTTCTAAACTGATCCCGGCCTTGGAATCGCCGGCTCGGCTCGAAGCGATCCTCAAAGCGCTTCATCTCTCCGATTATGCCGTCCGCACACTACACTTCAGCTCGCTGGACGACGAAGCACGAACAAGACGACTCTTGAGCTTGACGTCCCAAACCCACCAACACGACTACCTGGTCCACCTCCAGACTGTGTTCGAGGAATGGCTCTCGGCCGGTCTCATCGAGAAAGACGGCAACGTGGTTCCTGAGTGTTTCTACCTGCCCACGTCCACGGGCAAACCGATGCGGGCGCCTAGGGACACGTTCGCGCGGGCGGGATACTACGCCTTCGACATGAGCAGCGGGATCATGTCCGAGTCGTACCGCGCGATCGTGGCGTCGGCGAATCTCGCGTACGAAGGCGCAGACATGTTGACCGGCGACAACGCGTCCACGTCTTCGCCGCCGTACATCGATGCCGTCCTTGCGCTGTGCAGGCCTCCCGGCCACCACTGCGACGGCCGCCGCGCCGGAGGGTACTGCTACATCAACAACGCCGCGCTGGCAGTGAGCACGTGGCGCACCAAAAACGCGGATGCCAAGGTCGGCATTCTCGACGTCGACTTCCACCACGGCAACGGCACCCAGGAGATCTTCTACGCCGACCCGGACGTCCTCTACGTCAGCATCCACGGCGAGGACGAGTTTCCGTACTACACCGGCGCCGAGGACGAACGAGGGCTCGGCGCCGCGGAAGGCACAAACGTCAACCTGCCGCTCAAGGTCGGAAGCTCCATCGACGAGTACCTGGAGAAGCTCGACCACGCTTTGAGTAGGCTGGTGGCGTACGGGCCCGGGTTTCTCGTCGTCAGTCTGGGGTTCGATACGTACCATGCCGACCCGCTTGGTAGTTTCCAGATCCACACCGAGGATTACGAGACCATCGCGAGGAAAACGAGGCAGAGCTTGAAGGGCGTCCCTGCTCTGATCCTTCTGGAGGGAGGGTATGTGATTGAAGAATTGGGAAACAATGTCTTGTCCTTTCTCAAAGGGTGGAAGTCTGTTTGATTGCATTTCTCAATAGCAGTGGGAGGCTGTTTGATCAAGTTTTAATTATACCATACAAAGTATCTACCTCGGGGTGTATACATATATGTCCCCGTCACATACATAGAATCAAGACACGTGCCTCAACACAACAGGGCACATTCACAACGTTTCAGTCGTCAAGGCTTGAACAACTGCTCCCTTCTGAAAAACTTCAAGAACCCAACACACACAATGATCTGCGCAAACAGACCGATCCAAAACCAAGCCCTGGTCAGGCCCCAGCTCGGATCGATGGCAAAGTTGGGAAACACGTCCCCGGGCCCCCGCTGCACAGGAGACTTTGCCTTGGCCACGATGGTCGCGACGCTCCCTATGATCTGGCACCCGATCAGGGTCGCAGCGACATGGAACCTAGGCAGGGTCTGGAGCAGAGTCATGCCCAAGCCCACGCCCTGCAGTTCATCCAGCACGCCCAGCCAAAGCCACAGCGCGCGACCGAGCATCGCTCCGCCGACGTCGTTGGCTCCCCATGGCACGAAAGCGGCAACTCCACTGACGGCCCACAGCTCCTGGCACCAGCGCGGCGCACCCAGACAGACGCCCAGGATGGGCGGGACCCAGCTGTGCTCCAGGGACACGACGTACAGAAAGTACATGATGACGGCCCACACGCCCACGAAGAAGCCGACCATCATCAGCCCGACGGCCCAAGCCGGGGCGTGCTGCGAACTGAACAGGTACCGCCAGTTGCGCCCGTACACGGTCGAGAGGAAGTAATTCTGCAGGACGACGGTGACGAAGAACCACAGCACGACCTTGCGGCGCAGCAACGACGCGTAGAAGCTCGGAATGTGGCCCGGCCGTTGGCGGTAGTAGGACGGCAAGCCGATGTACAGAAGCGCACCGACCGTCCACAGCACCGCGGCAATCGGGACCGTGATGGCAGTCAGGGTAGAATCCGACGTCAAAAGCCCCGTGGGATTGTCGTCGGTCCTGCCCAGAGTCGTACGGGCGTTAATTTCGATCAAGCTCGCGCCCGCCCGCCACAGTCCCGCCACGTACAGCTGTTGGATCCCCTGGATGACGCACGCGCGCAGAACCCACGTCGACACTGGAGTCCCTCCCTCGGTGCCGAAGTTCAAGGAAAAGAACAGACTCCCGCTCGCGGCCGCGATGGTGTAGAAGCCCGTCGCGCACGAAAACAACCACCCGCGTGTGCCGTCGAGGTAGTTCGCAAAGGGGCCCATGCCGATGAGGAAGAATGCGAGTCCGTAAAAGAACCACGGGAGTGCCAGGACGTACCGGGACTGCACGGAGCGGTATATTACCCACCACCCTAGACTGGCGGACAGGTAGATGCATCCTATCACGTATGCCCGCGTGGTGGTCTGGCCGAGTTGGCCTTGCAAGAGGGTGATTTGATATGAGTTTGCCGAGAGTATGTGGCCCAGTGCCAGCAGCAATGCGTACACTTGCCAGTCCCCAATCACCTTTCTTTGGAGGATGCGAGGGATGCCCCGGGGTGCGATGTAGTCCTTGCCCAAGTTGAAGACGGTGTCTCGTCGGACAAGCGCCATTGGATTGGCCGTGTCGTCGATATCGGACATTCCGGCCTTGGTTCCCTCAGAGCTTGAAGAACTGTCAGGCATAGCTGAATCTATCCGATGCAGAGTCGGGCGTCGACCGGCGCCGATTGCCGCTGCGGGAGAACTGGGCAAAAGCGGCGGCATAGGCGTCGAGTCCTTTTCTGTTTGCAAATGCGGTCGTGGTTGCGGGCCACGCGGCGCTTGAGAGGATGTGGAAGAGGGTAGACCAAGTTGAGCCCGGGCGTACCTCCCGAAGAAATGCTTTTCGCTGTTTTTTAGGTAATCCTCGATGCAAAGAGAGTTTACCGACGACTGCGCGTCGATGTCCTCCAGAAGTTCACCAAACTTGTACGCATAGGATCCCTTGCGGTCTGTAAATGATGGAATAACGCGCTGCAGGTTGTAATTCGTCTCGTTGTCGACGCCGCGCACCTCGCGCAGACTCAACCGTTTGTCTTTGCTGTTCCGGGCGTAAGCAGATCTCTGAGGGTCATGGTCAGCCCGATAGGCAGAGTACTTTGCTGCCCCAGCATTGGCCCCTATTTCTGACGTGGATGTTTGACCAGCATTTTCTGCAAGTCTCTCGACCTGTGGGTGTCCTCTGCTCGTTCTTGAACTGCTCGAAGTCGTTGGAGGAGTATCTGACTTCCGTCGTGTTGAATTGCCATTCATGCGATGTGAGGACTGTCGTGACGCATCTTGCCAGCCTTCCTCGTCAATATCTTCCTCGTCCGGTCCTACTTCGTCCTCAGGCCTGAATTGGGAATCGGCGTCATCGATATCTTCGTCGGCTTCCGATATCGTTTCATTGGTAAAGTCTCCAAATCCCAATCTTCGAAATCTTGAGCCGTGTTCGTTCCCGGAATCCTCCGTGGACTCTTTTTCCAATGCCACAGCCAAAGGATTGGCAAAATCCCTAATTTTAACCACTGGTACGTCATTCATCGGAGTATCGTCGTCTCCCGAATAGCTTCGGTTTCTAGTCAACCTGCCATGCTTCGACGATCTGATGAGGCCGCCACGATTTGACCCGGTTAAGAAGGATTTTCTTCGCCTTTCCTCGGGACCAAGCTCGATAGACTCCACTGATTGCCTTCGAGGTGGTCCAGTCGAAATACTATGTGTTAATCCAAGTGACTGGCTGTCTGTGGAGTGCATGGTGTCGAAGGATGAACGACGGCTCTGAGGATCGCTTTGCCGCCCAGGTCTGTTCCTAATGGGGGGTTCTGTGAAACGCACATTGGAAAAAAATACAGTCGAGCCTTGCTCATCTTCTGGGATCTTCTCGTCCACGTCAGGTTCAGATGTTGTCACAGAATCTTCCGTTGGAGTGGCGATGCGTGGCGATGGCCTAAGTGTGACCCACGAGAAAAGGCGTTGCGACCATGAATGGGGCTTAACCTTTCGTCGATGGCTGTTGTGTTTCTTGATTGACTTTAGTTGCAACAGCTCAAGATCCTCAACCCATTGTGCAACAGGAAATCGTTGTAGGGCGGAGTATGCCCTCATTTGCGCTCGAACCTTCCGGGACGAGCCAAGTGCTGCGATAATGGCCGCGTTGAATTGCTGCAGTAAATGTCGTGTGGATGCTGATTCAATGGTATACCACCAGCCTGGCATTTTCCCAAGTCCTCCAACCTGGGCGCCCACCCCAAGCGCGCCATTCCGCCCTGCCTCCACGGCAACCAGGCCGAATGGTTCATCTCGAGAAGGTATAAGTGCGAACTCGGCGCCACTAAATATATAGGGCGGTAACGTAGTGAATTCTGGCTTTGAGAAGACACGGCCAGGGTATTTCGCCATCATCTTCTCCAGCTTGAGGGCAGCAAATTTACCATATAGATCGATGACCGGACCAATGCAGATAAGCTGAGTTTTAGGAAATTGTCCTAAAATGGAGAAGAACACGTCGGCGATCAAATCGACCCCTTTCTGCATAGACCATCTGCCGACGAACACGAAGAGGTCTGCCTCAGGGTCAACATTGAGCCCTGCCCACTTTTGCGCTTGACATCGTAAAATTCCCCTTTGGCTTTCCTGGGCCAGATCAATCGGCACTTCTTTAGCCACTGGTCTGTTCGGATCCCAAGGCAAAGTATCAGTAGGGTCCGGGTTAGGTAGAGAGCCTATCTTGGAGAGACCCCAAAAGATGGGATATCTCGCCCACGATCGGCCTCCATACTTCTCGGATACGCCCACGGCGCCATATCCTCCTTGGTGGATACGAAGGTAGCTCGCCGCTGCATGGAGCATGTTGAACACTTCACCAAATTGAACATATTTCTTGATGATCTTCTCGTCGAGATTGAATGTTTCCGACACTTCTTTCATCTCTTGCCGGGTCCGGAGAGGCCACATGCCTTGAAATTCAGCGTTGTGGAGTGAAAGACTGACAGGTATCGTTGCAGGTAAGAGATACAATGGTGCCAGTGCCCCATGATAGTCATTGATGTGGTATAGGTCGGGTCCAAATCGTCTGATCATCTCCGCGATACACGCATTCCACGCCGAGTAGTATATGGCACTGTCGAGATCGTCCATTCTTGCTGGGTATGGTTCTGCTTTTGTCTGTCGTCGAAACACGGGGGCGTCCAATAAGACGAAAGTGATGTTCCGGAGTTGATGATACTGAACGTAGATCCTGTACACGTGGTCAAGCACTTTGACCGTCACTGGCTTGGCTGGAATGTCCATGGGATATTCTATGTCACGCCAATACATGGTACAACCCATATTAGGTCTTGGTGGCTCAGGCTTTTCCCCATCAAACTCGACATCACCCCAAGGCCACCGATTTTGACCTTTATGCTCCAGTCCTCAATCTCGTATTCCATGGTTGCGATCAATGTCTTACGCCTTAGAGGCGCACCAATATCAGCTGCAACAGAGAGCGCTCTGGACTTTTTCCTGAGCCCTGCATTGCTACTCGTTAAAGACTCGTCCGAGTGCACACTTGGCGCTCGTGCCACAACAGATGGCAAACTTGAATGACTAGGCCTCCTCGATTCCACGCTGTTCGATGATCGCATCGATCTCGATCCCTCAAAGAGCGTAAGAGATCGCTTCAGACTTGGTATGACGCCTGTTTTCGCTGTCTCACCGCGTGTGTTGAAGTGAACATGGTAGTACGATTTCCGGAAAGCCCACACACCAATGAGCGCCGTGATGAGAGGTACCAGCCCAAGCAACAAGCCGACGACCAGCTGGGACCATGCTGAGCCAATTGGTACTATGTTGTAGCTGAAATCTGCATCATTTACCACAAGACGCCATCCGAGGTGCGGTAACGGCGGCCGTTCAGTCATATTGACCACATTGGTAGATTTGGTGTTTGGGGGTAACCAATCCAGAACGTGATCACCATCCACATCGCCATAAGCTGCAGTAAGGTCGAGCGTGCCGTCCGAGTTCAATCCCCACACATTGACGCCGACTTGAGTAGGCCATTCGGCCGCGAGATCGAATGACCATAGACCCAAATCAGCTTTAGACTGCTTCATGCGGTTTCTAATGCCACGATCGGAGCCCCATTGGTTCCATGATCCTTCAACGAATGCATGCGGCCACCGTCGAGGTAGGTGTTCTTCCAGATCAGTATGTTGAACATGGTCCGCACTTCCAGCAATCTCACTCCAATATCGTAGTATCACGTGAGTTCCATCCCACCTCTGAGCTTTAGTGCCCTTCCAAGAGTGCCTTTCTATCTCCATAGGTTTGCCAGTATAAGTCCGCCATGGACTGAATGTGTTTCCCCAATTCGTTGAATATTGGTACAGCTCAGCTCCGGCTGCAAGGGCTTTCACACTTAGAGCTCCGGTAGCGTTGTCCTTTTGCAACATGTTGGTAGTATAGTTCGACGATAGGGGAAAGACCATCGCATTATCAAGGCTCCCTACCCTGAACATGAATCGATCTCGGGCATTGGTGTATCTTTGTCCATCAGCTGTGGTGACGTTGCTAACTGTGTACGTATGGATGCCGTGCGAAACGTTAGAAAGCATTCCTCTCCAAATCCAAGAAGTGGCAACGGCACCGTTCAAATCCGGGAAATCAGTATCCTGTGAATGGCAAGACACGCTTGATCGGTCGAATTGTGCTTGCACCCCATCCTGAGTTGTTGACTGGACTTGCAGGTTGTTTGTGACAGAATCACAACTCATATTGCTTGAGAATCTGATCTCTAGTTGCACTTTGTCCTGACTTCCCAAAGGAACACTAGATAACAGTCGAGCATCATGGTGTGGTATCACACGAGTGATTGTAGGCATTGGTTCCCGCCATTCTCTGATTGGGACGAAGGCCTTGAAGCCCCAAGGCTCGAATTCAAGCTGCGGTAAGCAGCCATTGTAATCTTCAGAGCCTTCAATGCGCAACGTATGTCGTGAAGCTTGTAGGGTATACTCGTCGTAGGGATAGAAAAGATTCTTGACTCGCGTCCCTGCTGCAAAGGGAGACGTAAGAGCCTTGACGTAGTCGCTGCAATTGAAATCATAGACTTTCGTAGCATTTTCGTTCATGTATACAAACCATACGCCTTGGTTGCCATGATCGCCGACTCCGGAGAAGTCCTGGACCCCTTCAGTCCGACCACGATACACACTCCACACGCCGAACTCGCTGGGAATATTAGCACTTCCAGGGAGGAATATCTCACTGGTTAGGTTTGACAAATTCCGTAGTGTGTAGCCATCATTCAGTACTGGATATTCTTGGCGTAACTGATACATCCGTTTCAAAAGATTGCGAGCTGGACTTGACGGATCACGATGATCTAGACTCACAGAGTCATCATGGCATCCTGTCCGCGATTTGTTGAAAGGTTGATCATAGTATCCAGTCTGACTTAGCTGATAACACCCGTGAAGCTGCCAGGCTCTCTGAGATGCCATCGGCATTCGACCGAAAACGTAGTCCGTGGCTAGGTTTTCCAAGATGTAAAAGGCTTGCTCCTCACCCCAGAGAAGGAGTGGTATCCCAGGCAAAAGCATTTGAGTCACCAGGAACCCCAGTGATTGTCTCTCGAGACCATAGGTAAGAGCTGGCCACCGGAAGACGTCTTGATTCGTGGTTCCAAACATGTGTCTGGGGTCAAATTCTCCAGTGTTAGCATTCACCATATCGTCTCTCTCCAATAGCTTGCGCCAATGATACGACCAGTCCAAGCCTTCAGAGCCAATCAAGCCGCTAAGTCCCAGAAAACGGGTAAGTGCGCCGTATGTGGGATAATGGAAAGCTGCGGAATCTAGAGCAGAGCTCCCAAACTCACGAAGATACGCGGATGCGTTCCGAATGCTCGACTGGTTCGTTGCCAGCTGGGCTTCCGTGATGTTCTCAAAGTACATATCGGGTTGTTTGCCTCTACCCATGTACACGGCTTCAAAAGGGGGTTCACCGACACCTTCACCAGTAATGAAGAAGTTGTGCTTGCCGTACCTCCTGGCACAATCTCTTTGGTAATTGGCCCACTCAACCTGCGCATCTAGCGGTGTCTGGAAAGCCTTGTCCATCCGAAAGCCGTCAATATCAAGCATGGCGATTTGCATGCAGGACATGACTTGTACTCGCTCCATGACATCCGCTCGCCAGATGCGGAGGCGGTCTTGAGTTGAAGCAAATTTTGCAAGCTGACTTTGCCATGTTGGTACCTCTCCAACACCAGGCATGTCACCATACTGATAACAGTCAGCATTACTCCTGAAAAGTGTCCAGATTTGGATCGCACCTGATCAAAGTCACTATCATAGCACGTATGCTGACCTTGGGATATTTCCTGTTGTGTTGGGTATCCATCCTGGCCCCAGAACCTAGGATATTCACAGTTTTCGTTGATGGAGTTGTTGGGCGTGAAGTCATGATAACGGCGAGTCCCCTTCCATTCATAATCGTATTCGTCCCAGCTAAACGGAGTGGTCGAGTTGAGATAGCCCTTGAAGCCAATGAGGTCGCCCATGGTTGCCAGGGTATTGTCAAGAATCACATACATGTCCCTTTCATGGATGGCGGTGATTAGTTTTCGCCAGTCCGCTATGGTGCCATGATGGTGGTCGAGGAGTGTGAAGTCGAGTGGCCCGTAGCCATCTCCACCCCATGGAAAATTGATGAAAGGGCTCCCAATGATGTAGATCCCTCTGATGCCCATCCCATGCAGATAATCCAGACTCTGTTGCACACCCCGGACATCACCTCCAAATCGGAACTGATTACTCGTCCAGCTGTGTTCGAAGAGGGTTCCGTTTGCATTATCATTGCTTGGATCACCTAAAACGTGTAAGAAATGAGAATGAAGCCACCCGCGATCCGAACTGGGAATGGATCTTACCATCAACGAAACGGTCCAGGATTAAGCTGTAAAACGGAAACCGCCAATTTGCCGGAGAAGGATGAAACGTATGGTTCTCCCATTCTCCCCAGTAGTCGGTTGGCTTCGTAGCACTGACCCTCTGGTTGAGATTCCACAGAAGTTGATCTTCTTCATATCTAAGAGCAGACACAAGCGCGATGATAGCGAAAATCAGAGCTGGAATAGATCCTGCCATTCTTCTCGCGAGTTTCGAGCGCCAATTTGGTGGCAATACCCTCCACGATATCAAAAGAGATTGCAAATCATCAATACATGAAAGTTGGGGGAGAGGACAATGACGTCTTGCAACCTGCCATGCTTTGAAGACAAGTCTTCCACCAGAGCGAGTGGGAGGAATCGCAGAGCTATACGTTAAGAGGTGCTTACATGATCTCTGTCTGTTGCTCATAGAGATTGATCCACGTCACAAGATTCACGCAAAGGGGTAGCGATTTGAGACCAAGTCCGCACCACTGTTCGATAGCATGAGTAGGGGCCTGTGGAGGTACGCATTTCGTTTGCCTCTTGCCTCAATATTGCAATGCCATGATGTTGTGGTAGATGATTTTCTCCAGCTGCATGACACCGTGCACGCACCACTGAGATCAAACCCATCGAACACGGTGGAGTCCATCATTTCATGCCGTCGCATGGAAGGTGTTGGCGCGAGGGAGAACCAAGTCTCCATCTGAGGTCGTTGTAGAGAAATACTGGTCATTGGGTGCAATGAAATTGTTTCAGATAATTGAATGTGGCGAGAGCTGTACAAGGGAAAACCCAGAAATCCTCAGCACCCCGCCACGATGGCCAGGAACACCGAGCGTACCTTGATTGCTGTTACGCGAAATATTGAAGACGTTGACGAAGGTCCCTTGAAAGACCCCGAAACCTGGAGACGAATCAAGGTTGGCTTGGCACGATGTCTCTGGGTAAAGCAATGATCGTCATCGCTTCTCATTGACCGTTGCGCTATTTCAAACGAGTATTGTAACAACACCGAAAGACAGATGACACACCTGGCCTGTGCGTCTTGGATCCTCATCCATCTATCTACCTTACAAGTTCCTGGCGCACTCACCGGATAGACTGGCCGGCCAATGATACAGGTATGAATCCACGAGCTCTACAACCACCTCAGATGAAGCTCCACGGTACTATTGGGATTGAGATCCATCCAGTCTATCTACGGCACCATCTCTTCAACGGCGATCATGATGTGATCAGATCTCGCTTGTGTATGTAGCTAGCTACCGCCATCAAGCACGACACCCGTTTTCTATTTCTCCGGCGACCAATCGAGGGGACAGCCATCGTGAAAGGCAATAAATAGCTGTTAACTCGGTTATTGGCGGTATTCGTGCAGACCGCTTGACAGTCCGGACACCCTCGGAAACGTGGAGGCCAATATCAGGTTGACAGCCCTTCATTTCAGACTTCACCCGAGACATCTTTTCGTGTGGATGAGTCAGTGAACAAAGTGATCAGTTACGTCGACGCTCCTCGTGGGTCGGGGACTTAGGATCAGTGCGCAAGAATGCTGTTACTCGAGATCTGCGGCGTTTGAATATCCCAATATGGACACACAACTGTGGGTATCTTGTCCCATCCATGGCTTTCTGACGTTCGCTAGTAATACTTCAAGTCTGCTAGAGTCCACTCAAGAGAGTCTCTGTCCATTACCTTGCTATTTGGTATCGGTCGCAAGCATGCGAAGAAGAATAGCAATACAGAGACGGCTGTTCAAAAAGAATAACCTTGGTATTGATGAGGCTTGCTCGAACATTTGAGAAGACTGGAGGCTATGGCTGCTTTCTACAGTCAGGACTGGGTGTTGTAAAGGCCTGCATTGAAAGGAAATAGAGAACGTCGCTGATGATGGTAATTTTGATCAATATGTACTCGATGTACGCAGTATATGCACTGGGTAGCACGCTGTCATGTGCTGCTAGGTAGCTGCCGATGGCTCCAATATCCACTCTTACTACCTAAGCCGCCCGCTGATATTACATCGTCCTGTCCAAACATGGTATCCAGATCCTCATAGAGTCAAACACTCACTCCACCGAACGCCTCGCTGGTAAAGTCAAGCAGATAAGTCCCACCCCCCTCTGCACATACCTGCACCGCCATCCTGTCCAGACAAGGACGGCTTCCATCATTACTCGAATTTGATGGGATGCAGCACCATCATAGGTAGGCACATCCTCCCACCCCCTGCGCCGCCCTGGCTCTCCCAGGCAACTTCGTCATTATTGTTCTCCTTTCCAAGCCAGCGCCTCCACAGATACCCAGCGAATCCCGCATTCGAATAGTAGCTGGATCCGCGGAATACGTGCTCGCCTGGCCCAAAAACACTGCCTCCTTCACCGTGGAAGTATCCGTTCCCATGATCCATTCCAGCCTCTCTCGCTTTCGTACCGAGTGGAGCATTATTAAAGACTTCATTGGCATGCTCGGCCGGCCAATCTCGGTCGAAGTACACTGGGAGAGGAGCGTATATAGCTTTCAGCCCGTAATGCAGGGCGATGCTAGCAGGATACATTTCGGGGAACATTGTGTGTTTACGCTGATAGGTCTCCTGGTGCATGAGCAACAGGAGTCTTCGAGACATACGAGAAGCAGTGATCAGTGCTGCTCGAGTTGGCGGACGACCATCTTTTGCAACATCGTAACCGGTCATGTCATTGTGAAAGGCCCAGCGAGTACGAGACGGGTCGAAGAGCGGGTTGAAGGTGATCAAGTCGGTAATCTCAGTCGAGTCAGAAGGTACTGATTGCACCGGGATTTCGAGCAATTGTGAGACGGGTAGTTGGGGCCCGGAGATGGCGGAGCCGGTCTCTCTGACAATTGACTGGGAATACGCCGCATATGAGTGGTTGTGTAGTGAAGGAATGAAGAACTTGGCCGATCGTTCCCAGGCATATTCTTGAGACTGCTTCTCAGCCCAGCTCGTAACTTGGGAGAGCAATTCGTGGTAGTGCCCAGTAATCCGCATATCCATTTCCCAATGCCAGAAGTAGTCGAATTCCGGGTGGCGCGAGGCGAAATATTGCATTGGGAAATGCAGAGATCGATAAGCTTCATATATCTCCCCTCCGGAAAAGTTCTCGAGGCTGTCTGGAAATGGGGGCGGGTACACCAGTTTCATCTCGGCGACGGACCATAAGGAGCCCATTCCTTCGAACTCCTTCGGAAGGCTTTCCTTCAAGATTTTATTGTAGAGCTCCTCGTCTGCCCAGATCGGCAGACTCTCATCTTGGACGTGGATAAGAAAGTGGACGGTGTACTGTCCGCCAGAAGACAAAGCCAACTCACTGATCATGGCTCGCAGCATCATTATGTGATAATCAGTATACACAAATGTGCTCCATGTTCGAATAACGACGGCTGTCCTGGATTTCAGCCGCGCTGCATTCTTTTCCAGACATCTTTGCTGTGCATGGCCCAAGGTGATATTGCGCCAGTCGAACGTTTGCACCTTGTCAAGACCGTCAAAATCGCCTTCCAGCTGCAGTCCCAACCCGCCATCGTCTTTCGAGATACCGTATCCGTAAGGCGTGAAACGATTAATGCGGTCATAACACATCTCATCGTTTATCCCAAGCTCTTTCTGTGACCCGAAAAGAGGCTCCGACATCCCCTGCGGTAAGCCTTGGTATGCCTTAACTCTGGGCGGCAGGATTTTGTTTTCCTCGTCCATATAACATTGTTCCAGCCCTATCGAAGTAGATTGGGCCAGTTCGATCAGCTCAAGATCAGGAAGGGGATCCGTTTTAACGGCGTCGGCAGAGTTGGCTTGCTGTTCAGTTACATATTCTGCGACCGAGACTATGCTATTACGGCCGCGATACAGACCATGCAGCCTTTGTTACAATTAGCTATCGATTCGGGTGGGCGCCGCAATTGACTCACCTGGGAAATTGTTCCCACCAGAAAACTTCTCGCCCGTCTACATCCACCGACTGGCCAATGGGTATTAAATCGTTGCTCTTGTCGTTTTCGATTGGCGTTGTCTGGCTTTGGATCTGACCTGCAGGGACAAATGTCCACCAAAGACCGACAATGGTCACCAGAGCAATGGCAGTCGTGGTGCATATCGATCTTCGTAGACCGAAGCTTGACAGGCTCAACTGGCGTTTATGTCCCCGTCGCAATCTGGGAGACCCGACGGGGCTCAGCGGCCCGCTGCTGGAGGAGTCGCTACTGTTGTCGCGCCGGTGAATAGATACAACGACACCGTTGATTTTGTGCTTGACGGACTCGGGGATCAACGCGAGCATTCCACGTGCAAAAATGACAAGTGTCTCCGTGCGCAACGAGCTGTAATCTTGGGGGCGAGATCTGGCAAACTGGGGATCCTTTTGGGCCTATCTGGGGCGCCCTTTCATGCCTCGCCAGCCTAACAGAAATCCAGATCGCGCAATTCCGAGATATTCAGATCCTGTTGGAACGTATGCAGTACAAGTATAGACAGCTCGACAAGGTGAAAGAATACATCAGGGAAAAAGCGACAAAGGGAAAATCCTACACCACCATCGTCAATTTCAGCCGCATTCTGCCCCAGGTTGGCGCAAGGATGCTTCGGCGGCAGTCAGGGCTTGAGATAAGACACCAAGCTATCGAAAGCCTAGAGAATATTATGATACTGGCCCATCAATTGGCTGTTCAGGGGGCGATGCAGCCGATGGCGCTCCCCATCTCGCACGCCTGCCTCCGCCCAGTGAGCCCCCCAGCATCGCTAACAAGAGCCTCCCGGCTTGGCCCTGGAGGCCCTAAAGCAGACTGGATCTAGCCAGTCTTGGCAAATTGCATCCTTCTCCGTCCAAATTTCACGGGCCTGGCTTCTTGCCCAGCGGTTCTTTCAAAAGTACCTGACCTGGGGTGCTGGGAATTACCTGAGCTCAATCTCCGGTCCAGATAACTAACTCCAATAACCGTCTCATCCCACTCCCAAGCTAACAACTCGCAGCTTCATCAGGCTCAACCAGGCACCTGCGGCAATTCTAGATACACTTCGAAGTTGGACTGCCACCCTGGACCAACTTGACACGGCCAAGAAGCCACAGAAAGAGATCAAACAGTTTGATTGAATCCTACGCCCCTGATCTACTCGCAAAGTCCCTCGTCAACATGCCTACAGTGGTCGTCACGAGCCAATTGAGAGTCGGAATCAGCTACGCCTTTACCAGACTATTGTGCAATTTGGTCAGCCATGTCTTGAAGAGAGTCACGATGGAATTGAGTGCCAGCTCCTCGTAGGGATAACACGTGTGCGCAGTTGATCGCGAATGGACATGGCCTCAGTCTTTCGCCCGTCAAAGCTCATCCTACCGTGATCGATTTGGCATGATCCGTCCCCTGCATCCATCCAGGCTTTCATGCAATCTCTTGGTGGCACGATGATTGACACTTACTTGTATTGTTTGGGGAGTTGTCGAATCAGCAGCCTCTTTCAGACTGAAATGATTGCTCACAACCATCTCCTGCGCAGGCTGGAGAGGTTGCTGTTGCACGACGGGATCTATCTTGACAATAGGTGTGTACCATTCGCAGAGTACTGTCTGATTCTCTTGGGAAGGTTGGTTTGGTGGCAGAGGGACTCTGGCATCTCAGGATAATGACCAGTTTTCCCCGCAACGAGATGTTCTTTCGCTGCGATAGCATCTCTTCTTTAATGTATAGCCTCGGTCTCTGTGTTGTAGAAATGTGGTCTGAGTTCGTTGGAATTTTGTGCTCGACTAAGTCTACTTCCGGTATTTCTACTGTCTCCGATAGCAACAATCGAGTTCGGTATCAGGTCCCGGTGCTCTCGGGATCAGAGAAGTGCTACAATATGATTATCGCGCGGCGCATCGCAATATGCTTGCCTACAGGGTAGACTGTACCAGGGGAGCAGATGGCGCAACTTCTTAACCACATCATCGTCGCAGGGTCCAACTTCAGCCTCGGCAAATATCAATATCGGCGAAGCCTCCGCATGGGTCTTATCAGACTCCAAATTTCTATCTTAGAAATCAAAAGAAGTCTTAGAAATCAAAGTCCTCTGAAATGCCCCTATGAATACATTGTTTTCTCCCTCGCTTTTCTCGTTTGTAGATTCCTCCGTGAGTCTCTTGGCGGTGTGGCGGTTTGTTGTCTAGAACAGATCCACCTTCTTGAGGGACAGGCATATAATCCAGCGCACGACTCACCAGCAATGTCTTCGACATCAGTTCCAAAGGATGGCAATCCAGCCGTACCAAATCTGCCCTACTTCACTCCTCAGCATGCTGCCGACCCAGGAGTTCCGTTTACGCCCTCTTCTGGCACTCCAACCCTCTTCACCCCTCTCAAGATCCGGTCAAAAACACTGCGAAACCGAATCATTGTAGCGCCCATGTGTCAGTACTCGACAGCGGCCAGCGGTCCAGACATTGGCAAGCTCACCGACTACCACGTCGCCACGCTAGGACACTATGCGCTGAAGGGCGCCGGATTGGTCTTTATCGAGGCGACCGGCGTACAGCCCAATGGCCGCATCACACCGAACTGTCCGGGACTTTGGAGTGATGCTCAGACTGAAAGTGTAAAGCGCGTCTCAGATTTTATCAAGTCTCAGGGCGCTCTTTCCGGTATCCAACTCGCACATGCCGGTCGGAAGTCCAGCACTATTCCTCCCTGGATCGCCGCAAGCTTCAACAAGCCGTCGGTGCGCGCATCCAAACAAGCAGGCGGGTGGCCAGATGATGTCGTTGGGCCTATGGGTGGTCCCGAGAATTCATGGGATGGGAAAGGCCTAGCTGAAGATGGAGGATTCTACCCTCCTCGGCAACTCACGATCTCGGATATACAAGAGACCGTCTCTGCTTTTGCTCAGAGCGCCAGACGTGCAGTCGAGGCTGGGATCGACGTAATTGAAATTCATGCCGCTCATGGATACTTGATCCACCAGTTCCTGAGTCCCATCACGAATCAACGCACCGACCAGTACGGCGGTAGCTTCGAAAACCGTACACGTCTGCTCGTCGAGGTCATCGAAGCTGTGCGCGCTCAGATACCGACAGATATGCCACTATTTCTCCGGGTCAGCTCTACCGAATGGATGGAAGAGACAGACTTGGGCAAGAGATACGGTAGCTGGGACGTTGAGAGCACCATGCAATTGTCGCGACAATTGCCCGCGCTAGGAGTCGATTTGCTCGATGTGAGCAGTGGCGGCAATCATCCTCAGCAAAGGATCAATATGTTCTCGTCGAAAGATTATCAGACCAAGATTGCCAATCAGATCCGACAAATGATGAAAACTCATCAGCTCAAGCTTCTGATCGGCGCTGTTGGACTGATCACGGAAGCAGAACAGGCCCGAGATATCGTCGAGGACGGACTTGACAAGAGCATCGGCGAAGAGGCTACCGCGGCCAAGGAGATGACTGATACAAGCGGCGGTAAGGAGCCGATGGCCGATGTGATTCTCGTCGCGAGACAGTTTATGAGAGAGCCGGAATGGGTCCTGAAGGTCGCCTGGAAGCTGGGCGTGGATGTCGCTTGGCCCAGTCAATTTCTGAGGGTGAGATTTCCAAAGATCTGAAGCCGGCTGCGTGCAAATTGTTCCTAGATCGTTATCCTCGGTAGAATGTGCTTGATTTGATGACGTTGGCTGGCTCGCACAGCGATATTATATATGTCTCAAGTTTCACCTGGAATCTGTATCCCATGTTCCCCTACGATTTCAAATCCCACAGCGTGAACCCCCTGCTTACAGCGCCCGACCGGAACACCGATCAGTTTGGACGCGAATCGCGCGCCCGGACTCGTATGCCCCGATGCAAACATGCGCTGCAGCCAAACGAGGCTGCGTCGACCTTCAGCGAGTAAGCAAATTCTATATAGTACCCATAGACACTAGCCCTGCACGCAGCGTCACCGCCGAGGGTGTCAAAGATCGGGTTGCATAAGACTAGTACCACCAAGCACCCCTGGTCCCACACGCAAATCATCCCGGCCTCGTACAGAGACCCTACGCTACGATGTCATTGGGACATGTCCTGACACGGACGTCAGCAAGAGAATTGGCGCTCCACCACGTTCAGCCTTGTGTGCCTGAAAAAGAAACCCATCTCAAAGTCCGAAAACACAATGCTTCATGAAGCCGGACTCATTTGATTGCCAACATGAAACTTGCAGCAATGTTGGCAGACTTATCTAAAGTCGGCGAGCTCCATTCGCCGGTGTGTACCTGTACACTATTAAAGGAGGGGACGCCGAAATCCTTCAAATATCGGTGCAGCTCGAAGCTGAGCATTGCGCTGCTTTCACAGCGCTTCTTCATGACACAGGAAGATGAGTTGTTTCTTTGCCCGCAGCATGGCCGTGTGCGTACATATATGTTTACTCTCCTTGCTATCCCTTGTCAGAGCAACAAGACTCGTCAAGCACGACGTGAACTTCGTCCCGGACATTGTCCTTCGCGTGACCCTCGCTACCATCACCCTCAACTGCCAGGAACGTTTGTCGACTCTCGTCAATGGAACATACCCAGGGCCGCCAATATACCTGGAACCCGAGCAAACAACGTGGATCCGAGTCTACAACGACGCAGACGTCAATACTACAATGGTGAGGATTCTTCGGTGGCATTAACTTATCATTCCAACAACACGAGAGGACTGACGGGTATCTACTATGCAGCACTGGCACGGGTTGAGCCTGAACCTCTTCCCGTTCTCTGACGGAGCTCCGATGGCCTCGCAGTGGCCCATACCACCAGGCCACTTCTTCGACTACGAACTCAACGTGCCCGCCAGTCAAGCCGGTACTTCCTTCTACCATTCACACGTCGGCTTCCAAGCGATGACGGCCTCTGGAGCCCTCATTATCAATGATGTTTCAGGCGTGCCTTACTCGTACGACGACGAGTTCATTATGGAGCTAGGGGACTTCTACGCAGAGGAAGATGAGACCATTGAAGCTCAATTAAGCGGAAGTCCCTACATATGGACCGGAGACCCTCTCGCACTCCAGATCAATGGCCAAAGTGGGAACGCCCCAAGTGCCAAAAATCCCAACCCCTCAGGCACGTCGTGTCAACCATACGCATTCAATGTCGCTCCCGATACAACATACCGAGTACGGGTTATCAGCGGCACTGCCATATCTTTTGTCACATTTGGAATCGAGGGCTATGACAATCTGACAATCATTGAAACCGACAACGCCTACGTGTATCCTGTCGAGACCGACCATATTCAGATCGACTCTGGACAACGGTTCAGTTTCATCTTCAGGACCAAAACCACTGCAGAACTAGGAGGGCAGACATCGTCATGGATCCAGTACGAGACTCGTGGTGGATCTGGCACCATTACTGCCTGGGCGAAACTGGTCTACGCCTCAGACTCGACCACAGCCAAGACCACTGTTACTAGACAAGACCATTCTGGAGACCATTCTCCTGACTCTGATCCTCAGACTTTTCCAAGCACCGGCGACTCAGGGTCAGGGTTAGAGCCATACTCACCCGTCCCTTCATTGCCGCCGTCATCACCATCCACCGACCAGAACCCCGATTTTGTTCCCTCCAACCCGATCGTCTCTCTCCCACAAGACATCTCCTCGTGGCTCGAATACACCTTCCAAAGCCTCCCAAGCCACGGGACAGCACCACCCTCCTCATCCGTGACTCGCCGGGTCATCATCACCACGCAACAAATCGTTAATCAATCCCAGTCGGCGACATTCCCATTCGATCATGACCCATGGTTCGACGGCCCGCCGCACACACCGACCACACGAACGCCTTACCTCGTCGAGATCCTGCGACGCGGTACGGTGAACGGCGCGCTTCCCAGCATCTCGCGTGCGCTGGGCAACGGCGAAACACCGGGCTTCGACTCCGTGACACACACCTACCCCGCGGCGATAGGCGAGGTGATCGAGATTGTCTGGCAAAACAGCGGCTCCATTCCAGGCGGCACGTTCGGCATTCATCCCTTGCACGCCCACGGCGGACCGTACTGGGATATGGGCAGTGGCTCGGGGCAGTACAGTCCGCAAGCGCATGAAGCCCTGCTGGCTCAGCACGGCGGCTGGGGCGGATCTCTCCGCGACACGACGATGCTCTACACGTACGCCGACGCCGGAGGAGAAGACGAGGTTGTGAACGGCTGGCGGGTGTGGCGGATTCGGGTCACCGAAAGTAATGTCGGCGTGTGGATGATGCATTGCCACATCCTCCAGCACATGATCATGGGGCAGCAGACGGTGTGGGTGTTTGGCACTCCCGACCAGATCAGGGAGTATTCAAACCCCGTCAACGGAAGTCTGGAAGGGTATTTCACCTACGGAGGTGACGTCGTGGGCAAGGAAGGTGGTGACGTCGTGGTTGCGACCAAGTTTGCATGAGTGCCCGTGTGAGCGTCCACCGGTACAGGTACAGGACGCGAGTACCAGCACTCACTCACTTAACATACCTACCTCCCTATACGCGTCGCGTCACCCCAGTGAATGGTTGGCCTCCACACATCTCACCCAAGCGGCCTATCAACTGACCCCAGGGCGGAATCCAAAGTTCATGAATCACCTTTGCGGAGTTTCTTTCAACATTCACACATCTCTCGGACCGTGGTGGCCCAAGTGGCAACGCTTGAGGTTCAACACCACGGAAAAAGAAAATGTGCCTGTGTGGTGTCAGTGGATTTTGAGTTCGGGCTCTGCGCCGTCTCAGGCTCCCGGGGGGGGGAGTACTCTGCCTTAATGGCCTCACACGGGGGTCTAACTAGTGGAGTGATTCTCTGCCGAAACGTTACGAGAAAAAACCATCGCGTTTTCCCTCGGTCTGGACGTCGGTTGCCTCGCGTGCAGCTGGCCTCCAGGCTAGAGTTTTCGCTGATTGAACACAATGATTCGGTGGTTCTCTCTTTTTCCGGGTTTTTGGTGCTGCTATATTATACATGGATTTCATAAGTACTAATCATAAAATTTAATCTTCATCACTGTGAGACTCACTACCAACTGCGGTAGAATGATTGAGAAGCACTTATGGTCCTGCGCGTGTGCTGCTGAGAGGACGGGATACTACCGATGTTGAACACACAGGCATCAAGCCGGGAAGCCCAACATCATCTCGCGCTTTCCGCCACTGGACTTCAATTCGCTCGAGCTGGTGCCGCTCCATTGGAATACTCTGGAAGCGCTTCGAGACTTTGATACAGGGACAGCCTTTCCCTATGAAGCAGACCACAGAAGCCACGCTGAACCAGTTTGACGAGGTGCTGCGATACCGACGAACTAAAAGTTGGGATGAGAGATTGTATCTCTCGGCGGCTGGGTATCGGGTCTACTACTTCTTTGTAAGTCGACTCACTTAGGTGTTGTAGCATTTGTATCAATGCCTTGATCGCCGTGCTTGGGAAGAGTGGCCCTGTCGTCCAAGATCATCTGATGCCATAGATTGAACGTACATATCTGAATCTTGTCGAGATCGGCGTACAGTGGACTGAACACTTCGACAAGCACACAAAGTCCCGAGCTATTGGGCGATATCGTCTCCTTATACTCAATGGCCACGAGAGCCACCACTCGGTGGAATTTCGAACTCTACTGTCAGCAGAACGGTATCATCACGCTCAATATACCGGCTCATTCATCTCATCTCTAACAGCCACTCAACGTTGGGTGTTTTAGCCCGCTGAAAAAGGCGTACGGCGGCCAGATCAGATCGAAGACCTAATGCGGGCCCGGGTTTCCCATATCACCAACGCCGAGTTCTTTCCGGCATTCAAGACAGAGTTCCAGGCGACCTTCACGGAACACAATACTAGGGCAGGGTTCCGTGGAGTAGGCCTTACTTCATTAGATGCTGAAAGCGTGATTTCTAAGCTCGACATCAAGTTACATACACCTACACCACCAAGATCCTCGGCAAGGCGCCCCCTGCGCCGTGGGAGTAGTAGCCAGAAAGTGCGCCACTATTGGGAACTACCCTATTTCAATGTTGATCTTAGTGTCAGCCTTACCATGTGTACCATGCTTATATGTGGCGACTCTAAATTTCGCCCCGTACAATGGTGATGGTCAAGACAGTCGATTCTTAAACGTCAAATCCGTCTGACTGTAGCAATTAATACACGGCAAACGTTAGGTTATGTAACCTGAATTTCAGATCTATACATGGTTGGCTGTCGCTTCTCCGCCATCGCGACATTGCAGCGAATAGTCACCTTGCGAGAATAACCTAATTTCTCATATTTTGGATGGAAACCGGCTTTGCACGCATCTGTAATATTATCTCTAAATCTAACCGTGTATTTGATCATATTGGATCATAGAGCGTGTTAGTGCTGTAACAATCGTACATATCCTGACTGTTGCAACAGAAGTATGCTATCTTATAGAAATCGCTCCCTGGGGTTCCAAAGGAACCAGACTGATAACAGGCATAAGGGAAGGGGGCGCAAAATTTTCCTGGGGGGCCCCCCTCTACAATAGGGTATTGGCATGGGGGTGCGAAGGGACCATCCCAGGGGTTGTTCGGGTCCGGCCCGAATCCCGGGGGGAGTTGAGGGACCGGCGTGGCCACTGATAATGCGCTGAGACATGAGACAGTGACGAGAGTGATGAGCTGGAACTTCATGGTACTGTTAGAGAGAGACTGTTAGAGAGAGACTAATCAACTGAGACAGATCGACTAACTGGGAGTGACTGGTCGACTGGGAGTGACTGATTGACTGGGAGTGACTGAGTGACTGGGAGTGACTGAGTGACTGGGAGTGACTGGGAGTGACTGGGAGTGACTGGGAGTGACTGTTCGACTGGGGGTGACTGGTTAAGAGACCAAGTTTCTATCTTATATAGCCATTTTCTAGATTCATCTTCTCCTTTTGTACTTATTAGAGAGACCGAACTACACGAGACACTACTAAACGCCCAAGTCTTGACCAAATATCTATCCTCTCACAATCTAGAAAGTAATCAAATCGAGAGAGCTAGCCACCCAGGAGCTGAAGAATCAGTCTGTGTCGTGATGACCAACTCCGGACCTGGATATCAGCTCCGGTCTAATACGAGGCCAAGAATACCGAATCTAGTGATCTTTTGTTAGCGCTACCGTGAAGCTCGCGAATACGAATAGAGGCTTCATATTATAAGATTAAAGATATAGAATAATTAAGGATGATTTGCTCTCGATGTGTCGACCACAAAATGGCTTGTTAGCACAGCTCCACAGTTCTACCCCAAATGACCGTCTGTTATACAAGTTTGTACTTTTAACTTGCTCTGCAGTACGAGCGAACAAATGGAGTCCTTATCACTATGTCTTGGCGACAAGAGCCTCACGATAAGCTCCGATACTAAACGACCCTTTGCATTGTGGCCTCGATCGAGCGTGGCACAGAGAGAAGCGCGGAAAAAGCTCACGGTCTCGCCCAAGGTAAGTGAAGCGGTTGGTCCTGAGTCCTTATTGTGGACCATCACAGGTCGACGAGGCACTGAGGTCGTTGAGCAGACCGGGTGAAAAAAAAGTGAAATGCGATGAGGCGGACTCCCACGTGCAAGAGGTGTGTTCGGCGACAGCTAACATGCACCTGGTCACGCGTCACGACTCCCCTCGAAGAACGGCGTAGGGGCTTAGAGTCGATGAAATCGCGAATCAGTACCACTACCTGAACTCCCTGTACCATTTCCGCAAAGCCCTACACCCTATCTCCTGGGGAATCGGTCCCACCGAGTTCTTCGCTGAGCAGCGACGAACACGCCAGCCCGGGCCCATGGACATCCGCAACCCTCTCGGATGGATTTTCGACGCTTCCGGGCAGTCCGGTGTGTGATCCCCGGAGCACAGTGGCTGGATCCCGAATCAATGGCATGGACCTGGAGCTGAGTGAGATAAGACTGGCCTACTCACCAACCTACACTAAAAGAAGTGAATTTTCTCCTCCGATTGACTACTGTATTCCAGTACGGAGTTTTGAGTAGACAGGCCACAGTACTCTAGGGGCACGTAGGGCAATAAGATGGAATTCCGGAAGACATCCAAACACAAGGCAGAATTCCGAGGGACGTGCAGGACAACAAGTCAAGTTCTTCCTCTACATGGTCACCAGGGGACTCTTGCTCCCTGAAGGTCGACCTCCAACCTCGAAACTATCACGTTCCATATCCAGACTTCCTCACGGTCACATTTTTCCGACTTTATCCAGATCGGTTCCGTTGGTCAAGATCATGTCCTATTTTCCAGGTTATTTGTTAGTGTTGGCAAAACTTGATCCTCATGTCCCACAGCACTTGGGACTTGTCAAGTAATCATGGACAAGTGTTACGGTTGAATACATATATGAAAACTGAACATACCTGAAGCGGCAACGGCATAAAAAATCTCACCCATCTCGTTTCACTCGCGTGTCTTCCTCTCCAAATCTTCCCCGTCGAACCACCAAGGACGTCACCCACGACTTTCCTCGCCAAGTCCTCGGGTGAACTGGGATCGTAGTCGATCTCGTCGTTCCACCGTTTCTCCAGGTGCGAGGATACAGCGAGGTATCGCGACGTTTGGGGCAAGGAGAGTCTAGGCGAGTTTTGGTGGATTTGCGTCTTGACGGATCCAGTTACGACAGTGAGGATTTTGACGTTCAGCGGGGCCAGTTCGAGACGGAGCGTGTCGGAGAGCATGTGTACTGCTGCTTTGGACGCGTTGTAGACAGCTGATGGAACAAGGACACGAAAAACGAACATTGATTAGCATACCTGCCAGAACAGGAGAGACGTTGTCTGTGTGACATGAGATATAGAAGTGGTGGATAGGTCGAGAAAGAGAAAGGGGAGGGAGGGTGTCAGTACCAGTGTATGGAGTATGTAAATAAGCAACGATACTCCCTATATTCACAACTGTGCCCTTGGCTTCAATCAACAACGGCGCGAATGCTTGGATCATACGCAGCACCCCCCAGAAGTTCACGTCGAACATCTTCTTTCCTTCGTCAATGTCCAGGTCCAACGCTGGAAGGATGATGTTTTGACCAGAGTTGTTGAGGAGGTAGTCGAGTTTGCCGCCAGTTGCGGTGGTGATTTTATCCACCGCGTCGGCGACTGAAGTCGGCGATGTGACGTCCAGAGACAATAGGGTCGTGTTGGGGAGGTTCTTGAGGTCGGACATTTTGGAAAGGGTGCGTGCCGTGGCGAAGACGGTCATCCCACGACGTTGACATTCCACCGCTAGGGCGTGGCCGAGGCCACCTTTTGAACAGCCTGTGATGAGGATGGTTTTGTCGGGCATTGTGTCTCTAGTAATGCAATCCCTCTATGGTGGTCGTTGGTGAAGTACTTGTAGGATCAGGCAGGTAGTGTTCGAATAGTATCCGAAGATCGAAAGAGTGATGGATATTTATCTGGGCTTGAGGGAATTATACTCGTAAATATATACGTTGAATCGCAGACCGTTCTTGACTTGATGGTCACCTAGGTACACTGTGCTCGGTGGACCCGCCCGGGGCCTTTACAGCCTTGCTCTCCTGAAAAGGGTTTGGCGTATCAGCATCGTGCATGAAGTTTGGAGTCTGATGGGGCCAAAGCGGCTTCCAGTCTTGGATGTTGCCCGCTTGTCTAGGCTCCCGGTCATCTTACCCATGCAGCCGATGGAACTCACATCAAACCTCTCTTCATGGTCTGGTGAGGACTTTTCCAATTTATCGGCAGGAGCCTGAGTCCTGACAAAGATATCTGTCAGAGTAGCCTGTTGCGGAATGGCATCTCACGACGCTCTCATACTTCCGCGACCAGTGCGGTTACAAGAAGTAAGAAGCTCTCCCGTCTGATAGAGAGTAATTCGATCTAACTGGGAAGTTGCAAATGTCAGGCAATTGATCATGAAGACGATTGGACTGGTCTATCGGACCCCAAGTCTAGAAGGAAGATTCAAAATCGGCTGAATCAACGAGCTCGGCGTACGTTTGACCTTCATCGTTCTAGTCAGCATTGTTGCTCTTTCCACATTACTCTTATGACAAGTCATTACTAGCTACCGTGAGATATGATTCCTGACAGAGGTCCCAGGTAGACGGAGAGATCCTGATAGATGGACACCGCTGCGATCGAAGATCGATGATATCGGGCGAGGACACCAGACAAACCCAGCGAGGACTGTCACACCCTGTAGAGCTTCATCTCTGGTTGCAGGATCATTTCCACTCCCTAGAACGAGACCAATAGTGGCGGCATTGCTAAAAGGATATTTTCCTTTATCCTCCGACCACTTGATGCAGTTGATACAGTTCAATGTCTGGCGCGCAATCTTGACGAATATGGTCGTGCTCCGCCTCACTCACCTCTTTGATTGTCAAGATGAGACATCCGAAGCGATGCGTATCTCGGAACTCCCACATCCCGTCGCCCTTCCACCACTGCTCGAACCTACCCCATTGCAACGGCAGGTGCCACATCCACCTTACGTCGATTTGTTCCCCTTGCCCGGTCTCCGCGACGCTCTGATTCAAGCAGATGGCAAGTATGACGACTGTGAGCTTTGCATTGACCTGCTTGGCTCGATAGCAGACCCACAAATTCCGGGTTACTCGAAGTCCGAGGATGAAGGCGAAAATGCTCGCAAGGGTCTTGTCGTATGGGGAGAGCCTTGGCGGGTTGACTCCTGGGAGGTTGAGGAAGGATTCGTCAAGAAATGGGGTTGGATGCTGAAGGCCAACTGCGAACCACTGCTGCGATCGACCGACAAATGGAGAGAAGTGAGAGGCGACGAGCCTCTCAGGTGGAAAGAATGGGGACTTTCTTCATGATGAGGATACGGAGCATCGGGAATACCTGGGTGGGTGCATCGATCCCTTCACTCTGACAAGCTCAATGAGAAGCTGAGAAATACCCTCCCAAGGACTTGCGTTCTTGGGATAGCGGCTATGGTCAACTACTCTAGGAGCAATTGAGATTGTTTCGCGTATGGAGAGCGATGATGGAGATAGACTGGGTACGAGTACCTGGAGCTCATACAGTGAATGGATTACCTAGGCGCAGGAGCACCTTCTAGTCGGGCCTCGGAACAGTTGATCCGAGTGCACGTGATTAGCCACCTAGCCAATTCAGCGCATCTGAGTGGCCGACGTCATTCTGCGGTGGCGTCTTCGTTCTCCGTCGTCTGAACCGCGAAGCTTCTACGCGGATATTCGTCGTTGTTCTTCTCTGCCTGCGCCGGCGTATATATTAATTCATCCTCTCGCCGCCACGGTCAACCTCCACCATCCTTTGTGAATCCCTCAGCGTCATCTCAAAGAGTCGCGTCCATCATGGCTTTCGTCCTCAGGAGGCCCTTTGCGGTCTCCTCCAACGCTTTCAAGCAATTCAGCAAACCCTCGTCATTAATCCGAACCTTCCATTCAAGCCCCAAATCCTCGAATTCATTCTTCACTCCTCGGACGACGACATCAAGTGCGCAGTCCCTCCTCAAGTCCGAAGCTCTGCGCAATGGTTTCAAGCGAAGCTACCAGACTCCGTCATACCAACCGGCGAATCCGGCTGCAAGCGGCAACCTGACACAACGAATTCTCTATGGCGCCGCTTTGGTGGGTGGTACAATTCTTGTCACGAACATGATCTTCAACCGGGAAACTCGGGAAGACGGCGGGATGCCGCAGTATGAACGAGAATATCTGAACCAGACCTTCATGCACACCGGTCTGGGTGTCGGTATCATCGGTTTGGCGGCGCGGACCTTGCACACCAGCGGCTGGAGTTATCGGCTAATGGCCACGAACCCTTGGCTGGTTATGGGTGTTGGTCTAGTTGCCAGCATTGGAACCATGTACGGAACACTTTACACGCATCCTGACAAGTAAGTCATATCCCGTCTTCTGAAGGTATGGTTGTCCAAATTAACAAATTTCTACAGCTACGTACAGAAGTACGCTCTCTGGACGGCCTTCAACGTCACCCAAGCCGCTCTGCTATCGCCATTGATGTTCATGCATCCGGCAATTCTGGCTCGTGCTGGTCTCTACACTATTGGAATGATGGGAAGCATTGCCTTTGTTGGTGCTACCGCGAAGCAAGAGAAATACCTCTACCTTGGAGGTCCTTTGCTTGCCGGTGTCGCCATCGTTGCAATCTCTGGCTTTGCACCTCTTGTCCTGCCAGCCACCGCCGTTCGAACACTGGCTTGGACTGAGAACATTTGGCTCTATGGTGGTCTCGCTGTCTTTGGTGGTTTTACCTTGTACGACGTGCAGAAGATTCTCCACCACGCTCGGATGAGTGAACGTGGTCTGGTCAGAAAGGATGTTGTGAACGAGAGTGTTAGCCTCGAGTTGGACTTTCTGAACATCTTCATCCGCATGGTTCAAATCTTGAGCATGCGAAACAACAACCGAAGGTGATGAAGCCGGACTACATCATGGGAGTATTAATTCCCTGGGGCCGATTTGTTGTTCATACAAGACTTGATCACAGTATACAAGTCTTCAGCCTAGTGACAGACATGCTCTTCACGGCCAAATAGGAGTAAACAGATAAAAAAAATGTAATAGTTTCCCCTCTCACCTTTGATGTGGTAGTATCGTGTCTGGGTCTATCTGCGATTCTTCTTCACTACATTTCCACCGCTTAATGTCAGACCATCTTGATTATCGATGCAAGAAGGGGCCACGCCTACGAACAGGCGCTTGACATTATGCATATTCCGTAGTCGAACTAAGAGACAGGGGATATCACCTTCCCGCTTAGTTTCGAAACACGAGTTTGATATTGACGTACTATGTAGCAACTGCGATTGGTAGAGCAAAGGGACAACTCTAGCTGATCGTAAGAAGGACTATTAGCGGTAAGTATCGACAGGGCATATCCGCTCATAGCAGCTCACAGTAATGTTGGATTTTGTATAAAGGAGCAGCTCTGTTTGCTGAGAAGCTTGTGTGTATACAGCCGTGTACATCTGTCAACCCTTTCCTTCGTCCACGTTCGTTGTTATGGTGCCGTCTCAAATTCCCACTCGATGGCTGTTAGGAAGGTTTGAAGGTAGGAGAGAGTCGACTTACAAGGAGATAGTTGCCAAATCGAATAAAGCCCGACAAAAGTCTACGTGGTAATAGAAGTGTATATATATGAAGATCGCGGACCCTGGTAGGTCTGACAGAGTTGGACCTGCACCACGGCATTCCACGCCGAGTGTGTCGCAGCCATCCTCGTAAAAAGAGCCTTTCTGTGACCAAAGACATCGGCACTGTAGCGCCTGGGGGGGGGGCCGACTCCCTGGCGTGGTTAGAGCTTGAGGGTGCGAAGCTCCAGCAGAGAACGGGCAGAAGCCAACATGTACTTGAGCAGGGTCGGATAGTCCCAACCGATCGAAGAGGCAGCCATTGCCGTCAAGCTGGCCTGATCCTCTCGCCCAGGCCTTCCTGGACCTGTCATGTTCTGGTCGTAGTTTGTCAGCCGGTCAGTCACATCCAGGGGATTGGAAGCGAGGAGTTTGGCCCCCTAACTCACGGGCTTCATGTTCACGTCGAAGATGGCAAACGTGTCTGGAGTCTTGCCTTGGCCATACTGCCGGACGTCAATCCGGATAGGGGCAGTCGTTTTGAGCCTCTCTGCCGCACGCTCACAATGTCGACAGATTGATTTGTAGACGGGGGCCGACTCGCTCTCTTGGGCCGAGAGAGCCGAAGAGTTGTTGGTCACAGCCACAACGCCATTGTAGGGTGCAATACCGTCAACGTGATTGTATCGTAGGACCAACGGCAGAGACCAGTAATGAAGGACATCCGCCGAGGGTGGCATGACGGTTACTGTGCCTTCACGGCCGCACAGATACTCCTCCACCATAGCCTTGGAGCTCTCGGCAAGAAGACTCCTCAGGTGGTCCAGCAGTTCGTTCTTGGTTGCGCACAGTTTGACACCGTAGCTACCACGGCCTCGAATCGGCTTGCCCACGACCGGGTAGGGCAACCGGTCGAGCTCCGGGTCCTCGGGAGACTCGAAGGTCCAGCCTTTTGGCATAGGATAGGAGCCGTCCTCGCGGAGCATGTCATTGACGTACTCCTTGTCGTCCAGCTGTTCCACCAGGGCCGGCGGCTGTCCGATGATATTGACGTTGGGAGCGTATTTGTCGAGCTCTGCCGAAGTTTGAAGGGGATGGGCCGCGAAGAGAATAGTGTTGGCCCAAAGATGCGTGGCGCCATGTTCGACAGCCGAGACAATTCCGTCTTCGGTGTCCGGCCAGCACCAGTCTTCATCGTTGTACGGATCGGGCGAGGACACTGGGGTTATCACGTCGATGGAGTTGGACTTGAGCACATATGCTATGTCCGCGCCAGAATCCCGGTACCCTTCCCGGGCCCAGTCAGTACGTGGCTCTTTGCCAACTTTCCCAGGCCTCACCTACCTCCCGGTTTCATGGGCTTCCTAATGCCATTGATGACGGGCGGTTCTAGTGCTTGATATAGGACGGCCACTTTGATGCGCGGGGGGCCAACCCGAGTCGACTCGCACCGCCGGAACATTCCCCTAAGGAGGAGAGGGGCGATGGGTCTGATCCGAACGGACATTGTCGCGTAAGTAGTGGAGTCTCACAGACTCAACAAGCGTTTTGTGCGTTGACTCAGCTACAGTCCTTTCACGGAGGCCGTCGCAGAAGTCGATGTTGGGCGAGACGTTGTCTTGCGGAGCGGACCGAGACCGACCCACGTCGAGATTTAGTCTCCCGGAGCTGAGCGTTGGACTACAAAACTATCTTCCACTCCACGTCAAAACGTGGGCTCGAGCTAGTTAGTCTCAGGGCGACAGGGTGTCACCAGCCAGTGTCGAGATGTTTCCCGGCGAAATAAACAGGCAAGGAAAATTCCTCCTTGAACAAATCCCCAAGTGGACGATCCTTCTTGAAAGCTTCCTGCAAAAGGGTAAATGAACGCGAGCAAATGAGGCGCTGACATCCCTCCAAGAGACCATTGTTAGGACGCTCTCCATAGTGGGCGGTAACCTTTATAGGCAAGGAGGTAAACTCAATAACCTCACGAAGAAACAGGTCCTGGCCGCCCCGGCTTAGGCCGCCTCTCGGGCGACGACTTGCACGAGAGAAAGCTGAGGCCACAGCCATACAAAGTTTACTAGCTCTGCCAGCCCTCGACACGGGCGGTTGAAGCCGGCTTTGGCTAATCTGTACAAGGGACGAAGTGGGAGATTCGCTTCAGCGAGAAGGACTGGTGCCATGACCGAGCTGACCGTGCGAGTTCTCCCTCCTTTGGCCTGATATGATAATCTGAACGATTCCCTCCAATTCTTGACGAACACTGGAAGTAGGACACTCTTTTGTTAGGCCTTGGATTCTGTCCCTTGATCGGTCCCATCAACTTGACAGAAGAGCCTGAAACACATCCCGCAATGGCAAATGCTTCCGAAGTCGACCTGAGTCCCGATGAGGCCGAGGACTCGGGATTTGAGGATAGCGCGTCGCTGCAAAGCACGTCGCTAGCGAGTTCCGTGCTGAACTACACCTACGAAAACGGCCGGAGATATCATGCTTATCGAGCGGGTAGCTACCCTCTGCCTAACGACGAACAGGAGCAAGATCGGATGGACTCGTTACACCACATTTGGCTTTCGTTGCTAGGAGGCGAGCTGTTGTACCGCAAACCACCAAATCTGGAACGAGTTCTCGATGTGGGCACCGGCACCGGCTCATGGGCAATCGACATGGCGGACGAATATCCCCAGGCCACTATCATTGGCACCGATTTGTCTCCCATCCAGCCAGGGTGGGTTCCTCCAAATTGTCGTTTCTATGTCGACGACGCCGAATCAGACTGGACATATTCTCCTTTCGATCTTATCCATGCCCGCAGCCTAACCGGTTCAATCGCTGACTGGCCACGGTTCTATAGGCAGTGCTTCGAGACGCTGAGACCAGGAGGGTATCTGGAAATCCAGGAGCACGACGTTCAGGCGAGCACCATTGAAAAAGAGCTGCCGCCCTGGACCGCCGAAATGAACGCTAACTTGAGCCTCGGGAGTGACCTTTTTGGCAGACCCATGAACGTCGCACATCTTCACGCCAACTGGGTGAGAGAAGCCGGCTTCGTCGAAGTCGAGGAACAGGTCGACAAGGTCCCCATTGGCAGCTGGGCCAAACATAGAAAGGAACTCGGCCGCTTCCATCTCTCCGAGATACTGACCGCAATCGAACCGTACTGTCTAGCGCTGTACACCAAAGCTCTTTCCAAGAGTTATGAAGAGACCAAAGTGGCTATCGAGATGGTCAAGCAGGAGTTTTGCACCAAGAAACACCACCTTTACGTCAACTTCCGTTTCATCACCGGCAGGAAACCCGCGTGACTCTTGCGCTCTGACTGCGGTTGTCCTTGCAAGTTAATTTTCAATGGCGCCAGTGTCCATGAACTATACCAGCCGTCCTATGGTGTTCTAGTTGTTGATTGAGCTGCTTTAAAAAGGAAAAAAAGCCCTTCCAGTGGCAGGATGTGACGATCGATACGGATGACAGGACCTCGCCCCTACAGCAGAGACTGGGCGGATTTGGGCGGAGTTTCGCATCATGAACTGAATCAATTCGAAATACTTCAAATACTTCTATCCTTCACTCCTACGGAGGGCTGGTTTGAGTAGGTAGCCAAAGGTGACGCTTAGGAGGGGAAGATTTCAGTTGAGGGGGACGCCTGAGGAAGGGTGGTTTAGCTAAAGGTGAGACGTGAGAGGGGTCGGGCTTAGTTGAAGGCAACGCCTGTAGGGGGTTGGTTTTAGTGTGATGACGCCTATAGTGGGTGCCCGAAGTCAGTTAAAAGCAACGGCAACGGGACAGAATCTCAGCTCCAATTTACCTTGTTATAGGTACGGAATCTTGCTGTTGTGTGAAATCCAAATTACCAATAGCAGCTCGACCATGCCCTGAGCTGCCAAGAACAACCAAGGACCAATATTATTATGTCCTGACCAGGCCTTCCCTGGACCACCACCACCACCACCACCGATACATCCCTCGACTCTCCCATCGATCGTGACGGTGAGATATTTTGGTCGACGATCTACTATAGATCCCCTACCAATCCATCCGCGCTTCGCAACTGAGCAACCATGGTCCTGACAATCCACCTGGCACACATGCCACCTGAACTGGCCCTCTATGTCTCGGTCTACACCGACGTCGAAAATGCTTCGTTTCTCAAGCAACAACTTCTCGCCGGCAACGCAGAGTTTGAATACGCCTTCGTCGACGCTAGCATGGTTGGTGTTCCCGTTGTCTTCTCTTCCTCGCCAATACATACCTCTCCATCCCCTTCCTCTCATCCGCCGGCCTTTCTCACACAGGCTTTCGCGTCAATCCGTGCCGTGTCGTGGACCGCACTCACATCACATTCTGACCTAGATCCTGTCGACGACACACGTTCTCGCTGCGGCCTTCCGCGCCATGAACGACTACTTAAACGACCGGTTGAGGTCTCACAATGTCCACTCTGAGATTGTATTCTCCTTGAGTCCAAACAACAATGTACGTACTCGTATAGTCGTCCACCACCCGGTGTCTGCCTCCACACACGGGACGAAACCAATTCCTCTTGAGCATTTCTGTCTGGGATGCTGGTCGGGATCTGACTAACCAACTGTACTCTTCAAGATCGGCGAGGCGTTTCGACGGTTCGGCATCTCCGACTCGACACGCGATCTTCTAGTTCTCAAGGTCGCGACAACCCCAGCCGTGACACAGGACAGCGTCTCACAGCACCTCTCGACACACGTCCGAGGCAAGGAACTTCCATTTGACGACGCCACGTTGCGCGGCTTTTCCGACGTCGACAGAGTCCGCAAAGCCTACAAGGTCACCGTCGCTCAGCCGTCATCGTCCGGCAAAGGTAAAGCGGGCAAGGACGCGGTTGCGAATGGCACAGTTATTGACTCGACGTCGACCAACATTGAGAGACAGGTCCTGGGACTCATGGCCCTCAGGGGTGCGACTTGATATATCTTTGGAGTCGATCGAAACCTCCAGGGCGCGTCCATCCGGGGAAGAGCGAAACATAAATGGAAGCATCGTGTCTGTCGTCGTCGTCGTCGTTATCGTCATCGTCATCGTCGTCGTGTTCAACTCAATACTCCCCCTCCAACTCTGGAAGGCGAGTACAGACACATCATGTGTGGCTCCTGTCGCTCTCCTCTGCTGCATGGACGCAACCAGTAAAAGCATGAGGCGCAGACTTGTGGCACAACGCTCGAAAGGTACTCGACTACACTTGAAAAGTCCCCTTCATTTACATTCCGCATCTACGTACGGTATCATGAGAGTTGTGTGCTGCACACCATGTGCACATCAACCCTCTGAGGCCTCCCTCTCTGCCAAAATCAACAGAGAAACATGACGCAGCGGCGAACACACAACAACGGCCGAAGTTTGTTCCGTCCGCAACCAGAGCCACTGCGGATGCGGGATATCAACCGTTCATGAACGGGAACGAGAGAAACGGCCCAGGTCACGTCACCTCCCGTCCGGTCCTGTTCTTTTGGTACCTGAACGAAAAACACAATTCCCCAAACCAAAAAGAAAGAAGCTGAACACCCGCACGGGTCAATCTTCTGCTCAATTGAGCTGTCAAATGTATCTAAGTATCCGGAAGCAGTCACACATACCTACCTATCTGGTCACGGGTGCATGGATCAAACCATGACAACAGGCCAAGGGGCTCAGACGTCCGATATCACGACGTCGGGGAAGCCCCCCAAAAAAACAATCAAATATTTCAATCATCGACAAAGTTTACTACTTTTTCTCTTCGTATTCCGTGCTCAGATCTGGTCAAGCTTCTCTCTAAGTCCACAACAAAACGAACCGGCACAGAGCTAAAAGAGCGAGCGAGCGAGCAAATCTAATGAATCAAAGTTCAAGCAATGCTTTCCAGGCCGCGTGCCTGCCATTCACCCTGGTCGACCGTTGTCTCGTATTTAACTCTTCTCGTCTCTTGATGCCTTCCGAAGTCGAAATTGAAAGCATTGCATTGCACTGCGTTTCTCAGCCGCCTTTTCATATCTCCCCGCTCGCCCCTTTTTCATCCCAGCAAGTAAAGACAGTCTAATGCAATTTATTTCTTAAAGTACACAGCAAGAAGATGCCTCGTGCACCACCCCCAACAACACCCGCCTCATTTGCCAACCAAATCTCGTAGCCCCTTCTCCCCGAGGACTTTCGCTTCTCACCATCTGCAACTAGAAGCGTTCAAATAACCCTCCTCAGGATATTACTGTACCCTGCGTGTCATCTCTCCCACTTTCACCTCCCTTGTGCCCGGTAAGCACATCCATTTGAAAATAGGATAATCCTCATTCTGTACTTTCCCCGCTATGAAAATGCTTTCTTCGTTTCCTCACCAGTTCATGCGAGCACTTCAAGAAGTGCTTCGATCGTGTGTCGAGAAAAAAAGGCGAATAAAAACCAACCAACGCCATCGCTAATATGTAAATTCGAATCTTTTTTGGGGTTTGGTTTAAAAGTAGCAACGTGGCCAAAAGGAAAGGGACGGCTGTTAGCGTCCGTGACAATTTGGTGGCCAGACGATAAAACAAGGCATGATAAAACATAACATGGCAACATCATAGAGCATGTCAAGAAAGAAGGTCAATCTAATGGATCCTTCTTGCATGAACTCGAAGTTGTTTTTGGTTGACAGAGGTGTCGAGTGATAATACAAAGCAGTACTAGTCATCCTTGTCCTCTTTGGGAGAAGTTGGAGAATACTGCGGGCTGTTTGGAGAGTATTGTGGACTACTAATACCACCAGGTCTCCCCTGGGGACTTCGCGGCGATGCATTGTACATCGGACTCGTAGGTGAGTACGAGGGACTGGTTGGCGAAGTCGGACTGGTAGGACTGTATGTAGGAGAAGTCGGAGAGTAGCTCGGAGACGTGGGCGACTGTTGCTTGCCACCACCGTATACCGGACTAGTCGGGCTATACTGTGGTGACGTGGGACTGTAGGCAGGAGACGTCGGGGAAGTCGGCGACGTCGGGCTGAACGCTGGCGAAGTAGGAGAGTAACTTGGCGATGTGGGCGAAGTGCCGTAGGCAGGAGACGTCGGAGAGTAGTTCGGCGAAGTGGGAGAGTAGCTGGGAGAGGTTGGCGATGCTTGATAACCAGGCGAGGTAGGCGAGTACGCGGGCGAAGTCGGCGTAAATGCTGGACTGGCCGGGGAAAACGATGGTGATGTCGGACCAAAGCCGGGACTGGTTGCACCAAAAGCTGGAGAGGTAGGCGAGTAACCAGCGGTGGGTGAAAAGCCAGGCGAAGCTGGGCTCATACCACCGAAAGGACTGGCCGGAGAGTATCCAGCAGGACTTCGAGCCCCATAAGGACTGAAGCCTCCAGCACCGCCAAAGCCAGGTTGATAGTCGGTGAACCCGCCAGGAGTTTCTGAGCCAGAAGCAGCAATTGGCGAGAATGATGCACCATAATCCGGAGAACCCAGGTATTGGTTGTCCTGCATTGGTGAACCGCTGTCATACGGCGTGGCCGCGCCCTCCAACATCTGCTGGGTGCCTTTAACACCGATGACTCCACCAAGGCCGAGATTGGCATTGTCGGTGACAACTGTGGACAGCATGTTGTGATCGAGTAGGATATCCATAGTGCCTGTTCCCACGGGAGCAGGTTGACCAAGGATCAAATTCTCAGACACGCCCCGACAGTCGTCCAATTCTCCGGCAGCAGCGGCTTCCAGAAGAATTTCCACCGTCTGCTCAAATGAACATCTCATCAGAGCGCCAGTATCAGACTTGTTGATACCATGACGTGTGACCGCCATAACGTAGCCACGACTGGTCATTACATCACAAAGAATACCCAAATGACGTGCGTTCACGTATGAACCGTCGAAAGACAACACTTGAGTCAATTCTCGTAAAATGGCGGCCCGAGTAGCTTCGATACCGAGCACCTCAAAGATCTCAGTGAACCTGTTGGTGTAGGTACGAGTAGTATCAACTCCGTCAATCGCGAGTACTTTTGCGAAAGAGCTGCCGCTGGTCTCGAGGACATACTCGTTGCATTTGGGGTCAGACTTGGCCATTCTCACAGAATTGTCAGCGTCGATAATGGCCTTGCTCTTCTGATCAATAAATGCTCTCGAGACTCCAGGAACACCATGGAAGGTGAGATGGTCGAGCATTTCGTTCAAGAAGCGGCGGAGAATTTCATCGTCCTCTCTCCGGTCTTCTTCCTCGTCCTTGCCATAGTTTTGAACAAGTCGAATCCGGATGACCTGCTCATCCGCATTGATATCGCTGAAGATCACTGAAAGGTCCTTGCCATAGGTGGATTTGATCTTTGACGAGACCTCCTGAATGTTCAATCCCTTGTCTAGCAGCTTCGCGCGACTGAGCGTAATACGCAGAAGCCATTTCGAATGGAGAGAAAGGTCTGCCTCGTTGTCTTCAGGAATTATGAAGTACGACTCAACCATGTCGAGATCCTCGGGAATAATGGTACTTTGAATATCTGGGTCGTACCACAATTCACATGTTTCAGCGACGGATCGCAAGTTGGTATGTTGTACTCGACTTCGCAGCAACTTGGCAGCCTCTTTGTCACCAGTGTACTCTGGGAGCTGGTAGACCGTCATTGATGGTGTGCGGATGTTCTGGGAAACATTCAAGATTTCCTTCAAACGAGGAACACCAAGGGTAACGTTCTTTGCAGAGACACCAGTGAAGTGGAAGGTGTTCAATGTCATCTGAGTAGCAGGTTCACCAATAGACTGTGCAGCCAGGACACCGACCATTTCACCAGGGTTAGCATGTGCAGCAATAAATCGACTCTCGATACCACCGATAACATTGTCAAAGGCCAATCGGTTGAGACCATGCTCAAGAACAAGTCGCTTGTAAGCAAGGCGAGATCGCAATTGTGCTTTGAAAAGAAGAGTAGCATTTGATTGTGCTTCTTGGGAAATGGCATCGTCACCGCGAACGACGATGAGTCGATCCAACAATTGCTTGACTGCATTGAGTGCATAACGAGGGTCAAGGTCCGTTTTATCTCCGCGTCGGATTTTGAAGTTCTTCTGCGCCTGATCGATAATTCGTGCAACGTTGAGAGGCAGTTGGAAATTATCCTCTGTGCCTTTGCCCATCTTTCGAAGGAAGTCTCGGGACTTCCGCAGAGCTTCGAGCTCTTCATCGAATAGCTCTTGCAATTCAGTGTCACCTTGAATCTCTCTGGCTTGGAGAAGTTTGCCTCTCCACATCGAGGTGTCGCCACTCATGACATCGACGGCGTATCGGTTCATGAAAGCCTTATCAGACATGGTGACAATATCAACCTTCTGGTTTTCGATGTGGCCACCATCAAGCCCGTCTTCTCCATATATGAATTGCACGATATTGCCCCGAGAATCCCGGACCGTGCTATCATATTTTACAGTGACTTCTTCCAGAGCCTTGACGAGTCGCCGCTGAATGTAGCCAGTTTCGGCAGTCTTGACAGCTGTATCTATGAGACCTTCGCGACCAGCCATGGCGTGGAAGAAGAATTCTGTGGGGGTCAGTCCTCGCAAATAAGAGTTCTCGACAAAGCCTCGCGATGGAGCTGAGTAGTCGTCCTTCGCGAAATGGGGCAGAGTTCGGTACTTGAAGCCGAAAGGAATACGTTTGCCTTCCACAGCTTGCTGACCAACGATGGCGGTCATTTGGGCAATGTTGATCGTTGAACCCTTCGAACCGGCTCGAGCCATTTGGATGGCGTTGTTGAGATCTTTCAGGCTGTTTTCTGTTGCCGAACCAGCCTGGTCACGAGCTTGGTTGAGGAAGTTCATGACCTTGCTTTCAAAGGTCTGACGAACGTTCATTCCAGGTGCGGGCTCTAGATCTTCATTGTACGCGGCCTTGGTTAGCTGCTCAACGTCGGCCTTTCTGTCATCGACAGCTTGCTGGATCTTGACAACCGTGGCTGGATCGGGTACTGTATCACCAATCCCGATGCTGAAGCCGTTGTGCAGAAGCCAATAGTTGACGACAGTCTGCGCGCCGTTGAAAAAAGCCATCGCAGCCTCGTGACCAAACTCATTGTAGATGGTATGAATAATACCACCGGCACTGGTGCCCACGAATTTCTTACTGAAGAGACCGAAGATCAGGTTGCCTTCCAAGACCATCAAGCCAGTGTCATTGATTGGAGACAGATTGTCGTCCTTTTGGTCCCTGAAAGCATCGCCCTTGGCTTCGAATCGTTCAAGATTCAGGGCTTTTGGAAGAACCATACTGATCATCTGTTTGCCCGTCCAGCGAGGCCTTGGTTTGATGATAGCTGGTTGAGGAATCACCCCATCCCAATCAGGAACCCACATCATGACATTCATGACTTGATCTCGTGACAAGAATATGTCGCGTCGACAGATCTTGTAGATACCACAGAGTGTGTCTTGCACGATACCCATTAGGGGGCCATTGCGCTGCGGAGACACGATGTTGAGAGGAACCATGCAGAGATTGGCCAATTCAGCTCTAGATTCCTCGCTCTGAGGAACGTGCAAGTTCATTTCGTCACCGTCGAAATCAGCATTGTACGGTGTCGTGACTGAAAGATTCAATCTGAAGGTGGAATAAGGCATGACACGGACACGATGACCCATCATCGACTCCTTGTGCAGGGAAGGCTGACGGTTGAAAAGAATGACGTCGCCATCCTGAATGTGTCGTTCGACTTTCCAGCCATACTGTAGAGTCATCTCTCCAGCCCGCTTGTGGTGTCGAAGATCGATACGCTCGCCTGTGTCACGAATGACATACCGTGCTCCAGGATGCTCATTTGGACCATTGGCCACGAGACGCTTGAGCTTGTCGAGATTGAAAGGGGTGACCGTCTCAGGATATGTCAGCGTGCGGGCAATGCTGCGCGGCACGCCAACTTCATCTAGAGAAAGGTTGGGATCGCCTGTGATGACAGTACGTGCGGAGAAGTCTACACGCTTTCCCATCAAATTCTGCCGCAGACGACCTTCTTTGCCCTTCAGTCGTGCGCGTATTGACTTGATTGGCCGACCACTCTTGTGCTGTGCCTTCTCCAATCCTGCAATCTCATTGTCCATGTAAGTGGCGATGTGGTACTGCAAAAGATCGCACAAGTCGACCTTGATATGATCAGGAGTACCGTCAACCTCTGTACGCAACACTGCCTGGTTTGCTCTGATGATGTCGCCCAGTTTGAAGGTCAAGTCATCTTCACCACGTGAACCTTGACCACTCCCGTCCACGCTGATTGAAGGACGGACAGGAGGCGGGGGTACAGGAAGCGCAGACAAGATCATCCATTCTGGCCGAGCATAATCGAGACTGAGTCCCATCATTTCCAAAGTCTCATCAGTAAGAGTGCGGAAAGTATTGAGTGCATCTTGAGGGAAGATCCTCTTTTTGTCAGGTGTGATATCTTCGTCATCATCGCCTTTTCGAGGTTTCCAAGTGGCCCACAACTGCAACCCAGTTCTTCGGATTTCGGGTTGCGCATTGCCGCATCCACCATGCTTAGGTTGAGGAGGGCCTTTGAGGGGTTGGTCTGGATCTTCGGGAGGATCTGCTTCGCACACAAGTCGAGGCTTGCTCAATCGCCAAACTGCATCGAAACGGCGCTTCCGATCTCGAAGGGAAACAGCGTGTCTAAACTCTTCGGTCTAGTTTTTCTGTGGTTAGAAACAGGATGGTTAGGAAAGAATGGCAAAACTAACATCAAGTGCTTTGATCTTGCCACAGTTGTGGCAGACGGTCTCCAGTATCTTCTTGACCTTGGTCATGAACCCATAGTGGAAGACAGGAGTTGCAAGCTTAATGACACCAAAATGCCCAGGACATTCGGCCATATTCTCTTCACAGGTACTGCACTTGAAATTGCGATCGATCGTACCGAGATGAGGATCGTTCGGACCTTTCTCTCGAGGTCTGAGGCGCTGCTCATCCCTGGTTCACAAAAATGTTAGAACAATCATACGAGGTGTGCTTTCTTCATTTATGTCTACATACATCGTCTCGGGATATTCGATGTCGATGACCGCGAGGCGTTCGGTTTCTTTAGCCGAGAACAGGCCAAACTGAATCTCCTCGACGGTGCGCAGAGGCGCGCTCGAATAAGGGAAATTGAGGTTCGACATGGTTACTCGTGTTATCCCAGGAAGACGATATTATTTTTCAAAACGATCTTTGATGGTCGCGATGCCTGCGCCGATGGCTGCGCGACTTGGTCAGGGACGACCCTTCGCCCTCCAGGGCCACCCAAAACAATGCGCACTTCTCCAGCTGCGCGCTTCACCAATTCTTTGTTTTTTGACCCCAGACTTCCTGGATCCTGTTCGACTCGTCGATCGAGACGTGTAGATTCGGGGGCGCGATCGAGTCGAGATGGTTGAGGTTGGATGGTGATGATGGAAGTGGATGAGGATTGGTATGAGGTGGCAGATGAATTTTTGAGCGAGCACTGGGAGGCGCAGGCTAAACAGGCACCCAACGCGCCAAGACGCATCCGGCTTAGCAGCAATTCACCCTTGCCGCGCTGTGTCAGCCGCATCAAGCGACCGTCCTCTCTCTCTCGGTTGGCTCACCATGATGTCTTCTAAAGACGTGAAGAAATGACTGTGATCTAGCAATTTCGTTCACAAAATGACCTATCGAGAATGAAACTCATGAGGCGGTGGTGCAAGAAACTGGATGAACTGGGGCTTTGTCCGAACAAAGACACTCCTGTTCTCCTCCGTCAATCACCAACGGCTTTCTTCCTGCTGTAGCACCTATGCGGCATCCCGAGGGACCGTATGGCTGCTGGTATATATACCATGTCTGCTAGGGTCGAGTTTGATGGATCTCTTAGGTTCTCCTATAGCAGTATGGAACATCTTCAACATCTAGGCCAAGGTATCAAGAGCGCCGACTTTCAGATGTACGCATCGTAGATAGAATCTTAGAAGTGAATGGCTTGAAGACTGAGGACTGAAGAAACTTCTTTGACGACCTGCCTAGGTAGTTCTCTCTCTTCTGCACTTTGGCTTCTTTGTACTCCGTATCGCCCCTCAAGATCGGGACCCGAGCCACCCACACCACGCTAGTGCCTCATTAGGAAACATCTGCCTCCATCAACAAATTCTGGACGTGTCCGCTGGCATCTACCATCTCTCCATATCCGAGCACATCATGAATCTCGCACTGATAGACCCATTTCAACTGGCACAAGACTCTCCGGATGCTCTCACAAATGATCTCAGTTAGTATAGCCCGTTGCGTGTCCTGCGCATTGAGTCAATGCCGCGTTTTTCCTTAGCAGAAGGGCTGACCCGAATAGGATGTGGCCATGCCACCACTCTTCGATTCAGTCGAAAGGGTGATTACCTGGCATCAGGGAGAGTAGATGGCAAAGTTGTGATATGGTAAGTCAAGTCAGTCTCTGACCATGCTCCCTTCGATCAGATTGAGATACAAACCGCCAAGGCACGACTGACCTGAGAAAGGGATATGGAAACGTTCGGTGTCGCCATGAGACTTGTGGGTCATTGGAAACAAATTCAAAGTCTCAGCTGGTCTCGAGATGGCCGGTATCTTCTCACTTCATCTCAAGATTGTCGCGCCTGTCTTTGGGATTTACAAACCCAGCAACGGATACGGACTGTCAAGTTCGAGGCACCAATCTATACGGCAGAACTTCATCCATACAATCACAACCTTTTCGTAGCCTCGTTGTTCGAGGACCGCCCCTACCTTGTTGACATCACGAACCCAGAGTGCATCAAGAAAATCCTACCCACCACTCCTCTTAATGACGGCGAGAGTGTCTCTCGGTCCGAGAACAAGCAAGCCACCACCTCAGCCATATTCTCTGTCCTCGGCAATCACATCATCACAGGCACATCGAAGGGGTACATAAACATCCTCGAAACAGAAACCCGGAAAATCATTCACTCCACGAAAATCTCATCGGGCTTGATCTCGCTGCTCCGTCTGACATCCAACGGTCGCCAGCTCCTCGCCAACAGCACTGACCGTATCATTCGTACCATCAACCTACCTGATCTTTCTCTCATCACGCCTTCGACTGCTCCACCGTTCGAGCCTACCAGCGAAGACGATGCTCCCGACCCAGCCACGTTGGCTGAAAACATTGTCCTCACCACAGAACACAAATTCCAGGACCTGGTGAACCGTCTGCGTTGGAATCATTGTGCTTTCAGTCATTCATCGACTACTGGCATTGCCGACTATGTCACTGCATCGACGTACATGAAAAAGGACATTTACATTTGGGAGTTACGCACGAATTCACTGCTTCGCATTCTCGAGAACCGTGAGGAGCCCGCTATCATCGAATGGCATCCATCGCGGCCGTTGCTTGCCTGTACGAGCATCGAAACGGGGAGCATACAAATATGGGGCATAGAACCACAACAAAAGTGGTCAGCGCTTGCGCCGGACTTCACCGAAGTGACCGAGAATGTTGAATACGTGGAGCGCGAAGATGAGTTCGACACGTACCCAAAGGAAGAGCACCAAAAACGACGTCTCGATCGAGAAGACGAAGTTGTGGATGTTTTGACCGTGGAAAGAAAAATGGGCGAAGAAGAGAGCTTCGTTCTACCAATGCTATATAATGTCGAGGACAGCGATGGAGATGACCAGGAACTGGTGCGTATGGGCGTTGGCACCATGAGGAAAAAGGATTTTCACGAGGGCAAGGAGTACGAGAACGAAGCTGATGAGCCAGCCAAAGCTGCTCGCAAGCGAAAGTATTAGTGGCCGCCAACGACCTATGGCATCCGTGCGGCGGGCAGTCCAGGACAGAGTCATGATTTCAGCACGATTAGGTAGCACTGGGTCGGGAGGTGCTCTGCTTATATAGGTAGTTCTGTCGAGGATCTTTAGGCAAGGAGTTTGGATTGGCCTACGAATGGAGTACGCACTGGATCGAGCAAATGGATTGACTTCAATATCTCGTTATACCTGTGTCCCTAGCCTTGAACCTTGCATTGGACTGCACGGGTTGGCGTAAACCAGGGACACTAGGCTTGCAGTTGTCGCTTCGGCGTCAATGATGCCCAATGGGAGGATTGTGCTGACACTCAACACTCGCCAATGGACGCCGATGCTTGACGCCCAGGGAAGAAGTATGTACAAAGGGACGTGGAAAGCTTCAGCGGGCTATTGACTAGTGGGTGTATAACTCCCTACTCCGCGGGTGGTTCTACCATCCGTCCTTCTTTCGAGCATTGGCATCCACTAGCGCCCGCATTTAGTAAGGGGTAAGCAAGAGGGTCAGTGTGAAGTTCGCTTGCAGGACGGAGCAGGGATATCCGCAATGCATTTCGCATGGCGTTTTCAGTTCTGGTTTGACCAGGGAGAGGAAAGGTGCGATCGCGGTCCCTACAGATGGAGCAATTCGAGATCTGCAGCAGACCGAGTGCATGCGACTGGCTCTGGGAGAGCAGTGCGAGGGCGATGGAGCTCTAGAAGAGTCCTTTGTTTTTGACATAAGTAGACGTAGAAGCAAACAAAAGAATTGAACGTGACATAGCGCAGACAGGCGGGACACCATCCACTACACGTCCTTTCTATCTGACCCGGTAAGGAGGCACCATCAGTCGCCAGTGCCCAGTAGCTGCTGGTCCCCTTGCTCAAGCCGGACGCCCAAAGCCCCTGCCGCCGCCATCGCCGCCGCCGCCGCCGCAGCCAGAATTTCTCACGAGATAGTCCATCACCACAAGGCATCGCCGTCGAGACGCCAGAGTATAACTCGCCTGCCCTCGAACTCCTCGACTCCCACACTCGCTACTCACACCGTCTGCTGGACAGTCACATTCCACGCCCTCGCTTCCCATCCTATCGCAGGGCAACGCCGTCCGCTCCTTCGAGTCACTTCCAGTCGCGCTTGCGTCTTGACCGTTTCCGGGTCGTCCACTCCCTTGCGCCTGTTGCAGATCCTAAAACATTTCGTGCTTCACTTCGACGCCGCACTTCACCCGTTGCCACTATCTCATTGCTAGGCCGGGAGGTCGGTTTTAATCTTCTACAACCCGATTGACGTCTCTATCACCTGTTTGCGGATGGTTGGCTAAAGCGATGCAAGCAGCAATGCCGCCGCCCCCTCGCGGGCCTGAATTGTCACCGACGTCGACGACTGGAAGTGATGGATGGTCAGGTCTTAACAACTACAACCAGATACCGCGCAATGATGGAGCCTTTGCTTCTTTGAATGGCCCAGGTGATGACTATCCTTCAAAAGCACCTCCCTTTCCGCGCCCCGGCGCCAATGGCGCGAACTTCCCTCCGGGCGGTCTTGATCCTTTAGGCCAACGCCGTCCCTCCGAATCAGGTTCACGTGGATCGTCAAGAGCAGGGTCAGTCGCAGCGTCTCGCTCGAGTGATGGCACGTTGGCAGACGACCAAAGTAGGAAATACAGGCGGATGGAAGCGCAACTATTCCAGCACTACACTGTTCTCAAGGGATATTTGAAAGGGGGTGCACAAGTACCGCCACGCCCCAACAAAGCTCGAGACAAGCTGCTGCGCCTATCTCCTGTGCAATTCCATGAGTTGAGCACCGATGTTTTCGATGAACTCCAACGGAGACAAGCAGCCACACCGCTACCTGGACGGCCCCCGCGGCAGCAGAATGTTCCTCCATTTCTACAACCCCGGCCAGATTTCCACGAGAAGCGGAACCAAGCAAGGCAGAAACTCTCATCCTTGCAAGCGCCACGATTTAAGGACTTGTCGACCGATGTGTTCTGTGAACTGGAAAGGAGATTCCCCCAGTTTGCGAGGTCCGAGGGAGGAAGGAGGGAAAGTTCTCGGTCACACTCAAGGGGTCCTGGTAGTGTCGCCTCGAGCAACGGTGGAGGGGGCTATGGTTTGCCGTCAAGAGCTCAAACATTTGGTCCCGGTCCAACGGGTTATTCTCAGAGACAGGAGTCGGTCACCAGCATCCCGCAATTCGACAATCCACCAGTGAACGACTATGGCCGCCCAATGGCAAAGCAATTTCAAAGTAACACCATCACCCCGAATAAAAGCATGATGGTGGAAGATGAGGATGAGACGCAAGCTACAGACTCGAGATACGACCGGTCAAGCGATGCTTTCGGCCTGGAGAGCTCTCTGACGAGTCCAAGGAGCGACAGAGATACTTCGGCCACCTCACAAAGCGGAGTCAGCTACAATCCTAAACCTCTACCACCTGTCATGACCGAGCTGCAGGACAAGCTGGCAGATCTGGAAGTCAATCTCGAAGCAAAAGATGCAGAACTACGAAGTTCGAGAGCTGAGGCCGAGAAATGGAAGGTTACTACCGAAGACCTGGAGAAGAAGCTACAAGCGGCGGAGAATCTTAATCAATCCCTGAAGGAGGAGATTGAAAAACTCAAGGTCGAACAGCCTAACTATAGTGGGGAGAGTGTGTTGTGGAAAACCAAATATCTCAAACTCGATCAAGACCATGAGCTTTTGCAGAATCGTCTCGCTCAGCAGCAAGAACTGACTGAAGAAGTTCGCCGGCAAGGTCAAGCATTCTTGGAAGAGATGCGAGCCATGGCTGAATCGGGAGGCAACCCTGATCGTGAGCAGAAATTGCAAGCCGATGTTTCCAAACTGGAAGAGGAAGTCAAGGAATGGAAAGCGCGATATGTCAAGACGAAAACACAGCTTCGTAGTGTGCGCGCCAGCTCGCTCGGGCTCAGTATCGCTCGACCGGACGCAAATCGACAAGCAGCTGCTCTGCAGGATCGAGAAGGCCTGGTCAAAGACGTCCACGTCACCAAGTTCCAAATCTCGATTGACGAACTACTGAGCATTGCGAGGTCTGATAACCCTGCAGCCGTGCTTGACCACATGAAGACCGTGGTTTTGGCTGTAAGGGGCATCACCTCTGATGTTGATGCTGCCATCACTGACAAGAATGACGAAATTACCAAGAAACGAGCAAAGATGAAGAGCAAGGTCTCCGTTACTGCCAACAATCTTATCACTGCATCCAAGAATTTCGCTTCCGCAAACGGTCTGTCACCCGTGAGCCTTGTTGATGCTGCTGCCTCCCACCTGACCGCTGCCGTCGTTGATCTTCTCCACACGGTCAAGATACGACCTACACCTCCTGGAGAGCTGGAAGATGACGATGATGGCACTCTGGAGCCTCTGCAAAGCAATGGGTATTTCAACATTGCCGAATCATTGAGACGCCGTAGTGCCGTGGAAAGCGTCTACAGTGCCTTGAGCACTCCACCGGAAACCAGAAATGGTTCCATGCAAATCGGACACCAACGGAATGGTTCAAGCTATCTAAACGGCACCGGTCTAGGGATTCAGTCCACATATGGTCCTAGCCAGGAGGAGGCTGATCTTGAGGATCTGAAGGTATAGTTTTGCAATCCCTGGGTGAAACGTTGGGCTGACTTGATTGGACAGATGTACCTTGAAGATCAAACTGATGGCCTGGTTCAGTCCATCACCTCGCTGGTCGACGCCATTCGCAGTGACGATGCCACGGTACCAATTCAAACTCACATCAGTACCATTGCAGGAACCATTGAAAATGTCGTGACCGCTGTTGAGAGAACCAGCAGCGAGCCTTCTTCCTATCAGACGCTTTTAGTTGAGAAGTCACAACCTATCGTAGTGATATTACAGGACTGTCGCGAGAAGCTGCTCCAGGCAGGCGCCGACGCGGCAACTTATAATGGAACGCAGCAAAGCAGAGAAGTCACCCAGAAGCTGCCACCATTGGCATTCCAAGTCGCTCGCGAGACCAAAGAGCTTGTGTCCAGAATCATGGCCGTGGAAGCTGGGCGCGGCGAGGAGGACTTCAGCTGAGGCGTTGTTTGAGCACTATCACGACAGGCAAACGACCCCCAAAATAGGCTTCCCTGGTTGAAATAGATTTGTATATATGAACCCTAATGTATCAATACTTCCGCGGGATAATGGTGGTTCCACCGTGGAAGAGAAGATGACTACGGTTGCTCATATAGCTCGCAGCAATACGTCTGCACAGCTACGTATAGGTACGGATAGACGATGGTATCGACCATCTCACCCAGGGAGTAGGTACATACTGTCGGTGCGCGACGTACGGATACCCCTGTGGCGTCCCCCTATTTTCAAGTCACGTGCTGCTTGGCGGTCCAATCGACCTTGTTGGGTCGAGCTCGAGCATTTTCTGTCCGCTCCGTTCAGAAAAGATCCGGCCAAAGGAAAAGGCTTCTCTTTACATCATTGTACATTACAGATTGAATTGTATTATATCATCGTGGGCTAAAGCTAGAGGCATTTCTTGAGAGTAGCAGCATATTTCGACGATTCTGCCCTCTGTTCTTGTACTTCTACCGGTAGTCTCATCATTTAGCCGTCTCATACCTGTACGGAGTTGCCGCTCGTTGCGTCAGTATTGGGGTACTTGACAGCTTCTAGTCCCTCGTCGATCTGCCTGGTGAGTGCTTGCCCAGCTGGAGCGTCCCTCCCGTCTGCTCCGACGGGATGCGTTGCGCGGGAATGAGCTGACCGATGGATAGTCGCCTGCGAGTCACGACACCTGCCACGGGTTGCCATCACGACTGAAAATTCTCAATCACGTGATCCGGGAACTGCCTGCGTAACGCGTAACGAGCCTTCCCTGAAGCATCGACCCCTCATCACCTCAATCACAAATTCGTGACCATGGCTGCTGTGCCCCGCTGTGTCAATACTAAAATTCACGCCTTCACCCCGCGGATTTCTTCTCGTCCATCATCTCTTCTTCAACCTCTCTCTCATCGACCTGCTACCGCCACTCCTTGGACTGTCCGAGCTTTCTCATCTTCTCCTGCAAACATGGTTATCAAGGCTTGGTTCGACGTCGAGTATACCGACCCAGCTCTCGACCGGGCTCGGGCTGATGCTAAGCGATCTGGTGGTCAAATTCCTCCTCGTAAGCTTGCCCCCTTCTCTTGTGTTTTGCCCAAACCCCACGCACCCTGGCCAAAACTCGCAACGGGTGCCCGCATCACACAGCTCGAGCCACAGCCGTTGACCTCGCCAACCGCTTGCTTGCTTTTGAGCTCCTGAATGAACCGTCACTGATCTCTTGTTTGCAGCTAAGCGGGGTCGTATCAACTTCAACCTCTTCGACGATGTAGTCCCCAAGACCGCCGAGAACTTCCGTGCTCTCTGCACTGGCGAGAAGGGCTTCGGTTACAAGGGTAGCAAGTTCCACCGAATCATTCCTGAATTCATGTTGCAGGGTGGTGACTTCACTCGTGGTAATGTAAGTCCACCTGCGTCACAAGAGTTGGAATAGACACATGCTCATGATGAATTAGGGCACCGGTGGCAAGTCCATCTACGGCGAGAAATTCGCGGATGAAAACTTCAAGCTGCAGCACAACAAGCCTGGCCTTCTCTCCATGGCCAATGCTGGCCCCAACACGTAAGGAACCCACCCACAAAATATGCAGGAATACGTACCCTGACCATGATCCACAGCAACGGCTCTCAATTCTTCATCACCACCGTCGTTACCTCGTGGTTGGATGGCAAGCATGTTGTCTTTGGTGAGGTCGCGGACCAAAAGAGCATGGACATCGTCTCTGAACTTGAGAACACCGGATCCGGCACCGGCCAAGTCAAGCTGGAATTCAAGCCTGTCATTGTCGACAGCGGTGCTGAGAAATAGATGCCTCACGGTACGAGACGCAAGACTGCAAAGTTTGAGCAGGACAAAAGCTGTGGACCGACAAGAGAGGCCTAGGCTTTCACATCACAACCACTCATACATGGCCGTAATGTCGAGTGTTGAAAAGCAGATACACGTTAATAGGAGAATGAAAAGTTGAGCCTATCGATGGCATGAATCTCCACTATCCAGATAATCAATGTCCTGCATTCCCACGCTTGCTCCCATACCATCCCTCCAACATGAAGCGCGTAATGCTACTGTGAAAGCCGTATTTCAGATGTCTATCTAGGTACTCCTTTGTATCTACTACACTCAGACATCCTTGTCATCTAGGGTGCGACATGTCTTGATGGCCGGTAGGGTGCTTCACCATTTCGGATTAGAACATATCATCACCTATAGGCCACCCCGCCTTGTTAAGACTTGTCCGTACCGACGAAAAAGGCGATCAGAACGGAATTGTACCCCCGTGGTAGAGACTCAAACGATCAAGCATTCTCGGTCTCAATTCCTGATCAGGGACTTCGGTAAGGTCATATAAAGTCACCCACCTTTCTTTTTCCTTTCTACCTCGCTGACATGAAACGTAGATGGAATGAAACGGCAGAGAGCTCTTGCGATGCATACTTTCGCGCCTCCGAGGCGGGGATCGGATGTATCGAGACCGACATCCACGTCCCGAAGGACGGCTACTTGCCCATGATTTTCGACTCCGGCCGTGATCGAGAAACTGGTGACAGCGAGCAAAGTGGGAAGGCGACGTGTCACCCTTCCAGAAGGCAATGCTATAACCCAAACCCAGTGACCTGCCCTCCAAGGGTTTCGTTTAGGAGTTGCATTTGCGTGACGAAGCTGGTTCTGTCCGGGACAAGAATTTCCCCTCGCTGCCAGACATGATTGAGAGCATTCACGAGAGCGGCGTGAGCGTGGCGCTGCAACTTCGATTTCATGGACAAGGTAGCCGTTGTCAGTTGAGTTCAAGTTGTTAGGTATCTTTGAAGCGCCAGGCGACCTTGTCGTGCCCATGCCGGCGACATCCTTCGATACGGCAACTATTGCCAACCTAAATATCTATCTTCAGGTTAACGACTGGGCCTATGCCTACCAAGACAACAAAGCACCGACGCTACCGGCCGGTCTCGTGGGCTGTTCGAGGGTTGAGCGACACGATCAACGGTCCGACTTCAGCTGGATTTTGTCGACGGCGCATCGATTGAGTTATCAAAGATACGGCAGATGAGTTGGCTGAAGAAAGACTGGGAGATCAGTAAGAGGAATATCAAGGATGTGATTACCGAAGGTAAGGAGAAGCCACACCAGAAGTTGGTCAGCGGCTGGTACAGAAACAAAAAAGCAAAGTTTTTTAATTCATTCTTGACTATGAAGGTAAGGATGAGAACAAGGTTTGCTGAACTGACGATCCAGGCTCATACTTTATCTTTGAAGCTTTGCTGAACTTTCTTTACTATTGCACAGAGACTTTCTTCTGAAGGGATCCAGGCCTTTTCCGGAGTCGAGAAGCAACGGAGGTAGCCGAAAATAAAGGTTTTTGATGAGTATTGATATTTTGTCTTTGGCTTCGACGGCAAACGGTGCCTACATCAATAGTTCTCGGAAAGTCGAAACAAGTGCACAGGGCATCAATGTTGTACGCACAACGAACACACTCCTTATCTTGTCATTTTGCGGTCTCTTACATCACAGAATTTACAAAGATTAGCATTCGAGATGGCACCGGGACCACCATGGCTCATTTGTACGATAATGGGCTCGTACTATAGGCGATCAATCAACCCACGCGAAGGTCAATTGCTTGGGCTGTTGTAAGCTTTAGCCTAGTTCGCCCAAGCTTGCAAAGCTTCCAGCCAAATGGTCTTCGACTTGCTTATTTGACCCGAATGGGTGTGTGCCAAGGGGACCAGCATGGCCGGGGGCTTGACCATTGGCCAGGCGGCCGAGATGTGACGAGAAGCGATCTGTCATGAGAGGCGACCTCCGACCATTCAGGTAGGTTGTTCTGGAGAATCTCTCGAGTACAATTCCACCACTCTCTCTCCTCAATTGATGGGCCTTGATAATAGGGGGTCCCAGAGTAGTATTCGCTGCCGACCGAGCCAGTCAAATGAGGCAGCACAAAAACTAGAAACCCCGTCTGGTGCGCCCTTTGTGGGTTTTTCCATGGATGGTATTCTTATCTCGCTCGTCGGGGCGCGCCACCGACCCGGTTGAGAAATACGAGGATCCAAGGCCGATACTTTTCGCGTGCGTGTCGGCGCCTACCACCAAGCAATGGTGCTTGCCGACGATCAAAAGCACATCAATCTGTGTCTTTGAAGGCTGCCCTGGCGCGTCCTGTCTACATATAGACGACTTCTCTCCCATTTTTGCGGTGACACAAACCCGCCCCTCGGTCCTTTGAAGCTTGTTGTTCGAGCTCTCTTGAGAACATTTTGGGTGTTCAGCGGTTGTGCCCATCATCTGAAGACAAATCGCCGAAAATGGCCGTCTCTTACGAAAAGTCAGGTTACGACCTGGAATATCAACCCGAACAGATCCCGACCGGTGGGAAGCATCGCTCCGTCGTCGCGCCCGACGCTTCAGGTGCTGTCCATGGCGAATCGTTTGTGGCAGGTGATACTTTGTATGCTAAGCTGCAGCGTTTGGCTGGACGATTTGGTGTGGAACAACGTGGCATCGAGCGCGTCCCTGAAGATGAGAGGACCGACAAGTCAACGTTGAAGGTTGGCACGATGGTACGTCTGAGCACGAACTCAAGGCCTTTAATCCCCCGGGAGGCGATTCATGGCTAATGAGGGAGAAATAGTGGTTGGCTGCGAACATGGTGGTTTCGTCCTTCGCCATCGGTGTCCTTGCTGTTCCTGTCTTTGCGCTCGGCTTCGTCGATTCCTTCTTGGCAATTCTATTTTTCAACCTTCTGGGTATCTTGCCCGTGTGCTTTTTCTCGACGTTTGGGCCGAAATTCGGTATGAGACAGATGATTTTGTCGAGATTCTGGTTTGGATGTAAGTGGTCACAAAAGTGGTCCCTCGACGACTTCCTCCGTATGACATGTGCGCGTTGCTAACAACGCGGTGGACTAGACTACGGTGTCAAAGTGATTGCCATCTTCAACTGCCTCGCTTGCCTGGGCTGGTCGAGCGTCAATGTCATCGTCGGCTCTCAACTCATCCACGCCGTCAACCCTGATGTCCCTGGTTATGCGGGCATCATCATCATCGCGGCCTGCACTTTCCTCGTCACCCTCTTCGGATACAAGGTGGTGCACATGTACGAGATGATCTCGTGGGTCCCATGCTTCATCATCTTCCTCATCGTGCTGGGCGAATTCGCGCACCACGGCTCGTTCGAGAACTTGCCCATGGGAAGCGGAGCGGGCGAGACGGGAAGTATCTTATCATTCGGCGCGTCGGTGTTTGGCTTTGCTACGGGCTGGTCAAGTTACGCAAGTGATTATACCTGTACGTTTTCTGTCCATCTCTGTCTGGCTTTTAAGCCTTGCGCTTGTGCAGTGCTACAGCACGACCTCGTTGCTAACTCTCTCCTACAGGCTACCAACCAGTCACCACGTCACGCCTCAAAGTCTTCATCTACGTCTTCATCGGCCTCTTCTTCCCGCTGATGTTCACCGAGGCGCTTGGCCTGGCCATTGCCACCGCGACCGTCAACGACCCAGCGTTTGCATCCGCATACGAGGCCAACGCCGTCGGTGGGCTCTTGCACCAAGTACTCGTGCCCCCGTTGGGCGGGTTCGGCAAATTCTGTCTCATCATTCTCGCGCTCAGCATCGTCGGAAACAACTGCCCCAACATCTACAGTTTGACCTTCAGTCTCCAGATTCTGACCCACTACGCCCAGAAAGTGCCGCGCTTCCTCTGGACGTTCGTCGGCACCCTCGTCTACGTCGCGATCGCCATCCCCGGGTATAGTCACTTTGAAGACGTCCTCGAGGATTTCATGTTGATCATCGGGTATTGGCTTGCTATCTACACGGCCATTTCTCTCCCCGAGCACTTCCTCTTCAAGAAGGGCTTCAAGGGATATACCCCTGAACACTACGATCAGCCGAAATGCCTACCTCCTAGCTTTGCCGCCCTGGGGGCCTTTTGCTTTGGGATTGTTGGAGCTGGTGAGTTGCTTTCCCCCTCTCCTTGTTATTCGGTTCTCCGTCCGCCATCACATCACCCCTTTCCGTGCCTGGTCTCGTTGTTTCTCAGAAAACAAAAGGATCAAATCAAATTACGGCCTGCTAACGCGTCATAAAATGATACAGTCATGGGCATGGCTCAAGTATGGTACATCGGTCCGATAGGGAAATTGATCGGAACCGGATACGGCGGAGATATCGGATTCGAACTGGCTTTCGGATTTGCCGCGTCGACGTATCTTGTGTTTAGGACTTTTGAAATTCGATATTTCCATCGTTGAGAGAGAGAGAGAAAAAGAGAGCGCCCTTTTCGTCGGCGTGGATTAAAAGAAAGGAACGAACTGGACACGATTGAACGTGGTTTCTTCTTGAGGCACATTGAAGTAAGAATTGAAAACTATTGTAATACGATGAAATAGATGGGAATACGACATGCTTCATTAGGGATTCGCCTCCGCGAGGTGTGTATGTACATGTGTAGCCTGTGTATCTGTATGTATGTGTGTGGCCTGTGTATGTGCATGTGTGTAACGTGTATTGCAATATGATAACTGCCTACCTCCTCTAACTCCACATAAGGTGGCACTGGTCCCTTTGTTTTCTCGTTCTCAAAGCTTTTTGGATCTGGCCTGAGTTCAGCATTGTCTCCAGTGGTCATGGTTTTCAGTGCCCTTGAGAGTCCAATTCCACTGCTCGACCCAGAATACAATCCTTTCATTTGTGTCAACTTGCTTGACCGGTATGTCAGCTGCGGAAAGACCAGTTCGACAAAAGGGATTTGAGTGCGCTTAGAGCGAACGACGGCAGGAGCCGGAGAAAAATGGCCGGGCTCCGGAATAAAACGACGACCAATCAGACGGATGTTCCTCTGAACGTCGCAAACGCGTCTTTCGACAGGACGGTCGATCCATGCAATTTGACAAGCATATCTTCTACCTGAGTGGATGTGTCTTTCGACGCGTTCGGGGCTTCATTCGACCTCAGATCTGGTCCGGGGCCATCGGAGAGTCCGACAGGCCAGATGAAAAGCGCATTGGGGTTGTCCAAGAGTCAGGGTTAAAGGCCCGAGCAATCGCTAGATGTCGAGGGTAAACGCCCTCCTTATCCGACGGACGTGAATCAGACTGTCGCCGAAGACGAAGGAGAATAATCACAGATAACAGCGGTGGCAACTTCGGGCAGAGGCCCCGGGGGAATGAATACCTTGCCGCTGATTCGGCCACGGACATGAAGGTCCACAACATTGAGCACTTTGTCGCCCGGGCGCTTGCCTTTTTCAAAACGATATTTGCGCCTCTGCTCGGACCTACTTTGGGTCGGTACTTGGTAGGGATGGGAAAAGTTGCGCAAGAGCAACTGTGGAATGTAGTGCTGATACTGCTCCATTGGGGCCAGGAAGGGAACTGTGAAGAACGCTGACTTCTATGAGACCAAAGCCCTTATAAGATCTGTTCTTTGTCCGACTTACGAAGGATGTTGTATTGCTCAGGAGAGCCCTCTGACTTTCGTTGCCAGGAGAATCTAGGCTATGATACCGCCATGGGATCAGGCAACGGCGGGGTTATGGCACCACATCCGCACATGGAAAGATTGCAGCCAATGAGATGTTCGACTGTCCGGGATCTTGTTGAGACAATCAATCAGGAAATAATGGGCAAAAGTTCAAGTTACACCCGGCTCAGCCCAGCCCAGCCTTACGAGGCACCGTTGGCAACAGCTTCAGCTGCTGGCTGTCCTTTTGAAACCCAGACTGTCATCCCCAACACTCTGAATCCTTTACCGCCACTCCTTTCGGCTCGTTACTCCCTTCCCAACAACAAGACGAAGTAATACCGATGTCGATACTTCTCCCAGGTCAGCATCGGTCGGGGAATATGACACAAGGCACGAACCGCGAGCTTTAGGGAAACAACTATGGCGCACAAATTGGGCACAATCACGGTTCGATCGTATACAAGTGACCTACAACTAATGTCCGTACCGGTGTCTCGTCCTCCGGAATAATTAATAAATACTGACTCTACGTTGGAGTAGCAACTCCACCCCTTCTGCGATCGAGCCGCCTCGCCCATTGGCCGTCATTGTCAAACCGTGAGAGGTTGAAAGGTTCCATGTTCTCTATAGAAGGGTTCCAGGGGAGACCCAGACCATATAGATGTCTAGCTATCTATAGGCAGCCCAGGAATGACCTCAGGAGGCTGGTGAAGCCTATAGTGAAGCCCCAGTTACCCCGGACTCTGACAGTCATTCCCTTCCGGCGCGGCCGCGATTTGCGAAGATGATACTTAGGACAGGGCTCCTGGTACAATTCCGGGCCGTTCCGGGCCGTACCGTCCACGGTACTTCAATATGCGACATGGCCGTCCATATTGCGACAAATACTCCGCGCAAGTGTATCGTCCTCATTGACAATCAAGCCGCTATACAAAACATGGTCAAATAGTACATTGTCACAATAGTCTTCGATAAGTGGAACATGCATGCTCTCCGAGGCTTAACTGGACGAAACATCCGTACGCAGGCTGGCGCTTTAAAAAACCACAACGCCGCATTCGTCGGGACTTCTCCCGAGTCCTGAAGAAAAATGGCAAAGGACAAAATACAGATCCGAGGCATGTTTATGTATACATAACATACCAAGTCAGGTACATACAACCTCTTCTTCTTGTGCTGAGCGTATGTTTTTGAGTACCACCTTGCCATCCCATCCCATACAATTTGTCCTCTCTGGATCTCAACCAGAGGTGGACAGGTGAACCTTCCACATGTGAGTCCCATACATTAGATACGCACATCCCCCCCTATACGCTCACATGTTCGTCGTTCATCCTTCGCACCGGACACTGTAGGCAGGATTAATCAAGTGAGATGATGGCTAGGTTCTTGGGTAGTTTAGGGTTAGGCCGACGTATGCACGGCCAGTGACAGGTTTTCCTTCCCCCTTTGATTGCTTTTTCTTTGTGCACCTCGGCGATCTTAAAGTCGGTCAACTCCTTACACCAACAATCTTGGCTCTTATTCCCTGTGAATCGGCCCTGGGCACACCAACGAACAAGTCTCTGCTGATCTGAATGTCCCGCTCGACATTGGTGTCGAAGTTTTCAATGTCGAAGCGGGAAACGATGTGTGCCAGTGTCAAATAAAGTTCGGCGTATGCGAGGCTACACAATGGCCCGGTTAGAAACTTCTAGGACGTGGAAGGGGAGGGGAACAGTGATTGTACGTACTTGATACCAACACACATACGGCTCCCCTTTGAAAATGACACAAAGTACCGATCGAGACGGAAGCCTTCCTGTGCGGCTCGGAGCCAGCGATCTGGGTCATAGGTTTCCGGGTTCGGGAAGATGCTGCTGTCCATGTGCACGAAATAGTTGGTTTCGCTTACAGGGGTCTTAATGTTTTGGACACATTAGCAAGTTCTAACTTTCAATCATAGACATGAAGTGATGCTGGGGAGATGGGGATGGGGCATGTGCTTCGCAAAACTAACTCCGGCTGGGATCACCCAATCCTTGTATTGTAAGGCCTCGGTAGGCGACACGCGAGGCAATCTTGTCGTCACACCAAACATTAGACGAATACCTTCGTTGATGACGGCGGTCTAAGTGTACAAAGTTGTGTCAGCTTACATCATTCAAGATGCTGTGCATACCCAACGTTTGAGCGGTCAAGACTTACGAAATACGGCAACTGTTCCAATGCAGTCAAAGACACTGAGCTTGTTGGTGTCGGCATGATAGTGCGCAACTCGCTCCGAAGTCTCTCGAGTTTCTTCTTGTCTTCGTAGAGGTAAAAGGTAATAACGGCAAGGGACTTGGCCGTGGTTTCGGAACCTGCGCCGACAATGGTTTGACCTTCGTCTTGGAGACGGTCGGCACTCTTCTCCTCAGGCGGTAGGTCGCTATCCAGCAAGGCCTGAAACACGGTGCCTGTGGTCTTCTTGCCTTGTTTGTTCTTGGTGATGATATCGTCGACCTGGGCGCGCACCATCTTCTGCCACGCCATGAGGTGGCCGGCTGGCGGGTTCAGTATCTGAACCAGCGGGAGCGGTGCCATCTTCAATAGCGGAAGAGCCCAAGGGAATTGTCGGAGGAATGCACCGTTGGCCGATCCAGCTATCACGGTCTCCTTCCACGAAGCCTTGAAGTCGTCTTCCTCCAAGTAGTTGTAGCTGTCGCCGAAGCAGTAGTGCGTAATGACATCCATGGTCAAGGCCATGTAGGCGGCGTCCAGTCGGATGACTTGCCCTGATTTGTAGGCTTCCTCGAACCGGCGACCCAGAACCTGAACCTTGGACAAGATTAGGTCCTCGACCTGGCCGATTGATCGTTTGGAAAAGTACGGATTCAGAGCCGCGCGACGGATGCGATGGAGATTGTGAGGTGCGGTTGCAAACGACGAGTCCGGTGCGCCAGCCATGGCAACCCATCCCACGTACTTGTCGCGCTTTTTGGAACTCGGTGCATAGAGTTCTTCGTAATACTGCGAGTCGCGGATGTGGAGCTCTTCTGGCGAGATGCGGATGATTGGACCATACTTGTCGTGAAGCGCTTGAAGCTTCCAGATGAATTGGCCCTTATGGATGATATCATGGTAGAACTCGTACCAGCCTGTCAACGCTGCCAGCTTTGGTCCAGGGAATCTGGCAAGCGGGTGGAAGTACAGTCGATAGATAGCACCTGCGACAAGGTAGGTGATCCATGCTAAGACTGCGGCGTAGCATATATGAGCTACAGGCACCGTTGGACCAACCATGACGTGATATATGACACTCCCCCGTACCTGGCCAATCGTCCCGAGCTGTCGCAAGGGCGACTCACTACTCGTGGGCAGTTGTCAAGGGGTTGGACAGGATGGGTGAAGGTGTGTGTGCGTGTGCGTGTGCGTGGGATTGTGATTGTGATATGAAGAAGAGGGGGATGGCAACAGAGAAAACATCCACCGTCGAGGGCTCTGGGTCCTGGCGACTGTGTGGATCACCAGCGCACACACAATCCAATACAGGATAGTTGAATGATATCCTGGTGAATAGCAAGTAACTAGAATAGCTCGGGATTTAGTTCATGCATCTTCCTGAGGTGTGTATGTTAGCCGGTCCTTGCAGAGTCATCCACCACTGATCTCGAGAGACGAATGCGCGTAGATGGAGTTTGCGTGCAGCACGGCATGTGTACTCGGACAGATATAGCTTCAGCTCCATGCGTAGGAACAGAGCCTGCATTCCCTGTATTTGCATTGGCCATCTAATTAGCCGATGACTGCACACGTTGTTCATTTTTTTGCAGGGAGGAGTAAAGCGATGTTGCAACCCGTCCCCCTTGGCCCCAGGTGTCCGCTCGGCAGTGCCTACAGTGCCCTCCGTCCACTAAGGATTAGGCACTCGTGTACTTCCGTGCCCGCTAGGAAAGGCCCTGCTGGTCCCGTTGCGGCTCCGTGCAGTAGGCTTCGTAGGCCCCATCAACCGCCCGGACCGGTGCCAATCAAGGCATCAACTTCCAGGCTTCGGCGCCAGTTCGCATCGCTTAGGTGAGCCTCCAACGGCTTTGCCCCGTTTCCATCTCCATTCGAGTATGGAGTACGTATGTAGGTACTCGTGCCTCAGGGCTACGTACGTACTTGTACCTCCATACTCACTACAACTTTTCCGTCATTTCGTTCCATTCTTCTCTTGCTTAATGTTTGTCTTCCCGTACTCTTGAACGGATTCATCGCTCCGCAGTTGGTTGCTAGAGGCCAAGTTTTGAAGTCAATCCGTCTTGACTGTCTATATGGAGCACCATCAGCATGGAGAGCCCATTGAACCCGATGTAAGTGAAATACCCATCGCACCACACGTGGTGAAATGTTGTCGATTGACGGCCTGACAGTCACAGTCCGACGAGGGCTATGATACTGCCACTATCGGGTCAGATATGACTTCTCTCAAGTCATCCGTCATGAATTACCAGTTTGAGAATGGCCGACGATATCATGGCTACCAGGCCGGAAAATATGTAAGGTTGCCTTAGCGAGGCTTTCTAGGGCGGACATTCCTCGTTGACTTTATGGCCAGATGCTGCCCAACGATGACAAGGAGCAAGAAAGGCTAGATGTCCTTCATCATGTGTTTCGTCTAACACTAGGCGGTGACTTGTGCCTCAGCCAGCCCAGTCTCAAAGATCCGGAAAAGATACTTGACATTGGAACTGGCACAGGCATCTGGGCCATTGATAGTATGTCGGTCCTCCATACCACGTTTGTACCAACACCAGCTAACTATCCTCCCGTTAGTGGGCGATGAATATCCTGCTGCGGAGATCATAGGCACAGACCTCTCGCCGATTCAATCAACCTGGGTATGGCAACTATTGCTCCACCTGAAGTATATGAGGGTACGGACTAATTCCCTTTAGGTGCCGCCCAATGTCCGCTTCGAAATAGATGATGCCACCCATGAATGGGCCTTCCCACACGAGTCGTTTGATTTCATTCACATCCGTTGCCTGGCCGGTAGTATCAAGGACTGGCCAGAGCTTTTGCGGCAAGCGTACATGTATGACATTGCACAGTTTTCTCGGCCACCTTGTTCACGCTCTCTAGGCATTTGAAACCAGGTGGACTGATAGAGTTATCAGAAGGACGACCCCATATGTGTTGTGATGATGGAACGTACTCCGAAGAGAGCGCAACTTACAGATGGGTGGTACGTACACGAATTGGACCCTTCAAATTGTAGCTCCTGCTGACAACTGCCTCTGCAGGCCGAATTCTATCGAATCTCGCGAGGTGCTGGCCTCGAGTTCGATGCTTTTCCTCAATACGCCGATTTTCTGAAAGAGGCGGGTTTCGTCAACGTCAAGACTCACGAGGAACCAGTTCCGATCGGAACGTGGCCGAAGAACAAGCGATTGAAAGAAATCGGGATGTTCTTCGAGCATCAGTTCCTGGAAGGCGCCGTCGATGGCTACTCGCTGGCGCTGTTCACCCGCCTCGGGGGTTGGAGTGAGATAGAGACACAGATGTTGTTGGCACAAGTGCGAACAGAGACAAAAAGTAGGAAGATGCATCTATATACGCATTGGTAAGTTAGAGAGTGTAGCGTTTCACTTTGTCGGCGCAATATCCAATGTATACTGACACGGCGCAGTTCATACGCCACGGCACAGAGACCATTAACTTCTTGATGTTGATGAGCGATTGAGTATGAGATCAAGAATTACGAAACATGGTCTGAAAGGGTACATATCATGAGAGCATAGCGCAGGATGAAAGCATATAGGTGATGGTTCTATTCGTTAATTACACATGAAAAGTCTGGAACAATGGGGTTGGCATGAATCTGAATCCTCTTTAACCACCTGACTTTGTTATCATCATGGTTTTCGTGATACTTTGTTCCTCAGCTGTATCCGTATTGTGGCGTTGATTATTGGGGCTGCATCCGTCTACATGTGGTCGGAGGAGGCCGATTATTGGACATAGATAGACACGTTGTGTAAACCCAAAGGGGCCGAGATGAAGCTCTTGGCTGCGTTCCGAACATCTCAGTCCGACAATTCCCATCATTTCGTGTAACACGTCGAGCTCAAAGCGTCCGGGCATTTTCCACGCATTGTGTGATCGCTGTCCCTCTCTAACTCTCACCTCTCTTCCCACGCGACACTTCTCCTCAGTATGGATTTCGAAAGCCTGAAATCCCAGGTCAGCAACCTGACCCTGTACGACCTCAAAGCTGGTGTACGCAAGGTTCAAAATGGTGAGCACTCACTCCCTGTCTAGACAACGTGCTAATCATCCGAACATAGCTGTGATGAATTTGACCGAGATGGAAGCGAAGGTCCGCATTCGGTCGTTGTACCTCTCCTCACCACAGTCCTGACAATGACAGGTTCGAGAAGCCACGAACGGAGATCCATGGGGGGCATCGGCGACGCTCATGCAGGAGATTGCTCAAGGCACACAAAACTAGTGAGTCAATCACGGCGTCTGGTCTGAACTTCTTGTTGACCCTCGTAGTCAACAATTGAACGAGATCATGCCCATGATCTACAAAAGGTTCACCGACAAAACCGCAGAAGAATGGAGACAGATATACAAGGTATACCGGTGCGAGCGTATGTGCTCGAACAACAGCTGACCCAGTGTAGGCGCTCCAATTGCTTGAATATCTCTGCAAGCATGGTTCAGAACGAGTGATCGATGATGCCAGATCACACCTTTCCCTCCTCCGAATGCTACGGCAATTCCACTATATTGATCAGAATGGCAAGGACCAAGGCATCAACGTCCGGAACAGATCTGCAGAGCTTGTCAAGATGCTGGGCGATGTTGATACAATCCGGCAAGAAAGAAAGAAAGCCCGTGCAAACAGAAACAAATATGGAGGCGTCGAGGGTGGTGCTGGTTTAGGAGGCGGATTTTCTAGTGGCAGTCGGTATACCGGCTTTGGAAGTGAGTCTGCCAATTTTGGCGGCTACCAGGGCGAGGTCTACGGTGATGGTGGCGGCTTCGGTGGACGCGAGACCGATTTCTCAGGCACCCAGCGCCGTGCAGATCAATTCGAAGAGTACGATGAAGCCGACGAAGTGGAAGTGGCCAGACCTGCGAGAACCACCACCTCACGGACGACTCCATCTGCACCACCCAAGCGAGAACCACCCAAGCCGAAAGCACCGGAGCAGGACCTATTCGACTTCGGCAACGACGAACCGGCACCATCCGTCTATAATGGCAAGGCGCCAGCTGCTCCGAGTGCCTTGGGAGACTTTGGTGCCGCGCAAGGTAGTGTCGCGGAAGATGACGATTTCGATGACTTCCAGTCGGCGACAAGTCCAGCGGCAACACAGCCTGTGGCCAACCCGATCGCTTCAATCGCTCCTCCAGCAGCTACCACGTCTACAACAACGTCTTCCACTAGATTTGCGGCCCCAACACCATTGGCTCCTGGACAGGCATCAAATTTCAACACGATCCTTTCGACTGCGTCTCCAGCGCCATCGAATACATCGTCTCTAATGTCGCCACCTCCATCGACATTTTCACCTCCACCAATGCAGAAGCCTACGCAACCAATGCAGCCTGTAGGAGGCTACAAACCCAGCGGACCCAACTATTTCACCTCCGTTCCTATGTCTCAGCCTTCCATGTCGACTAACTCTACTCCGATGGCAGCAGCTTCTCCTTCATATACATCATCGACAACTGCTGCATCTCTGGGTAAGCCAACTGCAAAACCGGCAGCCAGCGATGGCGTTGATGCATTTGGATCACTCTGGTCTTCAGCTAGTAATAAGGCTGGTGTGAAGAGCACCACTGCCACACAAAAAGGGCCTGACTTGGCAAGTATGGCAAAAGCAAAGAGCCAGGCTGGAATCTGGGGAGCCGCATCAGCTGCCAGCTCGACCCCAAGACCCGGATCGACTGCATCAACTCCGAGTGCTGTTCAGGCAAAATCAAACACACCTTTGGGAAACGGCCTCGATGATCTTCTTGGATAGCTACTTAGACGTGCGATCGACTTATGAAAGCCATGAGTGACTGGAATATTAATAAAACAGACGATACATATGTCCACTTGAGAGTTCACATTTCGCCAGGTGCCTAATGAACCAGTTCATTCAGAGCGTGGAAGTTTGTACCGAAGGGTGCTCAGCAGTTTGCTGCTCCTCGTTTGGGATTCAAAATCTTCTCAAGCTTCGATCTCGCTTCTGGCACCGAATATCATTACTCAGCCGCGCCTCGAGCCGCGCACGCTCACCACGGCCGTTAGAGTTGGTGTCAATGCTGAGACGAGCTGAGCCTCGATTTGTTAGAGCAGGTAGCCCCGCTTCGTATATACAGGGACGTGCCCTTGATTGACTATTGACCTACACTTCGTTGTCATCTGCAACACTGTCTTGTAACCACACTCCTTTGGACACGGGACTAACGCTTGTGCTACATCTGCCGTCATCGTGCAGACGGGAAGATCGCTGGTTGAGCATTCTGCCATCGCTTCAGCTTCTCCAATCACTGGGTGTATGGCGGGGTTGTTGGGACCATAACCACAAGCGCAAGCTACAGTACGGACGGAGTTTCCTACTGATCCCCTAGATATTATTATCCTTGAGGTAAGACTTGCTTCTTTGAGTGCTTTTGCGTCCTTCGCGCGAGCTTCATTCATCCGTCCTTCTTCCTATCCCTTGCTCGCGCTGATAATGGCTGATAGACCGCCACACAAACGATCCAGAAGCGCTCGCGTCATCGACTTGTTGCGTAGCGACAACTTGCCACGAGATAGTGGCTCAGAGACAGATTCCCCGGTCAACACCTCAACTTCACCGACTGGACCTTTTGCACCCAGTTCTCTGGGCCCTCTTACACCGACCGACGGGCCCCGACTAAGTCCCCTCTCTCCAACTACTACTCGCGCCTCTCAAAAGAATATGGATACTCTAGAGTCTCCAACAGGTCCACCGGAGGCTTCTCTCAAGGTCCCGTCCGGCCTTGCTACGACCAATGGAGCATCCATCGAAGACTCGGTTCGAACGTTTCGCGTCTTCGAAATCCTCAGAAATAAAGACAGCGCGGCCATCTCAAAGGCCATCTCCGAATCAATACCTTCCTCTTCGAATCCCCAGCCGATTCCCGGAACGACGATCCTTCATCTGGCTGTACAATGTGCGGAACCGAACATAGTGGACCAGGTGATAAGAGAAGGGAAGGGTTTAGATTATAATGCTCAAGACAAAGAGGGAAATACTGCTTTACATCTTGCCGCCCAACTAGGCAGAGCGCCAGTCGTTAGAAGCCTCCTGGAGCTTCCGGACATCAACGACTCTATCGCCAACAGGCAGGGCAAATTGGCCATCGACTTGGCCCGAACTCCGGAGATTTTCCAACTGTTGCAGTTAGCTAGGTCGATCTTCCTGGACGACAAGATCAGAGCCGTCCAGACTGCGCTGTCTCAGGGCGCATATAAGCAGATTGAAGCCATTTTAACAGAGCCTAGAGTCGAAGGCACTTTGGATGTCAATGCTTTGGAACTTGTCACCGAGCCGATAACAGTGCAGACTGGAGGCACCCTGCTTCACGAAGCTGCCCGCAAGAGAGATCTACAACTAGCCCAGCTCCTTCTATTACACGGCGCTGATCCTTTCAGGAGGGATCGAAAGGGCAAATTGCCCCAAGATGTAACCAAGGATGATCGTACGAGAGCGATACTAAAAAAGTCACCCGCGGCAGCCGCAGCTCAGCGAGGCATACAGGAGAAGGCCATTCTGGGCAACCACCCGAACCAGGCCAGGGTGGGAACAAGCGATGCCAGTAAAGATGCCCGGGAAATGAAGGGCTACCTGAAGAAATGGACAAACTATACCAGTGGGTACAAGTTACGTTGGTTCGTCCTCGAAGAAGGCGTTCTTAGCTATTACAAACACCAAGACGATGCGGGCTCTGCCTGCCGCGGAGCCATCAACATGCGTATTGCGACTTTACACATGGACGCGCAAGATAAGACGAGGTTCGAAATCCACGGCAAGTCGTCTGTCAAGTACCACTTAAAGGCCAATCATGTTGTCGAAGCAAAACGATGGTTCTGGGCTCTGAATAACGCAATTCAACACACCAAAGATGAGGCTAAGGATGAAGAGAAGCGGCGGACACTTGATGTCGACAGTATCCGACATACGAGAGGTGAATCATCTTCGGATATGCTTTCGGTCACTCCTAGTAGAGCGAAACAGCCGATTGCTGCGAACCTAAGTGCCCCTGGAGGTTCCTCAAAAGTGAGCTTTAGGTCTGATGTTGAAGGCGGCTCAATGTATGACTCCTATGATGCTAGCATCATCGGAGACGAATTGCAGCGCTTGCCAACAAACGCCCACACAGCCACCATTGATGCAGAAGAAGATGGAGATGGAGATGACGCTAGCAGTCATGAAGTCCGTCAACCAGGCAGCAAGGATGCTTTCAACATCACTGCGCAGTCAGCTAAACTGCAACTTGATCTTCTTGCACGAGTTTCAGATGCACTTGTCAGACAAAAGCAATCTCAGCCGGATACCACACTGGCTGACGTGGAAGTTTCACAGGCACTCTCTGCCTACCAAGAAGCTGTCTGTAGTTTGCATAGCTTAGTGGCTGACTTGTTGAAAATTTCCAAAGACCGAGACGCCTATTGGCAATACCGACTCGACAGGGATGCAGATGTCCGCAAGATGTGGGAAGAGAGTATGGCGAAGATAGCCTATGAACATGAGGACCTGAAGAAGTCCCTTGCAGAGTCAGAGGAGAAGCGCAAGCGGACCAAACGTGCGCTGAAGGAAGCTTTGGAAGGCCAGTCAGGCCCTGTGAGCCGCCCAAGCTCATTGATTCGGCAGGAGTCTGCGGAGCGTGTTCAATTTGAAGAAGCTGTTGAGGACCAAACAACTATCAGACATGAAGCGACACTTACAGCGAGAGATCGATCACGACGCAAGTCATTCACGAGAGAAGGCAATCGGAGAAAATCGATCATTGCTCAGTACACAAATCTTTCAGATTCCGAGTCCGGTGACGATGAAGAGTTCTTTGACGCTATTGACGCTGGAAAGGTGGAACTTGTCGAGCCGCCTCTTGCAAGCCCTCCTCCTGTACATGTTGAGCAGGAAGAAGTTTTGTCTAAACATGACGAACGAACATTGAAGCAAATGCAGATCGAGCCGTCATATGCCGGGTACGAAGATGGTATACGTCAGCGCCTCAAAATGGACGCCGATGATCGTCCTAAGATCTCGTTATGGGGTATCTTGAAATCCATGATAGGAAAGGACATGACCAAGATGACCTTGCCTGTCTCTTTCAACGAGCCCACTTCACTACTCCAGCGTGTAGCCGAAGACATGGAATATGCAGACCTCTTGGATATTGCAGCTGACCGACCTGACTCGACCGAGCGTTTGGTTTACGTCGCTGCATTTGCTGCTTCAGAGTATGCAAGCACTATCGGCCGTGTTGCCAAACCTTTCAACCCGCTTTTGGGCGAAACGTATGAATATGTCCGACCAGACAAGGGATACAGATTCTTCATCGAGCAAGTCAGTCATCATCCCCCCATCGGTGCTGCTCACGCCGAGTCTGCTCGCTGGGACTACTGGGGTGAATCTGCGGTTAAGTCCAAGTTCTATGGAAAGTCATTTGACATCAATCCGTTAGGCACCTGGTTCCTACGTCTACGTCCGTCCAACGGCAAACCAGCGGAGTTGTATACTTGGAAGAAAGTCACCAGTTCTGTCGTCGGTATAATTACCGGCAACCCTACTGTGGACAACTACGGCCCCATGGAAATCAAGAACTGGACCACTGGCGAGGTTTGTTATTTGGATTTCAAAGCACGGGGTTGGAAAGCCAGCTCTGCTTATCAGGTCTTCGGGAAAGTCGTTGGTGTCGATGGTGTAACTAAGTGGAGTATTGGTGGTCGATGGAACGATAAAATCTACGCTCGAGTTACCGAAGGATATGAAGACGAGCTCGTCGGGGAAGGACGGCAACACAAGTCTGGGAATCAAGCATTCCTCGTCTGGGAAGCCCACAAGCGTCCACATGGAATTCCATTCAACCTTACCCCCTTCGTTGTCACCCTCAACGCGCTCACAGAAAACCTGCGTCCTCACCTACCCCCGACAGACACGCGTCTCCGTCCTGATCAGCGCGCAATGGAGGATGGAGAGTACGATCTAGCGGCTTCGGAAAAGAACCGAGTAGAAGAGAAGCAGCGTGCCGTTCGTCGACAACGTGAATCTGCGGGAGAAGAGTGGAAACCCAAGTGGTTCAAGAAGAAGATCGATCCTGTTACGGGCGAGAGCTATTGGGAACACAATGGTCTATATTGGCAGAAGAGGACGGAGAAGGATTGGAGTGTCTGCGACGATATCTTCTAGGGTAAGGTTGATGAGGCTTTCCCGATGGGTGGAAAGCAACACCGACCGTGTAGCAGAGAAAAGCCATCGGGAAACAAAGAATTCATATGGAAGGAGCGAGGACAATTGAGAGATGGAAAAAGTTCACAACCTGTTTCACCAGTCGATCGTTGTGGGCAACAAGTTTTGTCTTTTTTCGATTCTTTCCACGATCCAGAGATCCTTGCTTGTACTGTATAGTCTGCCTACCGGAGTCCGCCTAGCTATCGCAAATTTCTGAAATCCCCAGCATTTGATCGTCGACATCGTCGGTCAAAGTGAGATGTTTATGCACTTGGCTGGCAGTCCTCGTCATCTGGCCTTGCCAAAGGGGGCTTGTTCGACTACTCGGAAGCGATTCAGACCAACAATGGCAGCAACGCCAACAAAGAGAGGGCTAACTAGTTAGTCTTCTTTGTCAACCGTCCCTCCGGCCTCGAGGTTCTCGGGGATAGCCCCGTCCACGTTGGCCCTTGTCAACCACGCTTCTTTGCCTAGGGTAGCCCAGCAGTACCAGTCAGAGATGAGATAGAGTCTGTCTACGAGGATCGCGGCCCACAGATGTCTTCTCGCGAAAGGGTATTCTTTGACAAAGGCAAGCAGACCACATACATAATTGTACGTCTTCCAGCCCAGCAGGAGCATACTAGCATCGTCAGTACCGAAGAGGGCAGTGAATGATGGGAAACTTACGCCAGTTGTGGAACAATCCGGATGGTCTTGTATATGGCCCACAGTCGCAGCCATACTAAAACAGGGTTTAGCATCCCCTCGACCATCTTCCGAGCCATGAATGGACACGTCTGCCGCATGGGTCGGTATCCCGGTTCGTACAACAGGCAGAGCAAACGATGCCGGAGTCCACTTCTGTACCATCTCTTCACCTGCCCGGCAAAGCGCGAGTCCCGCATCAGGGTTGTGCCAACTTCCGCCTCTGGCGTCAATTGGATTCCCAATGTCCATTGTTGAGGCACTGCTTTCGCACCTTCTCTCTGATGTTGAGGCGGGCGTAGCAGATGGTGGAACAAGACCCACCGAGTAAGAAAGCCATCATCACCAGTGTTCTGGCGTACACCCATCCAATAGTCGTTGGTGAATGCTTGTTGGAATCCACGGTCCCGCACGATCTCACCACGGAATAACATGGTGACACCAGAAACACAGAAGTTGATCCCTCGGTCCGCAGCGTACGCGCTCTGCATGCTATCATGACGCTGGCCCCTGAGTCGAATGGCGGCAACCTCCCAAGCACTGATCACGTCGGGATTCCGTCGACCCTCTGGAATGTACGAGCTAAAGGGAAATCAGAATCGTCAGCAAAACAAAGTGCAATGATGGGTCCTGATCCTGGCTTACAATACGGCGCCGCCCGAAAGACCCACGTCGTCATCTTGGAAAGGAGCAAGCAGATGAATCAGAACATTGTCGTGAGGCCAATAGGCATCGTCGTCGACAAAGGCCACGATGCTGCCTCTGCTGGCGTTCACTCCTCGCACCAGTTGATCACGCTTCTGCGCTGCCGGCACCGTTAGGACCTGAACTTCGGTCGCTCCTTGCAGGGATCGTATGCAGTCATTGTGCAGAAGAAATCTTTCAACGCTGGCTGCCTCTGCTTCGGTCGTTACGACGATGATCTCCCGCACCTTGTTGAGTAGGATGCTGCAGATGCAGTCGGCGAATGTTTCCTCGTGGTCGATTGTGGGTATGATCACGCTGACGTCCGACAGATGATACTTTCGTGCTGACGGCTCAGGGATTGGGAATGCTCTGTACCTAGCTCGATTCCGCAGCGATGTTCGATGCTCAAAGAAATCAAAGACACTTTGCAGGTGGGCCGTGTTAATTCATTTGATAGCCATGCAGATGGACCCACTTTCAACTCACAGAAAAAATAGGAGAATGGCTGGAGCGACGCTCGATTGCAAACTGATACTGTTTCCCATCACGAGCGCTAAGATTCCCTTTTGATATATCTTTTATTTCAAAATGCCAGCCGGGACGTATATTATCTAAACCGCCCAAGATGAAGACGGCGTTTTATACCCACCTGTATGTCATGTGCGTTTGTCAGGTTTCTGGTCTGTTTGATCGCGCCACGCGGCATGCATCAGAGGCAAACCAGCCTTGCCTACCTATGCCATTCCATACGGGTTTCCACATGGTGAAGCGGTTTGAGAAAAAGGAAAAAAACGACCGGTATGGAAATGACGTCGGTCGCCAGAGGGTGGGTGACTGGTATCCCATGGGACAAGTGAGTGCGAGGAGTGTTCCGGCATGTCTTTTGTCAAAGGAGAGTGATTGCTGATTCGAAAAAAAACTTCACCTCATGCATGGCTGGAAGGGACCTCGCAAGCAGGCGCTTGGCCATTCAGGGAGTGATGGTCGCTGCGATATCGATTCACTTTGCGCAAAGTTTGAAGGCCACATCTCTTTTTTTTTCCCAAACGGCCGACCGACCACGATGTCTTCCATCGCTGTGTATGTGCTACCATCCGCCAGTCCTTGTTTCTCGTTTGAACGTCGTGGTGAGCGAATGAGTAATGCCCGTTTCTGACCAGAAGGAAACCTCGGCTGCGGCGATGGGGCAAGTCAAGGGTGCAACATGCCTCCATGATTCATCTTCATCTTCATCTTCATCGTCGTCGGCGTGGTTGTGTGAATGGCTCGACGTCAGATAAGAGTGTCCTGGCCTCGCCTCACTTAAGCTTACAGGTTTTCTTCTTACAGCTTTACGGTATCTCGTCCAAGCTGCACCACCAGATTTGGATCCCAGAATCATTCGCGAGGAATTGAGGTGAGAGACGAAGTGCCTGCTGATGGATTCGCGGTGGATAGGCGGCATTTCATTTTCACGGTGAACCACAACGTCACAACGGGGGGTCCACGTCGCCCGAAGTCCAAAGTGAATGCCTCCTCAACTTTTTCGACTTCTCAAGGAGGAGGAGTAGGGGGTGGTGGTAACGGTGACGGTGAGAGCAGCAGTAACCGTGGTGGCGGTGAGTGATGAAACAACACTCTGACGTGTGCTTCAAAAGGGAACATGGGGGTCCATAATGCTTCGACAAGTCCACATCCGCACCCCTAAGAGAGGCGTGGTATATACACATGCATAGGCAACGCAGTGACAGACACACTTTAACTCGACTCACATCTGAGGATGTTTCACGCACTAGAGTCACTGTTTGGACATTCTCATACATCTTGATGGCCATGCTACCGTTAGAAGACAGTGGACCGATAGCTGGATTTTGGTGGGACTTTTTTTTTACACCGTCAGAGTAATCTACAAGTACTCTGTGATAATCTCTTGTGTCTCTTTGAGCCTACTGCACGTCTATCTGTATGTTTGTCTGTGTGTATGCGTAGATGTACTCTCTGCAAGCCAGGTATCCAGGTTTCCTAGATATCTAGGTAGGTAACGATAATGATGATGATGATGATGCACCATCAACCTAATAAAACTAAGCTCACCAAGGCCTTTTTCAGCTCCTTTTGTCTTGACTTCACTAAACCTGGCTGAAACAAAGAAATAATTGTGCAAAGCAACCCGGGGTGTGGCATCGCATTTGACACCACAAGCTCCCAACTCAAACCTAGTCAACCATCATCCAATGTATTCAAAATCATATTCCACCCATCGTATCAATCCCCGAACTATTAAAGTTGTAGGGGAAATCCACGATACCGTCGAGCATCCAGTTCAGAGGATCAAACACGTCGTAACTCGCCTGACTGTAATCCATGGGATAGCCATTGTTGTTCTCCACCATACCCGTAGCCATCCCAGCCATGCCAGGAACAATGGCAGATGCCGACAGCATAGGATCGTTGACCGAGGCGTCTACAGTTGTCAAAGAAGAGGGGATGAGAACGCTATCAGCCTGTTGAAGTTTGGCATCATTTTGTCGAACTGTGTGACCATGTTAGTTGTGACTGTTTTGATTCCCAAATACTGGAGAAAGTAATGACTCGAAGAGCACAGCGGTGGAATTCATCGAAAACTTACCATCAGATGGCTTTCCTCCACCAAAATGGAAATTCCTCCGCCATCGCCACACCGAGTCAAAGACCAATGAAACCGACATGCGACATTTGACCTTCAACTGAAGACTATCATCGACTTCACCTTCACCGGTCTTGTTGACATCAGGCTTCGCTCGAACTCTCCCGCTCTTCCAGACCTGGGCCAAAACCTCGGCGAGTCTCTCGGCAAGATCATTCTCCACCACGCTCATACTCCGCAACGCCCATACGGTTCTCGACAGTAGCTCGGACGCTCCTTGAACGTCCATATCGTGCTCATCGAGGAAGTTGTGCATCAATTTAAGAAGCGAGAACCCAGCAGCCAACATCATGTGGAAAATGTAGTTGGTCGCATGAGCTAACGACAGTCCATGTGAATAGCTGGACGGTAGGCTTACGCTCATGCTGTTCTCAAGGCCCAAGCAAGTCTCGAGAAACTGGGTCGTGCTTTGGTAGAGCTTGAACATATCGGCGCGATAGGAAGGTAGAGAAGGTGGCGAGAAGAAGGCACTCAGCCTCATGTGCAAGGCCGCGGCTTTCAGATAGAGGTTGGTGATCGGCGAGGTATCGTGCCTGAGTTTATCTTCAAGTTCCTCGAAATCATGCGCCAGGAACGATACGTACGTAGGACGTTCTGCATCACTTGCCAGTCCCACCGGATCATGAGCGTTCATGTACAGGGTCCGCGAGACCTTATCCACAAACTTCTCAATGAGAAGCCTATTGTATATCGGTGCCGGCAATTCGTAGTTGGGGTTGGTTTCGATGGGCTTTGGCCCTAGAGTCCAGTCGTAGATTGTCAGAGGAGGCTGTCCATACGCGGTGCATATCCTTTGCGCCACAATGTTGCATACACTCCAAACCACGACGCGATCTTGCATTTCGACCTCTCTCAGTTCGACGCGGAATTTGCTGAAATCTTGAGCATGAGTCGGACGATGTAAGCCTATCTGTAGGGCAATCTGCATCATCATTCCACAGATCATAAACGTTGGATCTGTCGATGTGCTGCTCGTAGGTAATGACCAAGCGCATAGTAGTATCAGAGCTTTGACGATGTGGTAGTTCTGAGGGACTTCAGCTATCGTTGACCACATCAGTCGCGTCAATGGCCCAGTCAGGGCGTTGAAGAGTTCTGGTTCAGGTGTATAATGGCGTGCCCCCACCGTTAGGATCGTCCAGAACAACAAAGGTGATCTTGTGTGATACTCTTCTGGCGTTCTTTCGGGATTGAGAAAGGGTAGAAATGGGTGTTGGAAGGTAAAGAACCGCTGGAAGAGCTCTTGTACTCGATCCTGAGTCACAGCCACATCTTCTAGCCGTTTGAATATTGCCCTCCCTGGACTCTTGCCTTCCCTCAGATCCAAAAGTCCTGCGGCCGCAGCATCTTGTGTGAAGGAAGCCAGCCCGGTCTGAGGAAGACTGAGGCTGGCGTTTCCATTCTGAAATCCGCCATTCGAAGTCGATACCGATCCTGACCTTTGCGCAGCGACCTGTCTCCTCAACTCCACGATTTCCCGTTCCATTTCTGCATTGCGCGATCTCTTGCCCACTCTTTTGAAATTGTCTTCGATTTTGCATTCGAGATTGAGCCGCCTACATCTCGAGCATGTCTGGAAGGGTTCTTGAACAACATCGCATCGTAGCTATAGCGCTCCTTGTTAGCACGTGCGATAAGTGATGGAGCAAGTCGGCGATGTGGGAGTCATTGGACAGCAGGATCTGTCCAAGGCCCCATGTCACAGCGACGTGAAATAACATCTTGCAAAGTCGCTAGAATCTCACCTTCTGCTGCCGACACTCATTGCACGCTCGCTTGACCGGCCTGCGCTTACCATCAGCGCGGCCATGTTCATCATTCAAATCCGGAGAGCCGAAGCTGGCACTCGCAGGCGAGCTGTCGAACCCCGCGACAGAGGCATTTCTCTTGTGGCTCTGGGTCGGACTGGTCAGGCCAGTACCAGGACCATCACCGTCAACAGATCGCGACGCCAGCTTGTATTGTGTGTCGCGGATGTCGAGCCTGGGGTCTGACATCCAGTTGGACGCCGATATCGGTTGGTCGCTGATGGTCGCAGTCGCAAAGCCGGAGTACGCAAAGTCATCCATTGCCGAAAAAGGCGCCAAGTCCATGATATTTTGATCTGATAAGATAAAACTCATCAGTCGGAGTAGGAGGGGGAATGGCAACAAGGGTGCGATGGAGGGGCACCGTCTGTAAAACTTGTAACAACAAAGATCGCAGCGTCGAAGTGACTGCACCTAACGCGCAAGAGCCTATGGCGACTGCTCAAAGCAGAGAGAAGCTCCAAGGTCCATTGAAGAGATTTCAGGGCTCTTCCCAAGCCGCCGAAGCGAACCACGCCATCAGTACCATCCGCTTCGCCCTACAACAAGACGACCAGCGCGGTGAGCTTCGATGACTCACGGCCCTCACGCGTCTCCCTACTAACAAATTATTTGAACGACTACAGTCACCGTCTTCGATTCAAGCATTCCCCCGGAGCCATTTCTCGACTCAGTTGAACTCGAGAACCTCAAAAAAAGACAACAAAAAGCCGAAGAAATGTCATCACGAAGTTCTGTCTAAACTCCGTCTGCATAGAGACCCACGGCGACGTGGTCTAATTGTACATATCATCAATTCATCATCCAAGTCGTTCAATCATCAAAGACGTTGCATCGTGCTGTCTTCACTCCTGTCGCGGAATTTATTATTGACTTCCCAAAGCGCGCCTGTCCAAGTAAAACCAAAGTATTTGCAGCCACCAGGGCCACATCCAAACAACGTCGAAATGTCACATCGTCAGCTCTCTAGCTGATGTCCCTCGCATGTCCCGTCATAAACGCGTGTTGCTCGCCGGAAACCTCGAATCTCCCTGCATGACCACATTGGGCCCAATGCTTCGTCGAAGATCGGCTCTTCTCTTTTCTCGCCGGCCATCTTCCTTCCTTTGCCGAGCTCTTAGTATTCGTTCTTGAATGTTCTTGATCCCAGCGAGGTGAAATCTCATACTCAACCCTGAAGACGCATAGAACTGGCGCGTAGCTCGAATGCGCGCAAGGCTGCCGTGGCTGGTCTGTTTGATTAGGCCCCTCTTTTGCCGGCGACGCTCAGATATCCGTCGAACAAGAGAAACTGGGCCTGTAACAATGGTTTTTTCTTGTGGCAGTCCGAGAGAGTTGTTGACCACGCCGATCTGGCGTGAATGTTGTTGTTCTAGTTCCAATCGATAATGGTCTATGTCATCCCAAAATGCTCGCGGACGCCAAAATGGATTCAGTTGGCTATCGAGATCTTGATCCGCTTTCCTGTTGCGAGCATTCTTCAAGCTCAGCCCTCGTGAGAGTGTGTTTATCCAAGAATCCGAGCGGCGGTAAGTGCCAGGCCATTGTAGTCCCGTTGCACGTTCGGAGGAAACTCCATCAATGGCAAGTCGCTTTTCGGACTCGTCGCCTGGTGTTGGCGGTATCACCTTGACTTGAGGAGGCTCAGGGGGGCTCCTGGGATTCCGAAGAGGGGAGTCCACTTCGGCATGCGGTAGACGTTGCTTTTGTACTTCGCGAACAGCTCTCGATTCTGCTACTGAGTACGGTTCGATCAATTGTAGCGAATGATTGTTGTGCGGAAAGAAGTTGATGGCCGTCGCCTCGTTGATCTCAGGAGATGTAGATCTGAAAGATGGCTGGGAAAAGGGGGTTTCCAGGGTGGATGTAGGCCGCAAAGCAGCCCATTCCAAAGTACCAGGGACAACCAGGCCTAGACCATTGTTTTCCAGCTCACTATCATGGGTAGAGGGGATGAGAAAAGCATGCGAATGTGATGGCGTTGTGGCTGCCGCTTGATCGAAAGCGTGGTCAACCTGACTGCCGTCTTGCGTGTGTAAAGCACCCCCATTATGTTCCAATGGCCAATCACGCATACCTTTCAGTAAGCGATCCGACTCCATCCTATCCAGAGTCTTTCTCAGGTCTTTTTCTGCTTGTTGCCTGCGTACACGAAGATTCTCAGAAGTAATCGAATTGGCTCGGGATGTACTTCTGGACGTTGGGGCAGAAAGAGAAGAACTTCGCGGAGGTACTACAGGTGCCTGCTCTGTTCTTCTGCCGCGGTCTACCGTCTCAGACATTGTTCTCTTATGTTGCCAAGCTGATGGTGGATTATCCGACACTTTGCGCGCTTGCGAACGCGCCGAGCCATTAGACAAAGACGGCTTTTTGCTGCCACTACTGTTCGAAGCAGGCAACGAAGAGCTTCGCTCAGGAATAACGGCGACTCGGATGACCTCCGTCTTTGGCAAAACAGCACTAGATGCCAGACTGTGAGATCTCGAGATCTCAGACCCAAAGCTCCAACGATTCTGGTTGCTTAGACAAGCCTTCTTGTGTACTAGCCGGTGAGGCGAGTCTGAACTGGACTGCACAGAGTCTCGATTCGAAGCAGGAAATGGTGAGCTCACTGACCTCAAAGACTCATGTTTGTTGACGTGGCGCAACATCATCTTCCGCTTGGGTAAGGCGACGGGCTCGAAGACGTATGCTTCAATGGTGGAAGTAGTAGAAATCCCAGAAAGGCGTCTATCACTATCACGGATGTCGTTCTGGGTATTCGTCAGGGCGTCTTCATTTGGCACAGAGTCATTCCAGCCAATTATGCTCGCAAATATTTCTGTGGAGGCCGAAGGATCCTGGTGTTGGGCATCAAGAAGCCTGTCGCGAAGACTTTTTCCTCGGTTTAAGCCATCCTGTTGCACATCCGATGGGTGCTCAGGGGCAGATTTGACATCGCGAGGCTTCTTCGACGATAAGATGTCACTTTGCCGAGGCATCGTCCGCCCTTTCTTCAATTCAATTGGTGTGGTAGAAGTGCTGAGTGGTTGAGGGCTTGATTGCAGTCTATTTCCACTCTCATCTCCGTTCAGCAAAAACTGACGGTCCCTCTGATTAGAACTGGATGAAAGGTCTATCGGCGAGTAGGCTTCGTCGCCAGGAGTATCGTTCTCGGTATAGAGCAAGAGCGACAGTGGCAGAGAACTATGTCGCAGCCTCTGCGTAGGCTGGCTCGCTTTGTGCAGAGACGACTGCGACCACGCGAGGTTTCCTTGATAATGGGAAGCAATCTCAAACCCATCTTCCGATCCGACATCTTCCCTAGCAGTCGTGAACGATTCGGCGCGAGTCGAGCTCGGGGATGGTTGACTTCCCAAAAAAGGTCTTACGAAGGGAGTTTTCCTCTGGCGTGGTGGAGTGTTGTCAGGCGTTGGAGGGCTGTTCGGGTTTGATGGCGTCACCAAAGCAGATCTGAAGACGGTGCCGTCAGAGACCACATCTTCAGCAGCATGTATCTCTCCATTACTCGCACCAGGCGGTGTCGGAGGAAGATGTGGGGATGTCGGTAGGATGGCTGTTGTCGTTTGATGCGGTTCTAACTCAGGCATTTGGCCATCTTGGGCCGAGGTCCTGTAGAGAGTTCGCAAAGTGACCGAGGCCGACTTTGGGTCTTTCCGATATGGTGATGACTTTAGGGATAGAGGAGGCGATAGTCCTGCAGGATCTCCCGGCGGGCCCATAATCGTATATTCAATTGTCCTCCCCATGTGAAACGCAGTCATAGTGCACGGGAACTCGTTAAATGTCCTTCTTCTTCATTGCGACTGGGGATCTGAAACTAATCGCTATTCATGGCAATTCAGGGCACAATCGAACAGGATGCTTCCGCAGTCGCGCAACGGGTTCGCCCTTGAATGAGGTTGAAGTCGGGAGACGGCCGGAAGGGTAGAGGGACGTCTCGCGTCAACGGGGCGGAGCGGTCGTGCGCAGGGGCTCTGGCCTGTATCGATCGGGACTACAGGTCGAATCCAGGAGGTCTCCGCTTCAGTTGGGCACGGATCAAAAAATTGTCGACCGCTACAGGGCCCTGCGATGATGTTCAATGCCGTCGAGGTGAGAAGGGTGGAGGTGGGTGGCTGGGGCAGCTGAGCGCTAAACGGCTGAGGAAGGCAATTCGATGGGCAAACTAGGTCCGATAAGTCAGGGAATGGAGGCCGAAATACGGAGCAAGAGTTGTGATTAATTATTGGTATGTTGATTAGATGGCAAAGTTTGTGCGTTTGATATCTGGGTGAGATCATGGACTCGGAGGGAGGACTTTGGCTGTGTCTTGCGAATCGTGCGGAAGAAGGAATCATGGACATGGCAGACGGCGACGGCGACGGGCAACGACTGGAACGAGTAACGGGAGGCAAGACGCATCCGCGCGGGCTAGCGACCTGTAGTAATTAGTGGGCAACCTGAGGCACCAGGTCACTAACTCATTAGTATACTAAGTTGACGTTAGAGCCTTTGGTTAAGTTCCTAGCAACTACTAGAGACCCGGGTTTAAGGTCTTACCAACCACTAGGTGCCTGTAAGGAGAAAGTATGCTGTCCAAAGTACCGGACTCTTCACTCCCACGGACTGATGCGACTGAGGGCAAGCCCAATCGGAGAGCACCAAGAATAGCGTCACCGGCCATACGTCCGTACAAAGGTACTTAAACGTGCTCTCACAGAGTCTAACAGGATATTCACGTTTAGCCAGCTACTGTACCCGTTTACGCAGCGTGCATTCAGCAGGCTCAAGGCTCAGGTCCAAGAGTAACTCGAAACTCCTACTCCTGCAGCTGTGTAAGAAGGGTTCGGCCCTGGTCAGATTCACATTACGGATGGTCTGACGCGGGGCGGAGAGAACCGTGGCTGCCGTTACAACACGGGGAATCCGTCCCCTCAGGGGTGGCTTGGTTGCAGCACGTGGCCAAAAGATGCTTGTCAGACCGAAAGAATATCCTCGCCGCTTCCGGTGTGGTACCCTCTTTGGTGCTGAATTTCTCTTCCGAACTGCCAGCTGTACCAGACTCGCACCCACTCAGCAAGCTGAAATATCTCCCACGCCAGCCGTCGTCGCATTCCCCGGTCATACATCCCTCCATTGACGGCCCCGCGTGACAGTGGCAGAGGCAACGAGTCAACGACTGAGATACTCCGGGCATTATTGAAGTGTATTACAGTATGGCCCCTTAATCTTCGGCAATCTCACCACCAGCGGCCATGACAAGGCCATGACAGCCTAACAATTTCTGCATGTCTCTCCACCTCACATAATCTGGACCATGCGACGGAGTACGCTGTACTGTACCTGGCTTCGCGGCTCGAATACATCCTCTCCATTGCTGAATTTCTCCGACACTCGACCAGTCAGCCACTCCAAGGCCAACGCCACGTCGAGGTCGAACTGGGCTAGGAGAGAACCATCTCAGGCACAGTGTACCTAGATAGGTGGTGTAGCCAGCCCCCCAGAGGCCAGCAACAACACGCCTCACAGACCACCGCATGTGTACGAGTACGCCCATACCCAATTACATTCCACGGTTCGCCGCATTCCGGTCCGCCAGCCCAAAATGGGTCCGAAAGTCAACAACACAAATCCCGTTTACAACTAACTGACGGATGAGATCTGTCAGTCCATCAGCCACCCATCTGTCAATAAGATACACGCATTCCCCCAGGACATTTACCCTTGGATTTCCGATATACCTTTAAATCAACAATGCTCCGTTCACTGGGGTTCTCTTCCAATTCTACAGAAATCCCCATAACAGCAACCACAGCAACATGGCGGGTCGAACTCCAGTATACAGCACGCTCCTCGTGGTCCTAGCATTTGCTCCTCAGCCTGGCCTCACGGCTCATGTTCCACAGATCATCAGTCCCGGATGGGGCTCACTTTCCTTCTCCGAAATGTTTCTCCAGGCCTTCCAAAGTATACTCGATCTCGGCTTCGTCCAGGGAGTTGTCTCTGGGTTGCTGATACTTGGATGCTTGACGTGCTTGCTGATATGCGTCCTGTGTGCCCTGGCGGCGTACTTTGACCGAGTCGACAAGGGCCGCTGGGACAAAGACCTCGAACTGAACGAGGACTATGTATCCTCATCACCACCACACACGAAACGCCATTCCAACCGCACCAGCAGGTCCATTCGTCGAGGTCGAAAATCCCACTACCTTAGTCGGCCACCGGTCGTCACAAAGATCAGTGTCGTCGCTTCACCATTCTCATGTCAATCTGAATTATCTTCGTCATCGTCACCTCCTTCTCCTCCCAGATACCACTCGCAAGATGTCCGCACCTCCACTTCTCCCCCGACCACGCCTCTACGCTCGGCCCTCTCGAATTCTCCACCACCTACATGCCAAAGACGTTCTCTCGTCCTTGGAGTGAAGAGAACACCTTCGTCAGGCAGCCCCAAGTCGGTCAGATGGGCCGACGAGCTCGGTGTCGCCGTCCTGGCAACAGTTCAAGTCACGAGCAGCAGAGAAGGGCCGGACTGGGAGATCGATATAGGCATGACGAGACCTCAGTCTGCGTCTGCAACCGAAGAAAATTCTCCACTCAGCGGCATATCGACAGGCTCTCCTCCTATCTATACCGGCATGGCGAGTGACTTGGCGAAGTCATAACCACCCGATCAAGCGGATACTTCTTTTCGTGCACCCGCTTCTTTCCAAAAGAAAGCATTTCACCGTTTTAAAGGGAAAGGAAACGACTCTTAGATCTTCACGACCAATTTCTTCTCCTTCAATACCATGTGGCCAGACGTATGAATTGCTCCGAGAGAGCTTTTACGACAATGTTTGCATTACGAGATGTGTATGATAGCTTGGGGTGGGAGTTGGTTGTTACTTTGTGTTTGCTTTTTTTTGTCGCATTTCACCATGAAGACGGATCGATGCATCTCTCTCTCTCTCTCTCTCTTTCTTCCGATCACAGCGGGCTCGTTCTACCTAGGAAGCAGAAAAAATGGTCTGGTGGCGTTCAAAAAGACTACCGGGGGTAGCCCTGGTCTTATAGATTTGTGTGGAGATGTGGAAATTTCCATGATCATTTTCCCGTGTCCAGACTACTACCGCGATTGCGCATCCCCATTTTGCCTTGTGTGTGGACCCTCATTGCAGGGATGTTTGTGTGCCGCGGTCCTTTTTCCTCTTGCCTGGCTTTCCTGGTTGTCCGGGGTTCTTCTGTTCTTCTGTTCTTCCGATGGCAATTCCCGTTCCCTGCCCGCCCCGTCCATCCCTGCTCGGTAACGGACCACGTGCATCCTTGTACAATACGTACAAACTGAAGACCAATGAGTAACCAACAGGTAGGTACGGCAAGTATGATAACGACTTATCTACAGTACTATACCCGACTGCTGTAACATACCTACCTGGTTACGTTACGGCAGGATCCAGTCACCCGCTGGAGTTCGTACTCGTAGGACTAATGAGTACACAGTAAGTAGGTCGTGCAAACGCGGTCTCAGACCCGTTTCGAAGAACGCCGCAGACTCGTCCCCTTCACCCCCCTTTTTCAAAGTATCACAGGATTCGACCAAGCACATACTGTACATCTCGAGATTTTTTTTTTCGTTTTTGGGAACTTTCTTCTTCTTTCTTCTAATTAACGGATGTCTCAAACTGTTTGCATATTCCCGCACCTGGTATCCCGGCATCTCCTCGTATCGTCACCATCACGCATTCTAAAAATACAACCCCCCTCCCTCCCTCCCTCCCCCCCTAACCCGGTAACCGTATTTACTAGCCACCTGCCTACCTCAGCATCCAGGTCGGGGACATAGTAAGATTGGATAACTACGCACCTAGGAGGCTGCTCTTGATCTCTGGGTTCAAAAAGTCAAGGTAATCAACTAGTCGAGGCCATGGTCAAGCGATAGACAAGTTTTAACATCTCCTTCATAGGTCCGACCATCTGTAGCCAAGGTAGTATATATTACTGTACTATCGATAGGGAATTCCTCAACTTTGACAAGCTACCTGCGATACAAGTCCTGTACAATTCCCCATGCCCCAGATACCTGGATAAGTTTACCTAACGTAAATCCATCCCAACTTTTCGGTGTCCATCAAATCACATCAAGCCTGGTCATCAAATTACATAGCATACCAAGTACCTAACCTGAACACCGCGCTGTGTAAATACTTCTCGAAAAAAAAAAACCGAATTTCAACAATGCCTCGCATTTCAATAAACTCGTTCTCGATACTGTCAACTTTGTCGTTTTGTCATGCTGAAACATCTTTTCTTTTTCTGAGGTCAAAGGGATATTCATCATGTTTGGCGAATATTAAACTAGTAGGAAGGCCCCCCGTGCACTTCTGCCGTGCTGCCTTCGAATTCTGGGTTGTAGTGAATATGATCACTTGCGCGGTGTTGCTGGACGAATCCCATGGTTGATGGCCGATCATTTTCGATATCCGCACCGTGGGCAGCTCCTAGTGCCGAGCCAGAATTGCGTAGCTGGCTAATATAAGACTGCTGAACAGGCACATTCTCCCCGCCATCACGCGCCAGGCTTGATGAAGTTGACTCGGCTCCAGTCGACCATCGCTTGCTCCGACCCGCTGGCGACTGAGCACTGGAGAAAGGTATGCGACTCGCGCTCATATTGTAACCGTAGCCTTTGTGATCAGGAAACTTCGTGGGGGGGATAGCTTGTTGTGTAATCCTGGTCCTCGACCCACTGTCTGACCCGGATTGCCTTCGTGAACTCTTCCTCGGAATAGCAGGGACAGGTGGAACGTCCGGGACTTCTGTAGGGAGAGGCTTTTTTCGAGATTTCTTCGACGCTTCCGAACCGACCCGACTTGGTAGCTCGATACCGCCAACAGACTCTACTAGAGGCAAGGAGGGCGGCTGTGCCGGTACATGAGGAATCGACTCGATGTCGTCGTCGGACTCGACAACTGAGTTGTTATCATAGACGCCATGCCGCTGCAGAGTCGGAGATGCTATCCTCGACCCTGCTGGATCGGATCGATTTTCGCCGATGTTGGGTTGCTCGTCATGATATGGTTCAACGGAGTCAGCTTCAGGCTCAGGTGTTGGAGGAAAAAGACCTGGCGGAGGAGCACGAGCACTTCGGACAACCTCGAAGCCTTTTGTTTTCTCCTTAGTTTTGCCACCTAGTAGTCCCTTGAACCAGCCTCTTGCTGTAGAGACCGGACCTGTCGGATCGGCTGGGCCAGTTTTTAGTTTCCTCGTGCCACTGGATAGTGCCGCACCGCGCACACCGTAATAGAAATCCACTTCTCGCACTGCATAGTCGGTCTTGGCCCGAAGCGAGTCAACGTTGGCATCCTCAAAGGCTTCATCGTCCTGTCGTAAGGGAGTTGAAGCACCTTCTCCCGCTTCTTCATCTAGCGCTCGGTCATCTGGTTTCCCACTCCTAGAACCTTCACCCTCTAGAGAAGTAATTGGGAGGCCGTTGTTTGCGGCCAGACGATCGACGGTGTTGCGACGTGGGGGTCTGTAGTACGGGTCTTTTGTCTCAGATTTGTGATGAAGTCCAACAATTCCGCCAAGGGAGGCAGCACCACTCAAGCGGTTTGTGAGGCGTCTTGAGGCTCTGCTCATTCGATCTGGTGTGGTTGAACCCATTGCTCGTGCATCGATGTTAGAGCTCAGTCGATGCGCACTCCGACCACTATCTAACAATGCCCCAGAAGCGGCCGACACACTACGAGAGCGCGTCTTCCCCTCTTGAAGTTGCTTCTGCTCGGGATCCATAGCATTGAGCATGGCCGCATTGGAAGCACCGCTATGGCGAGAATTTTCGTCACGGCGTGGGAGCCGCCTGGACAATTGTCGCATTCCAAAAACCTTGGTTAATCCTCCCCTGGTGGCGCCACCAGTGTCTTGATCACGTCCACCGGCCCCTGCGAGCCTAGCAATGACCTCAATCAAGGTCTGAACCGCGTTGAGAAAGAAGCCAAACACGAGAGTGCAAGCATGAATGACTAAGATAGCGTAGCCCATCCAACCTCGTGTTGAAGCCTCGACACCAAGAGATGGCACGAATGCAATGGACAGTAATATGGTGATGAGCCGGATGGCTGAGAAGCAGGTGTGATATATGTTCATTGAAGTCGCAGACGGAAATGGTCGGAAAAGGTTGATCGTCAGGATGAGGATTATCTCCGAGATAGCGAGAAGCACAACCTGAGCCACGCCAGAAGGCTGCACAGCTCCAATAGCAATACCCCTTAGTAAGTTGATCATGAGTGGGATCATAGCGAAGGTGGCAGCGTCATCACAGTACGTGTTATACAACGGACCATAGGCAAGAACCGTCAGGAGATCGTCGAACAGAAAAGAGCGCGGTCTTGTTCGAGTGAAGAGCAGCAAAAGCCGCACCGAGAAGAGGATTACCACGACCAAAGAGACAGCAGCAAGTGCAACGGAATATGCGGGTCCTTTAGCAGCGATCAGGAGCTGATAGAAGGAAAGCGCGATCCAGGGCAAGATGAAGTAGTTGAGGGCGATTCGCACGACATTTCCGACGGTGAAAGGTCCGTTCTTGGAGCGGAGATCTTCGGCATCTTCCTTTGCAATTTGTCGATAGACCCAACGTGCAGCGAAGCCGAGTTGTGTCAAGATTGTGGCACCTGCAACGATTGCGACAAGCCAGACAATCATAGCCGCCCATATATCCCGGTCTGAAGTCATGCCAACTAGTTGACTCATGCGGTCCAGACCATATTTCATGCCTGGCCTATACTGGTAGATGCCGTCGACCACAGGTTGCGTACCATTTCCCCCAGAGACAAAGCTCTCGTTGAACATCAGTGATGACCAACCGATTCGACTAATAGCGGGCTGATAGAAGCCCGGATAATTGAGGCTCAAACTTGCTGTCAAAACCACAAACTGGATATACTGTAAGCAGTCCCCGAAACCCGGAGTGACGAGGCGAAGCAAATCTTCATCGCGCCCAAAATTACTGCTCCAGTTGAATATATCAGCGGATCCCCATGGACTGAAGACGGAAGCGGCAATCGTTGCAATACCAACGACAATCAAGACTGCTAGAGGTAGGTACCTCAGTAAGTCATTGAGGTATCCTCCTAGATCCGGAGTGACCGTGGCAGTCACGCAGCTGTAGTACTGCCCGCTAGCATCACCTGATTGAATCCGTAACGTCGCTTCTAGCGAGGTGAAAGCGTAGCTCGATCCCATGTCATGTGCAACAGAGAACGCAGGTAGTAGGTCGAGATCAGTAGAGTTGGCGTAGAAGGCTGGAGCGAGAGGACAGTCATCTTTCAGGACGCTTGTGCAAAACCTTTTTGGTTCAGCGTCCCATGGGGTATAGCTGAGAAGATTGACGCGAGTAAAGAGTGTCGTATACTTGTTGTTGGACTCGCTGACGTCTGGAATCTTGCCAAAGGTATCGTTCGGGTTGCTCCATGACGGATCGTCCGGGGAGGGATAAGGCTGATCGGTGGCCTTTCCGGTGACATTCCCATACACTGTCACATTGAGGTTGTGTTGGCTTGAACTTGTGTTGAAGACAGCCGTTACATTGAGAGGATCGAACTGCAGGAGGCGAGGCTGTGAGTTTACAATGCTCTTGGCCAGACAATTGTGAAATTCGACAAAGGCGGCGTCGACCACGGTTATGTATAGGAGCGAGGAGAGGAGGACGATGAATGGGCTCCATGTCATTTTCAAGCGATTCCTTTGACTGGATCGATGTAAATTCCTTCCAGCTGATCCCGACGGGCGTTGAGAGATCTCATCCTGGTCACTCAAAGCCATTGAAGATAGTGAATGGTCCTTGCTTTCGCCGGCTCGCGAGTCAAGGATACGACATTTTCCTGGTTTTCAACAGAAATGTTCCGGAGAAAGTCGGTACTCCAGCTTCTTCCTCCCAGTAACGCGTAACCAGGTCAAACAACCACGCGTGAACGTCACTGGTGTCTCAAAGTGACCCTGAAAGACGGTCGTCCAGTTTGAAGGGAAGGTAATGTACAAGGACGAGTCGAGGGAGTAAAATGTCTCAGAAGGTTCGTGCTATTCTCCGGCAAGAGGTGATAGCCAGCGGATCGACGGAAGTGGTTCGTCAAAAGAGTCGGTGTGTCAGATTATAGGGTATGCCTTGAGCGTGAAGCATTTACGAGATGAACAGACTGAACGAGTGACAGAAGAGGATAAGGAAGTGGTACAATTGTTGAAGAAGTAAGAGTATGATAGAACAGAGGAGTGTCGAGGCGCAGCGCAGGAAAGACTTTGAGACATAAGGCGAAAGTTTTCCCGGTTTCGAGCCAACAAGCGTCATACCCGATTTGCTGGGGAGGATCAGCGGGTGGGATGCGACGCGATGCGGGCGGGAGCAGAGCACCACCTTAGGCCTGTTTAGGGCTGGCCAGGCTCCTTCTGAGCTGCTACCAGAGGCTCCAAGCCTATTAAGCACCTGGAGGGATTGTTAAGGTAGGTACCTACAATAGGCCTCGGATCCACTAGGTTCACCAAGCTTCCTCCAGCATTGGGGGACTCCGTAGGCTCCAGAGGCTTATTCAGGCCCGGAAACCAACCCCTAAATCACCTTTTCACTCTCCATCGAATTCCTCATACAGAACCATTGCCCTCAAGCTCGCCTCTAGGCTTCGTCCCAGCGAAACAGCATGTATGCTGTAGTGAGTGTTACACAGGAGGGTCAATTGGGCCCTTCAGAAACAGACTGGCCGGTTAATAATGAAGGCTAATGATGCCTGGCGATCTGGTTGGAAGAACAGGGACCAGCTGGCTCCAGCGGTGGTTTACGGTCCAGCGTGCCACACTCCCTAGGTTCGCCCATGTCGTGTGCTATTTCTGGTTCACCTGTGTGGCACCATATTCGTACGAAGTAGTTTGTGTACAGTCTTCTCGCTTCCGTCTTGCGACCCAAACCGTCACAGACACACCAGTGCTGTAAGCGAAGAGTCCCAAACCCGCATCTGATAGCGCGACAACAGTTGCAGCACGTGCTATTTAGGCGTGACCTTCAATCCACAGCGAACACTGCATGTATCTGAGGTGTCTGCTACTTCCTGACCCGGCTCTCAGTGGTACGATACGTGCTATATAGAAACACACATGCGTGAGGGTGAAGGGGTCGAGTACTCATAGTTTGTAGCAGAATCCTTTTGAATCGTCGAGAGCGATCTTGGTGCGCCCTGACCCGGAGCCCTGGTGGAAGATATTGCCGTGATTAACAGCATCAGCCTCGGTCTTTCGTATTTCAACAACGGGGATGAATATCAGTCGCTATGATGGAGGGGTCACGCGAGGTGAAGGTCGGAGAGACTCTGAAACTGCATGGCTGATTGGTGGTGATCGACAACACTGCCGGTCCGGACAATGCGACCCGATGTTTTGCAAATTCACCATCACCCTCCAAAGCCTCGCCATCTTGTGGCGAGTCACTCCGTATTCTTTGACTGGAAGCTGATTTCTCATCAATTCTTCATGCTATGTAGTCGACTTTCTTCGAGTGTCGCATCACTTCTGTCGTCCCTTACGGGCCTGGTTGCCCATGTCTGGCTGACGTCGCTGTCGCAGTCTGGTCAGGCTGATTGATTGTTGCGCTCTTATCTCTGCTCCGTCCTCTCCTGGTTTGCCGTTGTCAGAATCTGACTGTGGCCAAAGATAATGTCATCTTCGGACTCGATCATTTCTTCTAGCAATAGGGGTTCCAATCTTGCCACTGCCACTCTTTCTGACGCTTCCTCGCGCAGCCATGGTATCAACGACAATCCGAGGCCGACATTTCCCAGTGCTTTGGATTCCAGCCCGGTCCCCAATCCGCTCATCCGCTCAGGCTCAGGCCAAAGCAACCAAATGTCGATTGCAGCACTCATAGATCCTCCCCTCCCAGGCCCTACGAATGACCAGATCACTGAAGAGCGCAGGCGCAGCATCATCGCAAGGGACCGTAAGAGAAGACTCACAACGACTGTAGAAGATGGTAGAAGAAGGACAAATAGTGGCAGCTACTATGATCGAAGAACCGCTCATGACGCGTACCGAATGGATGGTCCTTCAACCCAAATGCGGAATCACACTGTTGCCGCGAACCCTGCACCAGAAGTCATCGATTTGACAGAAACTACTCCCTCACCATCACAAGCATCAGCACTCTACCGGCACGGCGAGACGAGGATGAATCCGACTTCCTCGGCGTCGTCGGGGAGGTACGTTGTGCCTCGCTGGCAACCAGACTCTGAAGTCAACGAATGTCCTATCTGCAAGCGACCCTTCAGCTGGATGTTTCGCCGACATCACTGTAGAAAGTGTGGGAGAGTGGTATGCAACGACTGCTCCCCTCATCGCATAACCATTCCCCGACAGTTTATTGTTCATCCACCGGGGCCAGATACTGTTCCGCCTCTGGGGCAAGGGGCTAGAAGCCGACATGACCCTATAGACTTGACAGCGGACGGCAACGATGACGACCCCTTTGATAATCCAGCCTCGCCTAACCCGTATCTTGCACTGGATGGAGGCGAGAAAGTTCGACTTTGCAACCCCTGCGTACCAGACCCTCAACCCGACCCCTTCCCACACTACCCCGTTCTTGAGAACGAACCCAGTCGACGCGAATCTCCATGGAGTCACACACTCGGGCACGCAAGAGCCTCTAGCCACCCGCAGGGTCTTGGGAATAGACCACCCATACCGGCAAGAGTCAGTATCTGTGGACAAACGAGTAGAGATATGTGAAACAAGGGCTAACTGTTTCCTGCAGAACGATTCCCTGCGCAATCCCATGAGATATGATGGCTCTGGCCCTCTGCCAAACCGTTCAAGTTGGACCGGTCCTCACCCGTCCCTGACGTCTCCTAGCCAATATAGCCTATCTGCGTTAGTAGGAGAAGCGGCATCCCCAGCGCCGTCAAGAGTAAGTGATACTTCTATTGTCCCGTTGCCTGTTCTGACCTGCCTCTGTAGGATCGGTTTGCTTCCGAACGCCGGCCCAGCTACGGCAATTCACATTCACACTCTCGCCAGCCTCGAGATGAGTGGGTGGGTGGTCTCAGTCGCAGCACCTATGTTCCACCACGCGCTCCTTACGAGACTACAGCCACTCGCTTCCCTGTCACCCTGCCGAGCATCGTTGATGGCCCATCACGGCCTCGTCTGGACGAGAGAGATATCTGTCCTATTTGTCAACGTGCACTTCCCCCGAAAGAGCCTGACGGAACCGAGACTGCGCGAGAGGAGCACATCATGTCTTGCATCGTTGCAAGAGACCCCTCGGCCCGATACGAAGGGGCCGGCGGGCCCTCGCAGGCTCGAATTTACGTGCTCCCGTTCACCGCGACTGAAAAGGACTGCGTCGGCGAGGACGGGGGTCCGCAAGAGTGCTCGATATGTATGATTGAATACGATGTCGGAGACGAATTGGCACGGCTGGAGTGCTTGTGCAAGTTTCACAAGAGCTGCATCATAGAATGGTTGGGGCGCAAAGCCGAGTGTCCAGTGCACAAACTTATAGCATGATTCACGACATTAACGACTTGAAGATTTTTCTTTTTTTTTGATGGACTTCTTCGAGAAATGGAATCCCATCTGATGGGCAAATTTGGAGTTTGTCAAGACCGTAACTAAGTGCTTTCGAGGACACTTCATCAAAGATTCCCCCTGTGTTGAGTTTATGGCATAACTTCTTTCTCTATGATAGATAGATCAATGTTGAACCCCTATTCCTATTCCAATTCCATCAACAAAACCCTCATTGCTCCCTGCCCCGTACTTCGCCACATTTTGAATGGTAATGGAAGAATCATGGAAGAATTCACTGATCCGAGTGACCGGGACACCCAGGAGGAGTGTTTGAGCCCGGCGCCCGCCATCAAGCCCCCTTGAGCAGGCCACGGCCAGGGGCCTTGACATACTAAAAATAACCCCCCGGAGGTACATATGCCGCCATGTTACCATCTGAGAACGAGTTAGCTGGGGGTCAAACCGAAGGGATTGCAACCTCTGGACGGAGCCGATCAATTTTCTGTACGTACCCGAACTTCTCCTCGAAGTACTCGACTCTATCGTTGCCTTCTTTCAGTACCTTGTGAACAGCGGCTCTGGTTTCGTCTGCGATGCCAGCCGGCCCACAGGCCACGATGGCCGTCCTTGCATCCTGTGGCAAGCTCGCGGCGCCGTTGATCGCGCTGAAGACCTCGTCCGTGATACTCGGCCGTCCGTGTAAAATGTGCAGCTGGGGTTGTCGCCGTTGTCGTCCCTGATCATCGGCCTTCTCGTGGCCGGCGGACCCTTTGTCTAGTGTATGTGGCTCTGCTTCTGCTTCCACTTCTGCTTCATCTTGTTCTTCCACCCTGGGAGAAGTGGCAAAGAGACGCATGCGCACGTCTCCCCGATGACAAACGCGCCGCAGCTGACCACCGCCTGACGTGATCTCTCGTATCATGGAGGTCTTCCTGGTCACCCAGACCAGGGTGATCTGCCGCGTTCTGGTGCGCATTGTTCGTCCTCGTCGTGGTGGCCTTGTGGTCCTCTCCACGTGGTCCTGAAGATATGACATTGCAACCGTGATGCCGCTGCCCCCGACGACGAATACCACGTTTTCAAACGTGTGAATCGGACTCCTGACTTGCCCATAGGGTCCTTCGAGCAGCGTGAGGCCCCTAACGGACCTCGAGGGCTCCTTCAAACATTCATCGCGGAGCCGCATCGTCCAGCCGCCACGCGGACGGATGTAGAATGTAACCTTACGTCCAGAGACTTGCTCCATCTCCGTCGTCAAAATGGTACTCTTACTACCCTCGTCGTGTTTGGGAGTATTGGCTGGTATGGGTAGCGAAATGCCGGCATCGGCTGATGGCGGTAATGTTGCAATGGTGTCTGTCCGCGCTGCCTTCTTCTCGGGCAAGTCCCTCAGACTCTCAGACTGTTCAACTTCATTAGCAGAAGTTTCGGTATGTGTCCATGTCCAGCCTGCCAGCGTGAAGGGGTGGCTTTCCCAGCCCCTCCACTTCAGCGGCCGGTAGAGGTAAAAGTGTTGACCTGCGCCGAGCGTCGGGAATTGCGACGAGATTGTCACCTCGAGTTTGATCAGACCGGTTTCTCCAAGGAGGGACGCGACAGAGTTATATCCAACCACCGTGCCACTGGAAAAGAGAGCGATATTGCAATACGCCAACCGGGCAATCCGGACCGCACGATCAAAGGCCCAGACCCCAACCAGAGGCCAGATGTAAGCATCGTATCTCCCGACAAAGTGGTCGATATGACTAGAGTCGATCGTCAGCCCTCTCCGCCGTATAATGGGAGGACGGAGTAAAGGGGTAAAGGGAGAATCACTAGAACAATCCGGCGAGGAAAACAACAGAGAGCGCTATATGCGCGACCAGGAAAAGCTCGTAGCACTTGATCCGGAAGTAGATGGATGAGGCCAGATGAATGAAACCCATCGCAATGATGGCCTGCACGGTTGGTTATTCTCATCCCCTGCCGACCTTTAACGAGGTACGTTCATGAGCTGCACCTACCATGGCGCCCATCTGCCAGTAGTGTTCGTTCCAGGATGCCGCCAAGTAGTCAACTGGTAGAATAGCTTTAGCATTGTGACGGCTTGGTGTGCAGAGCAAAGCATCAACCTACAGGCAGCTTGATAGGCAGAATATGTGGAAGCATGTACGATCGCTTGGATCAAGACGATACGTGATATGTGGCGATGAAATGTCATGAAGGTTGCAAAACTCCAGCCGGTAAGCCACATGAGGCAGTTGTTTCTCAAGGAGAACACCCATAGCATCGGTAGATTGTTGAACGCCATGATCCCGGTGCGATCCGCGATGAAACGATGTAGTTGAGTGGGCGACGTGTAACTGTAGACTAAGTCAGAACCATGGTCAGACCAAGTCGGTGATTTCAGGGACGGCACCTGGCAGCAAAGAGCGAATTCTGTACGCTGGGATCCCTGGTCTCAAAGGATACACAACAGAGAATCAGATTGAGGATCCAGTAGGCAAAGACCACTATAGTCTCCAGACGTGTGGGAATATAACACCACCAAAGGAGTCGCTGATGGTGGGATCCGAAAGCTGGCGGTATGACCAGATTCGTCGTGACTGCATGGGATATCGTCTGGAGATAAGTGAAAGGTCGCCCTCGGCGACGCTTGTGTCCCCATGAGGAGGCCTCAACTTCGGTTTCTCCGTCATGAGACGTCTGACGGTCGACAGAGACAAGCTTCACAAGGCGGGTTACGGTCCCAATCAAAAGGACACCGCCCCAGAAGGAATACAGGCCCCAGCTTCAGATTTGTCAGGAGTGTCACTAAAAAGGCCTAGGAAGGAGACTGGTCCTACCGATATTTCACATGGAGGTCGAATTGCGACTCCACGAGACTCTAGAAGCGCCAGGTCAGTTTGAAGGTAGCCAGCAATCAAGCCAGGTTCCCCTTACCATGGCTCGACGCTCGTGCCCCGAGATCAGCGCGTAACACTGGGACTGTTGCTAGGACTCAACACTTTGATCAAATCTTCAGATTCTCAGAGTGTGCCTCCACAGACTCACTCCCACGCAAAGCAAGGATAGAGCGAGTCCTGATATGAAGTCTCAACCGGCAGAAGTGAGGATGTCAGCTATTTGGCCTAAAGCTCTGCATCTTGCGGTTTTCCCGGGCCGAATAAAAGCGACAACGATGGGCATGAAGCTTTATCACAACCAACAGTAATGCAGAGATATGCACATGCGAGCGGGGTGCCCCGAGAAGAGAACAGGCTCATTCTCAATGCGTCCCAAGGGTGGAACAGAAGAATCGATCTAAAGTCTTGACTTTAAAGGAATCCGTGGTGACCATAAGGAAGGGAGCCAACGAATCCGGTATCGGCAAAAACATCGTCGGGGGTTCCATTTTGGTATGATTTGAGTCGGCAGACTTGTGTTGAGGATGTTGACATGATCAACGACCTGTCGTTCGGCATACCAATTGCACATCCCAACTCACGAGAGGCGTGAGCTCCATCACTGAGAATCTGATAGAGAAGTTCCCTGGCTAGTGATAGGGGGTTGAACTGTCACCATAACGGCCACGCCAGATGGGAGCCTGGGTTTGGGAGATGACGGGAGCTGTCGAGGATGTTTGGCTGGCACCAAAGTCAACTTGATGCCGAGGATGCCAAGGACTCCGCCGAGCAGTTACGACGCCCGGAGCGGATCAGATAAGATAAAAATCTGTGCTTTAGCTTCGGTACATAGTCCTGGCATTCCCACTTGTGATGGCCTGACGGTACCGTAGGGCAACAGAGGACCCGATTTCGGAGTGCGTGATGCAGACCACTTTGGTCAGGGATTCATTTCGAAGGCCTTCTATTGCTCGTGGGGATTCTTTCCGGGCAGCCCGAGGGACATGGCTGTGCCTTGGAAAATTGTTGTACTTTCGGGTCATTATGTTACCATGAGAAGTGATGGCCTTGCACTTTGCAGCTGCTTTGAATTTTGTTTCTTCACTACGCTCATGGAAGTAGGAACCTGCCTCTCCCTCATTGTGCCGTACCAGATCAAGTAGCGTTCCAAAAACTGCAGTGGCCCTGACCTTCAACGATGGGAAGTCAAATATGTCTCGTTCACCACAGAAGCTGACCATTTTAAGAACATCTAGGCCATATACGGCATCTTCACCGGCGGTATCCGAATCTTTAGTAACGAATTATTTGTTGACGAGTTGATGGAATAGATCTCACTGATTTTGCCGTAGAGGGTGTCGCCGGTTAGTCTTACCTAATGATTGCAACGAGAAAGCCTAGTTATTGATAGTCGTCTTCAATACTTACATGCTAGAATGATGATGACACCTGAAATGCCTCTGGGCCATTCATTGCCATGGTCTGGTAAACGATGCCGTCGTCAAGTTCCTGCAGGTAGGTCTCGCTACCCAACCACAATAGCGGGCATTTTGGTTCGCGTTTGACATTGGCGATCTATCTCCAAGTCACGGACAACATCGCTGCAGCGATTTTGGCCCCTGCCTTGGCCGCGTCGACAAACATTTCGAAGGGTGTGGGAGGGGGTCCTCTTTCCGTTTCGAGTAATGTAGATGGGAGTGTTATAGAGCCATCGCGAGCCCAATCTTGATGATGCCGGCCTTAGCGAAGGACAGAGACTCAAAGAAGCGCAGTGAACCCAAATGCAACAGAGGAGAGTTCAGTCCGTAGTCTCAGAGACAGACGGGACACCGTTTTGTACTTGAAGTCGGTAGCCCCGGCATATGAGAAGGTAGGGAGATAAAGGAGAGATCCTAAAATAGGGATCCTGCCTATCACGGTGCCTGTAAACTGGAGTCCACCATGCGTAGGCGTATCGCCAATTATAGCGACTCGAAGAGTGAGAGAAAGGGGAGCAGAGGCCGAGGTTGCTAGCACGAGGCTGTAAAAGCGGCATTGTAGGGATGGCTGCGCCTTGAGGCTAATAAGGCCTCACCATAACTAGCCCGAACAGTACAACCCGCCAAGAGCCCATCATCCGTCATCCCAGGTTGACAGTGAATTGAAGAGACTGGCCCGGTCGCCGAGTTGTGTAGAGTGAAGCCTCCCTGAACGTGGTGAACTCTCGAAGCATGCTGTTCGGACTGTGAACATGCAAAGAATAACTTCCTAGACGCGACAAGGCTGTCTGCAACAGCAGAGCAGAAGTCGGCGCACCGGCCACACCAACGGCGTCACAACCACCGCCCTCCCGATCACCAACGTCGGCCATCCCACCGCGTCGCAGCCTCTATAGCCATGGCGAATATCGAGCCATACCCTCATATCGATCCTCAACTGCGAGCCTCTTCATTGAGTAGTCCTCCAAAGGCCCGGGATTCCCAGCATTTCCCAAACGGCGCCACTGCTGCCTATTCCCCTTTACAACCGTCGCCGAATCCGTCCTACCAGAGCATCCAAACACCAAACTACTACCCTCCCAATCCCCATGCACAGGAGAGTCCTGAGGACGGCAGCCCTTCTGGCAACCCCAACGATCCAAATGATCTCAAGAGACCACGGGCCTGCGAGGCTTGCAGACAGCTAAAAGTGAAATGCGAGCCGGACGACAATCACCCGACAGGTTCATGCAAAAGATGCGCCAAGGCGAACCGACAATGCATTGTTACTGCCCCAAGTAGGAAGAGACAGAAAAAAACAGATAGTCGTGTCGCGGAACTGGAAAGGAAAATCGATGCCCTTACTGCCACGCTAGCTGCCAGAGGTGGAAGCGAAGGAGAAGTCGCGGTAGACCCGAGTCAGACTCAGCCAGCAAGACCTCCCGCATACGGAGAACAATGGCATGGTCCTCCTCCACCGGTCACAAGTTTGTCACCACAGCAGAGTCAACAAGGCGTAAAACGAAAGGTCGCCGACTATGACTACTTTGGAAGTGAACTGCATAAGTCAGTCTCGCCCTCCTTCAAGTCAAACGGCCCAGGCTCTCATTATCACCCCATCATGCCCGAACATATCAGGCCCAGAGTCGACCCCGATGAATTGGCCCCAGTCGACCCGGTCGAGCGGGGAATCCTCGATGGGAGTACAGCCAGGAAGTGCTTTGATAGATATATGGCAGAGATGTGCGAGCATCTCCCGCTGGTGGTATTTCCTCCTGGCACTAATGCCGACGACGTACGCAAGAACAAGCCCGTTCTCTTCTTAGCGGTGCTTGCGGTGGCTTCCAGCACCATTCGACCAGATGTACAACAGAAGCTGATCATCGAACTAAGCAGAACTCTTGCAGACCGAGTCATTTTTCGAGGGGAGAAATCTCTCGAACTGGTGCAGGCTGTTCAAGTGACAACATGCTTCTATCAGCCGCCGGAAAAGTACGAAGAGTTGAATTTCAATCAACTCATCCATATTGCTGCCGTGATGGCCATGGACCTTGGCATGGGCAAACGCGCGAAACGCGGTGGCCCAAATATGTGGCGGCCTTATAACGAAAACAAGCGCCCGCTGGCCGATCCGAACAGTGCTGAAACCCGACGGTGCTGGTTGGGCTGCTATTACATGTGTTCCAAGTGAGTGTTCTGTTGCTGATCTCAGTCCTCGACTAATACGTTTAGTTCTTCCATGTCGCTGCGACGACCATTGCTGGTGCGGTGGAGTGCCTATCTTGACGAATGTATTGAAATTCTCAATACGGCGTCTGACGCTCTACCGTCTGACAAGGCACTATGCCATCTAGTTCACGCACAGCACCTGGCTGAGGACATTGGGAGGGAGTTTTCTATGGACGACCCACTATCCCAGTTGACCTTGACTGATCAAAAAACTCAGTACCACCTCAAAAACTTCGAGCGGCGGCTGCAAGAGTGGCATGCTGCTGCTAACCCTGAAATGTTGAAGAAGCCAGTCATACAGCACAGCGAGGGAATCATCAACCTCTACATGCATGAAATTGCCATGCATCACAACCATAACATCGATGACTTCAGGCCGCCTTTCAACGCTACTCCAATTGAAGGACCTCCTGACCCTGATAACGTTACACCGGCCCATATCGAGGCTCTGACAACATGCATCCATTCTGCGCACGCTGCCTTTGAAGCCTTTTTGAGCATGGACGTCAAGATGCTTCGAGCACTTCCCACTCTATTTTTCGTTCGATCATCCTATGCGGCAGTCGCCCTGATCAAACTATACTCGGCCGTTTCAGCCAAAGGCTCCAAATTTGCGCTCATCTTCAAGACCAAGGATTTGAACGTCGAATACTATCTTGATCGAATGATTGACACGCTTACCAAGACGTCCGAGGGCGGGATGAGCAGAGTAGCCCATAAGTTCAGCCTCATCTTCAATATGCTCAAGAGCTGGCATATGAAGCGTATGGAGCCGACCAACAACGGGAGCAACCGCGTATCACGGCAGCACACTCCTGCAGGCAGATCCAACAGCCAGTCCCTGTACAAAGCCGTGCCACAGCAGCAAGACCCGGCGACTCTTGGCTGGAATTCTCAGAATCGGGCATCAATCGATCAGAATGCACAGGCTCATCAACAACCACGAAACGGCCTTCAGATGCTCTCGGAGGCAGCAATGGCGCCAGGACCTGCCCCTCCTCCAGTCATTGCGCCGCCACAGCCATGGATACCGCCGATGAATCAGCCACAAATGCTGCCCGGTGTGACTGAGATGGGCATGCACAACCAGGGCATGATGCCGTATGGCATCCCTCAAGAGCTGGGGCCCATGGATTTCACCAACGATGAACTCATGGCGTTTGGGTTTGGGGATGAGTTTCTTGCCATGAACTTTGGGTTTGAGCAGGGAAATTGGATATGAATGACTGGAAGGCCGCATATTGTACGAGATGAATTTCCTTATGTTGCATCTTGATTCTGTATAAATCATACTTTACGCGCTGATGAGGTTCACGGGGTTGACGGCCACCCAAGACTACTGCCAGACGAGTTTGATCGATGAGTTTCCTTCTGAATGGTGGGCTAATAGTGTGTTGATTGTTACTCTACGACAGATTTTGCTGATGAGATGAATACTGAATGTGATGTACAAGACCAAAGCCTATCTTTCCTTTCTTGTTGTCGTGTCGTGTCCCTTTCTTTCCTTTCTTCTTTCTATGTCTGATGCTGTTCTTGGGGGCCCGAGGTTACTGACTCATCTTTGTCACACGATATTCCCTCGGTTGTGCGAATGTGTCTCAGCCATCGGATAAGAGACAGACATGACCATGATGGATTTGCCGAACCGGTGCGGAAGAGTCTTCAAGTGGTAAATCTCCAAGACATCGTCCACGGTGTTTTCTAACGGTGGCAATCAGGATGGGCAGGTAATGTGGCGGGATTTGTTCGTGAAGTGGTTTCTGGCTGGCTGGTGCAGCCTCACTAGCCTGACGGACTAGGAGTTGGCAGTTCGTAGGTAGTTAGTGAGCCTGCCACACGGTTCGGCAGTTGTACAAAGTACAGAGGAATCGGTAGACGGTGATCCAAGATCTTGTGTGCCTCCGGTAGAACTTTGCGGAGTTGCTTTGGATCAAGGTATGGATTGGTGTACCAAGGAGCTAAGCCGGCCATTTACCGATGACAGCCGTGCATATCACCTTAGACTCCGCATTCACCTAGCTTTTATCACCCCGTATGGAGGAGTATGGAGCACTAAGTGACTACCGTGTGGCCACTGGTGAATATCCATCCCATGGAGGGTGCCACTTGTCTTTACTCCAACGTTCGGTCACTTGAAAGCCTCACTGGCCCCAGTCGCAGTGCCTCTGGAATCTGGAGTCTGCGCCTGGACCAGTGGTGGGTTCAACTTCACTAACCTAGTTCACTGCTGGTGGTGATGATGCTCAGAGCAATGATTCCATGGGTTCTCCGGTAGGCAGTGGATAACTGATATGCATAAGACTCTGTATTTATCCCTTCTTCGGCCCCGTGCCTACCTGACCTGACCTGACCTGACCTGACCTGACCTGACCGATGGTCCTCATCCTGTTGCTACTTTGAGAAGATCAAACCAAAGACACGCTACACACAGTCAAGTTCCATCACAGCACAGCGCAGCGCAGGCAAACATGGTCGCCGCCACCGTTTCTGCCAATCCACTCAAACTCGACGTGCGAAGTCACTGGAAGTGTATTGCTATATGTTTTGTCGCAACGCTGTCGACGTTTCAGTATGGTATGTCTGTTGTTTTGTTGAAATTGTACACCTACATCCAAGTATACTACCTTTGATGACATTGCCACGAGACGATAATTGCTGACGGAATGTTCGTTTCACGCAGGCCTCGATTACGCTCTTGTGGGAGGGTTTCTCTCGTACGTTGGTTGCCTGGCGCATATTTCCATCATCATGAGACCAATTGGCTAATCCCGGCGGGCAAACAGAATGCCTGGGTTCCTTGAAGTGTTTGGATACTACGATGAAGAACTGAAAAAGTGGAATATCGATGTACGTTCTTCGTCTCCCGTCACATCACATACTGACCTTGCAGTACACGGTCCAACAACTCATCTCGTCACTCATGACCGTCGGTACATTCCTCTCTTCGCTGCTCGTGGGACCTTTCAGTGCCAAATTTGGTCGACGGCACGGCCTCTGGGCCGCCGCAGTCTTGAACTACATTGCGACCGCGATACAACTGGGGACCACGAGCAAGGCCGCACTCTACGTGTCCAGATTGATCCTCGGTGTCTCTGTCGGTTGGTTTCTGACCTTTGCGCAACTCTACGTCCACGAAGCGGCACCTGCCCATCTTCGAGGCATTACTTTCGCCGTGTACCAAGTCATGCTGTCGATCGGATCCATTGTCGGTGCCTGTGTCGATTACGGCACACATACAAAGCTGAACAGACACGCATACCAGATCCCACTGGCCATGTTCTTCATTGCGCCGACATTGCAGAGTGTGCTCTTGTTCTTCTTCGCTCCCGAAAGCCCTCGATGGCTCTTCACTCAGCGCAAGGAGGAAGAGGCTGAAAGGTCGCTCCGACGCCTGCGCAATTCCCACATCGACGAGCTGGAGTTCAAGGCCGAGTTGAATGAGATCCGGCAATCGACCAGGGCACAGTTGGAACAGAACAAGAAAGGTGCTTTCTTGGAGATGTGGCGTGGGACAAACCTTCGTAGGACGTTGTTGAGTATTGCCGTCGTATGCTTCCATTCGGCTAATGGGTGAGTCTCTGATCTTTTCTCTCTTCTACTCGACCACTTCTTTTGTCTTCTCTTCCTCCCCTTCCTCCCCTTCCTCCCCTTCCTCCCCCACCACGTTTCTGCCATTCTAACCTATCAATCAGCTCTTCTTGGGTGAATATCTATACGACGTACTTCCTTCAAATTGCCGGTGTTGAGAAGCCTTTCTCTTATTCCGTCCTCGTAACGTGTACGGGACTGATCGGAGTGTTGGTGAGCTTCTTCTTCGTGAGACTGATCGACCGGAGAACGGTGATGCTTGTCGGCATTACTGCATGCGCTATCTGTCAGCTTGTGCCAGCCATCGTGTGGACAAAGAGTCCAGGCACTGAGGCGACCGGACGTGTTGTCGTGGCATTTATTGCGCTATTTACCTTTTTCTACGTCGCTTACGGTGAGTTTGTTAAGTTATTTGATCTTCGATTCGCGAAAGTTTGATGACTGAACCAGTGCTGACGATGTTCTTATGAATGTTCTAGCTCCATATGCATGGCTCCTCGGTGGAGAATATGTGAATAATCAGCTTCGCGCTTTTACTTTTGGTCTGGCAACGGCCTTGAATTTCCTGGGTAACTGGGCCGGAACATTCAGCGCTCCTTATTTTATCAACCCTGCCAAATTCGGCTGGGGCCCCAAGTATGGGTATATCTGGTTTGCATCGAACATTGTCTGTGTTATTTTTACGTGGTTCTTCTTACCAGAGACCAAGGATCGGACGCTCGAAGAGATTCACGAAATGTTTGAAGCCAGACTACCCGCCAGGAAATTCAAGGGCTACGTGTGTACGGGTGTCGAGAGCTACGCTGCCGAAGCCATGGGCGATGATCTGGCGGAAAGAAAGGGGATTCACGTTCACTCGACGCACGTGGAGATGAGTGATACTACGCCTGATAAGAGGGTATGATGGAGTCAGAAGCGAGAGGCCAGTTGGAGTGTCAAGGAAGCTAGCTGTATTCGCGGCATATGTGGTACACCATACTGTACACGACCAGATTGATGTTGTAGGGGAAGTCTGAGATATTTGTTCTATGGACGAACGCACGAGCACCACAGGCTTGATGAAGAATGAGAACCCATATTGCGATCCATGTCAGAATTCCACGCTTGATCAATACCGTTGTTCTGGTCCATGAGCCCTACTTAGTAGGCGATACCCGATCAAAAGCCAGTTCAAGCCCAGATCTGGGGGTCCTCAGCCTTGCAGCCCTTGCGTTGCCTAGACTAAAGTTAACTTACAAGGAGCCATGAGCACACATCACACTCGTCCCATTTGGATCTGTTGTGGACAAGGGCAATTCCGTGGAACTTCGCTCTGCTCAAATCTGGTCTGTAGGGAGTATACCAACTGCCGATACTTTCGCCTAATGTGCTAGTTACTCCCATCCAGATTATCATGATCTCCAATCTTTGCCAAGGTGACGATGGCCCATGAGCCCTAATGGTGTCTATATGTATTGCCCTAAGACGCGTATAGCATGTCGTACAGTTCGGCAGTTGTGAGGTCTTTGTTGATTCGCTGTTCAGCCTGTCTCTCTGTCTCTGACATTCCCTGGACGAGCACTTTGGTAATTACTTGTGCCCGTACTCGTTCATCTCTGTGCTTTTTCCCCGCGGAAGACCGGCACCAATATGCTTTTCCTGTCACGTCCGTCTCCAAACGACACTCTGACGGTCATACTTGGCTTTCCGTGCCTCGTTCGATTGATCTGCCGAGGTGGAAGCCAATAACCGGAATACGAGCTGTATCCTGATGCTTACCTGGGGACCTACTGCGCCCACTGTACCTACGGTAGGTAAATGTCTCTCAGAATCTCTGTACTCGGGAGATGCGCCGCCAAGGTAGAAAGATGTCGGTAGCTCCGGACAATACCCATTTCCATTTTCATTTCCTTTTCAGAGATTCATCAACTGGATAGCAAAATTGTGACTTGTAAGTTGTACTGTACAAGCGAGGCCCACCGAACCCCCTGTTCTTCGTCTCCTCAGCTTGGAGACCTTCATGGGCCCCATGGGGATGGATCAACACCATCACCACCACCACCCTCCTTGTAGAGGCCCCACGAAATTTTCAAAGCGCTCATCGGCTTCTTCGCGGCCCTAACGCTAGTTCAGTATGTCAGTGGCACATGCAGTATCTTGCGATTCCGATTACCGTGTCTCAAACACGAGTGCCGAAGGTAGGATACTGATACTGTTTACCGAACCAAACCGAAACCACAAAGTTGTTTGAATGGTTTGAAAACCCTGAATACAGTCCTATTATACTTCATATTCATATTCGTATTTACATCTCACATTCATCAAGATCCAGGTTCAACCCGTTGATTCATTTTCCTTCTCTCCCGCCGTGTGTTTGTGTCTAACACCCCTCGATATACCACACCAACCAACAGACGTACAGACGAACAGGCACACCTTTCAACTGCTGCACAAGATGGGCTCTATATCCCCCCTGAGATTGAAACGCACCCCTCTCAAAAACTCCGGGGCAATCGACCACCTCGAATACGTCGATGTCACTCCCATCATCGGCCGCGAATACCCAACGGCCAAACTGAAGGAGATTCTTCACGCGCCCAACGCCGAAGACCAGATTCGCGACCTGGCCATCACCATCTGCGAGCGCGGTGTCGTCTTCTTCCGCGCTCCCCAAGACGACTTGACCGTCGCCGAGCAAAAGCAGATCACCGACCTGTTAGGCAAGTTTACTGGTCGTCCCGAGGATCATGGCCTGCACGTCCATCCGTTGTACAACGATCCCAACAATATTCCCATGGCCGACGGAACAACCGATGAGAATATGTGAGTTACTTACCATTACAAGCCCCGAGGCAAACATTCATACCTCGTGCCGACACCCGGAATGCCATTTTTGAATATTTCGAATTCCAAAGTATCGGTTGTGTTGTTCTTTTGCTGACACAACCCATCAGATACGTGATCAATTCTGAAGCGATGAAAAAGATATATGCAACCATGAAGAACCGACCAAACAGTCAATCAGAACCCAGGGATCTCGGTCGAGAATGGCATAGTGATTGTACGTTCCCCATTGTCTCTCTCGTCTCTCCCACATTTCTGTTTTCCCTCACAGCTTCTCCTGTCCTTCCTTCCTTTCCGACCTCCTTTATTTACATCCCTTTCCATCCATGTCTTCCAACGGTCCCCCTGATCGTGGGTGACGGGTCTAACTGTTGTTTCTCAGGCCTTTTTGAAGAATGTCCCGCCGACTTCAGCTTCCTCCGTATGCAAGACACACCACCTTCGGGGGGGGACACACTCTGGGTGTCCGGTTATGAACTGTACGTACTACCTACCTACCTACCTGGTACTCTGTGTTGTGTTACCTGGACATACCGCCCTATCTCTCCCTTCCGTCAAGTATTTTTACACGTCCGCGTCCTTTCCACCCCAACCCCCACCCTCCGGATACCCGTTTTTCCCCCCTCAGCAAGTGTGCAATATATACCCACTAGGACCTTACTTACTTTGTGTGTGTTCATCAAGGTACGACCGCCTCTCCCCTCCAATGCAAGCCTTCTTCGAATCCCTCACGGCCACGTGCGCCCAACCCGTGTTCGAGTCCGCGACGAAAGCAGGCGGCTACGAGGTCATGTCGCCGCGCGGGTCGCCGCTCAACACCGACCTGAACTTCAGCCCCGTGCACCCGGTCATCCGCACCCACCCGGTCACGGGGTGGAAGTCGCTGTTCGCCGGCGTGGGCCTGCACGTGTCGCGCATCAACGACGTCTACAACTACGAGGACCAGATGATCCGAGACTACGTCCTGCGCCTGATCACCCGGAACCACGACTGCGTCGCCCGCATGCACTGGACCAAACAGGCCTGTGCCATCTGGAGTAACGCGTGTACCTTGCATGCCGCAACTGTATGTATTTTCTTCTTGGTCTTGTTTCCCTCGATATTCCCCATTGTCTTTCTTCCATGATCTCTATCTCTCTCCCTCTCTCCTTCTTGAACTCGACCCAAAACCCCCCTCATTCCCTCGCTCATCACCGTGACACACAAAGCTTGATACTAAACATTACCTCCACTTCCTCTTCTTTCTTCTTTTCTAATTCTGATTCATTATAGCCCGATACTCATCTCGTCGACGGAATCCGGACCGGCGTCCGCGCTTCAGGAGTCGGCGAGAAACCGTACCTTGACCCCGCGTCAACTGGAAGACGAGAAGCCTTGGGATTGCCCAGAAATTAAAACCTGATATATGCCGCATTCATTCATATGCCACACCAGTGAAGGAGGCACAATTGTGCACTGCAGATTAAGGGTTATTTGATAATATTTTTTCGTTTGGCTTTGATCCGAGGAGTCAGTTCAATTCGATGATCACGATTCACGATCATCCGATCCTTGTTATCTGTATACACGGCAATGTCATGAACATGTTGCAGTTACGCATGGCTACTTATATCGTCTAACGGCGTCCGACTGCGGCCTAACTCGTAAACGAAACGGCGGCGGAATCATCAACGTCTACACGGTGCCTATGCCCGGCTATCAAACTTAAAAGGCCCATGTCATGCTCATCTGTCGATTGTCATTTGCAATCTCTCTCTACTCCCCATGTACTCACACAATCAACGCCCGTAGGCAAGCAAATCCCTTCTGATCACTCTTGCCACGTAGGCCACCCTAATCAATCTCCATGCTGTCGTCGTCCTTCGGACGCAGCGCCAAAGGCTGACTGAAATCTGGCCCGCCGGCCTCCTCCTCTTCTTCCTCGTCCTCCGCACCATCCTCGCCCTCCATCTCCTCGACGATGTCCATCATGGCATCTTCGTCAATCTCCTCTCCTTCTCCTGCAACACCCGCCTCTTCCGCCGCCGCCGCCGCCGCCGCCGCAGCAGCCTCGGCCGCATCGCGCTTGGCCTTGGCCTTGGCCTTTTTGATGGCCTTCTTACCCATTTTAGGGATTTCGAGCTCCTTGGCGACCTTCAAGCACGCCTTGCATGTTCCATTGGTAACCAATGGAGAAACAGGGTCCCTCATGGGAAACCAGTCGTCTGTCGCTGGCACCGCGTCGATACTGACATAATTGATGGTACCCTCCTGTGCATGGGCGGGGTGCCATTCCCAGACCTTTCTGTTGTTGACATCGTCCAGCTTCAACATGCTGGGAGGTGCTTGCCATTCCAAGTCATCCTCGCCCATTCCAGCGTCGGTGATCTTCTGCGTCAGCGCCACGTAGGCATCCTCCTGTTCACGCGTGAACGCTTTGTCTCTCGTCATGTTCAATTTCATTTCGACCTTCAAGTTGTCTCCTGGGTTTGACCCCTGAACATTGCGCTCGTACCATCGTCGATACTCCATCCAGTGGCCCCATGTAAGAGTCGTCCAGCGCCAATGTTTCACGGCGTGTTTGTTCGTGGAGTTTTCCTGGACTAGAAACAACGCCGGGTACAGACTGCCAACATAAAGCCCAGGGCGGTCCAACTCGAAGAAGTTGAATAGTCCATGCACCTTGGGAATAAGTCAGCGTCATGTGTTTGATAGAGTATCAAGGCCCACTTACACCAACGTCGACTCGCTTATGGATTGCCGCATAGAGGTCGTTGAGTGTGGGAGCCTCCGAAGCTGGAATCAAGAATGATTCGGTCGTAACGGTGTCGTTGAACAGGAGTCGGACTTCGAGTTTCTTTGTGACTTCCTCAGTCATGGTAGCTGCCATCTTCACGACGAGAAAGGGAGGATTTTGACGAGAGAATAGTGGGACGAGAAGACGCAGGAGGATGTTGTGATGTGAGGAAGGGAGGAAGAATTTCAGAAGAATAAGAGAATGTGTTCTGTTCTCTTTAGCACTTCACCTTGGCGATCAATAGAAACTTTGAGGGTGATTCGATCACTGCCAGCGTTATTCACTTGCGCCACACGTCCACGCGATACATTTTCACTGCCCACACGCACTTCCCTGTTTAGCACTTGATATATTGGACATCCCAAATTATTGTTCAAATTCAGAAGCATGAGAGGGTCAGTGGTAGTGCATGTAACCTGATTACTTGTCGATGTAGCCTTGGACCGATGATGGACCACTTTCCGTGCTATGCACAGCATGACCACTCAGGACTTCGCTGCCAGCGGCCCTCTCATGACTCTCCTAATGGCCTGGCCAACCATATAAGGAGGTATCAGCTGGTTCAATCCCAGTTGCAGGTGACGCCTGAACCACCTATCCTTGTGTTTCCGACTTCTCAAATGGATTCTTCCATTTCAGAAGTGGTCGCCGGTTCGAATCCGGCCTTTCTTTTTCTTTTTTTGCAGCTTTTCCGTTGCGGTCCGAGATTCACTTCACTCAAGTGCGCAGGTCGCGATAACTGTATAACAACAACAGGGACGCTCAAGGCAGCTTGGCGGGAAAAGAATAATGCTGGCGAGGCCCTTCCACAAGCCACCAAGTATGGCAGACTAGGCTGATACTGGAACAGTTCAGATACTGCATTCAGGAGGAGAGTCTGCGAGGGGCAGGCTACACAACATCGAGCTCGATCCTGGTCCGTCAAGTCTGGGAGATGGGTGTCTGGCAACGCCTACCGTTGAAACAAAGCTTGCTTCACTGAAGTGTCGGGTCAGTCTAAAGCCTTTGAATGTCTTGACTCACTGGGCTTTGCAGTCATCGATACCACAGACCTGATGAATAGTAGCATTGTTCTTGATGATCACTGAGGGTTGGAAAGTTGTTTTGGACCGACGTCGTTGAGACGTTCTTGCATTAAGGTCTTCGGGTGCTTATGTAAGCCTTGGCGTGGCCCACCATCTTCTACTCGCCTCAGTCATCGTCTCTCCCTGTGCCAGCAGCACAACCATTTAAGCCTTCCCTATCCGACCATCATCTCTCCATCGACGAAAATACTCGTATCTGTAATGTAATCAGATACATGAGGTGGAAGGAACACTGCCGCACCCCGCAAGTCCATCGGCACCGCCACCCTCAGCCGGCGTTCTGTCGACGATACTGCTCCATCTCTGGAAAAGACTTCATCAGAGCTTCTGAGAGTGGCGTCCTGGTGTACCAGGAGATATCCAGTGACCTGACCGCCTGAGTAGCGACTTGTGTGTTGTCATCCTGGATTTATGGCAGGAAGAGGATGCTCCCTGAATGCAATGGACTGCCCATTCATGATTGAAGGCCTTGGTTGGTAGAAGCACGCCTCCTTTGGTCTAAGCATATGCAGACATATTCGTCATTGCCACGAATGGGGTCAAGAAGGCAATATTGATGATCTTGCCAGTCGCCCTAGCTTGATCAATTGCACCTCCAATTCGAAGTGGCCACACAGCCGGTGGTAATAACAGTCTTGCTCTGGGGGGAGAAGACTTACGCAGGAGGAATACGTGGTGGTGCTGAGGAAGCCTTCTGGAGGTCGGCGAAAAGGTAATGTCTGTGTGGTACTGGCCACCAGCCTGCTCCTCGCGAGGCGTCGATTATTTGATGTTGAAACTTTTCTGCGTCCGAGAGCCAAGTGTTTCCCCAGTATTCGTGCGGAAAACTGTCGCGGTTTTATGCCAACATTCTCCCCATATATTTACTTGGTGGATGCCAAACTCGAGCCGCGGAACAAATGCCTTCACTGTTCGTCTCCGCTGCTTCTCAGAAAATGGCCTTACCGAAGATAATCATGTACTCGGAGGACTTCCCTGGTCTCCTTTTGCATTGTCTTTTGAATCGCTATTTTGAGATTCAGGAGAGTTCTTCATCCAACCAGGGTCCGAGTCTCGTGGTGGTTGTCTCAAAGAGAGCGTCGAAAAATCGACGCGATCAGGTCTCGTGCCAGCATTATCTAGCCAGTCGCAGGCTTCATCCCAGAATATCCGACAACCCTCACCCTGAGGACCCAGGAATGGAAGAAAGAACCCTGATATCTGTAATACTTCAGGCCAGTTGCTCTTGGCTGGCGGGATTGCACTCCCTCGCAATTGCTCGGCAAACCACCAAACGAATGGCCGTCCTCTGGCTGTCAGTCCTCCCAGCACCGTAGCCCAAAGCATCACATTAGGACTGGTCTGCCAACAGCCCCGCCGGTCACACTCATCGATGATCAGCATCAATTTCCGGGAGGCGCATTCATGGAAGGGCAGAAGTGCTGGCATGAGGACGACCGATTCGATGAGATAAATAGAAACCGCCAGTCGGCAGAGCATGTACAACGGGTCACTGGTCGTATCCAATGAAAGAGCTTGGTGCTGCAGCACTCGGCGCGCGAGCACAAGATTTCCTAATTCGACATCGCCTCCTGGTCCTTGGAGACAAATAGAATAACTGTAGAGGAGGTCACGGGCGGTTTTGATAAGGCGTAAAATCGACCGACCATTACGTTTTCTGCGCAGGAAAATGAATCCATCTGCGGAGTCGCCACGTGGTTCGTCTACACGGAGATGGCGAAGAATCTGGTCCGGAGGAGGAAAGATAGGAAAGCTAGGTTTTCTCAGCGTTGAGAAGCTCTCAATGAGGTCGGTTCTAGTGTCAGTTGTGTCAACGGATGTCAAGTCCCGCCTTTTGAATTATTGGGCACCAACGTACATGAATATCATGGCCGCTATGGACGGAATGGCAACATTTTGCGGCCCCCCCTTGAGCTTTGTCAGTTCTATCAGCGCACGAAAATGTTCAGGCACCCAGGGTTTGCTAAAATAGAACTCGTTGTCTCGGTAGTGCTCGAGAGTGGTCAATGCCCGCCTGTTGCTGTAGTCGGGTTCTCCGTTGATGGCCAGGATGGCTATGGCGAGTAGCAGCTCGTCCGGTGGTGGCCCTTCCAAAGACTGGATGGATGAGCGCAACAGCGTCAAGGTTTCGTGGTAGGATTCTGTCCGAACCCGGTCTATCATAGAACCGGCGGGACCGAGGAATGACCTGTAACATGACCCAGCGTAGATGATGGCTTGAAGTAGATGTGGTGAGTTGATTGCCATCTTTATAGTGGTCGACTTCCAGTTATCGACGACCACGTTATCGGCTGAGGTCGCATACGCGGGCCATTGATGCGTAAGGGCTGCTCATTGCATCAGTCCGGGTTCCTTTTTATGATCAAAGGAAAAAAAGGATACTATAATATAATGGTCTAACTTCGGGGCGCCAGTTAGGCTAGCCAGCTAAATTGCCAGCTCGCATAGGTAGGTACCTACCGAACTGCAGCATCGACTGTGCAGGGGCGGATATCCCACTGATACAGTAAGCGTTGAAGGGGTCAGGTTTCTCGGCGCTGATGGAAATAGGAAGTGTCGGGTCTTCCCGCTGTAGCTGCTTCTTTTTTTTCTTCTTCTTATCTGAGCTCTTCAACGGCAGCGCATTCTTCGTCCGCAGTGATAATCTCCCTGCACCCTGCAACGCCTTGACTTGTCGAGCAGGTCTCCCGGCTGGCGTTGCAGGTTGAGCCTCCCCGGAAGAGGCGGCATCTCGTTCGTTCTTCCTCTTCTGATGCGTGGCCAAGGCAGTGTGTTGATGCCGGCTGAAGCGCTGTTGGGCCCTTTCTTCTTCCGGCTGGTTACCTGGCGTCCAGGCGAGGAAGGTGACGTTGGGGCCCTTAGTTGTCTTCAGAGGTGCCATTTTTGTTCATGTTTCATTATTTCGATTCAGCCTGCTTGCCAGGATCATTTTTCGAATGTCGGCGAGAGAGAACAAGCCAAACAGAAACGAGGAATTGGAAAACAAAGAACGGAGAATGAAGAGTGAAGAATGAAGAATGAAGTTTGTTGTGGGCCGCGACTGAAAGGTGTGTCAATGTGTCAGTATGTCACCCAGTCTTTGATGGCATGGGGTACAAGGTATCTAGATAACTCTGAGACGGTATGGTGTGCGATATTGTTGTAGTCTGGCAGGCCCTGTCTGCGGGCGCTGTCGTCGTTCGTTCCCTGATCCCTGTCGAAACTTTTGGGTACTGCAGTAGCTTAGCTCCCTGAAACGAATCCGAGTTCTTTGTTAGGATGCCGTCGATTTCTGGCTCGAGGCTTCCTGTTCGGTTCTGATCCTTGCCCTTGCTTTGCTTTTCGGGCGCAGCCTCACCGGTCCTGATACCCTACTACCTACTTGGGACCCGGAGCAAGGATCGAGAGAGGAGTGGGGAGGAAAGGCAAAGAAAGAAAAACAAAAGTGCCGGTGGTGGCTTGCAGGATCCCCTTGTCCCGTATAAGATATGGCCAATTGGATGGCTGGTAGTAAGACAGTGGTGAGATTGATGCTCCTGGAATCCTGGCACTTTTTACATCAATCGGCGGTGCTTTGGCCCCAAAGTGATAACAAGGGATCGTGTCGATATGGAAGTCTCATTATGTTAGGTTGGTAGTTGACGGATTCGTGTTGGCTTTGTAGCCTTGTACTGATAGGGATACTTCGTATGCGACGCGGCTGGCCTTCTTGACGCTTTGCTTCTTGCTAGAGAATCAGCCCGCCCCTTGCTTTTACTCGTGTTCCCCGATGGAGTGATGGATCATGAATTTTCAGATGTCGCGGCCACGGTTTGAGCGAGGGGTCGAAGTTGCGCCCTTGGCAAGGAAATATTGCACTAGATCTGCCCATCTCCACGCGAATGCTTGTTTTCTCTTCTTTTCGTTCTTAGATGCCCTTGGCATGCACTTGCAATGGTGCAACTCAGATGATCCAGGACCATTCAAGCCACTGTATTCGCTGTAGATGTGCAAAGAGGTGTTCCTTCTCTATCTAAGCTTTCTATGCCTCTTGCGTATCCTACTGTGGCCTTGCCGAAGCACCAGGCCCTCACCGGGAAGACACACGATAGGCTCCCCACAACAAACACATTTATGAAGGCCCCATTTGTTTGCCCGGTCGACGTGGCTCAAATACATCCTCAGAATTGGTATGGAAAAGCTGCATGATACGTACCTAAAGGTATGCACGGTGTCCTCTCGGGAGGTAGAAACGATGTATTCTCAGCTAGCAATGAAACTGTCACCACAGGCAAATATTATAACCAAGTACCGCGCCTGATGAATTAATTTGAGCAATGGCGGAAAATTTTCTCGTGAAGGCCCGATCATAGTTACATTTTTAATGTATAATAACTCAGAAAGCGGATGCGTCGTCAGCGAAATCCGAAGCACGCAATTCTCACCACCGTGCGCAGAATCCGCGGTGCTAAATATTTTAAAAGCTAGAGTCACACAAAGAAATCGGCAAGCCGAACTTTTTCAACCACACCTCCCGTCGGACGGTCGACTGTAAAGGGCCGACTCTTTCAACGATCGCCAGTCTCTAGCACATAGGTGGAAGCCATGGTGCTGTCGACGACAACTGGAGCCAAGCATGTCCAGGACACAGCAGAACCCGCTGTGTTCGGCTGCGAAGTAGACGAAGCACAACGACAATCTGTCTCTCGGGTCGTCGACGACGACGGCAGCGACTTTGTGACTGCAAGAGAAGACCGCGATCTTCGCCGAGGCCTACATCAGCGGCATATTGGACTCATTGCCATTGCTGGAGCCATTGTAAGTTATGATATAATGCTGAAGGACCTCTTCTCCTTGCATTGATATCTGCTACTTGTTCCTCCCGCCCTGCCCTTTTCTCATCTACCTTTACCTGCATACCTACGGGGATGTCTGATTCTGGTCACACGCTCACCAACCATGACTTCTACGTTTCTAGGGCACCGGTCTCTTCCTTGGTCTCGGAGGGTCCATTCAGACAGCTGGACCTCTGGGCGCTCTCCTGGGCTATGGCACCGTCGGCCTCGTGGTCTGTGCCGTGCAATTCGCCCTGGGAGAAGTGACGGCCTTGTTCCCCGTCACTGGAAGTTTCGTCCGACATGCCGAAGTCCTAATTGACCCAGCGCTGGGGTTTGCCATTGGGTATGTAACGTCCGTATCGCAGAGAATTCTTCCTGGAAGAAAAAAGAATCCCAGATACCCCGAACATGATGACCGGACATGACCGATCCCTGACATGATACACAACGAGGGTAATAGGTACAACCTTGTCTACGGCAACTGTCTATCCATCCCGACCGAAATCACCGCCATCTGCGTCCTGTTCCAATACTGGACCGACGTCAACTCGTCCGTGTGGATCGTCGTCTTCATCTGCCTCACCGTCATAGTCGGCATGTCCTTCATCGGGATCTACGGCGAAGTGGAATTCTGGTTCGCGCTGCTCAAGATCGTCTTCATCGTCTTTCTCATCCTGCTGGGTCTGATCATCGACCTGGGTGGTGTGTCGGGCATGCCCCGTATAGGGTTCAGGTACTGGAAGGAACCGGGCCCATTCGTGGAGTACATCGGCAGCGGAAGCTGGGGCCGGTTCCTGGCGTACTGGGCCGTCATGAGCAATGCCGTCTTCAGCTTCGCGGGCGTCGAGAGCATCGCCATGGCGGCCGCCGAGACCCGGAACCCGCGCGTCGCCATCCCGAGAGCGTGCAAGAGGGTGTTTATCAGGGTCGCCACGTTCTACATCCTGGCCGTGCTCGTCGTCGGCATGCTCGTGTCCAGCGACGACCCGAGACTCGACGACCAGTCTGGCACGGCCGCGCAGAGTCCGTTCGTCATCGCCGCGAGCGCCGCCGGCCTCAAAGGCGTGCCGTCCGTGGTCAACGCCGTCGTCATCACCTCGGCTTGGTCGTCGTCGAATCAGGCCTTGCTCGCGGGAACGAGGGTTCTGTACGGTCTCGCACTGAAGAAACAGGCGCCGGCCGTCTTTCTCCGGACCACTCCCTGGGGCGTACCGTACGTGTGCGTCCTGTTCTTCTCGGCGTTCATGTTCCTCGCCTTCATGAGCCTGTCGGAGAACGCTTTGACCGTGTTTTGGTGGTTGGTCGACCTGACCGCCTGCGGTGTCCTCGTGTCATGGATCACGGTGCTTGCGAATCATTCGCGCCTCATGCTCGCCATGAGGGCACAGGGCATACCACTCTCTCGACTTCCTTGGCATACCAAGTTCACAGGTTCGTCCACCCGACCCCCTGGTTAGACTTTCACACACAAAAACAGTCTCCGTTGGCTAATTTATTTTGTGGCAGAGTTCTCAACACCAATCGCACTCGTCATGTGCATCGTTATTCTCCTGACTGCTGGATTTCCCGTCTTTACGAAGGGGAACTGGAGTACGAGCAATTTCGTCTCTTCATACCTGTAAGTCCTCCCTCGCGCAACCCTATACGCCACCGCGGCCACGACATTTCTCAAGTTGGGACACTAACCTCTTGACTTTCCTCCAACAGAGACATCCCCCTCGTGATTACAGCCTTCGTGCTATGGAAGCTCGTCAAACGCACCAAGATTGTCAAGCTCTCGGAGGTTCCTCTTACGGAGGCTCTTGAGCTGGCCGCTGGCGATGTCGAGCCTGTGCCAGAGCTTCCATTCTGGCGAAAACTTGTCGGGGCTCTCTGGGACTGAAGCTCCAATGGGTCATCTCACTCTAGGGGGGCCATGCACCGCTCTTCTATCGCACAGGTTCAACTTTATGTTCAATGCCAATGTCAGGTCAACATGGATCAAACTGCCAAGTTCCTTTGACCACTTTCCAATCCACGGGTCCCGGTCCTTGGTTGGAGGAGAACAACGGCGACAACAGTTTATCGGGAGGCAACTCCGGACGGACCCTTCTTCAGATCTCCAGGGCTACTTGTTTCGCTTGCGAAAGGTTCCCTATGCCTTCCTTGCCTTGCGGCCCTCCGAATCCACAGCAACTCGCGGTGCCTGAGATCGAGATTGACAAAGGCCGGCCACAGCGTCTTCGCAGGCCCTACGCCCGCGATCCACGCCAGACTACTGATGTTCTCCATCCATTCCGAGAATTTTCGTCTACGTAACGCTGACAGTCGATGTCGCTATCATCGACCGTGTGAACTTTGTGCTGTTGCTGGGCCGGTGACAAGGTCGGGAAGAGTCAAGATGCGGTAATGATACACGATGGCAATGGGTTCGTCCGCGAGAGGGACCACTATTCGTGACAAAGTATTGCTTGAACCGTGGGGTTCCACCCACAGTGTATGGCCTCCCTCTCCGCCGCTTCAGTGGTGGTTGTTGGGCAGTCGTGATGATCGGAAGCTAGACAGGTGAATTTAGGAAGAGGGATCGCATGAACTTGTCTCCCGGCAATTCAGAGGACGACCAAGCAACAAAATCGACTTTGTCTGGTAGTCAGACGGATGTTGCCCCCGTCGAAAACCAGCTGCTGGGACTGTCGTGCGTACCAATGTCTCGACGTTCCTGCGATCACTTCCACGCCTGTGTTACTAAACACCACCAACGGGTGTCGTAAACAGGTCTGCGGAGAACACAGGGAGTTGTAATATCAAGACATGACTGTCCCAAATTCGGAATCCTTTGGAGAGGCCCCTTGGTATCGATCTTGTTAATGCAATAAACTCCAAAGGCCCCTCCTATGCTGATCGTGTCATATCATGCGCTACTGGCTGTTCCTGTCTATCGCCCATCCCAGTTTACCTTTATCCGGCGTCAAATCCAATCACTGGTCGCATTCGGCGGGAGTTTGTACATTTTTGCGTAGCACAGGCCAAGATTGATATCAAGAGGTCACTCCTCTCAAGCTCAGAAACGGCCTGTTCAAGACTAAGAAAGGCGGTATGCAGTATGATTCAATTGACTCGACCACCCGGTCGAAGAGAGTGATGCGGATATCTACCTTATATCTGCCACTTGCTAAGTTGTGTTGATGTTTAGGATCATCTTGAATCTGCCAGGTGCAACATGCTTCGCCCATTTCCGTTCCCTCGCTGCAATCACTATCTCACACAGGTTGCATATTGTCTCCTTTCTGATACTTGTGATAGCAGATGATGACCATATGCGCCTTTAGGCCTTCGCGAGCAACACCAGCCTCACTTTCAACCTGGATCACAGCTTTAGTCAGTCTTGACGGTTGTTTCCTCACGGCCTTTGCCAGCAGCTGTGTCCTTGGACTCGCCAACGACATGGTCGATGTGTGCCTGGCTTGTGGTAGCGTCCTTGACTTCAGCCTTGCCAGTCTTGGTGCCATTCTCGCGGAGTCCGTCCTTGGTGGCGTTGTGAGAAGCAGCTCTTTTCTTGGCCTCACGTCGAATTTTCCAGTAGTTCTTTTTGGAGGGCCTCGCTGACGCCGCATTGGCATTCGTAGGGGAGGTATTTTCCTTCTCAGAACCCGTGCCATTGCCAACAGACTCTCCATTAGAGCTTGATTGTGAAGGAGAGTCTACTGCCTTAGTGGTGACATTCGGCTTTTGGGGAGTTGCAGAAGCGGTCGATTCATCCTTGCTATTGCCTTGAGCTTTCTTGGTGCCCTCACTGGTAGCACGAGCACGGCTATCCCCATTGGTAACGTTGCGAGGTTGCTGGCCGCTGTGAGTGTTTCGGCGCTCCGCTTTGCGATCACGATGAGCCTGTGTAAGAGCACGGTATGGTGGGAATTGACCCTCCCCTTGCATATATGCAACGGCTCTGACGATGGTATCTTTGGCCTGGGACACTCTGTTAGAAACGATCGGCCCAGGAAGAGACTAACATACAATATACTCTGCATTCAATAGCTGGATCAGGTTGGTGGTCAGGCGGGCCAACTTTGTAATTTCTTCCTCCGTCTTGAACTGATGAGTCTTGTCCACATTGCGTGCGTTTTGCATTAGGTCACGGATCTCGTCCTCGGTAGCAGGGTCGAACTTTGCATTGGCTTGGACTCGAGTTGACGAAGTACCTTTTCCCCGGGGGGGAGCAGTGGCAGGAGTGGCAGGTGTATTGTTCATATTCTCCCGAGAGGAAACTTTGTCAGAAGCGATATTCTTAGCAGCCCCAGAATCGATCATGGTATCTGCAGTTGGTGGTGACTTGCTACCTGTCGAGAGGATAGACACTGTTTCAGTCATGGTAGGCAGCGGAACAAAATGACTTGGACGCAGAGCCTTGATAGGATAGCAGCGTTAGGAACTGAAGTTCAAGATGGAAAATAGTACCACCACAGTTACCTATGTTTGCTTTGACTGTAGTGAACCTTAGTGACAGGGAGAAAGCATCTGACGGTCAGAGAAGAGTGGGTTGAAGTAGGATGCAGGAAGGGAAGGGCAGAAGTTGGATCTTTGTAGATGAAGGAGGTACAGTCTCCGACGACCTGATTCACAATGCAGGCACGATTAACTAGAAATTGTGTCCAGCCACATAGAACAAAGACGAAGGTGCTGTGGATTGCCGCGATCAAGCAGCTTCAGGTGAAGACAATAGGGCAAGCATTCAGCAAGCGCCATCATGAACGTATAGCCACACACTCACCCCCATGTCTAGGACAGTCTCTGGACTTCACCTGAGGTCATATACAAAGGCTCGTGAGCAGTTTGCACCAAGTTGAAGCTCACATATCATGCATGTTTGCTACAGCAAATGGTATGTTCTTTGTGACTTCGTAGGTATCCCGTACACTGCACCTACTGCCCAGCAGGCATGCTCGGCCATGACCCCATCGAAGGACTTTCTGCATCCGGGATTGCCCGATGGGTTGGTTGTGATACATGCGATGCAAGGTGTCGAGGAGGAAAAGTGAAGTGAGGAACTACGAGGCATTACAGTTCTCGGACTGCCTGAGTCCGTCAGCTCGGGACAGAAGTCCGATCTCCGACTGCGCTTAGACAATCACAACCACGACCATGATGAGTTGCTCTGACTGATTTCATCCCCCGCCATTACGAATACTGCATCGCCAGAATCTCGTTTCGTAAAACATGGCGGCCCTACTGAAAAAGCCGTTCAAGCTGGCTCTCATCCAGCTAGCCTCAGGTAAGTGGTTAGTGCCACTACCGGCTCACCCCAGGGAAGAGGTTTAATGTGTATCCAGGTGGTGACAAGACGGCGAACCTCGCACATGCGCGATCCAAGATTGTCGAAGCAGCCAAAGCCGGCGCATCACTAGTCGTTCTCCCAGAATGCTTCAACTCGCCATATGGCTGCCAGTACTTCCCCAAGTATGCAGAAACCATTCTGCCATCTCCTCCTTCACCAGAAAAGTCGCCTTCATGGCACATGCTGTCCTCTGTAGCAGCTGAGACAAAGACATATCTGATAGGAGGGAGCATACCGGAGTTTGTACCAGAGACGAAAGAGTATTTCAATACATCGTTGGTCTTCTCCCCGACGGGACAGCTGTTGGCGACACACCGTAAAACACACCTATTCGACATTGATATTCCCGGGAAGATCACATTTAAAGAGAGTGACGTGCTCTCCCCAGGGAACAAGGTGACTATAGTTGACTTGCCAGAATATGGAAAGATAGGACTGGCCATCTGCTACGATGTTCGGTTCCCAGAGCTGGCCATGATCGCAGCCAGGAAAGGAGTTTTCATGTTTGTCTACCCAGGCGCGTTCAACACCACGACTGGCCCCATGCACTGGTCTTTACAAGCACGAGCAAGAGCCATGGACAACCAGATCTACGTTGCCATGTGCAGTCCGGCAAGAGACATGGAGGCAACATATCATGCTTATGGGCACTCAATGATCGTCAATCCGAATGCCGAGGTCTTGACAGAGGCTGCTGAACACGAGGAGACTGTGTACGCTGACATTGATGGGGCGAAGATTGAAGAAACGAGGAAAGGCATTCCTATTTATACTCAGAGAAGGTTCGATGTGTATCCTGATGTGAGTGCCGGAGAGGTTCGCTTCGAGGACGAAAGCGCGCCATAGGTTAAACGTAGACGAGAAATGTCGAATTTCATGCACACGGTCAACACCTTGAACTGAAATCCGCCCTTGAATTGAAGTATCTAGTGAGGCATTGCCCATTGAACAAATTGCGCATCTTGCGAATATGGCCCGCCGTTGCAGCCCACAATGTCTAGCTCTAAAAGTTTTCTCACGTGAGTGAAATCTTGGCCAAACTTGCCATTTCGGGAATAGCCCACACTTTGGAATCTTCGACTTCAGTCTGCGCAAACCACTTCAATTGTCGGGTCTTTCTGTCGCAGTTCAATCACAGTCTTGTCGCCCAATCTCCAACAGCCTCTTCTTCCGATGTATGTGATACCTCATTTCTTTGCAGCTTGACATGGTCTCCGTCTCATCTCTCTCACGTATGAGAAACTGACGAAATCAGCAGCAACCGCCAAAATGGTCAAGGACAACCCAAAGACTCAGCCCAAGAAGACGGCGGCGCCCAAGAAGTCGCGCTCAGCCATCTCCGATGTCGTCGCCCGCGAATACACCATCCACCTCCACAAGCGAGTATGTTTGATATCCTGAAAGTTGAAACCTTTTTGCACCTGCACTTGGCTCGGCGGGAGGAAGAAAAACGAGAGAGGAAAACCATTGGGGTCGAGAGGCCCAGAGAAAGAGACGGAGCTATGAAAAGCTCTACTGAAAAGAGGAGGGAATCAGTTTTATGAAGTCCACCCGAATGGCTTGATCCTCGACGTCTCAATTCTCACCACCATGCCTGCACCCCTTTTGTTCTCACACACCCTACATCAAGCATTTTGGACGGAAGACTGATTTATACATTTTTGTGTGACATAAAGGTTCACGGCGTTAGCTTCAAGAAGCGAGCCCCTCGCGCGATCAAGGAGATTCGCAAATTCGCGACTCAAGCCATGGTACGTTTTTACTTTCCGTTCCTTGAACAAAAAAGGAAAACCCACCGCTCTTCCCTCCTTTCCACCCACAGAACATTGTGGATTATTGCCGTTGCGTCCCCCTGGAGAGCAAAAATGCTAACTCAGTGCGTTCAACTCCACAGGGCACCTCAGACGTCCGCCTCGACCCCCAACTGAACAAGAAGGTCTGGGAGTCCGGCATCAAGGGCGTCCCCTTCCGTCTGCGCGTGCGCATCAGCCGCAAGCGTAACGACGAGGAGGGCGCGAAGGAGAAGCTCTACAGCTACGTTCAGGCCGTCAACGTCAAGGACAAGGAAGCCAAGGGCCTGCAGACCGTTGTTGTCGAGGACTCATAGATGCAAGAAAACAAGAATGCACACACCTCACATGCGCGCATACGAATAAGAAATGAAGCGCCAGAAACGGTGTACACATCCACACACGCCCGTCCAGGTGATGGCCCTCTCGGGGGATGTCACCCGTAAACAGCCTTCTTCCATTTTTTTCTGCAGCCGTTGGCGCTGTGATTGTGCGATCGCCAGGGGGCTGGAATGACTTGAGGATGGGAGAAGGACGTGGCCGAGCATAGCGAAAACAAATTACGTGATTGATGTGAAGAATCTTTCCACAGGGCTTGGAGAGATGGGACAATATTGAAGCGGTGGTCGAACGATCCCTCTTCTGTTCATTTTTTCCTAGGTACTCACAATTGCGAGAAATTGAGACCTGAAATCAAACCTCAACCCCCCCAAGATACCGCTTTTTGCAGCTCTTCCTTCCGAGTTACCATCCCTGGCATTGCAGCGAATGGATTAAACGAATGAAAAAGCTTCCAAGCTGAAAAAGAAACCGAAGGAAACACATATTCCAGTCATTCTTCAGTCCGTCGTGCCCCCAGCTTAATAACTCCGTTTGATCTCTCTGTGACCTTCTTTATCATTCAGCTTTTCAGTCCCCTGTGGATCGTGTCATGGCCGACAGTCCTGCCCGCCAAAGCCAAATACCTTGCAAGATTTTACAACAGTCAGATGTCACCAGAAGGTAAGCCAAAACCACTGGGTACCTAATTACGCCGGCACATACATTATTGTCATATCTACCTAGGTACTCTTCGTCTTGACCCTACACCAATTGACCAGTCCACTGCATTCGCCCACCCGGTGGCCCAGGCTCTCCTATCCATCCATCCCATATATTCGATTTCCATTTCCAAAAAGAGGAAACTCGTCTGTTGTTCTGTACAGTAATGCAAGGCCCAAAACTCCTCCGCTGTGCATTTGGAAAAGGCACAAGAGTAAAAGAAACAAAAAAAAAGACAAATGTCATGGATAATGGAGAAAACTAATACAACAAACATGAATTAATCCGACTTTTTGTTCTCCTCCAGTACCGCTGAAAGTTGGCTGGCCATCTCTGGAGTCTTGACCTTGAAGACCCATCGAGCCAGAGTTCCCTTGTAAAAGAGCGCACCACGGACGGCACCGCTTTTGTTGGACGGTACGTTCTCGTACGTGACGCTGTCAAGAAGATGAGAGTTGACGAGAACAGAAGCACTGGGCTCGACACGGAAAACGACTCGTGTCTTTCCTGTAGTCTTGTCCTTAAGAACACGGATGATGCCCACACCCATCGAGTTCCAGTCGTTCGGATTCAATTTGGTGCCTTGGGCAATCTCTTTGTTGACGAACATCAAGGCTTTGGAACGACCCTCCCAGAGGCAGGTTTCGTTCTCTTCACCTGCTCGTGAATCCATCAGTGTCACCTGCGGCTCGTCATTCGTTTCCTCAGTGTCATTGGTAGCATTAGACTCGTTGTCTGTCAAACCAGGCGAGGTGGCACGAGAAGACATAGCAGAGCTCCCAGCAGATCCGCCGCCGAGATGAGTGACAGCACCTAAAAACCCTGGTGCAGGTGTCGATGTTGGAGCACCAAATTGAAATCCAACAGTAGGCGTATCAGAGGGTTTCGCGCCGAGCGCAGGTGTACCGAAAATAGAACCAAATGGCTTCGGCGTCTCCTTTCCAGGCGACGGCGCGGTGAACTTGAAGCTAGGCGCATCGGCCTTCTTCTCCCCGTTTGCAAATGAAATTGCCCCACCTTGTTTCCATGTGTTGTCGGTTCCCGCTGGCGAGGTGAGCACTGACTTGGCCAGGTTGCTAGACTTCTCGCCATTGCTGGGAGTACTTGGTCGGGAGCCAAACAATCCTTCTCCTGGAACAGGACCATCTTTGGTAAGACCACCAGCGAATATGGAAGCGCCTGGGGTTGGCGTAGATGATGATGTTGGTGGTGTGGGAGTGAAATTGAAGGTAGTTGAAGGCTTGTAAGTACCAGTAGCTGGCGTAGTAGGAGTAAAGGAAGGAGTCTCAGTTGTGGGATTAACAGCTTGGAACCCGAATCCGGACGATGAGAAAGTCGACTTGTTTGCTGTCTGTGCGGAGGGGCCTTCGTCCGCTGAAGCGTTGGTGTTCTGCCCAACGGCTACTGCGGGTTCTTGTTTGTTTGGATTCGGCTCGATCCGATCAAACAAGCTCTTGCCTGCATTGGCATTATTCCTCGACTTGGCCACGGCAGATTGGAAATCGTTGTCATCGTCGTCGTCTGCTTCATCCTCATCCTCATCCTCATCTCCGTTTTGAGCTTCCGACCCTTCCACTTCCTGGCTGTCCTCATCGTCATCTCCGCCATTGCTGGCTGACGATCCGCTAGCGTCTTCATCCTGTGAATGTTCTTCACTGGTTTCTTTAGAGTTCAAGGGTGAAAATGGATTTAGAGCAGATGGCTTGAAGCCGCCAAAGGCGAACTTGGCAGCCTCGGGTTCCTTGGCTGGAGTAGACACAGCCGATTCAATGTTTGGGGTGAACGATGGAGTAAACCCCGCTTTGGCAATGGCATCAATCTTAGCCCGCTTAGCTTTCGCTTCTTCATCAAGCTGCTTCTGGAATTGTTCCTCATCATCTTCATCTGAATCAAAATCCTCAGCTTTGCGTTTCTCCATGAGGCTCTTCTCAAACTTTTCTGCATTGATTTTTGCTTGTTGACCAAAGGCACTCATAAAGTTTGTGGTGCCACCACCAAACTTAGGAAGTTCGAAAGTCGGCTTTTTCGGTGGGGATTTCGTGGGCGTAGTCGAGGTTGACGTAGTCGGTTCAGAAGTTGGGCCAGTACTTTGGCTCTTCAGCGATGCGAAAGGGCCACCAGTAGCGCTTGAAGTTGTCTCCCTTCCTGACCCTAGTGAAGCGCTCGGATCGAACGCTGTAACAGACTGCGCACTTTTGGCTGGCGCCGACTGTGGAATCATGTTGTTGAGCAAGGACGCTGCTTTAGAGGACGACTCGGCACCAGTGGATGGGAAAAGTGTAGTTGATGCGGCTTTGAAACTGGAGGGTTGAGGTGTAGAGCGACCCCCGGAAGATTTAGAAGCAGACGCATTTTGTGCAGGCTGGGCTTGTTGATTCTCACCAGGGCGAGTTCTTTTGTTGGCAGGGGGTTCATCATCGTGATCATCAACGTCTTCACCCTTGCGTTTAGTGCCTGCGAAATTCCTCTTGTAGAGACCTAGAGAAGCACCAATGCCATCGCGAGCTGAGACATAATGTCGGATTATATTCCCAAAATCGTGAACGGTGGGGTCCAAAGCAGCGATTCTTTTCTGAAACTCGCGATTTAATGAGTGTAGGCGATAATCTCGATCGTATTCCTGAAACTGCTTGGCGTCAAGGTGACCAGGAAAAAAAGAAGATCCCTTTGTGTATACTGGTCGCTTCGTAGGTTCCCTTACTGAGACGGTATCTGGTGGGCTCGCAACAGCTCCTTGGGCCGTGGTGTTCATGCTAGCCTTCGAAATGATAGATCGATCACTGGCATCTTCCGCGGGTTTGTTGGCGCTGGAAGCCGAAAACGTCGGTGCCGGACTGGATTTCCCCTCTGCTCGAGGCGTTTGCTGAGCAGATGTGCCGAACATCGGTTTCTGCATTGAGCCCGACCTCTCGAAAGCTGTGCCATTCTTAGAAGACGAACCGGGTGCGGGCGTGCCACCAAAAGTTGTACCAACCGCTAAATCTTTCGCAGGTGCAGTGTTAGACATTGCTTTCGGTTTGTCATCGGACTTCACGAAAGCGAAGGGACCTCCAGGCGCAGGCGACGCCGAATGCGCAAATCCAAATGATGGCTTTGCAGGTGTGGTACTCTCCTCTTGTCCCTTGCTCTTTTCTCCAATGTCACTGCTGATAGCCGCTTGAGGTCCCCGAGCCTCAGGAGTAGGTTCGGTTGGCGCCGATTTTGCGCCGAATGAGAAGGTCGTCGAGCCGGTGTTCGTTGGTTTCGGTTCTAGGGTGCCTGTAGCTGACGTCGATGTTTGGTTGAATGCACCGAAGCTGAACGCTGGCTTTGTTTGTGTACTGCTTGGATCTGTCGCGTTCCTGGGCTCCGGCGTGGAAGCAGTGCCGAAGCTGAAAGCAGGCTTCGAGACGGGGGCAGGAGATGCACTGCTAGAGCCAGCAAACAAACTTGCGAATGGATTTGTCGCAGTTTTCTCTGTTTCTGGAGTAGCAGGCTTTTGTGGTGATTGGTTACTCTGCTCTGTGGTTGCAGGTTGTGGGGTAGCCGTAGACGGACCAAACATTGAAGATACAGGTTTCGTCTCTCCGCTCTTTGCACCGAAACCTGTGAAGGAGGGGCTTGAGGTGGTAGATTGTTGTGTTTGACCGAATGAGAATGTTGATATTGGTTGACTTGCCGGAGTTGCTGCTGGTGAGGCAAAACCGAAACTAGGCCCGTTGGATTGACTTCCTGACGTTGCAGGAGTCTGGCCAAAAGAGAATTTCGGTGCTTCTTTTGGCCCCTCTGCTTGCGTAGTGCTTGCCTGTCCGAAGGAGAACGACGGGAGCGCAGATTGAGGGGTTGCGGTAGCCTGGGTGAAGCTGAAGTTGGGGGTTGCTGCAGCAGGAGCTTCAGTAGTTGTGCTTTGACCAAAGCTGAAACTTGGCGCCGTTGTTGTCGACGCAGGAGCTGGAGTGCTTGTACTCTGACCAAAGGCAAAGCCTGAAGGTTGTGTTTGGGCAGATTGGCCAAAGCCACCGAACGCAGGCTGCGAGGGTTGACCAAAAGGATTTGCTGGAGCTGCAGGGTCATCCGGCTTCGACACTGGATTGAACGGGTTTGTGCCGTTTGCGGCAGATTGTGTGCTTTGTGTGCCACCAAAAGAGAACCCTGAGCTGGATGGCGGCTGTGTTGTCTGGCCAAAACTGAATCCAGAATTTGAAGCGAAAGCATTTCCATTTGCTGTCTTCTTCTGCGGAGATTCCATTGCAATATCGCCTTGTTGGCTGTTTCCTGGCCCTGCTGTCCCGTTCAAGCTCGCAAACGGATTCGGGGTACCTGCTGGCGCGCCGAACGTGAAGGAACTCGATTGAGGAGGTTGAAAGTTGAAGCCACTGTTGGTGCTCGAACCGGGTTGCGGGAACGACATACTTGTGCCAAAACTCGTGCTGCCATTCATCGTGGGAAAGGCTTGTTGTTGCGTGCTTTGTCCGAAAGTGTTGGTGCTGCCCATCGAGGAATGAAGTCGGTTTGCAGCTGATCTACTTCTCGGTACAGCGATTCTGGAGAAAGACTGTTAGTATGACTTCCAAGTTCTGAGAAGCGTTCTTAGAAAAAAAAAAAAAGAGCCGGTGACGACGAAGCGCGTCATGAAATGGGACAGCGCGCCTCGACCAGCATCGAAGCCTATTCATTCAATAAAAGAACAATAGGTTGTAACCGCCAAGGAGTTTGAGCAGAAAGCAAAACAGTTAAAAATACTGACTTCCTTCGCGCTTGTTGCGCAGCGGTTGACATTTTGACCTTGTCGTCGCCTCCAGCGGTATTGGGTATAGCACCGTGCTCTTTAGTGATATAATCCTCTGCACCACGTTTAGGCATGTCACTGGAGGCCTTGGGATGGCCAAAGGGAAGAGGCAGGACCGGAGAGGGATCGAAGAAGCAGGACCATCGAGGCTTTCGCGTCGATCAAGAACCTTCCTCGGATGGATTGTGCTTCGATTCGAACACAGTCGATCGAAAAGTTGTCGTGATGAGATTCTCAGGGCTTCTTCTTCGCTGCCACGGTTATTACGACCCGCAGCCCGGGAACTCGAGTCTAGCTGCGCTTGGCGCTAGGGTAGTCACGTGATGAGATCTGGGGCTCCAAGGAAATTGCGTTCCGTCTCGAGTCGTCGGGAATGTTTGTTTTGGGCGTGTTATTGCAGCGAAAGATCATCGTCAATTTGTTGCACATTCGTCACAATGAATTAAGAAGAGCTGGCCAGGATGGCGCAGGAAGTGGTTAGCCCACAGTTCCAAGGTGAAGAGAACACATTGCACTGGTCGCCGCTCGTTCAATCTCGTCTGGCCTTTGTCTCGAGCAGGCAGCTGTTACCTCGTCTCGACAGTCAAGCATCAAAGGAGGCTCTGGATTCACTGCGAGAACAGGATGTGCACTATGTCGAGTTAACCGTCACATAGCACTCCTCCCGGCGACATTTGAGTTGTCAGAGTCCCTCTCAGAGGCTCTTCGTGGCACGTCAGACACTTCGGGGGATCGCCATTCCTCGCTTTACTCCCACAACTGCTGTAGAAGCCTGATGGCTTGAAGATCCTAGGAAACCCTTGAGAGACATATGTCCTATGTGGAGCTATTCATGCTGTGTTACCAGAAGAATGGACGGAACATCGAGGGTTTCCATCCTCTCCACCCGTAAGTAAGAACCATGGATATCGGATCATGCTTTCAAATATGGACTGCCCGGGAGATTCAGAATTTATTCTCCGCGATCTCTGTAACCCTTTCACCATGGAGATGTTTTGATCTATCATTGACTGCTATAGATCATTCGGTGCACCGTAATCAAAGGGAATATTAGAGTCTATCGTTTTCTGGCAGTGCGGCTGAGGTTCGAACACGGTCCAACTGACAAAGCCGTTACAGAGGGTACTTCTCCTTTGATGTTGTCCGGAATCTTTACGCAGTCGAACATGTCTACTCTCATAAGTACTTCCAAGAACCCTAAATGGTTTGAAATAGCCCTCACCCGAAATGGAATTGGTAGTCTCGCCGCTGGGAGAACGATAGGACTGCTTACGGCTGACCAGCACGTACAGAGTACTCGCAACCCGTCATAAGCCTGAGATCGCAGCCCGAGAAGAGAGCACAATTGTGTACTTTATCGGTAAGCAGGTTCTTAGAGCCCATGTGGCACAGCAACGTGCTTCGATCAAGCAGACACTCCTACAGCCAACAGCGGCGTTACACAACTCTTCCAGCAACTCACAAACAAAATACCCGGGCTGGCTGTTGTGCCACGCGAGTTTCGACTATGAGGTCACGTTCCCTCCCTTGTTATTTCCATGCCTTCTCATATTTGATAGGGGACTGGGAGCAATTTCACTTCAAATACACAAGGTACGCGGATCAACGTTTCAAAAAAGGGTATCGAGGCTTCCCGCATGGCCTTGCTTGGCTAGTTTCGACCGGCCAACAAATGTGTCGGTCCAAAATGATCCACCACCAGCAGTCTCATCGTTCAGAGAGCCTGCAGGAGTTGCATCAGCTTTCAGCTGCAGCTCAACGTAAGATCAAGAGGAAGTGGTCACGTAGCATCTGCAGTGGACCTGGAAACCTCGTATGACCAAACATATATGCAAAAGTCATCACAGTTGAAGCGACCGGCTGGCCTTTCCACATACCATTCATGACCTGACGGCCTGAGCGGCACTGTCGAGACTCATTCAGTTAGCTTTGCGCTCAGATTAGGGCCACAAACCGCGGAGAGACACTCCGACGAAACGAGGCTCGGGGTACCGAGTCCAATGCGAAATCGACAAAAGTCATCCGTGCCATTTCTAGGCCTGCGCTCGTACCCCGTACTCCGTAGTTCAGCAAAGATTTGGCAAAGCCTACGGAGCTAAGCTGGATGAGAGAGTAAGCCGAAAAGACCAAAAACTCTTCCATCTCAGGCGCAGCCCTTAGGAGCGAGCCGCAGAGCAGGCGAAGCGATGCCCAGTCAGCGGTGCATTGCGCCTCCGGCTCTATCCCAATCCTGCTTGGACTCAGACGACCCCATAACAAACGGGATAGGTGGGTTCGAGAAGCTAGACATGGGGTCAGAAGCGAAGCCCAGTCAGCCTCCTCGTGGGATGATCTCGATCCAACCGCAACAGTCGCGGGCGACCTGCCACACGGTCCAGCCTGACCGCCACCGGATACGCTGATTGGCTGTATCGGGCATATTGTACCCCAAAATAACCCTGTAACGACATCGCCACAAACCAGAAACCAGCAGCCAGAAACACCCTGGTCGATTTCCCGCCTCTACAACATTTGGATGCCTCACTCCATCCCGCCTCTCGTACTGTCGGAGGGCGAGATGCAGCGAGTATGACTGCGGTGTAGCTGAATGAGAACCAGCCGCGCTGTTCAATCATCGCGATCTTACATGCCCATGGACTATTTAGTTCCCACGATGTCTCCCCGCCATCCAAACGCTTTTCCTCCTTGATCAGACACAGTCACTACACAGATACAAAGTACATCCTCTAGGTACTTCTCGGATATTCAACTGAATCCATCACTGGCCCATCCTCGGGCTCTTCGTTCCACAGCTGTTCGACCACCCACTCTCTCGCTTGATACTACTGCCCAAAATGCTTCGCTCACTGTTGCCCTTCGTTTCTGCCTCAGCCTTACTTGCTTCAGTCGTCTCCGCCATCCCTGTCAATACACACCATGCTCGATCCCCTTCTGCTGAATGGGATGAATGGACATGCACGGCGGATAATATCCGCACTCGGGTTGACTTCAATAACATGGCTCCGGCCGACCGCAAAGCATACACCGACGCGGTCAAGTGCCTGATGGCTCAACCCTCTCAACTCGACCAGACACTCTACCCAGCCGCGACCAACAGATACATGGACTATGCTGTGATCCACGTCAACCGAACACAACACGTGCATCTTGATGCCTTCTTCCTCACCTGGCACCGCTACTTCCTGTGGCTCTACGAGTCGGACCTCCAGCAGACATGCGGCTACACGGGGGCCTTCCCGTACTGGAACTTCGCCGAGACAGCCAACGACCCTCACAGCTACCCTATCTTCGATGGCTCAGACTACTCCATGTCCGGCGACGGGCTGTACAACAACACCGGCCCAATCGTGCTCGGGGCCGAACTCACCATCCCGCACGGCACAGGCGGTGGGTGCGTGACCACGGGGCCTTTCGCCAACATGATCGCGCCCCTCAAGTTCATCGATCCCACCGCACTCACAACAGGGACACTCCCGGACGACGCCTTCGCATACAACCCGGTGTGCCTCATGCGAGATCTCAACGCATATGTGTCCCAGACGTACACAAACTCGGCGCAGCTCGTGGCCGCCGCCCACGCGACCAACGCCAGCAACTTCGAATACCTCCTCAACGGCGTCATCGGCAGCTCCAGCCTCGGCATCCACTCGGGCGCGCACTTCAGCGTCGGCGGGCAGATGAATTCGATCCACGTCTCGGCTCAGGATCCCATCTGGTACCCTCTGCATACCATGATCGACAAGGTCTACACGAGCTGGCAGATCAACTACCCGGAGCTTGCTGACACGCTGGACGGGAGCACCGGCACCGCCCTCAACACGCCGCCCAGCGACGTCGTCACCCTCGACAGCATCGAGCCAGACTGGGGCTACTTTCAACTCGGTCAGATCCAAGTCCGCGATCTGATCAGTACCACCTCGGGCCCATTCTGTTATCAATACGATACCGTCATTTCTTAAACCGCATATCACATGGCTCTGGCCAAAGGTTACGATCAACAAAATCATAATGGAAAATAACTTTTACTTTGTATCTACCGGGTGAGTAATAAAGGGAAGGGACGGAAGGAGGAATTCCAGACAGCGGAAGTAATGAGCAAACGACAGCACAGCACGCAACGTCTAGCGGCATCAGCATTTACGGATCATTGTTGGGAGCTGGAGGGGATATTTACCTAGTACACCACACACGCAGTTATGGGCTTGCGCATTAGTACCTAGTATGATCGACTCCGCAAAGAGTTTGTATGAATTCTCAGAATGGAAAAAAGTATCTTTTAACTTTTGTCACGGACCCCGTCCCGTAATCTCTTTTATAGGCTTTCTCTCCTCGGCGGCTTACTCCTGTACCTACTCCACAAATACCAGAGTCGTTCTATTGCCCTCCCTGGCCCCTTACCACTCTCCGTGTCCCGCAGCGCTGAATCGTGTCGCGCAGAAATTGCTCACCTCGAGAACGCGTACTCCATACAGAGGATCTATCTACAACAGTAGTCAGTAGTCAGCGCAAGGAACGTCGTAAGATTTCTCCGGCGCACGAGAAGCGGAGTACTCTAGTAGGCACTGATACCCGGTACCGTACTAATTAATACCGAATGGTGATAACTAAAAGACTAACTGGATACGTACAGAATCAAGGAAAGGCCCAAATGCGTAGAATCTCGTACGGAGTAAGTATATTTGGGAATCTTTCCTAGACCTTGCAACAAACAAGGAGATGGTCATACCAGCCGCAGTGTGCACTCCGTAATTACAGCTTCAAGGTGCTGCACTGGTTAGAGGCCGTCTGTGCCCTGTCCTCTGTACTCTGTACTCCGTTACTCGGCCCTCTGTAGCATACACTTAGGTAGGTGCCTTGGATAAACGCCTAACTGACCAACTAGTGTGCCGGGTAAGCTGTACTTACTCCATATGCATAGGCCCGTCATGCACCCTGTCATGTCCGGTCAAAGAAACTAAACTCGAGGGGCATGTTTCGTTACAACTTGACATCCGAACCCATCTTTCGTCGTGATTTATCCAGCCCCGCGGTGTTTTATTACTGCGGACCCAATACCTCTTGTATGCCAGGTTCTCTTATATCCGGCATTGGCTCCATTGTACCCGGGACGAGGGCAGGCAGTGAATCCTGTTTCAACACTTCCGACAGAGGCAATGAAAAAGCAGAATGTAGCCATCAATGAATGCATTGGACCTGTCTAACTAGCCCTGTGAAACCCTGTCGTCTGTGTTGTTGAAATGCCAAGATGGGGAGAGCATTGGCCGAACCATCGCGCCATGCATTAGTTAGTCGCGTGCCTGTAGACAGTACGGCCCACGGCGCTGCACCACAGTAGCGTAGATAAAGGCACCGGTCATTTTTGAGGATTCGGACGGATTGCTTGCTGTTTCTGAATGGGCACTGTTTCTGGTCCCCAGTGACAATTACACGGTTGCGTGGTGCATGGGAAGGGAGGACGGTCGTGGAGGAGGATGGGCCTTGAAGTGGAAGGGGCCAGGGCGAGCAGTCTCTGGTATCGAGGGAAGAAACCTTTCAAAAGCGCCGGCACTGAACGCCAAACTCGGCAGGAATTTGCCCTGCAATCTGCGTTGAGCTGTCGAGTCAAGACGGGGACCAAAGGGTTCCTGGCTAGGTCTATAAGAGTCCTAGGCGGTAATTGGGATAATATATATATTTATCTCCTTATTTACTCAATACTTCCGTACGAGTATCTACATATCTCTTCCATGTGACTCCAGAGCTACATACCATCTAACGTCGACATCTAGTTCTATTCCTGGTGAATCCTTCGCTAAGCCCAGTACCTGTCTCATCCTTCCCCCAAGTCGTCTCAACCTCCACCCTCTTCAGGATCTTGCTCCCACTTTGTCCTGGCAAAAGCGCAGCGGCCGTTTCTGTCGGGTTCAGCAGGATACGGCCCCGTCCAAGTTCTTAGGGCTAGATCGTTAACGGTCGCCCAGACCTAGAAATATCCCCTTTTAAGTCGAAACTGGCTCATCCACCTCCTCTCATCGGCCTGTCGTTCCAAGGCCCGCCGCATTGTCTTGGAATATTCTTCGGCTTTCTCCCTCTCTTCCCGCTCGCTGGGATCTTCGCCCTCTTCGAGCGCCTTGACCATTTCCTCGTGATCCATGAATTGCGCTTTTGTGGTGACGACACCGATCTTCTCGCCTGTCCATATCAACAAATCCCCATCGCCTCGCTGTCCGCATTCCGAGTCGACGCCCTTTAGAGGAATGATTTTACGCGCCACTTTGTCTCCCTGTATGGCGGCTCCGGTGTCGCTGACCTCAAACTCGTTGAGGTTCCATTTCCGGATCAAGCTGCGACCGTCGCGCTCGACCCATTTGAGACCCCCTTCTGAATCGGAAAACACAATTTTGGTCCCGTGGGATGCGACCGATAGAAGTTTGGAGCTCGCTGCCTCTTGCCTATTCTTGTAGCTGAAGAGAGTGCCGTCTGAGCCAGTGCTTGGTGTCCTGCCCAGATCGAGTATGTCTTCGGCAGATGATTGTCTCGAGATTGTGTCTTCGTTCAGACCGGGTTGCCCAGGCTTGGTATGTGGAAGAGAGTATAATTCTAGTGAGCCTCGGCCTCTGTACTCACCACAAGCAACCAGAGTTGATCCACCGGAAACGTTTGCCGAGGATCCTGCCGGTGGGTGTGGAATGCTGGTAAGCGACGACAGACTTCCTCCCGAGTGTATGACGTACTGGAGTCGTGGGAAGAAGCGGCGATCATAAGATAAAATGCTCGAGAACCTGCCGGCAAGTAGGATCTCATTTTGTCCGTGGTGTAGAATCGACAGTGGTCCCGGCTCTACTCTAGCATATGCAATCCAGTGGGGATTCTGCCGCTGGTGGGAAGCCGGAAGACTGGATGTCCTTGGAGTCCAAGCAGGAGGTTGATGGTCTGGTGTGAATGGTGCTGCTGGGCCAAAGTTCGACGAGGGAGCGAATATCGAGGTCTGCGAGAAGTCTGGAAGTATAGCTGTCGATTTTCCGGACACTGCAGGAATTTCTTCGACCAAATCGGAAGGCGACTTTGAGCTTGTAGACACTGAAAGCCTGGGGTCAAGGATATGTAGACTCCATTGAGTCCCAACAGTCAGCGGAAGATCAAACCCAGTAGACTGTGACAATGCGGTTATTGGATAGGCGTATTTTGAGTGAGATACCACCTTCAGTGTGTTGAGGTCGACTTCATTCAATATATCGCCAATAGCAATAAAAGCCTTTTGTTGAGACGGAAACGTACTGACACAGTCGACGACCAAAGACTCGCTCGCTTGGTAGCCATCTGTGAACAGGACTCCAGGTTTGCTACGACCGGTCTCTGCTATTTTCCTACGACCGGTAGAGCTCTCGCTGAGATCCCAGATGCAAATGCTAGCATCTTCCAGATAGCCAACAGCATGTTCTGACCCACCGAGAGTCGTTATCCCTTTGATTTCAAGCTGCCTCGAGGACGGTTGGACCATCCAGTCAGCGCTCAGAGGTGCATATCGACTTTTGTACTCCGAATACCAATCGACAGTTTCGTCTTTGGCAGACTGATCCCATTGATTAATTGCTTGAGCCCGAGGGCTTTCTCGCATCAAGCGGTCCGAGTCACTTGCATGATGTATCGGGGTGGGAGTTCGATCTGATAAGGTCAGACCTTGCAAGGCAGAAGTCAGATCGGTCAAAGTACCAGCATTTCTTCTCATCGAGGCACTGGGTGACTTTTCAAAGCACTTGTTCCTCCACAGGCGATTGGCATGCGCGGACTTAGACAACGTAGTACATGTCTTTTGAACCGAGATGAGATCGTTGGGTTCGAGGTGGTCAAGAATGTCCACGACAATTTCCTCGGGTAGTCTGTCCATGGTTGCATGACAAACAGAACTGGATGAGGTTGGATGATTCCACGATTCCAGGATTCAATAGGGTGCAGTAAGTAGGATAGCGACCACGGTAGGCAGAAAGGTTGAGGGACAGACGAGGCTCCTTCGTCTCCTGCGACCTCCAGGTCCGCGAATTGACTCGCGACCACAATAGCTTCAAGGTAGATGGCCGATACTATCCAGGCCCATCATTTGAGATTATAACGACTCTTACATCCCTGTAATAATGGGCGTATGGATAAAGGAGTGATGGTGGTTAGATGAGGCCCAAGTCCCAGGGAGGACGAAGAATGATCTGGAAGGAGTGGGTGGATAAGGGTTGGCATGAACCGCTGCGACAAGCAATGGGAGGGACCATAGGGACCATAGGACACCCATAGAGCCCGTGATAGCCTCAACAGGTGCCCCTCGGCCCTCCGGAGATGGGCTATTACAACCACTATACTTGTACCTTGGGCATTTGCGGCCCCCGCCATGGATTACCTAAGACGCCCATTTCGAGGTCCAACCAAAAGCGCCCGATGCTGGTGCAGTGCCAAGGAACCAATAGTCAAGCATGACGAACACGTGCAAGCCATGATGGGATCCAGGCCGCTTAGAAGGAAGCATCATGGAATACCTGAACCAACACTTTCGTTACTACGCTTCTTGCACTTGCGCTTGCCGATTCACGACAGCCCTCTACCTTGCTTCACCTGTATCCCTCATCACCCTGAGGAAGGTGCCTCCGTGCAACAATGCCTCCAAGCGCTCCGGCCAGAAGAGGGCCGAGTGTTCTGGTCAGTATCATCGTTGCGACACCATGGGCTACTCTGTGGCTAACATCGAACTTGAACAGGTTCAGGATCCGCGTGAGGGCAGAGTAAACTTCTCAAAAAGACAGCCCTCGCGGCTCATCACGGTCGATAGTGTCCTCCAATATGCTTCCGATATTCCGTCTGCTCAACAGAGACAGCCTCCGCGACCGAGAGTTTTTCGTACAGGCTCGGGCAATCCTGTCGATCCGAGACTCACTGGTCGTTTGATTAATCCCCGAGGCCCAGCGAGATCCACCAAAAAGTCCGAGAAGCTTGTGCTTTTGCCAGAAGCGGTTGAAGAGGAGGATGAAAAAGGTGACTTCGGCCTTGATTCCGATAAAGGCCCGCCAAGGGACGACGAAGACTTCAGAAAACCCGGAAGAGAAGGCGTGAAGAGTTATGCAGAGAGGTTACCGAAATCCAGAAGGACGGAGAAAGAACTTCCTCGAGTGACAGCCTACTGCACTGCACAAGCATACAAACTCCAGTCAGTGGCGACATTTGTGCGACAACGACATGGTGCTCGAGCCAAACTATACGACGATTGTTTGTATTGTGCCTATCATTTGCCCCTGCTGCCTGGTATTGAGGGTTATCGACTACGGAGCAGTCCGCCGGTAAAGAGCGCAAAAGGTGGAACCATACTGGACGAGGCCATCGAGCGCAGTGAACAGAGAGACTACCGGGGCGGCTACGATGCCGAGGAGGAGGAGCAGCACTCGGTCAGAGGGAACTATGCTCCAGAAGAATCCCCCTCTGAATCGAGAGAAGATGACTCTGAGCTCGAGAGGCCCCAGCTCAATGGCAATCGACGGAACAGCAATCAGTCTCAGAGATCAAACAGCCCTGGTCCTACGACTGTGCCCATTGATGCCTATCGTTTTGCGGAAATGTTCGTTTTGGATTATGGTGTGGTCGTATTTTGGAACTTCACCGAGAGGCAGGAGAAGGATGTCCTTGCCGATTTCGCCTTTTCCACAATTGCCGATCCCATCACCCACGTTGTTTCACCACTTCCCTTGACCACCAATCCGTTGGACGAAGAAGATTTTGAAACCGAAGAATTTCATTTCGAGTATAACAATGAAATCTCTCGACCTCGTGTATACAACGACATGATCACTCTCCGCAGCGGCGACCATATGATCAAGCTGGCCATCAGCCATGCCATTGCGCAGAGTACAAAGCTGAGCTATTTCGAAGAAAGAATGGCGGCTCAAATGGAAGAGGCAAAGGATGTGCCGGGGAGGTTAGCGAAGACGGGAGAACTCGGGCTGAAGCGAGAAGAAGTGATCAAGCTGCTGGGCGGTCTCTTTAAAAGCCGAGTCGAGGTCAACTTATGTATGTGCTTCCCTTTGTGCAATGAAGTTGAGGTTGTTTGGCTGACCCATTTCTAGCTTCCAATGTTCTCGACGTTCCCAACCTGATCTGGGATAGTGAGCCAACGCTGCATCCTCTCTACAGCGCGATCCGCGAGTATTTGGAGATCAAGCCCCGAATTCAAGTGCTCAACGAGCGCTGTCGCGTGTTTCTCGACCTGGCTGAGGTTCTGTCCGATTATATTTCTGACGACAAGATGTCGAGAATCACCTGGATCGTCATTGTGCTCATCTGTATCTCCATTCTGGTTACTTGCTCGGAAGTCTTTCTACGGTTTGGGATGCTCAGCACGAGAGGGCCCAAGGCCGCTAAGACTCTCCCCGGCTTGTCACTTGGCAGTGAGTTGTGAAGGGATACCCTTTGACCGTATTGCATATGTACAACCCTAGCATGGCGCTTTGGAGTATATCTTTTGAGACTACATGATCCGTCCATGCCGGGATTAATGGAACGTAATTTTTCTTGTCCCGTACACTATGGTACTTACAATGATAAGAATGACCCTTTGACGTCCCGGACTGGCAAAGCGGTATCTCGCATGATAGATATCTCACATATCTCGGCCTGGACAGCGAAATAGGAAGGCCGATGCATTGAACGGCCCCCATCTCCAGATATCTAGCTTCAGGGAAACGATAGTGGCAACAACGATCAATCTGCTGACCGTCGTTTATCTCCCGTTGGTGCCCACACTCGTTGTGGACAGTTCTTGGGCTTGTGGGAGGGGGAGATCCTTGCGCTTGAGATGCGCTGGATGAGCGACGAGCGACGAGCCCTAGAAGCGGAGGCGACCGAGGCGTATATTGGCTGACAGGGGGACGAGCAGCATCCAAGACTCCTATTCGACGTTTCTGACATCCGCCTGAGCCAGGACCCGAGCTGGGTTGCATTCAGATGACAGTTCTCTCCCTTTTAGTACAGCATCTCCAAGGCCGAGGTGCTTTGGAACATCGAACCGTTGCTACAGAGGAGACGTTGGTTTCTCTCTTATCACTTGGCACACACTCGCAACAAGCTTGGCTCAAGCTTCAGCCACAGTTCCAAGCAATAACACGGCGAAATCGAGAGATAGACAAGACACGCGAGTCGAAAGAATAGACGAAGATATGCAGTCAGCCCGGCCTGTTTGGCGACCATGACCACACATGATGGCAAAACAGCCTCGCCCACAACGGACTAAACGGCCCAATGGCCAGAAAAAATCCTCGAAATGATACTGTCCGTGAGGATCGACCAGCCCAGTGGCGCGTGCTCGCTCGGCTTGGGCCACCGAAAAGCTTCAAGCGCCGGGTGGCTGTCGTTTTCCTTTGTTCTTATCCTCCTCTGCCGAGGATCTGACAATTTACTACTCGTCCTTGTGGTGGCACACACGACATCATGCCCAGCCTCGAGATAGACCAGGGTATGACCGTGGGCCTGATGAATTCTGCTAAGTCCAGTCTGCTCCATCAATATCTGGATGGAGATGATCCACCCATGCACCATCGAATGCGACGACATGCCTCTCCCTGCTCGGACTTGCCGTCCACTTTGAAGTGCTTGGACCGGATCTTCAGATGAAACGTCGTGCTCTCTAGCATGGGGCATCGTATGTGAGTGCCCTCGAGACTACTGTCACTCGTATATATATAGTCATGGTAAGATCTCCACCGAATCTTCATGTCTGATCGCCTCAGTCGCTTGTGTTCCTGTGCTGTTCCTGGCCCTGGCATCTTTGCGATCCACTTCCTTGACCAAAAACCTTGATCAACCGGCCCCAAAAGACAGTAAGAGTGCCAAACAGGAACTTTTTAAAAAGGCCGAAGTATGAGTGCGAACGAAGATCCCGTACGGCCCGTCGCCGCCACCATGGAAGCTGAAGCCGGCGACGCGCACAGCAAAGATCCAACCGCCCATCATGACATTCCCGAGCATGGCCACAACCCTTCGAAACAGACAGGTGTCGACGAGAACCCGGACTTGACTCTGCACTACTCTCATGAACACCAACACAAGCATCTCCACCACGACCAGCATGCTCTGAGTGGTCGTCATGATGAGATCTTATACGCTGAAGGCACCACCTTCGACCCGTCCAACATCGGCGAAGTCGGCCCTCAAGACTACAAAACACATCATCTCCGACCGCAGCATCATGTTGATGAGAAAGACTTCATCGCCGCAGATGCCGAAAAGGGCGTCATCGGCAAGATCGGACACCCGGACTCGAGCGACTCCGATCAAGGCGACAGTCGAAGTCATCGTTTCAGAAGGGCGTACGTCAACTACAAGATTTTTGTGCATTTGTTCATCTGGTTATTCTTCACCGGGTAAGTTGACCTCGGCCATTCCCACCAGTCCCCGTGGGGAATCAATTCTCTTTGAAGAGTACTGACGACCATAGCTGGTGGATCGCCGGCCTCGTCCTTCATCGCTACGACCTAGGATGGCTGATCCCGTTCCTGCTGTATCTCGCCATTACTTTGCGCCTGATCTTTTTCTGGGCACCAATCACCATCGTCACCCGACCTATGCATTTCGTTTGGAACAACACAGGCGTGCGCGTATATCAGATGCTCCCCGAGAAGTGGCGGCTGCCGCTGGCTGCTTTGGTCGCCATCGCCGTCATTCTCGTTGGGTCTTTCGTCTCTGAAGAATCCGCCGACAACACTCGCGGCAACCGTGCTATCTCTCTGTTGGGGCTCGCAATCATGTTGGCGCTCTTGTGGATCACGTCGCGCGACCGCCGCAAGATCCGCTGGCATACGGTCATCGGTGGTATGCTCACACAGTTCATCATCGCAGTCTTTGTCCTGCGCACCCAGGCCGGCTACGACATTTTCAACTTCATTTCCAGCCTCGCTCGCGACCTGCTCGGGTTCGCTGACCAGGGCACCGAGTTCCTGACTGCCGCCTCCGTGCTCGACCTACACTGGTTCCTGACCGGCGTGGTGCCGCCGATCATCTTTTTCGTCTCCCTCGTCCAGCTTCTCTACTACTTCGGAGTGCTGCAGTGGTTCATCCAAAAATTCGCAGTCTTCTTCTTTTGGAGCTTGCGCGTTTCTGGCGCCGAGGCCGTCGTCGCCGCAGCATCGCCGTTTATCGGACAGGGCGAATCCGCCATGCTTATCCGCCCGTTCGTCTCGCACCTGACGCTCGCCGAGATCCACCAAATCATGACGTCCGGTTTCGCCACGATCGCCGGCTCGGTGCTCGTCGCGTACATCAGTTTGGGACTGAACCCCCAAGCGCTCGTGTCGAGCTGCATCATGTCCATCCCCGCGTCGCTGGCGGTGAGCAAGATGCGATACCCCGAGACCGAAGAGACCATCACGTCGGGCCGCTGCGTGATCCCCGACGACGACGAACACCGCGCCACCAACGCCCTGCACGCCTTCGCCAATGGAGCCTGGCTCGGCATCAAGATCGCAGGCATGATTGTCGCCACGTTGCTCTGCATCATCGCCCTCATCGGCTTGATCAACGGCCTCCTGGGCTGGTGGGGCCGATACATCAACATCACCCAGGACGGCGAGCCATACCTCACCCTCCAGCTCATCCTGGGCTACATTTGCTACCCGGTGGCCTTCCTGCTCGGTGTGCCCCGCGACGACCTGTTACGCGTCGGTCAACTCATCGGCATCAAAGTCATTGCGAACGAGTTTGTGGCGTACAACAGTCTCACGTCCGAACAACAGTACATCGACATGAGTCCCAGGTCGCAGTTGATCGCTACATATGCTCTGTGTGGTATGTTATTGCCCCTTCTCTCTCGACCCATCTTCTTCTCCCTTTCACTCCTTTATACTTCTATGAATCTCGTCACCAAAAGACACTCAACATCATCGTCATCGTCATCATCATCATCAACAACAACAACAACTGCTTACAAATTTCCTCGTGTACAGGGTTCGGCAACTTTGGCAGTCTGGGTACTCAAATCGGCGTGCTTTCTCAGATCGCCCCGTCGCGAGCCGGCGACGTTTCTCGCGTCGCACTTTCTGCCCTCTTCTCCGGAGTCCTTTCGACACTCACTTCTGCTTCCATTGCTGGGCTCTTGGTCACGGATCAAATTACGTTGAACCAAGGGTCATCTTCTTGAAGAAGGAGAAGGAGAAGAGGAAGAAGAAGAAGAAGCCACCGAAAAGGGCAAAAACAGCCCACCACCAGCACAAACCCAAGTTCCCAATTTTTGGAGTCCACACAATTAACCAAAACTTCTTCGACAACTCACTCACTCACTTGGTCACTTATCCACTCACACCACACCACAACACACTAAACGGGTGCGGGTGCCGTGGTGGGGGGGAGGTTCCTCTGGATCTGAGCCGTTCTAATGTATTTGAGGGGGTCAGTCAGTCAGTGGCCGGGTGGCCTGGCCCAGGGTATCCTGTGTATACCTATAAATCACTGTACCAGTAGAGGTACATACTGTATGCACAGTACGGTAAATCTTCAAAAGGACAGTGCTTCGCTCCGTACATTAACTAGTAGGTACCCAAGTACTCCGTACTCAAAATACTCATCCGTACCCACCCATCAATTTTCAGTTTCAGTCCCTACACGAGTCCCTGTCGGAGCTCTGCGTACGCTATGAATTGACCCTCGCCAATACAGGTATATACGGAGTGCGTGCGTGCGTGCGTGTGTGTCACTCACATCTCTCCTGCTTGTCCCGGTAGACTGTCCGTATTTCATGGCCAATCCAATTCGACCAGGCCGAGCCACAAGGGCGAGAAACCTCCTGTGGGATGTGATGCGCTGTTGGTTGTTTCCGATGGCTCACTAGACCAATATACTTTCCCCGCCCATTCTCACTCATAAAGGCGATACGGATACCTATGAGTAGGTAGCTAGATGGGAACAAAAAGGGCGCGGGGGATACTGCATTGCATATTGGATATCAAGGCCTAGGCTATCCTTCATCTCCAACATCTCAATCCGCGATCCATACATACACCCGCTCCAGTCGTCTTCTTCACCAAAAGTAAATTATTGCCTATCCCTTGAACCGCCATGATCCAGCTTGAGAAGATCAATGACAACAAGAAGAAAAAAGGAGGAGAAGGAGAAAAAAGAACACATTCAATCACCAATAGACTCGCTCTTTACTATCCTGTCCTATTCCAGCTCGAAATGGCAAACTCCGGCTTTTCCTCGCCCAATTTTTGATCAAACTTACGGTGAACTGCAGACCCTCCCACCCAACCGTTGCAGTCACCAATCGTTTTTGATCCATGTCTTCTTGAGAGCATTATGTACTCAGAGCAAAGTCTGAAACTGCCGGGGTCTCGACGAAGTGATTGCTGAATCTATCGTTAGTAGTACAGGGGTAATGTATGGCTGCAAAAAAGTACAACCAAGGGGGTATCGGTGGATGGAGGGGAAGAAACTGTCGTCGTAGCAACAAGGAAGATACGAGTTCGATCTAGGATGTTAGTATTGCATGTGGTTAGCAGGGTTGAATACGTCCTGAATATGGATATCCTCGGGGTAGCTTTTGTCGAAGCAAGATCCTATCCAAGTCCAGAAACGGGAATTACGAGGGTCGACGACGTTTAGGTTCAGGTGTGTCGAAGTCCAAAAGGTCCAGTTCATCGTCATCGTCGGCTTTGCGTTTAGCGTGCATGTTTTTGGACGGTGTGACAGGAGGACTTGTATTCTGTGGCGGTTGTAGACTAGACTCGGCAGAAATACCACCACCGTTCAATCCAGGAAAGTTCGACGCCGGGACAGCATCATGTCCATTTGGCAATTCTTCTCTGCCCTCTGGATTGATCGCAGCGGGCTGAGCAGGCTCGGCGGCAGTGGTCGCAAGATCATTCTCGAGAAGATCTGCCTCGCTCTCCTTTGTGAAGAGTTCTTCGTCACCGAACGATTCGACACCTTCTTCATCTTGAGGAGCGGGCTGATCATGTTCCAGATCAATATGCTCATACGACTCGGCAAAGAGGTTTTCAACATCAACTTCCTCACCACTGACTTGGTCTTCATCAGCCTCGGGCGGATACGCTTCGAGGGTATGGGAGCTGTTGGTCTCGTCCTCGTGGCTTTCCGGCCGATGACTATCTTCGAGTTCGTGGCCGCCCTCATCATGTAGAATCTCACCGGAAGGGCCATCGTGTGCCTCTTGTGACATTTCGCCAACAGCCACGGGTGCATCGACTTCGGGTGCCTCGTTTGCTCCGGCCGGTTCTTGGGTCGTGGTAACATCCTCAGACTCCGTTGGATGTGCCAAATCAGCCTCTGCATCGTCGGGGTTGGCATCGGTATCAGCAACCGGTTCTGAACCTTCTTCAAACGCAGGACTCTTGCCAGTGTCATCATCGTCAGGAATCGCATCCTCACGCTCTGTATTGCCGATGACGCTACCTTCAACATTGTTGGGGTATTGCTCAGCGATAGTTGCAGGCTGTTCGAGATGTTCGGGGCTGTGCTCAATAGCAGACCCATCTTGAGCTTCCTCTGGCTCGGGTGTGTCAACATACTCCGCAGCTACCTCGGAGAAGCCCTTGCCTTCAGTCGCTGAAGATAGCAGGTAAGCATATTGAGAAGCCAAGCTCACACGGCTACTCAGGTAACAATACAACGGAGGAATCTCTTGAGTACCATCGTTGTGGCAAAGGAGCAGGTATGTGTCGAGAATTTGAGAGAGGCTAAGCTGAGAAGCATACTTTGAATCCTCACAGATGTGAAGTCCAAGAGAACCGATGTCCAAAACAAGTTCGTCGTGGTGCTCAAGTGTCCCTGTCAGAATCTCACGGCACGCGGCAAGCAATTTGTCCAGGGGTTCAAAGGCGAGAGTCGAATCCTGCAGAAAGTACACAGCAGAGGCATCTTCCATCATTGGTGGGAAAAGTGACATCTCTTCGTCCATGTAGTTTAGAGTGACAGGATGGGGGGGTGGGTGGTCGTTGGTGGCCGCTTCTACAGCCTCGTATTCCTGCGGCACCGAGTCTGAGCCATCAACGGTATGCGGTGCAGTGTCGGACTGATCTCGGCCGTCAGCAGACTCATTTGGGAGGTGCTCTACACTGCTTTTGGCCTGCGTTTGATAGTCCCCGGCAGTTTGTTCCTGTGGAAGAGTATGGTCTTTCTCACCAGAGACATCTTGTCCCACTTGCTCTAGTATAAGTTCAGAGTCTTCCTGTACATTTTCCTCAGAATGTATCAAGGTATCTTCGGGTAGAGATTGCTCGTCTTCGACTGGAAGGAATGTCTCTTCTGTCTCATGGAAAGGCTGAGGTTGTGAAGCAGCATCAGTCTCAAAATCGACAAGGTCGACCTCAGCAACGGCCTCTATATTAGTTCGAGCGACGTCACCTTCTGGCTGGATGGAGGTGTCGACTTCTTCTTCTTCGTAGAGAATGTCCTCGTCTTCGTCCACAGGGATGTCACCGGCATCCCCATCCATGTTGAAATCAAGGTCTTCCGGGTTGGTCTCATCAATCATATCATCATCGGCAACGGCAACCTCGGCCTGCGTTTGAACGAATCCAGTATCATGGTTGTCTAGCTGAACCCGGTCGTCATCAACCATGTCATCATTAACTGAGCCGATGACGGAAGGATCGCGAACGGAGTCCAGATCGATGTCGATATCGTCAACCTGTCGAAAAGGTGACGATGCGACGTCCATTTGGTCGTCCAGGTGTGGCGCGTCCATATCGTGGAAAGCGACGGAGGGGATTGTGGTCATTGCTCTGAGACCGAGCAAGTTGCGCAGATTGCCGTCTGGTACCGAATATCTTCCCTCTCACTCTAGTTCTTGCGATACCGCACGGTCGGTGAGTTTGGGAAGGGAGGCAAGCGAAAGGGTCAAAAAAGAACAAGACGAGCGGTAATGTGGCCGCAGGCTGCAGGCTGGATTTAAAATAGCTTGGAATATGGTAAGTCGGCAGAAAGTCGTAGCAATCAAATCAAGAGTCGATCATTCATCTCAAAAGCAACGGCTTCACAGAAAGCATTGTCATGTAATAGGCCACTTCACACGGAGGTGCGATTCAGGAGTGTGTGAGAAAAGAAGGGAGGAGGCAGCAGTGTTGATGAACTGAAATGAATGTGAACGCGGGAAAGTTTGAGACTCACGTGACCAGCCACTATCTCCTAATACGGCATAGCTCGCACAATGACTCGGCAGAACTTCACGCAGTATCAACAACTGGTACGGGGCAGTAGCAGCTTGAATATCGAATGAACACGGCGTACAGCCCCTACAAGTCAAGGAGTTTTATTTGGTACGGTCTACGCTGTTGCCGTGATGCAGTCGTGGTCTCTATGCTAGTTTGTTCACATCGACGCGATCTATGCGCATCTCGTCCCCTGATGGTATTACTACCATCCCGTCACCATATCCGTCCAGGATGAACAGGAACATTGCTCTTCTGGCGCTCTATATCCTTGAGTTCGGGTAGGTCCTCTACATCGAGATGCTCATACACGATGCCAGCCTCTCTGAGGCAGCTTTCCACCACACCCATGTATCCCAGCGTCTTCTCTTCCGTCAATCTTCGTCCGACAACCTGCACCGCAATGGGCAAGCCTTCCATTTTCGACGCATCGTAGTGCTTGTAAGCCCCTCTCTCAATGCCATTAGTCGGCTTCCACCCTTTCTCGAGCGCATCGAGCTCCTTGTCAACCTTTGCAACGGGCAAAATGCCGGCAGAGTAATCCAACAAGTTCCAGAGGAAAGTGTAGCCACAGCTTGCCACGGCATCTTTCATGGCACCATGTGGTAAAGCCGGCGTCGCATTACCGGGACACAGTATGAAGTCAAAGGCTTGCTCCGACTCATTCCACCATTCATACCATGTCGCTCGGAATGCCTCGCGTTTGGCCACCCATTGCCACTGCTCGGCCGCGCTCAGCGGGTGAAAGTATTGTAATATGCTCGCCCAAAGAGGATCGCCCCTCACGTACCGCGTCCAGAGATACCACAGGTACTTCACAGGGCGAGGGAGGGACATGTAGAACTTGATTTGCGCAGCGCCAGGGTCATTGCTTTCACCTGTCCGGAAAAATGAGCTGAACGTTCTACCACCATCTGCGCAGAGCAAGACACTCGCAATCTGAAGTCCCAGCGCGGGAGTTGCGGTTTGAGGGTAGCTTTCAAGAGGGATCTCGATCACTTCATGGCCTGCTTTGCGCAATGCATCTGCCGTCATCTCAAGACCTCTTGCTATTGCCGGTGACGGTTTGACGACGCCGTCGGTGGTGATCAATCCGACCCTGAGTTTCTCCGACGAACGAGCTTTGTCGAAAAGCTCCTGCCTCCACGGAATTGGGTGGACAGTGTAGTCGACTTCCCATGGTTTCATCCGGATAAAAGCTTTTGTGAAGTATGTAAGATCATCGAGCGTTCGCGCCATCGGAGAGAAGACACTTGGAACGCCCTCTTGCCCAGGCATGCTGGTATTCATGCCAACCTTGGGCCATCGCCCTGTACTGCAACGCAGGCTGTTGATTCCCGACCAAGCGGCCGGTGCACGTACGCTCCCGGCTACGTCTGAGCCAATACCTATCCTGGACCCGTTCAGCGCAAGAAGTGCCCCTTCACCGCCCGTACTCCCTCCCGGCGAGTACCGCGAATTGTGGGGGTTTCTGGCGACACCCCAGAGGTCATTCGTGCTTTCGAAGGAAAGCAGCGTGATGGGTAGTGCCGTCTTCGCGTGTGGTATTGCACCTGCTCGTTTGAGCAATTTGACCATGACTCCATCTTCTGCATATGGTTTAAAGACGTGTCGTGAATATCCGACGGACACGTCGAAGCCTGCCACGGCAATGCTATCTTTCAGAGAGACTGGGATGCCAGCCAGTGGACCATTGAGGTTCACATCGGACGATTTGGCCCATGCTTCAGCTTCTGGAAGAAGCAACTCCGTGACACAGTTTGTGCGCTCTTGAGCAATGGCTGCGGTTTTGCCGTAGGTGCGCAGGATGTCGACGGGGGAGATATTTCCGCTGTGTACGTCTTGCACAAGGGTCGCTATTGGCGCATTGAGAATAGACCGCTGATGCGATGTCAGTGGCCCTTTGTATACGTCTGGGAGAGACTCGAAACGTGCATCGCGCTGGCGCTGCTTTATTACGCTGGCTAGTTGTCAGCAGCCGAAGACCGAAGCGGGACAGTAAACACGGCGTTACCAGGCTCGGCGGTGCTCGAAATAGTCAAATGGAGGATTCATTGCGACGGATACATGGTTGTTGGACGCCCCGGGGGGAAATGTGAGGATCAAGGGCGTTCCGTCACAGGGATGTGGAATGGCAGAAGATAGAGGTGGCCGATTCGACAGCTTCGTCGTCGGTGCATTTTACTGTGCATTCTTGAGTCTCCACGCAGCAGGGCGCTCTTTTGCGTTGTACGGATACACTTGCTTTCACTTCCTGTAGATTCTGGAACACTGCGAATAAATACCATCCCATTCCTCTTAGCCTTGATACGATTACAGTCAAGCAAACCAACTGCAGCTTTTACATTCCCGCGCCATCCATCATGTCATTTCGGTCCATCATCGCTAAGGGAAAAGAGACCACCGCTCGCTCGCTGTCCGCCATCGATAATGTACAGAGATAATATACAAAAGGCACCACGCAAAACCACTCCCATCACCGGTCGTCTCGTCGTATAATGTTGGTACAGTGGGTATCTCAAGCACAGAATTTATATACTCAATGTTCTATGTCCACCAATGCTGGCCCCCACTGCTTGAGTACACTCCAGTTGAGACGATCTGATTTGCTTGTAAATGTCGTTGATATTGCGGGTCGTAGCTCATAACCTGTCCAATACTGCCGTCGGGACTTTGGTATACAACAGGGCCGTGGCCTGGCACGGTCGGAGGATGATTTTGCCATGCTTGCATATCGGCCTGCCCATGAGGTGAGACCTTCGTCGTGGCCATCACCATGTCATGAATCTCAGCCGCAGACTGTCTGCGGGAAGGCGGCTGAGAATAGTGGTCTGGTTCTATCGTTCCGCCAGGAACTGCCAGTTGAGCACCCATAAGCGGTCTATCAAGAGGCTGGCCAGAGTATCCAATCTGTCTCGGCGTCGCCGAGTTTCGTCTTGAGCCAGGATGCACTTCGCTGAGTGGAGACAGCATACTTTCCTGCGGCGGCGTCGGCGGAGGGCCAACATCTCTTCCAAATCGAGAAAGGGGTGCTGCAGCCTGGTGTTGTCGAATATCTGCGATGCTCCTGCGTCGAAAGGCGGGGTCTGTTGGCCCAAATCTGTCCATATGGGGGACAAAGCCATCGCCTACGATCGGAGAACTAACAGCATGGCCCTGACGTCCAAATTTCGGGTCGTAGAACTGCACACCATGCTGCACGGTAATGTGCTCAGCTTCCATACTCGTTGGATGCCGCGCACCAGCCTCGTGAGGAACCCTCGGATCTTCCATTGATACAATGCTCGGTGGAAGAGAAGTCTGTGCGCTAATGTTCTGTGCCTCGTGCATCTCCGATACTTGCTGCTCATTAACTACCACGGCAGGCTGGCCGTAGTAAGCATTAGGTGCTGGATCTTGAGGCATCATGTCGCAAGGCATTCCTGGATACGCCCATATCGCCTTGTCCCACAAAGGCGGATAGTGGACCCACAAGGGAGGATGGAAGTCGGGATTGGAATCTGGTAGATAACCAATGGTCGAGTATTCATCTTGTTCAGGGGCGTTGAACGAAGTTGCTGCACTTGTTGGGAAAGAGGGCTGCTCGAAATTGTTCTGGGGGGGCGCCTCGTGAAACGACGTTGCTGTTATGTCGCCATACAAGAGTGGTTGTCCAAATGATTGCTGCATGTCTGGCTGCCACGGCTGCATGCCACCCTGGGCAGTTTGATGAAAGCTAGGTTGTGGCTGATCGAATTTTGCCTTTTTCTCCCCTCGTTGTTGGTCTTGCAAGGACGAAGAGGCAGACCGTTTGAGTTTGAGGTCCCCGGTTTCAACCTTTGTCGGAGGCTTCATTTGATTGCCTTTCGGAGATGCATCGCCTGTCGATCGCTTCATGCTTTCAGTCTCGGAGTCAGCTGCCGCGGAATCCTCGCGTTGCTCTTTGTCCGTCTTCTTAATCTCAACGAGAAGGTCGCCCAAAGCTGAGGCACCGATAGACGCGATTGCAGATACTCCGGAAATCGTGGATTCTTGAAAAACCTTCAGAGCTCGCTCAACCCGGAGGACATCTTCCTCTACATCGGTGTCCCCACGGAGTCGAGAAATGGCCAGAATGACAGATGCGCAATACAGACCGAAACACCGGAGCCATGAAGAAGCTGCTTTGGCGTGGTCCAGATCGTGGATGTATTCGAAGACATCAATGACATCCCTCACGGTCTGCAGCAAGTGTCTGAAATTATGTTTGACGGGCGTCTTGCGTGGCAGTCGAGGCTTGCCTGTTTTGTTCGTGCCACTCTGCAACTCATTAGTACTTTGGGCAGGATCCTGCATCTTCAAACGAGCGATGTTGCAGTGCAATGCAACCTCAAATAGCTGTACCTCGAATTGATGGTCGGCTATAGCAGTCCATAAGACAGGATCGGTCAAGCTCTCCTGTTTAAGCTGAGGTAGTCGAGACTTATGCTTCTGCAGACCCTGGAGGGCATCCTCGAATTTTTGCGCTTGCCGGTCTCCTGGATGATCGAACCTGGATTGATCCAAGAACTCCAACATAAAAGACGAGAACTCCTGGATATTTTGAACGAGTGCTTGCTCATCAGCCTTCATGTTCTTCCAGAGTGGCTTGGGGCTGGAACGGTAAGAGACAGTTATAGGTTGGCGACCAAGAATGAAGCTAAGTTGAGCGTCTAGGTCAATGATGAGCCACCATATACGACGACAATGCTCCGATTCCTCAACGATCTTATCTTGTTCCACTTCTCGGTGTCAGCAGGATATCAGATTGACTGATGCAGCGGATACTTACGACCAAGTAATTCAGCTTCGCGCACAAGGCACGGTAGCACAGTCCAGGCTTGGGCTACCATACCCTGCTCGAGTAGCTTTCTTGTGGATAGACATCGCATATAGAGGTGCCGAAGCGGACGTGACGACGAGCCGTCCAGGTCAGGCACAGCAGCGGAGCGAGGTCCAGCCACAGACACAGCTCCGTCTTGGTCCTCTGTGATGCCTGATGGGATACGGTCCTCCTCGTCACATTGAACTCTGAAGACTTGAAGCGCTTGAATGGAGGTGACAATGTCAAGGATACGCCCTTCTAGGGGCAGCATCGATTTGTACTAGACAAAACAAGAGTTAAGGAACTGTCTGAAGGGAAAACGGCACGGTCCATACCTCGTCTATGCAGCGTGCCAACGAGAAGGTATCGTAAAAGGCATCGTGAGGCCGAAGCACGAGGCGTCCTTCCTCCACATCATCTGTCTCGTAATCTGAGACCTGCTCTTGGGGACCGGACGCATCAGTTTCGTCGGCTTGGTCGTGGGAACTCGACATAGCAGCCTAGAGAGAGCTATCAGCAAGGGCAACCAGACGCACAGACACAGATGCGCACATCGGTGTCCTCCCCTTCCCTTAAGAGTACGCTTGGGTAGTAGCAGCGAGGCTTCTTGCGCTTTCGTTGACATGTCGTGCAAGGAATTCCACCAGAGCACTGTAAATATTGTCAATCATCACGAGTGGCGGGACATGGCGGGGGAGACAGCGTACCTTTGACTTGCTCTCACGGCAAGGCACGCAAGAATTGGCTCGTCTCTTCGGAACTCTTGTGGTATGGTCTCCATGCGACGATGGAGGCCCGGGTGGTGACATTTTCAGAAGCAACTCTCATGGTTCTGTGAAACCATAGCCTCCCGACGAGCCGTTGCGTAACCGCAGCCACAGTATGATCGTCTGGAAGTACCCGCCCGGGTTGGATTATCGAAGGGGCACAGCGCGACGTCTTGTCAACAATGCCAAAGGTCTAACGTCACAAACACAGTGGTAATACTCTGTCTCACTGATGAAGAGTACGAGCTGACCCAAAGGATGAGACTGCAAACCAACTGTCCCGACGATCAGTCCTTGAGAGGGAACACGTTGAGATCAAAGCTCAGAGAAGGTAGAGACAAGGTGTTGAGAAAGTCAGTAGTGTGGGCACAATAAGAAGAAACATCGGTGGCAAAGGAATAGGCTTGTTGACAGCACCCTGCACACACTTTTGGTGCATCTCATGGGCTCTCTCTAACTCTGGATGCCAATGGAAGCGAGAGGAGGAGTGGTGGAGGACGAGGACGTCCCTGGATCGGGACTAGCGCTGGCGTCGAAAAGCTGCTAGGATAGAGATGTCTGATCACTGTACCAATCGGGCACAACTTTCAGCTGGGAAAGGTTCAGAACCTCGACCGCAAAATAGCCATGGCCAAACTCGAGGACGAGACGAAAAGGGAGTTCGCTTGGTGGAAAGCGTAAACGAGAAACTGGAGATACGAACCCCACCAGACGGCTGGTATCCGTACGCCAATCGAGTCCAGCATTAGCTTAACCCATTCACGTCAGCTGCGGAGTGTACGAAGAGTCGAGAGGAGGGATGAAAATAACTCCGTAGACCGGCTTGAATCAGCAATTAAGAGACCCCGGTACGGGAGCCAGGAGCGGCAAGCATTAGTTTCAGGTCTGTGCTTGACGCTGGAGTGAGTATCCTCGCTGGGGTTAGCCAGCAACTAGGGCTCAATGGTCAATCATCTTGGGCTCTAGCAAGATTACCAACTCGTGCGTCGACCAGGATTCACTGTCGTGCTGCAGCCGTGATTTGAGAGGATCAAATCTCAAGTGCACTTGCCTCCACGAGTCCACGAGATGGCGGTCTCTGCCATCCGTGCAAGACAAAGAACCACGAGTGTGCATGGTGTCAATCGCCAGGGACGGAGAGCCGAAGCGCGCATGGAGCGAGGTGATGAAGATACTGTATGCACATCATGACAAATTCAGCACCTGCAGCACGAGCAGCTCGTCCCTTGATGGCGAAACGACGATCTTGACACTTACGGCGGGGGGAAGTCAAGGCCGGCCTCATGCCATTGAACGATTGTGAGCTTGGCCAGGCAAGGGTGGACGAGACCGACTCAGGTTGACAAAACGGGTGCTCGGAGCGGAAAGGATTTCGTGCTCAAAGATAGACGAGATCGCAGCCCAGATCTTGCCTGGGCGCGATGGGCAGGAAATATTGGGATCGATCGTGTGTGACTGGCCAGTGGCCACTGACCACCGACCAGGGCTGTGGCTGGGTGACGGTATTGTCTCCCCGTCGCCGAGCCCCTTTGTCTCCTCGACGCTCGCCGTCTCGGTGTGATAATTCAAGAATTGGCCTGAAACAAGAGCCACATCCTGGCGATGGCGCCTTGGGGGGCGGAGCCTCCCATGGACGTGCAATCATTGAATGAGCGTGAAACTGATCAGGTTTCCAACACTGACAGACCACGACTGAGTCGACAACAGCAGACTATCGCGATGCCGGCGTTTGCTCTTCGAGTTGCCCTCCGAGCAAACCTTCGTATCCGTGGGTGAAGCTGAAGCTTGAGGGGACCGTTCGACCGAAGGGACGTTCCTAGAGCCCGTCATCCCTAGGCGACTAGCAAAGCCATCCCGGACGCCTCATACCTGAAGCAGTAAGGGCAGCACCGAAAAGTCTCAAAGACTCGCTTAGCTAGTCTTGAGACCAGAAATTTCAACGCCTAATTCATCGTTCCGGAGTCCCGTCTGCACCTAACGGCTGCCTCGTCTCTAGCTTCGCGAGCCGAGGATGCCGTTGTGCCAATGACCTCTGTAGGCGTCCCTGGTAAAGCCTTTGGCCCTGACTTTGACAGCCCACACCGCCCCTCCAGCACGTACTGTACAGTACATATAGTCTTTGTACTGTGCAGGTGTCGTGCTGCGAGGATGACGCGGTGCACCTTGGGCAAAATAGTAGCAATGCCATGCTCCTGCATGGTGCGTGATACAGCTCGCAGCTTCATGCTCCCCACGCTAGACATTGGAGCTGATACCTCTGCAGTTTCCACAACCATAGTCTTGGTGTCAGTGTGTGTGTGTTCATCACAAGCCGCCCCCAAAGACACCCCTCTCTCCCCCCACCATAACTTATATAGTATAGTATAAGAGATCTTGGGATCCATCTAGGCGGGCTATGGACGGCGAACGGCTCTGCCCGGTGGGCAGAAGTCCTCAGTCCTCCTCTAACACAACCATGCTTGGGGCCGCACCCTCGGCGGTGGGCCGTGACCCCACGCCTAAATGTGTAAAATCTCGAGACGATAGGACTGATAGGAACGGCCCTGGTGAGCCCAAGATTGCTGACACCTGGTGGCCGCTACCAGCACGACCGAGGACCACCAAGCGATGGCGCGCATTATTGCTTCATTGACTCATTCGCACAAGGTTACCTAGTCGATTCGCTAACGTCTGATCCCAACACAAGGCTAGCCTGGCTTTATGGCCGCCTGAGGAAAAACATGACACTGGGGGATCCCTTGCATGCTTCACGTACAATAAACCGGGGGTTTGGGCAACGCCCCTTACGCTCGCTTCCGCTCACGAGCAATAGCTCTCATTCGTCTGCGCCATGACCCGAGGAATGTCCCAAAACGGTAGCGAGAAATTAGAATAACTGAATGATAAGTGATGTTTGTTCGAACAAACCGGGCCTTCTAAGCTAGGCGCAGTCACCAGCCCTCGACATCGCCGTTCTTTCTGACGTCTGACGCACACCAGGTCTCGACAAACAGTTGAAATCGCCAAGGGTGTCGACGAGTTGACGGTAACGAGAGGCAAATTATGGAGGAAATCAGACCCCGCCGCCGAACAGAGGGACGATACAAACGCACAATGGTGCCTGTCATCCGCGGATCCGTTTCCCCCCGGTTGAAATGCAACTTGGACAGCAGCCATAATCATTTGGCGCAGTGGTCGGACGCAACATTGGGTCCCAGATTGACGTGTATAGATGGGCACCGGCGGCCGCGTCCAGCGTCGCTGCCATCTTCTATGTCGCTTTCATGCATGTCCAGCTCCGAAGTGCTCGTTTCAAATCTACATGATATGTATGCTCGTGGTCGTAAGCCATGGGCGCCTCTGCGAACTCCAGTTCTCATAGGCAGATGAAAGTAATCTCCACCGCTTTGCAGGTCTCACCTTTACGTTCACCCGCAGAATCGGCCTCATAAAAGGTTGGCACAAGCGTACATTCACTCAAGGGCTGTTCTCTTCTGGCAATGATAGTCCGTCAGGGGCAATTCGAAGGGGTTCCGAATGATACGGCGTGCCGCTCGGTGCTCCCACAGGTTTGCAGTAGACTATACCTGCAGAGAGATCTACCAGCTCCAGCTTCACTGGCATGAATGAACCGGGTCTAACCGATTTCTCCCACCCTTCTGGTGACTTCAGTAACCACATAGGTATACGGAAGGGATGGAGCCAACCTCGGATACCAGTGTCGTCTTCTCGCACGCCTGTTGAGGGTGTTTCCCGGTTTACAACCACGACATCCCAGACCTCCGGTAATTTCACCTCCTTAAAGTGAAAGGCTCTGAATAACGCACGTACAGCCCAAGTGTACATGGGAACTCTCGCCAATGTCACCTCGGCCCGCTGGAATCTGGCCATGTCGGAAAAACTGGCTTCGATGTCCGACCGCTTGAATGGCAATTCAATCTTGCTCGCGCTTTCTCCTGGTTCAATGATGCCGTTTGCCACTGCCCGTAGATATGCATCAGCCTGCCACCATACACAGAGATCGGTGTATCGGCGGAGCGGGCTAGTGCATTGAACATAGGAAGCAACATCTAAATACACATGTGGGATTGGACTGGCTGAGTTGATGTAACGTGGCAACCGGCGGTCAAGGTCGAAAACACCGGTGTTTTTCAGCATGGATAGTGACACCCCTGGCTGAGGGGAGGATCCAGCAAAATAAGCTGGTATATCCCGATCGCCAAACCACTTGCCCGCGGACTCACAAGCGAGTTGCATGAGCATGGCGGTGAGGGGCCAGATATGCTCGTTGTCGGTTGTGCGAGAAATTTCGAGATCGTGAGGGTGCGCAACCGTAATCGCCGGGTCTCCAACATAATGGTAACTTTTGAAAAGACGTCCTGGGTCATAGTCTTCAACGTAGTCAATGGTCGTTCTCAGACTGGGGCGCAGAATTTCAAGGTCAATATACTCAGAAACCTCCCGGCGTCTCGCTTTGATCCGAGCAATGGCTAGTTCCTCTAGCTTTTGGAGGGTAGGTTGGTGTGACGCAAGATGCTGAAGCTCATCATCCGTAGGATATTTGGGGCCAAGCATGTTAAGTCGTGGAGGTTGGCCAACAACCATGTAGGAGATTCGGGTTGATTTCGGCTTCCCTAAGAGCGCGCGTTCCTCATCATGAGTCATGGTAATCGTGTTGTGTATTCTAGTGGGTCGAACATGGATGTCTAGGACTTCACCAGACTCAGTGATGAGGGTGCTGATGGTTGTTGTAGGCTTCCCAGCATCGAGACTCATGGACTCTGTGAGCGGCCCGGGTAGCATCTGTTGCACCGTCGTCGGGGTGTAGTAAGACCGGGTCACCGCTCGAGCTCGTTTGGCAAAGATGTGATCGGGATCAAAAAATGCGCTGGGGTGTGCAATATGGACGTGGATCCAGTACGTGTTCGGCAAATCTGGATGAGGCTCCAAGGAATAACCATCGTCCTTGACCACAGTGTTCGCACTGTCGACAATGAAGACGGACATAGCTCCTAGGTCTTCGCGCAAATGACCCAAGGAGTCATGCAGTAATGCATGACTCGCGTTCTGGCTCAGTCCTAGTTCTTCGCACATACTTTCAGACTCAGCGAAGGCGGTGTCGATTTCCTCAGCCCCTCTCCGCTTGGCGAGTGGCATAGCTGTATGCTGATCTGTCGTCTCGAACCACGGAGCCATGACGCCCAACTCCTGGAGAAGAAGACTGCCAATCTTGCGTTCGAGTCGCAGTTTGGGATATGCACCGATGGCACGAAGGATCAAAGAACCGATGGAATGGTTCTTGTTTCGATGGAGAGGCCTGGGGCAACGGGCGTAACAGTCCCAAAGGAATTCTAGAACCTTGATGTCGTCCTCCGAAAAGACAACCCCAGATTCTTTCGCTTCAACATTTCGGCCAGTGGCTGGCTTGATCGAGCTTGGTCCTAGACTTCCAATCGTAGTTGGAGACCGCAGATCTCGACTTTGCAATATCAAGCCTCGAGCCTTCTCGATGAACTTGGTCAGAGGGTTCCGTGCAAGGAGCGACGAGACGTTCTTTCCTAAAGCTGCCTCTGCAGCTGCCTCCTGGTACTCGCGAGCCCATGCGCAGACTTGATCAAAGGAAGCTGCTGCTTTTCGAGGGATGATTGAAACCCTAGCGGTGGTTGATCCCGCCGAATAAGCACGCATCAAAGTCGACGTTTTCTTAGTTTGTAGGTAAATGGCCATCTCAGCCTCGAAAGGAACGTTGTCTGAAGAGGTATTGAATAACTCTGCATAGATCTCCACGTATGTCAGAGTTCTGTATGCTTCGGGGTGGGCAATCCGTTCGTACAAAGAGTCCAAGATATCAATGTTGCTTCGACGGAAGTCAAGTACCGAATCGACAAGCGTCGCGACCCGTTGCATCAAGGCAGCTCCGTCGTCGTGTGGGATGTCCCCAGCAAAGGAGCGGACGACAGGGATTTCATCGATGCCATCCGTACGCATGTCCAAGTGCTTAACTGGCAGATGTTTTTTGATGTATCGCAATTCTTCCTCCGAAGCAAAGCTCTTGCACACGGGGGCGCACCTCGTGTCGACAGCAGGTTCAGCAACCCATCTGCCATCGGCGAGAAACAGACGATGTTGGTTTTGTAGGACGGCATCCAAGTAGATAGCCCACTGCCCGCGTGCGCCAGTGTGTTTTGAGTATATGTAGACAAGATCACCAGGCTCAATCAACGACGTTGTCTCCGCGGCTTCAACTGACTCGTCGAATTCGTCGAGGCCTTGGTCGAGCGTATCCTCATCTGACGTCGTTTCTTCAATGAACAGGGAATTAGGGAGCGTATCCAGTCTCTGCCCTTGGGCATATTGCACCTCTGCGTCTTCGGCCTTTTGCTTCTTGTTTTGAATAGCCCATGTACGTAGATGATCACGAACCACGGATTTTGGAGATTGTGCATGTGGAGGCCCTGGTCTGGCGACGTCGAGGAGTAATTCATGATCATACACAGTCGATGCAGGAGCACTCTGTCCTGGCTGTCCTGGCGACCTGCGGCTCGTATGAACATGATATTGTCTTCTCTTGTTTTTTGATGTGCACACTTCTGTCCTGGTGTGCGCGATGTTGTATGATCGCCATCGTGCAGAGGCCGTCAGCCGACAAAGCAGCTGCGAGCGACACTCCTGGCATATGTAGGGCAGTCGGCGTGGTATCGAAGAGCGTACATGGCTCGTGTTGGTCCACATGTCCAGCCAGAGAGCAAACACGAGAGTCGAGGGATTCGACGGTACAGGAAGGATTCTGATGGTCAGCTTCGTGAAGGGAAAAGGGAAACAGCTGTGAGGACGCGTACCTGTGCTCTTCTCTTGTAGAACGCAGCGATGTATCGACGTACTGTACTCCGTACGTCGCCTCTGGTGTGCAAGAGACTTTTTTCTCCGCATTGCGACTCCAACTCTGGTGTGCCTTAGAGAGTATTACGACGAGTACTACTCGGTACTCGTAGTGAACTAACCTAGTACCTAACGGATGCTCGTTTGAGTGACTCAACCCAGACCGCCACACTGCCTACCCTTCCCGCTACTTGATCACACATTCTGAAGTGTCCGTGACTGTTATTCTTCTGTTGAACTGGGATGCACATGTTCAGGCGAGCCCAACACCTTGAATAGTAACCGGCGCGACTCGCTCTCGCATTGAGCACATCACTTACTTGGACCGCCGATATTTTCCCCCACCTGCTCCTGTCACCATGCCTATGATACAGCAGCCTGCGAACCAGATCAAACTGACCAATGTATCACTGGTCCGCTACAAGAAGGGCAAAAAGAGATTTGAACTGGCATGCTACAAAAACAAGCTGCTCGAATACCGCTCAGGCACAGAGACTGATCTTGACAATGTCCTTCAAGTTCCCACGATTTTCCTCAATGCTTCCAAGGGCGAGACTGCGCCAAACGCCGAACTCGCCAAAGCCTGGCCGATGCCGGCCTCCGAATCCTCACACAGTGGCAAGTCGAGCGGCAAGGGTGGAAAGAAGGGCAGGGGAAAGTCTGCAGATGAGGGCGAAGACGAGAAGTCTTGGAAAGATTCCATCATAGAGGAGATTCTCAAGAAGGGCGAGATACAAGTCAATGCTAACGAGAGGAAAGAATTACTGGAACGCATGGAACGAGAGATCGTTGAAGAAGTTGCCCAGAGATTGGTCGATCCGCAGACCAAGAGGGTGTACACCACTGGAATGATCAAGAAGGGATTGGATGTGCTCACCAAACAAGGCGGACACGTCCCATCTCAAGACTCACTCGGACATAAACTCGGCAAGTTGAACCTGGGAGAAGGCGCAAGGATGACCTCGGGCCTACCGAAAGGCTCCAGCGAGACAAGTGGTCAAGCAACCCCTATGACTGACGACGACAACGATTCAACGAGTGCAACAGCTAAGGGCAAGAAGAGCGATATGCCCATGTGGACTGGCGTAGTGACAACAAAGTCGGTCAAGCAGCAAGCTCTCGAAGCGATCCGAGCATTAATAGCCTGGCAACCGATCCCAGTAATGCGCGCAAGAATGAGGCTGCGAATCACCTGCCCAACAAGCATTGCCAAACAATCGGCAAAGTCCAAAGTGGCCGCTCAGGATGGGGGCACAGAGAACGAACAGGGCAAAGGTACCGTCAAAGACAGGATTCTTTCATTCGTCGAACAGGTGGAAAGCCAAGATACCGCGGGCGATGAATGGGAGGTTATTGGGTTCGTCGAGCCAGGTGCTTTCAAGGCATTGGGAGAGTTCTGCTCCGCCGAAACAAAAGGCCGAGGAAGACTGGAAGTTCTCGATATGGCTGTAACACACACCGACGACTGAACGCCATCATGCTTGAATCCCACCACTTTCGGTCAGAAGCATCTTCAGCAGCACTCCTAACGTCCGTGAATCGCAGGAAACTCTCTGGGCGATGCTAATGTAGCAGAGCATTATGGTCGTCTCTACTCCGAATCTCCTCTGCTTCTGCCCTTGACAACAAAACGTGCTGGGGAACATCTGTGGTCACGATATATTGTTCAAAGACTGCTCAATCGGGCATAGAAACCGGAAGCACGGACCAAGCTTGGGCGCAAACGCACACAATGCTGGTGTGAGAACCACATTCTACTATCACGAAGCAAGGTCAGAACGATCTGGACCGGGGTTTCCTTCCCGTGGGTTCCCGAGAGGCTTACATACAGCGCATTTTGACCGCGAAATGGCCACCTCACATGATTGCCGCATTACAGCAAGAAAAGGAAGCACGAGTGGGACGGACGGTCACACTACCTCGAATGATTGCGTCAACACGACCACGGTAAGGGGTGAATATGGGTATGAGCGGATTACTGATCTCTCCGACACAAGGCTGCCACCACACGTACGAGGTGGGAAATCATATAGTGAGGCGACCGAACTTGCTCTTTGGATGAGAAGCCTCCGTCACGGACTCAATCGAACTGGTGGGAGCTTGCTTGAGATAAGGCACCAAAACGAATGGGTTACAAAGTCACTGACACGATCAAGAGTGAAGCATAATAGTGTTGTCATGGTTCATTCAATCACTTATCTGTTGTTGAGTGAGCGTAAACCACCTCAGTGCCGTTGAGATTTCCTTGGCTCCGAAACGAGCGGTCTCCCGAAGGTAATAGAAGAAGTAATGTCCACGATGCCCCCTTCAAGTCCATCTAGATAAGTGGCTCATGTTCAGATAACATAAGCTATGTTCATGTTCATATTCAAATTCGCGCCGTTCCCATAAAGATGACAGACCATGCTGTCCCCGCCGTTAAAACCTCGCAATGCCATGCCATGCTAATAAAATCCCAAATTTGTCCAGACCCAATTTCCCAGCGCCGGGTGAAAATGCATTCGAGCACGAGAGGTCGGAACTCGATCCGTGATAGCGGGGCGCGTAAAGAGATCGCATCCGAGCGTCGTGTCGTTCCTTCGTTGTGTACAGATGAATTTAATTGTATAATCAGCCCGTCGCCACTCGGCGTTTTCCACATCAGCGAATCCCATCACGATCATGATCTCATGTTCATGTTCATCAAGCCGCAATCGCACTCCGTCGGCCCATCTGCATCATCATTGGCTCGTCGTCGTTTCTGAAATCTCGAGACTTCAAAGTCGCTCTCGTCATTGCTTGCTCCAGTTCCTCCGCGGTAAAAGGGGTGTCGTGTACGGTTATCTGTTTTGACAGAACAATATCGGGGATGTCCATCGCTATTCCGCTATCGTGTTGCGTCAAGCCCGCGGCGCGTGCGCCGTACTTGATATCCCGTTCTGCAGGAGCAGAGGACACGGCGGTGGAGTGATCGAATATGCTTGCTACAGGAAAAGATCGTCAGTCTCTGAACGAAATCACAGTTGTGGGATGTGAGGGTGGGAGGAGGAGTAACATACTACTGGCAGTCTCGACGTCCAGGGCCGTGCTAGCGCTGAGGCTCTTCTCCCTGGACGTGCTTCCGCTGGAGCTCAGGCTCTCCAGGTGAGTTTCGGTACGTAGCCCGGAATGTGAGGGTCGTCGGCTGGGTGCTCTGCTGTGTATTCTACTCTGGATCCTGCTCGGTGCCCTGCTGTGGATTCGACTTGGTGCTCTGCTCGTGGCTCGACTTTGTGATTTGGTGCCACGGGGGCTGAACGATCCCGACAGCGCGAGACTTGATCTCCGCCTGGCTGACGTGAAGGCGTCGACGAGGCTGAAAGCGGCAAGGCTGGCTTGATGCTCGGGATCGACCTTGCCTCTGTACTTGGACCGCGGGATTTCATGGGGCTTGTAGTACTCTATATCTGTGCGGTCGGTGTAGTATGTCTCGCCTGGTGGAGGTATGTGTATATCGTCTCTGGTCTTCTTATGAGACGAGGAGAATGTCTTTCGTAATTTTAATCGGAGACCCATCTTGATGTCTGTAAAGGAGAGTAGGACGACCGCGAGGTCCTGAGAGTTATCTGTGCCTTTCGTATGGTAGTTGGAGGTTCTATGGGAGTGGACTGTTTCAGTGGTAGAGATAAGAGGCGACAACTGCAGGGAGAGAGAGGTAAGGAGTCTACAAGTAGGTGAAGCCTAAATCGAGTAGACTAGAAGAGCTTCGACAGCCTCTGTACATATAAATGAAGCTGAAACTTGAGAAGTGATTCTTCAGTCCAAGCACCAGACAATCGAGTGATGAGGATGAGATAGAAGAAACGAATACCACGGGTAGTCGAAGTCCGGTACAAGTACTGGGGAGACTCAAAGGTGGTGGGGGCCCAGGTGTTTGGACACAAATCTGCCAAAGAAGGAAAGCTACACTCGTAAATGCACATCATTCACGGACACTCCGTCGGCCGTAGGCATAATAGAGCGTTGCAAGTTATGCGTGTAGATTGGGAGCGGGTGTGGTATCCACATACAGACATCATCTTTATCGCCTGAATTAGGTGTTGTAACGTGCGAGGGCTCCGTTCTGAGGCGTACAGAAGATATTGAGAGGCCAGAGAGCTTGAATGGATAAGCCTCGACCATCCGATAATTCCGCCGCAGGACGCCGATAGGCTCCTTGACATTTCCAAGTGGCCAGAGGCCCGGGCGGCGGAACCTGAAAAGGCTCCTGATGCATCCTGAGACAGGCCCTATTGGGCCAGCCGACCGTCTGCCGGTGGGCCTGCAATCCTACCTCACTAGACCCGTTGCTGCTTCATCTCCTCCTCCTCCTTCTCCAGATTCGCCGCGTTGCAATGCAACCCGCTTGGAGGTATGGGAGGCCCCCCGTGGATGTGATCAGACAATCTCCGATACACGGGTGATATATCAGAGAGGGCAGGCCACGGTTTGTTCAATCCTGGACGCGAATATGCCAGCTTCGCAACAAATAAGGATCTGCATTTCTTGTCACTGCGAGGAAGGGCCGGTGTCACCTTCTAGAAAAACCTTCTTTCCAGGGGTCGCGGCCAAATCTGGGCTCGCCGAGAGCTGGTTGGGTGGCGAGAGTTTTGTGTGCTTGTTCCTTGCATTGGGGGCCTCGCTGGGCCCAAAGCTGGTGTTGGCGATTTATCTGGGCATCGCTTGAATGCTGCACCGTCCCGCGTCACACTTGTTGGCCATCGCGCACACACTCCGCCGTCCACAACTTCGAGAGGAGTGTTTTACTTGTATCCGTATACGATACGGAGTACTGATAACAATCTGAGTCTCTCCCGAGTAGGGCAGTCTAGGTCGTAGTCTTGCACTAGACTCGGAAACGAGCAGCCATTCAAGCCATCTGTCGGGTTGGTAACGAGATCGAACACAGCGTTCGTTGGTCGATTAGCGAGTGACTTGTGCAATACCAGGGCGGGAGTGCTGACATGTGCCTGTGGACTGCTGATAAGAAAGGTCTCGGGAGTTTGTACGGAGTTGAGAGCGACCCATGGCGCATCCGGTGGCAATCGGAGGACAAGTGGCACAAGGGGCGCAAGAGGCGTAAGGGGACTGTCACCTTCGCTTTGCAATTGCACGGAAAAAAGTCGGAGCGCAGTAGATCGCTGCTTCACGTGATAAAGATCACGTGAATACTAGATCACGTTATGCGTATCTGTCATCCCTGCTTGTGCTCCGTATGCCGTCATTGCATGGCCACAGGGCAGTCTGTGTCTCCCTCGACCGTGTCTGAGCAGCCCGAAGCTGCGGCCTGCCTTGGAATTGTTTGAAACGAGACGCGCCACAACCCAATACTGCATGGTCGATCGAATACAAACTACATCATCTGTCGCGGGCTGATGATGTGCAGCAGTGCGACACATTGGCGAATCCTGATGCGCCGCGTCGAGTCCGCCGTCGCTCAGATTGTCCGCTTTGGCTGCGCCATGACTTCATCGCAGGTGTTACTCCTCCACCGGGCAGCTGAGCTTCTGCCAGACTTTCCGCCTTTCAGCTGGTTCAATCAAGGCTTCTCGACTTGGAAAGCTCCCCCTGTACGAGTACTCGTACTGTTCCCTGGCCGTTGCAATTCTGGCCGAGCCATGAGCCGCCATTGATCGCGAATCTGGGATACGCGCTACCCCACAAACTCGCCCAGTGGCAGACCGAAAAGCTTTGGCCCAATTGCATGCCATCATGTTACACACGGGATGTGCGTCTCTGTGGCTTGAAGATGATGTCCTGACGTATCGAGACGGTGACTTACGACCAAGATCACCTCAGGGCTTTTGGTGACCAGCAATGATGACGCAAGCCTAAACAAGGCACTGTGATGATGGCCCTCACCGGTGTTTTTATCCCCCTGCGGTCTTCATTGTGAATCTGAGCCCTTCTTCAGCTCGTAGAGTCCTTGCCTATCTTGCTGATTTGTACTAGTTGACCGAGAGCAGCAGAGACATGGATAAGGTGAAGGCCGTACTGTGAGTGCTGACCTCAATACTCTGTGCGTGTTCAAACACTAACCGGGAATCGTGAATCCAGACATTCCAATAAACAAGATCCAGACGGATCTACAAGTGTAGGTCCTACTGGTCGAATGACTGGACAGGGATCTCATTTTCCAAAGGCAGAAGACACGACCTCTTTCGCCGGAGTCCCCGGTGAGTGCCTCGTTCAATTGCTCAAACACTCCGTGTCCTCAAAGCACCTCTTCCCTTTGCAGTCACGACGGACTGACTCGTCCTCAGGCTCGGCCACGAAACAATCAGGTCAACTCAACCCCGACGACGAAATCGGGACTGCTGCCATTGGGACGACCTCTACCTACAGCTCACACCATCTTGCCAAAGGAGACCCTGTCGGCAACGTCATTGATTCCCACTCAGCAGATCCTACCACTTACAAAACGCCCGAACACATGTATGGTTCCTCCAGTATTGGGGTGCCCGAGGGCGCAGCGGGAACAGCAGCATCCCTAGCCTTCAACAAAGACCGACAACACAGCAGTATGTGAATGAGAATATAGCATTTTGTAGACATTTGTTGACGAGTGTTTTAGCTTCCCAGATTCCGGGTGCTTTCCCAAAGGACGAATCCTCTCCACAGGATTCTACTCGAGCAGCTTCAGCAGCGACGTCGGGCTTCGCTGGGTCCGGAGCTACACGAGATCCTTATGGTTCAAGAGGTCTCGAAGCTGCTTCGGGAGGCGCGGCAGGCACTGGCGGTTCGAGTGCTCTGGGTCAGGGCATCTCTGCAGCCACAGCTGGAGCGGCCGCTGCAAATACGTCTTCTCATCAAACAACTCATGACGTTACCACAATTACGCCCTCGGGTCTCACATCAACCTCGTCACCCGCCGATCGCTTCGCTGGGTACGGTGCAACCGAGGAGGTGAAGGTCCCCGATGAAGCTGCGCATAACCAAACCTCTTCATCAGACCCGGCCGCCACAGGATCAAGTCAGGCTGGTGCATTTGGGAAGATTCTCGGAGCTATGGGCCTCGGAGCCGCAGCTGGAGGTGCAACTGCAGCTGGAAGAGAAGATGCGAAGCCTGATATCGTTGCAGGCACCCCAGAGCAGCCAACAACTACAACAGGACTGACTTCATACACTGCTCCTACCGAGTCTGGACCAAGTGCAGAAAATTCACAACCGCCATCCTACCCTCGCAAGGAGAGTATCCCAACCAGTGCCTATCCTGCCGGGAAAGATTCTCCTGCTCCCATCAATCCTCCCGTAGGCGGCACAGCAGCTGCTGCCAGTGAGCCCGAGCATACGTACTATACCGGCCGCAACGAAGGTTTTGCTGTTGCGGGCATCGGTGCGGGAGCTTTGGGGACACATGAACTTGGGAAGCATAGGTCAGAGCCAGGACAAATCAACGAGTATAACATTGGCACGGGAGTCCAGAGTACGGCTCCCGCAGCGCCGTACGCTCCCGCGACAAGCACTAGGACTGAACAAGGAATGGATCAGAGTCAAACCTTAGCAACAGGATACAATGACTCCACCCCGGAGAGGGACTCAAAGGGCTATGGCAAGACCGCCGTTACCGCTGGTCTTGGGGCGGGTGCAGCTACTGCAGGTTCTTATGCTCTCGGACATGAGAAGAACAAGCCGGAGACCGGAGACTTTCGAGCAGAGAAGCCTTACACATCTACTGAATCTGCAACTGAGCCTTCCACCACCACTTCTCAACTGCCCGTCCGCGAAAAGGACGATGGCCCAGCCACATCCTCGGCGTCCGCAGAATATCCCAGTGGTAGGACTCAAGCTACAGAAGATGGTCACACCGCTCGCAACGTAGCTCTAGCGGGTGCTGCTGGCGCGGGGGCTGGCGCTTATGGGGTCCACGAATATAACAAACATCACACTGAGGAAGATCCAACATTAGGGCGCCAAGCACCAGCTACCAGAACTAAGAACACTCCTGTCACTGCTTACTCGCAGAACACGCAGGAGAAGACAACCAGGACGGATCCAAGAACGGACTCTGATCAGGATAAGAGCCGTACCAGCCGAGATGCTGCATTAGCCGGAACAGCTACTGCTGGAGCTGGAGCTGGTGCCTATGGTATTCATGAGCACGATAAACCTCGTGTAGATCAAGACTCATCCGCAGGTCGCCAATCAGCTACTACTAGCAGTAATGACCCCAGCACTGCAGTCAACGACACGAAGGCAACTCCTGTCGCAACTTCTTCCGGACCGACCTCGCAGAAAGCCACCAAAGGTGTCCCAACTGCAGCCGAGGAGGAGAAGAGTCATACCGGCCACAATACCGCTCTAGCTGGAGCCGCCGGTGCCGGTGCCGGGGCTGGGGCTTATAGTGCACATGAATACAACAAGCACGAGGGTGAAGAAGACGCCGCCCAGGCCGAGGCTCGACGACAAAAGGATCTGGCCGAGCAAGAGGCTGCTCGTCAAAAACAGTTTGAGAAGGACCAAAAGGCAGCCGAGAAGCTGGCTCACAAAGAGGAGAAGCAACATCAGAAGGAGGAAAAGAAGCGCCAGAAGGAACTTGAGAAGGAGGAAAAGAGACACCAGAAAGAAATCGAGAAAGAGGACAAGCATCATGACAAGGAGCTTGCCGCTGCCGAGGTTGAACGTGAAAGACAGGTAAAAAAGGAGAACCAATCGCGCGCTGAGGCTGTGGAAGCCGAAACGGCTCAAAGGCACAAGGAAGATACAGCGGCCGCTGCAGTCGGTGGAACCGCTGCCGTTGCCGCTTATGGTGCCCATGAGCACGACCAAAACACAGACGCACAGAAGCACCATGAACAAGAATCCCTCGGAAAACAGTCGGCTGGTTCGGGACGTCCTGCTGTTGTCACCGATGAGTCTGGTCATAATGTTTTGCATAAAGATCCGCCCAAGGAGAAGAAGCCGAATATCTTCAAACGCATCTTCAAACGACGCAAGAACAAGGACACGGGTGAAGATGAGGAATACAGCACTGACGAGGAGGATCTCAGTCATGACGCTCCTGATGCAGGGGTTGTCGGTGCTGGAGGTGGAGCTAGTGCAACTGATGCCGACGCCGCTCGTTACGAGCGTCGTTCGACTACCAGCACCAGCACAGGAGGGCATCATCGAAAGTCCTACGAAGAACAGAGCGGCGGTCTCCAGAAGCCTTCATACAACCCGTTCTCCAAGCAAAGTTCCACATCGGCAACCACTTGAGAACACGAACCTGTGACTACCGGCCTTGGTCACAGCGATCTTGGAGCAGAAACGATAGGTACTTTGGGTACGAAGGAATACGCCGGCACTCATGACATGAGCATCTATGCTGGAACCACGTCAGCAAGCGTGGATACCCCTACTACGACGACAAGGTCGGAGAACACAGGCGGTATCGCAGAGCGGGTCACGAGCGTCATGAAGGAGGCATCATTCACTTTTGGTCTCGGAACAAACCAAGCCTCTTGCCCAAGACATAGAGTGACCGTGATCACCCTTCCTAATGTTTCAATTTTGGATTTTTGGATTTTTGGATTCTTCAGAGTGCAATTACCGATGATACCAGGTGGTCAAACAACGACACGTTTGTCGGTGTTTTGTTTGTTGGGTTGGATGTGGGACGTAAGATGACTTGACGAATTTGCTTTGGACTTTTGAGCAGTACATACCTAGCAACGAGAAAATGCTTTTTGGCTCGATTAATTCGATTGATAATGCATGCTATTGCTGTTTGCTGCCTGCGAAGTTTTCCATTGGTACCGCGCTACGGAGCACGGGTGGCTTTGATTTGCCTTTGGCCCAACATAAAATATTCGACGAGTTTTGGACGCTGACACTGACGCGGATTTCGGATCGGTTTTTAAAACGTCGACAAACACCCACCCCCAGAGATCTCAAGCGCGCGCGGCTTTTCTCGTATCGACTTAACTAGTAGTTGGTTAGTGCTTCCCAGTCAACCCCTTTGATAATGATCTCTCCATGCGCGGAGGTCATTTTGGCCGGACACTACACCAGAAAGAACTTCGACCTTCGACCTTCGACCATCGCCGAGTCGAGTTTTCAATGACCAACGAGTGCAACTAGCCCGGGGTGTAGGTAACTCACTCACATGGAGTTGACGTGGCGTAGAGCTACGAGTCCCTAGTTAGAGAGGCAGAGGGTACTCTGTAGATTAAGCCCAATAAGACCTGGGTAACAACTACCCAGTGTATTCATTTCTCGTTCCTCCTTCCCGGTTTGCTACGCTTGCCAGGCTATCAATGAAGAACATCAAAATTTTGTTTAATATAGAATAACTAGGTAGTTACACCTATTAATACCTCGCCGACGCCAATGCTGCTGCTGCTGCTGCTTTTCTTCGAATGATGTTGTTACAACCAACGTACCCCTTGTCTTGTATTTCATGCCTCATGGGTCACCCCCTTTTATCTCCCATTTGATGACTCGGAAAATTGTCTGTAATATCGCCTCCACGTCCAAGTCCAGGATGCCCAAATTCAATCACCAGGACCTCACCGGCTGCAAGATGGGAAAGATGCGGGTAAGAGGAATATGATGGCGCGATCATGAGTGTCTCCCCCTCAAGCTGTCTGTCACACGCGATGTTGCGATGTAGTGGCGATGTGGCAATGATTAGGGGGGAACCTTTGTTTGTTTCAGTGCCGCGGCATTCTGCAAGACCAAAGCACCAAATCCAGGATCAAGAACCAATATCAGTATCAGCGTCAAGAATCACCCACGACCTGACTTCTCGCATCCGAATTGACACTCCCAAGCCGCATGTCTTCCATCCGTTATCCATGCACGAGATGCCCACAAAATTTGCGGGAAAAGGAGTGATGATTGATTCGATACTCAACGCAGGCACTTTGCATGCAAGGTAATTTCAAGAATCAGAATCTACCGTTGGGACGTAATTAGAGTGGTCCAAAGCCTTTTTTTCTTGAGCTCGCTCCTAGCGACTCCGTTTGGTGTACAACCTAGCCGCGATGTTCATGCTCCACAGTTCCTGGAACAACAGCTTCGCAGCGTAGGGGAGATAAATCTGACTGATCTTGTTCTTGTTGTTGCAATTCTTGCACTCAAAAGTGTTCTTTTTCAATTTCGCAATCACCGTCATCAAGCCGCAGATGTCGCACACGTGAACCCTAAAGGGATCCGAGACGTCAAAGAGACGTTCCTTCAAGAAGGAACTGGCGCCATGGGCAATCATGCAATCGCGCTCCATTTCTCCGAAACGCAAACCACCGTCCCGTGCTCGACCTTCCACCGGTTGTCTCGTCAAAATCTGCGTCGGTCCACGAGCACGGGAGTGGATCTTGTCGTCGACCATGTGTCGGAGACGCTGGTAGTATGTGGGACCCAAAAACACTTGTGCAACGAGTTTCTTGCCCGTGTGACCGTTGTACATGACTTCAAACCCACGAGATTGGTAACCCATCTTCCTCAGGATATCCGAGATCTGAGTGACTGTGACTTTGGTGAACGGGGTAGCATCGCCTTCTTCTCCACGCAAGGTCGCGACCTTGGACAGCTGACATTCGATCAAATGGGCAATTGTCATTCGAGAAGGAATGGCGTGCGGGTTGATGATTAAGTCTGGTACGATGCCTTCTCTGGTGAAAGGCATGTCCTCGTGACGGTATGTGATACCGATGGTACCTTTCTGACCATGACGGGATGCGAACTTGTCACCGATCTGAGGAACTTTGGTAGTCCGCACTCGTACTTTGGCGAAACGATGGCCGTCGTTGGTCGTCGTCAGCATGACCTGATCGACAATGCCTGATTCGGTAGACCGAAGTGGCGTCGAGACATCGCGCTTGACATGCTGCTTTTGTCTTTGACCCAGTTCTTCTGCATCCGGGGCCATTGGGGCGGTTTTGCCCATGATGATATCTTCGCCACTAACACGGACACCAGGCGCGACAATGCCATCTTCGTCGATCTTGTCGTATGTGCCGTGCTTTAGTCTCAAGGTGTCGGCTCTCGTAGGCTTCTCAAACGATTCGACGACAGCATGCCCGACGCTCTTCTCTTGATCCTGGTACGCGCGGTAGAACAACGACCGGAACAGACCGCGATCGATTGAGCTCTGGTTCATTATAACAGAGTCTTCTTGATTGTAACCAGAGTAACAAGCGATGGCGACAATGGCATTCTGCCCCGCTGGAAGCTCTCTGAACTTCAGATAGTCCATTGCCATGGTTCTGGCCAAAGGCTTCTGAGGATAGTAAAGAATGTTGGCCATTGTTTCCATGCGCTGGTCAAAATTGGTCAGGAAAACGCCCATGGCTTGTTTACCCATTGCGGATTGATAAGTATTACGAGGCGACTGGTTGTGGTCAGGGAATGGAATGATACTGGCGCAGACTCCTAGGATCATGCTTGGGTGGATTTCGCAATGTGTGAAAGAGTGCGAGTTTGGTGTAAGGAGTGGCTCGTTTCTGCCGAGTGGATCGTCAAAGTTCTCAATCTCCATTCCAAGCCACCTAGCCTTCGAATCGGCGAGGACTTCAGGCGTCATAACAATCATAGCCGTCTCTTCTTCTTCCGCGTCCAAATACTCGACGACGCCGGCTTTGAGGAGGTCATCCCATCCGTATGCGCTCACCTCATCGTTGAACTGGTAACCACTTTCCTTCAAGTAATTGGTTTGGTCGAGCTTGTTGATATGCTCCTTGTTCAAAACCAGATTGCCAACGTTCTCGGATGCCTTATCGGTCTCCACGACGAAAAGCGGACGGATGATCCTGCCCGAGTCTCCAGAAATCCTGAATTCCTTTTCTCTGATATCCCAGACTAAGCTGACTTGGGCATCGAAAGTGCCCTGTCTTCGAAGTCGGCGAAGATCGTCGACAAGTCGTTTAGGATCTCTCAGGACCACCGCAAACCACACACCATCGATGAAGATCTTCGTGGCCTGCGGGTTCAATCTAGGCTCCCATTCTTCGATGGCGTCGACGTGCTTGTTCAGGACGTAGGCTCTCAATGGTTCGGTCTCGTACGAGTTTGTAACCATGGACATCAATGATAGATTTTTGACGAGACCACAAGCCTGACCTTCTGGAGTTTCTGCAGGACAAACATATCCCCAATGAGTATTGTGGAGTTGACGCGGTTTAGCGATTTTGCCTTCACGACCAATTGGTGCATTGGTACGACGAAGATGCGACAGAGTAGATGCAAAGGTGTATCGACTTAGCACTTGAGAGACACCCGCCTTAGCCTTGTCGAGTTTCTTTTGATCGCCCCAATTACCAGTTGCCAGCGAGTATTTCAGGCCGCTTGTGATGATCGGGTGCTTGAAGCCTGCGTGTATACTGATTGGCTGACCAGCCTCGACACGTTTCTGCATGTATCGGAAGAAGTCTTTAGTCGCCTTGTCGAACTGCAGGCGGAAAAGATTGGTCATTAATGGTCCGGCCAGGTCCAATCGTTTCTTGCCGAGATGATCTCTGTCATCTGGTTCAGCCCGTCCAAGAGCGGCCTTCAGTAATCGGTTCACCATGTAGCCAAGGAAGAAAGCCTTCTTCGTAGCAACATCGGGGCCTTGTCCGATGTGTGGCAGAAACTCCTTCTGCAGAATATCTATAGCATGCTTCTGTCGTTCATGGCTCTTGAGGGTGGGGATATTGCCACGTCGCGCGATGAAGTCTCGGGCAAGATCGGCGCTTTGGATGGGTTGGCCTTCTTGCAAAGAACCCATCAGCATATCGAGCATCTCCTTGTCGCTCTGGTCAAAGCAGATCTTTTCCAGAATATCGGCATCAGACACGATGTCCAATGCTCGAAAGACAATGACAAGTGGTATGTCCTGCTTGACATATGGCAATTGTACTCGGATAGGGTTGTCGATCTTCGTCCCGTCAGGACCGTCGACTCTGCGGAAGAGCTTGACGGTACACTGAGACATCATCCGCGCGCCGCGATCGATGACAGATCTGATTTCGGCGAGATGGGTGAAGGGCGCAGGCGCAGCTTTCTGAAATACCTGTACGATGTTTCCCGCACTGCGCTCTTGAGCGATGAGCACCTTCTCACTGCCGTTGATGATGAAATACCCTCCTTGGTCGTAGGGACATTCTCCCCACGCGAAGAGATCCTTGTCACTTTGGAACCTCTCACCCTTCAAATGGCAGGTCATGCTTCGAACCATGATGGGGATTTTCCCGATGTAGACATCTTCCTCTTGATTTTCGTCTCCCTCTTCGAAACCTTCACGCCAGAAGAGCTCGGAGCCGTCATCCCTCATCACACCTTGATCCGCGCTCTGGTCATCCCACGGTCTCTCTTTTGCGTACCAAGTCTTCTTGCTCATCTTGACATAGACAGGACTCGCATATGTAAGACTTCGTAACCGCGCTTCGTGGGGCATACAGTCTGTCGTGGTGCCGTCTCCTTCGACCATGTTGGGCTTGCTGAGGGTGACTTTGCCGAACTTGACCTCGTGCCTTTTGATGACAATCGGATTGGGATCATCATCTTCGACGTTCTGCGCGTGGTCCAGCGTGACTCCTCCCTTTTCGTTGACCAGATCCTGTAAACCAGATCTCATAAAATGATTGAACGAGTCGATCTGCATGGAGGCGAGTTGTTTAATGTCGAAGAAGGAACTGATGACTTTCCAGCAGTCTTCAGAGGTGATGTCTTGGTCCACAACCTCCTCCCCATAGTAGTCGCCAACATCTTCGTATTTCTCCATCTTGACGGTACAGGCGAGGTAAGATGGAGAAGAAAGGATGAAGTTGTCCAGGCCGTCTGGAAACTTTGACAAATATCGCCTTCGAGACCGCGACTCGGGAATGAAGCGCCAGAACGCATGGCGCAGGCTTGGCATTAGCGCAGTCACGTGATCATCTCTGCCTGCCACAAGCTGACTCAGCAGCGCCGTCTCCAACATACCCCTTCTAGAGACATCTTCACAACTCCAACATCGTCTATTGATCACGAAACGCATTCCCTGTTAGCCAGCTATCTAGAGAAATGAAATCGCGATTGGAGGGCCCCCGAGGCACGGTGCTGGCATACCAGCGAGATCAATAATTATTGATCTTCTGTCCTGAAAACTGAGCTCACATTTGTACCAGGAAGTTTTGTAGGCATGGCAATCAATTATGCTCCGGTTGAGATTGGTGAAGGATTGAACAGATCATGATTGCCAAACCTGAAGGATCTTCACCCGGGAGAGGGGGTGACTGGACCAGCAGGAAGGTCAAGATTGTCACCGTGATGGTCTTCGGCGTCCTGGCCTACTCCCTCGATGGCTGACACTGTTTCGTGGCGAGCATACTCTGTCAGCCTCCTCCTACTCGACCATGGACAACATCAAGTGAGATGAGTGTCAAGTCACTTCTCAGATCATTTGACTACTCGTAGCATCCATAGACATACAGCTCCTCTCCTATAATGCGCGGGTTCTGGAACTTGTGGGTTGTCAATGTCGAGGCCAACATCTCTCAGGAGAACAAGCTAAATGCGATTGTCCTCCATTGCAAGATTTGCAAGAAGACAAGCGGCTCAGGTATAATTGCCCGGTGGGACATTCCTTTTCTGCTCGATCTGACATTCCCTTCATGCCTAGTTGGAGCATGCATCCTCGTCCCCCTCTAGCAGATGTCGGCTTCTCTTGGGCCGATAAATTCTGAGGAGCACTAGCAGACACTGGTCGGTCGTTCCATCGCCACTTCAGTGGAAACTGCGGGTCGCCTCTAATAGTTGGTTTTGTCAAGGAGGTATTCCCCTGAAAAAGCATTCGTGGGGATATCGCTCTTGGACGACTTCAACCACGCATCACCAACTCCCGTGGTGGCGATGCATGTAGAGGACCGCTGGGTGTGGGATAAGGAGATCCCCTACGTCCGCAAGACCGACACTCAGATGGTTGGTGTATCCGTGTCTCCCAGCTGCGGTTCTTGTGACGGGAACTGATCTATGCGTCGAGTTTCAGACTACGACGACCAGGTGGCGTGCTTTTGCCTTGGTCGCCTTCTCTGTTGGCCAGCTCGTTGGCGGCGGGGATGTTTGGGTTGGTCGTCTTCGCCTCTTGGTTGGCGTTCGAATACGAGCTTCTGGCCAGCAGAAGTCACTGCAAATAAGTGCACCACCATTGCAGATGCGCAGGGATGGTGAAAACAAGAAATCGAGAGGGGTATCATGCATTATGTATTATCGTCAAAAGTCATACATTTGTTGCTGGACCCCGATTAGCTGTCTTGCGCAAGCATAAATACTGGCAATCATTGCTCAACGCACAATAACAATGCTTCCAGCATTTCTTCAGTGGCCTTGCCCTCCTCGCCCTGGCCAGCATCCATGCCATCCAACTGATCACGCAAGCTGCGTTCCAAAACCTTTAGCCCATCTTCTCCGAGAAGAACCGTTATTGTCTCCCTGGCGCCAGTATCCTCTGCGACCATCCAGCTCAGAATAAGTTCGAGAGCTTGCAAGGAGAAAAGCCCTGCGTCGAGCCGGCGAGATAACCACTCGTCCGCGTGCTCCTCTAGCTGTGCCTCGTTCATGTCCTGTCGCTCCCTCTGAATTTGCGCGTCCGTCTTGATCAACCGTGTCTTGTACTCTTTTCGAAGTTCAACCAGCTTGTGGGTCTTCTCGTAGTTATTCTCCACGAACTTTGCGAGGGTGCGTATTCGTTCGGCTGTACCGCCTGGGAGATACCTCAACAAGCTTGCCAAGATACCGATCAAGTGTTCCAGCAGGCTTCTTTCCATTTTGTGACTCTTCATGAGCATGCCGAAGATCGTCTTCAGGCCAGCTGCATCGACAAATTTCATCGAGACAGCCACAGCATTAGCGCCGCTCATGGCATGATCGAGCACCCTCAACGCACGTGCCTTAGCTAGCCTCCCTTCTCGCAGCATGATGAGACATAATTCGACGCCTTCGCCCTCGATGAATTTATCAGCGGGAAGCCTCTCTTCCACAACACAAGCCAGGCAGTCGAAGAGATTCTCGGCGTATTCTTCCTCGTCGGAATCCTTCTCAGGATCCCGTTTGCGGTATACGCTTAGTAACTCAAGCAACGCATCAACACCCTCCTTTCGGGCGAATCGATCTCGGTTGGTCCGATTGCTTTGAAGGAGAATGGCCAGAAGTTCAGCGGCATACTGCCTATTCTGTCCAACCTTTCCACGTGCAGTTGGGTCGGCCTTTTTGACGCGTGAAAGAAGCCACTGCATAAGCCCGTCTTTGGAGCCAGCAACCTCCTGGTATTGCGTATCCGAGAATATGTTCTCCAGAACATTTAGGATGTGGTAGACGCCAGTGCGATCGCTCTCATTCGCTTCATCTAGCCTTCCCAAGTCACTCACTAGGAGATCGATCAGATCCGCCTCGATCATTGCCTGCACTAATGTTTTCCATTGCTCTTCACTTGAGGAGGAGTCCTCATCAGTCAACTCTGCTAGCAACTCACAGACCGAGATGGCGATGTCTGTATTTTCATGCGCGAGAAGTCCCACTAGACTCCCCGCGCAGCCCAGCTTGACGAATTCCTCGTACAATTCTCCATGTTCGCTGAGGAGACTGAGCCCTTTGATTTCTGAGTCCAGGTCGGCTTCACTGCCCACGAATTTCATAGGCTCGCTCTCATACTTCGCGCGTAGTTCCGCGTTCTTGTTGATCTTTCGTTCAAAGTTGATCGCGGTCCGCCGCAACCACGCAGAATCAATCTTTTCTTCGACATCGCCGTTCTCATTTTGTTCAATGAAGTCGATCACTTCACGCTCTTGCTTTGTTACCCCACCCCCAAAGAACCGCCCTTCATCATCGTCGCCTGCATCGTCCTCTACGTCATCGTCCCCGGGAGGCCGCGCAGGTCCGGCTTCAACATCCTTTTCGTCAAGAATCTCGTCTTGCACGAATGCCGATTTTCCGTTGGATTTGGGATCGGATGTAGAAGACTCGTGTCCGTTGCTTCGTGGAGAAGATCCGTCGGTCAATTTAGACGATTTGTTGGAGAGGGCCTGAGAGAAGGTTGTGTTGGGGTCTTCCAACTTGCGTTTCGGTAACGCATTTGGCTTGCGAAAGAGTTCATCAATCGAGGTCATCTTCCAGAGATGAGGTGCTCGTATTCAAGGCATGTTTGGAGGCGTTGCTTCAAGTGGACGATGTGTTGCGGATTTTGTGAAAAAGTGTCAACGGGATGTTTTGGCTCTCCAAACCGCCTCGCCGAACCTGCCCCATATGGTGTGGGATTGGGAAATTCTCGGAAGCCTCGCTCGCAGCGTCTGCACCATTTTGTTCTTGTATTAACGCATCCGTGGATCCGGCCGTTGATTGTCGCTGTGAACGGAGATTGTCGTCAAGCATCCTGGTACGACTATGGGTCGACCTGGCCCGTCTCTTGCCGTGGGTGTTGGCTGCCAGCTGCCCATCGGGCAGACTCGTCACAGGGTTGCGGTACTAACTCGACAAAACGACTACATTTACCGATACTCCTTGAAAGCGATACGTGAAGCAGCAATGCATGGGCCCGATCGAGTATATTAGTATTCCACCACATACTCTTTACTCGGTTAATTCCTTCTATGAATACGATTATTCCTGTTTGCCCCGGCCATGCCGCTCAAGGGCTTTGCTCTTGAATCTTCATTCGTTCGCGCTCTGCATGCCTTCAAATGGCTCTCGGTTGGGACAATAGCCATCGATATTGGCTGATCGTGACGGAGCGGCGGCTTCGGACAGTTGTCGGACTCGCATTTTCGAGAGACTCCGTCTCATGCAGAAAATATCAACACCAATGCTAAATGCGTCTCCATTCCCGTATATACAAGTGACTCCCCACCGTTTATACACTTTCAAAACATCAACGCCGTCATCTGCCACTCCCATTAGTCATCCTCAGGGAGGGAGGAATATATGGCCCATTCTGGGCTTTGATGAAGGGCTCCACGGCTGCGGAGACGGGAGTGCTCGTCCGGGTAGGCGCGGCGCTCCTGTTATGCGCCATGTGAGCCTTCACCAGGTGTCCTGCACGCAGAGCAGCACACAAGCTGAGTTCACCGGCAAGGACGGCCGCGGCGATGATTCTTGCGAGCTGTCGAGCATTATCCCCGGGTGTTGTTGGATGGGCACCGCGAACTCCAAGCAGATCGAGCATTGATGACTGAGCTTCAAGGATGGTGCCCCCCCCGATGGTGCCAACTTCCAGACAGGGCATTGAGACACTGATCTGAAGATTTCCATTGTTGCTAGAATGCGTTAGACATGTTCATGCAGGATGACAAGGTGCGACTTACTTCTTCATAAGCGTCATGCAGCTAGCACTCTCAACAACTTGGGCAGGATCTTGGCCTGTGGCTAAGAAGATTGCTGCCACGATGTTGGCTGCATGAGCATTGTTCCCTCCGATACTGCCTGCCAAGGCGCTGCCAATCAAATTCTTCGAGACATTCAGCTCTACAAGATCATCGACGTTGCTCTTGAGCACATTCTTGACCACATCGCCCGGAATAATGGCTTCCGCGACGACTGCCTTACCTCTTCCATCGATCCAATTGATGGCGGAAGCTTTTTTGTCGATACAATAATTTCCAGACAACGAAACAATGGTCATATCTTCGAACCCGCATTCGGTTGACATGACAGACAAAGCTTTTTCGACACCTTTTGAAATCATGTTCATACCCATAGCATCACCGGTAGTTGTCTTGAATCTGACAAACAAATTTGTGCCTGCGATTGCCGACTTCATAGACTGCAAACGAGCGAATCGACTTGTTGAGTTGAATGCTTCTCGCATCTTGCGTTGACCCTCTTCTGAATCCAACCAGATTTTAGCTTCTCCAGTTCTTGAGACGGTTGGGAAACTCATGCAAGGCCCTCGGGTCATGCCATCACCCGTGACAATGGTCGAAGCACCGCCTCCGGCATTGATAGCTTTGCAGCCACGACTGGTGGAAGCAACAAGCACACCTTCCGTTGTGGCCATGGGGAGAAAATAGCTCTGACCATCAATGATGAGGGGTCCCGCAACTCCCAGTGGAAGAGGCAGATATCCGATGACATTCTCACAGCAGGCACCGTGAACGAGTTCGTAGTTGTAGTCTTTGTAGGGCGATTTTGACACTTCCAATCCTGCAGCAAATTTGGGGCCTGATGTTCGTGAAACGACTGCCCTTCGCACTTTGACGGCCCGGACAAACGAATCCAAACGAGTCATAAGCTCGGGTGCTTCCAGCGTTTTCTCGATGGCATAACCAGGGATTTTACCCTTCAACGATAGGTCAATTAGTTCTTCGTCGCTGAGGTATGCAGCTTTCTTGTCTTTCAACATTTGCTCACACTCCTCCTTCGAGCGGCCAGAGGTTGCCTGCAAATCAATGTCCAGTGGTTTGACTTTAGGAGTAAGAGGCAATTCAAGCTTCGGCACTTGTTGCCCGGAGGGCGAACTTGTTGATGACTGAGGCTCCTTAAGACTCCAACGTGCAGCATTAAACAAATAGCCATTGAGTATCAAGCTGAGCGTTAAAGCAATCAGCACCCATTTGCTCAGGACCGGGTCTTCTAAGCTCTTGAGGACACCCTCGATGACGCGCCCGCCCACCACATTCAGGAACTGATCGGTATATTCTTGATCAAACCAGCCGAGTACATCCTGCGCCTCTTGCTGAGCAGAGGGATAGTCAAGTTCGTATTTGATTGGGGGCAGGACTGTGACAAAGGTGTCCAGCTTTCTGCTCTTTGCCGAGACGTAGATTGTATCCAATCCATTCTCTGCAACTTTGAAAGGATCAATAGGCGCAGGGGTAAGAACGCTAGGCATTGCAGCTCCTGGTGCGTTGGTGGTGGTTGAGGTCCGGAACGGAATGGTGCAGAGATTTACAACATTGATGATTACGAAACCACCAACCATCCAGATCTTGAACTTTGGTACGCTGCTGGGTCGAATCTTTTGGCCGAAAATGTTGAAGCCCGTCTGACCAGATTGTCCGTTCGGCCAGTCGCTATTAGTGGCAACATTTTCGGCTACTCGGTGGTTGATGCCATCTTCCTCAAGAGCTTTGCGGAGCGCAACGTGACGTTTGATCCGGTTAATTTCCAGTTTGATGCAGAGAATGGTGGTGTACCAGGTGAAAAGAAGGACACAGTCATAGAAGAGAATCCAAGCAGCTAAGAAGCAGAATTGCCGTAGGCCACCCTGGACACCGGAAGCAGCACCAGCAACGAGAATGGCAATCTCGATTGCGTAATCTCGGACGATCTCAAAGCCAGTCTCCTTGATGGCAATTTGAATGGCATCCTGAATCGAGTTGGGGGCGTTTGGTGCTACGACTTGTCCAACAGCACTTCCACCAACCGAACCGTTGGCTGTCGGCCGTCGTTTTGTGTCGTAAGAGGCCGATAGAACAGCTTTGGTAAGAATTATGGACTTTTCGAAGCCCACCGTCACAACAAGGAAGGGGAGACCCTCGGACAGCAGAACCATATTAATTGGTACCCCAAGCTTCGTAGTTGTAACCAGGCCAAACAGAAAAGCGAACAGGCTAGAAAACAGAACTGAAACGGCCAACCACGCATTGGAGCCAAGTCTTTTCATGGACAGGAAGAGTGAGATGAAGGTCAAGTGCATGGAGAGGTAGCCCAGAGACATGATGATGATGTCGAGTGTCTCTGCATGTTTGATCAAATCCACAAACGAGGTCCAACCTTCGCGGAACCAGGTTCCATAGGTTGCTCGGCCATTGCCCACACGAGCAGCTTTCATGATCCATGATGCTTGCTCGTCTGTATCCGATGGCGCAATCTGTGCCGGTAATTTTTGTGCAGCCCTTAGGAAGTCGGGTAGATCGGAAAACGTGGTGTAGAACGCGAGGGAAGCGTCGTGCGATATCGGAGAGAGGAGGTTCGAGGTGGTTGGAATATTCGTGGCTGTGATATTGACCGGGATAGGAATAGACTGAGCATCAGGAGCAGAGGAAGAGTCTGGGAAGACAAGAGTTGTGAGGGCGTAGTGGTTGGAGCCCTATGAACATGTCAACACAGATGTCAAGGTCGTTGGTACATCACTTACAAGTGACACCTCCGGGACACCAGAGTCGTCCGAAAACTGCCACTTCCACGCAGTGTTCTGTGACAGTTCTAGTGTCCTGCTTCCTTTGAGTAAAGCCTCTACGTCAACCCGGCCATTGTGTTGGAGGGATTTTATCCCACTGTCGAACAGACTCTCTTGCAGTAATCCGATGTAAGAGGTGCTGGCCAACAAAGCGATCGCTACGATGGTATGGATAGGATGCTGGCAAGCCACATGCGACGCAGCAAGGAGATTGGAGGTGATAGTTTGGTTCAACCAGCTATCGCTTTTGCCCAGGGAGCGCAGCTGTTTGGGGAGAAGACTAGAGCCTCGCATTTTAAATAGCGAAGGGGTCGGCGATTGGGGAGAGGAGAGAATGTGTAACGCAAAGGCTGGAGATGGCTTTCTATGTTGCCATACTCAAGAGGTCGAAGAGGGAGTCCTAGTCGAACAGTTGTCAGTCGGCTGCCAGTCGCTTGCGCAGACGTACATATATGCGAAGGGTAGGACGAGTCGATAGTCAAGGAAATGAGTGGCGGTGAAAGGGGAGAGTGGATTTACGGACCTTGTTCCGGTAGAAGAGTGCGAGGACTCTGATGAATACTTTTCAACTCGACCTCCCTTGCGCAAGCAGAGAAGGCAACAGCCAAGGTGTAGACAGGAGAAGTAAAGATAATGGATAAGTTGGCCGGGAGTCAATCGCATGTAACAACAAGAAGTGAATGCCTCGAAAGCGATCTGCCCTCAAAAATTTCCCACCTCCACCTCCACCTGCAAGTGCAGGGACAGGGCATGTTTCCGTTCGGAGGTGCCTAGCTACCTTAGGTACCAGCGCCTATCCGCCCACCGCTCTCCCCTAAAACAAGTACCTTTGGTAGGCCTTCTTTAGGCAGTCGACGTGCCTATTGGTAACCTGTAAGGCTCCACCTATAGCACTCAAACCAGGACCCCGTACAATCCTCCATGCTGCATCTCAAATTCTGAATTGCCCGTTACTGGTGCCGTTACTCCATACAATGCGAGTATCATCGCCAAAACTCCAATCAATCGAGCCTTGTCCTTTTAAGCGCAAATTCCGTCCAATCATCCTCCTTCGTCGACAAGATTTCAGCCACCTTGCCCTGCAGCTATTTTGATTGAGTAGTGGCGAGCGTGGGCCGACTCGGCTCTCGCTGCTGCCATCTCTCATCCCCAGTCAGCTTCGTCATGCACATGGCCGTCACCCAATGTCAACGCATCGGTACCTGCATATTCGGCGTCGACTCACCAATCAGCTCGATAGTGTAGACACACCCGCGTGGACAGAGGATGTGCGCGCTCTATCAGCTTTCTCGGTCGCATGTCATGATCGAACAATCTCAGTCAGGCCTTGTGCAGTTACATGCAACACAAGTCAATGTGCGAGTATCAAAAGATACCAAGTACTGACATGGCATTGACGGTTTGACGGCAGTCCCATGCGACGAATTCCCGTCCCGAGTTGAATCAGTCTCTTTGCTATTATCAGGACTACCGTCAATCTTCAAGGGCGTCTCACAGCCCTACCCATCCTATGTTCCAAGACTCGGAATGTTCACATTAACAGGGTGTCTGAACTCTTTATACAGTAATCCCTGAGATCCCCAAGGGGCAACAACTGCAGGGTAGATCATATTTCTTCCCAAACAAAGTTCACGATTGACCAGCGAGCTTCATTCCTATTGGTAGACTGACGTCTCTTCAGACATGATCTCGGTTCAGCTGGACCTCTCAGCTTGATGTGTGCTCGAGAGGGACGCCTGCTCTCACTATGCACATTCATCCAAGCCTCGTGGCGACACTGGACCCGTAGTCGTCCTGTACACCAACACTTCATTTCCATGCTTATGACTTGCAAGCAGCGCATGCCGCCCTTGCATCATCAGGAGTTCAGAAGTATCAGCTTTTCCCGCTATTTCCACGTGAGCGGTCGATGAGGTACCTTACAAGGCGTTTACTTGACGATTGCCTCAAAGTCAAAAACAGTTGGAATTGTCCAAAGAGCCTGGCTCGGTAAACAGAATCCTGGCTCCTTTTGCCTGTTGACCCGTGGAGTCTGCAGCGTCTTGATCCAAAGAAGAATGTCGGCAATCAGGGCAAGGTTGTCAACCGGGAAAGCGCAAGCTAAATTGAAGTCTGATTTAGGGAGGCATTTCATACCTGGTTGAGCTGGCGATGCCCATGCGGTGCATGAAGAGCTTCCAGGCTGGAACCTTGAACGTCTGTCGCTTTTTTTCGCGAGTCCTTCGTCCCTTGATCCCTGGTTTGAGCCGACTTTCTGACACGCGAAACGGTCTCTTCTTTTGTGAGGTCGTCGAACACGGCATTGTCGTTGACAGACCGCTTTATTTCCTACTCTGCATAACTTTTGTGCCGTGCTTCCTAATCACATCCTCCATCTTCCGCCTCACTTGTTGGCATCCGTCTACACCAGTAGCTAGCATGCTTTCCATCTTACTGTTCGCTCCACCAATCTGACAGCGGGATTCCATCACTAGCACAGACACTCTGTCCTCCATCCCAGGTTGGCCGGATACAGTAGCAATGGACAAAAATGGTAGCTCCTGCTCCTCTGCAATGTTGAGGTCGAGTATCGGTTCCGGCTTCGCGGACGAGTCGTCGGCGGGCGTGATGTTCCCGCTTGAAATTGCGGCTAAGATTGACGGCATAGGTACGCCTGCATCTACCAGGGCAAGGCTTGCTGCGTTCAGACATGCCACCAGCAAGGCGCCGTCGAGGCTAAGTATGTGAAGAGATATTGAGATTGTTGATCGGGGGTATAAATGTGTGAACAAGTGGCTTTGAAAGGCATTCGAGATGGTGGTCTGTAATTCTTGAACTCGTTTGTCGTTGCGGCTGAAGCGTCGACGGTCCATTTGCGCAAAAGGAGCAATGTTCAGCTCAGTGTCAACTGTAGCGTTATTATTGTCTCGCTGACCTCGTCTATAACGTTGTTAGTATTCCTGGAGAGCCGTTTCTGAATTGGCTTGATGCGTACCCTTCCCTGGGACCCGTCACAGTACAAACAACCATTGTATTTCCCATCGTCAACAAGCTGCTCCCGTCGCTCGAAGGCTGAGTTGATATTGAGGCAGTGATTCTGCGGAGTTCGTTCCATCGTCGGCCATCTTGACGAAGAAGGGTCTGATGGTATGTGGAATGGGTGTCGAGAGGCATTGTGAAGGGCGCGCCTATGAGTGGAAGGGGTGGTAGCTTCTGGCAGGCATGTTTTGTTGTGTTGGTAGTCTTCGATATGAAGCAGCGGTTGGTGTGTTGGTGTTGAAGAAATCCATTGCAGTTTCACGTGCCGTCGCGGAAATTTCGCGCAGGCCGATGTTGAATGAAATCATCGTCGCCCCCGCGTTACTGTTTGCCCGCAGCATGTATTCTGTACCACTGATATCTCACTCCGCCCAACCACAAAGCTGTTCACCTAAATCGCAATGGTGCTCACCGACAGCGAAGACGATGATCTAGACGCGCCACGCGTCAAGCGTCAGGCTACCTGTCTTCCCAAAGCCACGGTCAAGGCCGAGAGGTCTCCCCTGGACGTTCGCCATCTCACTTCGGGCCGCCATGCAGGACGCTCTGATGCAGCCACTCTCAATGATGAAGTGCCTACGCCGAAGCAGCACGGTGCGGTCGCCACTGCTCTCGAGCGTGTACAGTTGGACTCGGATGATGAGCTGAAGTACATGCAGTCAGAAGACGAGAGATTTAAAAATCGTGAGAAAAAGGCTAAAAAGAGAGCGCTCAAGTCTTCTCACAGAGCGAGACAGGCAGAGAAAGCGAGACATCGACAGCCAGGATCGAATAAAGCCGGTGTCAATACTGGCGTCGGTATACGAGGTCTCCAGAAGAAGCGCAAACGAGTCCAGAACTATGACGACTCCGATTCGGATGCCGACCTCATGGAATGGACCATGCCGGACTATGTCAAGGATCGTCGAAGTAAGTTTGACAGACGAACTAAAGAATTGAAACAAGGTGGTTTGTGGTTACCACCCACTTACGACGACGTCTACTTCTCGGACGATGAGAATCTTCAGCAATTGAGAGAAAGACCAGAGTTTCCCGCTTCTACAGCCAGCAGAGAGTACAAAGATATCCAATTGCCATACTCCCTCGGCCTAATACCTGCCCCAATAGCTCAATTTTTGCGTGACTACCAAGTTAAGGGCGTGGCTTTCTTGCATGAATTGTTTGTCTACCAAAAAGGAGGAATCCTTGGTGACGATATGGGCCTCGGGAAGACCGTACAGGTGATATCATTCTTGACCGCGGCCTATGGCAAAACTGGTGACGAACGAGACAAGAAGAGAATGCGCAAGATGAGGCGAGCAAACCAGAAATACCCCAGGACGTTGATCATTTGTCCCGGCACTTTAATGGAAAATTGGAAAGACGAGTTCAGACGCTGGGGATGGTGGCACGTGGATACATATCATGGTGGCGCTTCTCGTCGGCAGGAGGTGTTCTCGCAAGCCCACGCAGGCATGTTAGAGGTAATGATCACAACGTACCATACCTACCGCACACACAAGGAGGAGATCAATCTGGTTGAGTGGGATTGTGTTGTTGCGGACGAATGTCACCAGATCAAAGAGCGCAAATCCGAAATCACAAAAGCCATGGCCGATGTCAACGCCCTGTGTCGCATCGGATTGACCGGAACAGCTATCCAGAACAAATACGAAGAGTTGTGGGTGCTACTCAACTGGACTAATCCTGGTAAACTTGGTCCGATAACGACCTGGAAGGAGACGATTTGCATACCACTAAAGCTGGGCCAGAGCCACAATGCTTCGAATTATGAGCTTGCTCGGGCGAGAAGGACGGCGAAGATGCTTGTCACTAACCTCTTACCGCAATTCTTCTTGCGACGCACGAAAGCCCTCATAAAAGCCCAACTTCCCAAAAAGACCGATCGTGTGGTGTTTTGTCCATTGACACCCACACAGGCGAAAGCTTATCAGAATTTTCTGGACAGCGATATCGTATCTTACATCAGAGACAGCGGCCAGCCTTGTGAATGTGGCAGCGGCAAGAAGGCTGGTTGGTGCTGCAACATGGTGCTGGAAGACGGATCTCCCTGGCAGCATTGGGTATTTCCTGCAATAGCCAACCTTCAGAAGATATCGAATCATCTAGCCAGCCTAATCCCTCAAGGCAGCGATTCGAGCGAGAAACAGGCGAAAGACCTCGACATGCTCGAGATCGCAATGCCCGATCAATGGCGGGAACTGTACAAAACTCGCGACAGCATTCTGCACACCGGTAATCCCGAATATTGTGGAAAATGGAGGGTCTTGAAGAAACTACTCACCTTTTGGCATGATCAGGGTGACAACAAGGTGCTTATATTTTCGCACAGCGTCCGGCTCCTACGCATGCTTCTCAACTTGTTCATCAGTACGCAATTCAACGTGAAGTACCTCGACGGTAGTATGGCGTATGAAGATCGATATCAAACGGTCAAAGAATTCAACACGGATCCTACTCAATTCGTGTTCCTGATCAGTACGAAAGCCGGCGGTGTAGGACTGAATATCACCTCTGCTAATAAGGTCGTAATTGTAGATCCAAATTGGAACCCGAGCTTTGACTTGCAAGCACAAGATCGCGCGTACAGAATCGGACAGACCCGCGACGTCGAAGTGTTTCGCCTTGTCAGTCAGGGCACAATGGAAGAAATCGTGTATGCACGTCAGATCTACAAACAGCAGCAAGCCAACATCGGATACAACGCAACTTCGGAGCGACGATATTTCCAAGGCGTCCAAGACCGCAAAGATCAAAAGGGTGAGATTTTCGGCCTTCAGAATCTCTTCGCCTACCAGAATGAAAACCAAGTCCTTCGAGATATTGTGAACAAGACAAACGTCGCAGAGTCTAAGGCTGGAGTCCGTGTCGCGAGTCTCGAATTTGAGGAGCATGACTCGGACTCGTCGGACGGCGAGGGGCGAGATGAAGACCGCCTCATTAAGACGGAGGAGAAGGAAGACGCGGCCATGTCTCAACTCGCAGCTGAGATTATCGGCGACGACAAACCTCGTCGGGGCAAGGCCAATAAGCCTTCTTCATTCCGAGCCGAAGATACCCCAAGAAGGACTGACCCCGTCCAAGCCATCCTGTCATCTGTGGGCGTTTCGTACACGCATGAGAACAGCGAAGTCATCGGCACTTCCAAGGTAGAGGAGTACCTGTCCAAGCGGGCCGAGAAGGCTGTGGGTGACGCCGACTGGGCCCCACGAGAGCAATTGACGAAAGTGTTCGAGGACGAGTCACAGTCGCAGCCACAGCGCAATTTAGTCGGACCCAGCGACGATAATGGGTACACTGAAGACAGAATCGTCACTCCAGACGGAGAGGTTCGGTACAGGTTCAGACCGCCTACGCCTGTTAAACGACGGCAATTCTGCAGCATGGCGCGCTGGGCGGGATACGATGATGTGGTCTGGTTTGCTCTCGCCGTCGAGAGCTGGACGCAGGCCAAGCGGAGAGAGTGTCTTGATCGATTCTATCATGCGAGACGGGACGTCCTGGCTGGACTGGTCAAGCAGGAAGAATTCTACCATGGCGACGTCAAGCAAGAAGAGGTTGATCTGAAAAGGGAAAAGGAAGAAGAAAGAGATGGTGACGAAGATGAAGGAAAAGAAAAAGCCAAGCTCGAAGAGAAGCTCATCGTGGACGAAGTCAAGCGCGACGAGGCAAAGTGGATTGACATTGAGGCCGAGACCGAGACAGAGTCAGAGAGTGAGGACGACGAACTCTGATTGATTGACTGACGCATGAATCGCGGGCGATGATGAGACGGTACGATGACTTTATGATATTATGATGTTCCACGAGTTTGAGTTAGTGATACCCCCCTCTTTGAGAGAGTTTTCTTGTTTTGGACAGATATCAGCTCTCTGTCAGGCGTAGTCTTTTCGACTTTCGGCTTGTTAGGCAGCAAGCTCTAGATATCTAGATGTTTGACACGAACAATAGATCTATGGCGCGGAAAGTTCCTGCTTTAGTAGAGTGTGTATTGAACAACGTCGTCTCATATAGTACGTATCTTGTGAGAGGATGGCGCGTCGTCTACCAAGAGTGGGCACAACACAGCACAGCGACTGTGCAAAGATGACATGCGTCCAGGGCAATCCTTCTCAAGGTCAAGGTACGAGAGAGTCCTCGGGTACCGCTTTGCGAAGTTCCAAGTCCAAGAAAACAAAGCTATGTGTGCTGAGCAACTTCCCCACTCCCGAGCTCGTCGTCAGCGACGTGAGTTCCTTCGATCCTGTAAGACTTGAACCGCTTGGTAGGCACTTTAAGCTGGAACATCAAATCTAGCTCTTCAAAAGTCCGGCCTCCGGTCTCGGGCAGGAAGAAGTAACACCAAGCCATGTTGAGCAGACCAAGCCCGGCGAACAGGAATCCGAGCTTCCCGCCCCAATTGGCGCCGTTGATGTCGAGGGCGTAAGGGATCCCGACCGCCGTGATGATGGAGGTGATTGTCACGGTGACGTTCGACAGGGCGATCGTGGTGCCTCGGAGCTTGACGGCGGATACCTCGGACATGACGGTGAAGCACAACGGGCCGACTGTGAGGTCGTACATGAAGGTGGTTATGACCATGAGCGCGCACATGGCCCACACGGGGCCGGCGTTGTGGTGAGGCACCGCGCCCAAGATGCCGATAAGGAGACACATGGACGCGATGCCCGTCGTGCCCCAGAGATAGATGGTGCGTCGGCCAGCGTATGAGATCAGCACGTACGACAACAGGGTGCCCACGAAGCCCATGCACGTCAAACCAATGTTCATGGAGAACGAATCCGACTCTTTCAGGCCGGCAATCTGCATAAAGTAGACGGCGTAGTTGATGAACAAAATGTTGCCGCAGAGTGCTTGGATGTTGAAGACCTGGCACGAGATCAAGGTGCGGCGCAGGTTGGTGCCCCTGAAGCATTCCAAAAAGTGCACTTTCTCTTTCGCGCTCTCTTCGAGCCGGAGTGTCTCCTTGATGTTTGCGATTTGGCAGTCAATATCCACCTGTCCAGTCGTGAGACGCTGCAGGGACTTTCTGGCGTCGTCGTCGCGGCCGTTCTTGCAAAGCCAGTACGCCGGCGTGGGGAGGAAGAAAACCACGGCCAGGACACAGAGGGGAAGGATCCACTGGAGGGAAAATGGGATCTTATACGACCACTTGCTGTCGATCGTGCTGGTGCCTTTCAGTACGCCTGAAGCGACTAGCTGACCGATGACAAAGGAAATGTTGATAAAGGCTGCGATAACACCTCGTGCGGCAACAGGAGCGACCTGCGATGAATGTGAGCGAGTATCTTTTCAGAAGCCAATAACTTTTTGCGTAGCCGGAGCTCGATTGACCTGGATAAAAAGGCAGGGACACAACTTACGTCTCCAATATAGGCATTTGCAAGGACTGGGTAAGCACCAAGGACAAGCCCATTGAGCAGCTCACCGACAAAAAGCAGAGCTGGACCTTGACTGAAGAACTGTAGGAAGATGAAACCTATGGATGCTGTCGATGCGGCTGCTAAGCAGATCCGTGGGCCAAACTTGTCGTATGCCATTCCTGCGGTGAGCGAGCCGGGCATTGATCCAAGCATTGCTGCGTAGTTGAATGCAGACAGCCACGACGGTGCGACTTGGTATTCCCCATTGACGAGTCTCCCATATGTGCGTGTGAAAGGCGACAGCCCAACCAGGCTGCCGATCAGGGCACCGTCAAAGCCGCAGAGGATTACGGACAAGTTGACGAAGGCCGCCCATAGAAGTGCCGGGCGATAATGTTTCACCGCCTGCCAAAACCCAAGGCTGTGCTCGAACCTAGTATGTGCGAGGGACTTCTCAGCTTCATTGAGGGCGCTGATATCGGCAGCACTGAGGGAGCCGACATCAATGTCAGTCTGAGCCACTCCTGTAGTCTTCTTGAGATCAGTCGCCATGTCTGCTTGCTCTGTTCTCCACAGTATCGAGGAAAAGGAAATAAATGGTACGACGTTTTGTCAGCTATTATTGCCTCAGAAGTCTGCCCAGGTTATATAGATATTCACAGTCTGAACGGAAAAGATGGCATGGTCTCGACAGGTCCGTGCTATTTCCTTTTGGGGTAATCTAGCAGTTGCAGGAGAATGCATTGGCAGACACGGCTGGGTATCTTCATAGCAAATGCCTTTGATATTGAAATAGCCTCTCCAAGGTTGGCGAGAACAAGCTATGCAAGCCAGTGGCCCGGCTGGGCCACACGGGCAATTCAGGCAGGACAACTTCCCGGCCCACCGTTTCAAAGATGTCTTGTTATCGCTTGACAGCGTTTGCCTCCGAATAGACGATAACGCCCGCGTGCTTCGCTTGCGTGCTTATCTTGTGGATCTTGAAGCGCATCATAAGGAAGAGATCGGACCTCGAGCTGTATATGGAGTTGGTCGAATCCGGGTGGAAATCTGTGGAGCTGCAGGATGACTGATTCTGTGAGCTAGTCCAATTGCGGGAATTTTAACAGTCAAATAGCAAGCTCCTCCTCCCCGATCGTGTTGCGGTCTGCGGGAAGTGCTGCGGAGATAAACGTCTAGAATATATATCAGATGATATGTCTAGCCCATAAAGGTTTTAATAGCCGTCCGGAGTTGGGGATGGCTGGAGATTTGATATCTCGACGTAATGCTATTGAGCTTGTTGTGAGCTTGGAACAAATTGTCCATCGGGCCCTGCTGAAGAAGTGCCGTATATAACACGCCTGTGGCGGAAGCTATCGGTGTCGTCCAAAGGTCGACTGTGACAATAGAGTTTAGCTCACTGATACAGCTGCGCGGGACACTCCTTACCATGATCGCAACACCCCAGTCACCTCAATTGGTGCACATTACTCTTTCACCCGAGGAACTCGAAAGCAAGCAAATTTCCTCCCATAATTTGCAAAAGGCAATCGAAGCCTTACATCGAGATGGAGCGTGTGCCATCACCAATGCCATTGACCCGGCTCATCTTGATAAGTTGAATGGACGCATGGTCGAGGAGGCACAATTTCTGTACGACAATCCCAAGACTCATCGCAACTTTGGTTCTCGCACAGGGAACATTCAACAGGAGCCAGTGGTTGAGGCCGAATATGTCTTCGACGACATTATCGCAAACCCATGGGCGGTGGCAGTCACAGAGTGCATGCTAGGTCCCAATCCGCATATGAGATTTTACAGCGCCAACACCGCCTTCAAGGCAGACAGTCGCCAGCCTGCGCATGTTGATGTCGATTTTGATTTCCCAAAGATCCCTTTTGGATTTTGTATCAATGTTAATCTCATTGATACGTCGGCTGAGAATGGTGCCACAGAGATCTGGCTTGGCAGCCACACGGATTCTGATCAGTACACGACCTCCGAGAACCGTGAGGACGGAGTTCGCAAAGATTTGCTAGAGGAGCGTCGAAAAATCTCCCCGCCACTCCAGCCCTCGCTGCCGAAAGGATCCTTGATTATCCGGGATTTCAGATTGTGGCATGCTGGCATGCCCAACACAACCGACCAGCCAAGAGTCATGCTCGTGACAATTCACTTCCCAGCATGGTATCGAAGCAACCAGAAGTTTGTCTTGCCAAAAGCCTTACAGGGCAAGATCAATTGGGGTCGACTAGTGCCATGCGTCGAGTGGGTGGACGAAGACTATGATTATCTGCAGGGGAAACATGACCATGATTTCTCACTGCTTCCATGACGAGAGCCGTCATTTCGCGGCTCTCAAAAATAGTGCTCGTATCGCTGGACAGGTCTTTCCTGCCAAAAGTGGATTTTGTATCAACCGAGATCAATATTGCTTCCTTTCTGCTTTAATACATTGATACAGTCGAGTTTACCCACGTCTGCACCAAATAGGGCTTCTCGATCCTTTTGATCCCAGACGTCTTCCATTGCTCGTTTGACGCGGAGTAATGACAATAGTTTGCGGTCATTAAACATGTCGTCAAGCCTTTGGCGGCAGAAGTCCCGCTCAGATGCTTCTAGCGCCTCACATCCTGCCGTGAAGATAGGCCAGGCATGGATGGACAGTAGAGGCGAGGTGATTGCTGTGGATCTCAGGGCCTCAACGCACTGCTTGACGTGATACAATGTGCGGGGGTCAGGTGCGCCGATATCATCGATCACACGATACAGGTAAATGAATGCGGCATGACGAAACGCCTCGGCGGTATTGAACCAGTCTGCATCCTTACGTGGTGAATTCCAGCTCTCCAGTTGAGTCTCCAGGAGTGAGCCACTAATGCGAATGAATGAGTCGCTAGTCGCTTCATCAGTATCTTCGACTGAGTTCTGAGATATGAGCTTCTTCCGCGGCTGAAGTTCACTGATCTGGGAAATGATCTCCAATAGCGGCTCAATACTTCCAAGAAATGCGTCCGAGTCCGAGGCTGGCGGGCAATCATGATTCAGAAGGGGGCGGTCACTTCGCGTGATTGAGGACATGACATCGTGATATTTGAATAAGCTTTCCAGGAATCGACCACAGGAGTCCGGATTGTTGGCGAGACGATGCCTCTTCGCGATGATGTACTTGGCGCCAACTAGATGATCTGCTCTCGACTCCTGATCCGAAGCAAACATCTGGCTTAGCTGCATCAACAATACCGCCGCTAGAGTGGGATTGGAAAGAGCTTCGTTTTCGTCGCTCAGAGCTTCATTCAAGTTTCGAAGTGCAAGTCCTTGGTAGCGCAGAATCAGTTGCTGGTCCTGTGGTTGATTCACAAGAAGGGAGAGATGCTTTGCAGCACAGAGAAGCATAGTGTAACGTAGTGAGCCATTGTCATAGGCCATGGGGATGAAGTGTCTCTGGAAGGGGTTGACTTCGGCCTTGGAGGTCACAGACAGCAAAGGGGCTACAACTGTAGTCCAATGGTGCAAGTGGCGATATTCCTCGACTCGTAGTCCTTGGGCCATACTAGCAGGGCTGCTGTGAGGCGACAACAGTTCTCTCGGCACCACGTCCACCGCATCTTCCGACTTTATTGATTGAGGTGCGGGCCCTGTGCTGGTGGTAGATGGCGTTGCAAAGTGATAACGCAGACCGGAAGTTGGGGCCTCTTCTGAGGTCTGCTTTCGTTTCCTGCTACGTCCACCTGATTCTGGGGTTGCAGTATCGCGCCATACCAGTCGAGGGGCATAGCCTTCGCAGGCGATCTTGAGCCTTGTGCAGCGCCCACAGGCTGGCTTGACTTCATCACACTTATATCCAGCTTGCCTTGAAAGAGTTAGCCTCTAGCAAATAAGGATTCGAAGAAGGCGACTTACCTGCATGTCCAACACCCGGTCCTTGTTCTAGAGAACTTCCGTCGTCCGGGTATCATTGGCGTCACTGTCGAGAGGCTGGCCCTGAGTTACGGATAGTGTGTGTATGTACAGTTGAAAGGCAGTGGCATCGGATCACATTACGATGCATGATGGTCGTCCAGAACTAGAGTGACGAGGAGTAAGAGAATCAAAGCTGGGGCACAAGGCGGGATGAGGCCAATCGACGCCAAGCCCGGCCAGACCTTTGGCTAGAGATCATCACGAGATCCGCTGTAACCGCCAGTATGACGAAAATGCATACTCTGCATTCATATCAAATTCGCCTGTAGGAGACCCTGGCACGCGCAAAAGAGGGCGTATATTGACAATGCATTGCGAAAGAGTGCCAAAGCCAATCCCTCGCCTGGGTATGTACGCGTTCTTTGGGCGACTTCGGTGGCTCGCCCTCGCTTAGTCGCTTAGTCATCCAGCTCGACGTCACGTCTCTTGCTCTGCCTTCTGTGACTGTATCTCAACCCGACAAGAATCCAGACCTACATCACTTCATCTTTTGTAGGCCTGTGGATCTGCGCAGGGTAGGCTGCAAGCCTCCAGAGCAACACTGGGGAGCAATCTCGACACCTGACATGCCCGCAACAGCGTGCCGCGACAATGCCGGACTTGGGACAACAAGGCTGGCAGGAACTGCAGGAGCCGTCTCGGAAACAATGTCCTAAGCTATTCTATAACCTGAACACAGATGGCGAATGCCTGAATTTGTTGATGACCGATTTGATCTCGGTATGGGAGAGCTCCCTCGACAAATACGACATCATAGGTGAAGCGGCCCGTCAACACACGAGCATCGATCCGTCAGTATCCTCTGATCAATTCGACGTCCTCTTGACCAAAATCGCCAAGAGCTTGAAAGATGGCGAGAATGTCCTTTCTAAACAAGTAATCAGAAACTCGCAAGTCCTCATCCTAAGTACAAAGTTGGATCTTCCCAAGCCGCTGAAACGGCTTGAATGGACCTTCAAACTCACCCCTCAAGACGCGTCAGAGATGGCAGAACGCATCCTTCGCCCCAGCCTGCATGAAGTCGCAGTTTCGCAAGACAAGATCAAGTCACTTATTCGTGCCATCAAGGACAAGGACCACATCATCTCTCGACTGCTCGAAAGAATCGGCAGCTCCTCTATTGATTTGAGCTTAGTTTTCCCTGGGATTACGGGAATGGCACGGCGAGGAGCACAAGTCACAGTTACAGATGCCAAGAAGCACGTTCCGGGGATGGCACCTTTCGACGAGAAACTGTGGACTAAGCAGTTCGCCAATGATGACGGCTATGAAGGTGCCGACCGCACTGGCCTGGGAAATCTTGTCCGTGGCTGCGAGAAGTGTTTTGCCCATTCGAAGGCCGAGCACGAGGGCTGGGTCAAAGAGTTATCTTCGCCTACGAAGAAGGAGGTCGCCGGGTCAAAGAAAACTGAGCGGCCAAAGTCAACTGCGTCCAGGGATATTCGAGGAGAGAGTAAATCAAACGATGAGTCTACCGATTCCGATGACGAATTCGAGGTACGTGATCTAATCCGTGGAGGGTCATGTGGCGTCGTCATTGCTAATGCCGAGCTCGCCTCAGAGACAACCTACACCTCCTGCCCTCAGATCCAGAGGAGGTCCCACTACCAAGCCATTAGCAACCCCAATGCCCGAGCCAGACGAGGAAGACGAAGGCGAAGAACGCACAGCCAATCGAGGAAAGCTCTCAAAGATAGGCAGACTAGGTCGCCGCAATGCAACGAAGTCGTTTGGTCACACAGAATCGAGGAGCGAATCACCTTCACCTGATAGAACAAATGGATCTTCGCCACCGCGCCGTGGTTCTGACAGTTCAACGTCTACGGCCACCGCAACCGAGGATGAGGACGAGGAAGTCAAACCGCTGTCCAAAGCGCGAGGGTCGGAGTCTACAATTGGTGCCCTAAGATCAAAGCAGCCATTGCGAAAATCTCCATCTCCATCGCCGTCGCCCACACGACATGCTTCAAAGGAGAAGAATCATTATCGCTCCCCTCCCTCTGCTCAAACAGACGATTCCTCTGAGCTCGATCTCGACGCGTCGCCTTCCCCGGCCAAACCTCAGCCACGCCAGCACCATCGCCTTGGACGTCTCGGTGCCAAATCCGCAACAACGTCGTCAGGAGAAAGAGACGCAGATACTTCGTCCCGTGGACAATCCAATCTGAAGAATGGCAACAACAGCAACGACCCATCGGGTTCCGAGTCGGATTCTCAATCCAAGCCCGGAACGCAAACCACACCGCGGCGGCGAAAACTAGGGCGGATCGGGGCACACAAACAATCCACTCAAGCACAGCCAAGCTCCTCGCCTTCCGCATCCTCAGCAGGACCACAATCCAACTCGTCTCGCAAGACGAAGGGTAACAAGCAAACTTCCGAAGACAATGATAACGGCAGTGACAATGACTCGGATGCCACAAACTCACCTTCTCCATCTACCACGCGACTTCGCTCAAGGGATGTAGCACCTCGTCATTCCAAGGACAAGGACACGAGCAAGGTCGAATCTGAACCTCCATCACACCCTCACGGTAAAAGGGACTCGCCGTCCCCCGCAAAGGAAGAGACGGTGGAAGAAAAGGCCAATCGCAGACGAATGGAACTCAAGCGCACTATAGCTGCGAACGCTGGTGCGAAGAAGAAGCGACGCTTCTGAATCGAGTCGAGTCCAATCAAATCCAAAACCAAATCAAAGATTATCTCCCTACAGCCTGCCTGTCTCTATTGGTACCTTATCTGGTCCTTTTTCAAATTGGTCTTAACTCACTTAATTTGACCTGGTGAGGCTGGGTTGGGTTCTCAGGAATTATACGGAGCAACTAACCAAGTACCTACCTTTCCTTCTTACTTACCTAGACGCTTCCTCGTCGGGTAGGGGTAGGGGTAGCGGTAGTGGTAGTGGTAGTGGTAGGCTTTGTAAAGTGACATTACTGCCATGTTGCCTTATTCCCTTGTTATAACCTCATTGCATTTTTGAACCCTGTGTACCTATATATTCCTATCTGGGTACCTGTGTAGGAATGAGGGCACCTAGATACCTGGGTGAGCATCTTTGTTTGCCCCTGTCTCCCTCGTCACCTCTCCTGACTGTTTTTTTGTCTGTCTCTGTGCCGCGCAGCTTCAAGGCGATGGATGCCTTCCGACAACGAAATTTTAATATTCAGCTCGAATAATTCAACCAACCAACCAACCAAACCGGAATTCTTTTTTGAAACCGAGATCCCACAATTCCCTCCTGACACGAGACTGACATGGAAAGGGGAGAATAAAATGAAACAGTGAGAGATACAGAGATAGAGAGAGGGTGGGAACATTGTAAGTTTTTTTTGGGGTGTCTCCAATACAAAAACAAATTGCCTCTCTGTCATGATGGTCGTCGCAAGTCATCGTACTGGTTTCTCATCCCCAGACATTCTTTGTGTATGTGCGCGTGAGCGTTTCCCATTTCCGTTGCTAAAGAGTCCGTTTTTCCTCCCATGTTCTTGCAGAGTGAATAGTGAGGCAATTGGATGCCGACAAACTCTAACTTGTCCCAGTCTCATCAAAGACAAACCCAAAAGGTTCCAAATTTTGTGCAAGAAGGATCTAATAAGTCCCCCCCTCAAATCCGAAACTGATTTCCCGAAAGTGAATGAATGATAGTGCGGTCGTAAACTAAGTATGGAGCTCTTTCTTCTCCTTCCCTTCTGAGTCGATTATTATGTCTCGTCTCACGGATGACCTGGAGGCTTACCTCCGTGTCCATGGTCATCCCGAGAGTCTACTGACCTTTGATCATGGTCTCGATCCTCGGTACCCCAGGCCGCCCGCAAGTTACTACTCTGGCTGAAGTTCACCCGCTTGTGACCTTTGACGCCTGGTTTGTCTCGTTTCTTGGCGTGTTCGATTTCTTCCTCGCTGACGCTGGCACTATCGGCTTCTGCTTCCTCCAATGCTTTTTTTGCACGCGTTCTCAATTCGGCAGCTTCGGCTGCAGCCTTTTGAGCTCTAGACTGTTTGCGCCACATGCTCGCATACTTGCCTCCAAGCGTGATAAGCTCTTCATGCGTCCCACTTTCCACGACCGTGCCATGTGACAGGACGAGAATTTGATCAGCATGGACGATTGTACTCAATCGATGAGCAATTATGAGCATTGTACGACCCTCAGCGAGAGTGTTGAATGACTCTTGGATCTTCTCCTCGGTCTCTGTGTCGAGAGCAGCTGTGGCTTCGTCTAGCATGGTGATACGTGGGTTCTTCAAGATAGTCCTTGCAATAGCAACCCTCTGGCGCTCTCCACCTGAAAGTCTCACTCCACGTTCGCCGACTTTTGTGTTGTATCCGTCGGGGAATTCCAGGATGCGATCGTGAATTGATGCAGCCTTGCAGGCGTCAAAAACATCCTCGTCGGTGGCATTTTGATTCGCATACTTGAGGTTGTACATGATTGACTCGTTGAACATGTTGCAGTCTTGAGGCACAACACCAATGAATTTGCGGAGGGAATTGATGGTAACGTCTTGCACATCTTTCCCATCGATCATTATCCGTCCGGATTCCGGGTTGTAGTAGCGGAAGATCAGTCTCATAACCGTGCTCTTTCCTCCACCTGATTCACCAACAAGGGCAGTGGTTGTCCCGGGCGCACATCGGAATGTCAAGCGATCGAGAGCATTGCGTCGCTTGTCGTAGCTGAACGAGACGTTGTCGAAGATAATGTCGCCTGAACAGTCTACCAGCGTCTCTGCGCCTTCTTTGTCAAGCACATGAGGCTGTTCCTTGAACAATTCAAGCATTCTTTCTGCATTAATCAGATTTGATTGAATGGATCGGTAAAATGTTCCGAAAAAGTTCAAGGGACCCTGTAATTGTGCCATATAAGTGATGAGAAGAACAAAGTCACCAACTTTCTGATCACCTTGTGCGACTTCAAAAGCTTCAATGAAACTGGCAATGAGCAGGGCGACCATGAAGAGGGCTCCTTGCACGGTGTTCATGTAAGCCAAAGTGACGTCGACCCAATACTCGAAACTCTGCATGGCTTTGATCGCAGTTCTGTACCGGTTGAACTCATAATCCTCGGCATTGAAGTACTTGACCGTGTCCCAGGAGTGTAGAGAGTCGTTTTTTACCGCCTCCATCTCTCGTTCTGCGTTGACATAATTTCGTCGAAGAGCCACTCGCCACGAGGCAAGTCGTATGGTAACGTAGATATAAAGGAACGTGGTCATGGCCACAACCAAACCCAGGTAAGCATCGAATTTGATGGTGAGATAGACAACGGCGACAACCAGATCGAACACCATAGGGCCAACCTGGAATGTCACCATCTCCAGAAAGGAATTGATGGCACTACCTTTGTTCAATGCTGAAATTAATTCTCCAGTTCTTTTGCCGGTATGGAATTCTGCGCTGAGCCCATGAACATGCTCAAACGCAGCTGTTGAGATAGCTCGATACGAATACTGCTCGACCGGTATCCACAGAATAGATCTTGTGGCTGACAAAATGCCTTGCGAGCCTTGGAGCCACCTAAACACGATGTACAAGGCAATGTCAAGCCATGGTGCATGTACACCTTTGCCGTCGTCTCCAGACAGGGCATTTGTGATTTTACCGACCATAACTGGCACAAAAACATTGATGACTCGTTGTGCGACCATAATGAGGATGCAACTTGCCGCCAGAAGTTGCAACTTGAGAGACTTTTTCGGCCAAAGATATGGTATCAGTAGCACGAAGCCTTTCAAATAAGCATACCAGGTAATGTTTGGGACCTCGGTTGGCTTTGCCCATGCATCAACTTGCTCCTTAGGTTCCGAAGTTGGGCCAGGCGCCCGCGCATGCCCGTTCTCACGATTTCCGGCTTCTGCATCTCCACGAAGTAGCGGCGTTCGCTCACCTTGTGTGGTCGAGCTCGAGTCCTTGGGTTTGCGGGGTTGGATCTTGACACTGAAGTAGACAAGTGAAAGTCCAAGAAGGAAAATAATCCGGACCAGGTAAACAATCACTTCGACAGTTTCCCAGCCTGTTATCGTCTCTCTGAACCTTCCGCCCAGTTGATCACCAACGCGTGGTTCAAAATGAGGGACACTGTAGATCCGCAGGCTTGTGATGACGATCAGAATTTCCATAGGGATAGCAGATAGCCAGGTAAGGAAATGAGCCGCATTTGGCGAGGGCTTTACATCGAGGATAGAAATAAATACAACAAGCCAAAGAAATGTCGAGGCAATAACGTATATCTGTCACTGTCAGTCTGATTCGTCGGGATCTAGACGAGACAACACCTACGACTGCATTTTTGCCCGGCCACCAATTCTCTGCACGATCCACAAGGGTTTCGAACAGGATTATGCCGGCGTTGACGAGGAAAGTCAATACGACTGCAATTTGAGAGACTTTGAAGAAGGTCTTTGTTGCTGGTGGCAAGTCTTTGACCGCCGCAGCTGCTTTGACTTGATTGGCGGATTTGCGACGGATTGGGAGAGGCCTGCCCCCTGGTCCTCGCATCGGATGAATCTTGACTTTGTCTCCATCGTCTGGTGCTGTCCTGATGCCGTGAATGATAAAGGCGAAGACAAAGATGACCAGGAGGATGGCGGGGTACGCGGTTTTAGCTACATTGAGCACCCGTAGAGACGTCTGCAATGCACCCACGTCTGGTTTCCCATGCATGTTCTCCCAAGCCGAGCCACTACCGAGTAAGTTGCCCCAGTGAAAACGAGGATGGCCTCCCAGATATGAAAAGAGATGATGGTTCGACGACTTTGCTCAGTTCAATAACAAGGAAGGCGACGGCGCGCAAAAGTGGCGTATCCAAGATCTGCGCGTGAGTTGAGTGCGGGACAGGCCGCTCGTCTGTGCTGCCTCGGTATCCTGAAAGAAAACTCTGAAAGTCGGATGACCGTTCACCAGCCGTTGAGAAGCTGGACAGCGTCGAGGTCGAGAATGAGCGAGCGACAGAAGTACAAGAAGCCCCAAGGAAATAGAATTAAGAAGAAGAGATGAGGTGCGGCAAGGAAATAGCGAGTGTGGACAAACAGTCAAGTGATGGATGAAGATGTAGAATGTACGTGATGGAATGACGACGTATATGGGAAGAGGCCTTCTGGTGGCGAGCCGGGATGATGGGCTAGTGAGGCCAGGCTCGTTCTCTCTCTCTCTCTCTGAGCCGTCTGAAAGACTGCCTAAGTTACTAGTCTGGGCTGGCAGCTGCGCTGGAGAGACTTCGTGACCTGGAGTAGCTAGCTCGCAGCCTGGACCCGGGTACGAATAGGGTTCGCTTCGCCTCTGTACTGTAGAGTTGGCGCTGAAGTCGCGTGACGGCGCAGTCTGGTAAGAGATCGGTGCCAATGGCGGGTAAGCTGAGTCTGGATTCCGCAGCTGGATTATGGCCTTAGCGGCCTCTTGACTGGCGATGGTGTAGACAGTGGGGGCGACTGGTGGCACAGCTGTTGGTGGAGGCTGAACGGAACGACGCAGCGGATGACGGGCCTGCGAAGCCTAGTTCTGTCACTAGAGACGCTGTCGATGCCTGGTACAGAATCGAAGAATTGTCAGATCGTCACACCGATCGCAGACGATGGCTTAGGTACAGGGTGCAGAGGGACGATTCCTTTGGGTGTTGGGTGTTGGTGGTCGCGGTGGTGGCGCAGAGGCGCAGGCAATTGTCAGTGGGAGGAACTGAAGTATCGCTGGTAGCGTTTGACACACGGGAGACAAACACACGGGTTGCAGCCACCGCGATGATCAATGTAAGTAACTTTGGCTAAGGAAGAGACAGTCGAGAAGAATGAAGATGAGAGAGAAGGAGAAGAAGACACAGGCCCAAGAGGGAGCAGTGAGTGACAGATATATCGATTTGACTTCTGACCATGGTTGTTTGGGTACACGGAAGCAGGCGAGAAGAGAAGAGAGAGGTCAGTTCTCGCGAACAACACCGGCATCAACGCCATCACGGGAGCCAGGGACCTGAGACCACAGCGCAGATGACATGGACATGGATATGGACATAGTGTTTGCCCTTGACCTTGAACCTTGGACCATTCTGGCAAATGGAAAGATACGACTAAAAGTAAACGTGTCGCCCCGATCGAGGGCACCACAGGCGATTGGGATGGCTACGTACCGAGTAGCGGACCCGGCGAGACAGAAGGACAGCGGCGATGCTGGATGAAGGCGAGGACGAGACAGTAGGAGAATGAGTTCGAGGGTGATTTCGGTATGAGGAAGAGAGTGCATGGCGACAGAGTTCGAGTCTTTCCCTCACCGCCAGGTTGTGCAAATAAGATGGAAAAAGGTCTCTACGCGAATGAGTTAAGTGTACTGTAACTAAGGCCAGTCAATATCGGTACGGAATATGTGAGAATGCAAGTATCTGCAGTGTCTGCAGTGTCTGCAGCGTCTGCAGCGTCGGCAGTGTTAATGCTGGTCGCCTGCAAACCAGGTGCGAATGAGGGCTGGATTTGGCTGGCATTTTCATGCCCAAGAAGACGCCAACTCGCCGGGATGTCAGGGACAGTATTCCTGTACATTAGTCCTGCTGCTGCCGACAGGAGCTAGCTGGCCTTTTGGGGGGTCTATGGGCTCTATCAGGCCTAGTTGCCCCCCCGGAACCCTTGCGATTCGTGCCACCTACTGCCGCCCAGAATGCGACACCTGGCACCCGCAGGCGCGCATAACCGTTGTGTTGTAGGGGGCTTTAGGGCGTCTCGAATGGACGCCTGGTGGGTGGTTGGGCCCCCGGAGAAGCTAGTTCCCTGCACTCGAGAGTCGAGCCTAGCCTGCTCTTACCGATCCAGCAGATGGCTATCCGCTGTTTTGTTGTCGCAGCCTTGCAACCACTCATGCCACTTTGCATGCTTCCCTTCAAATCTTGATCCATCTTTCCCTGATCATGACATCTGACACTTGCAGTCCCCTCGCTGCAACCACTGTGCATAAGTGAAAACAGCTCTTCGCTTACCGATCATCTCACTGTTCCAATGACGGGCTCCTCTGCCAGTCATGAAGCCAGGAATTCTCTCCTCTGCAGCCGCCTTCACACTAGCTCTAGCCTCATCGCGATCGACTTTGCGAATGGCTCTCTGAGCGCATGTCTCTAATGCCGGGAAAAACACAGCCATGTCTGATCCAGCCGCTGCCGAAAACGAGACAGGCTTACCTCCACCTGCGCCGCCTCTCCCGCCCAGTCGGTTGGGTCAATTGCAAAGAATCATTGCTCCTTGGGGAAAACATATTGGCTCAAAGTCGCATGGCGGCCCAGTACAAGGCGACGGTGGTCGAAGACTCCGTCGAATCAATCCCGCACACAACTACAGGCATGCATTGCTGTCTCTCTTGAGGCAAGCGCACAAGACTAACGAGGCACTCCAGTTCCGTACCCTCCCAGACAGCCGTCCATCGCACAGGTATACCCATTACCGCTCTCGATATAAACCAGTCCGGGACACATGCGATCCTTGCGGGAAAAGAGATCCTCAAAACCGTCCATATCTACGAAGGGAAGGTAACTGAGGACCTGAACCTTCGGGCCTCCATCAATTCGTACTCCTCTGCCCATACGTCGCCTCAGTTTGACTGGGCCGCAAGACGCAGGGACTTCCTGCCAGCAAGAGATGTGAGATGGTCTACCGGTAATTGGGCACACCTAGTTGCCACCGCCGCCACAAATGGCCGCATTGCACTGTATGATCTGACAGCTCCTGGCCCGAGGATGGAGCTGGCATGGCTGCATGAACATACCGGCCAGATCAACAAGCTGGACTTTGATCCTCATGCCGGCTACTTGTTGCTGTCAGCATCCCAAGACAAGTCGGTAAGATTATGGGATATGCGTGAGCCAAAACCAGAAAAATCTCGGCAGCGGTTTGATGTGCGCAGTGCTGTGAGGGACGTTCGTTGGTCACCGTTTGAGCCTTTTGATTTCGCTGTCTGTGCTGATGGCGGAGTTGTCCAGAAGTGGGATGCTCGTTCTCCCGCAGGACCAAAGTTGAGTATCAATGGCCATGAGAAGGCGTGCTACTGTCTCGATTGGCACCCGGATGGTCGCCACGTGATTTCTGGAGGCTTTGATAAATTCGTTCGAGTATGGGATTTTCAAAGCGACAACCGACGGCAAAAGCCAGTTCTGCAATTTCGTGCACCACATGCTATCAGGAACATCAGGTGGAGACCTCCCTGTAGGGAAGCAGAGTCCGCGGCGAACCAGTTGCAGAGCACTCAAGTGGCGGTGTCCTATTACCACGATGATTCGCGGCTTCACATTTGGGATCTCAGACGACCCCTGCTGCCGTTTCGAGAACTTGACAGATATGCTTCGCCTGCCAATGATCTCCTTTGGGCGGATCAAGACTTGCTTTGGACTGTTGGAGACGAAGGAGTCTTCACCCAATGGGACGTGAAACATGCCGCTCCTTTGTATAATCAGCTTTCTCCTGGTGCTTCGCTGTTCATGCCGGATGGACAGTACTATACGTTTACTGAAGACAGAGAGACTCGCCACGCACCTGGACTAGATGATGCTGCCTTGGGGTTTCTGAGCGTTCCCGCGGACAAATTGAGCAGCGGGGAGGATGCCGCAATCAGCCGCAGTTTTACAGATGACGAGGCAAGTCAAGAACCGACCAGTGGAACTGGAATCCGACGACCTGGTCGAGGGCCCGCGTCGTCGAAATCTACGAGATCGCTAGCAAATAGCCCCCCTTCTCTGGACGACAAACCGCACGTGCTTTCATTGGATCGGACTGTTATTGATCGTCAAGACCTCTTTAGCAATGAACAGGTGGGTGCTGCAGGCTACATTCCTGGCGTGGCCGCCGAGCCGGAGGTTGTAGAATACCTGGCCTCAAACTGGGCGACCCCGGCCACAGAAGACGAAAGAAAACACGATCCAAATGCCATTCTCCCTCGACTGGAGGATGCCTTCAACCAGAATGCGAGGGCCTGTGACATGGTGTCGATGCATCGTATGGCACAGTCTTGGAGGATCCTATCAGCCGTTATAATTCCAGAACTGAAAGACTGGGCAGATGGCAATCGGGCCAAGAGAAGGGCGGATGCCGCCAGACGACGACAGAACCTAGAAAACTTTCGTTCAGGGACGACAAGGCCTGGTCTTTCTCCGCTAGCTGGGTTGCCAACTCGAAAGGGCGACCACAGGTCACATACTCTCATAAGCAGCTTGTTCAAGTCATCTGAACGGAAACATTTGGGAAATGAGATGGATAGTACTTCGAACATGACTACTCCTCTCGCCAAACCTTTGCCAGACACGCCTCCTTCCGAGCGAAGAAGATGGAGTCACTCCAGCAGTGATGATGAGAGCATCGATGAAATCGTACCACTTCCCCCGTCAGTCTTGACCTCGCATTCGACCGCTGCCGCTGCCTCTCGGGCTCTTCTGGATAGCCCTGGACGAGTCACCAAATCCACTCCCTCTTCGCCCGAAACTTTAAGACCTAAACAGTCCAGCAGGTCACAGCCTTCCAGTGAAACCCCAGCTGCCGAGCAGTATTTAGTTCAGGGCAGTGTACGAGCTTCAGCCGATGTGGCGACAATGCAAACTCCACCGCAGGAAAATCAGACCCAAGAACAGAGGAGAGCGGCTCTGAAAAATTACCGCGTACAGGCAAGACCTATATTCTCGTTCGAAGATAGCGCGCACACGCCAGCCTCGGAGGTACATCCAGACTCAGGAGATAGCTTTCCAATGTTCTCGGCATCAACAGATAGCTCACACAAGGCTCGGTCTATGGGACGGTCCGCTGACTCAAATCGGAGTGATGCTAGGCCTTCTGCTCAACGTGGAGGTTCCGAGTTCGATGACGATTCTGATCATTCTTCTCTTGAAGGCACGGGGGTCAAGCGGCCTCATCTGCAGCACGGGCAAAGCGACCGATCGGTAGCGCCAGAGAGGCGGGTATCTGATTTTGAGGCCCCCTTGGACATGAGCTTCGACCAAAACCGATTGGACCGCAATGCTCTGGACTTCCACATGCAGGGTGACAAGTCTGCATGGCAACCCACTTCCCAATCTGGTCGGGGGCATGGTTTTGAAGCTGGGCCTGGGCCTGGGCCTGGGCCTGGGCATATCATGACATCTACGTCCCAGGACGACACAAATGTCTCTTCTTCACTGGAAGCGCGTTCTTTTGATGACCATCTCCCAGCCCAGAAACCACAGATATACACGTCCAACCCACTGCGCCTAGAGACTTCAGAGGCCATCAGTTCTCGCGATTTCCACAGACAAAACGAATTGTTCCACACCATACCCATGGATGAACTTGACAGTGAGACATACCTCTACCAGGACTTTCGACCCATCGATCTTTCACACTATGAACCAAAGCTTCCCTTCGCGTGGTCAGCACTACCTTTGATCTGCCATAGCATTGCATTCGATTTGGAAAATGGAATTGGACATTGCCAATTTGCTGCACATCTCCTGATGCACACCCATCCGTTTTTTTTCCATCCAGAGTTCCGAAGGTCCACAAACGGTAACAGTCACGATGGGAACAGCCTAGCTGACAGGCTCATGACGCCACACCTTGGACACAGGATCATTGAAGGCATTCTGGAGGGTCATTTGTTATTTTTACAGCAAATGGCTTTGTTCGCATCAGCAGCACTGATAAGAAAGCAGGCGGTGGAACTGAGTTATTCCAAACTCTACAGTATGACACAGGCTAGCAAGCAAGCCAACGGTAGTCTTGCCAACGGAGATGGTATGAGCCTGTCAATAGCCTGCAGCCATTGCCAAATGCCCATGGCGGTCGGCCAGAGAGTCTGTGAGCGATGTCAACTAGCCAGGTCTGTATGTCCGGTCTGCCAGTCCCTGACACATGAGGCTGTCGGCCACCGAGAGTCGTTGGGTGACGGGGTGCGTAGCTGGGGCCAAGGTCAGGACTTTTGGTGCTTTTGCCAGGCTTGCGGACACTCGGGGCATGCGTCCTGCTTGAGTGCATGGTTTGATCAGCCCTTCAGCGAAGGTACATGTCCCAGCCAAGGCTGCGGCTGCGACTGTGGCCCCGGCATGACCAGGCAGCTTCGAGTTCAGCAACAGATCAAGCGGGAAGAGGAAGCGAGACTTATTCGCGGGTCTGGTTCTGGAAGAGTATCTACTAAGCGAGATCCCCTGCGAGCATCAGCCAGCCCAGCAGTTGACAAAGCACGAGCTGCTTTACGGTCGGCCATGGACACAGAGAGATCCACGCAGAGCAGCGATGAACGGAGTTTCAGCGGGAAGCGTGACGGCAGCCGTGCTGCTGCGTCAGGCTTTGGCAGCTCACGCAAGAGTGTACGGTTGGTCACCCCAGGCGAAGAATACGGGCAGTCTCATTCCAAGTCTTGAGAGGTTCCATTAGCACAGGAGCTCTGTACGGAGTACAAGTGAAGAACCTGCACCAGCTGGCCGTGCAAACGAGCTCACAAGCTGATGCGGGTCTCCAAGTCAGAATACCAATCACGTCGATTGGGATTGTTAGTGTCGAACGCCACTCAGCACACGGCTGCCTCTTATAGCGAAATATAGCATGCCGACGGGTTTTGGCGAATGCACGTTTGGCTGAAGGGCTTGTGGCAGCGGTCAGCTCTAGAGCGAGTACAGACTCCAACCAAGATGACCTGTACCCAAGTTGCTCGTATCTAGCGGGAATGGCGCGGAGCTGGCGAGGGAGGTCCGGTGGCATGATTTTTGAATGGTCCTTTGAGTCCGTAGCTGTGCAGAGCTTCAAGTCACCGGACTTTGATGCATCCACCACACCGCCTCTTGTATTACGAATTGGTTTGCAAATCCATCTCCAACATCTGGGGTGTCGAGAATTATCCGTCCACGTGAAGGGTGAGTACAATAGCGGCGAAGCGAGGGAAAGTGGGATGAATTCCCCGCAACTATCCATATCTTCCCCATACTCGCAAGCACTCTGCGACATTGTCCGGTTGTACGGCGTGTTCATGGACGGAGTGTGAGGGCCTCTTTGGCTAAGCTGACTCCGAGGGACTACCACGGATAGAGAGATGGCGAGGCTACTGCGCTGGAGCTGGTAACTGTCAACCCTGCAACCTCGGTATACGAAGGAATGCTCTGTGATCTGGGATAAAAATATCTTCCCACGCAACGCGAAACGATGCCCAACTTCCCGGCCAGTTGCCAGTTCCCTCTCCATCTCACGGTCTGCGTCCAGTCAACGGTGCAGTCGCTGTTTGCTCCGTTAACCTCTTTCGGGCAACCCTATACACTGCGGCTCCCCATTCGCTATATATGCCGTATCCTATTCCTCTTTCAGACGAAACTATACTTGTTATGGCCTGGCGCGTCTGCATTAACGACATAGCCTGGGCCCGTAGATGGTGCTGCGGCGGCGAGGAGGGTCCAATCAACAGTCAGCGCTAGGGCAACAATGCTTACCACTCCGGGCGTTACTGCATCTGTCACTCTCTTTTGGCCGTTGTCTGGTCTAGATTTCCGATCTCTTACCTCAGATGGACGACGAGCGGTTCCTGTACTCGTACCTAGCACCATCTGTCGTCCCGAGTTCTTTGGTTCCTTGGTCTTCTAGCTACGGCACTAAGAGCTGGGCGGAGGCTTGAAGCAGCCTACGGAGGAGCTAAGCCCGGGCGTCCCAGCCTTCGCCAGCCCCGGAGACATACACGATATCCAGTGCGAGTACTCCGTAGAGACCAAGGCATCTGGACGGAGTGTCCGTAAGCGTGACCATGCATGCGGAGGCATTTTAGAATTGCCACTGCACGTATTCAGGCGGCCTGCAATCACATCTTGGGTTCATAAAAGCTGGACTTGTTCCCTCTGATCCTACTGCTTCATATCTGCATCAGTCGCTTCGTTCCCTCCAGCCTTTCGTTGTTAATACTCGCTCGTAACAACCGTTAATCGTATCATACTCTCTACCTCTGAGAATTCACCTGCAACGTAGTCATTTCAACTTGACAATCCAAAGCGAAAAGCATCTTTCTTTTATTGATTCGCCAGCGGCAGCATCGTCGACCATGCGTTTCTCCGACATCATCACTCCCCTAAGCCTTCTGGGTATGGCAACCGCTTTCCAGCCCGTGGCCAGGCGCGGCGGCGGTGAATGTATCCCCTACGCCACCGCCCAGACGCTCGTCAATGACTGGATCACCACCCTGACGACACCCTCGGACGTTGCCAACATGGAGAACCTCCTCGCCCCCAGCTTCTCCGATTACTCGGACTCGATCAACTTCATTGCCGGGATCCCCTTGGGATCAGTGACGTTTCCATCGCCCGAAGCATACATTGGAGGACAGGGTGCTCAGCCTCCCATCGGCGTGGCCATTCTCAACCTCGACGCCGTGACGTGCGACGGTGTCATTGCCGTTCGATGGGTCGCCACGGTCGGTCTCGACGTCGCCGAGGCAAAGGGCATCTCCATCCTGCATGCCGTGCAGTCCGGGTCGGACTGCAACGCCGTCGGCCCTACTGGGTGGCAGTTGGGTCAGCTGTTCACCGAGTTCAACTCTGCCGCGTGGGTTCTGGATATCGGCGGGACTTGCGTGTCACCTGCTGCTCAGGCTTCGCGCAAGTTGAGAGGCTAGGTAGATGACGACGGTGGTGGTGGTGGTGGTCAGCTTGTGCCTCGAACCCGGAGATGAACGAGTGGATGGATTACGGTGCATGGTGGTGATGGTAATGAGTACGGAGTCAAGTACCTAATATCCGACGACGTGAATGAGTTTTTTCTTTTATATTCGAATGGTACGCGGCATATGGCGGTGGGAAAATCGGATTCACACGCCAGGTGTTTAATTGACGAAAATTGGGACTGAACATCGAACCACCTTGTAAATACTTGTTAGTACAGCCTCCTCCTTACGGTTACAAAGAATCTGGGTACCCAGGTAGGTAGCTGTGCTAATAACCAGCATGAGTCGGAGTACGAGTCCTAACCAGATGCATACTTAATGTGTCTTGGAGAGCTCAAGAGCGAATTCACATTCTCCATTCCTTCCACTTCCTCGAATGTTGGTCGTAAGAGCGGCCAGCGTGTGCTCTCTCCTTGTCATCACGGTTCTGTTGTCGATGGCCATGCTGGACCAAGTATCTGTACCTTGGAAACGTCTGTCGGCACACGGGCCACAGCCACGGCACGGTCCAACCCTCCCAGAGAGCGTACGCACGTCCTGCCTCGACCCCAAGGGGGAGTAAGAAGGTCTAAATCTACGCTTGCCATTCCACCTACCGTCATTGACTGCGTTGATATCGTGAAGTCATGAAGAATCGTCTTCTCCTCAGAGGTTGGTACCTCGTATGTCACCGGTCTAGTACAGTATCCCACTTCCATTGACCACCACGGACTTTCAACCATTTACTTCTTCGCAGCGCGACTCTGGACTTGTGTAGGTGCTTTGCGGTGCTTTCGTACCGTCGTTGAAATGTCCAACAGCACCCGGCGATGACGAGGCTGGCTCAGTGTTTGACGGGCTTATTGCTAAGGCTAGTGCTACCGAGGCATTCTCGTGGGCTGATTTTGCTTGTGCTTCGAGGTCTGGTGAGGCTGTGCCTTCTTATCAATACGAGACGGCATGCGACTCTGGCGACTCGTCTGCCTTCAACACCACTTTCTCCCCGCACTCGCGGTATTTCACTTGTCTATTGTCCCTAAGACATATCTTAACCTCGAGGTTATAGCATTCCAAGCCCCTGTCGCGGCCCTCTTGTCCTTGCTTCCATAAAAACTATCCTATCCCACATATATACACATCCAGCCGCATTGGAACGATGGAGGCAATTGGGCTGACGGTCGGTCTTTTGGGACTGGCAGGTCTCTTCAGCCAGTGCAAGGACCTCCTCGATCTCATCGAAACCGGTCGGTCGTACGCAAGAGGACTCGAAGCACTGGATACAAAGTTTGAGGCACAGAAGTTACGCTTTCAGATCTGGGGCGAGGCTGTGGGCCTGGTTGGAGATTTGACGCCTGACGAGAACCTGGCCCACGATGATGTTAGGCCTGTCGTCCAACGTATCTTGAACAACATGCGACTGCTATTTGACGATACGCATAGATTGAAAGGGACGTTTGGGCCCCGTCAAATCAATGATCAAAACGCGCGTGAAGGGTTTGCCCAGCTGCTGCTCCGGCTTCGTCGGAGCCAGGAGGCTGCGAGCCTGTCGACAAAGGCGAGATGGAGTGTATCCAGGAAGGACAAATTCCAAACCTTGGTGGAAGAGATAAGAACTTTCATGGACTCTCTTGAAAGTATCACGAGCTCCTTGGAACAGCTCTCGAGAAGACGTAATCTTCTCGAAAGGAATATCGCTGCCGCTCCGGATGAAGCAAGTCTACGCGCATTGCGTGAAGTCTCGTCAGAGAGTGGAATAGTCGTGTCGGATAGCGCAAGCTCGCGCTTCCTCCACTTGGACGACTTCAATCACGATCCTACTGATTCTGTACCCGACGACTACTCGAGTTCACACGCAACGTACGTCTCCTGTCGTACACATCCAAGAGAAAGCATGGATATGGGCAGAGGAGATCCTGCGAGCATTACCTTGGCGCCGCCCGAGATAGACCGTCAACTAACTCCTACGGGGTCCACTGATGACTGCTTCTCGAGGGAAGAAGTAGTGTTACAGACGGAAAAGTTCAAGACCTTGTGGCAGAATACGGGTAACATCGCGCTCGAAGTGGTCACCGCCGGTGATGATTCTGCTCTCTCTGGACCTTTTCCTAAAAGGATAAGAAAAGAATTTGAATCTGTATCCAGGGGCATCCGAGACAATAATATGCCGATGTCTTTCATGACCATCAACGGAAGCCTTGTGGACCTGCTTGGAGTCTTCATGGGCCCAGCTTCCACGCCGTATGAAGGGGGGATCTTCTTCACACGCTGGACTTTCACACCTGGCTATCCTTTCACGCCTCCCCTGGTCAAGTTCTTGACCAAGATCTATCACCCCAACATCGATCCACGTGGAGTAATCTGCCTCGATATTCTGAACGATAGCGGCTCGTCCGTTAGTCTGGGACTCGAGAAAACGCTTGTCTCGATAATCTCCATTTTGGACGACCCTACCCTGGACGACCCCTTTGTCCCGCAGATTGCGGAACAATACCAAGCAAGGCGAGAAGAGTACGACAGGACCGCTCGTGCCTACACAATGAGATATGCGACAGGAGACTTGCCTTCTTTCGAGCCCCATGACGCTGCGTCACCCTGGTGGCAGGACGCTGAAAACTTGAGAAACGCTCTTGACGAGGCTGACTTAACCTGGTCCCGCCTCCTGCTTGTACCGTGCGAACCTCAATCGGGCCAGACGACGAAAAGACTGGCTCGAGTTTAAATTGGGAACGAGGTTCACCAGATCAACTCACAAGTCTACATGTCCCGAGCGAGTGAGTTTTATCTGGTGGGAGAATGTCAGTTAGTGTTTACGCTCGAATGCACGGTATGTTTATCATCTTACGAAAGAAATTCTCAGTGCCCCAGCAGCAGCAGACGATATGAGAAAAACAAAAACAGCTAGACGAAGTAACGAACGGTATGGTATTCATGTCCCGAGTTCGCTATCCTTGCATTAACTTAGGTAATATATACCTAACATACCTACCTAGGTACTCATGTATCAGTGATCAAAACTCTGTGTGGTGGCCGAAGTCCTCAAACCGAAAAAAAAAGACTCCCTATTCATGATGCATTCTATACAGTCTGCCGTGTCACCATGTCACGCCATGTCATGCCCAAGGAATACCTTGCTCTTGTCCCTGTGCCGCGTTGTATTGTGTAGTGGTATAAATGTGTTGTTTAGTAGCGTCTGCGTTGTGCAATGGTGTAGTGTACCGATCCAGTTGATTCAACTGGCTCAATGCTTCAAACCACAGCCGCAATCCAAACTAGATTCGGCTTCGCGCTTTCTATGCTTGAAATCACCGTGATACTCATCGAGGTGAACGAGCGGTCCGTTCTCGTTAACGGGGAGACCCGGCGGACCCATCCACTCACCCCAGTCCTGGTCCTGGTTAGTGGATGAACCGGATGACGAAGTAGAAGTCGAAGAAGAAGTCTTGACGCCCTTGGCCTTCAATTCCTCCGTGACCGCGCCGAGGTCAAGGTCGAGATACTCGGCTATGAACTCGCCGACTTCGCTGTTTTCGTGATTGCCTACCAACCCTGGGGCGTGGTCGGGGCTGGAAGCGTAGATGTTGACATCGACAGCGCTGTGGCCGTGCGTCGACCAACCTATCTGCGCGCGACGGGAGATCATGTCTGCGAAAAGGTACGACGGAGGCCAGATGGGTTTGGCGTCGATGATGGCGTCGATCTCGTCCTGCGTGTAATCGACGATGCCCAGACCCGATTTCAAAAGCTCCGACAGTTTCGCAGACTTGTCTTCTCGCGACCGGTCGGGCGAGCTGTGCAGGTATTCCCCCCATGCGCTGGACATCCACTCAGCTGAGTGGCTCGCGTTGGCGAGCACTCCGGGGTACCATCTGTACATGGGGTACGTTTGGTGCAGCTGCCTTGCAGCGGCGAGGCCGCCCGTCTCGTGGTCGGATGTCGAGACCAGTATACCTTCGGTGGTGTCCTTTTCGAGGAATTTGAGGACGGCGGCAAACGCCTTATCGTGGGCCATGACCTCGTGCACCTGAGCTGCTGGGTCGTTGCCGTGGCCTGCGTGGTCGATACGGGAGCCTTCGATCATTAGGAAGAAGCCCTTGTCGCTGTCCTTTGTGGCGGCGGAGAGCGCTTTGAGCGCTACCTCGGCCATCTCGGACTCACTTGGGTATATGTCGGAGACGTGTACGCGGTCAATCTCGTAAGGAATATCAGTCGACGCGAGAAGCGCGAGGAGAGGGAGTTTGACTCCGCCTTCAGCCTCGAGATTGTCGAAGTCCGCTTTGTTGTCCACGTAGTGGAAACCGTACTTCTCCTGGGCTAGAGCAACAACGTCCGTGGAGTCGGCTCGGCATGAGCCTTCGGTGGTGTTGGGCAGAAAGTGGCATCGTCCTCCGCCGATCATGATGTCGACGACGCGACCGAGAGGATAGTGTCCGATCATTTGTTCGGCAATCAGATCTTCATATTCGCGCCTGTTGGCGTGCGCGGCGAAACAGGCAGGAGTGGCATCTGTGATACGTGTTGTGACTACCAGCCCTGTCATGTAGCCTGCCTTTTTGGCCGCTTCGAGGACCGAGCCGCAGGGCGTGTGGTCTGGCAGGACAGAGATGGCGCCGTTGTATGACTTGAAGCCACATGAGAAGGCTGTAGCACCCGCCGCCGAGTCGGTGATAAGGCTGCTGGTGCTGCGAGTGCGGGAGGAGCCTATTAAATGTCTGTCCAGCACGAGAATGTCGTCGATGGGCAAACCCGATGTATGTTGGCGAAAGTTTCGAGTCATGGCTAGCGACGTAGGGCCCATGCCGTCTGACACCATGAATATCATGTTTCTTTTGCCCGTGGGATTACCATCCGGGCCCCAACCACCGGTGCGGCGCTGTTGAATTGACGTTTCATGTTGGTAGACCACCGCGAGGATAACCACGGCAACGGTGGCAAGGAGGGCCCAGACGAAGACGCCTATTTCGCGCCAGCGGGCGAACTTGGAAGGCGGGTGGTGTATGGACTGGCCTGTGAGAAGGGCATCTTCTTCATCGATGTTGTCGACCGAGGAGTTGGGGGACGTTGGGCGCGCCAGGAGAGGTTCTTCGGAGCGTGTCATTGCGAGGCAATGGGTATCGTGCGGTCAGCGGAGAAGAGGTCTGCATCGCCTGTCTGAAATGACGACGAAAGTCGAACTGTGCCTGTCGTCGCGCGGATCTGGTTGAGAGGGGGGAGTTGATGGTGTTGCGGTGTCATGGGGACTAAGTTGATTGGACACGTGACTGCACGTGATGATCTTGGTGAGGAGCTCCCCTAAAGTTTCGTTACCTTATCTCTTGTCAATCTCGGGCAGGGATCCTATAGTTTCAGTTCGCCAGATAAAGAGGAGGCGTGTTTGGCACAAATGCATCCATGAGACCACGAGCTGGCCCGAGACCTATACTGTAAGAAAGGGATCACATGTGACCTTACTCGAGTATGACAATGCATACCTTGTGGAGGCTGATTCAGGTTGGTAACGTCGTGAAGGCTTCGAACAATGGATCCAATATACGGCGATGGAGGTGCTTGGGCGAGAGACTGCCATATGCTCATGGATTGCTTCCAGGAGACCTTTGAAAGGCCAATTTGAAAACATTCCAGGCACTGCCAGACAGGGTCATCGTTGAAGATACTCTTGACTGAGACTAACACTAGGCGAAGAACACATAGAGACAAGCCGATGCACCATTACTATGCTGCTCAAGTCTCTGGCCAGGCCGACGCTCGTCGGATTATGCTCGCAGGACAGGACGAATCGATAGATCCTGGAGGGACAGCATTTGCCGCCTTGGGTCTGATAAAGCGGTGGGTCAGAAAGAGCACAAGATGCCTGCTTCCAACCACAAACTGAGCCTTTCTCATCGTACATTTGCGCGCTACCGTCGGAAATCAGTCCAGGCCATGGTGTCCCTACACTTCACAAAAGCAGATCAAAGGCCCTCAACTTGACGAGGCTGTGAACCAGCCTTATATGTGCAGGACCCACAGAGAACGGCGACGTGCAATCAGTCAAACAATCAACCAAGTGAACTCACCGTCAACAATCACCAACACCCTTAAAGTGATAGCTCGGGTTAAACCACATGGCTCTGTGGGGACGGTTACTCAATTAGGCGAGCAAGGAACAGAATACGCCTCGGGTTCGAATCACGATGATCGACGAGAAATTGGGGAGTATCATAGCCAAAGTCAAAATTGGAACCCACGAGGGGCTTATTTGGACGGCGTCTTGACGGTGGACGGTGGACGGTGGAAATTCAAACTTCGACGCTCAAATCCTCAAATCCTCGAAACAACGAGCCTCAACATCAGGATCCCTCGAAGTCATGAACTCACGAAATCTCGCTGCATTTTTTGGGCCTGGGAGCTCGTTCGGACAGACTTATAGAATCTTGAGTGTGCAGGTAATGACCTTCATCTCAGCTGATCGCCTAATTGAACAAAGTGCCTGAGTTGTGTCGGTGAGGTAGAGAGATGTGGACATTAACTACCTAGCCTAACGCCTTAGCGGCGATTGCGCCATTAAAGGAGTATACATGCAATAACTCGAAACTGTCAGAAGATAGCTATATGAAGGTCTCCTAGGTTATTATGATAGTCTCACTGCTGTGTTGAAGAACTGATTGTCGCTTTGACTTCTTAACATTAAAGAACGGGAACGACAATGTCGAGATACTTGGAGGCGGGCGGCACTACAGCAATATCGCACGGCTAGCACAACAAAAGCTCACGACCTGCGACACCATGTACCTGATAATTCTGCCACTCAACAGTCCTACGTTCAATAAGAGATTATCTATGCAGGTAAGATTTCAAAAGTCCAGCCTTGATCACGTCAGCTTCAGGTGTAACCGGAGAGAAGCCTCCTGGGTGATATTACCCATTCTAATGTTCCGCTCTTGAATCCATCGAAACATTCCACCTTTGAGAACGATCCAACATCTGACCACCGAAAAAAAAATACCAAACCCGAGGGTTCATATCTTTGTCCCACGCGCAATATTGCGCCGACATGGTTCCTCATCGATCTAGGGCGCATCCGACCACGGCCGAAGTCATCCACGTCGTTCCTGGCGGTTGCCAATCTCATCGAGTCTAGCGAAAAGACCATATATACTCTCTTTCGTGGTTACCCATACGCCTTGCCTGCGAGAAACTCTCAATATAGGACCAAGCAGTCATCCGGCGTTTTATGTTCGACTATGCCCAAAAACGCCGACCGACTGGACATAAAATACCAAACCCAAATCCAACCACAACCACGAACTACCAGACTGAAAAGGACTTTTCAGAACAACTTGGCATATCGGGCTGCCGAGAAGCCTACAGCGCCAGCAGTCAAGAAAATGCCTGCCCACGCCATCAAACCTCTCCTCATACTGGCTTGCATGAAAGATTCCATGGCCTGGGCGTCATTCAATTTGGGGAAAGGGACGTCCTTTGGAACAGGAACTCCGAGAATGGCGCACAACGGTTCCCACCCGTCACGCACATCATAGAAGAACAACCTGTCCTTGGGGACGACTTTTTTGAGGTGTTCGATATGACGATCCCACATGGCTCGCGTTGGTCTTTGTGGTTCATTTTCACGGAAGTATAGCTCTCCCACCCGGCCTTCATCCAAAGCGTCGTGGTAGGCACGGAACATTCGCAGGGTTGGCAGCGGTGCTAGAATCCACGACAGGACTGTGAGGTTTCCTTTCTCGACGATCGGCGCCAAACTGTTCCACCACTTCTCGGGGTCTCGAACGGTGCAGATGACCTTGGCGTCAGGGTATATAGCCATCAACTCCTCAACGAAGGCATTCGAGGGCAGGTCGGTACACGCAACATAACCATCGAGCATTTCCTTTACCCCGTCGTTCAGGGCCTTTCGATCTTCTTGAGTTTTAACGGGGGTGCGCCTGATGATTTCGATCCATCGTTTGATGTGGGACTCTGGGGAGTTGAGCATCTGGGTACCTCCATGGTAGCACGGACCGTCGAGGAGGTATGAGCAAGCGGCACCGAAGGATGTCGTTCCCGTGCGTGACAGTCCGGCCCCAATGACCCTCAGGGACCGGTCCTGTGCGGGCTGAGATGCAGTCTGACCCATGGTCGATTGTGATGGGAAGAATGGCAAAGAGGTAGGTAGGAAATTGTCCAAGAAAAGGGTAGATCTAAGCAAGCAGATCGTTTTCTAGGGCAAGACTTCAAGGCCACTGACGTTGACAGGTACGGATCTTACAATAGGTCCTAACAAGCACACGAAGGGGAGGGGAAGGGAGAGGACCGACCTTATCTCTGTTTTCCCAGATCGCCTCTTGTTCGACCCTATGGAGTTCCAGGAACCGGTCCAACCAGGCTCATGCACACACCAAACATTGAGTCAACTCAACGGGACGTGGGATTTGAGGAAATGCAACGGCCCCGATGATCATCCATCTCCCAGACAGATCCACCTCGGCGAGCTTCGATAGTGGCGCGAGACTTTGAGAACTTGACTTCAACAAGCCAAGTCACAAGAGAATAATCGTGCTAAGTAGTTAGGCTGTTTCTCTGCAGACATCCTGGCTACCTCGACTGTCGGTCTCCTTCCTAGCCGTCCGGAGGACGCTGATAGATCAGAGCACGCATAATCTCCAATTCTGCGAATAAACGCGAAAATCCCCAGACTTCAACCGGCCAGAATCTCAACGCTGTCTTGATCTCATTGAATCACACTCGCAACGTTGCGCCGACGAGCCGAATGGTTACATGTTCCCGTCAAGTATGGCTGACATCGTGCTCCCGACGGAGTATTGCCAATAGTGGAATCTGCTCAGCTTCGGCAACACAGACCCAAGCGTTTTAGCCTTGCGGGCGAAATTGAAAATGAAACAAGGACTCAAAGGATGTGGCAGACCAGCTGCAGAAAGCCGTCAAAAGTGACTCCAAATTACGGAGACTGGATTCAAGCTTCAGCCACTGGCCAGAGATCGCAAACCTGCAGGATGGAGGACAAGCAAATAACAACGATTGACCGAGGCCTGACTTTGGGGGGCCACCAGTTGCCACACTTCCACCCAAAAAAAGGGGGGGTTTTTGGAACTGCAATCAACTTACTGCTGCCCCTCCAAATTAGCGACGACCCGGCGTAAGGCTTCATGGAGTTGCCTCTGGGACTGGACCAGGATTTCTATGGGTACCTGCCTATGCCACACAAAGGCAGCTAGTAGTAGATGCTCTTCCCGCCCACAGACTTGACCGTCTCTAGTTTTCCAGGGACCACCTGAAGATCGGCACCGTTGCTTCGCCATCAAGCAATCTTATCCACTTTCTGACAGCTGCTTGTACCTTGTACGCATTGCGACTACGGACGACAAGCAGGAGGCCTAATCTCATGCAATGGCCACCGGATGCACTGTGCCCCTGCCATTCTGTTGCTTAGCATAGTCTGTTTCTCTCGATGTCGTTGCTGGCAGTGGGTGGTGTTGGAGTGTCCTTCGCAACCGCATGAGCTCTTGGCCATTATGCGAAATTGCCGATCACCCGGCGCATATTGTAACAGGACTCAAAACGGATCGCCAGGGCACATTTGGAAGCACCAAGATATGGATCCTCCAGCACTACCGCCATCCACCCTGGTCAGGGGCGTATGTAGCGCCCATGGAAAAGTTCGATAACAAGTTTGAGCGGCATGTGTCTACTACGTGAGTTGGAGCTAGGCATGAGGTGAAGAGTTGTGCCTTGGGCCCCCATTACTTGAGAATCCCTGGATATTCTGGGTTTGAGGGGTCTCTAGTCCTATGGGCATGAACACAGATCGTCAGAGGGCCAGGGGCTCAACCCGCAATCTTTCCATCGAACTCTGACGAACAAGCACCTTCACCTCACAAACACTGTGTCGGATAAAGTTCAAAGTCTACTCAACGTTGCGTCCTGGACGTTGCAAAACCGGAAATAGGGAGTAGAGAAGACTCAACTTTATCTTGTTGCCAATTTTCAGTCCCAGGCCAATCATGGATAGTACTGAAGAATCCCAAAGGGCCCCGCCGTCAGAAGCCTAAAAACCCCCCTCGATGCATCTGTCAGAAATCAAAAAAGCAAACAAAATGCAGCCTGTCGATCCGATCGAGAACAAGCGACCTGCAGCATGCGCGGCAATCTTGGTCGCGTGTATTCTGCAAGGTACATGACTGAAGACGCCACAAGCAGTGTGCGGTCGTCAACTTCACGGTCAAGGTGTACCTGATCGGCCAATTGAACCCTCGATCGTTGGTGAGTGCCGCTTCGAGAAATGGCATTACAGATAAGCCCTATGCTGTACGAGAAGTTGATTCCTCAATATCGGTCCCTCATCAGCAGCTAGGCGGTCCGGCCCATGATGGTACGATGTAGAGGCATAAAGGCATAATCTCCCGAACCACGACGAATGCGCTCGTACGCGTAATCATGACACGAACTTCACCCTGGACATTCCGAACGTGTCAGTCTTGAACTCACAAGCTTTTCTCCTCAAAGTCTGTCGCGATCTGGACGCGCAAGGCGAACATGCTCGGCTGGCTGACGACTGACTGACGACATGCGACACAAAACCAATATTGAATCGTCCTCGGAGATTGTTGCTGCTAGAATAACTTTCTTCCTTTCGAGTGTACCAACACATGGAGGAAAAGCGAGAATCTCTTTCGATGTTAACCTCCCCTAGCCTTTGCGAGTGGTGGTAGTTCTCCTATCAATCCTTGCATCGCCATGCTCTGATAAAAGGTCTGCCCGGTTATGGGACATGCTTGATAATGTACCTATTGTATCCGAGGAGAATGTCGAGTTGTTCTGAACTGTTCAGCTTCGGATGACAACTCACTGAAAGTAGAAGGACTGGATATTGAATTCCACCGTTTCTAACACGCACCTACAGCACTGCCTGGCATTCCTAAACCGTTGTTCCTGACGTCTTCCGTTCGCAAACCTCATATGCTCCCACGAGGGAAAGGTTAGACTAGTCGAGCGAGGACTTGACCTTTGCAAAGGCATCTGTGGGGAATAATTCCTGGGGAAGTCACAGCAACTGCTCGAAATTTTCCGGCTATCGCTTGGTATCCCTCTGGGATTCGATGAGTCGTTGTGTCATGCATGATGGGGACCGCCCTGGCAGGGTTTTGTGTAGACCATATTGTTTCGCATGACGATTATCGGGATATCAGTAAGTCTCATGCATCGTTGACTGCTGACATAATGTTGACCATGTCATGATGCCCTGGCGTGTGTTTGATAAGGCACTCTGACTGTCGCCTTACCTGTGAGGCAGCTCGATCTCAAGCAAACCAGGTCAGAGTGAGGCCATCCTTCCAAGGCTCTGCTTCCAAGGCCATTCTTCCAAGGCTATTCTTCCAAGGCCATTCTTCCAAGGCCATTGCCGTGGATATGGCTTGGGTAACAACTGGCCACGATCTTCCCTCTGAACCGTGCCGACCACCGCATTAATTCCCCGATTGGCTCTGATCCCGCACTAGCCGCATTAGTGTCCCCTGCCCCTGGAAGCAGCGCCACCGTCGCTCAAACCCTGGGGGAATCACCTGACGAATGACAGTGCTACAAGAGCCTAAAGCAGCAGGAAAACCGCCCAGACTAGCTACTTCCAGACCCTCATGTTTCACGCGCCGCGTCAGTGGGTGGCTACACTACGCCAGGCAAAAGATAATGTTAGTAACAAGCCAAACTGCGCCCTTTTTCCAGCTTTTTGCCAGTCGAGTCGCTTCAATTTACACCCTCACCTGTTCAATCGTTGCACTGTGCATTTTCATCCCATTTCTTGTAATTCAAGCGTTTGCTGCTTCTTTGGACTTCTTCTCCTCTACAGCAGACGTACCACTCTCGCTATATCCATTCGCTGGTGATCCTCGGTCTTTGTTTAGCAATCTCGCACGACCGCCAGACCATTCCCCGAATTCCTGCCATTCGCTTACAGACGAAAAGAACGCCCTTTCTTTGTACTACTCCGAGACGGGTTTTGTCACACATCGACCTTCCTGTCACCCGATTCTTGATCTCCTTTCATTGACAACTGAATAACGACATGGCCGGCCGCTTCTGGCTCTTAGCCGCCTCTTTGGCACCTGCGGCGTATGCTGCGGTCACCTGCGGTGGTGGAAAGCAATGCCCAGAGGATACTCCTTGTTGTTCACGTATGTCAGTCAATGGGAAAGATGTTCGGTCGAGACTAATGTTGACGCAGAGTACGGCCAATGCGGTGTTGGTGCCTATTGTCTAGGTGGCTGCGATCCTGTCAACTCTTTCTCCCTTCAAGCCTGTACACCTGCGCCTGTCTGTCAGTCAAAGACATACACCTTCGACAACCTTGATGGCATACAATCAAACACCAAATATCTAGGGGATCCTAGCAAGGCCGATTGGGTGTCATCTGGGCAGCCCCTCGAGTACAATGGCTCCGTCTTGCTCACTATGGCCGAAGGAACAGTCGGAACACTACTGGCGAGCACAGACTATGTCTGGTATGGAAAAGTGTCGGCCAGGTTAAGCACTTCTGCTGGTGCCGGCGTGGTGACTGCGTTTATTCTGTTGGGCGACTCCAAAGACGAAATCGATTTCGAATTTGTCGGCGTGGAACTCGAGAGCGCCCAAACTAACTTCTACTCTCAGGGTGTCACTGACTGTAAGTTTGTCGGATTGAGTAACGAAGCCCGTTGCTGACATGAATAGATCACAATGGTGGCAACACTACTGGCTTGAGCGATGTACACCTAAACATGCACGATTATGAGATTGATTGGCAGCCCGATACTATCACCTGGTCTATCGATGGCAACGTTGTTCGTACTCTCAACCGGGAAGATACCTGGAATGCTACCGCCAACCGATACTCATATCCTCAAACCCCATCTAGAGTGCAGCTGTCCCTCTGGCCTGGCGGTCTGTCCACCAACGGTGAGGGTACGATTGAATGGGCTGGTGGCCTTGTTCAGTGGGACTCGCCGTACATGGAGAATGGGTACTACTATGCCACCTTTGATGAAGTGTCGATTGAATGCTACGACCCTCCTAGCAATGCGCAAAAGAACGGCACCAAGTCATACATCTACACCAACGATGCCATGACCAACAACACTGTCGAAATTACCAACGAGAATACGATCCTCAGTTCGTTTTTGGCCACCGGTCTCAATATGACCGCTGGCGAAGCCAGCGCCTCTGCTAGCGCCAGTGGTTCTGCGAAGACAAGCGATGTCGAGACAGTACCTGGTTTGAGCGGTGGTGGTACTGGCAACAATGGTCAGCGCGGTGACGGCAGTTCTGCTAGCAGCAGCGCTGCAGGTACGGATGCAGGGTCTGGAAGCGCTACAGCGACCGGCAGTGCATCTACCGGATTCGTTCAAGGTGGTGGCAGTGACTCGAACAATAATGGTGCCGGTCAGCTCGGCGGCAACAGTGAGACTGTCCTGAGAGGAAGTCTGCTTGCGGTTGTCGTTGCTGTGGTTGGACTTTGTGTGCTATAGTCGAGATCGCGTGGTGGAGATGAATGGCATCTTGTACTGACCGACAATCCTTTTATGAATTTGGGAGGTTTTGCATGGCGAGGATATATTGGGATTATAATTTTTAGATGCCGATGCTAGGCGAAGAATCAAAATTACAGTCACTTTGAAATCTGAATGGAAGTTCATGACAAGCATCCGGAGCTTGCTGTCCCAGAATATGCATATGCCGCGCCTGGTTGGTTCATCCTCGGCAGAATTATGAAGTCATTCAATGCTGCGTAACTTGGATATTTTTTCGTCCCCTTCGATATTGTCAACACTTCCCAGTGCTCCTTATGCTCTCGTAGAGTGCTACTTGGACACAATTTCTTCTCTTATTTCTATTGCGATTCAGTACGAATCTTTCTGACGCGGCATTCACCTTCAGATAGCCAGGGACGCCACGCTCTAAGCTCGGAATCATCGACTCGCTCCCTCGAAGCGGAGCCAACTGACCTCTCTCCATCCGAAATCTCACCCTGCACACAGGTCACTCACCACTACTTGTACTGGCTTGCGTTGTAGAAACCATGAGAGTTCCATCTCTAGACCTTCTTCGGGCCTTGCGCCTGGCTACATCTTCATCATCATCATCATCACCACTCCGCAAACCTCACACGTTCCACCGTGTCTGCACATCACCACTCTCCCGACCATCTCTACTGGCTCCTCCACAACTGCGTCCTCTCTCGACATCCATCGTTCGTCACGCACCGCAAGCTTCATCTTCATCTTCTGCCTCGCCTACGAGACGCCGCCCTCAAAATGAACACTCACCCCCCACAACAGTTGCGGGCGCAGGCACAGGTGCAACTACAAATGCAAGCTCAGGTACAGGCGGAGCAAGTACCGGTGTCAACCGCCTCAATCCACGTGCTCCCAAATCCCACGACCGCGGGCCCGCGTCGACTGAAGACACGCAAACCGACTTTTCGGCAATGGACATACTCACGACCTCGGGCGTCGCAGTCCCAGCCACGGCCATCGACGCCTGCACCCATGACGGCTTCCACTTGAACAACGGCACGCAAACACACAGCGGGATGGGTGTGATGTTGCTTGATGGTGAAACTTTTGTTTGGACTCCCTGGAACACGGACACAAGTGGTGGTGGGCCTGGCTTTTCATCTTTTCTATCCAAGCGTGGCATTCTGACGCTCCCCCTATCCTCCCTGGGCGTATTGGGTCTCTTGTACCCGAAGCCAGATCTACTCATCATTGGCACGGGCGAGAAATTGTGGATGCTGAGCAAGGAAACACGTAAATACATCTCCGAGGACCTAGGCATCAAAGTGGACGTGATGGACACACCGAACGCGGCGGCAGCGTATAATCTGCTCGCAACGGAGAGGGGCGTGGACCAGGTTGCGGCACTGATGATACCGTTGGGATTCAGGGGAGTCTAATTGTACCAGGTATTCTTTCGACATCGGCGCTTTGTACTTATATTGGTCCGAAGTGTACTTCAAGCTTGCACTTTCGAAGTCCTCGTCGACACTGCTCCTAGGGTTCACAAAGAAAATGTCAAGACTCATGACGTTCTCAAGTCGGGACCCCACGAAGATCTCAGCTTCTCCCTGTCGCCCGTACCGTGAGCCGTCAAGTTACTTCTTACTTTCCCACAATGCTTGCCATTCACGGAGGACCTCTTCAATCTCGGTCTCCTTTGCAGATACAACTTCTGATCTCTTCGTCGATTGCTGTGAAAATGCAACCCTCTCTGTGACGCTGTGAACATCAGTGAGATACATGTCGAGCATCCATCCCTCTGTGCACCTCTCGCGACTGAATCCACGTCAGCCGACTAGCCTCCTCCATGGGATCTTTGAACTCAAGAATGTCCACCAACTCACTTGTTACCATCCTCGGTGATGGCCGCTGATACGTCGGACCTAGCAGACATGGGGAATGCTTCTGGTCAAGGTGTGGGCTCACGTCGGCTGAAGTCTATTGCTTGTCTTTTTTTTTTGAGAATAGGAGTCCTACTTTTGTTAAAGACTACAGACAACCAACTTTGGGTCGATGTGCTTCTTGAAACCATGGCTGATGTCTCTGGTTTGGTGACCGGGACATTTACAGGAGCAGTACTTCGAAACCACGATTGCGATTGTGCATAAGAAGCCATCACTGTGGGGTATCGAGTCTTTGAGGTCGCGACGCGGTATAACACAACGCATTCGAAAGAAGTAAAAAGCACTGTGGTGCCTTTGGACATGATTGGTGATTGCTAGATGCAGGCGAACAGATGCAACCTGTACCAATAGGAGCATAAAGCACACTTGTGCCTTTCGGGCGACTGTTTTAGGTCTATCAGCCTGATCGAAGATTCCTCACACTTTTTCTCAAGCTTGCGAACTGACTTCTTTCAAGCAGAGTTTGCTACACCGTGTGCACATTTTACACACGATTACACAATATTGATCATCGAGAGCAACTCCAGGAATAAGCCGCCCACGTTATCTGCGAGCGGTTTATAAATCTTTCTATACACCACTGTGTCTCTCCTTGGATTTCTGAAAGAAAAGTATGAAACTATGCGACTGTTGAAAGTTGACGGTCACGGCGAGCTCACCAGGTGTTATCCTGAAGAGAATGCTCCGGCTTATGCAATACTCTCGCACACTTGGGGAACTGATGCGGATGAAGTATCTTTTCAGGATCTTGGAGATGGGTCTTATTTGAAAAAGGCTGGCTGGTCCAAGATTCAGTTCTGCAGGAAACAAGCCGAAAAGGACGGCCTGCTATACTTCTGGGTGGACACATGCTGTATAGACAAAACTTCTTCTGCCGAAATCACCGTGGCAGTCAACTTCATGTTTCGCTGGTACCGTAATGCCGTCAAATGCTACGTCTACCTATCAGATGTATCAGCTAGCGAGGAAGATAAGGACCACGCAAATGTGGCATGGGAAACCCAGTTTCGGCGAAGCAGATGGTTTACACGGGGCTGGACTCTCCCAGAACTTCTTGCACCGGCTTCCGTTGAGTTCTTCTCACGGGAAGGGACACTATTGGGCAATAAAAGGACGCTCGAAGGACTCATCCACGAGATCACCACCATTCCAATCCACGCTCTCCGTGGTACATCTTTGAAGGACTTTCCTGTCAATGAGCGACTGCGGTGGGCTAGCGGACGTCAAACCAAACGGGAGGAAGACGAGGCTTACTGTCTATTGGGAATCTTGGGTGCCTCAATGCCCTTGCTCTATGGCGAAGGGCATAGTCGTGCCTTCGACCGTCTCAGAGAGACAATTGATATATTTCCACGCCGTTGGAGAGTTACAAGGGAGAACCACCGAGGCCCCAACCCGGACCAACTTAATGTTCAAGCTGTGCAACATATTCCTGCAAATGACTCCAGAAAGGATACTCAGAACGAACCGTCTTTCACCGATTCCGGCTACGGTTCTTTACCTAATTTGCACTACGCCACAGATGCCAGGGTCCCACCTCACGATCTTAACAACTCGTTGTCCTCAGACACAATAGACGACGAATCTAGGCAAGACACCGAAACTCATTACTCTGCAGCGACTTCTGTGGCCCCTGCTGAGGTACACAATTATGCCATTGAGCTATGCAACGACATCTTCCGTAAAATCGGACCAGATCTCGATGTCCATCAGTGGAGTTCTCTTTCCAAGGCGCTTCCAAGACTCATCAAGGCTTTCGCCATAATGATTGGTTTCGAGTCTTCTGCTCCCGTGAACCGAGAAATCATGTACTTCATTCACAGCCAAAATAAGTGAGTTTTTCCAGAAGAGCATTGGCCTAGGTGATTTTAACTGACCTAACCAGGAACATAGCCACATATTTGGACACAATTTTCCAAGGCGAAGACAATGGCGAGTCAGGCAGTGACCGAAAGACCACAGACATGTCTCTGGATGATAAGATGAGGATGTGGGAAAGCAAGGCTGGAACAGACCATACGGATCCGGCAAACCATGATGACCTCTACACAGGAGTTGAAGAATTGGAGGACGAACCTCCTGTCCTAACAGACTTGTCTCTTTACAACAGCATTATCAGGGATAGTTACGCCTACAAATGGTTTCTTACGAGCCTCCAGACGGAATCCGTCCTCCAATGTAGTGAGACGCAGCCTTGTATCATGATCGACGACATTCGCCGAAAGATTATGGATGAGTTTCCCACGGGACGTATTAGCGGACGGCGCGGTCCTCATGCTTACGAAGGACAATTTCACCTTCGATGGTCTGGCAAAACAGAGCAGAGATTTCTACGCAAAACTCACAAGCAACCAACTGGATCTCAAAAATCTTATGCGGATCTCATCACCATTACAGGTTCCATAGAGGAAGCTCAATTACTTACCATCAGAGAATACTTGGGTCAAACTTGGCCTGGACGGGGCTGTCGGCTTCTGGATGTCATACAGGAGGCGGTTGCCAGTCACGACCGTCATTGTTCAGGTAAGAGTGTCCACGAGCAAGACGGATGTTGCTAACAATTGCATGATATTAGTGGTTTTCGCGGACAAAACACGGCTGGAAGCCATCATCGTGAGGTCGTACCTGATCGTCACCGCTATTGGACCTGCGTACTTCGTTGCAGAATGTGGCGAACAACTCTCGTGGCTAGGAGCTGCGCTGCAGTGCTACAATGATCGGCGATTGGTTTCCACGTGTGCTCCATCGCTTCGCAAGAACCAACAACCGTATCAGTTGGCTCCCTTTTCAACAAAAACAACGTCTCAAGTTAGCTATGAAATATTGTTCCCCGTCTCATCTCCGATGAGTTCGGAAGATTCGGTGCTGGACAAGCAGACTCGCTGGCAGGAGCTAGTTGGAAATAGCGTTCTTATTACAGGATTTCCAGTCTCCCGGAGGCCGAACGGCTATCCAGGACTCGAAGTCTCCTTTGAGACCCTGTTGAGTTTATTAGGCGCTGACGAGGCCTCGCATAACCATGGTTTTATCATGGTAAACGGACGGAAAACTACTCTCTGTTTGATAAAATGTACCGGCAATATACACCTTTGGCATCCCTTCCACAACTCGCTCAATCTGTATCCTTCGTGTGGGAACGGTCCTGCTGAAACCTACTCTGGGAACTTTGATCTTCGAAGACTGGAAACCGGTAGACACATTCTGATCATCTGCATGGGATTTCAGGCTGCTATGGTAGCAGGTGAGAAACTAGATTTGGACATGACGATGATTCACTAATAGTTGCAGATTTGGACTACGAGGGCATGCCCACGACGGACTACAAGCGTATGCTCAGTATTCATGAGACCAACAATGCGCGTTTTCAAACTCAGATCACAGTCGCTTCTCCTCCCATAGAGAGAGATTCGTCTCAGAGTCTAAGGCTCTCTCAACAGGACAAGGTCCGCTCCCTGGGTCACGAGCTATGTAGCCATGAAACCGGTTCTGGTTCGTCGAATTTTGGCACAATGGTCCCCTCAACTTTAAGGCACCCACGGCCGAGATTTGGGAAGGTTCAGACGGAGGAGCAAGTGTCACCAAGTGTTCAAAAATATTTGTCCGCAGTGGGCATTGAACCTGATGCCATGGCAGGATCCCCAGACTATTCATTAGATTCGGACTTGATTTCACTTTCTGGTTCTTCCGAAGATCCCGAGCTACTGGACCTTGATGAAGGGGCGAATGAGTCTCTCAACATCGTACTACATCGGCTTCTATCAGGATTCCGCAGCAGTATCCGAGATTGCGCTGGGTCGGAGATCCAGGGAGTGTCAACGGGCTCAGCGGGTTCAACAAGTGTGGATGGATCCTCTGAAGCTCAGAATGATTCTGGGCGATCTCAAAAGAGAACCAGACAACGACGAGCCGATGATGAGGATCCCGACGATCCAGAAAAAGAGGGCCCGCCTATGCCTCCGCCGAAGACGTTGAAAGTAAGTAATGAGAAAACACGGCAGAAGTCACTGGCTTGCCCCTATTTGAAGTTGGATCCTATCAGGTATCGCAAATGCTGCGTGGACAAACATAGCAGAATTCGAGACGTGAAGCAACATCTCTCTCGGCGCCATACCCCTCTGCGCTATTGTCAGCGCTGCTTTGACACACAATTTGAGGACGAGGAGAGTCTTAAAAGTCATGTCGACACTGGGACGTGCCAAAGACAAGATCCCTCTGTGTTGGACGGCCTCTCGTACCACCAAAGCAGGCAACTATCTCGGAAATCGAAAGCGAGCCTCAACGAGCAGGAGCAGTGGTTTGCGATATGGGAATTGCTATTCCCCGGACGTCTCCCGCCAAGTTCGGCTTACCTCAACACTGATTTGTCGCTGGAGATGTGCGAGTTCCGTGAATATTGCCTCCATCTTGGTCCGGCGTTCGTCAGGGAACAAATCCAGTCGGAACAATCCTCACTGCCACTAGGACTCAACACGGAACAACAGCATGTGGCACTGGAAAGATTGATCGGCCACGGAATTATTGCCCTGTTCGAAGATTGGCATTGGCGTGTCTCTCAATCCGCTTCCGGGTTACCAGGCGGCAGTGGCCTGCAGTCGATGCCGCACAACACTTCTACGAGCTCGATCGCCGACAGCGGAGTCGCTCTGGACAGTCAGCCGTCACCTCGAGGAAGCGCAAACTAACGACGCGAGTCGCCTCGACTATTCAGCAGTCTGGACTTTGAATATCAACCCCCATCCGAAGCCGTCTCCCGAGCGTTCCCTGGGAGCCTGGGCCCGCAAGAGGAGCTTCCGACCTTTTGTTCCGGAGAAGGGGAGGAACTGAGTCTCATCGATAGTGCTGATGATTTCGGGGTGATGACCCAGGAGAGCCTGGAAGATCCATTCGAGTCATTTACTGTCGATGGGGACGTCGACTTTGCACGCATATTAACACAGGAAATGATCGTGCAGGACTTGAACAGCTGAGCTGTTTGACTCTGCAATGGATCTAAGAGGCACATCTCTTAACTAGATAGATACATCACTTGAAGTAAATCGCGCATGTCGAGGGCAGGGTAATTTAGCCATTCCATACAACTTCCAACCAATCGAAATACTACATGGGGAGACGAGTTCCTCTCTCTCTCTCTCACGCGCACAGAAATACCTCCGTACATATCGTCCTTGTTGGTTTTCTTTTCTTTTCTTCGTTTCCAAATTTGCATCATGATTTCTTGCGCCTTTTCTTAAAGTAGGTAGTCGCGTCAAATATGTACAGAATGTAGAGAGAAACAAGTAGAGCGTGGTGAAAGCTTGTGGCGACGGCACGCGTGCATGCATGAACGCAGGTATTTTCGTATTCTTCTTCTCTTTATGCAAAAACATCCTCCCTGTCGGCCCAAATATCCTCCAACTCATTGAAACTGCTGAAGTGAATAGGCCGGTGCCTGTCGTCGTAGAAGCGTCTCGGCGTGTCGATCTTGACGTAGACGGGTCTCTTTTCCACCGTGGAGAAGCCGGCGCCCATGAAGCTGTAGTTCCAGACCTCGGTCTCGGGGACCAGGAAGTATCCGCGGATCTTGTCCGACAGGAGAAGCTGGGTCTTGACGCCGAACGAGGTCGAGAACCCGGCCGGGTTGTCGGACTGGGTGTCCTTGTTGCTGGCGCCCCACGTGTACCCGGCGGGCGTGAGGGACCAGGCCGACAGCGAAACCGAGCCGGGCGTGAAGCTCACCGTTAGGGTGATGGTCTTCTTGTCCCACGACGGGTGCTGGGCCATCAGACGCGCGTGCTGCGTCACGTCCGCCGGGGTCATGTAGCTCGTTTCGTTGCCCGACGTCGTGTGGATGATGCCCAACGGCTCCATGCTCTTCAGGTACTCGTGCTGCGGCAGCTGGTGAGGCAGTTGGACTTCGCGAGTGCTGCCGACCTGAGGGACCATGACGATCGTCCGGATCTCCTTGACTTGGTCGTTGTCCGGAGGAGATGACCCGTACAGATACCCGGCCACCTGGACACGCAAGTCTGCGATGGCGATAAACTTCTTCAACGTGTTCTTCGGCATGATGTACGTGTACGCGTCCTCGGCCTCGTGGATGTCGTCGCTGGAGATGTAGATGTTGTTCGAACGATTGCGGAGATTGGTCGTGGCAATCGCCCGAGTGCGCCACTCGGTCTTGGACGCGAAGGACTGTTGTTCATACTGAGACGTTGTCGTGACGATGATCTCCTCGCCACGGACGTTCTGGGTCTTGGTAGTCACCGCTGTCAGTTGTTGCTGGTCTTGTTGCTGCTTCTCAATCTCGGCGGCCTGTTGTCGTTGCATGGAAGGCGCTGCGATTTCTTGACCAAGAATGATATCCCGGATTTCACTGTTCGTCAAACTCTGAACGTTGACGTTGTTCTTCTTGCCATAATCGTTCAAGATCATATCTCGGAGCTGCACTTCGACCTTGACCCAATCCTCGTCCGACAACGAAGGCCAAATGTGATGGGCCTGTGTGATGACCGTCTTGTCCGGTCGCAGCAGTAATTTGGTCTTGTCGGTGTTGACGTGCAATGCTCGCAGGAGCAGAATCAGTCTCGAGAACGCAGTATATGAAGAGATGGTCTTCAGCCACTCGTCATACAAGTTAAAGAGCACCATCTGCGGTTCTTTAGCTTGTAGAATCATGTCGGCCAATTTCTCAACTTTCATCGCCGCTTGGAACGGAAGTTGTAGTTCAGACGCTCTGATAGAGATGTTCGGGAAATCAAGTAAGTGAACCTCCAACGGATCGAGCAGACCCTTACGGGTGACAATAAGCTGTTTCGGTTGTTCTTCCACGGGAAGGGATCTGATGAGGGCAGCAACTTCTTCTGCCGTTTTCCACTTGGCTAATTGACCTAATCGCTTCTGACCCGCCCAAACACTGGTGTGAATGATCTTCAGGAAAAGCTGACCGGTTCTCGGGTTAAAGATGAAGATGGCACTGTACAACTTGTTAGCATATACGAAGACTAGTGTATACACAAGGACTTACCCGTTGATGGGTTTCGTCGTCAAATTGCCCTCGAATGTCTTGTGAATAGTGACACGATAGACATTCGTATCGTCGATGAACAATTGAGTCTGATTGCTGAACAACTCGGAGTAATTCTGAGAATTCAAGAACTCTTGCGTGCTTTCCGAAGCATACAGTTGAAGACCCTTTCTGATACGTTCGCGCAGGACATAAAGAGCAGGATTGGCCTTCATGATCTTCGCCATAGCTTGCTGAACAAGAGCCTTCAGACCCGGGAAGTATTGACCGTAAGCTGAGTAAAGGTTGTAAGCCAAATCAATACCAATCATCAAGCCAGTCGCCGAAGGGTAGATGCTCATGCTATCCGTGGTGTAATCGAGATACTTGGCACGGACATAACGTTCGATATCGTGGGAGTCATAGTCTCCGTATCTCAATTGAACATCGATCCACATTTTGTTAGTAGTCGTGGCCTCAATTTGATCCTTGGTGTCAAAAAGAAGTGATGGCCGAGTCACATTCCACTTGTGACTGGCAAACAGAAGAATATCTGCACAAGAACTGTTCATCTTGTACGACTTTCGGGGATGGATCGTCTCCTTCTGCACAGTTTCAATACCAAGTTGCTCCAGCTCTTGGTCAAACACCTGGCACAAATCCATGACGACAGACTCGTGAATTTTCTGCCACAAATGCGCCCGGAAGATTTGGATCAAGGAGATCTTCAGCGTAGGGATCTTTCCGTGAAGGAAAATGCCTGTGAGATCGAGCTGGACTTGGAAACCGACGTATACGTTGGCCCTGTTAATGGTCGGTGACCACCACAAAGTGAATCGTCGATTGGGGATCTGATTGAGACCGGATCGCTGAGCGTTGGTGAGCTTTTTGTACTTCATCGATTCCCTATAGTGAAAGTGAGATTAGTAATAGATCTTTACAGAACAAGCGAGATGTGAAGGAGTAAAAGCCAAGGGTAATGGAGTCGCCAACGTATTGAATCATTTAACGGCCTCCCCGCCCTCAACGACATCGCATCTGGCTTTGACTGGGAGTAAAACTCCATGCCAAATTATGCCATATACCAATGTTGACTGCAGGCAGGCCGCTGAGTGACAAAGTACGTCAAAAACTCGCGGGAAAACGTGTGCTGGGTCAAAAAGGGTGGGATAATTACTCAAAACCACTCGCTCGCTCCCAAAAGAGGCCCTCCCAGGACGGAAATGCCGTTGCCTTGAACAAGGTATGCTCGAGAATGGTTTCCACACCACCCAGCGCTTGAATAACATCGGTTCTGTAGGAGTTGAGATTCCAGAGTTTGCCGTCATGTCGCTGACTAGTCCACCAGAAGGGGTTGCTCTTCATGATCTGATACTGCTTGAATTCAGTCCGGGCTCGGAAACCCTTATCGAAGGACAATGTGCTTCTGTCTTTTTGGAAGAGGGTGTTGATTCTTGGCAAACCTCTGTCGAACGAATCTTCCAAATCTTCGAGGGTTAGTCTTCGGTTCTGTTGTTGAGCTTCGAGTCGCTTTTGGGAGTATTCGGTCCACACACGTTGTGAGTCGATGAACTCACTCTGCCAAGGGGCGACGTAACGGAAAATGTTGGGGATTAGAGTCTCCTCGTCGTGAGACATACCAGCACGGTAATGTGTAACGCCGGTATCAGTCTGTTTGAACCATCGCTTGTCGCTGGTCGGGATGAGAATGTGAGACCCAGAGATCATGCCAAGACCTCCAAGTTCCTTGGGGGTGTAGAAGACCGCCGGTGGGAATCGAGAAGGCATCTTCGAGTTCAGACCAATCTTGACACGAGTCTGAATCTTCGTCTCGCACTTGACAATCGTGTCCAGCAGGTTCACTGTCGATACAGCAGCTTCTCTGTAGTACGTAAAGAGTGCGATCAGCGTTGTGTTCCACTTGTTCGCAATCTTTGTGAAAGTCGTGCTTCCCGACGACATTAGGATCTGTCGAATACGGTTGTTGAACTTCTGAATGTCTTCCTCAGTGACTTGCAAGAACGCATAAGCTGTACGTTCTTTGGTCTCGTTGTTGGAAAGAGCCCAGACGCTGTCCTTGATTGGGAATTCGTCGTTTGGATTCCGAATCTTGGGCAAGATTCTGACTTCGAAGCCACACATAGAGAAGAGCAAGTTCGGGTTGTCGCGTGAGTACACGCTGGCAAAGGTGTCATCCCATTCGATTGTGGTGATAGAACGAGGCAATCTGTTCTTGAGATCCCAAAACACCGCTCGGCCGAGATTGACATCGTGCCTCATCAGTCTCATGCGAGAGTCGCGAGGCCAGCATTTCTTGTTCTTATATCCAATGACGTTCTCAAAGTTGGGATCGGGCTGCTCCGTCAAAAATCGTTGGATGAGGTCTTTCGAGTCTTCGGCGCTGAATCTGAGGAAGACCCAGATCTTATCAATGTAACGGGTGTACAGTCGAATGGGATGTCTGGTCTCTGTTTCTCGATCACGGAATTGCAAGAAGTCGTTGGGTGCATTAGGTGGCCCGGCAAGTTCACTCGCCCGTTGCAGGCCAAGAAGAAGCAAGTCAATAACCAGACCATAGTACTGGAATACAAAGCCCGAGAACTGCAAGCCTCTGATCAAACCATAGCTGTTGGTATGGTTCATGTCCTTGTAGTTCAGCTGGACATTGTTCTTGGACGTGATATAATCAGCCAAGTTGTGATCCATGATCAATCTCAGAAGACGGTTGAGCAAGGTAAGATCAATTTTCTCGTAGACCTTGGATAGTTGAGTCTCGATCATCACATTGCACTCCCCGTCGGCTGTCTCCCAGACATTGGTGAGGTTGTTGATACCTTGCGCCCACTTGTAAACCAACAGAGGCGGAACCTCAGAATCTGACGGCTTGACCCAGGACGGGAACAGTTTCCGCTCGGAGGCTTGATACCATAGATACTGATCCAGATATGCATCGGTGATCTTCTCGATTGGCTCGACGTCATAGACAGGATTGATGGAGCTGTAGTTGTCGTTCATATCGATACCAACTTCTTTGAACGCTCGCTGCGTGAGCAAGAAGCGCTTGATTCTGGCAAGAGTCGTTCCAGGGGAGTCGTAGGCCTGTTCGATGAGGGCAAGCTCCTCTCGTTGACTTTGGTTAAGTCTGCCTTTGACCGAGTATGCTTCTCTCAGTCTTTCGAGAGCAAGAATGAGAATCTTTGTGTCGTGCTTGTAAGAAACGCTTGGGAACGGAATAGGCATGAACTTTCGTGATTCGAGCCAGTGAACAGTGGTAGTATAGATCGCCACAGCCTCTTCGGACGACACGTAAGGTCCATCCTTGAGGTAATTGTGCTGCCGTTCCTGTTCAGCTTTGAGCCATAATCTCGTCAGACGGCCAAGGTTCTTCTTTGCAACCGTCTTGTCGACGGTAGCACCTCGTCGAATTCGTTCTCGGTTATAATGCGCCACGGAAATCCACCAATCCGCTTTGCTCTTTACGTATCGCAAGATGATGTTCTCGATTGGTGCAGGCAGACCAGGTACCTTCCACGGGATATTACTCTTCCAGCAACGCCATGCTTCTGATAGATGTTGAAGGACTGTATTGACCTTGTTCTGCCTGATGCCCTCGGGCATCATGTCCATAAGATCAGCCATGACTGAAGCACGCAGCTCAAGATCGAAATGTGATTCAACACGCTGCTTGGTGACGGTTTTAGCAACGCCCTTACTGTGTCGGCCTTCGAATTGTCTGGACAACAAATTACCTAGCCATCTTTCCAGAAGAGGGATGATACCTCTCATGAAAAACAGCCAGACGCGCCACGAAGGTGCCCAGAAACCGCATCCAGGGCCTTTTCCAACGGGCCCAGAGTTGAAGCGATAGTAGATCAAATGCTTCAAATCTTTGCATGATCGTATTTGGTGCATAAGCTTGTACTTGTATCGGTACATGCCGGTCAGCTGTCCAACATGGTTAAAGGCATACAGAATACCGTCAGCAAGTTGGAAAGCGTCAATATTGCCCAGTCTGTATTGTACTTGAGCATCCACGATGAGCTTCGTCAGTCTGAGGATTTCACGCATCAAGTGGAAAGCGTTGCCAAATCTTGACTTCTTTCGTTCCTTGGTCGTTAGCGTCTTGACGGGCTTAAGGTTGAAGTTGTAGTCGAGATGTAGGTATGTCAAGTTCTTGCGGTGGATGAGTAAATTGAGCATGTTGAAACCTTGTCGGCACACTTGTAGTCCAGCTTCAACCCAATCGATAGTGGTCTGCTGGAAGAATTTGGTCTGCTTCAGGGTCTTCAGAAGATCCTGTTTGTTTTGTGCCTTTGGCTTTTTCTTATGTAACTCGTTCAGAACGTATGACTTGAGAAGTTTCTGATATGAGACCCTAACTTTGACCGGCTGGCCTGGCGGACAGTGCTCGAGGAACCACTGCTTGACAAGGGGCACATCCTGAGCACGAACCATTCTACCGGATCTGCGATCGAACGGGAAGGGTGCCCACCACAACGCAATGGCAGATGATGTCTCATTGTTGTACAACTCCTCATCAGCAAGGAAAGGCTCGACGTTCCCAGGAAGCTCGAACTCATCATCTTCATTATTCCCTGGCCCAAAGATCTCGTCCTCGTGGCTGACGGTAATGTTCTTTGGTGCTACTGATCGAGATGAGATAGGGTTAATGACAGGGTCGAAGTAGAATGCCGGGAGATTGGGGTCTTCGGATCGGACGTAGACGACCTGGGGATGAGAATACCACGAGAGCTTCACACTCCGCGGCAGGGAGTTGTAAAGGTATGGGAACGCCACTCTGTACTCCGTTCGAATGGGGGCTCTGAAAATGATGCGATCGATAGCGTTGAACTCGCCAAAGTCTTCATCGTTCGGATCAATATCCTTGTAGAGCGGTTCAAAGCGGGGTCCTCCTGGAATCGCAACATTCAAAGCCTTTGCGGTGAAGAAGCTTTCCCGGTCGAACATGTGAAAATAGTTCTTGTCGACGACATCACTGAGCAGCTGATGAGATAACCGATACAGCGTAGCCATCTGCGGTAACGACAAATTCCACTTTTTGTAACTTGGCCCGTTGACATGAGGAGTGTCGAGCAATGGCCGATGGTCATAAAACCATTCATAGACAGGACCGTCTTCGTTCTCATCTAATTCCATCTGGATGGGCTCCAGAGGTTCGACATCCTCGATGTTCTCAGACCACGATAGAGGCGGCTCTTCGTCATCGAAAGGTGGAAATCGCATGCGCTTGAAGTGCCGTCTGTCGCTCTTCTCCCGTCTCATGCACACCCACATTGTGGCCCATTGCGCATGGAAGACCGGCTCAATCACTCTGGGTATCTCGTTGACCAAGGTCAGACATCCATTGACGTGGTACAAGACCTTGACTTCCCTTGCACTCTCCCAGGGCATGGGCATATTCTCCAAGAGCTTGAAGACGGCATGAGGCATGTACTTCAGAGCACCAAGATAACTGCGCTTGTCGCTGCTGAACTTCTTTTGACTGACATCGCCAATATCCTTGACAATTTTCCTCAGATGCTCGGGTGGCATATCGGCTTTTTGCGTCTCGACGAAACCGCCCTTCCGCTTCTCGCTAAATCGGTTGCGCTGGCTCCGGAGCCATTCTTTCTTCTTCTGGGCGAATTTGGCGACGCGAGGATCCACGGGCGGGCGATATCCAGGTGGTGGAGGCGCCATACCAGGAGGCGGCGGGGGAGGAGCGCCAGCATTCCATCCTGGAGGCGGTGGAGGAGGTATTGAAGCCATCCTATGTCTTCAGGCGGCTGAAGGTGACTGTTGCGACGAAAAAGATGAATCTTCTGTCCGGGCTAGAAAGTGTACTGGTAGATTTCTTACCATTTACCGCACACGCCCGACCCTCTGCTTCGGCCAGAGAGCAAGCTTGATCAGCCTTGATGTATCGCAACGGCCATCCACCTACGATACCAAAAGACTTATGGTATGCTGATGAATTGATGTGTCTTCGTGAAGAGTTGATCGTGTCCATTTGCCTCGCAACGCGGCGAAGGGACTTATTTTTCGATACTCCACTCTCTCACGTGACCTCGTCCCGCCCTAAGCCGAATCAGGCATCCATCCGCCAAGAATCACATCCACAAACGAAATTTTGACCAAGACTTTGGACTTTGATCGAGCCGACGGCGACAACGACATCCTACATACCAGCCAACTTTTTCCTCCATCAATCCATTGCTCCCTCAATACCGTCGCAATGGCAGGCGTCCGACTCCAATACCGCCGTCGCAACCCGTACGTGCATCCTCGTTTGCCGAATTGAGGACGAAGTTCAATTTGAGATGGGTTGACTAACATATCTTGCGCCGTACAGTTACAACACCACCTCGAACAATGTCCGTGTGATCAAGACCCCAGGCGGAAAGCTCCGACTCCTGCACATCAAGAAGCGAGGAACCGCTCCCAAATGCGGTGACTGCGGCATCAAACTCCCAGGTGTAAGTAGTGTCCGCCCGAGCCCGACTTGGATCGAGTCTAGACTACCAGGACGACTGGAGGAAGACAAGAGACACGATGGATGATGTTCTGACACGTTCGCTCTACAGGTTCCCGCTCTCCGACCCAGAGAATACGCCACTACGTCCCGACCGAAGAAGACCGTCCAGCGTGCCTACGGCGGCTCGAGATGCGCCAACTGCGTCCGGGACAGAATCGTTCGGGCTTTCCTCATTGAGGAGCAGAAGATTGTCAAGAAGGTGCTGAAGGAGACCCAGGAGAAGAAGGGAAAGAAATAAATTGGTAGATGAAGGCTGGGGTTGATGGATCTTTTTCTGAACGAGCAAAAAAACACAATCGCACGGGTTTGTACCAAGGCATTTCACGATGAGCCAAGTTGTCGACGAATTGGGGCATGGAGCCTCACATCAAAAAGCATCAACATAGCGAGAAGATATTGGTTGGATCTAGATCGTTCCTCCAAGCTCGGGCATTGTTTGATGCGAACATTATTTCAGATATGGCGATGGGAGTCGACACATCCAATGCAAATGATACCTGAAATGGCCACCTTGAGATGATGTTCCTTTCCAAGAGACGTTGTTGTCTTCACCGTGACCCTTGTGCAAAGCGAATTGTCTGTGTCAGTGACGCAGTCTCGACCAAGACCTTTGGAGCGACAATAGTGAGCACCAACTGCGCAGAACATGGGTGACGACGAACAGCAAGCTCGCCTTTCCTTGCACAGTCAGCGTTGGTTGTAGGGCCGTCATCTTACCCTGTCCAGTGACACGTCGAGATGCCCAAGTGCAACAGAATCCAAGAGCTATATCCATATGCACCCAGTCAAAGGTTCTGGAGCACGACTAACGGATTTCTGAAGCTCTGAGAGAGGACTGCACAAGGATTAAGGTGCCCTGCAGCTCGATGACGAACGAGGTTTCTCGACGGGTTTCCCATGGTTGAGACACGGGAGATACTTCCACCACCTACCACACTCACCTTCTCCTATTCTATCCAAGTGCTCCCGACTAGAAACACGCTAATGTCTACACGTAGAACCACAAGTGGTACCAGCGCAAGCTCAGACTACCACAAAGACTAATAACCTGGATACAGGCCACCTCGACTAACTAGTCCAGTGGTACCGCACAACGATTCACAATGCTTGACCAGAGCAAGATTGCATAAAGCCGTTGTCCGTCCCTGAGATACATTTCCACCAACTGAGTTCCTTGACTTTTCCCAGCCATGGTTGAAGTTTCATTCTTCTCAGCCAGCGGCCTTCTTCCCTCGAGACAAATGGATGAGAAGACTTCGGACAAACGTGTAGGTGGCCTCAACAATTTCCACAGTACGGCGGCCAATTGTCCGCATGTTCCTGGAGTAACACAAAGCCGCTGTCAAAACTGTCATATCTGCTGGCTCCCATGACGTGGGCCTCACCCGGGTTCTTCGGGGAATTTCTGTTGACTGATAAAGATCGGATTGTGCAACAGGGTTCCGCCAAAAGCAATCTTTCTTGGAGAAGCAATTCATTGAAATCGGAGGGAGCCTCGAGAAGCACCTAAGACCCCCTTTGTTGCGAGGCTTAGGCCAGCACCGCATACCTGTCGGGATATTTCCGGTTTAACGAGTGAACTCACACTTGACTGGGGATGGCGGAAGCCTCGGGGCAGGCCGGTAACACAAGGGCTCCCGCGCAACGACTTTCTGAGCCCAGTTGCGATGACAAAGAGAATTCGAAACTATCCACCTCTCGTGGGCCATAGGTGGGCATTGCAAGTGTTTCCATGCAATACCTGAAGCATAATGTGTTATGGTACACCTACATGCCAAAACCAAAACACCCCCGGCGCACATGCATAGTTAGAGTCGTCACGCTGCCGTCATAGTGATGTGCGAGTCGCACAAGGACTCGAGGGAGAGAGGCGATCGAACCGGATCTAGATGAGTTCACCGTCAACGTGCTAGCGACTACACATCACAGCTGCTGAAAACTATCTACCAAGGATAGGAGACTTAAGTCCACCTGCCGGAAATGCCAACAGGTTCTATCACCGCTTGCCTATTGCAGTTATGACACCCTGGACGCAGGATGTCGTACTAGAGGCATCCAATCAACGTGAGGAAGGGGAATGACGAGAAACAAGATGCAAAGAGACAGTACAGAAAACAAAATACCTGGCATAAAAACTGCTGTCGTGAGCTGTGACAAGTGATGCGGATTAGGAGAGGGGGCCAGGTTGTATTGTGATACGTTACCTGACATATGTCAAGCACGTTTCGAGCAACTGGCCAGGTCCAGGGCGTGCGGGAGGCTACATGTGAGGATGACACCAGAGTGGCCGCCGTGGTCTGGAAAAGAAGCGTGCTTCGTATTTTGAGGGCCTGAATTGCAATACTTTCGGTCGCGATGTGGGAAGGAAGCTAGAATCTCGGAAAAGGAGATCGCCTTCCGTTGAGTGCCAACGCATCCTTCTTACTTCCCAGCTGCAGTGACCTTCTCAATCGATCGGCGTTGGGAACAGATTGAAGGCAAAAGCTGTGAGATTTAGGTCCCTGACTCCTAGCTCTCGTTTTACACATGGCGTATTTCGAGGAATGCAGCATCCTGGGCCAATTAGGGTTTCTGTCGGTCACGTCCATGGGGTTTTGCAAAGACCAAGATCCCCAACCTCCTTGAGAATCGTGTCTCGAGCAGAATGTGGAAAGCCATCTGGATCCAGCACACGTTATGAGCCCTCTCAAGCGATCGTACTCACCGCGGCAAAGCCTGGTGCAGGCCAAGGGGCCTCCAGGTCGAGTCGTCACCAAAGAACACACTCATTCCAAAATTCTTGATCCCTTAACACGTTGGTTAGTGGCGCGGCCTGTCGCTTCGTCCCGGGTCTGCGGACGGAAAATAGCCCGAAGTGATTCGAGTATCAAGAGTCACAATCCTTGAAACGCCCGTTGGCGGAAGCAGGAGTCAGCCGCAGTGGCTATTTGAAAGAACATGTGTGTGTCAAGTCTCATGTTGGCTGCATGAAACTGATTGAATTGGCTCCTCTTCGATCTTGATGTTGTTTAGCGACGGAACCAGATCTCGGTTTTGATTCGCCTATCTAGTTGCTTGTGGAGGCGTACATGTCCATTGTTCGCACCTCTACAGTCTTAGGGTAATCCGGACCGTTCCAATTTGAAGCCGTAGACCAGGGTATTGGCAATCCTGCGAAGCTGTTTGTCGGGGAAACAGCTTGCGCATTAGCGTCTCGAAAAAAGACCAGGTAGGTGATCTTTCGCTTAGTACATCGTGGGATTCGCCAACCCGGGGTTGTGTGGAAGCGACGGCACATTCTCAGATTCATCTGATGATCGAAAAATGGAGTCATTCCGAGCTGAAAGACGATCACGCTCACCACACTTGGGAGCTCTTCGGACTTTGGCTGAAACAGAAGCCACCAGAGCAAGATCTCCGACGACCAAGAGCTGTCGTGGCGTTTGGAATGTTGAAGAAAGTCTGGTCGCATGGTCGTTGCCATTGACTTTTTTTGGTCGTGGCTGGCGGCGGATCCGGCCTCTTCAGGCTCAACCGGACACGCAGCTTCGGATTGCCAGGGACACCTTGTCATAACATCCCTGTTCTTGAGCGTGCGATTGTAAAAGCCGTTGGATCTTACAGCCTGTAGCCGAGATCTTTGCTCGCACAGCCCTTCTTCTACTCACAACATTTTGAGGCGTGGGAAGTGGGATATCCAAGGGAAACATGTATCTGAATGCAAATTCTTGTGCAGTCAACCACTACAATCATGCCACTAGTACCAGATGTCATAAATGAACCGCTCGCCCCTACATAAGGGCAAAAAAAAAACAACAGCCCTATCACACCGGTCACGAGTAACGGTAATGTCCCAAAATATCCCACACATCGATCCGCGCCTCCCGACCCTGCCGAGTCTGACTGCATTAATCGGTGTTCTAGCATCCTCGTCTGTTCTCGTCTACCATATTCATGCACTTCGCTTCTGCCGCCTGTCACAGCTCCGCCTGTTATAGCATAGTCCCTCAACGAGTGTGGATCTGAGCAGACTCATGCATCGATTGATCGAGACTCGGTCTTAGAAGTATGCTGTGTATGCGTAGGTTCTCTTCCGAATGGCTCTGGCACAACCGAGAGGGCTGGTGGTCGAATTGCATCGTATTTGGAGGCGAGTCAGACAAGCATCGCACTAAATCGACCGGGAGAGTTTGTTGATGGTCCCCGACCGTCACTGGCCAACTTCTCGCAGCTGATTGTAGGTCGTAATCGTAGCAGTCGAAGCTCCGGTAGTCACTGAGGTCCGAGTATTGAGTGGCGGGGCTGCATGTCAGAGGTGTTGATGTCACATATGGGATCTCTTGACGTCGTTGCCTTGCGGCGCGGCTTGTAGCACGACCCCCTTTTGCTCCTGATCTCTGTCGCTGTATCGCAGGGACGCGATGCCCATTGTGACGTTTTCCCCCTCCGGCCTTTCGATATCTCGTCGTAGATTGTACTCCATTCTTGATAGCATCCTCGGTCAAGACCCAGACACTATTGGTCTTCCTGGAGCCACCGCGAGCACTATCTCGGTCGTTTTCGAATGCCTGGTGGGTATGTCAGCCAGATATCCTCCAAGCCAATGAGATTCCCACCTTGTTCATAGAAAGATTATGTCTAATACTGTTCTGCCAACCTTTTGAGCCCGATTCTTGTGGCTTAGTGGTGTTATAGCGGAACCAGTCGTAGATGTCTTTCAACATCATCCTGTGCCCTGGTGCCTGCTTCAGAGCTTCGTAGATAAGCATCGCGTATGGCTTGTCGTCAAAAGGCTCCCCCTCCTCCAAGAACGCTGGTGGCTGACTGTAATTAACATCAGATGCGATAGACCAAGCACTTTTGCTGTCGCTTTCATCATAGTATTGGTATGACGAGAAGGGAGATTCCATGATCTCTGAACTGTAGCGGTAGACGTCAACATCAGCATTTCCAGTGGTGTTACCCTGGTGACCGTGGACATGGCTGGGATAGGCTTCGAGATTTGTCAATGTTGGAGCCAACTCCAGATCAGAGAGTTGAATTTGAGTTCTCGAATGCAGGAGCTGGTCGGGTCGGACGCCAAATCCATCAGTTGGCTGATCGATGAGGTTTCCATCATAAAAGCTGTGATCTTGATGGACCTCTGCTTGCAGTGTGTCGCAAGCCAAGCTCGGTAGACTAGAAATGCTGAGGCTTCTTTTTACATCGATGGGGAGATCGAGATCGAAACTGTCGTAATTCTCATAGTTGCAATGGAGAGTATCGTCCTCCATGGGAAACGATTGATACGGGTGACAAGACATGAATGAACGCACAGAATACCAGTGAATTGGCAATGGCATCTCTTGACTCGTTGGAAAGAAGGACCACTCTCACGACAATGGTTTGTGAGTTTGTATATTGAGGGTGGCCAAGTAGAGTATATGGTGTATCAGACCAGACAAAGAAAGTCAAAGGGGCAAATGCTCATCGTCCCAAGCAAGCAAGTGGCTTTGGAGGTGCATAGGAGGGTACATAGAAAAGGGGAGGATCAATACAAACAGGCAGGGATGAGGAACGGAACGCAAACAAAGGGTTCCTGTAGTCAAGCCCATACCCGCTTCTCCAGGATGAAAAGACCGATCGAATTCAGGACGAGTGATGCTAGCGCAATACAGCACTGTATCACAGTTACCCAGAATGCTTCCGGCCATCCTCCCCATCCTCTGCCCAATCAATTGAGATGCAGAATGAGAACACCTTTTGTGCTACAACAGGCACGTTAACGGCTGTCATGAAGGCGGGATGTTGCATGATGGTTAGACTCAAACTGCCAACCTGCAGTAACCCACAAGCACCCGTCATCCAGCAAGCCCAAAAATTTCACCGTATCTGTTTTCATTTGGTGGTGTGGAGATGTGGATAAAGCGGCTTCATGGCACTCATCAAAAAGCCACGTTGGAATCTGAAAAGCATCGGGGTTGAAAGCGGATCGGACATGGATACAAGGCTGAGTGAACACGGAACGGGCCACGCATTAGACAAGCCTATCCTGCTAGGGCCAGCAGCAGATCTAGGCAAATAAGGACAAAGGAAAGGTCAGGCCGTGTCTGCACCTACCATGCAGAGCCGTGCCTCCGGGGAGAGGGTGATGAAACGGGAGATCTTAGTGCGTCCAGCGAGGAGAGGAGGCTCCTCCGTCCTGGACAGCTTGCCGTTCAGTGTTGGCCCGCGCATCAAGTGCAAAGAACGGGTTTGACAAAAATCCCGAGGCTGAAAGTGCTCTGCATTGTCAAGGTGTGGGTGTCCGTCTGCTTCATGGGAAGTATGTTGCGTGGAAGGACTATTTATTTTATCTGAGACTAGGAGGACAAGTGTCCGCGGATTGAGATAAGATAAGAAAGATCTCTTGGCTCAACGGCTCTCGGAGCCAATGTTATTCCGACAACCCTTGCTCATCAGAGATACGGAGAACAATACTCCGTACTGATGTCTTTGTTCTCCCCTGCGACAAGCTCGCCTCGTCCCATTGGTGTTGTTCCTCATCCTAGTACAGAGTCCTCGCACTTGGACGAGTAGGCTGTAGCAGGCTTGCAGTTTCATAACTCCTTTCTAGCGCCGAATCGCTGATTATGGTGATTATCACGCTGATGTAAGTTGACACAGCCTCAACCCTCTTTCAGAAAACGCCCACCATCACGCTTCGACCAAGCACATCTCTGGCGTAATACCAAGGCTCGGCATAACACGGCCCTGTTATTCCCAAGCCTACACTAGCCTTCCGCGAGCATCCTGCACAGTCAGCGTCCTCTTGAACAATCTGAGAGCACAGATAGACCATGAATCTGTCCTCCTTCGCACATTTCATAACTTGAACGACCTCATCTCGCCATGCCGGAAGTCGTCAGGGGCAGTCGGGCCAGCCTGCAGCTGGCTCGCAATGCCACCCCGGTCTCGCCTACGCAGGAAACACGAGCCGTCCATTTTGAGCCTGCAAGTCCAGCCGTCGAAGACACTCCTACACCCGGCTTGAATGCTGTCGACACAGGTCTAAGCACGGATTCCGCGCGAAGGAGAAGCTCACAACACAAGAGAAGGCGAACCCAGGATATGAGCTCTCCGGAGAGGGCCGCGTATTATGACAGTCGTGCCGCCACAAAACGAGAATTCCGAAGACGAGCGAGCACTTTACAAGAATACTACCAGGACCATCCTGAATTACTTCCACAACTGCCTTTTACCTGGCGACATGGCCTCAAGAGATGGAAACTGTTCTTGACCATTTTTATAATGTTTGTCGATGCGTGTGTCATTCCGATTGTGTTATACTACTCCATGAAGTTTGCCGGCCATGTCCAGGGATGGATAAGTATGAGGAGCCCTGTCCGTGTCGATGTTGGAATGCGTTACTAACGATCCACTTGTAGTTTTCGCCGTCGTCGCTACCATCTGGGGTGGGCCAGCATACGTCGAATTCGCCGTCCGATCCTGGAGACTGATCAAGAAAGAGAACTTTTTCCGACCGTTGGGCACATCTAATCGGTGGGCGTTTGACATTACGCATTGGATTTCCAGTTTGACCATAGCAGCCGTTACTGCGTTTCTCATCATTGGCAGTGCGCCTCATAATGTGTGGCTGCGGGTTCTGTCGATGCCAGGTCCAGCAATCCTCTACTGCATAGGCGGGAGTGTGTTTTTGATCACCATGTACAGTCTTACGGGCCGAAAAGCACCTTTCCGAATCAGCTCGACGCCGAAAGGGGGAGATGTTTACCCAGGAGTGTACTATATCATGGAGGACGTTATCGCCGTCAACGCAAGTGCTGGAAGGCCTTTCCGCGAAGCGCTTGCTGCTCGATATGCTGCGAGCCCCCGTTTCCGAAGGATGGTAAAAACGCAGTCGTTGTTCTGGTCCATACCGGCCATAGTTGTGGCCATTGCTTGTACAGTGGTCATTATCATTCACCCCGTGTCTAAAGAAGTGGCATATGGTATTGGTACGCCCACCCGTCCCGCTGCTTCCTATCTACCAAGTCTACTGACACTTACAACTAGGATGGGGTGTTCCCTTTGTTTGGATTATTATATGGGCTGCCATTGCTATCCCTTGGATCCGTCGCGACATGCACAAGGAGACGGTGACGTGGGAGGAAGATTGCGGCATCGTACCGGAGAAGAAGCACAAACATGCCGTCAGCGATTTGGAAAACGGAGAGGCTACTTCCAAGGAACCTAAAGTACCCGAGCCAGCTCATTAAGACATCCAACCTGTTTGCTCTGTTTTCTTTGTTTGTTCCTTGATACCCCTCTCGCAGACTCGCAGTCAGTCGGGGTCAGTCAGGTCACATATGGTTCGTGTATTGCCGGGGCCGGGAGGGAAGCGCGCTGTGCATCGTAGTTTGACGGCTGTGACGCTGAGCGTTGGATTCCCTTGTTCTTACCACCTAGTCACTTGACTCTTTTGACGATATGCACCGTGGTCTGGAAGTGGGAATGTTGGCTGGACCTTGGGAAAGACGAGACAATATACCTGGGACATAACCTTGGCAAGGTATAAGGTACGTAATGATATGATACATACTCCATATTGCATTGCTTCATCTGCCCTTATTTTGACATGTGTCGTTTGCTCTTCCCGGCCCTCCCCCCCCTTGTTTTCCCCTCTCCGTCCGTACACGGAGAAACACTAGGAGTTACTTTACTTCCTATACACGATCCTCTTGAAACTGAAATGGAGCGTCAAAATGCCCTTTTCAAACGTGCTCTTAAAGCCACGATCGTGCTTCGCCGAGTAATCCCAATCGCGATCGACGATCCTGAAAGCAACGTCTTCGTACGGCGGTCCGGCCATGAACCGAATGATGCAGGTGTCCTCCTCGCCTGCGGGGGCCATGGTCTGGCCCTTCTTCCGGCCCCCCTCGCGGATGATCTTGTACGTCGGCGCCTTGGTCGGGTCGATGAGATCCGGATAGAAGATGTGGAATTTGTACCCCTGGACGACCTTGGGGGGCGGGTTGTCGTGGTCGTAGTGCGTCTGATTGTACTTGTTCCACTCGTAGCCCATCTGGACGCGGTTGAAGTATTTCGGTTTGCGGGGGCGGTATTTGTTGCTCCAGAGCGGCTTCGCGGACGACGACGACGACGAAGGGTCGTCGAGAGTTTCCTCGCCGGCGAAGATTTCTTCGTTCTCGTTGACGCCCTTCGCAACTTCGCGGTCAAAGAGCGCCTTGGTTGCCGAGGAGTCGTCGACCGTGTCGAAGCGAGACGTCGGGTCCGGCCGAGCGGTACGTGACGTCTGAGTGGCGGTGGTGGTGATTGCGGACGACGACGAGGATTTCAGACCTGTAGATTTCGGCTCCGGTACGTAGCCCATGTTTAGCACCTTCCGTCGGGCACTGGCGACGGATTGCAGAAAGTCTTTCTCGTCGACGACCTCGAGCCCTTTGTCCCTGGACGGGATCTCCAGTAATGGATCCGGGTCCAGGTCTTTCGTGTATTCGAAGTTGCTGGAAGGTTGAACGCCAGCGTCGAGCATCTTCTGGCGAGCCTCGATTGCCTTTGCTTCGTTTTCGTCTCTCAGTTGTTTCAGCCGCGACTTGAGAACGTCCTGATATACATTCTTCAACTTGGCTTTCGCTTTCCACACAAGCAGACTGTCCAGGAGTTGCTGCCAGTAATCCGTATCTATGGGTTCGTCGGAATCCAGCTTCGACCTGATCTGCTTCTCCAGCACTTCCAACTGCTCGTACGTCTTGGGACCGAGCAATTTGTCAATATCCGACGCCACCGAACTGACCGCCCGCCCGTCTGGTCCACCCGTCCGGAGTTTCTTCTGCCGATCTTTGCATATGATCTGCATCGTCCGCCAGTATTCTCGATTCTTGTTGTGAGACTCCAGGTTCATATACGTCTCGATGTCCTTGCGCAAGTCGGCCAGTTGTGATTCAGAAAGTCCTTCGAACACGCTCTGGGGGTCCATAAAGTCCAGGTCTTTCTCGTCAATCTCGTCGTCCAGGGGATTCCTCGTAGGATCGACCACGCGCAACGTCACAGCAAGCCAGTCTATCGGCTTCGCGCGGCCTTCTTTGACTCGAATTTCCGCCTTCTTCTTCGCCTGCTTAAGCACAAAGTCGTCTTCTTGTGCAACCCATTCCCGCATCCGCTCGTCTTCTTGTAACTGGTTTATCTTCATTTGATCTTTGTGAGACCATCGCTGTGACTGTCCCCCTTGATCATTGCGAGGCGCGCTGCGGTCTCGATATTGTCGACCGTCATCTCTCTTTCGCCAGGCGGGAGGAGAGCGGGAGCGCTTTCTTTTCGTTGCAGAGTTGTAGTCGCTCATTTCGACGTTGTTCACTTGTTCATAATATGATTATGGTGCGTTCGAGGGGAACAAGGCCAAAGTAGTTCACCAGGCAGTAAAGGCAACGGGCTACAGGCGTACAAGTTGGATTTGCAAAAGAATCCGCCTAATCTTCGGCAGCGTTGATAAGATAAACCGGTCTGCAGCACCCTGCACATCCCTAACTAGAATTTGGGTTGCTCATCGAAGGATACCATTTAACAATTACCTATCTATCTGTTTGCTTCTTTGCGATGCGTAATGATGGGAGAGTTGAGGGATTTCGACCGCTCGAGGAATACAGCTCTAGTAAGTGAGAACGGACCTGATTGTCCCTAGTCTCCCCCCAAACCGCCATTAATCTTCCAAGACCAATTCAGCTCCGATGTTTGGGGAGAATATATTCAACGAACCATTCCCTGAATATCTGTCACAATCTGAACGTTCCTTGACCATGGGGACCACCCATTGCCACCTTCTTGAGAATTGGTCTTCTGCGATACTCTTCTTCTAGACTCTTCCCATCCTTGTTGGTTCTTCATCCATGTGCCGTGAGTGCCAGCAACAGACCCCCAGACTGATTCGCAACACGCAACCTCCACCACACACACACACACACACACACACACACACACCACCACCTCCCCTCATCTGAGAAACACTGGCTCCCTCTCGAGGATCCTCGGCCCAGGTCCCCCACGCAGGCCAGCTGGAAACATAGGTCCCCCCATACCGCCCATCTCGACCCACGGACCGGGATCCTCGGGATCAAAAACTTGACGAACCCTCCCTCTGGGGCTTCTCGCCCTTCTCGGCCCCCTGACTATAAACACCCGGTCCGGCCTCCCCAGGGGTATCCTGTCCGGCCCTGGCTCTCTCGCCTGTTCCCTGGCCATGACAAACTCTTCGAAAGGCAGTCCTTGAGGTACAAGTCGAGGTGGATCCTGCATTCGAAACCCTGGTCGTCCTCTCCCATGCGTCAGGAGGTTGGCGGGTGGAACGGTGTCGAAGGCCTTGTTCTTCCAGAGGCAGCTGAAAACGAGGAAGAATATCAAGATGGAACAGACCACTACGACGGGCACCCAGATCTTTGTGCCGTCGTTGTCACCCATGTTTCCGAGTAGGCTGAAACTGGCGTAGGTGAATAAGGCAAAGCCCATTCGTAGGTATTAGATCGACGAGAGAAGATTGTGAAGCCAATTTGATTCTACTTTCCACCACAAGGGCAACTCTTCTTTAAAGACGGTTCACTACTTGAATATAGTACATCAGCGATCATGCCATCTCTGGTTGGAAGCCCATCGAACTGCAAACAGAAATAGTCCTTGGGTATTTGTTTGTATTCAAGAACGAATATGGAGTTGGCAAACGCACAAAACTCGTTACCCGCAAGAGGTCAAACAAACGGGACCAACACATCTGGCCGCATATTGGAAAGCTTGAGACGCGATTGAAATTCAGTGTGCTGCTAATGAGTTTGTCGTCGACAGATCGGCGCAGGTTAACCGTGATGCCAAACGTGGGTCAACCAAGGGGTTCCGCATGTAATGTCCACTTGGTTGAGGTCCCGCAGATGCTACTATGTTGGAAACAGGCATCATCGTCAGATTTGTCCCGAGCTCAACAGACACCAATTGTATGCTCCAGATGATTGGCGTGCTGCAAGACTGAGTGCAAACTCAACGAATATGCCGGCAACGCTCTTGAACGGATACAGGGACGGATAACGTGCACCGTCATGAATATATTACCACCTGTCGAAGACCTCTCGATTCGATTCAATAAGTGGAGGCGTGGGTAAATCCATGGAACCCAAGGCTCGAACTTTGCACATACGGCCCATAGGAAGTACTGGGCAGTGTTAGCAGGCGTGGTCAAGAGCAAGAGAAGAATTGAAAACGCTCAATCCAGCCAGACTTACCCAGTATTCACAGTAGGTTGGGTGATCAGAGCAACACGTGCTCGTTTGCACACATTCAGGCGAATACACGACAGAAGACCGATTTCAGAAGACCACCTCTTTTGAAAACTTAATTGTGCTTGTCGAAAGCAGCAAGAATAGAAGACCACACAGGCCAATGATCCGAGGCTGGACAAACATGAACTTAGATCCACAGAATACTCGCCTTGATATTCGTAGTGCGTTTAAATTGCATCAAGTCAACTAACTGTCCGCCCTGCAATTCGGTCTAATCAGAACTGTACCGTTGGATATCCCTCACTTGCTTCTGGATGGAAAACCGCGGCGAAGTCGACCTCACTGATCGCACCAAATGCAAATGCATCAAGGGCCATTATAGGCGTGATGTCTGACAGATTATATGCGTGCGGATTCGGATTCGAGTGATTACTGTTCACCCCGCTCTGAATATACCCGCTTCCATTGGGTTGCTGAACATGCGCATAATTATGCTGCATAGGGACATAGTGAGTTGGGGCTGACGGGAGCTTGATGGCTTTATCTTGCTCATCAGTTGATGATGTCGCGGCCCTACGGGACCTAGGGTGGGTGATAGTGTTGTTTTCTTGCCTTGAGGCGCGGGTTGGTACTTGCTGCGGAATTTGGTTGAAAGTTGGCATATCACTGTAAAGTTCTGGGTATCGCTGAAAAATATCCGGGCCCATAGTCCAGCATTTAATATCACCCAATCTTTGGTCGAACATCGGATTGATTTTATACAATCCGGTTTCCACCTCGCGCGTGTAACAGTCTCTGAACTCATACGGCCACAGTATACGCAGGCTTTTGCAAAACAAACGCCAAAATTCATTCTGGCAGTAATTATGCTCACCGAAGATAAATCGCTCGCGGAGCCCCGGCCAGGCATAGTAGTCAATTGCGTAGGAATGTGCTATTGATTGCGAGGGGCGGCGCATGTACCATGGTGGTAAGCGCTGGAAAAGTTGTGAAGTCGACTCGGTGTGAAACTGAATAAGCGCATGCATCGCTCTCATGACCGCCAATCGTTCAGTATCTGGACATGTACAGAACAAATTCTCGTCAATCTGCCGGAGAATTTGCCATGAAGGATGCAACGGGCCCCGTTTGGCGACAGAATCCCATCCTTCCAACAAAGCCCGCACCGGAACATCGTCGCTCACTTCCGCGGACGCGGGTGTGATATCCTTGGGCCACCCAAATCGCTGGCTCAACACCTGGTTGGCATATACCCAGTAGTTGCCGCGCCAGACCACGGGCTGTCCAGGCACAGGCTTTGAAAATGTATGGCAGGTACATGACTTTCGTGGCCTTGCCCAGTGATCTGTCCATAGGGGGAGTTGTTGCCCATCATTTTCACTGCTCTTGCATTGCACCAGCGCCTGGTTCTTCGGGCCTGGGTTGTCGCAGCTCAGTTGCACGATGGGCGGTGCAAGGAGCGTGCCCGGAGGTTTGTCATTGGTGTTCGGCGAAGGCGTGAAGTTGGTTCTGTCGAAACTGCTGACAACAGATACTTGTACGTCTTCCTCGGACTCGGTCTTGAAATTTAGTGGGGTATCGTCGGATAAAGACTCTATGCTCGGTTTCTGCTTGTCATCTTCGTCAAGGAACACAGGCTCCTCGTGTGATGCTGGGGGCCTGCGCAGATCGAGCGCCTTCTGAATGTCTTTCAATGTCTTTGCCATCAAGTTCCGTTCTGCTTCTGCCTCTTGCAACTGCTTCATCAGAAGCGCCACTTGTCCAGTGGCATCTTGGCGACGAAACTCCTCGACCAGGCCTTCCAGGTGGGCTATTCGAGACTTTGTGCGTTCACGGGCCTGCCGTTGGCAACGTCGATCAATTTCTCGTTTCTTTAGCCGTCGAGAGGAGACGCCTTTCTCGCTTGATTCGGCGGAGTCGTTGGTGGCAGACCGCTGAGCGATGGCCGTAGTTGCAGTTTTGGTGGTCATGATGCTCGTGTGAGTGAGGAGTCGACTAGGCCCGGCGTTGTACAACGTCCAGATTCATGATACTTCAATCCGTAGAAAGAATCACGCTGCCTAAGGTGATGATGATGTGAGAGTTCGAGGCATGACGAACGAGGGCAGCGCAGCCGCCGGTTTAAAGTCGACCACCCAACCCCAGACTGTGAAGTCTAGGCGCACCAGTCTGCGGGGTTTGCAATAAGCCCGACTGCTGCCACAGCTGCGAAGGCTTCACTTAAGCTTTGGCTGGCGAGGCCAATGAGTCAATGACTGGCTGAGGCAGCCGGCTGAGGCCCATTAGCCTGGGTTGCAGTTCCTTGGAACGGGCTCTCTCGGTTAGATCTGGCAAGGCACTGAGGAGTCCGAAGTTGGGACGAGGGTAGAAAAAGCCACTCCAGTCACTAAGTTAGTTAGGCTCTTTAGGCTCCGTTTAGGGCTGCCCGGGCTGTCTGCGGATAGGCCATGGGGGCCTCAATAAGCCCCACGCTGGATAGGGAGATTATTGGCGATGCGCAGTGAGTGGCCCGTAGGGAAATGCTTTTCCACGTTACTAACATGTGCTTGACCAGCTTCCTCGGACGTCCAGCAGCCCCAACATCGGAACATCCGAGTGTCGATCCGACCTGCCTTTGGCTTCGAGATACGAAGATGAAGAAATGCCATTCCCAAGTGACAAGGTTTGCGCCAATACTGGGGTTGGGGCACCCCCGACCGAAGGTCTCGCTGTCGTCGTTCAAGGAGGGTGCAGAGGCACCAGTCTCGCAGATCCACAGACTTCATTTGGCTCCGTAATATAATGACCAGGCCGTAGACCACGCCATGGGTTGATTTTCCGTTACCTAGGCGCGTCTGGAAACAAGGCTCCAGGATCAGTGCAATCAAGTCAATGCTGCTTATTGCCACTTTCCCTGTTGATTACGGACACGGGCCACTCGCAGGAAGGAAAAACAGCATATCCGGAGACCAGCAAAGCTGAAAGACCCTCTTCCGGAACTTTAAGGCCCCTGGGTCTTCTGGGCCAAGATCCTGGTCGACCAGCTATGTGTACAATTCTGGATTTGGATGAGGACACGTACAATCCCCCTGGCCGAACCACTTCTCACATCTTCCTACCGTTCCTCAATCCGCAGAGAGTGTCGGGCAAGCCACGGACGGCGCCTCTGGATGTCAAATGGCACGGTACTCTCATGGGCGCTAGAGGAACCTCTCATTTCCTGCAACTTGTCCTCCTCGCCGAAACGATGGTTTCGGCATCTTTCGACGTGGTGAAATTTGCCTGAATACATCTTCTGCCCATCAACAGGACAACAGTCTGCGTTTGCAGCTGGCTTGAGGTGTCTCTGTTGACTTCTGTTTGGTATCCACTTGCTCGTGACGCATGTCGCTTTGTTCGCGTGGCCAATTTCATGCTCAAGGCATGACATGCGAACAATGATCGCGCTTCCTTCACAGCGCAACCCTTGGCCGTGACTTTGCCATCATCAGAGCTCCATTCACCTCATATTCTTGGTTCTCCCTATAGTCCCTGTACCCCAGATTTCTAGCCAAAGTACCCATTTTCGTGAGGTGGCATGGTGCAATGGGAGCATACCCTCAGCTCAGGGAACCCCTCCAGATACCCGACATGCTCCTGGTCTTGCATCAGGCTGTCAAGTCCGGACTGGATAGTGTGCGATTCCATAGAATGCTAAGAGGGAGATTCTGGTTCAAATCCGGATGCCGCCGTTGGTGGTTTTTTTTGTTGTAGTATATCTCTTTTGAAAGCCCAGTCTTACCTATCATCGTGGGGGAAACGTTGGGGGTTAGTTCGACGTATATCTGTACAATCTCGATCAAGCCCTAGCCCTCGAACCCGTGGAGGCTGTGAGATAGACGGATCTCTCCCTGGTCAAGAGATCAGGGGAGATTGGGCACGACGTTTGACAGGAGTGTCCGGATGTCTCAGGTCGACAGGATGTGCCGGTCATATCTCAAGAAGAGAATGTAGAGGCTGTCGAGACGAAGGATCCTGGATCGGGTATTTCAGCAGATAGATCTGCTGGAGGCTGGAAACGTATTTCAAAATTGTTGGCATGTAGCTGCCCTATCAGCCTCTCGGCCAACCTTACCTTTTGTCAGCCTTCCATTAACGTGAAATACCTAAACACCGGAGATTCTGCTGTCGTTCACTCGTCAAGAGGCCATGATTCGCTGATGTAGTGCAGAGGTATAGCATCTCCCTCTCCCATGACAACAAGCATAGTCTTGTACATCGGGAAATAGGGGAAGACCTGGGTTCGAATCCCAGCATCAGCATAATCTTTTTGTCTCGGCGCAGAAAATGGCTTGGAGTGTGAGCGCTGTACCAAGAACCGCGTTCTGCGGCTCGCCGTTTTTATAGGGTGAGTTTGGCGTGAATGGCTGGCGGTGGATCTCTTGTGTCTCTTCCTGTATCTTTCCCGCACCAGAAGCTCATGATATCTGCACTGAGAGCATTTGATCAAGGGTGGAACAAGACTCTCACTCCAATCACGGCGTCGTGCAAGAGACATGATAAGGAGACAAGGAATTGTATGCCTACAAAGGAGCTTCGTGAGGCTCGTCCACAAAGTGACAATTACTCTTGTCAGCACACATCACAGTCCTACAGCCCTATAAGTTCCAACCGGCAGACTCAAGAAGTGTTGATCAGAAAGATAGAGCAATCATAAACCCCAAAGGTCACATCGAGGGCATCTGGAAGACAGTTACAGAAGACAAGAACAACAACAAGTGACATATCCCGAAACAGCCAAAGGTGCCCACCTTTAGTTAGTACTCGTAGCTGTCGCTAACGTCTCGGGTAACCTGCCCTCCTCTGCTCGTTGCTAGTTGTACTCTACCCGCCCTCCGTCATGTCACGTGAACCAAATGACCAGATGATTTCTTACGGACTATCTATCGGTATGAAGCAATGTCAATATCGCAAAGACGGCATGATCGAGCCAGGTGCTTGGTCATGATGTCTCTGATTTGCTTCACGTACAAGCAAAATCGACCTCTGCTGCGGACAGTCCCCCAGGTCTCCCAATGCCATGTGCTGGCTTGACAGCACGCATCACATCGGAGTTCTCTTTTTGCTCCATGCCCCTCGCCTGGGCTTCTTTCGTTTCGCCCTGATGAACCGGCGTGCAGATAAACGAATCAATGGCCATCAAAAACACAGAGCGTGTTGCTCAGGATGAAAGCTTCTGAACATGCGAGACTACGACCATAGCTGGATAAGGGAGAAATTGCTTCCACGTGCGACGATGTGACTGTTTCATCTTTCTATCTTCTACATGCAAACCATGGCTTCTCTTTTGGCATTTAGCTGTGCACCATCATCACTCTTGTACTCTCAAGTCTTGTCCTAGAGCCCACAACTTGAAATCTGCTTGTACCCTTGCTTGCATTCAAAACCTGGACTGTACCCGCTGTTCGTGCCGGAAGAGAACTTTCTCCATGTCCGTACTATACCAGCATTCGTCCTACCGGCTGATATGATATGAAGATCTGACCAATTTGCGGAAAGACCTCAGCGTTTTCTGTGGACAGTCTGCCAACCATCAGTATCAGTTCCTTTCTTGCCTCGATTCACAACAACATTTCCTGGGGTGAACTTCGGTGCAGTTGGATTGTAGGAGCGAACATTCGAAGCTGACACTGCACTATCCCTCCGATCGCGACCTTTTGCAAAGTACCCATCTCCCGCGCAGGGGATCTGGGTGATCAAATTCAAGGGACGTTCGCACGGGTCATGACTGAACCCAATCTGCACTTCCTGGTACGGGCCAGACTTCCGTGACCGCTTGATGAATTCGTCACGAACAATGCGGGCAATCGCAGTTGCAGCGAAGACGACCGTGGCTAACGTACGATTAGATGGAGCCCAAGTAACAGAGGAAGCCACCTACCGTTCCCTGTATTGAAAAGCCAAACCAACTCTATGTTGTGTTCTCCGACAAGGTCACTCAAGTCTTTGGTGAACCGTGCTTGATTCATACCGTTTGTGAAAAGCTGCTGGCGAGCAAATGTAAGGCGGCGACGCTCATTGATTGGGGCCGACATTCGCTGGAGTTCATCGTTTTCTGGATATGGCTCACCCATCTTGATCTCGGTACCTGGTCCGAACAAGCCTTCCCCGTGATCACGGCGACTGTATGAATCCTCATCCACGAGGGCTATAGCCGAACTCGCATACTGGAAGATGACGCAAGTCGCGTGATGCTGTTCCACATACACCATTGAGAAGATAGCTCCATAACTGACCCGTTGGGTTACGTCCTTCAGCGGTCTAGTCTTGTTCCAGCCATATATCCAGACACAACGATAGTCTTCATCCTTCGCCACCTCTTCTTTCTGGATCTGACGCTTTAAACCGTCGGAAGGTCGGAATTTGACTAGGCGGTTGTTTCTCGGTATATCGGTGGCGGCGACAGCAGCCCAAGTAGACGTGGTTCCTGGAGGGGCGGTGCGAATATTGACTGCAGGGTCTGCTGCAGGCACAGGTTTCATTAGGAATTGCTCTTGGTTCCAAGGGGTGGTGACATGGTTAAACGTGTCCAGCATGGAATGAACATCTCTCGCGATCTCATTCGCTGCCTCGTTTTCATCCTCGCCTCGAAGCTTTCTCCTGATTAGTGCCAACAGGTCGTGTAGACGTGCCAGAGGCGTGACATACATGCTCCACCACCCTGTTGAGATGGCTCAGGGCCTCAGCCATGACTCCACTGACATGGTTAGGGTCGTTCTCAGTCGCCATCATGTCCTGCATTGATGCCTAAGTTAGCGAGGACGAGGTGGATGTGCCCTGGACAGAAAGCCAACCTCAGAGGCAGGGCTGCTGCAGTCGCTGTAGACGAGAGATGGTGTGTTGGTAAGGTCAGTTGAGATGTTGCTCAAGGTTCGTCGTGGCGAACATGGGGGAGAGTATGATACATTCCTTGCGGCCATGATGGAAGGCAGAAGAAGGCAGCGTCAACAAATGCAGTGAAGTCGTGTCGGTGAAGGTGAATGATTCTGGCGAACAAAGAAAACCCGGTCCAAGGTGAACAGAGCGAACTGAACTGGGTTCAGTTGAGATTCCCAGACCCAGGCAGCAGCTACCCGTCTATTTCTTGCCTCAGGAGCTGATGGATATGGGACCGGCAAGATCGGTGGTTGCTGAGGACATGGACGCAGAAATGTTTGCTTGAGGGAATCAGTCGCGATGGAAATAGGAAGATTACACCCTTTTTCTATGTTGAGGTGCTCGCGCGTGCGATACTATTTCCACTCCCAAATCAAGCAAACCATGCCAACAGAATCCAGCTCGCAAAACACCACGGAAGGCGCCTCACATATGCATCAGTAAAGCCTCCCAGAGATGTCAATTGAATAGTGTCTCATGCTCAGTGTCAATTCCACGTTTCCCCATCCAATCATTGCGGCCTCCAGAAAGCCAGCCTGCTGCCCAACTCGTTGCCCAATGCCCGTCTCGCCTCGACCGTCCTGGTGACTGCATCTCGATTTTCATGGGCACGACGCAGGAGATACTTCATGCATTCGCCCAATCCGCCCCATACCAGATACTTGTAGGCTCGGGGGATTTCCACGTTGGGCTCGCTAGACTCCGAACGGCTTCTTGCAGTTTGTACCACCTCGCAGCTCACGTTGTCTGCCATCCCCATCAGCTGTCCGTATGCCAGTTCGATTCGTGGTTGGCCATTTCGAGCCTGTTCATCACGAAGTTTCCCTGCCAATCTTACAGACTCGGCGTTGTGCGTGGCTAGCACCAGGCTCACCTGGGGGAATTCTGACGAACAACCAGCGACGGGTTGCAAGATGCCCTGGTACTGTCTCTGCAGGACGGCTTTTGCGATCTCATTGTAGCACTTGTGAGTCTCCTCGATGGTTGGCCAAAATAGCTCCCGTGGGTCACTACCTAGGTATGCGCCCCGGACAAGCTTGACACCTAAAACGAAATTCTCGTTCCTGGCTAACTCGAGGTGGCGCGCTAGTACCTGAGGGGTTCGTTGGGCATATGCTTGATAGGTCCCAAACACCACCGCTTGCTCCTTGTTGTATATTTTCGCAAAGTACATGGTCCAGTTGTCAATACCCTGCTGTAGTGATGCCTGCTCAGCATCGAAAAGGAGCTTTACGCCTTTCTGCTGCGCACTTTGACAGATCTCATGGACAGCTTGCTCAAACTCGTGAGAACATGCAATGGTGGCCTTGAGATGTTGCAATGCTTGACGGCCTGCTCCAGTAAACTTAAGAGCCACAAAATCGCCGGCTTGTGCAAGATCCACGGTTGCAACTGTGTTACGTTTCCATGTTGCAATCTCCTCTGCGTTGAGAGCCGCCTGGTCTGACGAGTCTCGTGATGCATCCAATTCTTCAGCATCTTCTTTTGTAAGTACAACTTCTTTCGCATATCCCAGCATGACTCCGCTGTAGCCTGTGTGCTTTAGATCGGCGATTGTGGCCCTAACCTCGGAAGGAGTCTCTCCAGCACAGAACTGTGCATAAAATGTCTTCTTGAGAAGGAAATGGAGGAAAGGGTTTCGATCCGGCATAAAGAAAGGTGACTTAGTATGTGCGAGAAAGGACATTACTGACAAGGAGGGTCGGAGGAGGAGCGGTATGGAGGACACTGAGGTGATCAGGTAGGACCGGATAAGCGTGGAAAGAGATAGACATGAAAGAGGTCGCGAGACTGGCACAGAGGTCGTGACATGCCCCGTCTCGACAATGCTCGGGGCGGCTGATGAGACATTGCGTCTACTATGTGCCTCCCGATGCTGGCGAATCTGCTGCGGTGTGTTGACTTGAATAGAGAGTCGATAGAACTGTTTCGGCTGGATGTGCAAGGGCGCGACCACGCTCAAGAAGAAGTGCTTCGAAAGTATCGCCGATGCTGGCCTGGTAGCCGGTCGTTGCGACATTTTCGCTAGCGAACTGAGATTCTTGAGTAAGTAATAGGTGAAGGCTCAATAAGTGTGCAAATAAAAGGGTCTATGAGCGAAGGAAATGCATATATACTCTTTGTCCAGATTGTCATGTCCGGTTGCAAGTGGAAAGTCAGTCCACTGGTATGGATCTAGATAAGAGGATGACTGGAGACAGTGAAGCCAAACAACCATGACGATAGGCGCAGAAAGCGGGATGGATGAAGGATACACACGGAGGCGTCATTCCGCTCGTGCCGCGGATAAGCGGGATCACGTGCAATAAGCAAAATGCTGCCCGTGAGATTGTGCGACAGCCCGTCACTTTGAAGTGACTCTCTCACCTCCAGAACGCATATGAATCCATCGTCACTGGTTGCAGTACCAATGTGAATCAATAATATCCCTCCTGAGCCTGACAAGGAAACGGGCTGATACCTCTTTTCTGGCCTTGGGTTTTCGCTCAGAGGTGGCGCTCGACATATTCGTGGCGTGAGCCTAAATCTCTCCTTGTATAGAAGAATTCTTGGGAGGAATGGAGGCTGACCGCACTGGGATGTTTCTGAAGCGGACAACAAAATAAAGGTATACTCGAGTGCTTCGTGTGAGCCACCTCTTGTTGAAGAAGTCAGACATTTGCCTCTGGGCTTTCTGATAACACACCACACTGCGACGAGAGGTAGCAACTGGGAACAGAGGAAACAACTATCGCATTGCTTGTTTTTACGTTCAGAAGGAGTGCAAAGACGGCATCTTCTCTTTTCGGAGTCCGAAGTTTCTTCATAACCGGTTCATGGTGAAACAGGCAGCTCGAGAAAACTGCGCAGTTGGTTGCCGTCGCAACGAGGCCGAAGACCAAAACAGCTTAGTTTCGCATCCTCTTGGCGGCTATAGCAAATCACTGCAATGTACCGAATTCATTCCCAAAAGTGATGGCCTTCACCCGCAGGCTTCTGACATTGACTTTCCACAGCTTGTTATTGGTGTTTGCGGTCATTCGCGTTCCTACCTACTCGTTCTCTACTTTTAGATGTGCCATCACTTTCCCATGATTTCGTGGCCTTTGTTTCCTTTAAAAACCTCGCGGTAAACAAGTAGCGAGAACAACAACAACCATGGCCTCAACGGCAGGTGCTTCTTCAATCTCGGTCACGGTCCGAGTTCGACCTTTCACAATCAGAGAAGCCGCTCAATTGACAAAATGTGACGATACGACGATTTTTCTGGGCGACGGTTCGCTGGCGGCCGCACCAACCCCGAAGCTGTCACAAAAGGGCATTCGACCGGTGATCAAAGTGGTGGATGAGAAATGCTTGTAAGTCGGAGCGAGGTACGCGTGACATCGACCCCAGCTCACTGGTCGGCTCTAGAGTATTCGACCCCCCTGAGGACAACCCAGTGCAGAAATTCTCGCGCTCCCTAGTCCCTTCCGGAAAGCGAGTGAAGGACCAAACCTTTGGATTCGATAGAATCTTCGACGAAAATGCGTCTCAAGGCGAGGTATACGAGTCGACGACAAGGCCACTGCTGGACAGTGTGTTGGACGGTTACAATGCAACGGTCTTCGCCTACGGTGCCACTGGGTGTGGCAAGACGCACACAATTACTGGTACCGTCCAAGAACCAGGCATCATCTTCCTCACGATGCAAGAGCTCTTTGAGAGAGTATCAGAATTGTCATCCGAAAAGGTCACCGACATTTCCTTGTCATATCTCGAAATCTATAACGAGACAATCCGCGACCTGCTGGTTCCGAGCACGGTAAGAGGAGGTCTGATGCTGAGAGAAGATGCGAATCAGGCCGTCTCGGTGGCAGGGCTATCTAGCCACCACCCGCAAAATGTGCAAGAGGTCATGGACATGATTATGCGAGGGAACGAGATGCGTACAATGTCTCCCACCGAGGCTAATGCTACCTCTTCACGCTCTCACGCGGTCCTTCAGATCAACGTCGCCCAGAAAGACAAAAATGCCGGCATCGAAGAACCTCACACTATGGCAACCTTGAGCATCATTGATTTGGCTGGAAGTGAACGAGCTAGTGCGACCAAAAACAGGGGAGAACGACTATTGGAGGGTGCCAATATCAACAAGTCTCTCCTTGCTCTCGGTAGCTGCATCAACGCTCTGTGCGACCCTCGGAAGCGCAACCACGTCCCATATCGAAACTCCAAATTGACACGACTTCTCAAATTCTCTCTAGGTGGAAACTGCAAGACTGTTATGATTGTCTGCGTCAGTCCTTCTAGTGCGCATTTCGATGAGACTCAGAATACCCTAAGATATGCAAATCGGGCGAAGAACATTCAGACTAAAGTCACCCGTAACGTGTACAATGTCAACCGACATGTCAAGGATTTCCTGGTCAAGATTGACGAGCAGATGGCTCTCATCAATGAATTGAAGGCGCAACAAAAGGATTATGAGGCTGTAGCATTTGCGAAGTTCAAGAAGCAAAACGAGAAGAAGGAAATCATCGCACGAGAGGGCGTGCAAAGAATTAGGAATGCATACGAGCATTCTGCAGCCGAGAGACAAGAGCGAACGAACAACATGATCAAGTTGAAACAGTTAGGCCGTCGTATTGCCATGTTGTCGGCATGGATTGCAGCCTTCGATACCGTTTGCGATGCCCTAGACGATGAAGCGCCTCTGAAAAGCATGCACGCCATTAAAAAGGCCGCTGAAGGTATCATGATGGAGTTGGAGAGCGGTCGTCACCATTGCCAGCAGAAAGTCCAAAAGAGCGTGTGGGACCGAGCCCTGAACACTGCTCTTGACCACTCTTTGAAGCAACTTCATGAAGTTGATACTGGAGACATGACCGATTCGGAGACTTTGCGTCGCGAAGTCGAAATGCTCAAATTGACGGCGGAACGTGAGACTCTCTCGGCTGTCAATGAATCTGAAAAGGCAGGCGATGCGGCGACCATTCAAATTTTGCTGCAAGCCCATTTCCAAACGATATCGGCCATCGAAAACTTGAATAGAATGAATGTTGACGAGGCCGTCGAAGCTGCAACACAGATTCTGGCAAAGATGCTCAAGTCGTCCTCTGCTGCTGTTTCTTACATTGTGAAGCCCGACGGTAGCCTCGCTCCTGTGGAAGCATTTGCACCCACCAAGGCCGGCACTCCCAAAAGACGGAAGCAGATGGTGAGCAACTCTGTCCTTGAGCCTAGCCCTCTTCGACCTAGGATTGGGTCTGCCCTTCCCATGCATGTCATGCACTCGCCGGCCAGAGGATCTCCCAAACGACGAGGGTTACTCGGCAGCGCAAAAAAGGGCGTGTCCTTCACTCCAAAGAAGAGGAAGTCTCCCGTCAAGGTCAAGCGAGCTGTTAGGTGGCGGGATGATACTGAGGACGGTACCTTGGCTGAGTTCGAGAAGACTCCTCAAAAGCTCGCAATGTCTTCGCCTGAAGAATCAACCACGGAGATTATCGTTCCGCAAGTATCCAACCTCACTGCGTCTCTAGCACAGGCTCGAGAGCAATCTCCAGAATCGTCACCAATCCCATCGCCACCCGAATCGCAACTGGCAGTGCAACCAAAGAACAGTCGGTTCCAAGCAGGATTCTTGTCCAAGAAACATGAAGCGTCACCTTTGGGAACCATGCTGCCGCCGAAGATGACGCCACTTTCGTCTTCAGACAGTGAAGCTTCACCTCTTAGAGAGATCGATCCAAGCAAAGCAACCAATAGACGCTCCTTGACGCCATCTAATAAGCAAGTCCCAGACGTCAGTAGCGACAGTCCCAGCAACTCGTCCTCTGACACTGAGAACCACGGCCACCCGAACAACGAAGACGTGATGAAGATTCGTGACGCGGTCAGGCGCTCAAGTTCGGTCCGTCGCTCTGTCGTTGGCTCTCGTACTCAACGCAGACGATCTCCAACGGCGGCAACTGGCATTTCGGGATCCCCGCCGAGCGATAGCATGTTTGCAGCTGGCCATGTTAGAAGGATGGTTCTGGGCAAGAGCGACAAAGAGAATGAGTGGAAGGTTGGTGTGTTGAGCCCTCGCGTGTCTGGTATTGTCAGGGACTCGAAGAGCCTGAGCATGAATTCAGCCAGACGAACGACCATGAACGGTGACGTGCGGTCGACACCTATCAACAACGATCGAAATGGTCTCAGGATGGGCTCGACTTCAAGGGGAAGTCTGATGCCAAATGGAAAAGCTGTCTGGCGTTGACTGGGGTCTAAAAAAGCTCGACCTTGATTCGGGTCGTTTATGGACTTTTCCCCTTCGGTTGTGGCATTCTTTGGGTGTCTCTTAAGGCAGAGGAATGGACCAAGGCCTTGGATTGGGGAGTTGACTTGGTATTTACCTTTCACAAACGGCGCCCCAGGCGTCCTGTAATTAGTAGCGGTCTACTCATGTTCGAGTTCTGGGACCAAGACCCTTATGACTAACGATAAGCCTTTGTTGCTCTGAATTATCATTCAATGAGAATTGGTCTTTTCTGCGATAATGGTCCCTTCGGCCTGACGAGGCTGTGAAGATGTTCGGATATCTCTGAAGCTCTGGTTCCAGGAGCACCAGCCTTGCCACTCTGAACTAGGAGAGCATCTTACCACAAGGTACCTTGGGAGAACGAGCTAATGTACATGTCATTTCAGAGGGCTTTAGCAATGCAAATATCTGCTCACCCCTACCGTGGCTCGTGAGACGTTTTCGGTAGGCGGAAGTTTAAGATATCGTAATCATGCAGGGCTAAAGTGTCCTAGCGAGCTTCGGGATCGAAGAAGTAATTGTCATGGTTTTGCCGCCAATGGGATTAAGTAAACTGAGATTTCTATAGAGGGTGAAGCACTGACTGCTCGAAACCACTGGGCACTGCTGGGGACGGAATGCGAGGGTTACGGGCAGTGAGTACTGCAACTGCTGCGCCCCGATGAGAAATTGTCATTGCCCTCTAACTAGTAATTTTAGTGTGACTCCATATGGGTACGGAGTTTTGTAGTATGCATGATGCATCCTTATACGCGCGACTCCGTACAGCGTATCTCACTCAAGTATGACGTGCTGACGTGCTCGATCTCGGGGTTCTCGAAGATTATGGATCGCAGTCGACGATTGGCGGTGCACAATATACATAGGTCGTTTCTATCCGCATCTACTAGACCTTACTTGCCTCTACTTATACTCTCTGTCGCCAGCAACTCGTAACACAATCAACGGATAAGTCAGAACCACAACACCCAAGCAACATCAACCCCGGCTACACACTACTACATACCCCAGGTACCGCTAGACCAAACATTCCCGAGCCCGATCATCGTTGGTTCTTCTCAGTTACGCTCTCCTCATCCTCCTCATCCTCCCAACAATGGCCTTTCAAATGCCCGGCTTCCTATCTCGATTCCTCCGGCCCTTCTCGTCCGCGGCCCATCTCTCTCTACAACCGGACGCACTAGCCGCGATGCAATTCCCGCCAAACTCCCAACGGGCCATTTTCGCCGGCGGCTGCTTCTGGGGCCTTGAGGAACTGTACCGCAAGGACTGGGGCAACGGCAAGGGCTTGCTGGACTGTCGCGTAGGATACACGGGCGGTAAGACCGAGGCGCCGTCATACCAGGCCGTCTGCTCAGGGCGGACGGGCCACGCCGAGTCGCTCTTGATCGTCTTTGACCCGGAACTCGTCACGTATCGGCAGCTCGTCGAGTACTTTTTCAAGATGCACGATCCCACGACCCTGAACAGGCAGGGTGCCGACACGGGCACGCAGTACCGTTCGGCCGTGTTCGTCGAGGACGACGAGCAGGAGAAGATTGCCACCGAGGTCAAACAGAAGGTCGGCGAGCAGTGGTACAAGGGGAAACCCATCACGACGGAGATCCTGAGGGCGACGCAGTGGTATGATGCCGAGGACTATCACCAGGATTACCTCAAGAAGCAGGAGTTGAACGGCGCTTATGGATATCATTGTCCTGCGCATTTTGTGAGGCCTTTTCCTGAACTGAAGTAAAAAGGGAGATCTCGACCTAAAGGCCCAAGATATCCAAGGAATGGATCTGGACCGCGGTGATGATAGTTACGAGGTGTGTGATAGTATATAACTGGACAGGTACAAAGTCTCAAAATTTCTTACTCAGAGGTCTGAGTGCTTATCTTTCGATGTATTGCCCTGAACAAAGATGCATCAAAGCCTGCTAGGCATTCTCACTCCTCCGTCCAGACGTATTACACCGCCATTGAGCATGGGATTCTCGACTATTTCCTTGACGAGACGCGCGAATTCGTCTCCTCTGCCCATGCGCGTTGGATATTGCACCATCTCAGGGTTTATCGACGCACGAGAACCCGTGCTGACCTTCGGTTGGCTTTCGACTCCCTCTTTCTTAGCCGGTGCTTTGGGAGTCTTCTTTTTCGGTGGCACCGTCATTCCGGTCTGAAACACGCCAGGCGCAATACCCATCACTCGAATGCCAGCCTTCTGCCCCAGCTCTCTCGCCAGTGGCAACACAATACTCCTCACGGCACCCTTGCTTGCGCTGTAGGCTAACTGCCCGATTTGCCCTTCGTAGGCTGCGACTGAAGAGACCACGACAATGATTCCTTTCTCGCCGTCGGGACCCCAGGGTTCATTCAGTGCCATGTGTGGCACGGCCAGACGGATCAGATCCACAGTGCCTCGTAGGTTGATGCTCAATGTACGGTCAAACTGTGACATATCCATGTATTTTACAGACTCGTGTGTCGCGGTGGGATCTTGTTTGGGGAGTGAGAGGGCAGCGGTTCCGATACCAGCGCAGCATATCACGCCCGAGAGAGGCTTGTTGGTTTCTCGTGTCCATGACAACGTGTTCTTCAGTGCAGCTTGCAAGGATTCGGTCGATGCGACATTGGTCTTGTTGAAAATGACCTTGGAAGAGTCGATGCGAGACGATGCATCGCCTGTGGGAGCGTTCAGATCGAGGACAGACACGTTGGCACCGTTCTGTAAGAAGATCAAAGCGGTGGCTAGTCCAAGGCCACTGGAGCCTCCGCTGACGATGAAGGTGCGGTCTTTGATCTGCATTCTGTGAAGGTGTACAGGAGGCAGAAAGCTTGCCTGCTCATGGTCATGAGGCATACCTATATTTACTCCCATATCCAGGTAGGTGGACGCAAGTACCTCGGTTCGCGCATGGGCGTCTCGAGACATTCATGTGCCATGGTTCGTGCCCATATCCCATAAACAGTTGTCATAAGTCAGCTGTTGGCTCTGTCCATGCTGTCGTACTTAGTCGAGCCTGCCAACAGCAGATTGTACAACGTCCTGAACTACGGCTTTGGTGCCAGAGTTGTTTATAGATTGCGTACACGGCGCGTAAAGGCGGCGGGTGGTTGTTTAGGCCCGAAGGAGTGTGACACCAGCGAGGCACAACCACCACGCAAAGATCAACGCTGGTATCGAGAGACACTCATATCATACATCAGTGCAGTTACTCTTACACTGACCCAAGACTCTTGTATCTTTGTCACAGGCCACCCAACGCAATGACAAGATCTGGGGCGCAAAGTTGACCTGCTTCCTCTTCGTCTGCTGTCCCAGTTCCCCGCCGCCATCGCCCCCTGGCAGCCAGGCTTATTAGGCGCACACTCTTCCTGGCTGTGTCTCATACGGGGTAAAACAGGCTGATCCTGTTCCACCACAGTCACGAGCCGCAGCATACGACCTGCCTTGCTCATTCTTCGCCTTGGGTACTGCGTCTCTCTTTCTCCCTTCCGTTGTCTCTCGTTCTTTAGCGATTTTGATTCTATGCCCGCCATATGTCCCAATCCTCCCACCGCTCGAAAGCGCCCAGCCGGAGCGTGAACAGCCTGCGAAATGGAGATAGGTTGTCTAGAGAGTCGTCCAGGGTTCGACGAAAATCGATCAGCATAAACGATGCCTATCTGTATGCGTTAAGGGTGGCCTACCTCTCCTACTTGCTTCAGCCTCGCACATTTCGCAAGAAACATGTCGAGACCAAGCCTGCCATCCATCGCGCAACCACCACCTCCTCCTTCCACGATCTAATGAACGATTTCACCATTGTGCGAGACTCCAAAAGTACGAGATTTCCTCATGACTTCATCAAAGAGCTGGAGAAGAGGTTGCAAGGCATCCTTATTGGCAAGGAGAGGCGCCCGGAATACCAAGATGCTGTGGTTAAGCGGACGTTCGCCATTTTCCTCAACACACTGTCGGATCCTTCATTCAAAAAGCGGATGGATGCGGACAGAAGAGTCGAGGACCTGGTATTGATCTTCTTTTCTAACACAACAAAAGAGCTGCAACGTGGAAAGTCACCTGGCGACGACGGGGTGAAGCGCATGGTCGACCGTCATGTTGCCCTCTTCGTCCGGCTTCTAAGTCTCATTTTGAAAGACCGAGACTGGGCAAAAGACAAGCCTGAGTTGGCGTCTCGATTGCAGACATTTGAGTCGAAGCTCCTCAAAGGAGACGAAAATCTGGCTGCCACACATCTCAATGGACAAAGCAGTGTCGTGGAAGAAATGGTGCCGCGTAGCTACGATGTCAAGGATATGCCTTTGGTGCAGGTGGTTGGACGAATCTTCGGCTTGACCAATACTATGATGCAGTCAGATATCGACAAGTATAAGCCGGTTTGGACCGAAAAGGCCGCGCTTCAAGATCTGAAGACATACCAGCAACATCTCAATCTCGGTACCAAGTTGACCCTCAATTCCGGCGATTTCGACACTCACGAAGCGTATGAATTGTGGAAGAAGACCGAAGGACCGGAACTTTCTCAACTCATGCTTGCGATTGTACAAGCAAGTCCCGACCTAGCCAAAAGTACCCCAGGCGGAAGTCTGCCACAATTCAATCCCCAAGGTGCTGGACCTGCTTCCACAGAATCTCACTACGCAGAAGTGTCAAGACTTCTCTCTCATGACTCCTCCTCTTATGTTCTAGATCTGCCGGCGGATCTGGGCTCGCTTGATTTGAATGCGGAATCGGCCCAGCGCGATAGTGAACCCGGCCATGTTTATACCTTTATACCTTCAGATGCCAGAGCCATGTTTCGATTGATAATGCTACAGGCTCTCAATCACGACCTTAACGACGATACGAATGACGGCGCAAGTGGTCAATTGTTTTCGAAAAAGACCACAGAGTTGCTCAACGAGATTGCATTGAGATGGCGAATACCCAAGTTTACCCGCATCGTACTTTTTCTGGATGTGGTCCGCGAGAAGTTTGTGGAACAGGCCATTGGGCTGGAAATGCTGGACGCCGCCTTCAATTATGTGAAGGAACCGCTCCAGGAAGATTCGAAAAACAAGAGAGCATCTCTCATTATGAGTTCGGTCCTCTACGATCGATATAATTGGACGATATCTGACTTTGCCTTGATGGGCAAAGTACTCGGTGCACTACACGAGACGCTGCTTCGAGATCTTTACGAGACCATGATGACCTCCTTTGCTGAGAAAGCTCAGTTGCCCAAGCTGGGTATGATTATGGCGATTATTGATGAGCACATCAAAAGTGATCCAAACTTTACGCAAAATTCCGAGGATTTCGAAAATTTCAAGAATGCAGCCATTGATGGTCTTGCGGCTGAAGCTCGAAAACTGTACGACCGTCTTCTCGACAAGGAGCTGCCTCAAGAGAACGAAAAGTGGGAGTTCTACCACATTCAACAGGTCGCAACTGGCGTATTGAAACTTGCCGAGAAGGTGCAGAAGAGATTTCGAAAGAATCCAGAGATCTTGGGCATCAACCCATTAATGATTCTGCTGAATTGCACCCTCCCAGCCTTCGCAGAAGACTCAAAGGCTATAGTTGAGTCAGTACTTACCACAGCTCAAAGGAATCAAGTGGAGATTAGCATACAAGACGGATTTGACCTCTATAAGGAGCTCAGTGAGTTTCGACGAGTACACGCGGATGCTCTTCCGCATCGTCCATTCCCATACAAGCTAGAAGACCTACTTGCTGAGTTTGTCTGGAAATGGATCCGTACCACCGAAGAACAAGTTATTGGCTGGGTCGAAGGCGCTGTCAAACACGATACTTTTACTGTGAGAACCCAGAATCCAGGCGAAGTACCAACCGAGGATGAGCGTCATTCAACGTCCGTCATGGACATCTTCAGCTCTTTCCATCAGATCATTGATCAAATCGGGCAGCTTAACTGGGACGACGACTTGACCTATGCGAAGTTTCTCACCGCTGTCTCGAAGGCAATTGGAAATGGTGTCGCGAGATATTGCGAATTGTTGGATCAGATGTTCGGTAAAGAGATGGACCGACTGACGCCAGAACAAGAAGCTGCTGCCAACATGACCAGACAGGAGAAATGGGTACAGTTGGCAAAAGACACATGGAACAACAAAGAAAGAGTGGAACCTTTCCACTTCTACCCTCAATCTTTTGTGAAATTGAACAACATTTCTTTTGCCATTCAGGAGTGGGACAAACTAGAGCACGAAGTCAATGTGGACGCATGTGCTGAGGTTATCAAGAAGCATACTCCTCCAGCTGCCCAACGGCCTCGGAAGACTACGAACTATGTATTCACCATCAAGATTGTGGAGGCCGAGGACCTCAAAGCTTGTGATGTGAACGGATTCAGCGACCCGTATGTGGTTTTAACTGATGAATATCAAAAGAGGCTGTCGAAGAGCAGGATCATCTACCGAAATTTGAACCCTCGCTGGGATGAATCAGTCGACATCACGACACAAGGCCCTTTGAACCTTATTGCAACGATCTGGGACTGGGATGCCGTTGGTGACCACGACTATGTCGGACGAACCTCCCTGAAGCTAGACCCATCACATTTCAGCGACTTTCTACCTCGCGAGTATTGGTTGGACCTCGACACTCAAGGCCGACTTATGGTTCGTGTGAGCATGGAAGGTGAACGAGATGACATTCAATTCTATTTTGGGAAAGCCTTCAGGAATCTGCAAAGGACTCAGCGAGACATGACGAGAAAGATCACCGACAAGCTGTCTGCGTACATCAATCATTGTCTCTCTCGACGAGCGCTTCGATCTCTCCTCAACCGTGGCATATCTATTTCAAGCGTCTCCAACTACTTTGCACGGAATCGTGCCTCGGTGATGCCCGCTTCAGCAATGCCGACTGATGCCGAGATTCTCAACGCTCTCAAACCTCTCTTTGACTATTTTGACGACAATTTTGCTATAATGCAGCAAACTCTTACAGGAGAGGCCATGATCGCTGTGATGACTCGACTCTGGAAAGAAGTCCTGGTGACCGTCGAAGGTCTACTTGTACCTCCTCTGTCCGACAAACCGTCTCAGCAGAAGGCTTTGACCCAGCAAGAACTTGACATTGTCTTCAAATGGTTGCAAAGCCTTTTCGAATTCTTTAACGCTGTTGATGAGGAGACCGGTGAGGCTAATGGGGTGCCGGTGAATGTCCTGAAGAACCCCAAGTATCACGAACTACAAATGCTGAATTTCTTCTACTTCGAGCCGACAGACAGTCTCATCCGAGAGTCGGAACGTATGGCATCGGCGACCGCGGCGAGTCAGCAAATGCAACGCTCGAGGTTTAGTGCGCCGGCGAATCTGGGAACCGTGGGCGGGGGGCTACTCAATCCGGGCAGCATGGCCGGTGCAAGACGTGCTAAGAGCATCATGCTTTCACGGAATTTGGGGACAATGCGTAAGGCCAAGGAGGAGAAGTGGAAGGCTGCACAAGCAGATCCGAACGATGATATGATTCTGCGCATTCTCCGCATGAGGCCCGAAGCGACTGGGTACTTGAGAGATCGATCACGACAAAAGGAACGTCTTGCGGCGGCAGCGGCAGCGGAGATGATCGTACGACAGAGTCTGCTTGCCGGTGGTGGTAGAATGACCGGTCCAAGTGTGATGAGAAGATGAATGATTGGGAAGAAGCGATGGAATGATGAAGGGTGCGTGTCTCTTTTCCTGTTACAAGTCTGGGTCTGGGTCTCGTGATGCAAGTTTGGGGGAGGCTGGTACCGGTAACGCCGTAACGGTGACTGGTTCTGATTGAAGGATGGATCGATCTACCTACCTAAATACTACCTATGGTTTTAGGACTAATGAGTGATGGGCCATGGATATGGGTTTTGGCGTTGAGGGTCTCGGATGGATTACGGGATGACGGTATTAGCATGGTGCAGTGCACATTTATAGGGAGTAATCGAAGTTGATAATTGCATGGGAGCAGCGCAACAGTAGTTAGTTAGCATGGCAAGCATTTTTTTTTCTTTTGATACGATGGTTGAGTGTTATTCCGTAATGTCATTGACGTTATAACAATACGGTTTTAACTTTCAAGAACTTATCAGTTAAGGGACCACGCACGGCGTGTAGGAGAATGAGGAGGGCTTTGGGTACCTGGTAACCTTTGTCGATTTTTGATCATTTGACATACCCCGATCAAAGTAAAGGGGGAAAAAAGCTCTCTCCGTATCCTCGTTGATCGATCAAGGTTTGAAATATCAAAAGATGCTCGCGCGGGGAGCGGGTAACTTTGTCCATCATCATACTGTGGTTTGTGTGTACCAACCACGCGAGAACAATCCAAGTTGTAGCGTTAGCGCGGTGGGAAGAAGAAGAAGCCATCCTTTGATTGTGGTGTTCTGGCTTGGGGTATCTCTTCCAGTGAGTGCGAGCGACGGCGGAAATGGTGGCAGCTGGCAGCTGGCGGCTGGTTGCTGGTTGCCGGTTGCTGACGAGGTTGAGATGGGCTCTTTGGATCAGAGTCCGTGTCGTGGTAATGAAACAGAACCAAGGTAGTGTTGCCGCAGATGAAAGTGGTTTATATATGTATATGCATAGATGCGTGAAAGCCTCCGGTGGAGGAGACGATGTCGCCTTGTCGAGTCCCTTGATGTGCCGCCGCACAAGGAAAGGAAATAAGGCAGAGAAGAGAGCAAGGCCAAAACAAACAAGGAATATGATGTCGACTTTGCTGAACATTGTTGTCAGGACACTGCTTCGCATTCGGTTGTGGATGGGCCGATTCGGATTCATTTCCTTAGAGATCTGGACCCACCAAGACACCATCAATGCACTTGTTATTCAAGTGCTATCAATCAAACGCGTGGATTTTTCCATCAAATCACCAAGACCCCTAAAGTGATGTGCTCAAGTTAAAACTACATGGGCGGTGTAGTGGATGGCCATTCACTCAGGCGAGGAGGAAAGCAAAAAAAAAGGGCCCGCGTTCGAATCCCGACGACAACCCGACAATCGAGAATAAATTTTCAGCAATCTCCGCAGTCAGGGTTAGATCAAACCAGACAGGCTTGCCTGGAAGGCGTCCTGATTGTGAGAGGTGGAACAAATTCGGGGGGATACAACCAGAGAACCAGGTCAAGGTCGGGTCAAACCAGATGGGCTTGTCTGGAAGGCGTCTTGACCGTGGGCGGTGGAACAATTCTTTTTTTTTTTTCGTTGTTGTTGTTTTTTGCTGCAGTGAAGGTCAGGTATGTCTCGTTAATGCTTCTTCCTGTGACGCATCTTGTTTTCGAAAGTTGAAGGTTGAGACTTGAGGTACTCAGCGCTGGCGAGGGCAGAAGGTGCCAGGAAGTTGACGGGGACGAGGACGCGGCCAGCGTTGTAGCGGCACACTTCGAAGGAGGAGGTGAGCTCGCTAGAGGAATTGACCAGGCGCAGCTCAGCTGTGGTTTTCCCGAGAAAATCGTTTGTAGTAAGACCACGACACCATCAGAACCATTGCTCCTGAGACCTACTGTCAAGGCCCCCGATGGCGCTCTGGTCAAGCAAACCCATTGGAGCGTTCGATACGCTTCACTTCCCAGCACCATATTTGAACCCCATCTGACTCTCTCTCTCTCTCATCAGGCTCTTGAGCTTGGTTCAGCCGACCGTGCCACTCAATCCGCCCCAAAGCCAGCTGGGGCAAATTCCATGTCGTCGTCCTCCTCCAGCACGTCCTGCTGATCCCTGGTTCTTTCAAGCATCAACATCGCAGCTTTGTGTAGTTCGTCAGGATCACAAGGTGTCGGTCAACATCCTCCGCAAATGGATATAGCTAGTCTTTCTCGTCCTCGATAACGGAAAATACCCATTGGTCTCAATCTGGGTGCTGAGATCGACATACGAGAATCAGAAGCCACAGGTGTAATGCGATATGTGGTTTCGGATGAGGCCCTCCTGTATCTTCAGTGAGGGAGATGCCCTTGATGATCCAGACGGTACCACTGGGGTCCCGGAATTCCTGACATGATGAGCTTGATGACCGGTCTCCGATCTCCGGTCTTCGTCGGTCGGCTTGGGCTGCTGTCGGCTCGCGAGAGGGGGTATCTTCGACCCTTGTTGCTGTTGTTGGAGGGGCCATTTGATGGTTTTCATGTCTAGCGGTGCTCGAGTGTCGCCAGATGTACGGCCCTGGAGGGAAACGGTGGAGTCAGCCTTGGAAGCCGCCAAACCGGAGGATTGAGGATGGGTGCCTGGAATGGATCGGATCCATTCCACGGGCCTGCAGAGACGTACCTGTTTGCTTCGTGACCTCGTTGGGTCCAAACACTGGGTTCCTCGACCAGGATGGAAATCTCTCTAGATACCTGATTGACTGTTTCCTCCTTGCGGTGCCAGGTATCCCCCTGCTCCGGGCCACGCACCTCTCGTCGGCGAGACATTTCACTTCGACTGGAGGCTTCATGCCGAATTGTGGAAATTAGGTCTTGACATGACATGCCATCGCGTAGCAAGAAGGCTGTAGCAAGCAAGCAGTACCTGCGGTGGAAATCTTGGAAGGCCGGGGAGGAAAAAACATGTTTCTCCACGGTTTTGAAAATCCTTTGTCTCTGAGACAGCGGTGGCTCCGTTGTGGGTTGCTGCCTATCTGATGGGGTAATTGCGCGGTGAAACCATGGTTCATGGAACTCAACTTGGTGGTGGCTGTGAAAGGTTCACTAGGCCGTGAACTCAGATTCGAGATATATAGATGTATCGCCCATATGTTATGGACTTGGGGCTTTGCACACAGATCAAGGGCAAAACCACCGATCATCTCGCCAAGTTGCACTCATACTTATCCTCATCCAACATCTTGTCTTCCCGAGAGCCTGGTCCGTAAGTGGTGTTTGCTGCTTTGCGCCCCAGCCTGAACCAAGATAAACGAGACAAACGCGTACTGTAAGGCCCACTCACCGTGTTCCTCCTCTTTTCTCCTTATCGAATTTCAACAGACTTACCATTCCCCTTTGACAGTATCTTCCGCGATTCCCAATGGACAAAGCAACTGAGCCAAACAAACCCTCCAAGGGCGTCAACACGAACGAAGCCAAAGACTCATTCCCGTCATCAGCACCACCTCATTATGTAGAGAGAGCCAATCGTGCCTTTGAAATGGCCAAACGTATCTCTGGTGGCGCAAACCTACAGACCGTCGCAGGTGATTACAGCATGACAACCGAACAAGTCTGCCAGATGATTGCCATGTTTGCAGTGCAAGCAGGGGAAATCGGGAAAGCGACGCTTGGATCGGTACGTATTCTTGCTTTCCCGCCCTCTCATATTCCGTTGTCTGCCATTTTTGGTTTTTCTTTCTTTGACTGATTACACAAAGTGTTCTTTGACAACTGACAAGTCGTACGCACAAAAGCAGGAGACCATGAACACCATCATCGGAGAGAACAAAGAAGGTACAGGCAAGGCAATCCAAGATCAGTGCGAGCAAGTGAAGCAGCAGACAAGAGATGATGGTACGAAGGGATCCGACAAAAAAGAAGAATGGCATTCGAAGACGCAAGACGAATACCTTCCGGATGGACACGGAGGCTATGTCCGCAGCCATCCGAACCCATTCGTTATGTGGTACCCGTCGAAGAAACCCAGCAGTGGCAAGTAGAGAGTATCTCGTGGGTGTGCTGAGATGGAGAGAGATGTGGTTGTGTATACTCTGATGGCGACGATGATAGAATAGAATAGATGTCTGATCGATGAAGAGACGAGAAGAAAAGAGTGACGTGTTCATTGCCATATGTGGCTCGATTATTGCCGAGGCTGCGGCTGGTGCGTTCGCGAGGCTGAACTTCTCCTTTTTTCCCTTACATGCACACAGGCCTTTCTTCCCTCGACCTTCAGTTGAGCCCACGTCGCTTCCCACTCCGTTCGCCCTCGGCCCCTAATACCGGTACAACAGTGACACTTCGTAGAGTATGACGTGGTAACATCTATATTCAGCGTATTAAACATAGATTTCGCGTATAATATGGCTCCCATTGCGAAGGTTGCCTTGGGCAGCGAACAGTGATCCGGAAACGCGAGCTGCAATTTTGAATATCATTCGTTCTCCCTATGATCTCGACACTAACCAGTCATCCACTGCCTGAAATCCACACTTCGGAACCCATTCTCTTCTTGAATGCTCCCGTGTTTCTCAAACACCAGCGTTTGGAGCATCGGCATCTCTCTGGGCTGCAAACCGCGCAATGTCCTCGACGAGGTTCGAGGGTCGACCACGGACACGATATCTCCTCGCGACTTCTTCCACCGATATTCCATTGTTGATGTGCCTGATCATCCGGCGTATAACTGATGTCCCTACAACTTCACGGGTGGTCGTACTTTGCACACCGGCAGCCGGGTTTCGGGTGGGCGGCGGCGTTGGATTAGCATGGGTGTTGTCAGCCAGTGCTTCTGCGACTTCGTCCGATGTAATGGTCGTCCAACCGTCCTCATCATCCTGTGAGGCAGCCATATACGGGTCCAGGTGTATGGGAATTTGTCGGGTCTTGGCCGCTGTGGCATGGTGACCGGTGTTGACCGTCATGTTTTGAAGGTTGGAGTTGCCGTCTGAGCCATCGACAAGTGAAGGAGTGTGTCGATCAACAGAGTACGGGTACGAGTACGCTGTTGAATCCAAGGGCACTTGGGGGACAAGCTGTCGACGTTTTGCTTCTACCAAGCCAAGAGGAAAAGCAGTTAGCTTCAAATCCTACCTTCATCACAACATCGCCTCCATGAAATAAACGCAAAGGGGCACGTTAACACGTACTTTTCGTTTCGATACTCTCCAAGAGCATCTCAAAAGACATCTCATCGTCGGTGTCACTCTCATACTCCGTTCTCGATTCCACAACCTTTAGCTTTGGTCGTGGGGCTTCCGGGACCCTCTCTGTCGTCCAAGAGTTAGATATTTCCATGACAGCAACCCACACACGATGCCCACGGCTTACCTGACATTTCGGTGGATGCCATGTCCAGTGTTCAAAATCGAGACGGGGAACAAGAGAAGGAGGAAAGAATTCCTGTGATCTGTGAGAGTTGCCGCGACTTTTCTGTTCTCTCTTCTGGATACAAGTTGAAGCGGAGAGAAAGAAGTGAGACGGACAGGGGTATGTGAGGTGACGCAGCGGCAGCAGCTGCAAACCATCCGCATTCATCCTCATTCACCTGGAAGATTTTTGGACGTCACTCACAAACAAAGCAGAAAAGGATGCCACAATGCTGAACAAAGATATGTAGATATTGAGGCAGCGAACCGCATATCCTGAAGCAGCTGTCGGAAAAGGAAAGATTCTTTGAATAGAATCTACCATATGTGCCAGCGAATATGGACGATGGGGGACATTCGATCCCATGATACGTATCGGGTCACGTAGTCAGTAGAGGCTCAAATTCACACTCAGAGTATAGATCCATGATCCATATCCATATGGATATATGGATGTAGCTACCGATCACCTATCCATCATGCGCAGCAGTAGATATCATTCCAGTTCTCCACCTGACAGATCGAGGAACCGGACCATGGCTTCAGTTAAGTAGAGCGCCATTGCAAACGAGACTGGCTATCATATCACGTTCAATTCAACCATGGTTTACAAATCAACCGCGACGCAACACTACACAACACAACACAACGAACGTATCGCAACGAACATCGCGGTCCGCGGAATTTGAAACCGCGTCAACAGCAATCAGCGCCGACTCCGAGATCAACACCAACACCGTCATCCATCTTGTCTTTTTCATATTTGAACGCCAAGAGGCTTTCGACGCCAATCCTCCTGTGTTGAGGTCACCTACACCCAGTCTATCTACCACGGCTGCTCCACCGCCAACGCCCACGGCAACTGCCCCCTGACACACCCCTAAACAACCACAGAAGAAGAAGAAGAAGAAGAAGAAGAAGAAGAAGAAGAAGAAGGAGAAAAAGAAAGAAACCCACACAAACGAGCCACCCTACTCCAGACACAGAGCCCACTGGGCAATGGTTATGATCATATCCCTAACGGTAAACGTGTACCGTGCCGCCACGACCTCTGGAAATACACCCTCGCAAACCTCCCACACCATGCTCCCGAGGAGCCAAACCCGAACCTCTTCCGCCGAGGTTAGCCGGAGGTTGTTGTTACCGCTGCTGCCGTTGTTATTGTTGTTGTTGTTGTTGTTTTGGGTGGCGATCCCACGCTCAAACATCCGCCTCTCCGTGTACTGGGCGATGCGGACCACCACATCACGAGGTGTGATGCGGTGCTGGCGCGCCACGAGCGACAGGGAAACATTGTTGGCCATCTTGTGCACGAGGTGCACCGTCTCCGAATCCCACCAGCCGCGCTGGTAGTCCGTCATGACCAAGTACCCGTTGTCGACGGCGAGGCCCGACGCCCCAAGAGCCAAGTCGGCGCGGGTCATGGCAGAAGGTGCCAGGAAGTGGACGGGGACCAGGAGGCGGCCGCCGTTATAACGACACGCCTCGAAGGAGAGAGGGGCTATTTCGAGAGAGAAGACACAACAATAGTCAGCCATACATCTGCCATGTCCGCACACATAAACACAAACATCAAACCCAGGTACATTTAGGCACACGGTAAGCGAACAAAGTAACATTCCGCTGCGGTGACTGGTCGTATCAAGGCTAAAAAGATATAAAGGGGAAGACTTACTGACATCAGCCATATCAATGGCGCGAGGTTGAGCATAAACACGGCCCAGGCGGAGTTCTTGGATCCAGTCCATCTTGTTTGACATTTGTACTTGCGTGCAAAACCCGAAAGAAGAGAGAGGAAAAGGGGAGACAATTGTTTCGCGAACGGTTTTTTTTTTCGCAAGGCGACAACTGCTCTTTGGAAAATGTCTGCTGTTGAGAGCGTCGAATCTATCTTGCTAGACGAACCTAGAGAAGGGAGAAGAAAGTAGAACTATAGTGAGACGAAACGGAGGCTTGAAGAGAAGATCCAAAAGAGTTGTGAACAACAAGTGAATCGCCAACTTACCATCGCGACCTTTCGTCAATAGGCAAAATGGGCCGGTACAAACGAGACCGTGACGCGTGGTGACTGAAGACACCGGGGTGAAGATTGAGAGGTGTTTGTCGTATTTCTGCGGCACCTTGAGCAAAACCGGTCAGTAACGATTGCGTGAATGGTGTGCGTAAATCCAGCCCCTGCCATCTGAAATCTGAATTGCAACTACACTAGAATTGCGATTTTGTTTGTCCCAAACCACTGAGAACCCAAATGTCAGCGAGAACAAAACAACAACAACAACAACAGCAACACCCATACAGTCCGAAGACACCACGTCAAGCAATCCAGAACCACACCCGTTCAAAGATGTTCCTTGGTTTCACCTCTGGCCAAGTTCCTTCCATGCGGTCAATCTCAGCTTTTCCACTCCACAAGTCCATCTCCTTCAGACGCACGAATCTTGTTCCCTTGACGAACTTGTAACCCAAGAAGAGACAGGCAAAGATTGGCATATCGATATAAGGCGGGATGAATGATTTCGCGCTAAAGCGACCGGGGAAGAAACAGTCGAATCCGTTGAAAAGAGCGACAATGAGGCAGAAGCAGACTGAAAAGTAAGCCAGGAATGGCTGCAGTGGTGACTTGTATGGAAGGCTGGATCGTGCTATGCCGTTATGCCTGAGAGCATAGTAGAAGCGCAGGTACGTGACACAGATGCTGGCCCAGACGATCAAGGTGCTCACGGCCGACAAGTTCGATATCCAGAAGAAGACATCGGTTGAACGAGAGCTCACATTGAGGTAGACCAGCAGGCTGAGGAGGGTGGGCGCAGCCACGCATGCATAGGGCACACCGAATCGTTCGAATTTGAGAAAGGCAGGAGCTCTGTGATCAAGAGCAGTGGCGTATAGCACTCGCGTGGAAGCGTAGAAGAATGAGTTACCTGCTGACCATGCAGATGATAGAATGACGGCATTGATGATGGACGGGAGTGCTGGGATTCCTCCATTGACGATCGCAATCACGAAAGGACTTGCTGCTGCTCCCGGGGCCGAGGTGTCGATTGCATTCAAGAGTCGAGGGTCCTTTGCTGAGACACACATGCCAATCAATAGCATCGTGAGACAATAGAAAAGTGCAACTCTCCAAAACACTCTGCGTACAGCTTTGGGGATATTTCTTCGAGGGTTTTCCTGTTTAGTGTTACTCCTCAGTCCCAGACTTGGTCAAAAGAAACAGTACTCACAGTCTCCCCGGCTGCGATGACCACCATTTCACTGCCTCCGTAGCTAAAAGTCGCAGAGATGAAGATTTTCCAGAAGGCGAGGAAGCGACCCAAAGCCCCAGTTTCGAGATATTCCAGCATCGGACCGGGATGATCCCAATATCGAAAGCCAATTCTGTCGTGGTTTGGGGCGCCACCGAGGGTAATGATCAACATCAGCAAGATAAGCCCAACGATAGTGGTCAGCTTGATCGCACCAAAGACAAATTCGGCCTCGCCATAGACGCGCACTGGGAAGCAGTTTATGGCCACCATTGGTATGAAAAGAATGGTAATCCAAACAGCGTTGGACACCGAATTTGGCCAGTATCCTATCACGACCGCCGAAGCGGAGATTTCGATGGGCACTCCGATTGCAAGTTGATACCAATAGTTCCAGCCCTAAAATGCATCAGCTAATAGTACCAGGCTGAGGTGTCTTGAAGTTTGACGAACCAGGGTGAAACCCAGAGCAGGGTCGACAAATCGTGCCGCAAACACTGGGACAGCGCCAGGAAGAGGCAGGTATGTGGCCATCTCGCCGAGAGAGTTGATGACAGCATAGAGGTTGAATCCCGTGATGAGGTAGGCGAGGAACGTGGATAGCGGTCCAGCGAGACTCAAAGCTTGGCCACTTCCGACGAACAGACCAGTGCCGATTGCGCCAGATAATGCGAGAAATTGAACATGACGGGACTTGAGTTTGCGATCAAGAGTGCCGACATTTCTCTGCTCGTGCTCCACGTTCTTGAGATCCTCGTCGTCCGCGCGGGTGTCGACTTCAGGATCTGCTACCTTGCCAGGCTCTATGTCTTTAGGTGCAGGCTCCATAGCCATATCAGTATGCTAGATCGTGACAGCTGCGCAATTGAAAGAGCGCGCAAGTGTCATGAATCACAGGAGTGCGAGGTAGTCTTAACGGTCTCGTAGATCCTTTGATTGTGTGACTTCGGATATCTGCGTTTTGTGTACCACCAGAACCAGACAGTATTCCACCTTGTTGATGTTACGCTGCAGTGTCGGGGAATTAACTGGTTGATCCTTGGGGTAGACAGTCATTAGACTATTCAAAACTTTGGGTGGGCCTGTAAGCTGATAGGATCGGCGGAGCGACCGACTGGCTTGTAAAGAGGGGTCTCGCATCCCACAGGGGGCCGAAGGGGAAGATTTGACTGCCCCGGACTGAAATCCCTGTCCACAAGATTGATAAAGGGTATTATCTTGCGCCTTGGGTCACATTGATGGATAAATAAATCGTATAGATTTTACCATATCAGTCTTCTCCCAAGACAGTTCGAATCTCGGTGCCGAAGTATTCGTGCCAAGAATACTATATGGCTTCAGTGAACACAGTCTTATTCCAAAAAGCCAAGGGAAGGAATTCCTCTGCGTGCGAAGTCTGGAGGGGATGAATCACGTTCCGCCCTGCGAGAGTCGGTGCGGCCGTGGAGCGCCTTGTGCCGGGCTCACCAGGCGAGGCACGTCACCCTGATGCTCTAACTCCTGGAAGGATGTGTTCAAATATTGTCGCGCCTCTTGTACCGACCTTGAAGTCTGTGGTAACTGGTTTAGAGCCTTCGATAACGTGCTTCCCAGATACTTGTAGATCTCAAGCTTGATCTTTCCGTGCCTGAACTCTCGGCTGATGACCTTGTTCATGAGCTGTACAGCAGCAACAATGTGGTGAGGGTAAGGGTCGAGCTGGATAAACGAGGCTGTGATCGTGCGCGGACGTTCTGAATACTCGGTATCGTCCGCCGGCGCCCTTATTGTCAACGTAGATTCCAGCCCGAACTTGAGCGCATTGACAACTTCTTGCTCGGCATCGAGTCGTTTGTCTTTCAACAAAACAAGCAGATCATCTCGCTCAGCTGCCTCGACGGTATCCACCAGCATCAAGATGCCCAAGTGATAATGTAGCATGACCTCGTACCAATTCAAACGTTCCACTTGGCTGAGAAAATGGAGTCTTCGTTCGCATGAGCTCAACAAGGGCCGAAAGGCATCCTGGAAAATGTCCGCAGCTTCTGTGAAAGCGTCCCAGGCTTGCTTAACTTTGTCTTCCTCTTCGCCTTCGCGGAGTGCTTCTTTGAGGACCGCGATCATCTTGAATACGAACACCTTGCAAGCTGCCGCAGCTGCCACTATCTGAGAAGCAGTATCATCCGACACTTCAAACGTCGAAGTACGCCAGTCTTTAGTCCGCGTTTGGAAGGAATGAGCGCCCGTGCGTAAAACTCGCCATGCCGACTCGGACCCTACACCGTGCAAACCTGACGAGAGTGACGAGCGAAAGTTCAGGGTAAGGCTAGCAGAGGTGTCGAACTCTAACGCCCCCCAGTAAGCTCGGCTCTCGCCGTTCAAGAATGCCTCGCTGATTGGAAAACTCTTCGGTTTGGAAGTGACCAAGGAAGCCAAGCCAAATGATACTTTCGACCCGCTGAACTGACAATTACGTTGCCGCTCACGAAGACTTTGTACTTGTTGTAGAGCAATTTGAAGGCAAACTTGCCCTGTGAGGCCGTCCGTCTCTTCATCCTTGGACACTCCGACGGGGATCGGCGTCAGGCCAAAAATGAAAAGCGTCAGGACTGAGCGGTAAGAGACACGGTTGATGACTTTGAGCATGTCTCGCCGAGACGCGCGCCACAATTCGCGGACCAAATCCTCTTGAATAATATCTGCCCGTTCCTGCTTTGGTATCAGGTGCAGCCATTGTGAGGCAAACGATCGAATGGCCAGTTTCAGGGAGTCCTCAATCTGACAGTTTCTCTCAAGTCGCTGGCTGAGAGGCGTAGCCGCAGCATCTTCCAGGTTGCGTGCTTCCCAGTCCTGGTCTATGGCAGCGTCGAGTTCGGCAAAGAGCTTAGAGGGAGGGAACACAACATCGTAGCTAGGATCCCAACTGTACGTGCCACGTTAGGGAGAGAACTCTAATGACTGGAAAGCAGGAAGAATGAGTGCCATCAGGCTATAGCGTACATGAAGGGGCAGCAGTCGCGGCCCAACCAGAAACCAAATATCTGCTCCCAGCAAGACTCGAACACTTGCTGGAACCACGACCCGAGCGAAATGCTCACGCTGTCTAAACTCGTCTGCGGATTTGTCGGAGGGCTGTTGACTGGAATGGCAGCGCCCGAGTCGGACGAGTGAGTTCTAGCTTCGTGTCAGAAACGATCTGGACCTGTAAAGTTGCAATGCCCTACGGTGTATACCCTGCAGAGGGCTGGAAGATTGTACGAGCCGATGTGGTGGCAGCATCGACACTGGCGCGAACAGATTCCGGTGAGGATGAGGCTGCTCGTTGGGGTGAAGCATCAGCTTTGTTACGTCGAGGCTGTCTGGCCGGCTTCTTCACATCCTTGATCCACTGGCGTCACGAGTGTCAGACTTTTCGTTCAGGTTGCATTGAGAAGACGACGACAATCAACGTGTGATGTGAGTGTCAACTTGCCTCAAATGTACAGGGCCTCCGCCGACGAGTGCACCTTGAGCAAGACCCGTTCCAGTCGGGCTGAGCCGGGTCAAACCCAACTCTGGCAGCATCACAGGCTGCGTGTATCAATCAGCGGGTGCCGTGACTGTGCGTATGGCTAACACATACCTAGACGAGAAGTGCGGCATGCATCGCAGCTTGAGAACTGTGTCCTGCGTGGTCCCGGGATGTTGCGCATTCTAGCTGACAGGAATGCTGATTGCGCGGCAGATTGTCCGTACCATCTCACGCAGGCCTACGGATGCGTTGCAGTCGTGCCACATCAGTCTTGTCGGTCGAATTGATCCATTTTATTTCGCATATCGAACCACGAGTTAGGTGATGCCTCTGAGATCTCGCCTGTTAGACATCCTTGTAAGAATAAGAACCCCGGCGACCGGACGAGGAGGAAGATTTCGCCGAGCACTAACTAAGTTAGTTAGCCTGAGGTAATTATGGAGTAGCGGCCGCCGGACAGATGCGATGAAGAAATTCTTCTGTCTGACAATAGAGATGCAGCCTCAATGCCCGTACTTTGTATGCAGGAGGGTAACTGTCTAGGCCCAGCAAATCGATAATATTATTTGTCAGACAATCAACATACTCCGCAGAATATTTGGCCTCCGCCCCGTGTGTGGGAGAGAGAGACTAACAAGGTAGTAAAGTATAGAAGACTTTCGAACAAATGCCAGCTTGTCGCCAGGAAGCTGATTGTAACCCAGTCCTGATGAGATTCGACTGCGTAGAACATCCGGCATGCAGGGCCCCCTGTGACACGTTCCATCATACTAGGTATTCATTGAACATGGTATGGACAAATATGTATATACGAGTTCATTCATTCACTATCGTTTCTGTCATGTAGAGATCTCCCTGAAATAGACGTCCCAGTTCCATTTTGCCCGAAGCACTGCTAATCCTCCACTTTGAGTCTCTACCGTTCGACCTCTTCCTCGGTCATTACAGTCCGCAGTGGTAACAGGTTGATCCGACCAATCTTGTGGTTTCGGGTTGAGATGGTCATCGGCGTCGTCTACAAGGACAGTCGTCTCGCGGATGACTTCCATTGCTTCCTCATCAGGTGGTCCAAAAGTCCACCACATCCCAAAATGGCCATTGGTGTTTCTGGTGGCCAGTGCGGCTTGTGCATTGTGAGCAACCCATTTGTCATAAGCAGCGCACCGCGCAAGGTGGTAATCATAAACGTCCCGGTCAAAGTCACCAGAAGCTATCCGTGCAGCGAGGAACGACTCCTCTTGAGCCCATACTGGCCTGCAGAATTCCGACAGATGATGGAAGAAAATACCCTTGAAGGTTTGACCATTTTGACTACAATAGCCACCATGATCGCAAAACTCCTCCAGGACTCCGCTTCGCCCCAGGCCACTCCACGCAGAGTCGTTATTTGGCCAGCCAGTGGCACGAATCACGCTTTCAACCAGCGCATGACCATCGTCCAGGTAGCTTCGTGCTCCGGTAGCAAGCCAGAGACCCCTGCTGGCGGACAAAACGACACCCTGGTTATATGTGTAGACCATCCGATTGAGTTCATCGCACTTTCCGGTACCTGGGTTGATGGTACCATTGGGATAGCGGTGCCAGCCTGTAACGTGAAACCCATCTTGGTACATTCCCGCAGGGCTGCGCATCTGGCTCTCCATGAGCCATTTGTAGCTTTTGATCGCATTCTCCAGATATACAGGATCATGTGGCTGGGCGGAGCCTTCCGAACCTTGCGCCACGTAGGGTGAAGTGTTGTTATCTCCCGGAAAATACAGGTACATCCCAATGCTCGCGGCGGCGAACAACTCGTTAGTGATGGCGTTTTTATAGGGCGTGAGATAGGGGCTCCAGATCATGCCGCCACCGCACAGTGATTCATCCCAGCCAGACGCTGCCAAATCGTAAAAGATGCGAGCCCTATGCGCCGCCATAGGGATAAATTGCAAGCCATGCCATCCGTTATTGTGTCGTAGAAAGTCCCAATGTTTCAAGGAATACATTTCAGCAAATTTCAGGTTCTCGAGCCAGCCGAGAACCACCCAAAGCATGTCGTCGTAAGCCTGATTCCGTAACCCAAAGGCGTTCTCGCCAAAGTAGAAAACTGATGTTTGGGCAAAATATCGATCAATGATGTTTTGCATGACCAGCATATCAGCGCAAGTCGAGGTCGCAGAGGCGTCCAGCGAAGATACAATGCTTCCCAAGGTTGCCGACACCTGAGTTCCCATGACAGCAGAGGTCCAATCAATGGCACTTGGCCAGGTCCCTGAGAACAAGTCAAAGTAGGTGTCCTGCATTACCTCCAACGCATCGAGCATATCTTGTAGAGTAGATGGAAGATCATTCTTCCAAGATTTTGTAGGGACGTCTTCTCTTTCATCTGCGACCAAGCCTATCTGGCCGGGGGTTTCAACCGGAGAATCAACGACGGCCGCATAGGTATACCGTTCGACAGACCTCGGCTCCACAAGCCTGAAGATCTCGAGGAAGGCGAAAACGACAAGTGAAGGTCTCATTTTGGTGAAGATGTTGTATTCTCTATCATCGCCGTGGTATGCTGATAGTAGGAAATGGTAGCAGGGGGGAGGGGAAGCCCAGCGACCTCTCTCGAAGGTATCAGCGTCTCATCGCAGGAAAATGTCAAGTCTAAACCGCTGGACACCACGACAGGCAAGCCTCGTGATCGGACTCACTCGAATAAAAATGCCAGAGAAAAAGAGGCGGCGTCAGAGTCTTGCTCGATAAGTCATATGGCAGTGAAAAGCCGTCAGAAGTGCAGCCGTTGGAGGAGGGAAGTTGGAGAGGGGAACAGATGGAGGTTGCGTGGGTGTAAGCGCAGCCATGTCGTTGGGTGGAAAACTTGGTGGCGGCCCAGGGAACGCGAGATCTGGGCGTCGGAGCCTTGCCGACGCATTGTACCTGGGGCCTTTGTAGCCTATAGGTACCTAGGTAGAGCGTGCTGGGCACCTCTTTGGTGGGCTCATTAGCCTGACTTGGCCTAAGTGGTGCGCCTAAAACCCTGCGGCCATCACTTAGGATGCTAAGACAGTACCCCGGACGAACTTCCCCAAGCGCACGGGCGCTTCCAGCCTGTCAGTCAACGTCCGCATGACCACCAGCACGAAAAAGTCTTCCGTTTTCAACTTACACATATCGAAACTAGCCAACAAGGAGCCGCCCGAGGTGTGAGACATCGGAGGTCACTGTCATTCGAAGATAATCATCGTGGCTAACGTTCCTACGATCTACTGAGTCAGACAACTCTTGACGCTCATTGCAACCCCTCCTTGCCAACACCAGACAGTCGACCTGAGTTAAAGGGTCTGTTGCTTCGCCTGGACAAAGAGCTTTGCTGCGAACCCCAAAACTGTAACAAACTAAACGAGCATATGACTGTCAACCAAGTCCATGGTGAAGTCCGTCCCACGTCGGATTTCTGCAGGTTGGCAGGGACAGGGATACAGGATACAGGTGGTGTAGGAACAGGCTACTCACCGCTTGATCAACCAATTTGATGCCTCCAGGCAGAGGAGGATACAAATCCCCATCATAAGCGACTCTCAACAGCCTCCAGAACCCAGGCGCGCCACCTTGAGCCAGAGCGTCATTGAAGAATCTGTTTCCAAACCACCGAAATGTCCCGCGTCAGCCGCAACCCACTTATCACCGCTGACCTGGACCCTCGCGAGGATCCAACGAAACAGTTGAGAGAAGAGCTGGACGTCTGAGGATTGTAATGGACTTACAAAGCTTTCTCAAGACCCCAAGTCTCCGCTGGAACCGCCGTCTCTCTAAGCACGGTCTTCTCGCCCTTGAAGCCTTTCAGACTATGCACATGCCGTCGCGGCACGAAGAAGGCTTCATCGCCCGCGTTGAGCACCGTCGTCCCTTTCCCCTCGAGGCTAGCTTCGATGCGACCCTCCAACACGGTCAAGTATTCATCATGATACTGTTAGTGCCAAGGTCAGCATCACCATCTATCTCGCAGGTCGCCTGGGCTTCTGGGTTCTATCGATTGAGAACCAAAGTCTTGCGAAAGCGAGAGCGAGAGACAGGACAAACAGAGAGACCGACCTTGTGCCAATGCGGCGGGACCTGAAAGACATCAGACCCTTCCTCGCCATCGTACACCGTGTCCATGACATACTTCTCAAACGCACCATCCGGCTTCTCCTTGTCGACCTTGATGTGCATGACACAGCCCTACTCGTCCTCGGTACCCCAGATTAGCAAGTAGTGCTGCCGACTAGATGTGGCTTCTGGGATGGGACTGAGGTAAGCAAGGGGTCAAGAGCTCGTACCTTGCTTATGTCCAGTGTCTTGATAGTTTCATATGACGCCGCCATCGTGAACCATCAAACAACTTTTGTAGCAGACTCTTTGAGAGAGAAAACGAAGGCGACGAAGTCATGAATCAATGACTTCTTCTTCTTCGTCGCCTTCAAGCTGACGTTCCCGTCTGAGGACACCCTACGTAGGGATGAAGGACAGTCCGAGTTATCTTATTTGCTCGTGCAGGCGATCACGGGTTTCTGCCTGTGGCTAACGGTTTACCCCTCTCTTCACCTTTCCATATGCCGGAGACATGAAATACTACTCGTAGAAATATCTCGCTTAGACGGCCAAACGGCAGGAACCCGGCTGCCTAGGCTTACAGAGTATATGATGGAAACTGTATGCCTGCCTCGACGCGGTCTTTCGATGTGTAGCTAGCTTATTGACCAACCCCTAAACAAAAGTACACGGCCGTGTACTGACCTCAAACTCCAGACCCACGCCTGCGGATTACGAATACGAGTACGACTGCCGATGCCAGGAGAAATCACCGTCTCGGTCGAAAAGACAGTTACCTGTGAGGGGAGGAGGAACTGGAAGAGGAAGAGGAGAAAGTGTTGTCATGTTGATCTTGATAGCTATTCTCGTTCTTCGACCGCCCTGACTGTACGCCTGTTGTCAGGGAAGGAGACGGGGAGACGGGAGTGTATTCCTGAGAATCCCGTACGAAGGTACCAAGGTACCTGGTAAGGTGATAATACTGGGCATGACCAGCACCACCTTTGTGGGATACACACCTTCCTGCGCACGCTCTATCGAGAAAAGTTATCGTACGGCGCCTCATCCTTGACACCCTCCCAGATCTCGTCGATGCCCTTGCACGCCTTCTCGCTCAACGGGCCCTTCTCCAAGCCCTTGAGGGTCTCTTCGAGCTGCTCCTTCGTGCTCGCGCCCACGATGATGGCGTCCCCGTAGCTCTTCTTCAGCGGCGAATTGAACGTGACCCAGCGGTAGGCCAGCTCGGCGCGGGAGCACCCTTCCTCGTTGGCAATGACCTCCCACTTGGCCAGGGCGTTCAGGAACGAGTCCTTCAGGTACATGTCTCGATACATGCCGCCGAGGGCCTGGGCGCTGAACCGGCCCGCGCCGTCCTTGACCTGCTGCGCCGTCTTGGTCAGGAACCCGCCGGCCATGGGCGAGTAGGCGTAGAAGGCGATGCCGAGCTTGCGGAGCGTCGGGAACAGTCGCGTCTCCTGCAGTCGCGTCACGGGGCTGTAGTTGCCCTGGTACACTGTCGGGAGCACGTAGCCGTTCGCCTTGCACGCGTCGTAGACCTTTTGGACGTCTTCGGCCGAGTAGTTGGACAGACCGAAGCGCTTGAACAGCCCGAGCTTGTACGCTTCGTTCACCCCGGCGACCGTGTCTTCGATCGGCGTCTCTTTGTCGGGGGCGTGAATGTAAAAGATGTCGACCTGTAGGGGGAACGGATCAGCACAACCAAAACCCAAAAAACATGCCACTTGAAGTGATGGACGGTAAAAGTCAAAGTTGAGAATGAGAGTCGGCAAGACCCTGAGGTTCTGGGGTACTGAGGTACCAAAGCACTGAAGGAGTGGCATCCTGACATACCTGTTCCACAGCCAGCTTCTTGATACTCTCCTTGGCCGTGCTGACGATTTTGTCCTTGGTGGTTGAGCCAGGAGTCCATCCACCGAGCCACTTGGTGTCAATGGTGAATCTCTCTCCGGCCTTGAGCTCACCGAGCTTCTTCTCGGACTCGCCATAGAGCTGCGCAGTGTCGATGACCTTGGCCCCATGGGCCTCGAGAATATCAAACACCTCCTTGATGGTGTCATCGTTCTGCCAGTACTCATAGTTGCCTAGGGCAGCCCCACCAAAGACGACCTTGAGTCCGTCCGATGCCATGGTCTAAAGGTCAAGTTGGTTAATTGGACGACGATCGTGGTCTGCTTGAAGTAGAAGGAAATATAGTATTGCGGGGGGAGGGAAGTAGTAGGTACGGATGTGCCTCGGAAAACAGGAGAGCGTCCAGCGGCAAGTCGTTAATATACCTGAACTGCCGCGAACTGTCAGTGATGGGGCAGTCCAGGTACAAAGACGCTGGCTTAGTAATGGATCTTGATAGTGAGATGATGAAATACGAGGCGAGTGGAGAGAGGTGGAGGTATTAAGTCCGCGGCCTCATCCCCGTTGCGCATACAGTGCTGTGCAGAGGAGCTTACGGCCTTTACTCGTAGAACTTGCTCGAAAACTCAATCGAATCGTGTGTGCCACATACGTAGTTAAGCCTGGGCAGGCAGTATAAAGGTGTGTAATCGTTTATTGCAAACAAACGATGTCCATTCTGCATCACGGGCGTACTCCTTAATAGCGGCGAGAGATCTTTTTATCGCGTCGACGAAATATCCGTTGCCATTTGGGGCCTGGCGGATCGGCGAAACAATCTCTCCGGCCAGCTCGGGGCATGGGCACAAGGCCCACAAGACTGCGGACAAGGCTGAAAAATGGGCATCAGGCTGGCACCGCGCGATGATCAGCATAACTACACATGTTTGGGCTTGACAAGGGTCGAGTCGCTGCTTAGGTTCGTTCTCACCCATGATGCTTGTGCCACACACTCAACCTCGCTCCCCATCTCGAGTAATTCCTAGCTAGGTAAAAGGAGTCCGTGTCTCACGTACAGGTCACGACTACGGCCACGACCACGACCACAGCCTCAATGCGGATTGTGCTTCCCCAAATCTGTTCCATCCATGGCAACAACGGCGCCTACAATCTTCGAGCTCTAGCGCACGCAGGTCCCTTTGTAGCGATTTCTTCTCTCTTCCATTGAACCTTCACCATCGTCAGAACGGAAAGCCAGCGGTGTGTGCGACGCTACGGCCACATACAGTGCCCCAACTCAGGCCATACCCATATGCAAAATCATAAGGTTGTTCAAATTGTAACTTCTTCGCGATATATATCTTCGATTATGCCTTGTTCTGTAAGCACCCGTCGGCCGCAGGCCAGCGGCACGTCTTTCCCAACCAGGTTCGAGTTCCATCGGTTACGAGCATTGGTCTGACAAAGACCACCACGTTGGTGATTTCTAGTGAGTCTATCCAACCGCCGGCCAGGGCTGGGCCTGGTTCCAGGTCAGCCCGCTGGCGATATGACCTGCAGGACCAAGCTTAGCTGCACAAATTGTAGACGTCTTCCCTCCCACTCTCTTTCGAGGCAACCGTGAAAATCCAAATCGCAATAAGTGAGGACGATAAATGAACGCGTGTGATAGGAAAATCGTCATGATTCGAGGAAGAGTGACCTGAGTACATCAGCCTCGAGACAGCCAGTGTACCCACGTGAGCTGGATCTGTCGCCTTGCCTTGCCGCTAGTGGTCGCGGTTATGTGGTAGTCGCTTCGTGGCTCCCTGGTAACTTTGTGGTGTATTGTTTTGTGGCTTCCCTGGATTGTATCATCCATTAGCAGTAGTTGAGGTTGTGTCAATCTGTCGCAGCCACTTACCTGATTGTTTCCTTACATGTCTGCTATCATTGCCGGGAAAGGCTGTGCTCCTGCTATCACCGCTCCATGTTGCTGTTGAAATGTTCATGTTATTTTGAGGGGCCGAGACTGTGCGGCGGTGGAAACTGTCCTCTGGGAAGGTGTCTCTCATGAATGTCTCGAAATTTGGCAATCTTTGTGTCTGTGTTGCTGTGGTTCGCACCGGTAAGGTTTGTGGGCCACTACTAAACTTGCGGGATTGCTCTTGTGGCGACATGGCAGGTCCACCTGTGTTTGACGGCGGCGAAGGGCTGTTTGATGAGGCTGTGGTATCACTAAGCTCCGAATCGTCATCCCCGATCTCATCGGGGCGACGTCCCTTTCTTCCCGCTTTCAGGTGGTGATGATGCAGACGGCATGCCAGAACTGTTTTATCCAGTCGCCGTGCAATCTCTTTGTAGGGAATTTTCTGAATTCGGCTTTGGAACAGATACTTTTCCTGGTGCAACGTCAGCAAAATGATTCCTGAGGTTGGGGTTGGGTCCAAGGCTTTAAACCTCTTCCTCCGTCCATCCGCGTATTAACCTGCCCTGACGAACCTTGTCCCTCCTGAGCGGGTGCGACGACCTCGCGGGTGCATCTGCGTTGCCCGAAGATGACATCGCACATGGCAATGCAAACGACAGTGCTGGGATTCAATGAAGAGTGACTGCGAGATTGAAGTTGTGTGAGGAGGGGAAGTGCGTAGCAAGTCAGCAGGGAGGTATCGGAGAAGCTGTGGCTCTTGTAGCAAACTAGAAGAAAGATTCTTCCGCAATCCTTTAACTCTCTGGATCCATACGCTGTCGACAGCAGTCAAGGCACAATCAATCTGCCTTGTCGAAATGCAGAGGCGGAATCCATGCTGGCTCAGTTTATATGCGACCATTCCGCGGCCATAGTGTTGAAAAAAAAATCATTGAATTGATTCACTGTCTAGTTGGATCGCCTGGCTGTTGTGAGGGGACGGGTAGCCGCTGATACCGCACAGGGTGGCTTGCATTAGATGTCTGGAGTCACTATACCTACACTGGCTATAGGCATGACAGGGATGACAGGCGGAAGAACAGTGATGGGGTACGAGGTGGATTCATGCTCCCAACCCCATGAGCTATATTATGGCCGTCATCAGAGCAGCCCATAGCTTTCCTCCTGGGCTACATGGCTCAATGGGCCGGCGATGCCGAAGCAGCGACAGTGAATAGTTCGATAGACTAACCGGTAAGCATCACAGCCATAGAACCTGTCTTGGCTGGTAAACGCTCCTGCAGGTTCTCCGGCCCGGCAAGGTAGCTGTCGAATACACTCAGCTCGACCGGGAATGCGTACCACGACCGGCAAACCATAACGCTAGTGTCCGTGAGTTCTGCGTGAGTCTCCCGAGATGGAGGGTCGCCATGCTCGACAAAAGGCCTGCGCAAGTCTGCCTTAAAGACCTGGTCGGCGAATTGGGGGGCATACTGTGGTCCAGCAAGCGCCAAAGCCCGCGGCGGCTAATTCAAAGTCGGCGGAGCCACAGAAGAGGGAGAGAGTACCAGCAGAAGCGACTGGCTAGAAGTGCTGTAGTTGTTGCAGTACTGCAAATCTCGCAGCACGAAGCCACAGCCGATCAATAGTCTCCTTTGGGCACACGTTCCGCAGGTGGAAAGGCTGGACAAGTGCCCCTTTCATGCACACTCGAGCATCCAAAGACAGGGTATGCCGCATGGTAACGTCGCTTCCTTCTCGGCAAGGCCCTTTCTTCCGGCTGTCGCAACAGGAGCAGACGATCATGCGCGTTGACCTGGTAGAACGAGGAACTGGTACTGCCCAACTTGTGTTTGGCACCGTGACAATCTTCATCGGGAGGAGTCAACGACCATCTTGGGTTTCTGACGCCCTTTGTGAGCTCGGTATATCTGTAGACTCGGAACAATCTGTGTGCACGATGCTGGTTGCGAGGTGTGCCTGGTGAATTTCGTATGTCAGTGTTTCCTTGACGAGGATGGAAGTCAGGTGCAACGACGGAGACGCGTCGGAACGTCGAGCTGACATCGGTAACGCGGCTGGCTACGAACTGGTCGCATCTTGGGGGCGGAAAGTGGGCCATTCCTAATGACCACGCCACCATGTACTCCTGCAGCTCAACAGCCTACCATGTCAATCTTCCGTGTGATAGAAGCGCAGGTGCATGCATCGTGTACTCTTCCGACGACTCTGGCGCCGAGGGCCAAAAGACCAAGCTTACCAAAAGTGGCAGACACTGTGCGAAGTGAATCGTCCATCTCCTAGGCCACGGTGAGAAATATTCCATCTCGCGCCTTTGGGACTGGCAGGATTTGTACAATGGCACGGTGCGTCATGAGCAAGACCTTCTCGAAATATATACAACTGGTAAATGTTTATGTCTGGAGGAAAGGTCTCCATAGGCATAGAAGCAGACCCAGTAGCCTGAGATAATGCCGTCCTTCGGTGGAAACAGTGTGTCTCATTGACAGCGTCACAAAAAGCGTTATTACAGTCACGCAGTTGACTGTGAGCGGTATCTTGATGCGACCCGAGCCCTCTTTGCCAGCCTTTATCGACGCATCACCTTGAAATCTCCTCCCTGAGTTGGGCATAGTCTGCTGTAGAAAGTGCCAGCGATCTCAACTCGAAGAGGGTCGCGCAACTGGGCGAGATATCGGAATCTCAGACCTTTCGTAGTGCATGCTTCGTCCCGGCAAGCTAAGGGGTTCATTCAATCCCGGTAATACCAGTCTGGATCTCGAGATTCGGGCCTTGCACAGGGAAGAGGATGGCAATGCGGTAAGCTATAATTGTGCACTCTTGCTGCATTAAGTAGCATATAAGGCACTGTCACATTGGGGAGAGCCGTATGGTCGTGCCGCGTGAGTAGTGCGGAAATGACCGCATGATATTTTCTATCTGAGCAGCTGTCCTCAATCGACCTGCAGGATCAATAGCTTCTGCGATCAATGGTGTGCTAAAGTAACGACGGTCACGGCTGTAACCATGGTGGTTACAACAGGCTCTGTGAATTCGGTCATGGAACTCGTAGAGATCGAGTGCTTGATGAATCTGCGTAACTAACCCGCATGCAACCGGGTAAGAGCTGTCTGTCCACAAGTCGTAGCGTGATGCAAGAGTGTGCCCATCACATAGAAACGGCTTCAGGACTGGGGCGAGTCGTGTATGGATAAGGTCATGGACACGATCCAGCTCGAAGCGTCGCTAGTGCATGGAGGCGTGAGATGCTCATAACACAACACAAGTCCATTCCAGACGACGGTAAATGGGGTGCAAAGGGGAACGAAGTAGTGACTGAATACGAGGGAGAAGCAATCCAGGAATCGTGAGAGAGACCTCTCGAGATGAATGTGGGTGATGGCCATCTGAGATGCATACGAGTACGAGCAGTTTGTTGGGAAGATGAGAGGAGATGAGTGCCTGGATGCGGCAAGTGTCCCGAGACACGTACGTTCTCCTATTATGCCTCGCCAGCAGGCTGCGCAATTCCACCACCTGCGATGAGGAAACGCAGTTGACACGTCGTTCCTTGTGATTTCTCCCTCGTCTTTGCTTTTGATTTCTGGCTATCCCGTGGCCTTGTCTTATCTGAGTGATATTTACTTCAGCTTCTCCTTTCTCCGCTACGTAGGCACCACTTGGCCTCAGCTGGTGATGTCTACTCGGCAACGATGAGTTTCAACGTCTTCCGTATCTTGGGCGATGTCTCGCACACGGCCTCAAAATGCATTCTTATCTGGGCTATCCACTCGAATAAGAGCGCCGAAGGTTGGTGTCAACGGTTTTGGGAATCGAGCACATGCATCTGACTTGCTATCAACCAGGCGTTTCACTCCTTACCCAGATCCTCTACATTGCAGTCTTCTGCACGCGCTATCTAGACCTCTTTTGGGTATCGCCGGCTTTGTCGTGGTGGAATTTTGTGCTCAAGAATTTCTATATCTGGTCGTCGATATACATCATTGTGTTGATGACCAGGGTATATGCCAGGACACGTGAGCAAGAGAAGGCTTGGAAATGGGGTGCATGCGCAGCTGGTGCATCATTGATATCCGCACCGTTGATTTCCCTCATCTTCAACGGCTGGGCACGCAGTACTTTCAGCGAAGTGCTCTGGACTTTCTCAATCATTCTCGAATCTGTCTGTGTCCTTCCACAGCTGATCCTCCTGCGCCAAACAGCAGTGCCCACGGTGATTGACTCTTTCTATTTGGTCACCTTGGGTTCTTACCGAGCATTCTATCTTCTTAATTGGATCTACCGCGCGTTCACTCCATCGAAGCCCGAAGCGATTTCGGTCATCTTCGGTATTGTTCAAACGGCATTCTATGTTGACTTTGCGTGGGTATACTGGACGAGACAAAGAGTCAAGTTGAGAGGTGGCGGCGTTGTGGATGCCGACGATCTGAGAAAAGGATGGTTGGTCAATCGCGTCTTCAAGCAAGGTGAAGATCCGACAGAAGAGGACGAAGCCGAAGCAGGCACCAGGGAGCCCAATGGAAATGCGCAACCAAAAGTCAATCGCTGGGGCCCACGTGGCATCTCCGTAAGTAGCCCCCTCTTATGCTTGAGTGCTGCCCGAAATTTGTACCTGTCTCTAACTGTGACTTTCAGATTTCCGCCGACGACACATTGCACGAGCATGACAAAGGAAAGAGAGCGGTGAAGAGCGGAGATCCCGAAGCTGACCCAATGCTTACTTCAGGCTCGTTCCAACCGGACCCGGAATCGTTTGAATTCGGTGACGAAGACGACGATGCTCCTCAGTTGGACGATCCAGGTAGCAAAGTGCTGAACAGCAACGAGGAATGGCGTGCTAAGTCCCCCTGACGCAAGTGGTCTCTGTATAATATTTGGGTCAGCTCTTGAATGGGTTTGATCCTTTTTCCAGTGGGTGGCCATCTAGAAATTGTTTACGCGTCCATCCAAAATTGGCAAGACTTTTAACTTTGCGGTACATGTACTCCGGACACGGGCTATGTGTGGTTGAGGCATGTGCCTGTTGCTGCATTGCGTCAAGCCATAAACTTTACATGATAATAACCGCTGGGAAAGAATCTGGTCGGTTCTTCGGCACATTCACAGGCTCCTCTTCTGAGTCAACATGGCGTCGAAGAGGGCGAGCGCTTTTTATGAAGGAAATTGTGCATCAGCTTCGAAAGCCTCAAGAAAAGGACGGCCCCCGGAAGGTCCATGGAATGATGTCAGCAGCTGATCTTAAAGTCCCCTAGTTGGGACTGAGCCAATGAAAAGACGTAGCGAGCAAATAAGAATGGCACTAGATTGGAACTAATGCACAATGACGGAGACGAAGCTTCTAGAGTGCTAATGCCGAGCGAGTAGATGCAACCACCCATGCTGCCATGAACCTCTGTACTTGCGGAGTCCGGATATCAATGCATCGATTACGGCACCAGCATTCCAGGTGCCCAAGGCGCGGCCTATTAATACAGTATGGATATCAAGAAGCAATTTTCCTCCATGTGTCCCGTCATCCGCCACACTTCATCGTCGCAGAACGCTTGGAAGATTCTTGCCGCTGAGTGTCGCCCTCGAACACACCCACGACATGGCATCTCCTGAGTCTCCAGTCAACGCCTCGCTGTCGCGTTCCACCACGGCGTCCTCTACAGGTTCGACGACTGCATCGGAGGCACAGGAAGTCAGTCAGCGACCGAGCACCGATCCTGAAAAACAAGCAGACCAACAGCACTATCACCACCCCAAGGAAAAGGTCCCTCATTGGAGATTGGTTGCCAGTCAAACTCTGATCACAGATGCTGTTGCCAACTATCCATACCCGGGGTCCGGCACCGAAGATGATCCTTTTGTTGTTCAATTCATCCCGAACGATCCGCGAAATCCCATGGAGTTCTCACAAGTCAAGAAGTGGTTCATAACAATCACAGTCGCCATTGCCACCCTTGCCGTCGCATTTGTCTCTTCTGGCTACTCGGGCGGAGCAGACGAAGTCATCAGGGGTTTCGGGGTCAGTGAGGAGGTTTATACGCTTGGGATTTCCTTGTTCGTGTTGGGATTCGCCATAGGCCCCCTACTCTGGTAAGTGACTGGTGCGCTCTGTGGAGGGCCACTGCCAAGACGTCTTTCGTTCGAGCTCCTGCTGACCGAAACCAAGGGCACCTTTGAGTGAACTTTACGGACGACAAATTCTTTTCACTACTACCTATGCAGTCCTTACCGCTTTCAATGCTGGTGCAGCCGGTGCACAGTCGATGGCGACCCTCATCGTCCTGAGGTTCCTAGCCGGCACTTTTGGGTCGTCTCCTCTCACGAATGCCGGCGGTGTTATTGCTGATATGTTCGAATCTAGACAAAGAGGTCTTGGAATGTGCATTTTTGCAGCCGCTCCCTTCTTGGGTCCAGTAATTGGACCCATTGTTGGTGGCTTTGTAGGTGAGACGGTTGGATGGAGATGGAACGAAGGTGTCATGGCTTGCTTCACCGGTGCACTGTGGATCTTCGGTACCTTGACCATCCCAGAGACCTATTCGCCGGCCATCCTTTCTCGTCGCGCGGCCAAGCTTTCCAAGATGACGGGAAAGGTGTATGTTTCGGTGTTGGAAAAAAGACAAGGCAAGACGACTCCAAAGGCTGCCTTCCAGAAGTCGTTGGCTCGGCCGTGGGTTCTACTATTTATGGAGCCGATTGTGCTCCTCCTCTCCATCTACATGGCAATCATCTACGGCACTCTCTATCTTTGTTTCGGAGCCTTTCCGATCGTGTACCAAGAGGGCCGGGGATGGTCGCCGGGCATTGGCGGGCTCGCTTTCCTCGGTGTTGCCGTAGGGATGTTGTTCGGCGTTGCTTACAGTATTATTGACAACAGCCGTTATGCTAAGGTTGAGGACGAACATAATGGCGAAGCTCCTGCCGAGGCACGACTGCCTCCGGTAATGGTGGGGTCCATTGCTCTTCCGATCGGCCTTTTTTGGTTTGCATGGGTAAGGCCTCCACTTCGTTTATGTGATGGCTCGGACACTGACTTTACGGCTTAGACAAACAGTCCTTCTGTTCATTGGATTGTCAGCATAATTGCCACGGCACCATTCGGCTTCGGCATGGTGTTGGTCTTCTTGGGTGGTATGAACTATCTTATCGATGCGTACACCATCTACGCAGCATCAGTTTTGGCGGCAAACTCGGTTCTTCGATCCCTCTTCGGAGCCGCCTTTCCTCTCTTTACCTCACAAATGTTCCATAACCTGGGAATTCACTGGGCTTCCTCAATCCCTGCATTCCTGGCGTTGGCCTGCACACCTTTCCCGTTTGTTTTCTACAAGTATGGCGAGTCGATCCGGATGAAGTGCAAATATGCAGCTCAGGCGCACGAGATCATGGCACAGTACCGGAAGCAGCAGAAGAACATCGAGGAAGAAGAACGTGAAGACGCCGAGGAAGAAGAGAATGAGAAGGCCGGCCAGGCTGGCGACCGGGGTGTGAATCGTCCGTCACAAGACACTCGTGCCAGCCAACGGCGAAGCATGGCTCGCGTTAGTACGCATGGGTCGCGACGGAGGAGTCAGGACGAGTTTGGCAGGGTGTACAGCCATGCCAGTCATCAATATTTCTAGACATTTGGACGGGTCGTCTTTTTGTGTCTTGTTCCTGAGCGTTTCAGCGAGAACCATTGCATATAGATATAGATGCCTAAATAGGCCTCCCTTGCACTTGATTTCAGTACTGTATAATTAGAATCTAATGGTTTGCTCTCACGTGGTTATATATATATTCAAGACAATAATCCGACCTTGTTTCGACCTCGTCGTCTTCCATCAACCGCTCGGCCGCCTGGCGCCCCGGGTCTCTTTTTGTATATCGCGCTAGTCCCTTTACGGACTGGGTCCATTTCTTTTGACTCCACCAAGCCAATGACCAGTCTCGTCACTTCTCCCTCTGCTCGTCCTCACTCGTGCTATACGCATTGAAGTGGCTCCTGTCTTGTCATCTTTCGGTCATCGACCACCATCGGACATAGTCGCAGTACAGCACATTAATTCCATCATTTCCATCATCCCCTCGCCGTTAAAACCTCTCTCTCGGATCGAATCCCCCGGACGACTTTTTCCCAGGTCATGCGATCGTCGCCCTTGTTAAGACGACTTTGTTCAATTGGGTCCCAGACATTATCATCTTTATCATCATCATCATCTTCTTCTTGTTCTTCAAGCAAGACAATCCATCAGACTACCGCTCGCACCATGGCTCACCAAGCGCCCACCAAGTTGGACATCAACACGTCGTACACGATGAACTCGGGCTACAAGATCCCGGCGCTGGGCTATGGCGTCTACCAGACTCCGGCGGCCGAGTGCGAAGAGGTTGTCCTGCACGCGTTCAAGACGGGTTACCGACACGTGGACTCGGCGCGAATGTACCGCAACGAACAGCCGTGCGCCGACGCGATCCGGGCGTCCGGCCTCAGGCGCGAGGACGTCTTCTTCACGAGCAAGGTGCCGCCGAAGTCGATGAGCTACGAGGCGGCCAAGAAGGCCATCGAGTCGTCCTTCGCCCAGACCGGGCTGGACTACATCGACCTGTACCTGATCCACGCGCCGTACGGCGGCAAGGAGGGCCGGTGCGGCGCGTGGAGGGCGCTCGCCGAGGCGCAGAGGGCGGGCAAGATCCGCTCGATCGGCGTGTCCAACTACGGCGTGCACCACCTGGACGAGCTCGAGGAGTACATCCGCAACTCGGGCGTCGGGGGCACGCTCGACGTCGGCCAGTGGGAGATCCACCCGTGGCTCCCGCGCAACGACATCGTCGAGTGGGCCCGCAGGCGCAACGTCGTCGTCGAGGCCTACTGTCCCATCGTCCGCGGCGAGCGCGCCGACGAACCCGTCCTCCAGGCCCTGTCCAAGAAGCACCGCAAGACCTGGGCCCAGGTCCTGATCCGCTGGAGCCTGCAAAAGGGCTACGTCCCGCTGCCAAAGAGCGTCACCCCGACCAGGATCGAGCAGAACGCCGACGTTTTCGACTTTGAGCTGGACGAGGACGACATGAAGAGCCTGGACATGCCGAACTCGTATGAACCTTGCGCCTGGGACCCCACCACCAGCCACGAGTGACGTACCGTGGTCCGTAAGTCTGGCGCGTTGACATTGTCCATTCATCACGGTCGCCTTGATTCTACGAAACATTCAATCCAAAATTACGTTTTGTTTTGCCCGGACCGCCAAATCATAGCCCTAGCTAAAAAAAATAACATTGATTCATCATTAATCTCCAAGGACGGTGACGATGTACTTGCTTTGTACCATCTAGGGCGGCATTGTGAAGTAACCGAGTTCTAGGATGCTGGGAGCTCGCTGGGCTTCTACCACTTGAACAATCGGAAACCCGCTTTCTATCGAGGTGCCGCATCCACTCGTACCTGACTCGTACCTCGCTGATGTTAGCTGCAGCGTCCACAAGGGCATAAGGTCTGCAGTAATAGGCTCCCGTCTCACAATATGGCGCCTCGAGTTCGAAACGATGTACAAAGAGTGCGGTGCTGCATATCCCAATATGGCATCCGCACACAACAGTCTAGAGGACTCTCTCTCTCTCTCTACAAAAACTACGGCATAGATGGATACCACAAGAGTATGACTAATAAATCCGAGGCCCTGGCATGACTTTAAGAAATAACGACATCCGGTTCGAGACTTTCGACATGCATCATCTTACATACTCAAAATACCAATACCGATATATACCGACACATACTCGTACTCATACTCATAACTCGTCACGCCCTCGTTATATCGGGGTCAGGATTTGAGAGTAGTTTCCTCTCCTATCTCCTCATAGCCTTCTCACACCTCACACACACACACACACACACATACCGAGACCCGTGCATGTGCACGAGCGCGTCTCTACGGCAATCCCATCCTCTTTGCCGTTCTCTCATTCATCCCCCAAGCACTGCCACTGCCATCGTGCACCGTTGTCCTGCGCATGTCCCGCTTGTACTTGCCCTGGAAAGTACCCTCTCCAGCCCGATGCATGACAGACGTGTTATCCCAACAGATCACGTCCCCGACATCCCTCCACTCGACGCTCAGCACGTACTTCTCCTGCGTCGCGTGCGCAAGCAAAGTCTCGATCAACTCTGTGCTCTGTTGCTCCGGGACCCTCGTTCCGTCCGTGTACTCGAGGTGGTGCAGGTGGTTCGCAATGTACAGGTTCGTGCGGCCCGAGGGCTCGTGGAGCTGTACGATCTTGTGCCGTCCGAACGGGTACGCCTCTGGATCCATCGAGGCCAAGTACTCGGACTCCGGACAAGCCTTGCGCCGGCTGTGCCAGAGACTGTTGGCGCCGACGTAGTCGTTTTCGAGAAGCTGAGTCTTGAGCGCGTCAGGAAGCTCGTCGAATGCGGTGCGTGTGTCGGCGAATTCAGTGTTGCCTCCATTGCCTGGCGGGGGGAGTTCGTGCGCCCGTAACAGCGAGTATCCTGCGCGACGGGGGTTGAATGCAGAGTCGCAGTGGAAAAGGGAGTTTCCCTAAACACCCCCCCAACACCAGCCACTGATCAGAAATTTGTACTGTATTTGTCCTGTACTATAAAGGGGGAACGGTATAGTGGTGGTAGGGGGTGTGTGACGGCGGTAGAGTGAGTGACAGAGGCATAAGTACTTACCCTGCCCATCTGCTCTCTCTTACTACCAATCTGGACTATCGACCCATCGTCCTCTTGATTCGAAACGTCGAATAATTCGTCAAACGGAAACCGGTTCTTGCGACCGAGCGTGAGGTATGGCTTCACGTCGTCCAACTCCCCAAACAGCCTGCTGAATGCGACATGTCGCGCATCGTCCAGCCCGGCTTTGCGAAAGACTAAAACGCCATACTGAATACGCAGGTCAGTCTCGACTCGAATGTGAAAGGGAGAAAATTAAACAGCCTGGCACGGCGGACGTACTTTGGTCGCTGCATTTAGCACTTCAGCAAACACGTGCGGTTCGACAGGTTTACTGAAGTCGATGCCGGAGACTTCGGCGCCAAACGTGGGCGCGAGCTCGGTCACTTGTATATGTTGGTATCCTGCAGCGGTTGCATGAGGCATTGCGCTGGTAGATGCTGAATACACATGCAATGAAGAATGTGAAGGCCAGTCGACGTATCAGTATATTGAGGAGTCCCGAGGCAAAGGGTCGGATATATATGTCGCTGTGCCATTATGAGTAAAGAGAAACAGAGGCTCCCATTTCCGCCCCCTCTCCAGCTTATCTCGTCTCCAACTTGAGCATGGAGAAGCCCGTCTCGCACCCTACGCCGATGCCTGCCTTGTATGACTTTTAGGTTATTATTGGGACAGGCGCATATGATTCGAGGGCTGGCTTTTGTGGCTGAAATGACATGCCTAAAGAGTGCCCGCCAGTTAATGGGTAACTGCCCAGGCCAGGGTCCATCCAATATTTGTTTCGCAGCGGCATTGATTCATGTGTTGATGCTGCAATGTTCACGATAGTCCTGTATCGTGAGAGCATTCCCGTAGTTGTCGTTGCGCGAAACGGAAAGGTCTATGGTGCGATAGTGCAAGTCAAAAACACATGAAAGGTCTCTCTGTCACCACACAATATCAATTGTTCTCAAGGTCTTGCCGACCCAAATTCACCTTATGTACAATACTCCCCGAAGATCTTTTTAACAACTTCATCAGATGTCCTTCTCCTTATCTGTACCAGTACTCTGGCTTGACGTAGTCAGCCATGGTCTTTGGCTCTTCATAGCCATGGTGATGGTGATCGTCATGCGGGTCATCTGCGGGTCCGACGTAGTCCATTCTGTAGGTGCTGCCGCACTCAGGGCATCGCTCAAATGGTCGCTTTCGGGATACCTAAAATGATTGGTTGTAAGCAAATGTATCAAAGGAGACCAGTACCAGAGGGTGAATCGGAAGCAATACACATAGGAGAACATACCACGAGCCACTTCACAATGTGAGAATCAGCGGGAGAGCCGGTGCAACCAACTTGGAGTTCGTCACCAGCAGATTTGACGACAATTGGGTCTTCGAAAGTGCCTGGATGGAAACCTTGTCAGCTCTTGTGACCCATGTCTCGTTGACCGGCGTTATTCTGCCTCAGCACGCCTAGCGGACGGCCTCATAGCTCCAACATACCCTTTCTATCGGCTGGAAGTGGTGACATGTCGAAGATATCGATGCCTTGCATCTTTCCGAGAATTTCAAGACGTTCCAAACCGGTAGCTTGTTCGAGATCGGTGGGGACGGTACCGGCTGCAGCTCCGGGAGGGAGAAGATCCTTCTCAGTCTTGATCTCTGTAGAGCATTCAAAGTCAGCTTCCATAGCCCTTTTGCAGTACGCCTTCACAGTTCCCGGCTGAAAGAGCTGGTCGCAGGTAATTTCCGGACAGACGAACCTTCGAAGGCCAGCAGCTTGCCCTCCGGATCGCCTGGCTTTGGATCCCATTTCCCGCCTGTTCAAAATCGTCGTTAGTCCATATCTGTTTCTACTCAATCGCACGAAATAGTGCTTCCTCGGAGCTTGAAGGGAGCAGTGACATACGACGAGCTGCGACAGTTGCGAACGATCGTGGAGCGATGCGGGCGGAACCCAGGGGGACACGGCGAGCCAGCGAGAAGGCTGCGCGTGCGGCCGACATGGTGAACAGATTCGAGGAGGAGTGGAGTGTTATGGAAGTTGTTTGTAAAAGAAGCAAAAGACCTGGAGGAAGCAGGAGGTGGTTTGGTCAAAGACGCAGTTAGAAAGATTATTGATGATTGGCCAATGCGAAGCTGAGAGCTCGAATTCTTGGCAGCCCAAGGTGGTCTGACAACATCATTCCACGACGAGGCTGGTTAGATAGACAATGGGCTCGAGGAGTTGCTTCAGCAAATTCTTGAGCAGCGATTGTTGCTCGAATAACACCGCAGAGAACTGGATACAAATACCGCTGCGAGAATCACAGTCGATTTCCCCCAAATTACAAATACGTGGCCGAGGAAACAGTACACAACGTCCAACCTCTGAAATTGTTCCGGTTCCGCTCCAAGAAAATGCCAGAGTAATAAGGTAGGTACCTAGGTACCTAGGAAGATGAACAAGCGGGCCCTTTGCAGGGACTCGTGGTACTTCGATGTGCACCGGATTCACTTCTGCGAGATCGCCACTCCAGTTCACCTGCACTGAGGGAAATCACTTCACTGAGCTTGATGTAAGCTATACATGAAAGTCCACTGGCTCCGCAAATAACCTTGCAGAAGAAGCATGAAGATGGCAAAAACAAAAACAAAAAAGATTCAGACGAACAAAAACTCTTCCCATGTCCCCCGGGGAAAGACATGGGATTGGAAAACCAGGCGAACTGATTTTTGAAGGTGTTTAACGCCGGGTCGAATCCATGACCAGAGCACCACTCTCCGACGTATCTTTGATCGCCGCTATGATCCTGTCCAAGTCCTGTTACAGGGGGTGAGGTCGAATTAGGAAGATACTTGTAGAGCTTCTACGCCTCCAGACCTGCGCTTGACAGTCACTACCACCGTCTCGAAAGAGGTCAGATGCTGGAAGGGGTGACGGTTATGTGATTCTCGCCCATTGTTGACCAGAATTCGAGGATTTAAATATATAAACCCTGAATTGATGGGTCTTGCACTGATGTGGTTCCGGAGGATTCACTGCACTTGTACTTGCGTGCTGAGGTTTGATATTGGCTACAACCTACAAGACTGCTTCACTCCTGCTAAACTGATAACATGGCCCCCGGCCGGGCTTTGGCAGCTCCGAGCACGCAAGGCGATCCGAAGACTCGACTCGGCTCTCATGCCATCTGCGTGCACTTTTAACCCACTGATATACGATACAAAATCTGTCCTCTTCCGTTGTCTTCCCTTTGTTCTTCTTGAACTCGAAGAGCATTTCCAGTTCAACGCAAGGTGCAGGGAAATTTCCCGCCGCTTTTGGAGGCGGATTTCCCTGATGCCAAGAACGCAAAACAGCGTCTTCTCCCGTCCCATGCTGGGCCAGCTGCCCACCCATCCGACTTCAAAGGACCAGAAACGGTCCGCTACAGAAACAAGCAGAGAATCGTTATCTCCTGGGGGCAAAAAGGGTGTCTTTGACCGCACCATTTCCAGCCGTGGTACCTCGAGGACGTGCGGGTAGTCCTCGCGAGCTTCCCTCCTAGAGGGGGACCGAGAGCGAGAGGACGTTTGCTGACCCTACACGAAACCATGGTACTGTCTCCGAGACGGCATGCGACGAATTGATGTCAAGCTGAGTAACGAAGTAGTGAACGCTCTCCCTGCGTGGTTCCGCCATAAGGATCGCAAGGCCCCACCGCGGAAATAGGGGAAGCGTCTTCGTTGCCCAGCAGACACTCGCATGTAAAATTCTGGCTTAGATGTTTTCGAAGCAGAATGGCTCGCAACTGTACCGATCTTGAAGGTTGTTAACCATTCCCCACTCTCCCTTGTGTTCAGTGCAGTGTTGTGTGATCGCTCTCAACCCCACAACCCTGACGGCCCTACCTTTTGTGCTGCCGTTGTTACACATTACTACCTAGGTATCCAGGCTCGGACAGACATAACCATAGACTTCCTTCCTGCTATGATCATCAGCAAGGCTCGGAGTCTTGAGTCCTCGTCCACTTAATTCAATGTCCTCGACCGTTAATCCAAGAACCTTCGCCGGGAGAATTGCAAGAACCTCGCGAGGGACCCGCAACTAGGCTTGATGTGCCCTGCTTTGCAATCCAACCAGCTTTACGACCTCAGCAACAAGTACCGGTCGCAGTGTCGACTTCGGAGCCAGCCTGTGTCAAGATACCTAGGGTGCCCTACATGTGCGGAGTTCCTCTTGAACACGCATCACGCCGCGCCATACATCTCAAAGAAAACTGCGATGAAACCGAAGCCGCCAACGATCGCACCCTCATAGAGCACTATCTGAACCTTCTTGATTCCGCTCTCACTCTGCCTGACCTCGCTGAGAACTCCTTGGCGATAGATATCCAAGTCCAAAACAACGTTACAATTTCCAGTTGTGTGCTCAAGACAATCATCTTCAGGGGGGACGGGTTAGGGAATGCACGAGCGTCGTAGCAGTTGTACTTTGGATAGTCATCATGTGCGCTCCAGTGTAAGGCATTAATGTGATCGTCCACAGCGGTTTGTCCGATGACAGCCTGGAGTGAACGGATCGACCGCCATGGGTACGGTTCGCCGATGGGATAACGAGCGTCTTGGCCAAAAGCTGCTGATATGTTGTCCCGAAAGACAGGGTCGACGAACAGGTACAAGAGATATGTGCCTAGAACTGGTTCGGAAACATTGGCAGGTGTTTGTTGTGCCACAATGGCTACCCAAAGTCAGCATCGCCCCGTGCATCATAATCAGAGTTGGAGGCACGCCCGTGAGATTCAGTCTGATGATCAGTAGGTCATCCCATTTTAGCGTCGGTGGCTTGTGATAGTACACCAGAAACGCCGTGTTGTCGATGGTTTCCTCGAAAAGCTCCAGAGCACATCCACCATCAGGAGTACATTCATACTGGATAGTGAGATCGCTACGAGTGGCCCAATTTGTCCTGAACACAAGCATGGGTGCAATCAACTTTTCCGTGTCCTCGTAGCTGACTTGCCACTCGACCTTTCGATACTGTGGCAATGCGTATTTCGGCAGAAACACGAATTGGCAGACTATCAGTGCGACCAGAGTCCCAATTAATATACCAAGTCTTGCTCCAAGTTTCTTCCCTTTTGTCAAAGAGTTAGGGCCCAATCCGTTGAACGTGTGAACTGCGAAGAAATTACTGGCTGTAATTATGCGCGTTTTGTTTCCAGATTGCCACAACGTCCTGGACAAATTCGAAGATCCAAAGTGCCATAACGAATAACCCCAAAACAAGGACTGCACTTGGAGGTGCGAAAAATGACAGCCTTTCGGGGAGGCGAGGACATCGAGCTGATGTTCTCGATACACCAAACCTCAGCAAGGTTGATAATGACCAGTGCAGAACACAGACCCAGTAGAATGTGGTATGCCCTTTTATCTTAGTGTCAGTGTGTCGACATGCAGTAGTCGCCCCGGAGGATATACTTGTCCTCATCCTCGATCACATTCTGTCCTCTCAGGACACCGCAAAATGGGAAGGCGAGCCATTTGAGAACGGTCCATACAATTTGCGCAACCGACTTCACGAAAGTCCAAATCTTGCACAAGAACCATTTTAACAATTCTAAAACAGGCTCGCAGATATTACTCCATGTCCACTTTATCCCGTTCCAGAGGTCTAGAATGCTGCGCTTCGGCCATCGCCAAAAAAATCCTGATCACACCGACCTGAAGTACGTTGATAAGCGACGTGCAAGTGTCATCTAGACAGCCTCCACAATCTGGAAGAGCATTTTTGAGCGTTCCTGAAAGAGCCATGCTATGGTCTGGCGACGGCGTGAATGTTTTCATATGAGATTGACCCCCTGAGGGCACTGGAAGTATCATTGAGGCCAACCTGCGGCGCGAGCTGCGGTAAGGCTGGGAAGTTGGCAAGATATTCGAGCAGACAGCTCGACATTCGGGTGTGGCGTCCAATCAATCGTTGTTATGCTGGATGTAGAAGGGTTGATACGAGAGTCCCATGCGGTTGTGTGCAGCCTAGTAGCCTTCAGCGGACTGCGGTCCGGCTGCTGGCGCTCGCCACCGACTCGGTCCGCTGAAGGCTGCGCTTCTACTTTAGCATCAAAGTCGTGCTCCTGATTGTAGCAGGTCGAGGGAATCATCCACGACAACTGTATAGCTTACCTTCATTGTTTGCCGACTCCAGCAACAATTTCAAACCCCCCAAAAATTTGATTCGACTCATTGGTATGCTGAGCAGAGGAGATCAACAAGCAACCCTAGGCGAAATGCCGGAACAGCGGCTGGCCTAGATTTGGGCACAACTAATCCGTTGGTCAAGCCGAATGCGAAATTTTCAGCCACGTGTGGAAGCGTCTTAGGTAGAAGCAGCGTGCCTCAGGGCCACCCTTAGATCCAAATTGTACTCGAGCTTCATATTGGAGAAGAGTTGTCCCGTCCCTGTTCTACAAGCTTCTCATGATAAAGTCTCGGGAATCCTGTGGGGTATGTCGAGCTTGTCAATTTGCATGATAAATTTGTTGTTGGACCACTTGTGAGATTTTTTTGTTTTCCTACCGTAAGCTCGTTCTATAGCGGTCATGAGAGAAGGGGTTTGTGGAATGTCAATTGATCTGCGATAGTCCAAGCGACTTGTGCTCAGCCTTGAACATGTTTCCTATGATCAATTGCTTCGGCGGTAAGGTGGAATTTGTTCTTGGCCCTTCTGATGCTACAACGCTTCTTCTACTTAGCGATGGTGCGAATTTGAAAGTTGACTGTCACCCAATCTGACTCGTCGGTATCGCTCGGGTCTTGGACGGCCACTGGAATGCCCCCTTGAGGGTCAGCTTTGGCAGAGACACCGAGCTTCGGTGTCTCTAAATATGCGAACGAGACTGGCCGAGCCGTGACAAAAACCTTCACAACATCATCACAATAACCATGTCCTTCTCTTTTGACTTCCGGCGGAATCGACATCTTGAGGACTTTCTGGGTCACCCCTAGGTGGTTCTTGTCTGAGTCCTGGGCGGGGATTGTCATGTAAGCGCCACCAACAATGTTTTGGATCTGCCAGCTCGAGTCTAGGTGGTAAATGTAGAGGAATAGAGCACTGCTGGTCAAGTTCTTCACCTCGAGGACCAGTCTGTCCCCATCCCGCACCTCAGCCATTTCTGTAGGATCGATATCTTTGTCAGAGGGAGCAGTGAGCCGAATGCTCAAAGACTTTTTGAAATTTGCAGATGGTGATTGGTTTACGATTGATTTGACATGTTTGAACCATACGAGATGCTCGATTGCTTCGAGAATATGTTCGAGACCGGACCCGCTGCCAATGTTGCCAATCGTTGGCACTTTATCTATGGTTTCATGAAGCTGGTCGCGAATCTCATAGTACCCGTGGCCGCTGAGGGTGACGTAGAATGAGAAAGTGATGTTGCCGGAGTCTTCATACCGAATATCGAGGGAGGTTCGGCGTGCCGATTCGGTCCTCCAGTCGTTGAGCAGTTCATTACTACCCAACACTAGAATCGGATATTGTTGTAGGGCCATCCGTTTTTGCCATCGAGCTTTCCATCCAGTTTGGATCTCGGGCTGGCTAGGCCCTTGACTGAAGACTTCGCACATTGATGTAAGCCCTCCAACCTTGACGACGCAAAGACGTAGCGGCTGGCTCGAAAGATTCTTGGGACCCCCTTCATTTTGGTGAAAAGGATAGGCAAAAAAGAGGTCACCATGGGTTACACCGTGGGCTCTGCCCGCTTGCAACAAAATGTGACCTTCTGTTGCATTCCTCGTAAGCTGGACTGATTCAGCACCAACTCCGACGGGTGACCCAAAGAATCGAAGATTTGGATTTCCATAAATAGCGGGATTCTGTTGTGGGCATCGGCTCTGGAACAGGGAGCACAAATGATCGTAAGTATCCTGCTGCCTCCTAGTCGAGGAGTCCGACTCCGATAGAGTACTGGCCAGGATGTAACTCAAGGTGTTGAACAGGCTGAGTTGTGACGGTGTCATTACAACCCCCATACTCGCGCCGAACGCCTCCGAGGAACTCCGCCGCCTAGAACGCTCCTTATTGCGCATTTCGCAACACTCTTTTCACAACTATCGAGTCACTCATTGAACTATATCATGTTGACAGCAATATATAGGCCGGTCTATTGCCAATTATTACCAATTATCGAAGCGCTTGTTGCAACCATTAAGGTTCACAAGGAAAGGGCGACTTGCGGCCTGTGATGAGGCAACAAAAGAGGCCTCGACCGGACAGAGAATAGTCGCTCCTTTTGCCTATATATATTATAGTCCTTAACCTCATAGTTATTGAGGTCAGACTCGTCAATATATCCCATTTAACTCCCATTGTGTGAGCGTTGCACGATAGTTATGAGCCCGGTTCCCGATTTCGCTTGAGACATCTGTTAGTTAGTGGTTTGATAAAGCCTCGTCATTGTAAGGCTAGCCAATTAAACACGTCAGACACGTCAAGTTCTCTACGCGCTACGCGCTTCAGGTATCCACTAGTAAAACCACGCATTTTACTATACTTCCTTTTCAGCAACCTCAATATATCGGAGTTAAATCCAGAGTCTTAACGAACGAAACCAATCACTATTACACTTTTCAAGTCTTTCGACTGGGATAACTGGTTCCTTGCCATTAAAGTATACGCTAAACAGCAAGGAATATAGAAATATATCAATCCCGAGGTACTAGACCCTCCTGTCCTGAAGTATCCATTTATTCCGGATATCTACGATGCTAACTCAGGAGCTATACTATTCAGAACACTTAATGAACGACAAAAACTTAGTATCCACTTTGTCGAAAGATAATAGGAGCATAATTACAAGAAATATAAAGAGAAAACTAAGGCGATTAAGACCCTAGGAAGTCAAATTATTAGAAGTCTCTCAATCGACCTTATATAATTTCTGGAAGAAGATCACTCTCCGCACGTAATATTTCTTCGCCTTAAGCGAAGATTCGCTTCTGTTAAGAGATCGAGAGAACTAGATATCCTAACTAGATAGAAGAATATCTTTAAGACTTCGAAGACTTATTAATAGATTAATAACTAGCTAGATAAGTGGCTAAAGGTCTATAATGACGCTTAATATCTAGATATATCTATCGCCGCAAAACGTTCTTTAATTTATGAATTTTTGTAAGTTGTCAAGTCACTTAACTCGATCTTCTCTATCACTAAAAATATAAAGGTATTAAGTGGAGAATTTATTCTAAACTTTCATGAGTTAGTTAAGTCTTTTCGACAACTTAACAGCCTTAAGAAGGACTTCAAGAAAGACTTTATTCACTCGCATAACTCATTTATATCTCTTGGAGATTAAAGAGCCAATAGCGACCCTCCGAAGTGCAGGATTTACGACCTCTTCTACTGGTATACTTAATGTCCTTATATCGTTGAGTTAGTAAGGCCTTAAGGTTAGAAATCTAATCTTGCAAGGCAAGCCATTTATAAGGAAATAAAGAAGAACCCTGTTTATGCAAAGCGGTTTAAGCGGGCTATAGAAAGAGCCTCTAACTCCACTTTCTTATCTTTCTCCTTCTTCGCAAAGGAACAGAAAAAGGAGACAGCGTTCACAGCAACTATAACTTATTTTGTCTCCGCTTATTTAGGGTCAACCAATAGAAGCCTGTATAACGAGTGAATTCTAGACTCAGGATTCGACGTTTATGTGTGTCGGCTTAATACATCAGGCTATGTTGCGCAATATTCTCCGCGCCTTAATGAGTCGCTAACTTGCGGCGTTAATAAGTATCTAATCGAGTTAATTGGGATAATCATTATTGATATGATGTCTTCTACAGGATCTACTTATATCGTTCTTATAGACATTCTCTGTATTCGAGGCTTTATGACTAAAGTGGTCTCATTATTAAGGATAGTAGCTAAGGGTATTCACTTCATAACCTAGGCGCCTCCCGGAATAGAAGGAATATTTATCCGAGACGGAACCTCAATAGGTTATGTATATAACTATTATAACCACTTAACATTCACACTATACAAACACACAGCATTCATAACCATAACCACGCAACAACACAAGAAACTCAGTTATCCGGCCTCTACCTAACATAAAATCTTAGGGCACCCTAGCCTAGACAGTGTTAAACATCTTCCGGATGCTGTCGAGGGAATACAAGTCACAAGAAATGACGCTTTCAGTATAGTGGAATACGAGACCTGTGTACTTACAAAATCCAAACAATAAATCTTAAGAATTCTTCACAATAGCGAGGAACGAAGAGACAAACCACTAGGCTGAATAATCTTTAACATTGTTCATTTCGCAAAGGGATGGGCCGCGAATCAATATATAAGCCACTTATGGGACTTTTATACCCATATAAACTATGTTTTCACATATAACAGTCGTTCCCAAGCAGGAGAACTTATCCTAGACTGGTTGGCGATAATCTGAACGCAATTCAACAAGACGCCCACATTTCTGCGTCTAGACAATGAAACAGCACTAAGCGATAATTTCTATAGCCAACTCCGCAGGCTAGGAATCACCGTCGAACATATAGCCCCTCACACTCCAGCCCAGAACAGGGCTGCGGAGCGTTTCGGGGGCATCATCACGTAAGTGACTAGAGCACTCAAGGTCCAAGGCTATCTCCCTCACTTTTTATGGCCAGAACTAGTCAAAATGGCTGGCTATCTCATCAATAGGACCCCAACAAGGTCGCTGGGATAGAAAACACTTTATGAGGTGTCACATAGACGAAAACCTAGCCTCTCGCATCTTCACCCAATAGATTATAAAGCATTCGTCCATAATAAGCAAGTTCCTAGGCTTAAAAAGCTAGAGAATAGAGCTATAGTCGGCTGATTAGTCGACTATAATGCAAGGAATATTTAGCGTGTTTAGATATCTGCAAAACAAAGAATCCTTCGCTCTAGAGATATGGTGTTTCATGATGATACATTTTATAATCTCACTAAGGTACAGACCGCGGAGCAACTCCGTGCCCTTCCCCAGAAACTTATTGAGGTTCTTAACATTGAAGCCCTCGTTCTTGGCGACGATGTTATGGAATCCTCTCTTAACTGGGATCCTCTTGTAGATCCTAATGATCCAGACACTATTATCGTCTCCCGCGGTTTATTATCTTAATTGCAAGTTGAGAAAGAAAGAACTCAAGCTGAGGGGGTGGAAATCGCCTTATCCACGCCACGCATAACGCTCGAGGCTAGCACAGCGCCTAGCGTGTCTAGCATTCAACAACCTAGAGTTACAAATAGCCCTTAGCCTAGCACTCCTTCACAATCCCCTGCAATATCGAATACCCACGAGGCGTCGTTAGACCTCGCTAATCAGGTTGCGCCATTTTCGGTAACTACTCCGGATTCGGCAACTACTACCCGATTAGGCAACTCACGCGACGATGCTCCCACCATATCTCCACGTTCTAGTGAAATATCAGCCAACTTAAATGAGAACAATATCCTTCCATCTCACGAGCGACGTCAATAACAGCTATCTAGGCGTCACCAGAATTATGCTATACAACTAGCAAGTGATCCTTATAATCTTCACGCATTTCACGCGGCATTTAGCGAGGCATTGAATAAACCATAAAGGGTTCATAGAGACGACCTTTCTGCCGCGCCGCAGACCTATCGTTAAATGCTGGCACACCCGTATAGGCGCCAATTCGAGGCGACCATGGACATTAAATGAAGCTAAGTCTTTTAAAGCAACACAGTTAAATAAGTGGAACGTTTATGCGCCTAAGAAACGCAAGTTATTCCTCTTATATGGGTGTTCACGTATAAATTCGATAATAATGGCTTTCTTGCTAAACATAAAGCGTGTATTTACGCCCGCGGCGACTTGCAACGTTCTCAGGACAATATATATACAGTAACCCTTGCACTTAAGACCTTTCGCGTACTCATGATTATTGCCGCGTTCTTTGACCTCGAAATCTGGCAGGCCGACGCCGTTAACATCTTCCTTAACTCACCTATAGAAAAGGAGGTCTATATTGAGTATCCTTAAGGTTATTTTAGGCCAGAAAAGATCTTGCGCCTTCTGAAAGCGCTCTATGATTTGAAGAAATCTTCATTGTTGTGGTACAATACCTTCATTATGGCGCTCAAGGAACTAGGACTTACAGAGATGCTCAACATTAACTGTCTCTTTCAAGGCGAATAGATTCTAGTCTTCTTTTATATTGACGATATCATGATTCTTTATCATAAGAGCAAGATAAATATATTTCACTCTTTAACACGCCGACTAGAAGAATAATTCAAGTTTCGCGTTCTCAACAACACCAATTGATTCTGCGGTATTCGCATCCTACGAGACCGTAACAACAGGACTATTCATCTATCGCTCGATTTATATATCAATAAAATTGCAGCCAAGTTTTATGTGCGACAACTTGACCATTTACCTAATACTTCACTATCAACTAGTGAGTTACAACCTCATGAAAAACAGGCCTTACCACAAGAGATCCACATATATCAATAACGTGTTAAATCCATCTCATTTGTCTTATGCGCAACTAGGCCAGACGTCGCCTATACTCACTCCAAACTAGCCCAATTCCTAGTCAACCCGTTAAGTGCGCACGCCAAGGCCGCGAATAGAGTGATTGTATATCTCTACCGCACGAAACACTTCTCCCTCACGTACAACAGTCAATCTGACCAACACTTCCTCTGCGCGTCGAACGCCTCCTTCGCTGACGACCCTAAGACTAGGAGAAGCTTCGATGGCTATATCCTGACGCTATTCGGAGGGCCCATTGACTGGAGGTCGGGGAAGCAAAAGACGGTCACAACGTCCTCCACCGAGGCTGAACTCCTTGCCCTCTTCAATGCGACGAGCGAAATAATATAGTGGAAGAGAATGTTCGCTGACATCAATCTAGACCTTAAGGAGACCTCGTCCTTGCTCTCCGACAACTTACAGACTATTCAACTACTAACCAAGAACGAAAAGCTGTCTACAAGACTTCGTCATGTTGATATTCATCGACATTGGCTTCAACAGGAGGTGCAACAAGGAAAGATCCACCTTAATTGGGCACCAACAAACGACATGATTGTCGACGGCCTCACGAAGGCCTTGCCTAGACAAAAACACGAGGCTTTCATCAAGCAACTCAACCTCACTAACATCCAGGAAATACTATCCTAATGTTTCCTCACCAACGACGACGGCATCATTTCCTGAGGGGGTGTGTTGAACAGGCTAAGTTGTGATGGTGTTATTACAACCCCCATACTCGCGCCGAACGCCTCCGAGGAACTTCGCCGCCTAGAACGCTCCTTATTGCGCATTTCGCAACACTCTTTTCACAACTATCGAGTCACTCATTGAACTATATCATGTTGACAGCAATATATAGGCCGGTCTATTGCCAATTATTACCAATTATCGGAGCGCTTGTTGCAACCATTAAGGTTCACAAGGAAAGGGCGACTTGCGGCCTGTGATGAGGCAACGAAAGAGGCCTCGACCGGACAGAGAATAGTCGCTCCTTTTGCCTATATATATCATAGTCCTTGACCTCATAGTTATTGAGGTCAGACTCGTCAATACATCCCATTTAACTCCCATTGTGTGAGCGTTGCACGATACAAGGCTCCATTTCTCTGTCCGCTCTCAAACTCGATCTCCCTCGCCACTTGGTGAGGACCGCATGCAGCGAGAACCGTGTATCCTTCCGGGTTGATGACCCAGTTTGGTAGCATGGAAACGTCGCGACTTGCGCTGTGGCTGGCATCCGCGGCGATTTCCGCCGCAGGGTTGAAGGGGTAACTCGCGTCAATATCGGCATCGTAGAGCAGTGATCGAATGCTGTCAGTATCATCGATTCGGGAGAAACCCCCGGAGAAGCAGCAGTCCAAGACAAGAGTAACCAGCGATCCCTTGGCTACCAAAGCCTTGATCTGATGTGCCAACTCTAAGCCTCGAAGATAGCGCACTCTGTCACCGTCGTCCCCTGCAAGGAGAGCCAGTGCAACGTCTCCGTCCTGGAGACTGAAAATCGCAGTTGACGGTCGGATTCGCACACCATGACCAGAATAGTGGATGTAGACTAGAGTACCTGGCTTCGCCCTCGAAGCGATGTCCTCGAGCCAGGCTTTTACGTTGTCGTATGTCGGCCAATACCGAGGATCTTCAATCGGACGTGGAGTGCCCGAGGATCGCGATGCCGTCAACATCCGCAGATTCAGTGGTACTGGCAGACTTTCCAAGTAGGCTCTCATAGCCCAGCAGTCTCGAACGCATCCTTCCAACGGCTTATCTTGATATGCATTGATACCAATCAACAGCACATGCCGCTCAGGAGCTCCAGGGGTCGAGGTAGCTTTGTCCATTCGGTCGTTTTCTGCACGTAGCTCTTGATACAAAATACCTAGCTCGCTAGAGTCGGGTGAATTTAAGCGTAGAACCTGTCAAAAAATTGCATACAGCCCATTGTCGCGCAGGCGATCGCTAAGCAGGGCATCGTCGATATGGGGAATTTTCAATTCCTGCTTCCTGTTCCGGCGCTCGTGCAATTTGGGTCTTTTTTGAACACTCTGCGAAGCTAATTGATTTCAAGGCAACGTGGCGCGAGGGAACAAGGCTATGCTAAGTCCACGTGGCTCGAATAGGGGACCTCGTTCATGCACGGTCTCGCAGGCAGAAGAACCCCCTTGGAAGCATTCCGACGATCAAAACATTGGCCTCTCGCGCACGCTCTTCCATGACCCGGGCAATGTGCACGGGATTACACCAGTCTACCGTTATCAATAGGCGTCCGTCAGGCGGCCTCCAAGTCCTTTTCCTCTATTGCGGCTCCGTCCTTGACGTTAGCCCCGTTCTCTAGTGTGAGCTTGTAACTTCTGGTCGAAGGCAACACATCATCAACCACATATGGTCCTTCACGAGCTGACCCATTCTTAGGACGAATATAGACCGTGTCCCCAATTCGAAATTTGGTTTTCTAGGGAGTAATGTATCAGCAGACGGATGGACAGCCGGTAATAGGCAGGGAGGCAGGGTGACAGACTCCAGCAGAGTTTATTATTGGCCTGCTCTGGTCTTCGTCCACGACATTGAACTTTACGCTGCGCCCCCTGCGTGGAGGAAAGGAAAGTCAGCGCGGACTAGTAGGCTGTGGAAGGCAGAGCCGTATCATACTCATCAGATAGAGCCATTCCAAAGGCGGGAGTGTTGATCGTGTTACTACTTGACTGGCGCTCTTGTTTCTCTTACAGTAGGTGACGCACGAGAATGGACTGGTTTGAGCAGCCCCCGTGAATTCGGACTGCTGGTCCATTTATGTATGTTTGGCACGATTGTATGTGCTGAGGCGAACCTCAAGCGCGTTAGTCTTCGTGAGCAACTTTTCCGGCTTTCCATTGGGCCAAAATTTGCAGGAAGCCTGAGGCCAGACAGGTCTTCCTGGTGCTTGCCGGCCTAGGGGAATTCCCAACAGCCAGACTGGAGCCAGCACCGTGTGTTGCGTATGTATCTTCCCCAATGTAGCCTAACCCCGCAAGGCGTTGGCAGTAACGAGACTGAAGTCATCTCAGCGAGTCTTCGTGGGCTGCTTCGCTACACTTTTGGTCAGGCGGGGGTCTTCGCCTCAGACAGCGTGTGAATAGTCGCCTGATGAATTACAAGATTGTCGACAACGATTATAATATGTCCATGTTTCCACAGCGTGCTCACGCCCTACTCTTGGTCCCGGGAGGGATATGTCGAATTCCAACATGCACCCGGAATTGGGCGCCGTGTTGGATGCTCGTCCCCCTGCCAAAGGCTGGTTGCGTCGACTAGGTCGACTGATAGCTGCCTGGGGCCACGATCCCCCCACAGACAGCGGAACCCTGGAGAGACAAAGTAGGATACGATGTGAAACCCCAATCAAATTCGAGATTGTTGCTTACTGCAGCAGTTGAGTCCTACCGACGCGGCTACCCTCGTTTTTCAGCAGTCATCGCAGCGGATGACTCTTTCTGTCTCTGCCGACGATTCTCTAATCTCCGCAGTCGGCTCCTCTTGCTCAAGCAAGACAAACTCTCGGTGCTAGAGAAGAAAATCAATGAGGTCGACGAGTGGGAGCCCAGAGCCCTCTTCCTTGGCAAGAGTCGGTGTGATGTGAATCAAGAACGACTCTCCTTACTCGCCGAAGCCGACGAGAGGCTGGCAGACTATGGTATGCATTTAGTTATGCTCCTCAGGGTGCAATGCAACTCTGCTAACTTAGGTACTGCTAGACTTGTTCGTGGAGCGTACCTCTCGCATGCTCAGCTCCAGACTTGCCGGCTCACGTGCGAGGGTTAGCCTTCAGAACTGGGTCAGTAGCAACGGATGCATAGCAAGAGAGGAGACAGAGTACTTGCAATACGCGCGAGATTTGATCTCGTTGGCTCCTGCGAAAGATGGAGCAATGGCGAGTTTAGAATCGCGGGTTGAAGATATCTTCATACGCTTTTTCAAAGGCTTCCTCCAGGTGGGTGCATACACGCCGACCAGGACGACGATGAGCTCATGTCTATCAGCGGGCTTCATCTAACATATCTTGTGACGAGAACGTCCTCATCCCCTCCGGACCCGTGATTGAGCGCACGGCACGTACAATCCTAGTGGCGATCATCACATTTCTCTTACTAGTGCCTGTGCTCGTCTGCAACAGCATACATAATGGGACCGCTCGAGTGGTTGTCATTATTCTGTCCACCTTGTTTCTTCAGGCCATCGTGGCTGCTCTGACTAAATCAAGGACGATTGAGCTGTTTGTTTGTGGAGTAACGTGAGTTCACCATTTTCCCATCTTCGCTGGCGAACTAAGTCGATTTCGCTCATATTAGGTACTGTACCATGCTCATTGTATTCCTTTCCGGAGCGAGCACAGCCCCAAATTGAAGAAACAGAGCAAGGGACGGCAGCGTCAGTTAGATAGAAGAAGATTCCAGCCATGTGCGATTCTTCTCGCTGTGAGCACTAGCAGTGTGTCAGGATCAGCTCGGTATCAGTATATCAACTTATCATCTACCGGGTAGTTACTAGGTCGCAATGATCAGCACAGGCATCGGAAGAAACCCTCCAAATGTATATACATGATAAAGGTTATCGCCCTTCGTCGGTTACGCGGCTTGGCCGCGTTGCCACAAAAGCCATGCAAGCTTCGAGCTATAAGGATATTTGAAAGCCAGTTCGAACAGACTCGAGATGAAAATGCCCTCACACGAGCCATCGAAATAGCGCAGATGGCCGTAAGCGCAAGCCCTCCCAACAGCCCAGCACGGCCAGTACTGCTGAATACCCTGTCAAACAAACTTCTTCGTCAGTACAAAATCAGTGGTGGGATAGAGCACATACGAGGGTCGGTGGCAACGGCAGAGGAGGCACTGGATAGTTTGCCGCCATCGACCTGCATTCCTCACAACTGTGCATCCAAGTTAGATCTCGCATTTGATCGCAATCTAGACTCACAATACTTACTTCGCGCTGTTATCATGGCGCAAGAGGCTGTGGACTCCACCAATGCGCACGATGAAGTCAAACGAGCCGGCAGACTCGACAATCTCGGAATTTTGTTGCGTCGACAATACGAGCAATCTAAGGACGCTGGTGTCTTAGATGGAGCTATCAAAGCCTCTCGTGAATCTGTAAGTCTAACACCACCTGGTTATATTGAGTTGGGAAGCAGACGCAGCACACTTAGCAGTTTGCTCTCTATGCAATTCGAGCACACGAAGAACCCATCATACCTCGACGAAGCTATCCAGGAGGGGGAGACCGCTATGGGTTTAACTCCACAAGGCCATTCAGAACGGCTGGACATGCTCAACAACCTGAGAAACAAATACCAGCTCCGGCATATCAAGACAGGGGACCAAAATGATGTTGACTCTGCCATACGGTTGGCTGGAGAAGCTATCAGGTTGATGGAAGAAGACGCTGCACAACGAAGTCCAGACTTGGTTAACCTGACCGAATTGTTCAGACGTCGATACAACCTTTTCAAGGAGACTCAAGATCTGGATGAGGCCATCCGAATAATAGGACAGATAACTGAATCCATGTCCGAAAGAGACTCAGACTAACTGCACCGTGGGCAGATTCTGGCGGACTGCCTCCAACTTCGGTATGAATCTGCATCCGATCTTTCGTACCTCGAACGGTCAATCGATGCGACAAGAAGGGCCCTTGATGCAAACCCAAGGGGACATTCTGGAAGGGCGAATCTACTTGATGACCTCGGCACCAGACTCGGTCGCTTATACGGAAGGAGAACAGAAGAACAGCTGTTGCTTGAAGCAATCAGTGTTCTGCAGGAGGCTGTGGAGCTGACTCCAGAGACTAATGCCGATTGAGCGAGACACCTAGGCAACCTCGCAGGTCTCCTCAAATACGAGTACACGAGGACGGGTCATGTTTTAGTTCTCGAAGAGTCGATACAACTTGCTCAAGACGCAGTCGCCTCGATACCAAAGGATCACTCTGAGCGAGGTAGTGGCTTGAATAACGTCGCAAACTCGCTCCAGCGTCTATTTGAACGCACAGGGGAGGTCCATCATATCGATGGTGCAGTCCGGGCGACCGAGGAGGCCGTTGACTCAACGTCAAGCAATCACCCGAACCTGTCCTTAAGGTTAGCCAACTTAGGAAGCAAGTACATGCGCCGGTACAGTCGCCTGGGGAAACTTGAGGATTTGGAGGATTCTATCAACGCAGCTAGGAAGGCGGCTTCCAATTTTCCGGTGCAACACACCCGGACCGTTGCCTTTTCGTCAATGGTCTATGTAATCGACTTTCTTCCAGATTCGAACGGTTAGGAAAGGAAGAGGATCTTCAGGAGGCGGTGCAATTATTGGATGAAGCACTGGAAAAGGCACCGAGAACTAGTGTCTCCATCGCGCCGTGCTTGCACACCTTGGGAAGTCTTCTACGGGAGCGCTAGGAGCTAAAGAAGGATATCAAGGACCTCGACCGGGCTGTCAAGGCGGGACAAGACTCTGTCAAGTTGGTTTCAGTGAACCATCCTTACAGATCAGTCTTCCTCCAAAGCCTCGGACGACGTCTAGTTACTCGCGCAAATACATCAAGGAGTGCGAAAACCCTCTCCGACGCGCTCCGTGCTTTCTTAGAGACGGCCAAACACGAAGAGGCCCTCCCGCTTACCAGAGTTCAAGCTGCACGCCGAGCCGTTGTGATCCTGAACGAATTACAGGCCTGGGGCCAGGCTGCCAAACTTGTCAACGACGAAGAGGCAAGCCTAGATCAATCGATCAAAGACCGACGGAACGTCGTGCGTGAGATGGAGAAGTTGATTACTGAGATTCAATGACTGTTCCCGGCCAGGAACGATTCCTCATAGGGTCGACTGTCGCAGAGCTAAAAGACCACGCAGCAGAAGGTCCGAGTGTTATCGTCAATGTCACGTATATGGGTGCAGATGCCATCCTCGTTTCCCATTCCCAAGTCAAGCACCTTCTACTTCCCCAGTTATCTGCGTTGAAGGCACCCCAATTCATTCAACGAAAGTTCAACAGGTCTGCCGCCTTTCGTAATCAGGATCTGTGGCGAGACATAGGAGAAGACAAGCTCGCCGCCGAGCCGGATCAGCTCTCGTGGTTATGGACCAACCGCGTTGAATTAAACCTTCGCGAACTGGATACGCTGGGTGAAATATCCGTTGAACTTACGAGGGTCTGGTGGATCGGATCCGGCATTGCCAGCTCTTTCCCCTTTCATGCGGCCCAGGGCGAGTCTGGGTCTTGCCTCGACCGCGTGGTTTCGTCCTACACGCCAACAATCAAGGCTCTGGGATATTCTCGATCGCGGGCCCGTTCGGTCACAAAGCTGGAGGACGGCGGGAAAGCTTCAATTCTTATCATCACAATGCCAACAACTCCTAGCCATGCTCCAGTGAAAGGTGCAGAGCGTGAAGCGTACGCTATCCAAACCGTCTCGGCCGATACGTTTCTGTGACGGGATTAGAGCTTCCCAACCCTGCGAGTGTTCTCAGGCATATCCAGACTTCAGATATTATTCACTTTGCCTGCCATGGATCCTCTGATCCACTGGTGCCCCTCCACAGCGACCTACTCCTCCAGGGCGAAAAAGGGGTTGGCGTTCCCGTCGTCCACCGCTTAACCATTTCGATGATCTCCAAAGTCGCGGCAGCAGGGCGGGCGAGAGTTGCCTTCCTGTCGGCGTGCTCCAGCGCGGAAATAAAGGCAAGCAAGCTGGGCGATGAGGGTCTTCATCTCTCCAGCGCCTTCCAAGTCGCCGGGTTCGCATCAGTCATTGGGTCGCAATGGCATGTCTCTGACAGTGTCTGCGTCGAGCTAGCAAGGGCGTTCTATACCCAGCTGGTCCGGTGTGGTCTTGCATTTTCGAACCGAGATGTTGCTGACGCTTTGAGGAGCGCCATGCTGTACGTCCGCGGGCTAGATCCGAACAATCCCGATCTATGGTCTCCGTTTGTGCATTGTGGTGCCTAGGGTGTGTTCTCACTCCCCAACTTCACCTGAAGTACACCTGAGTAATAGGCATCCGTCAGGGATGACACGGGGATTCCCTAGGGAACTTAGATGCTCTTCAGTCAAACTATGTTTCCAAAGAGTCACGCGGGCGGAAAGATACCACGAATCATTTGCTGGCACGTCCAGGAGGCAAAAAAGGCAACTGTTGCAGGCAACTACTGCAGCAACTGGGCAACTAGGCAAACCCATTACCTTTCAAGTCTTAGTGAGGTTATGTATCTTCGTATAACACGGCACAGAGCAGAGGCTCACTAGGCAAGGCTTCGTGGCTGCCTACTGCAAACCAAGCCTGCACCTAGAATGAATGCACGGCACAACCAGGACAAGATACTATGATTGAATTAGAACAGCTTGTTTTGTTCTAACAGAGTGGCTAATAAACTCTATCAAATATACATCAGACTTATGCAGCAATAGCAGCATTCCGTATTATCGTGCTTACGTTTATCTCGTGTTCTCGTATCTGGTACGCCGACCGACAATGCGTTCTGTCACAAGAGCAAGCCGCTCAGAGCCGTGAGGTTGTTTGGTGAACGGCGAGACTGACAAGTTTATTCCTTCCCCCCTCCCCCTCAGACTCATGCAAGGCCACTCAAAACCCTTCCGTACAAGTTAGAGGTCGACCTGCTCGCTGAATGACAGCCAACAATGCCTCTTTCCCGAGTCAGATCAGCTTTGTTAAATAGCCTCGCCGCAACCGAAAGCAGGATATCGGCTTTGGGCCCTGCGCACCGACCAGGCTTCCATTACTCAATTCCTCCCCCGGCCTGTTGACATGTCGAAAAAGGCACTGCTCATCTCTAGCGTCTATGGTGCTCTTAAGGGGCCCCAAAACGATGTTGAAAAGATGGCCCAGGTCCTCGGCGATCTGGGATTCGTCATCAGCCTGTGCTGCGGAACTGGCGCGACTCGCGCGGGCATTCTGACAGCCTGGGAACAACTCATCGACAACATCGGGCCAGGGGACTCCATCGTCATTTATTACTCTGGACATGGCGGGACTGTGCAATCCCCGCGCTCTGTGGACGGCGCCACTCACAGTACGTTTGCTCGTGACCGGGCGGCTCCTTGGAAGTATCAATATCTCGTCCCCGTGGACTTTGGGGAGCGGGAAAACAACGAGTTTCGAGGGATCCTGGACGTGGAAATGTCGCACCTGCTGCACGCCATGACGGAGAAGACGAGGAATGTCACCACCATATTGGACTGCTGCTTCGCTGGGGGCATGGTTCGCGACCCAGGCCTCGCCGACACCGCCGTCCCCAAGGGAGTCCCCAGCACAGCGTACGCCGATGTCGTCGACCACGTCAACAGTCTCCGAGCACGCGGCTGGAGCCTGGACGAGGCTCATGTGGACGAAAACCCCCTCGCGGTGCGGATCGCCGCCGCGACCGCGAGCGAAACGGCCTGGGAGTACCAAAACTCTCGGGGCGAATGGCGCGGGGCGATGACGGAAGCTTTGGAGAGCGTCCTCGCCGCAAGCAAGGGAAACCATATCTCGTGGCGGACTCTCCTGCTGCGGGTGTCGGAGATGGTCACGGTACAATTCCCCTATCAGCACCCCCAAGTAGAGGGGCCCCGTAATCGACTCACATTCTCCGTCCAGGAGATCGCATCCCAGGGGTTCCATGTTCGCGAGGAAGACGACCGCGTCGCCATTCAGGCCGGACGGGTTTCTGGTGTCCACAAAGGAAGCATATACTCGGTGGTGCCCATCGGCGCGGAGAAGCCAGTCGTGGGCCAGGAGCTCGCAAGCGCGCGCGTCACTTACGCGGGCCCTTTCAAGGCGTATGTCGAGCTGCGACCAGGCACCGCATCGACAGGAGGCTTGCCACCCGACGGCGCCCTCGCCTTCCTTCAGCACGACGCTGTCTACAAGTGGCCCGTGACTCTGCCCGTGACTCTGCCCGCCGACCTCACGTGGCTGCCGGGAATGGTGGAGGCGTCCAGGTTCATCCGGCCAGCAGCACCCGACGACGGGGAGTTGATCCTGGCCGAGTTCAAGAAAGACTCGGACACGATCTTCCTGTTCAGTAACCGCGGTCACGTCGTGGCCACGTTGTCCGCCAACGCGGGCCCGGACGAGAGACGCAAACTTGTCCGGCGCGCTGAACGACTCGCCCGCGGCCGGCATCTCCTCTCGTTGAACCACGAGACCGATGTCGAGATTCTTCGGCACGCCGTAAACGTCACGTTTGGAGTGGTCGATGCGGGCCCCCTCGGCGGCGGCGGCCGCCGCGGGAGAACCATTCGACAAGACGGAGGGGACGATCTGCGCGAAGGAGACTCCGTGTACGTGGAGCTGGTCAACTGCGGCGTCGAGACCGTCTTCGTGTGGGTCTTCGACGTCAACGCCGGAGGTAAAGTCAGCCGCGTCTCCCGCTCCAACTCGACGGGGATCGAGATGCCCCCCGGTCGACACGAAGTCCTCGGCTCTCGCAACGACGGCCTGGGGCTCAAAGGCTTGCCCGTCAGTTGGCCCGAGGACCTGCCCAGGACGACTCCGCTGGAAGAGACGCTCGTCTTCATCTTCACGAGTTCGCCCGTCGACCTCCACCACCTCTCGTCGGACCCGGGCGACGGCCCGCCTCCCTCCCGGACGGGCCTGTCACACTTGGAACAACTCACCTACAGCATCGCGACCGGAGCCATGCGGGCCGTCACCCTAGATGAAGACAGCGACCCAATCCGCTACTCGATTTCGTATATTCCTTTTCGACTTCATCCCCATCCCCTTTGACATAGCCTAGGCGGTGAGCGTTGAACATCCCAATGTAAAAGTGCCCTAAGAAAACTGGCCTATATAGCTTCTCCCCCTTGCCCCCCACTGCCTATACTTCTCTTTCATACTCGTCCCGATGATCCACGTCCATCAATGAAGATGATAGTTTCGACTTGACAGCATCAAATTCCATCTTACGCAAGATTGATCTTCCATGAGAGCTATTATAGGGGGCGAGGGTTATCTTTCTTTTTTAAAAAAAAAAAACAAAAGGAGGGGGGGCATGTGTAATTCAAATGGAAGTAGTAACTGGATAGATTTAGGGGATTCGTCGTCGAGAGAATTACTGTATACATCTTTAGGAGATTACTGTTGGACTAGGCTGAGTTGCGAGCGATGTCAGTGACCGTCTTTACAAGTCAAATACTCTCGCCTAGCGCCTTAGCGCCTCCGGCGGAACGCCGACGCCCTCACATTCCTTACAACTTTTGCAACACCATCAATTCACTGTTTCCAGTCATATATGACTATATTCTCGGTCTTCACAAGGAGGGTTTCTCTCCGTCTAGAACGTCGCCCGATAGAACGCCGCCCGAGAACGGCCGATGGCTCCATGCGGCGCGCTGTGCGACGGCGAGAAAGCCCTCCCTTGCAACGCTCCTTTTGCCTATATAAGAGATAGAGATCTCCCTCCGAGAGAGGGAGGTCAGACTCGTCAATACATCCCATTTAGCCCCCAGACATCACCTAGAACTGAGTGTTGCATAACAATTACAGTACACAGGTCTCTCTCTCGCACACACATATCGTTAACCGCATTCCGTCGTGAATTATTTGACCCTGGTGCTATATTACCCCTCGGTCCCTGTGGGTCCCAGTAGTCAACATGCTACTGAGACAACGCTTCATTCTGTTCCCATAACCTTCAACTACTAAACCGATAAAAAAGCAAATGAGGACAAACTTGTTTGATCGAGCATACCCAAGTTTAGACAGACCCTTTGTGGATTTAGATGAGCCTCGCAAGCCTGACGAAGGCTGCATGACGACGGAGATCCGGTCCCACAGGGGAATACGCATAGGACTATTGGCGTCTCAAAACTCATGCCCCGATATGGATGAATGGTGCCCAAATGCTTGGCTGCTCAGGGAACTCGGATCTCAATTGCAGAGTTGCCTTTCTCAAGGCCGACGATGGGTCGGCGTAACCAAGGCCGCCCTGTGGCCGCATGCGGATCAGGTTGTCGTAGAAAAGTTCCGCTATCCGGGTGCAGGCGTTGTCGTCAGTAGGCCAAAGGGCCCCAACGGCGTGTGGAAATCCAGCCATCTGAAAGGCAGTGGCGAGGTGGAGACTCTCTTCCTCGAGGCCAACCGCCTGGACCGCGGCCGTCGAACAGGCCGATAGAAAAGCCAGCCAGGAACCCTCGCTCTTCACGGCGGCGTTTGATATCATAGAAAACGTCAGACTATCGGCGACCGGGCCTTTCTCACCGTGTCTCTGGAGTATGAAGCGGCTCCTTGACGGGTCAATGGGGTCAGCGAATCCGTGGCACGCAAAGTGAACAATGGCCGACCCTGGGATACGCGCCAAAACCTCCTCCGCGGTAGGGAGTCGCAAGACCTTGCAGGGAGAGAGCGACTTGAAAATGTTGCGGATGGCTTCGGCCTCGCAATCTGCACCTTTCAGGTCTTGTTGCCCTGGGGTAGTGGGCATAGCAACGACGAGAACATGATTTGCATCCAAGGTCCGCTTGAGAACTGTAGACTTTGTCGCCAGAGACCTCGAATAGACCAGAGACTTGATTGTAGGCACATATGATGGTATCATCCGATCCAGAGCGCTCTCAATAACGTGGTCGTCGTTGTCAGATGCCGCAACTGCGGCTTGCGCAGCGTGGAACGGGAGGCCAGTTGCGATGCCCGAACCTATCCACCAGACGTGGCTGAGATTGTCGTCATGGTTCCCCGGATTCAAAAGGTTCTTCTCGCCCATACGATTTATGACGGGTTTCACACAGTCGTTCCACAACCACTTGAGTTCCTCTTCGCCCATGCAACTATGAAGGCCGTTCCCAACGTCGTCGTCTTCACCAGAGATATCTCGGTCGAAGATGAGGACAGAGCGCTCATTCGCGAACTGAGTATATGCCTGATTTACGGACTTTGGGACAACACCAGCATTCGGTCCGGCGAGTTGGACGACATCAGCGCCGTCCGGAGTCACTATAATCGCATCAGTCCCAAGGTCTGTGAGATTGACTATGATAATTGGTCCGTCGAGCGCTTGCACTTTTAGTTCACTGAAGTCGGGCTCGAGCAGGAACCTCTCGTAACCGTCAATCTTACGAATGTCGGCAAGACAGACGGCCATATCCCGAATAGCCAACCATCGCTGGTGCCGCAGTGCGTCTCCTGCAGGATCATCGAGGTCAAACGGTGTCTGCGCCTGGAGCCGTAACGTGTCGTAGCGTTCTGCGATGGCCCCGTGATGCTGACGGAGGGAGGACAACTCAGAACGCTCCAATTTACTGTCAATCATGTACCCAAGGATGAGACCCCGGCCGAACTCGAGCCACTGGACAGCCTTCGCCGCATCTCTCATCTTCAGGAGCAGGGAACAAGTGTCGGCTGCAAGGCCCGACACTTGAATCGCGGCGTTTTGTTGATCCCGTCGAGCCGCTTGCCGGCCACAGATAATGGGCAGGAGCTGCATAGCCGACTCAGCCACTCGTCTGGCATGTTCCCAGCGCTCTCTTCTGGCTAGGACTCGGATAGCATTTCGCGCCGCCAATACACGATCAACGGGTGCCGTATGGAGAGACTCAAAGGACTCGATATAGCAGGCGATGGCCCTCTCGATATCTATACTCGAGGCCGGTACCTCGGCGCCATTGACGTCTCTCACAGATACTTCCAGCACACTACCCAAGTTGACCAACCAGCGTCCTCGGTGTGGATGATCCTCTGCCGTCCCATCGACACCGGCCTGGACCATATCAACGGCCTCCCTCTTGGTTTCAGCCTCGCCCGTAATTCGGGCAACGATGCCGAGGGCCGCTCCGAGATTGTTCAGCTGGACGGCATGGTCAGGGGATTCTTCGGGTGTCAACCGAAGAGATTCCCTATATAAGTCGACCGCTTTCCTCGACGTAGTTATGTCATTGGCATGCCTTGCTAGCGCCAGGAGATTATTGGCATAGTTGTTCAACCCAACCACTCTTTTCGGGGAGCCCGTCGGGCGTAGAATTTACAGCGCGCTCTGCTATATCGATGGACTCGATAAGAAAATGAATGTCCTTGGTCCGTTCAAACAGGCTCCGAAGCATACTAGAAAGGTTGGTCAACCTCCGTGCCAATGCGACGTGGGTCTGTGGTGTCTGCGCCACCGACTTCCTGCAACTATCAACAGCCAGTTCTAGAAGTCGTGCCTCACCATTGCGATCGTAGTATGTATGAAGAATGACACCAAGATTGTTGAGTAATTCTGAACCCTCCGAGTCGCCTGGCAAGGTGCTGTCGACAGCTTGTTGAGCGAATCTGATGGCTTCATCTCCGTCGGCGAGGTGCCCGTGCCGTTTGAATAGGAGATTGAGCTGACTGGCTAGATTGCTCAAGAACCCCGAGCGCTCCCAGTGGTCATCGGACATGATGCTCACCACTTGACGCATCAATTTGATGCACTTTTCCAGGTAATCAGGGTTGCCAGTGGCTTCATATTGTGTCTGGTACATGACGCTGAGGTTGCTCACTCTACCAGTCCACATGGAGTCATCTTGCGGAGTGGCTTCGCAGATTTTTTCGCATGCCTGAGTAGCCTCTGAAAGTATTTCCGGGTCGGCTTTACGCATAAAGAGCATTTGAAGCATTGCAGCCAGATTGTTCAAGGGAAACAGCTTGCTGGCATGATCCTCGGGCATTGCATCCGCAGCCGACCTGGCCAGGCTAATAGCCTGTTCTAGAGTTTCGAGTTTGCTATCGTTGTTGTACTGGTTCATGACCAAGAAGGCGTGGTTGGACAGGTTTTCGGCAACATCATAATCTTTGATGCCCGGATTAGCCAGGAGCTTCTCAATCCCAGCGGCCTGCACCTCTGAGATGTTCAATTCCACGCGGTCTGCCATTTCAGAGGCTGATGATGAGGCAGAAGTTTGGTAAAGGGAGAGTTCGAGCCCTACTTGATCCCGATTGTGATCTATCTTTCCGCTCGCCTGACAAATGAGACGAGGCGCGTGTCAGAACCGAGACACAAAGGCCAAAGACCAGCAGGAGGTTAGAAGGCATCAGAAGTCCTCCTAGAATGGTTGCCTACAGGGCTGGGGAGGGTTGGGTTTTCCAATCATGGACGTTCCTCGTATATTTCAGCCCGAGATTCACCCAGTCCTCATTTCTTCCTGGTTTGCTGCTTCGTCGAGGCCGTCCCCCTCTACAGCTCCGTCGGGCCATACCTCTTGCCGAACGATCGCTCGCATTGTTGCCGTGGTTCCCCACTAACGCGGCTATCCAAGACGATATGATTGTTGAAAGAGAACTTTGTCATTCTACAGACATGTACGGTGCAGCCTCGCTTATGTAATATGGAAATTTCTAGACAGCCTTGTCTCCCCAGATCACATGACTAGGCGCGTACCGGTGATTTTCGCCTCTTGCGCTACTCGGTCGCAGCTCGACTGATAAATCATAAAACCATCGTCTCTTGACACAAACCCTCTTGCCACAATCCACTGCAAAGGACGACATACGAAGTCCCAAAAGTAGATCCAACCTTGCCTTTTCTCGCCATCAAACTACTCCTAACATATCATCTCCACCGACCACATCACAACACATCGCCAGTCTTCAAAATGGCCAACTACCTCGCCTCCATCTTCGGCACAGAGCAAGACAAGGTCAACTGCTCGTTCTACTACAAGATCGGCGCATGCCGACACGGCGACCGCTGCTCCCGGAAACACGTCAAGCCGTCATACTCACAGACGATCCTCATGCCGAACCTGTACCAGAATCCGGCCTACGACCCCAAGAACAAGATGAACCCGTCGCAGCTGCAGAACCACTTCGACGCATTCTACGAGGACCTGTGGTGCGAAATGTGCAAGTACGGCGAGATTGAAGAGATCGTCGTCTGCGACAACAACAACGACCACCTGATCGGCAACGTCTACGCGCGGTTCAAGTACGAAGACAGCGCGCAGGCAGCGTGCGACGCCCTGAACAGCCGCTGGTACGCGGCGCGCCCTATATACTGCGAGCTCAGCCCCGTCACGGACTTCCGAGAAGCGTGCTGCAGGCTGAACTCCGGCGAGGGCTGCGTGAGAGGAGGGTTCTGCAACTTCATCCACCGAAAGGAGCCCAGCGCAGAACTCGAGCGGGAACTCGAACTCAGCACCAAGAAGTGGCTTAAGGAGAGAGGCCGGGACGAGAGAAGCGTCACCAGAAGCCCGTCACCCGAGCCCACGAGGAAGAGATATTGAGTGGTTACTAGTTTAAGACGTGATCCGATGATGGATTGCTAGTTGAGAGATTGTGGCCTGCCAAACAAAAAAGCCAAGATTCTCGCAAGAGATACGATCTCGGGAAGACACCCTTCTTGGATACCACGTCCCCTGAATTACACCGGCGCAGCCACTCTGGTGACATGCATCGTCGCCTCTTTAAGGAGGAGAAAAAGTTATGCCGCCTACTTCAGCAGTTCCTTATGCAGCACGAGGGCATCGCGTGCCTCAAGGGAAACAAGTCGCAGGTTGTGAAAATCACGACTGCCGCCTCAATGTACTTGGGTTGTGGTGACTTGTGTGCACTGAGCCGGAACCTGAAATCCAAAGAACTCGTACCTGGGAACATAGAGCAGCATGCGGTGTTGTGAAAATCATCTGTGCTCGAGGTCGCACGTTGACCATATCACACAATCTCGTTGGTTGAGATTGGCGACTGGAGCAGGGATGCCCTGCTACGTCCTATATGGACACTGATTTAGACCATAGCAGCGAAAGGTTTAGATAGCACTTGAGAATGCATCTTGATCAATCTCACCACGTTTTTTCCATACCGGACCCTTTCTTAAACACGAGCAGTAGGTCCTTCAGAGCAGCCCTGAGGGCCGCAAGATATCATTCGAATAATAAGCGTCTATGTCTATATGACCGGCCATCTATTGAGGCCGATGTAGTAACGTGTTTCGCGTCATGTCGTAATATAATTCCACCCTGTTGCATGTTGGCGGTCTCCCCCTCCTCTCGGCTATCGTCCTGACATCCACCTCGACCTGACCTCCAACATGGAATGACTTGTCCAGCGAGCCTAACAAAGAACAGCGTCCGACGTGATGCGTGCAGCAAGTTGATGGCGGGCGGGTGTTTGTTGATTTGAAGAATAAAAATCGTCATAAACAGTCCAGTCGCGCCTTTCCTCCCTTCGCAAACAGAGCATCAATCGGGGATGGCAGTTGACGGTTTCGAAGTTTGCACCGGCAAGGAATTCGAGGACCGGGTCGAACTGAACAAGCTGGCTAGCGTTTGAACGGACCGACATTTAACACCCATAAAATGACGAGAACCACAGCGGCAGCAACAATGAGGAAACTCAGAGCTATTAACCAGCCCACGATCATCGTTCTCCGTTGCTTCTTCCGATTCCGCTCGAGCCATGTCGCCCTGTCGGAGAACGTTAGTCCAGCATCACGGAATGTCGTTCCCCTTTCGCCGGCCACGTACGTATGCTTTAATCCGCCGTGGGACGACGACGAAGACGCTGATCCCGAGTCCGACATGTTTGCCTTCTCTTCGTCCATGTGCACTGCCATCGAAAATCGGCGCCAGAAGGCGGGGTCGCGGACACCTGCCATGGTCGCCCGACCGCCAGGGTGAGTTGTATGTGTCTTGGTTTTCTGCCTGTCCGCTCGGACGAAGTTTTGAAGTCTTTTGGAAACGAGGTCGTCGGGTGTTTGGTGTTTGAGTAGGTGTGATGTGTCGCGTGCCCGGGTTTAATTTGAACAAAAACGAGTGGACGATACTGAGGGCACGAACGAGTGAGTGCCAACAGATCCGGAAATCGAAAGTTCAGCCACGAAGACGTGTAGCAGGAGCAATCTGATCACATCTCTGGACAGCAGGAAACATTCAAAGACAACAAGAACAACAAGGCAGGAAGCAAACAGTGTCACAGGTCCGGGATCCAGGGAGTAGATGACGGATACGAGTACAATCACCCAGGAAGACGACTTCCATCCACATCAAGGTCCGGTTTTTGATTAGCCCACCGTGCAAAACTCTTATCCCAAGAGCCTCATCTCAATACCCACATGCTCCGAGTCCCATGTCGTTCTTTGTGCGCTCCGGAACAAGAAAGCTGATTTCCAGCGGCCAGACCCTTCCATGTGCAAGGTTTCGGAGATGCGGCTTAGCGGTTAGAAAGAAGTGGACGTCACGGGTAAACAATCTCATCGACGCCAACCGACGCTTGCACCGGCATCGTCAATTGGCCAGTGTATCATGTCCATGCTCTTTCGAGGAAATACCACCGCACCGGGAGTCTTGTCTCGATGGCCCAATGGTGATTGAGTGGGTTTCGACGGAGGAAAAGCGAGAGACAGGAGTTGTCGTTGGCCAGGGGCCCAGGATATTGTGGTGTCAAGGTGGAGTGGGAAAGCGAAATTGCCATTGTGCAGAGTCGGCCAGTTTAATCACCGGCGAAAGTCAAAAAGGAGGAAATTGGTTGATTCAGTGGGTTTGATACGGACTGTGGAGTAATTGATTGATTGACTGCGGCGAGGCTGACGCCGAGCCTCGTCACGTGCATCCCGTCAAACATCGTCCTGCGCTGAGACAAAATCCACAGAAATCACACGAACAATCCACACCACGAATCCGTCCAGGCATTTTGTCTACAGTACAGTACAGAGTAAGTGGTATAGGTTGCCTTTTCCGATGCTATTGTCGTAGTGTGGTTCAACGAACTCCATTCTGGCTGCGAAGCTTGCTTGAACATCAGTGTGAAATGAATAATACAAAAGACCACAATACCTGCCGCGAACTCAACTTCAATTCGTAATCTCCATTATCCAGAGCTACACGTAGCTACAGAGTAACGTCAATTTACATTCTCTCCATGCACGCGCCTCCAGCCTTCAAGGACAGTCGACTTCCGGCCACCACTGCCAAGGTTATCCGGTACGTTCCTGTAGTCACTCATCAGGCCTTGGTAAATTCCGGAGCTTTGACATGTTCCACTGTAGCTTCCACCTTCTCGGTCATCAAGTCCTTCACGCCCTTCAGGAACCAGACTGCTACCAATGCCAGGACGATGAAGGGGATGATACTCGCCCACGCGAGTCGGTAGGCGTGGGCATATTCCCAGTGACTCGCATCCATAGTCTTGTCCAGGATGGTGCTGTTCAAGCCAGGAACATCTGAAAATCCAACGCCTGTGGCCAGCGCCTTCAGAAGATCTGGCAACGATGATTGAGGTAGGCCAGCCGCTACAGCTGCATTGCCAACCTTGGTGTCATACGACTTCAACTTTCCATTGATGATAGCGTCAAGCACAGCAGATCCAAATGCACCGCCAATTGCTCGAGCAGAAAAGCCGAGACCCGTGGCTGTTGAGAGGAAGGCATGTGGTGCAGTAAATTGGATCAAGGCTACGATAAGAGTCAATGGTCCAGACTGGCCAATACCTGAAAGAACGTTGAAGCCAATCTGTGCGTTGTTCATGCTTGGAGTAATGACCGCATAGCAAATTGTTCTGTTCATTGTTAGCGGCTGTGCTCGATTTGTCCTGTCAAGATTTCTGCACTTACACAACGAGGAAGATGACAAAAGTCACGAGCAATGGAGATTTCAAGTCCTTGTACTTTGTGGCATACAACCTGTAATTCCGTCAGGTATTGCCCAGCCCATTGTCAATGGCGATACTTACGTGATAGGGATCGACACGAAGAGACTGACGAGGGTGTATGAGAGCTGCCTGAGGGAGATCTTCCAAGCATTGGTTTCGAAACCGAGGTTCAGCACGATCTGAGGCGTTACGCTGTTCACAGCGCTGTAAAACAGCCAACCCTCGACCGCAAACGCGAATACAGACAGGGCAAAGTTCGGCGACCCCTTAAAGAAGACGTGCGCGACCAGGCCGTCCGATCGACCTTTCCACTCTGTTGGATTTGGTTAGTCTGTGATCTGGACGAGCATTACAAAGGCGTAGCCGAGGTGTTACCCACCATAACCGCAGAACAATATGAGGAAGCCGAATCCGATGCCCAAAGGCGCTGCCACGTGGACATCCGACCAAGCATATGCACCCCCGGCCCAATCCAAAGCCAGTAAAAGCATGGTGCACGCGACGATGAAGAGAAAAGACCCAATGGGATCACAAGCCCAAACGAGTTGCTTGAACGACATTTTCGGGTAGTCTGAACGACGGACGGGATGGTAGAAAAGAATCAGTCCAACGAATGTAGCCAAATGGAAGGCAGCCTGCATCCAAAAGATGTCGCGCCACCCCGACGGACTGGCATTCGTGACTCCCCCCGATCCAAGGCTACCAACACTACACCCGTCATTAGCAGTTGTCTTTGCAAGGCAAGAGGCGAGGTAGCATACACTCCACCAACAGCGCCCCCAAGAAAAGCGAAGCCATTAGCCAAAGCTCTGTACTTCAGAGGTAGCACCTCACTCGGGATCGCTTGGACAATGGAAATGGTGCTCAAGGTCACGCCGATGAGTATACCGCCGCCAATCAACATAGACATGGAAGTCGCCTTTGCCGAGACAACGGCGCCAACAAATGCGATCAGTGGAGGAACCGACGCAAGGTACTTTCGGTCCAGGACATCACTGAGTCGGCCGACAATGGGTGACAAGACACTTTGCATCAGCAAGGGCCCCTCTGTCCATGCTTGTCAGCAAGGAAGACATGCTCCTAGTACAACTGTGGCACTTACGAATAATCCAACCGGCGATTGCTCCATCACCCACGTCTCGGATGATGAAGGCAATGACTGATCCTGCAGCGACGACGACGAAGACCTGTGCCATGATGGCGAAGCAAGTGAGAAATACCACCAGCCATGATCGCCAGCTCAAGTTGATGTGTTCGGCCTCATTGAGTTCCTGGATGTGTTCCATAGGAGCCTCAAACTCGACCACGTGAGCGCGATCCTGTTCTGGGACATTTTCGATGACCTCGGCGGCCTCGTTGAGCTCTTTTCCAGCCGTCATGATGGCGGTGTGAGATATTGAGCGACAGTTCAAGGTCGAGAGAAGTACGGGGAAGAGCTGGTGGAGCGGTCTTTCTGGCTTGAATGGATGCCGAGTAAAGGAATATATAGCTCCCACAGCAATGCTTAGCGAAAATGCAAGACCAAGACTCATCAACACTAGTCGACCCCGGCAGTTGATCTATCCCTTGAGCATCGGCTGAACCCCGAGGGACGCCCTATACCATAAGCGACGAAAACCTGGAGAGCCTGTCGGTGGAGCTGATGGCTACAACCAATCTACTGGTTCGCTCTGGGGTATTTCCAGGCTGCATATTTGTCAGTTCTATGTGCACGTGGCTCCTGATTCGGCTCTCGACATGGGGAACATTGCCGTCTAGCACTGCTATATTATAACGTGCTCGGTGTGGACCAATTGTGCCGTGGTGCCGGAAAGTAAAATCTCTTCGTATTCAAGAGAGAGTGAATTGCCGAATTGGAGCAAAGTGGGTAAATCCCAGAGTTGGGGGAAGAAGGAGGAGGAGGAGAACAGGGAGAAGCCCCCGGTCAGTGGGATTTTGCGGAGAACGCATCTCTCTTGACATCCATACAACAGCTGGAGGGAAGAAACACAAGCTTAAGCTAAGCTAGGCTGAGCTAAGCAGCAGTCATTACGGACAAAGGTCAACGAGTGAGGACGACAACCTCGGCAAACAACATTCGAAGACAAACAATCAAAAACCGGTGAGCAAACAGGCCACGGCCGGCAGGTATTTGAGAGCAAAATACTTCTCTGGCCACCCGTTCATCAATAAATCAGCTCAAGATGGAGAGTATCTGCGTACGAGCGAGTACTTGTCTACCTTCATGCCGAAACTATTTACAAATATAAATGGCATATGAAATGCTTGCGGCGATTACTGCTAAGCACGCTGAGCTGGGTGCTCACTTGGGGTTCATTTATACCTCACTGACAAGATGACCCGGCTTTCGTTGCTCAAGTTTATTCACCATGTCGTTGTGCTGAGGACTTCTGATTGAAAATTTTTCAAATGAATGCAATTTTGACTCACTCTAGGCAAGTCATTGAGATGGCAGGTTCCCAGAAGATCTCCTCTGCTCGCTTTTCCTTCTCTCTCTCTCTCTCTCTCTCACACACACACACACAAAATCAGTTGACAGACTACTTTTGCAAAACCATCTGATCAACTGTACAGCGTTCGGAAACTCATTGGCTGTTAATACAATCCGACCTCACCATGGCAAAAACAAAACAAGTCGCCAGAAGAGGGCCTCGGCCTGCTATGGCAGGGAAAAAGCGACCTGTCAGAAGAGAGGTCCAGCGGAGGTCTCGAACCATGGAAGTCCTCAAGATCGGTGACGATGACTCCATCCGCGTTGTGCGACGTCTCCGACCACAGCAAGACGACGACAGCGAAAGCGAATACTGCGAGGATGAGGAGCCTGCTTCCCCTGGATATCCGCAAGTGGCTTCAGACGTCCAAATGACACCAGCTGTGGCCTTGACTAGGTCGATGGCACGCCTTCATCAGCCGCCCCCGTCCACTTCAGCTCCAGAGGAGGAAGCGCACCCTGACAGTTCTAGTGACGATGATAAACCTCTTCGTCGGAACCGCAGACCTAGTCGCCAGCTTCTCGAGCCATCTCTGGAGACTGTCAAAGCAAAAGCCCCAAGTAAAGGAGTTGCTCCTGCACAATCCGGTGTGTCCAAAAAGTCCCCGAAGAAAAAGGGCCTCAAAAATTGTACGTTTTGATGGTAGCGCGCCTCGTTACCTGAGTTCATGGGACGCTAACATCCAATCAGCAAACGCGAAGACCAAGCCTCTCCGTGAGGTTACCGAAGAACATCACCTGGAGCGCCTTCGATCTGTGATTGACGAAGAACTACTCGTACCGGTTGAGCGCAAGCTCCCAGGCACCACCAAGCCAGGAAGGATGTACGTTGCAAGCTGGCAGATGATTGATCGGTTGCAGCGGGATAGAAACACTGCCTCTGGAGACGTAATTCGACTGGAGAAGGAAGTCATGGATCTGAAGAAAAGGCTCGAGCATGTGAAGAAGGCATTGAAGTGATTATAGTCGCTGGCAAACAAGTACGATGGGATGTCATGGGTAGCTGAAATCTCAGGACGTCCACGTCTTCAGGCTCAACAGATTGCACATGTCAAACGGCCGGGAAGACCATGGCGTCGCTACGACAGAGGCCATAGCAACGTGTATGAGGATATCGTTGAACTCGTCAATCAACAGATGGCCAGAGTACAGCTCCGCGCTGTACAGCTCAGTCAATACTACCATTCAGACCTTCGATTCTCTCCTGACAAGTATATGGGAGCTTGATCTACTCTCGCGATTGTCTTTATGTATCTTCGTGATGTATTGCTCTATGTTGACCCAGCTCTCTATCTCGCGTAGCACACACGCGACAATGGCCTCTTGCTCATTGCATAGTCCTGGCTTAGAAACCATCTTTAGGCCCCATGCAAACAGTCATGCGTTACACCATTCCTCCAAACCTCCCAAGGTAACCGCACATGGTTCTTTGTCAACTTTCTAAACAAGGTACACAGAACAAAAAATAATCGACCGATCTCACAGCCACCAACAAGAGAGGAACCTATACTCGGACCACCCCTCCTCCTCCTCCTCGCCGATGGTGTTTCCCCCCCCCCCCCCCCGGCCCACCTCACACTCATAATTTTGCACCGGTCGAAAAGACAGCCTTGTCATGAACGCAAGTGACACACAGTTTCCCATTCAGGTAGATCTTGCCCACGATGTTCGCCGTGTTGCGTCCGGCGGCCTGGGTCTCGCACTCGACCCGGACGCGGCTCCCCTTCGGCACCGGCCGGAGGTAGGTCATGGTGATGGTCCTGGAGACGTGACCGCCGTCCAAGAAGCCCGGCTTGGCTATCGTGACCAGCGCGGTGGAAGTGAGGTTGTCGAGCAATGTCGCCGCGGCGCCGCCGTGGAGATTGCCTGATTTATTGCATAGGTGGCTGCCGATGTCCAGCTCCCAGACTGTCTTGTTGGGCTCGGCTTCGACCAGGACCGAGTTGCTGTCCCTGAGGGCGTACGTGTCGAAGCCGAAGAACTCCGGGTCGGCGACGATCTGGGCCTCCAGAGCGAGCACGCGCTCGCGGACGTTCATCTTGTAGAACTCTTCTCGCTCCCACACCATGCGGGAGGGATTGCGGGATGGGGCAGACCTGGACATTGTCTTGTCTCTGTGGTTGCGTATCGGCCGACCGCTCTGCGTATATTCAAGCAGGCTCCTGGCTGGTGAGAAAGCGAGTTAAGTCGTGTCAGTGAGCTTTTGGTTCGAGTTTCCCGGGCGCGGGCTTCGTGGTTTTTTCTTTTTTTGGTTCAAGTGAGTCTCAAGCAGAGTGAAAGAGAGTCCGATGGACGGAAAACAAGAAATCGATGTTTGGTATCCATACTGTGCATGGTTAGCCGGAGTTCGAGCCAGGATGAGTAATGGTGCTGCCCATGAGCCGAGGTCCATCTCAGGGGATGTTCAGATGTCTACTGTACTCGTACGATACTCGTCCGTCCAGAGGCGGGTTAGTTCATGACAGGTACAGTACTCCCGTACCAGTACGGGGCCCGGGCGTCTGGAGTCCTGCGAAGCAACACGTGCTGATAAGCTGCTTATCTACCTACGATACAAACACGAGTACGAGTAACAGGTCCATACCAAACAAAACATGAAACCAGCGACACGTCGACACTATCGTAGAAACGGGAATAGAACGAAGCGAGTGTCTGCTTGAGGGTGTACGGTATTGCACGTTCCACCGACGGGGATTGGCCTTGTCCATCATCAGACAAATGAAGCGTGCATGATCCCAGGCCTGAGCTGCACTGGCTTCGCATCGCAGTTTGTGTTAACGCGCGTTGGCGTTGTCAGCGCCGCATTCCACTGCATGTAGACGCCCACACCCACCTACTTTTCCCTCGTGCCCTGCCACAGTCTGCCCATCTGCCTCCTTACGTGCCGGTACAGACGACAGCACAGTAGGGATTTGCTCCCAGACAGTCCCTTGGACACAGCCACCGATCGTCAACCCCGAATCCCACATCCACATTTTGTGTCAAGACGGGCACCCGCGTCCACAGCCTTACCATTACCTGTGCCCCTCGCCCTCCCTACAATGATCTCGACGATACTGGATTATCGCGAAGATGGACGGGGATGAAGCGCCGGCCCACGGCGACAGCAACGATAACACCGACCACAACAACAACAACAACAACCCCGGCAAAGCATCAAAACGTGATCGCTTCAAGGGCGCCTTGTCACGGACAAAGAGTAAATTCAAAAAGCACGATAACAAGAGCGAGGCGGAAATCAATGACGAGGTGAACGACTTTCTCGCGGGAGGACGCACGTCGACATCGAGCTGGACCTCGGGCAAAGATACACTGCGCCCGGGCACGATCACAACAACGCAAGGGTACTCGTCTTCGCTGGAAACGTCGCCGGCTGACCAGGCGGCTTCACCGCGACCGTCTACGTCGGATTCGGCGTCGATTTCCAGACACTCTCCGAGAAAGATCACGGTGCCCAAGATTGATGTCTCGAACTCACAACGATGGCCCGCGGCGCAACCCCTCAGTCCTCAGGGGCCCGCCGAGGGCGCGGCGGGCTTTCTACGTCCGGAATACCATGGCCGGAGCCAGTCCGCCTCGTCCCTGACGAAGAGAAAGGGCAGGGCACGTGGCCTCAGTGTCACCTTCATCGATGATCCGCCCACCGTCATCGGCGAAGGCGGGGACGACGCACCCACGCCCCCCCTGGAGATTTCAAAAGCAAAGGCGAGGGCGAGGTCCGTCTCGCCAATGTCGCCGCGGGTTCGACAGAGACCCGCGGGAGCCTCTCGGCCGACGGCGGCCGGAGGTGCTGGAGCGTACGAGTACCCACGACCACCTGCGGCACCAGCATCGTCACCGTCGAGTCAACATGAACCGCCTGATGTTCTGAGACCTCGAGGGCTACAGCGAGTGCAGACGGGCTTGTCACCGTCAGCGGCCACCGCATCTTTAGGGCTGGACAAGGAGTTCGAAATGACTCTGCAAATTGGGAACCAAGCCAATCCCCCTGGTAGAGAGGTCGCGTCCAACAGTCCCGAAATCATTGCTCCAAGACCGGTCCGTCCCGTTCAACCACCGCCACTAGTCGTCGAGCGGCCCGACACATCTGTCTCTGTTGTTCACGAGGCACAGTCGTCGTCGTCGTCGAGCAGTGGTCGGGCGGATGACTTTCGAGAAGGAGACGTTCTTCGCATGCATCACGACCCTAACATCCCCACCATCGAGGAAAATACACCGGCCTCGGGTTCCAGCAGGGAAGTCAGCCCTGTCAAACAACGACAATACCAGAACTTTGTGTGACCAGTCTCACGATTATGGTTCTATTCTTTTCAGCTGTACATCTATGAATGTCCCTCACGGATCACATAGCGAAATGTCCCTTCTAGGGCTTTTGCTCTCCGAGGGCCTTGAACCCTTGAATCAAATCATCCAGCAGATCTCTATCGTCCTCGATACCCACGCTCACTCGCAACAAATCCGGTTCGACCGTCGAGTCGGTCATGGTCCGCCATTCAATCAAGCTCTCCACGCCACCTAGACTAGTTGCATGGTGGAAAAGGTGTAATTTGCTGGGTAGAGCCCGAGCAAGTTCTGGGGTCTTCATGACGATTGAAAATACCGGCCCATAGCCATTCGGCATCTGTTTCCTCAACCAAGTCTTGTAGTCTTGCGTCTGGAGGCTTGCATGATGGACCTTTTTGAGAACAGACTTGATGATCTCGACATCTGACTGGGATAATCCTGTGCCTACCGTGGCTCCAGTTAGAGCACCATCGAGTGCATCGACCAGCCGCTGAGCACTCTGGCTTTGTCTCGTCACACGCAACTCGAGTGTCCTCAAACTTCTCACACCAAGCCAGCCTTCAAGGCCTCCCATCACCGATCCTAAATGCAAGCGGTCTTCCACCAGTTGCGGAATCCAGTCCTTGTTCTTCACCGCTAGAACACCGCACAGCAAGTCCGAATGGCCACCGAAATATTTGGTTCCAGAGTGCATCACAACGTCCGCGCCGTGTTTGAACGGATCCTGCAAGGGCGGCGGCGCAAATGTCGCGTCGACACTGAGATACGCCCCTCTCGAATGTGCAATGTCCGCATAGTGCTGGATGTTGAAGGCAAGGCCAGTGGGGTTGACGGGCGTTTCCAGGTGCAGAAGATCACCCTTTTCCAGCTCTTCGGGTTTGCAGTCGAGTGGGAGGATTTTACACCCCGACAGCCTCTCGTGCAGCTTCAGCACGCCGTGGCAACCGTGGTATCCAGCACCGATTGCGACTCTTTTCGGATTGATGAATGTGACCAGGGCGTTGAAGGCTGAAAGACCGGACGAGTATGTCAGGCAAGGGTTATGGAGGAGGACGCTCAGGATGGCTTCTAGCCGTGAGGTGCTGTGCGTCGTGTGCCGCGAGTAACAGTGCTCGCCTTGTTCGTAGACAGGTGCGGGGCGTTGGTGGAATGGACGTAACTTTTCCGGATCTCTGTCGTAGCGGAAAGTCGTGCTCACGTGGATCGGCGGCGCTACGTCGTCGACGACGTTGAGAGGGTCGTCGGCGTGGATCGCTTGCGTGGCGGGCGAGAGGGACGATATGTGCAGGGAGTTGAAATCAACGTCTTCGACTTGCGGTGGAATCTCGTCGGTGTCGACGCTGTGTACGCCGTTGGTTGCCATTGTGCGGGTAGCGGAGCAGAGAACCGAGTCGAGCTAGAGACTGATGCAGTGCTTGGGGGGGGGAAGTTGTACGTTTTTACGGTTGAGAAGGAATCACTGCCTCGGTGACACCTAGTAGCAGACTGGGATGCGAGGTTTCCAACATGGCGCAATTTGAAAAGGAATTACTGATCCTCCGCTGCAAAGATAAATACTGTACCGATGCCCCCCGTCGATGCCGCAATCGGCGGGGGAAACGAGCTCGGTAGACTTGCCTTGTACTCTACAACAGCATTGACCAGGGGCCGTCATAGGGCGTCGTGGCTCGCGTAGCAATAACGACAACGACAACGACAACGATTAAACAGTGTCGATGCTGCTCCGCACGAGTTGGAGATAGCTGTGCGTCACTCGAATGTTATTATGGATCATGCATGGGAGATACATATTCCTGCATTGGCTGACTTCTCGATCTCGTGGAAGAGCCCCCAGTCTGTATGCCTCTGAACGAGCCCTGAACGGCCTCAACAGATGTTTCATTACTAGTGAGTGGTATCTGTACTTTACAGATGAATAAATCCTCATGGAATCCAAGATGTATACTACGGGTTGGAAGGCCATGAAACGGTATGAAAATGAAAATAGTCAGCACTGGTCCCCCCCCTCCCCCTCAAAGAGTGCTCATCTACATATGTCTCTTGCGGAGTCTACACGGATCAATCACATCTGGTCGAGCCATCGGTGGCCTGCCCATGAGAAGCACGATAATTGTCTAGGTATGTAGAGACTGGACTGCAATTTCCGTCTCGGACTCGTGCACTGTGCAGAAGTCCAAGTCGCTCAACGTGTATCAGCGTGTATCTCGAGGTCTCTGTGTGCCAAAGAGTTTCACCGTACATGCTGAGTTTAACTCGGACTAAAACTCCAAAAAGAGTCCCCGGCCGACAGTTTTCTGTATCGCGTACGCTACCCAGTACTTCATGTTGGCGTGATCTTTCTTGCCGTTCAGGAGTTCTCCAAGAAATTCTTCTTCATGTCTCACTGAGAGGAACCAGGCAGAAGCTCAAGCCAAGACCAGGGTCCCGTGTTTCGAAGCCAATGTTTGGGTCGATTGTGTACGTTCTGATCCCGGTAAGTATCTGCATCACCTTGTCATGGCCATGTGTTGAGCAGTTTCTGCACCAACTCCTTATGACCACCCCTCATTGCTGCATAAAGTACATTATTACGTTTCCCTCGGGAGTTAACTCTGACACCCTTTTCAAGTAGTATCTGTATCACTTCTCCATGGTCTTCATCTGATGCGGCCTGGAGTGCATTGCCATGGCGACCTCCTTGGGCGTTGATATCAGCATCCTTGTCAAGGAGCATCTGCACTATCTTCTCATGGCCCCCTGATGCTGCGGCCTGGAGTGCATTTCCATAGACACCTCCTTGGGCGTTGACATCAGCCTCCTTGTGAAGCAGCATCTGCACTATCTTCTCACAGCCCCTTGATGATGCAGCCTGAAGTGCGTTGCCATACATACCTCCTTGGGCATTGACATCAGCATCCTTGTCAAGCAGCATCTGCACTATCTTCTCACGGCCCCTTGATGATGCGGCCTGGAGTGCATTTCCATACTCACCCCCTTGTGCGTTGACATCAGCATCCTTGTGAAGCAGCATCTGCACTATCTTCTCACAGCCCCCTGATGATGCAGCCTGAAGTGCGTTGCCATACGTACCTCCTTGTGCGTTGACATCAGC